GGGGGGGGGGGGGGGGGGGGGGGGGGGGGGGGGGGGGGGGGGGGGGGGGGGGGGGGGGGGGGGGGGGGGGGGGGGAGGATCAGGTCACGGCACGAGAAAGGGACCAAAGGGACCAAAGGGACCAATGGCCATCGGTCAAGTTGTGATATCGTTGCAAGAAGGGAGTGGTCATTCAAGTGGCAGAGGAGACAAGGGGGAGAGTGAGAGTGAGAGAAGCTAGGAGGGGGCGAGATCTCGGAGAAATGCACAGGCAACCAACTCCGTAGTGTAAAGCTTCTTTTCTGACTCGACCATGTACACATACACTCGTATCCATCTTTATAGACGATTGCTCCTCCCGAGGTATATGTATGTGGGCTATTATAATTCCATTTCGCATTATCAGAAACTATTAATAAAAGCAATGGTATCAATCATAACATCGTCAGCGTCAAGACAAAAGACATTACGTCGCCAGTGGATGATCGGTCACCGAACGATCAGGCTCGGGGCGCTGAGAGCCCGGGATGGCCCCGGTGGACGCTGCGCGATCACGCCCGGAGAAGTAGCGATGCTTGTGTTTGTGACCGTCGGGCTTCTCATCCGCCTCCACCCATCGCATCACCTGGCCGCGGAGATCACGCATCTCATGCACGCGACGCGCTAGGTCACCTCGTTGCTTAGGTTGCCCACTACGTTCGTTCAACTCATCCTCATCCGAGCTGGAGATCGATAACGACGAGACGCTGCTTTGCTGGAGGAACGTGATGACGTTGCCCTCGTTTTTCTTGAACTCCCGCTGCTCCTCCTTGAGCTTGCCCATGCGCTCCGCATCCGCCTGGCAGTCGAGGGTGGTAACGTGGAGACCCGGGAAATTGGAGGAGACGAATTCCCGAAGTAGGGGGAGCTTCTCCGCGTTGGGTCGGTAGGTTCCACTGTCATTGTCAATAAACAATTCGTAGTCGGCCGGATTGGTCGATATCGGAATCCCTTCCTCGCTTTGCCCTAGCTCTCCGTCGTCTAGCTCGGTCTGATCCTCTTCCACCGGGTACTCGTCGGTAGGCACCGTGCTGGATTCGACCTCGGCGCGCTCTGCGCGTCCCTCGGGGGAGTTGTGTCGGTGGCGATACTTGCGGCGGCGCAGGAAGAACTCCCCCGAGTAGGCGATATAGATAGACACATCACTGTGCATGGTGTGTTTGCTGAGCATGTCAATCCCAAACTCCTTGCCAGTCTCGGTGAAGCGGAGCTGCCCATCCAAGGTGAGAACATAAGTGAAGATCCGCCCCCCCTGTCCGTAGTGCGCAAATTCGAGGAACTTCTGGGCCAGCTCGCGGCACGGGGTGAGGAACGACCCATGTAATGTTGTGCGATCAAAATTGTAGATGCGCTGATGTTGGTGGTGAAGCGCTTTGTGCAGAATCCGCCCACGAAGACTTTGCGCCTGGAACATGCCCGCCACGAAGGGTCTGAATTCTACATAGCGATGATACAGTTCGGCTGGAACAGGTCCTGTGAGCTGCATCTGGATGGCTTGGAAGCTAGGCGGGAAGTTAATAAACAGAAAGCATAAGCCAAAAAAAGAAAGAAAGACAGAAAGAAATCTTGGGGCCACCTACTTGTAACGACTGATAGACTTGCCACTGCCATCAGTGCTCTGCACCTGATCCTTGATACCCGCCAACCTGCCAATCAGAGGCGAAAAGTGCTTAAACCAGTGATTGGGACCAATGGTGTACATCTGACCACCGTTCTCCCCGGGGGTCTTGCCCAGGCACTCGATGCTCACTGTCAACCACGATTCCTTGTGATGGCCGGTTGCGAAGGCGGTTACATTAGTAAAGACATAGACGCGCTTGCTGCCGAAGCGCTTCTTCACCTTGAAGCGCTTTTCCTTGAACCCGGCCCAGCCATCGGTAAGGGACGGCACATCGATGAACGCAATGCCGAGCTTATCATCGTGGTCCGCGGGGTCCTCATCCATCAGGTGACACTTCAACTGGAAGCCCGACGCTGGAACATGCGCGACAATCCATTCGCACTCCCAGGTCGGGTTCATGTCCTTGCGCACGGTCGGGGTGCGAAAACGCACGACAGGGTCCTGTTTGTGGCGCCGGGGGAGGTCGACCAGCATATGCGCATTCACATACGGGTCGGAGGAGAAACTGCCAAAGTCCGCGACGGGCAAGTCGTCCGCGCGGTGGAAAGTAATTTTCAGGGTATACCCTGGCGGGGCATGAGGGATCGGGGTGGCATCAAAACCACCGGCTGGTTGTGAGTCCTCATTCATCGTCACCCGACGATGAATTTTGTCAGCCTTCTCGACGAACTTGGGGCCATATTTGTCAATTGGGTGGACCGGCAAAGCCCGAGGTGCGTCGTCCATGATGTCGTGAAATGGAGTAGGCCAATCTCCGAGAATTCCCTTATAGGTAATATGGATGGATCCCAATCACCGGATCCAAGGTTAGTCGAGTGATGATCATTAAGAATAGAATACGCGTAACAGTTTCAGGGAGCGTCTCGAGAGGGAAACGAAGGTAAATGGGGAAGTTCAGCCTTAGGGGAGAGACGCGGACTGTATTGATATGCCCCTAGGACCGATTCGGCAGTGATGGGCTCAGGCAACAGAGATTCGGCCCCGGTGACCTCATCGGTGCCTGGGTTTCCCTGCTTTGGTCTTGGCCTCAGCCTTACTCGACTCCATACTTCTCAGCCCTGTGGGATGGGATTACTTTTATCTACAAAGAGCTCGTTGCAAATTGGGCGGACCGATTTGATTGGTACACATTTCATCGGCTCATGTCGACCTGCAGACTAAGTGCCTCACTAAGTGCCTCGGAAGAGGAATGACATGTCCTCGGGGGTCAGCTTTTCCAAGGCAGCCGCTTGGTCCTTGTTCAGAGTGCCCCGAATGAGGTTGGCCTTCTTTTCTTGCAGCTGGATGATGCGGGATTCGACCGAGTCCTCGATGCAAAGCCGCGTGACCACACAGGGCCGCTGTTGGCCGATGCGGTGGCTCCGATCGGCACTCTGCCATTCCGCCGCGGGGTTCCACCACGGATCGATGATGAACACGCGGGACGCTTCGGTCAAGTTCAGTGCCACGCCGCCTGCCTTGAGCGAGACCAGAAAAACCTCCACTTCCGGCTTGGTCATGAAGTGTTCAATCGACTTTTGGCGCTGGGCCGGCGTCATCGAGCCATCCAGCATCACCGTGTTGAAGCCGGCATGGCGGAGACGCCACTCGACCAGCTGCAGCATCGAGGTGAACTGCGAGAAAATGATCGATTTGGGGGTGTGGCTCTTGCTTCGCTCCTGGAAGAGTTCATAGAGCAACATCTCGATCTTTGTCGAGGAGGTCCAACTGTCCATGGAGATTCGATTGATGATGGAATTTTTCTTGACGGTATCCTCGTACTCTTCCAGGGTCGGCTGCTCCAAATCGATGGACAGAGCGATGTGGCACCGGGGACAATCGACATGTTTGCTGTCATCTTGGAAAGACTGGATGTAGTCCTTGGCACACTGACGACAGAATTCGTGACGGCACTGGGACCGAACGGCGTCCTCGGCGGGCTCGTCGCAGACAGAACATACCGCAACGTTGAACCCAGCTTGCATTTTCTTCTTCAGGATGAGATCCGGGTGATTCGCAACTTGGCGCATCTGCATAATCAGGCCAAAGATGTTGGCGTAGTTGTTCAACATGACACCCTGGCTGACATAGGTGTCGAATTTCCGAGTGGAGTTCGTCATAATACTACGAGAAAAGTCATGCTCGATCTCGCCGAAGAACTCGTTGTGCAGCGTGATCCGCTTGGCAGGGAGCTCCATCGAACCGGTGTGGTCCTCCTTCATGCGGCGTAGCATGATGTGATCGGTAATGAGGCGGAGCTTGTCCAGTCCAGCCTTGCGCTGGGCTTGGGTGCGACCCTCGGTGATAGGACCGAGGATCTCTTTGTTGAACACCGATATGTGTTGGAAACCGGTGTGAGAGCACTCAGTACAACGTCCTTCCTTAGTCTGGGTCCATTGCAGCTGCTCGCAGGGGCAGTTCTTGCAAAAATAGCATGCGAATGGTTTGACTTGGAGAAACCGAAGGAGGGAGAAGAACTCTCCGATACGGTTTTGGACCGGTGTGCCAGAAAGGCACCACTTGTAGTTGGCCTCCAAAGCGAAGCATGCTTTCGCAACACCAGTGGTGCGTGATTTGATGCTATGTGCCTCGTCGAGAATGAGGCGGTGGTAATGTACGGAGTGGATCACACTGTTGGATTTAACGATGTTTTCCCCACGAACAAACCCCTTTTCTTGCTTTCGATGCATAGATTCCAGACTGGAATAGGACACCATGATGACATCGTATTTACGGACGTCGGCCGGTGTCAGCTTTCTGATTTTTGGGTCAGAATTGTGATATACCAAGACTTTCAATTTGCCATCAGTATATGCCTTGATCTCGGCAACCCATTGCATCAAAGCAACCGGGGGCACAAGCACGAGCGTAGGATCCGGCTGAGGGTAATCAGACATGATCAGTGACACTGCTTGGATGGTTTTGCCCATGCCCATCTCGTCACCCAGTAAGCCACCGCGATACTCGGTTTGTTCTTGTCTAATCATCCAACTCAACCCTTCCAGCTGAAAGGGTTTGAGTTTGCGGGTAATTGAGGTTGGTTGCTTTGCTGCCTCGGGTGGTAGGATAGGCTGGGCTTTGAGGAGATCCCACATGGTACTGAGAGCTGGGTGTTTCTTCTCAAGTTTCTTCCGATCTGCTTCCGCGCGTTTGGCCTTTCGCTGTTCTTCCCAACTTGGAGGTAGATCCTCGTCTGTTGCATCGGCGCCTTCTTGGACGCTAGATGTCCGGGTGGCAGGCCGCGCAGCAGGTCGGACAGGTCGGGCAGGTCGAGCGGCAATCCGGGAAGGCTGGCGCCCCTCGCGGACGTCTGAATGATCCGAGTCATCATCAGAGGATGAGTACCCCAGTGATGGTGGGGACAAGGATGCCGAGTCTAAAGAATCAAGTGACTCAGGTGATTCAAATGCCGAGTAATTAATTTCGCCGTCTGACAATGGGCCGGGCGTTTGATTGTCCCGTTTTGAGGACAGTTGGCCATATTCCTCCATCTGCATAGCACGGGCAAGAGCGGCGTCTATGACATCGATATCAGGGGCCCGGGCACGAGACTTCGCGGCGGATCTTTTGGTCACTCGTTTCTTGGCCAACGGAGCATCCGACGCATCATCATCAGTCAAATTGGACGCAGTTCGTTTTGCCCCTCTCTTTCCCAGAGAGGATGCGCTGGACTGGAGATTTTTGACGCGCTGAGATGCATTGACACGAACTGGTGCCTTGTCATTGTGAGGTTTAGTCGCTGATCGTTGGGTTGACCTTTTCTTAGCCAGTGGTAAATCAGAGCCCTCCTCATCAGTCGATAAACCCGAAGCCTCTATAGGCAATGCGCTGGACTGCGGTTTCTTTGCGCGTTGAGAAGCAATCGTGCGAGGGGCCTTGGTATCCGAGTCTGTATTAGGCCCGACGCTCGTGGCTGGCGTGCTGTAGGCCGTGGATTGGTTCGCTACGGATTCACTTGGTGAGTTGTTCTTCACTGGAACAACGACTGAGGGTTGTTCCAGTGCCCAATCTTCGGGAGCCACCGCGTCCGATCGATCGTCATCCCCCTCAGCTTCGGAATCCTGTATGACGCGCTGGGATCGAGACTGAGAAAGGGATGACCCACCAGCTGGCAAGGGTCCCGATCGAGTTGATCGACTTGATCGGCGGAGGGTAGAGGGATCCTTGAATGACGTATCGCTGAATTGTGAGTCATCAGAATCCGGTATTGTCGCTCTAGATCTCAATCTGTTCATGGTGGAAGTGATGGAGGGTATAGAGCAGACGCAGACGCAGAGGGCACGGGTTTGTAGGTGCTAGTTATCATTATAGAATGTCAGTTGAATGCGCCATTGTATAACTTCATACTAGTATATGAGTACAACATAGGAGGGGGGGGCATACGGTTGACTGCGTGCTGTGAGGGTGTTGCGGTGTCCAAATGTAGCTAAAGACGGGACTGGAAGGTGGAATTTCAGACCAAAAGAGAGGGATCAGACAAGAAAGAGGGAAAAAAGAGTATGGACTCAAAAGAAAAGGAAGGAAGTGAGAGAGAGGTGAAGAGAGAAAAGAGAGGGAGAGGAACGGGGAGAAGTTGATCGATCGGATTCCCGATATGAGAGCAGGTGCCTGAACCAGAAATTTTCCCGATGTGGCAAAGAAAAGATTCCCAATTGGAACACAGTCTACAAATAACGGACTCTTCCTTACCCTTGTCTCTTCATTCTTGTCTCTTCATTTTCATTGCTTTCGTTGCATCACCCTGCCTTATCGATAAGAATCTCGCGTTAAGTGAAACGCGAAATTGCCACCGCGTCCTAGCCCTGGAGTGTCAACTTTGGGAAAATGTATGGCAGCCCTCTCCGAGAGATACACCTCATTGACACATCCTGTAGGGCAAATAGAAGACAAGCACGAGGCATTCGGGGCCCGTATGTCCCCATCCTTGTTGATTTGGCCTAACTAACAAGCACAGGCGCTCTGCCCTGACTGATTTCCTGGCTGTATGACCTACTCCCCCAAGACTGACCGGGGCCTACTGACGTCCTCCCAGTCCAATAACATCTCCGCGCAGCAAATTCAAGATGACTATGCCAATCGCCAGGCCGAGGCGGCCCGCCAGGCGAATGAAGCACAGCGTCAGTCGGTTGACCCCGGTGCTGAGCAACGCAGGTCCCCTTCGGAGGCCAATTCACCGGAGGATTTGATCAAAAAGCGTAAGCGACAACAGGCTATCACGAGGATCAAGAACAGCAAAGAGTTTGCAAAGCGCAAGGCTCGTCTCAGTGGGGATCATGACCCTGAATATGACGACGAGTCTCTGGCCAACCAGATCCATGAAGAACGACAACGACCACAACCAGGCCAATTGGCAAATTGTGAAATTTGCGAGAAACGTTTCACCGTGACCCCCTACAGTAAAACGGGTCCAGGTGGCGGTTTGCTGTGCCCCGATTGCTCAAAGAAGCACAAGGCGGATGAGAAGAAGCCTCCGGCCAAGAAACGAGCCACGGGCAACATCGGTCGACGACAAAACCAGACCAACTTGCTCGATGGTCTCACCCCTCACGGCACTCAGAGCTTACTAGAGACGTGCATCAAAGTAGGTGACGCGAACAACACGGTAAAAACCAAATGCTCATCTTACATCAGAAAGTTGCGGATTACATCCATGACGTGGAAGATTTCGGGGACTTGCCTCCGTCTTTGCTCCTGCGCTTGGGACAGATCCTGTCCCGACGCCGAGCTGTGACTCCAAAGACCCTGGATTTGTTTATTCGACCTCAGTACAGATCGATCGACCTTTTTGATTGTGCCAGTAAGTCGATACACCCTCAAAACCGCAAGACAGTCGTTTTAACACTTTACAGAACTCGACACGGATGATTTCCATAAGATTCTTGCGTCAATGCCCCATCTTACCAGGGTAAATCTTCGATTTACCACTCCCTTCAAGGACGAGATCATTCAGTACATGGTGGACCGTGATATGCAGATCAAAGATCTTCATCTTGACGGAGCCAATCTGGTTACCGATGCCTGCTGGCGTCATCTGTTCCAGAAACTTGGTCACCGACTCCAGAGCCTGAAGCTTTGGAATTTGAACTCTGCCTTTGATGATGAAACCGCCCAAGTGATGTGCAAGCAATGTCCTAATCTACAGCGTCTGAAACTCAAGTTTCTCCACAAGACCGGCAATGGCACACTCGAGGCAATCTCGAGCCTTCCATTCCTCGAGCACCTCTCGTTGCACTACCTCAAAGAAACAGAGATTGACCCCAAGCACCTTTTGAGTATCATGTCTGCTGTTGGCTCACGGCTGAAGACACTGTCCCTTGAGGAATTCGAGCTTGTGGATGATAAGCTCCTTCAACTCATCCACGAGCAGTGTCACTCCCTCACCAAGCTTCGTCTCTCGAAGAACTTCACATTCACAGATGCAGGCCTGGCTGCGCTTTTCGTAAACTGGCCCAACCAGGCCCTTACTTACGTGGATATGAACTCACTTCGAGATGTGGATATGACCAATCCCAATGGCCCGGAGCAACCTATTGGGCTGGCCTCCTCTGCATTTGTGGCGCTGATGGAGCACTCAGGGGCAAAGCTTCAACACTTGAACATCGCGTCCTGTCGTCACATCCCATATCAGGCATTTGAACAGGTCTTCGCCGAGGGTAAGGTCTACCCGGAGCTCAAATACCTCGACCTTTCGTTCAGCCCAGCAGTCGATGATTACATCGCGATGTGTATTTTCCGGTGTTGCCCAGCCCTGCAGAGACTGGTTGTCTTTGCTTGTTTCAAGATTCGCGACATCCACATCCCAAGAGGGCTTGCGGTCATTGGTACCGTGGGTGCTACCGTCAAAATTGATGGAGTTGCCCAAACCGAGACTATCTAATGGCGATGGGGCATAGTGTACCTACCTAGGTTTGCTCAAATATTCGATCTAATGGGGCCAGTCTAGAAATCATGCGAAGATGCTCAGCAAGAATCTTGAAAAGACTGTAAGAACCCAGGGGGTCAGATGAAGAGAGGCAATCTTAGTGAGTCCTTGAAGATGCATTAAGTCGTGACCACCAACACCGTAATCTGCCTATGTACAAAAATTACAAAAATCCAGACTCAGCCCATGCGCTTGCCAATCTCACTCTGCCAGTTGCGCGTACGCTCGAAGCCATTAGACGCAGTCTGGTAGTCCAGCATGGCCTGGTAAACCTCCTCTTGGGTGTTCAGCACAAAAGGACCATACTGCACGACCTTCTGATCCAGTGGCTGGCCCGCAACCAGGAAAACACGAGCATCCTTCTCTGCGTTATCCGGCACCGACAGCTCCACAAAGTCCCCAGCCTGCTCAAACTCCACATTGTGGAACTCCTTCACGATGCGAGTGGAGTCACTGGAGCCAAATACCGTTTCACCCGCCAAGGTGTACGCAAACGAATTCCACCCCTGAGGCAAAGACTGCGAGATCCGACCACCAGGCTTGATGGTGATATCCAATATCCACACTGGCGTGTAGGCCAGGTCCCTGACCGAGTCCACGCCATGCGACTGCCCAGAGATAACCTTGACCTGGACACGGCCCTCATCCACACTGGCAATGGGGATTTCCGTCGCGCGCAGATCGCGATACCGGGGCTCACAGAACTTCAGCTTCTGCGGCAGATCGACCCACAACTGCATGCCCACATTGGGGCTGCCATCCTCATTCTCGTGGGGCATCTCCGCATGCATGATACCTCTGCCGGCGGTCATGAATTGCAAATCACCGGGCCCAATGGTGCCCTTGTTCCCGGCGAAGTCTTCATGGTCCACCCCACCGGAGAGTAGATAGGTGATGGTTTCCTGGCCGCGGTGGGGATGGTCCGGAAAACCAGCGCCTTTGCCGATGGTGAAGTGGTCGAGCATCAAGAAGGGGCTGAAATTGCGCAGCTTGGCTGTGCCGATTGAACGGCGAACACGGGCACCTGCACCTTCGGATTGCTCGATTGCCAGGAACGCCTGGCGAATTGCGCGTGGGGCAGACATTTCCGTTATAGGCTTGACTATGATAGGGACTTCGAAGGTGACGTTGGAAGTTGGTTGACTTGATTGATTTCCGCTGAAGTACTCGGACAAGCTTGCTGTGTATCTTGTGAGTCTCTCTTTAGATGGGTAACCCAAGATTATTGCTGTGATGCAAATCAGAAGAGGGAGAAGAAGTCTCATGAAGATGTCTGATATTTATATTCCAGAAATATAATTGAAAATCGAATGTGTTGGTCTAAATACTTTCCAATGGCTTTCCAATGCTTTGCAAGCCATCGTTGATTGGCTCGGGTTTATGACAAACGATGCTGTCAGCATCCAGATATGCTAGGCCGGATCAGGTTAGTGCAGTTCGTGAATTATGTGATCGGTCATGTGACATTGGAGAACACCGCCCGGGCGTTGACCTGCCCAGGTAGGCAGCCTGGAGCCCTGGAGAGCTAGATACTATAGTTAGTGATCTCTGGAATACTCCGTACAGTACTCTTCATCAGAGGCTTATTGCCCTTTCCCGAACCCTAGTCATTTTGCTGAATATTTAGGGCAGAGCAAAAGTGCGAGCTCTCCAGGTTCCAAGGCTGAAAGCCTGTCCGAATATATATATAGATGGATTCTATATCTAGACTTCTCCCACCTAAGTTGTAGTTAAGCCAGTTGGATATCAAATTAGATATGGATGATTGGGTAGTCATACCCGGTGGACTCCCGAATTACATTTCAATCTTCCCAATATACCAGTATGTCCATTATCGACCCGTGGACTGGAAGCAATGCCTGGACAGAGGTCCAACCGTCCCGAAGTGGACTGTTCGCGGTGGCCGCAATTCCCCCTTATCAGATAAGGCCACGGAGCAGCTCCCTCCACACCCCATCGCTCCGACAGTGTACAGGCCTGACGTTGGACCTGTTGGCTATTTTCTTGATTTCATTGATTCCCCATATGCGAAAACCCCACCTCCGTTGTTGACCTGTCTGGATCGAAGCTGCTATTCGGGGACGCTTCCTTCCAACAACGCCCACGCTGTGATCTCATCAAGATGGGCCGGGTAGCACCACGCCTGTCGCCGTGGCTAGCACTGGCATGTGCTGTGTCCGCTGCGTGGGCAAAACCAAAACCCTTCAATATCAATGATGATATTCTGGCCTATCCACAGGTAGGTTGGATTTACCTCCCGACTAAGCATGGACTGACGCTCGGTAGTATCAAGTGACCTTCCCCGAGGAATACATCCTGGAGATGCATGCCGAAGCACTACTTCGATCCCAAAATGGCCCCGATACTCTGGCCCAGAATAAGCCCCAAGTCTACACGGGGAAAGACCGAACCGATCACACCGACCATCAGTTGGACGAATCTCCTTATACATACGAGGAAATGATTCTCGAGGACCGACGACTTCTATGCCAAATCCCACGCGTCATACCAGATGATCACAACACAACAACAAAGGGTGATAGCAAGACCGAGCAGCAAAAGGAACTGGCTCGCGCAACAGATCGCGGGATTGAATTACTCCGCGAAATGGAAGGACAGTGCATGTATTATTTTTCAGGCTGGTGGTCATATTCCTTCTGCTATCAAAAACAGATCAAACAGTTCCATGCCCTCCCCGCCGGTCGTGGGGTCCCTCACTACCCGCCCATCGAGGACAGTACGACGCACTCCTTTATTTTGGGAAGATTCATCGACGACAAGGAAGAAAGACCCCAAAAGTCTACCAAAACGGACGTGGCTGAGCTTCATACGAAAGGGGGCTCGCGATACTTGGTTCAACACCTCCGCGGTGGGACCAAGTGCGACCTGACAGGTCGTGAGCGCAAGGTCGAGGTGCAATTCCATTGCCACCCACAATCGACAGATCATATCGGTTGGATCAAGGAATTGGCGACGTGCTCTTATCTTATGGTCATCTACACACCTCGTTTATGTGACGATGTTGCCTTCCTGCCACCCCAGCAGGATGAAGTACATAACATCGAATGTCGAGAGATTTTGATGCCCGAAGAGGTTACCGAGTGGGAAGCCATCAAAGATTGGTATACGACAAATCAACTGGCTGAAGCAGCAGCTGATGCTGATGCTACTCAAGCTGAACTGCCAGTCATTGGCGGCATTGTAGTCGGCGGTCAAAAGCTTGTTGGCATGGAGGGCAAAGTGATCGAGAAGGGACGCGTGGCTTCTACCGGCGAGGAACGAGTTGATGTGGTTGCCAAGCGAGTGAATGGGGAGATTGGCAAGATGTCGAAACAGATTGTCAAGAAATACGACCTTGACCCGGAGAAAGTGGAAGAAATGAAGAAGCTACTGGAGGAGCAAGCCGATGGCAAAGATTGGACGCTGGAGGTTGTGGAAAGCAACGGCGTGATCAAATTCCAGGGCGTACTCGATGACGACGAAGACCTCAACGAGGGATCGTCTGCAGAGAAGCCACGGAAAGACAGGGACAACCCCAGGCCAAAGTCAGATTCAGAACCCCACACGCAAGAGCGCAACGCAAACTCCCAATCTGAGCAAACGGACCCGTCCGAAGAGCGAGGGAGCGAAGAGACGTTCAAAGACGAGCTATGATCTAGATGTACGGGGCCAAGATCCTCGACGGAGCTGGATAGCCTTAGACGTCAGTCGCCCCAGTTGCCGGAGAACCGAGTGGGGGCCAACGGAACAGTCCTCAAATGGACCATGCCTGCAGTTGAACAGAGAGCCCATTGTGAAAATAAACAAAAATCCAAGCTGTTAGGCCGAAAAGTGGCGTTCGATGGAGAGAATGCCAGGAAGCCCAGCGTCGTAGAGAAGCATACGTAGGCAACGTGACTCCCCGATCGTCTGCTCCACCTTCCCACTCTCTCTCTGTCCCTGATCCAACCTCCGCTTCTCCCTATTCCCAGTCCCCCTTGTCCCCTTCTTTGCTTTAAGCTTTTTCTTTTTCCTTTCTTTTTCCTTTTCTTTCTGGACTTCGGTCGGCACGTCCCGATCTAATTGCTGCGCACTAGCGCCAAGGCTGACCGGCCACCGTCCCCAATTATCCGTCCCCTCCGATTACCCCCATTGGGGTTGGAACATCGAAACGCTGCCAATCGCAGCGGAACCAGCGACACCTTCGATCCTAATTGATCGCCAAAATGGGATTTCTAGGAGTCTACTCGGCTGTGTACGACTACCAGCCACAAGGAGCCGGCGAACTCGAGATTCGCGAGGGTGACCTCCTTTATATCCTGGAAAAGAATGCGGAAGATGACTGGTGGAGGGCCAAACGAAAGAGCGACCACGAAGACGAAGATGAGCCCGAAGGCTTAGTTCCAAATAACTATGTCGAGGAGGTGAGTCTCCGTCGACCTGCGTGCCCCATAATGCGCCGTTCTCGCGCACTGTAGACATTGGCTGATCAAGAGTATACAGGCGCAACCCGCGCACAGAGCCACAGCTCTCTTTGACTACACGCGACAGACCGACGAGGAGGTGTCATTCTCAGAAGATGCCGAGTTGATGGTGTACGACACTTCGGACCCTGACTGGACACTGGTGGGAACCAACTCGGAATATGGATTTGCACCTTCAAACTACATCGAGATCATCGATGAGGGCTCCGCTGCAGCAATCGCTCCCCCGCCCGCTCCAGCTGAGACAGCCGCGCCGTCACTTCCACAGCGGCCGCCGGTTCCCGACGAGTCTGAGGAAGCATCGCCTGCTGGTTCCCCGGTCGACATGTCTCATAACCCCGCCGCCGCCGCAATTGCCAGCATTATCCACAAGCAACATGCTCCTGCAGATACGTCGGTGGAGACCACCAGAGACGAGCCCCCAGCGCCTAGTCTTCCGGCTCGGCCGTCCCACGACCAGGATCACGAGGAATCACCACCGCCAATGCCGCGACGACCTCCTTCTACACATGCGTCTCCGCCTATACGCCAGTCTTCGCCCGAACCTAGCCCGCCACCTCGGCCGCAACAGGCAGTTCCTGCTACCCTTAACCGTGACGCCACACACGTGAAGGCATCTCCTCCTTACAACCGGGCGGCGGGTGAGATGACCCCGCGATCACCCTCGGGCTATCATATCTACAATATCAATGAAATGGTGGAGGTCATGGGCAAGAGGAAGAAGATGCCCACAACCCTGGGAATTAATATGGTCACTGGAATAATCTTCCTTTCCCCCGAAGGCGATGACAGGCAGCAAGAGTGGAGTGCAGAGAAACTCAGTCATTACTCCATTGAAGGAAAGCATGTATTTGTTGATCTTGTCAGGCCAAGCAAGAGCATTGACTTCCATGCGGGAGCCAAGGACACGGCCCACGAAATCGCCTCGGCACTTGGCGAAATTGCGGGTGCCTACCGCGCAGGGGGATTACGTGAAGTACTAGAAGCAGGAGAAGGGAGTGGGCCTAAGAAGGGACAGATTCTGTATGACTTTGTGGCACAAGGCGATGATGAAGTGACCGTGGCTGTAGGGGATGAAGTCATCGTTCTTGACGATACCAAGTCTGAGGAATGGTGGATGGTCAGGCGCCTGAAGAACAAAGAGGAAGGTGTTGTCCCGAGCAGCTATGTTGAAGTGACCGGGTTGATCCCTAAACCGCCGATTTTACCCGCGGAGCCTGGCCTGTCCACCGTTGAAAAGAACCGCCGAGAGGAGATGCGACTGAGCAAGCTGGCCATGAGCAAATCACGGACAGATTCAATGGACTCATCAGAACGTCAAAGCAAGCGCGACAGCAAGATGAAGTCGAAGCCCGATCCTAGCAAAGTGCGAAAATGGACTGATCGGTCCAAGGACTTCACAGTCGAGGCACAGTTCATCGGTCTTTCAGATGGGAAAATCCAGCTTCACAAGGTAAACGGCATCAAAATCGCTGTTCCCGTTGCGAAGATGTCCGTAGAAGACTTGGAATATGTTGAAAAGATTGCAGGTGTCTCACTTGATGAGGACAAGCCTCTTTCCAGCATTCGACCTCGAGTGGCGGCCGAGAAGACCTCCAAGGCTGGAGCTTCGGTCAACCACGAGTACGACTGGTTTGATTTCTTTTTGAAGGCCGGTGTTGGGCCACATCGGTGTGAAAGATACGCACAGTCCTTCAACAAGGACTCAATGGATGAGTCTATCTTGCCTGAAATCACACCTGAGATTCTTCAGACTTTGGGTTTGAACCAGGGTGATACTCTGCGTGTCATGAAGGTCTTGGACGCCAAGTACGGCCGGGCACCTGACAAATCCAAGCCCAGAAACGTAAGTTTCGGCGGGGAGGAAGTCATTGGCAATGGAGATGGCGGACAGGGTGGTCTCTTCTCTGGTCCAGGTGGTATGCTACGAAACAACACAGGACGGACCAGACCAACACCGAATGTCACGGTTGGTGAGGTCAACGCCAAAGCGTTCGGACAGTCGGATGAACCCAGCTCCCCTGATACCCCAGCAAGTCCACCACCCCCTGCTGCGGAGCCCGAGAAACCCGCTACTCGTGGGTTTGATGATGACGCCTGGGAGGTCAAACAGCCGAAGCAGCCCGCTAGGCCCACTGCAGCAGCGACCCCGACCCCACCACCCGCAGCCGCCCAGGTCCCTCAGGTTACTGGAGCCGTCGCCGACTTATCTTTGCTCCAAGCTCCTCTGCAGCCAACCCAACCTCAGCCTACTGGGGCTGCTCAGCCCGCCCCTCCCGCACCTGCTCTTCAGCCACAAGTCACCGCTGTGCAAATACCCCCACCACAGCAGCCGCAGCCAACAGGTGCTAACGCCAGCTTGTTTGCCCAGGTGGCGCAGCTTGGCCAGCAAGCTAGACAACGCCCTCAGCCTCCTCAAGCAATGGCTCAAAACTCACTTTTGCCTCCTCCTCCGCAACGCCCGCTATCTGCGCCGCAGAACTTCTCGCAGCAGCAGAATGCCTTTGGTCCTCCTCCGCTGCAAGCCCAGCTGACAGGAGTACCCAGGGCGGCACCTGGACAAGTCCCCATGGACATGAGTCAACAACGTTTTCAGCCTCAGGCAACTGGATTCATGGGACAAAATCAGTTCCAAAATGGTTTGATGCCTCAGCCTACAGGATTTACTCCTCAGTCGCAGTTTGGCATTCAGCAGCAGCAGCAGCCGCAATTTCCACAGTCGATGGCCCCTCAGCAAACTGGATTCCAGGGTCTTGGGCCACAGCCGACTGGATATGGATACGCACAGACTCAGCAGCCCATGCAGACCGGGATCAACTCTGTCCTTCCCCCTGCATTGCAACCTCAACCCACTGCCAATGGGTTTGGCAATCAGCACTACTCATCACCACCCCCCGTGCCACCAATTCCACAACAGCCTACCGCCACTCCTCTCTCGCCCCAGAAAACCGGACCACCCCCGTCCATCCGATTTGGAGTTAAGCCAGATGCTCCCAAGAAGCTTGAGCCACAGGCAACGGGACTCAGGGCTAACCTCTCGCAAGCTAGTAAGTACCTCCATGGCTCTCGCGCGTACGGAAATACAAAATCATGAATTCTAACCCATTCCAACTAGCTCCCAATAATCCATTTGGGTTTTGATCCATACTTGGCGGATGCGTATATAATTCCACACATCAGGCTGATCATTGGAAATTTGCCGTATCGACCAAAGCGATCACGTACATATTTTTGTCCCGAGAGCGTGCCACGAATCCCCTTTACATCCATGTTGACCTGCCTCTGATGCCTCTATGCATGTTTCTTTTTCCCGACCCCGTTACTTAAGATGCAGTGTGGATGTCCCTCTCGCTTACTTTCCTTTGTTTGGATAGCTCTCCATGTTCCCCCCTTTACCAACTCATACATAATGGATTTTTTCGCATCTGCATCGTTTCCGAGTATGATGTACGGCGTAGACGTCGAATCGAATCCATTAAATATCAAGTCTAGGCTGTTTATCTTAGAAGCGGAGTAGAAATGATGAATAAGTCAAATTGATGGCCCCGGGGCCGGGGGGGTATATAAGGAACACACTCTCGCCGAAACATCGAAAACCAAACGTACATCGCAGAAAGAATATCACAACCGAGCAATCATTACCCACACCGAACACCCGCTGAAGTTTACTTCCAAATCATAATATGCTATTGCTTTCTTCCCCCCAGAGCCCAAACACCGGCAGATCTTCCGCCATATACAACAGCCCATTCTCTGGGAACATGACATCGGAAAGTGGAGATGGGCCAGAGGCAGGAGGTGGCCCGGATGGAATAGTGCCCCCGGGTGAGCAGCCTACTGGGATGCCTGATGTTGTGAGGGCAGAGATGGCTGCATCGTAGGACAGAGCATCTGTACAGTCTGGGCCGTTACATATAGCTTCCCAGATGTCGTTGTCAGCCGAGAGACTCTGAGGTGCCTGAGGTTGAAGCTGAGACTGAGTTGGAATAAAAGATGGTGTTGCACCAGGGCGTTTACCGGGAGATTCCGGAGATGGCACGCTGACAGATGTAGCAGACGGCGCAGCTCCTGGAAGTAAGTTGTTCAGACTCTCGCCGACGTTGACTTGACCGAAGAGTTGATCGACCTGCTTGCTACGTCTATTCATCCATTGACGATTGCGCCGCGAGATGTACTCCGCCACAGCTGCGCGAAGATATTTGATGATCTGGGCGAAACGGCAAGCGTGGGGGTCGTGTGGGACGAAAAGGGCTAGGAAACGCTCTGCTTTGTTGATTCCCTCTTCCAGGGGCAGAAGGTTATCGTAGTCGGCGAAAAATGCAGCCCCAAGGACAATCACAGAGTTGAAGACCGAGTTGATCAAGAAAGGGAGGCGTTTCGGGAGGGTGGTATAGTGAGTTAGATCGTCGACTACGTCTAGGCCACGGAGGGCGGAATAGACGCATGCATCGGCAAACAGAGCGATGCGAGAGCTGCCGTTCCGATTCTCGGGTAAGGACGGATCAAGTTTACCTTTGACGTACTGGGCCACACGATAGATGAGGAACGGCCGCGTTAGGAGAATGATAGACCAGTAGTAGGAGCCGAAAACGTGGGCTGCTGCCAGGCTACTTTCCATGGACTTGTTTTCCAGTCGTTCGGTTTGCCTCTTAAGGACGGTGGGGAGGGTGCGAACCCAGGCACGATGTTGATTTGATATTGTTTCTGCAACGTTGATCGAGATGACTTGTTTCATGTAGACATCGGTTAAGATGCGCTCGAAGATTCGGCACAGTGAAGTTACCGCGGCCGAGAGCTGTTGCTCTGGTGTCAGATGTTGCTGTGGTGCTCCTGGTAAGATCGCATCGTCACGAATGTCATAGTCGTAGTCTGAAGTGGCCGGGGGGCGTCCGAGAGAGGCACTGAGGAACAGGTCCATCATCCGCAGACTTTTCCAAACTCGCTCTCTGGCCCGACGCTCACGCCCACAGAACAAAGCATTGGCATCTTTGCGGTGAATTCCAACTGCGTAGGCCGCGCGAAGCGCAATCCCAAGATTCATGAATGCGCCATTGCGCCTACAGGCGCCAAGCATGTACATGGAGACCAATATATAGGACTGTATAGTGTGAATGCTCGGGGTTTCCTGGAACGCCGAGAACGCTAGTTGGCGACCACTGCCGAAGTACTGCTCGGCTACTGACTGGTCAATACTGGATACCTGCGCCCCAATCGCCAGAACCAGGTAGAAAATGGAGCTGACGGTGTCTTCGTCGCCTGAAGGATTTGCAACCCAATTAGCCAGCCGGGGATGGAACTCTTGCAAGTCGAACAGATCGAGCAATGGACTAGTAGCCAGGACAAACTGACGGGCCAGGCGTTGTGCTCCCCCGTCGGGCGGGGGCTCTACCAGAGGACCAGGCTGATTGCCTGGGTTGTTCTGGAAAGCCTCAAGCATTGAATGCCGGGAGTTGTCCTCTGTGAACTCGCATCGGCCAATTGACGAGGTGACCACTCGGCGCACACTCTGCAGGAATGACAGACTCGCCGAGTCACCGATATACATGAACTTCCCCTGCCCGTCGCGCAGAAGTCGCGCGACCTTAGGCACCGGTGCAGTTCCCTCCTTTTCATCCTTGGCCTGTTGCTCCATGTCCATTCCTTGATCCTCCAGGGAATTCAACAGGCGGTCCATCGCCGTCTCCCGCTGCGGGGACGGTACCATGCGCTCGCTGAGTAGCATGGTAGAGTCCTTGGCATCGGGCTTGAGTAGCCGCGCCGGGCGATCTGAGAAATGGCATTCGGATTCTTTACTCCTCTGTCTGCAGATAGTGCACGGCTGCTCGCCATTACATTTCTGTTTTCGCCGTTTACAACTGTCGCAGGCTCGTCGGCACCGGAGCCGGGCGCCCGGTGTCGTACTGGCGCGAGGCATCGTCTCGGGCGAGGGATCAGGGGTCTCGTCCGGTCATCGAGTCATTGAAAGAGAGAAGTCCAGGAGCTGTCAAACAGCAACGTGCGGAAGTTCTTGGCATGTGGGGAGAAGGAACCTTTGCTCAAGAGAAGGCTTATCTAATATTGAGACTCCCGAGGTCAACGCAGCGACACTATCTTCCCCCAAGTATCGGCCGTGCCCCAAATCCCGGCTCGCAGGCACTCCAACTGCACAATCTGGCTGTGGTCTACAAACAGGTTGACATCCATCCCAAACTCTCGAATATACCAATTAAACACCTTGGGGTCCGCGGCTTCAAACATCACCCGTTCCGGCGGCAGCTCTTTCATGATCTGGGATACGACATCTGTCCGCCAGGAAGTAACATTCTCGGTGATCCCCTCAGATTCGATCATCAGGCGTTGGACACCAGCATCCAAGAATCTTTGCCCCAAATTCACCAGCTTCCCCGGATCAGAAGTCCCTAGGGCCTCCAGGTCACCCGCGGGGGTATCCCCACCGGCTCCGAACTGTATCCCCAGTTCTGGTTTGGCCTCCAATTTATAGGCGTGAACTTTGTCCACCAGGCGGAGCCAGTCATCTTCCGGGATGGACAAGAATCCAGATGAGAGCTCAATTACATCGAGCCTAGGTGACCTGTCAGACCTTTATACCTATCCGGATTCGTGGGGTACACATGCCCGAGATCCTTGCATTTGGTCAAGTAGCGGTCAAAGACGGCATTGGGGTCAGGGTGTGTGAGGAGGTGCTCGGCCCAACCGCCCTTATCGCATGCGTTAGTTGTCCCAATCATACGCCCAGCGCTGCGAGGACCATACCGTGGACACATACACACCATAGCTGTGAGCCAAATCGATCAGCTCGCGCAATGCCTTTTCGTGGAAGAGGGAAAATGACCCTAGTCCCAACTCAGTGTTCTCAGTCCATTCCGACTGAAACTGTCTTACTGACCTCCAGCAAACTTCAGCCCGTCCACATAATCCCCCATCCTATCGGCTGCTGTTAGAAAGCCTACCCGTTCCGTTGCGGAGAGGGGCTCTTACGTTTCCAACACATCGGTCAGATACCTCTTCCCCATCACCTGGTCGGCGTTAGGCCGTCCCGACGTGCGAGCGCGGTACCCACCGAGTAATACGGTCCTCTGATCTCAGTGACCCCTTTGGACCTGGGCTTCCCGGGTCTGGGGTTCGATCTCGCGAACCCAAACCCGTTGGTGTCCTCCAACAGAGTGACTCTCTTGATCGCAAATCCTCTCGACTGGGTGACCCACCGGGATACCGAATCCACATGTCGCGTGAGGGGAGTAATTAGTGCCATAGTGACTACTCCGTACCAGTACTTAGGTGAAGAGCTGAGGCTCTGGGGTGAAAGACCGGAGAGATGGCAGCGATCGACGTCAAATGCACCTCACGCAGCAGATGCTCCCGTACACAGCGTGACATCAGCCGGAAGTTGAAGCCCGCAATACGAATACGAGAGAGAGCTCTCGGATCTTCGGATCGCGGCACCACCGTAGATCCGCTGACTCACAGGGCTGAACCTCCAGCCAGGGCTCCGAGGCCCCCTTCAGCCCTGAGAGCCGGTGGACATGGGCATATTCCGTACTCCGTACTCCGTCCTCCGTCCTCCGTTCGCCGACTGGAGTGGAGCATAAACTAGATCGGATGCACAAAATTTGCACATGACAAAGGGACCGCCAAGAACATGGCTCATCACACTGCAAGATTATGCACCTTGAATGCCTGTTGCCTGGCTCTTAGTGTGATGGTCTTGGGTTTCCGGACAGCGTACAGTACGTTGCGCTGGAGACTGGTCCACGACAGTCCGCTCTCACCCGCTCTATACGAAACAAAAGCGAAAACGAATGCCAAGGGTTAGGCCAGCCTTGTGGAGATCAAGTATGCGATTGGGGGCTAACTGGGTCCGACTCTCCAATGCAGAGACAGCGACAGGTCTCTACCCTGGCACCTGCCTTCTGGTTGGGCACCTGCTTCAAAACAGGACCCGGTGATAACTCTGATCTCGAATTTCCTTCTCTCTTCCCCCTGTGATCCTTTTCATATCTGGTCTATCTGCCATGGGAGTCGGTGCCATCCTAGAACCACTAGTTGTCCTTGTCCTTCTGTTTGGAGGAACCTGGATCAATCGTGTGGTCAGCCCCTCTAACCCTCGACGGAATTCAAATCTTCCCCGGGCGGCTTCCTCCGACTCGTTGGAGTCCGGCTTTTCGACCTCGACCAAAGATGGACTGCTGGGATCGCGCTCCCCGTCGCCGTTGCCCGCTGAGAACTGGCACAAGCGGCAGGTCAGCCTCTTGGGCGTGAACTGGGAGGTCACATCACCTAACACGGCCGTATTCCAAGACCGATTGCTGAGTCGTGTGCTGCGGAAGTTCCCGTTCCTGGTTGAATGTTGGTATTGGGCATTGGTGTACTGGGTAGGTTTCCCATGTCACGCGACCACCGCGAATTAATCCACGGACTAACCGCTTCATCGGTAGACATACCAGCTGGGTCGTGCCTTCACCGCCGTAACTCTCAAAGATGACACTGTCGACATTGCGCGGAGACATGCGTTGCAGCTGATCAACGTCGAAATCAAACTGGGCGTCTTCTGGGAGATCTTGATCCAAAAGAGCTTCCTTCGTCATGCCACCCGAATGGTCTGGATCAACTGGATCTATTCATTTATCCACATCCCCGGCACTATCGCATTTCTTGTCTGCCTGTATTACTACACCACGGTGCGCAATCGGGTCGATGAGCCCCAATTGGGAAAACCCAAGGGCGCGGTGAGCGGGTCGCCGGCCGGTCCCCAGCTATACCAGGCCCGTCGGCGGACTTTGGCTGTATGCAATCTGCTTGCATTCGTGGTTTTCACTCTATGGCCCTGTATGCCTCCTCGGTTGTTGAGTGACCCTGCCCCCGAAGGCCGTGATGCCGAGCTGGGCCGGAGCTATGGGTTCGTTGACACGGTGCATGGCGCCAACGGAGCGGGAAGCGTCTGGACCCAGAACCGTTTCTGCAATCAGTACGGTAAGTATGTTCTGGAGCCTGCCACCCCCCGTCCATGCTAACGCGGAACCAGCGGCCATGCCTTCGCTGCATTTCGGCTACTCTCTCCTAATTGGACTGACCATCATAACCATCCCTCTCGCACCACAGCAAAGACGGATGGTTCTGCGCTCTCGGCTGACTCGGTCCCTGCGGGTGACGCTTCCCTCCTGGCGCCGTCTCCTGTGCCTGGCGATCGGTTTCCTCTACCCTTTCACCATCCTCGTCGCCATCCTTGCCACCGCCAATCATTTTATCCTCGACGCAGTTGCCGGGTCTTTGGTCTGCGTACTGGGCTGGTACTTCAATGGGATTTTGCTCAATCTCCTTCCCCTCGAGGATTACTTCCTGTGCCTGGTGCGCATTCACAAGCCCGAGCCCGCGCTCACGGACGAGGGTCGGACTCTCAATGCAAATGGCTTAGAGTAGAGCGACACACAGCGGATTGGGCTTCTAGAAATTGATACCCTGACCGAACGGCGATGATTTCTGCATTTAATCAGATGGAACTGATCCACTCCATATTGTTATCACCTAGGACGAATTCACCCCCGAATATTAATATTACATCTCTCCTGCTGAACTGGGCAAACTGAGAAAAGGGGGGAGACCAGAGGATACATAGCTTCTTCTACACCTGAATCCCCTGTAGCATCACATCTCGGTCTCGACCTTCACTTCGTACTCCGTAGATGTCTCACCGTCCATCTAAGAGATCTGTCACCTGACAGACTCGAGGTCATCAGTGAGATCTCATTGAGAAGACCAGAGTGAGAGGGTAAGGGAGTGAGAAAGAGAGCAGTGAAAAGACAAACGAAAATCCCGAGTTGTGGCGTCATTGTGGTTTCCGTTCTCAGACGCGTTCTGAAGTTCCCGCGCCTTTCGCGACTCAACTCTTTCTTCTCCACATCTCCCCTGGAAGCTCCTCACCCACCATCTTCCTTTCCCCCAATCGCTCCAGATCATCTGCAGATCATTCATCATGGCTGAAGACACTGTCCCCGTCGAGGAGCGCGCCGAGAAGCCTACTGACTCCGAGACCGTGACTACCGAGCAGCCGGGTAAGTAATTGACGCTCCCCCTGTGGACTGATCCTGTTTCCGCGCTCTGGGCTACCTCTGTGCGACCATCGCTAAACAATCATCTAGAACCCGCAGCTGCGACAGAGAAGCCCGAAGCTCAGGCAGAGAAGCCCGCTTCTGAGAAGCCAGAGGCGGAGGCCAAGCCCGAGGGCGATGCTACTGAAGCTCCTCCCGCCCAAGCGGAGGATGCGCCTGCGCCTGAGGTCAACGGAACTCCCGCTTCCGCTCAGAAATCCTCCAAGAACCGCCGCGTCTCCACCGGCACCCCCAAGCTAAACCGGAAGAAGTCCCAGAGTCGCATCACCCACCTGGACGCGAAGCCGGGCCAATATTTCCTGGCGCGTTTGCGCAGCTTTGCGCCCTGGCCCGCGATCATCTGTGACGATGAGATCCTCCCAGAGGCCTTCCAAGAGGCTCGTCCGGTGACCGCCATGCAAAAGGACGGATCCTACAAGGGCGAGTACGCCGATGGAGGCCGCCGCACCCACGAGCGCACTTTCCCCGTGATGTTCTTCGAGTCCAATGAGTTGTAAGTTGGGACGCGCCCGGTTTTTCTGGTGTTCGATGCTTTTGCTAATCTCTCCTTTGACCAGCGCGTGGATTGTCAACACAAATCTGACCCCCCTGGACCCCGCGGAATGTAAAGACATCTCCGAAAAGAACAAAACCAAGCGCTTGATCAATGCCTACAAGGTTGCATCTGAGGCCCATGACCTCAAGTACTTCAAGAAGCTTCTGAGTGACCACCAGGCTGCCATTGAGCAGGAAGAGGCTGAGGCCGAGGCCATGGAAGCCGAGAAGGAGGCCGAGAAGGAGGCCGCCAAGACTGCTAAGGAGGCGAAGAAGGGCAAGCGCAAGTCCAAGGCGGCTGACACCGATGTCGAGATGGAAGATGCCGACGACTCCAAGAAGACGAAGTCCGCTTCCAAGAAGCGCAAGAAGGACGCCGATACCGACGGGGAGGCCGAAAAGGTAATTGACTACATTCCAGACTCCGTTGACTCCCGCTCATTTGCCATTCTTAGCCTGCCAAAACCCCCAAGAGCAACACGAAGTTGAAATTGACCACCCCGAAGGCACCCGCAGAGGAGAAAAAGACCCCTGTTAGCAAGCGAAAGGCACCCGCCAAGAGGGGCAAGGCCGCCGCGGCCAGCGACGATGATACCAGCGCCGATGCCAAGGAATCCGAGAAGCCCGTTGACCCTGAGGAACTCAAGAAGAAGAAGGAGAAAGAGAGTATGCTTTCCCCCCTCTCCAATCCCCCCGATGACCCCCAGGACGACCCGGATCGCTTATACCTCTCAGTTCTTTTCCTTCGTCACAAGCTCCAGAAGGGTTTCATTTCCCGTGAAACACCCCCCGCGGAAGATGAAATGGCCAGCATGGCCACGTACTTTGATAAGCTCGAGAAGCACGCTGATCTGGAAGTCTCCATCATCCGATCAACCAAGATCAACAAGGTCCTGAAGATGATCGTGAAACTCAACACCATTCCCCGCGACGAAGAGTTCAACATCCGCTCCCGCGCCATGAACATCTTGTCCAGCTGGAAGAATGTTCTGGATGCGGATACCCCTGGCCCTGCTGACAAGAGTGACAAGCCCGCCGCGAATGGATCCAAGGAGGATGACGGTGCCGAGACACCCAAGCTCGAGACGGAGGAAGAGAAGGAGCCCGAGTCTAAGTCGGTCAAGGATGAGGTCGACTCACCAATGCCCGACGCCGACGCCGAGAAGGCCCCAGAGCCCGAGAAGGAAGCTGATGGTGAGAAGCCGGCCGAGCCATCGACAGAGGACACCGAGAAGCCTACTGAGCCTACTGCGCCCGAGGAGAAACCGGCCGAGGAGTCGGTCGAAGAGAAGGCCGAAGCCACTGCTTAAGCCTGAGATCTACGATTTCGATGTCACTTCCTTTGCTTCAGTCCTTTTGCGCTTCATTGATGTTTTCTCTTCTCTGTCTCTGTTTCGATCTACGTGCTTTTGCCATCTTTTCATGTTCTCTCCTTCTTATTTGTAACTTGTCTATGCAATACTGGGATACGGGGTTGGATCAACCGGCCACACTGCTTCAAATGGAAAACGTGATTGCCCTCTCAAGTTCATTCTTCATTTTCAGCATCCGCCTTGGATTGACGCAGCGTCAAGGGGATTGTTATCTTGCACTCTTTCAAGGGGAGCCCATCGCGATGTATAGAAGACGTAGCCGCGCTGTTCCAAGGCTAACAAACCTTCGAATGTGTCATACCGGTCAATTATCTATGTAAGTCTATCAATGAAGCTTAAGTACAGGATGCTCACGTAAATCAAATCCCTGCGCCCTATATATGCACTCCATGCAATTTTATATCCCAAAGCAAAAGGAGACCATCCGAGTCCGCTCAAAGCTTGGCTGCACAGCTATCATCCACGGCCACCACAATGACAACGCAAATGTCATCGACTTTGCCGCCACGGTAATAGTCCCCAGGATAGTACCGCTGGGCCTCCTTGGCAAAAGGCCCATCCCGACGATAATCCACGCTGGCCTTCTTTGCTTCGCCGGCAATGGTAGCGGCCAGCACAGACTGCAACGTTACCCCATCTGCAAGGCTATCTTCTGCATCCTTCATCGGCGAGCCAGGCGGCGTCGGAAGTGCCTCTGCCAGCCCGCCGGGCGCCGCCAGAGCACGTAGGTTATCCGAGACTCCGACACCGGACTCCGTCGCCGTCCAGGCGCCCGTCATCACCATGCGACTAGTGATGAGCTTCAAGATATCCTGGTTGTTCAGGTTATCAAAGACACCATCCGTGGCCAGCATTAACACATCGCCATGCTGCATCTGAACATTGGTCACTGAGGCGTCTTTCGGAAAGTCCTCCAGGAACGCGCCCCCAAAGACATTTGCCTGGGCACGCATCCGAGGCGGAATCACACTCAGCTGGAAAGGCGTATTAAACCCATGCGTCTGCGGAATCGAATACGAATGAACTGCCGCCCGCCGCAGGAGTACCGACCCTGAATCGCCCAGATTTGCCAATTCCACCCGCCCGTCTGGCAACGCGACTCCAACAGAGGCCGTACTGCCGCCGGCGCGAATGGTCGGATCATCCACGACAGCATCGTACCCGGCCTGCAAGAGTGACTTGGGCCGTAATGCCTCGGCAGGCTCATGCCACGTTTGTGCCGTGTGCGCCATGTATCCGCACAGTCCGTGAGAGAAATCCGCCGGGTCGACGCGAGACTCGGTCCAACCGCCTACGCCGTCAGCGACTGCGAATGCGACGGCCTCGGCATTGCCTTCTTGGTGATCTGAGATACGGTTGCCGATTCGGCTGACGAAGAAGGCGTCCTCGCCGCTGTCTGGCCGGGTGCGCCGGCGACTGACGGAGTTGGTTTCTTTTGTGACGCCAAGGGCTGGTCCAGCAGGGTCGAAGTTGAAGGCATTTTTGAGGGGGTGGAAGCGGCGGCCTTTGCCGGTGGAGGAGACGGCGACGCGGTAGGAGACTTTGGATTTGAGGGAGGGTGTGGAGTGAAAGGGTTGCGTTCGTGTGAGATTGCGGAAGTGTAGGGGTTTTAGTCGGAGACTACTGCAGGAGCTGCAGGCTCTAGACGAGAGACTTGGCGCAAGCATTGTGTGTATGTGAAAGAGAGAGGGAGAGAGGAGAGAGAGAGAGGTCTATGCAAGCATATACCCTGAGAGGTGAACAAGTGAAGCGTCAAAAAGAAAAAAAAACGCCTGGGATAACGATACCCGCTCTTATCGCCGACCGCCTGGCGTCATGACCTTGCTGCCTGGGGATTCAGGCAAACATGGTATGAAGTGAGAGCTGAAGAGGTGGGAAAGGATGGAAATATGGAGAGGTGAAGATATGGATATGGATATATCGATGTCTATGTAGTACAGTGGCACTTCTCAGCCTCTCAGGTCAATACAATGTCCATCGAAGACAATCCCGCTTCATATACATCTACACCGCCAGCAAACCTCCAATTTCTGCCGTCACATCCTCTCTCATCTTCCATCTAGTTTACGAATCTCTGCCTTGAAGCTGACGCTTCCCCGCCAATCAAAATGATGCACCCGTCTCGGCAAGCGTATGTCGAGGAGGACACTGACATGGGGATCAACTTCGCTGATCTGCGTGAGTCGCAAGAACATCCACAGAACGCCAAACCCCAGCTAACCAGAGCATACAGCGGTCGACCAAGACTATGACATGCCCACCGCGGAAGCTGGTATTCCGTCCTCGCGCGCGTCTGCCATCATCTCCCAATTCGAGCGCAAGCGCCGAGCGGCGGCGATGGTCGTTCCCACAGACGACGCCAAAGTGCGCGCAAGGCTACGAGAGCTCGGCGAACCAATCACACTATTCGGCGAAGGGCCGTCAGAGCGACGAGATCGTCTCCGCGAGCTGCTAACCGATATGGCGGACCAGCAAGGCGGCGATATTGAAATGGAGGAGCCCGAGGCCGAAGACGAAGACGAACGACAAGAAGAATTCTATACCGTGGGAAGTGATGAATTGCTTGCGGCACGCAAGAGCATTGCGCATTATTCGTTACCACGCGCCAAAGCTCGAATCGCTCGGTTGAGGGAGGAGTCGACCATCCCACTTCGAACACATGTCAAGCATCGCAAAGCCGTGAGGGAAAAACTAGAAGGATTCGATCTTTACGGATCACAGATTGCCGGCGAACGACCCGTGAGCATCTGTCGGTTCTCGCCGGATGGGCAGACGATCGCGGCGGGAAACTGGAGCGGTGGTATAAAATTGTTGACTGTGCCTAATCTGGAAGAGACGGCGAATTTGACGGGCCACACCGATCGGGTGGGTGGTTTGTCGTGGGCTCCGGGTGCTACACTGCCTGGCTCGAATGTCTCACCGTCGAATGTCAATCTGATGTCTGGGGGTGGCGAAGGAACCATCAACCTCTGGGCTCTCGACCAGGAAAAGCCGTTGGCGACGCTATCCGGCCACTCAGGGCGTGTCTGCCGCACTGAATTCCACCCTTCGGGCCGCTATGCGGCATCGGCATCGTTCGATACCACATGGCGATTGTGGGATCTTGAAAAAGAGACGGAGTTACTTCTGCAAGAAGGTCACTCACGGGAGGTCTATGCCGTGTCCTTCAACAACGATGGCTCCCTGGTTGCCAGCGGTGGATTCGATAGCAATGGGCGAATTTGGGATCTGCGGACTGGGCGCACGGTGATGATTATGGAGGGTCACATCCGGGAGATCTTTGGTCTGGACTGGGGGGTGGATGGACACCGGCTGTTGTCGGGCTCCGGTGACGGATGGGTCAAATGCTGGGATTTGCGGCAGGTCAGAAGCACTGGCGGGATTGGAGCTCACAAGAGTGTGGTCTCCGATCTTCGATGGTACAAGGGCGCCGAATCCGCCTCGTTCCTACCTACTGGAGATGGCATGGACGTTGATTCCGCTGAGACCAAAGAGCCTGTTCAGCCGAAGAAATCCGGCACCTTCTTTGTGAGCAGTGGCTTCGACAAGAATGTCAATGTCTTCAGTGCAGACGACTGGTCGTTGGTGAAGACGCTGAGTGGTCACTCCGGTAATGTTCTGAGTGCGGATGTCAGTGACGATGCAAAATGGATTGCTAGCTGTGGTCATGATCGTACAGTGAAGCTCTGGGGGATTGAATGAAAGCAATGTCGGGACGGAAATTCCATAATGGCCAGTCGAATGAGACTATCTTATAGATATTACCTTGGACTGCATATATGTACTTTAGATGCCAACTACATTCAGAGCCATCGGTTCAGTTCCTGGGTTTCTTTTGGTCTTTTCTTCGTACTGAAGGTCTTCCAGGTAGGCGTTTGATGTCATCTAGGGCTGCTCATACCTTTGATATCCCCCGAGTAGCCCCGAACACAGAAGAGTTCGATCAGTAGCATGGGGACAGTCCGATTATTCACAAACTACTCATTTCGATGGGTTCACTTCATAAACAGGTTGTGGTAGTTTGTAGTGTAAAGAATGACAGGTCTAATCGTCTAGGTACCCAATCTATGAGATAACCCCAGTATACAAGAACATTATAAGGCCGGGACGGAGGATATAAGATCATTCCCGCCCGGGACCAGGGTTCAATCGCCACGCACGCAATGGCAGAGCTTGCAGCTTCTGTGCGGCCGGCTTGATAAACATTATAAAAGTGAGTGTGCCAATGAGCACACAGATCATGTTGGTCATGTAGTAACCGTCGCGGTCAACCTGGCAGGTACCACCACCGTTGACACAGCGGTTCTTCTCCGGCTCGAGGGCACACGAGAAGGCAGTGGTGACCAGAGTGTCCTTGAGGGAATCGGCAGGAGGGGCGACGGTTGGGGGGAGACAGGTTGCACTGGTGAAGAAGTCGACGAGTTTGAGGACGAAGATACGGGGGAAAGTTCCACCGAGGTTGCAGACCCTAGATTGACTGGTTAGATTCGATATCGTTGGGGAACGGGAGAGGGAGCTTACGTGGCGAGCAGAGTCATGTAGGTCCCACCGATGGCCGGATCAGCAATGCGGGCGTGGAAGGCCGAGATGGCGACAAACATGACGGTGTTCATGAAGGTCGACAGAACGTGTTCACCAATCACCGTGAGCATGTACCACATCGGCACTTCCGGGGCACTGGGGTAGATCATCACGGTCAACTGCGCGAGCACGGCGGCTGCCAGGCGTCCCACGAAGGCCCAGCCCCATAGACGCATGGCTCCGTAGTTGGTGGACCACTGGCCCGCGTAGTACCCCAGCATGATTTCGAATGGGAAATCAATCAGCACTACCAGAGCCATGTTATCCTGACCGAAGCCCTTGTCCAGGAGTTTGAGGCTGGTGACTCCATCATTGGCCTGGAAGCCGATCTTGGCAATCAGGTGAATCAGAATGATGGTTTGAATGTGCTTCAACTTGAGAACACTCCACATGCTCTTATAGACATCCATGATACTGTCGCGGTCCTTGGTGCTTTCTTCCTTTTTCAGGAATGCCAGCCCACAGGTCACAATCAGGTACGCCCAGCCCCAGAAGCTCAGGTACGTCCCCAGAGACAACAGGCCGCTCTCGCCGGGAATCGATCGGAACCATCGGTTGGCAAAGTCTTTCGAGTTGAATGCGAGGAACACTGTGTACGACAAGAAATGGCCTGCAGTCAGGCCGACGGTCTGGGCAGTCGAGGCATAGGAAATGTTGGGGGGAGACATCAATGTAATCGCCCATCCATCCACGGCAATATCTTGGGTGGCGCAGAACAACACCAGCATGAACCACCAGTAGGTGAATTTCCAGACTCCGGCGCCCCCATTAGCCCCGGCTTGGACCATCATGTCCTCGATGTGGCCTCCGAGATAGATCATGGCGAGACCCGCAATCACCTGGACCGGGGTGATCCAACTCTTGCGGCGCCCAAAACGCGTACTCCACACTGCATCGACGATGGGGCTCCAGAACAGCTTGAGCGAGTATGGATATGAGGCGAGTGAGAAGACTCCGATCTGGCCATAGGAGAGATAGGGCTTGAGAAGGAAGGGCACCGAGCCCGTGGCCAGGCCCATGGGGATTCCTTGGAGGAAGTATAGTAGGACCAGCAGGATGAAATTGCGGCGATCACTGCGTGGTAGATTATGGAAGGTGGTCGTGGTTTGGACGGGGGTTTGCGGGGCGAAAGGTGGTTCGTTATCCAGAGAGAAGCTGGGACGAGACATGAGTTGGGCTGTCCGTTCCGCTGATGATTCCGCGGAGGGGGTGTCCCTGCTGCGCATTTCAATGTTGTTATTCATCTTGCCATTCGCCTGTCCATTCGACCCGGTCGCAAGTTTGAGGTTCGGTTTGGAGCGGCGCTTGGAGAGGCTTGCGTTCTTGCGTGGCATTGGAGTGTAGACGAGCGAGATTGTCTCCTGGTCCCTGGGAGCAGGGCTGAAATTGAGGGAGTGTAATTGTAAGAAGATTCGAAGGGGTTCAGATACCCAGAGCAGTGAACTAAAGGAGTGGAGGCATCAAGACATGAATGAATGGGTGATGATAAAGGATGAGGCAAGCTGGCCTCTTATGCAAATCCGGGGCAAGGGTTCTGCGCCACGTCGATCGAAGGCCTTACTCAACATCCTGATATCCATCAGTCCTTCGTGGTTTCAATTGAACCTGCAATGTGCAGTCTGATAATCTAGAATCTACAGAATACACCATTTTGCGAAACCCCTCGAGTTCCAGCCAAAAAAACCCCCCAAATGCAATCGAACTATGTCTGCAGCTAATTAATCCCCGAGGCCAAGCTTTGGCGGATCACGTGTTCCAAACAAACATCATCACGAACGGGAACATCAACATCAACAACATCAACATGTACACCGATCCAGATGAACTGGATACCGACATTGCGTCTATCCATGCAGAAAGTCAGCGCTCCAAATACTACACCTATGTCCCCAGCTAACCATCCACAGTCCGCAATCTGCAAAAGCGCAAGCGCATCCTCACCTCCAGTCTGTTAGCCACGGACCCAATCCAAAAGCTGCTCCAAAAAGCCCCAGCATCCGCCGTGAGCGACGATCTAGCAGCGCTCTCCCCACTCGCTCAAGCAGCAGGCAAGCACAACGAATTAAACCACCATCGCATCGCCTTCGGCGCAACTGCATTTCCATTCAAAGATCCATCCCCCAACAGCCCCAAGAACCTACTCGGTATCCGCATCGACGTCTGCACGCGCAATGGCCAATTCACCAAACCGTACTACATCCTCCTCCGCAGCGAGCAGCGCGGTACCGAAAAGCGACTCCGTGTCCACCGCCACACAGTACCAGCATGCATTTCGATGGCGAAGCTCGAAAGCGCATACCTGTCGCGTCCGGTGCGCGACGCAGATCCGGAACTAGCAAAGCCGTGGAAGGGCCGGAGACAGGATCTGCGGGGATTTGCGCGCGAGCTGCGGCGGGAGCTGGTGGGGTGGCAGATGCGAGTGGATGCGGTGGAATTCCTGCGCGAGAAGCTGGGGCTGGAGGGGAGATATACTCTGGAGGGGTCCCCGGATCGGGATACAGGGGTGGTTTCGGTTGCGGCGGCGTCGTTGGAGGCGCGATATGTACGGTTGGAGTGGGAAGATGGGCGGGTGGGACGGTTCAAGTTGTCGAATGGGGGGATCGTGGAGCGGGCTGTTGTGATTGGGGATCAGGGACGTGATAAGAAGACGGAGGATATGATGACTGGAGGGGGAGGGAGGGTTGAGACGGTTTTGGATCGATTGAGGGTGGAAAATCGATTGAGGGTGGAAAGGGTCTCTACTTCCACGTCGTCTGTGTGAAAGGCTCAGTTCTGTTTTTGTCTGGTTCAGCGTGAGATACCCAGATAAATATTTTAAGTCGTTTCAATTAAGCTATCAAGTCATTCCGTATGTCTATGTAGAATTGATCTCCGCCAGATGGTATGCAACAATGAGATCAAAAGGCCGTCGCAATGCATGTAAAGAGACTCATGGCTGACCCAAGAGCGGACAAAGAGATTACAAGGGTCGTAGGGGGCGGGTGCTCTGAGGATTAACGAGTCGCCCCGGCAGAGGCATTAAATGAGAATGAGAAATGTAGGCAATGTAATGGGGTGTCGTGGGATCGTGGACCGATCAGAATGGCACAGACTCGTGGTCTGGATGGATGGTATCCGGGGTATTCGACAAGTCGGGAGGCGGAGAGTCTGACGTAGGTATGCCCGATGGACTGAAGGGCAGAGGGGGCAAAGGACCGTACAATTGGCCATCGCGCAATTCAAGGCGCCGGCGGAGGACAGCTTCCTCCAGATGCCAGCGTTTACACAGGGTCTTCTCCTTGCTCTGAAGACCTGCGGTGAGCGATATTTCTTCTTGTCGGTGCTCGATCTTCAGAGTAGCGATCTCCTGGGTGTGTCGGTTACACAGGTCATCCAGTTCCTGTTCCGTGCGGGCTATGGCCTCTTGCAGCTTGAGTTCCTGGCGGTCACGTAGCACCTTGATGCGAGCGTCGTGAAGCTTGTCCATGGACTCGTGACTGTGGTACTGCTGCTCCAGCTGTTCCATGTGCTGTCGCGTGAACACGCGAGCTGGGGCGGTCGAGTCGGATTCAGAGAAGGATTCAGAGGATCGTTCGGCTCGGCTTGAGCCTCCTGCGGGAGACGGTGGTGGGCTCGCATTGCGAAAGTACCCCTCCATATGCTTGATGCGGGTGCTCGAATTGACCTTGGCGCGGTCGAACTCACGCTGTTGCTCGATTTCTACTGCCAGCTGTCGCTCCTCAAGTCGGACTATATCGTCGATGTTCTGGGATCCCGGTTAGCCATGTCCCTAGGTGGATTGCGGGGAGCAAACCTTTTCGCGTTTCTCCTCCTCCTGGCGTCGGTTATCCGACTGCCTTTCAAGAACAGCGGTCTCGTGCCTCCGCCGAAGGATATTGAGGGCCGCCTCTTGGAAACCGACATGGCGGTCTCTTTCCAGCCGATGGCGCTCGCTCATCTTCGCCAGTTCGGGGTCATCCAAGCTCCTTTGCAGGGACTCCTGGCTATATAGCGGAATTTCCAGCCGGGGTAGCGGAGCCGCTCCTTGCTCCGTGGGGGCATCTTCGGGCACACGAGGTTCTGGATCCGAGAAAACATGATCCGGCTCATAGCCGGACCTTGGGACCGTCCCCGGTGCCTCCGGCAGAAGAGTGGACGAGGGGCGCTTCCTGCGAAAATGAATCCGCCCAATTGCGGATCGAAAACTACTTCGGCGCTTTTCTTTCTTATCCGCGGAAGCGACACTGAGCATGGAATGGCGCTTGGACGTCGCGTCCAGCATATCATTGTTATATCCGTATCCGGCCAGCGCAACCCTCCCCTCGCTGGAGCAGAACGAGGTGGGGCGAGTGGACGCCAACGACCGTGTACTCCCGGGCTGTAGGCGGCGTGATGCCAGCGTGACCTGCGACAGCCCGGAAACGATGGGATCCAGCGGGGGGATGGAAGGCGAGGCGGGCTCGTGAGACGGCGTCACAGAGCCTCCCATGGAGTTTCGATCGGAGGAGCCCGAGGAGAGGACTGGCGAGGTGAGATCCATGTCCATCACCGCCACAGGCGCGGTGGCTCGGGGAATCGTCAGTCCTAGTTGTTGCGCCTCCTCGGCTAGTTGTTGCGCCTGCGCTTCTTCAGATTCTGCGGAGAGGCCCAGGACCTCGTGGCGATACTGGGCCTCATCCAAAACGGGCGGGTTCATTATGACGCCTAACCAGCGGGCGTGAAAAGGAGTGGACTCGTCCGGAGACGAAAAAGATGTGGTCTATGACGGCATACGAGGGGAAGAGAAGGTAAAGTGAGAGGTCCAAGCCAAGACTAAATGGACATCCAAACCTCCTTTTTTTTTTATTTTTTTTTTTCGTCTTTTGACCCACGGGTGGCCCTGACGCAATCCCTGGGACAACAGTATACGTAACCTCGTTTCGTGTCTGCACATACCGTATATACATACAGTACAGTAGTATATCGATCTTCATAGTCCAAGTACGTATCCTAGGTCCGCAGATAGCTTACACCTTATTCTCGGAGAATATTCCAGATCGCCCTCTTTGAACCCTGCAACTTACGATACGAGCAGATCGCCCAATCAGTAAAATAGGGCTAGGGCTGCCAACCAACCTCGGTCCGTGCCGGGCCAAGGATACACCGTTGTCAGAGACTGGATCAGGCCAGGAACACCCGGAAATTGACCGACCTCTTCAAGTCGCGTTCAGCAGAGTCACGGCCACCTGGTAGGCCTGGTCCTTGGCGTGCGATTGCGGGGTGCCCGGCGCGGTGCGCTTGTCCCACGCGTGCGAGCATCCCTTCATGCGCTGGATCACCACATGGCGCCCCTCCACGGCCTGAACCTTCTCGGCTAGCGCCTCGGCCTCGAGGGCCAGGGAGTCCCCGTCGGCAGTGATCATGGCCAGGCGCCGAGGGAACCGGTCGGCCGGCGCAAAGAGTGGCGAAATGCGTGGGTCCCCCTTATCAAAGCCCGCCGGGAGATAAGAGTGATTGAAGAGGCGTCCCACCCAACTGGGAATCACCCGGCCTCCAGCCACGGGCGCGGATTTGAGCGTCGGGTCCGATTTCAGATCGGTGACGGGATAAAAGGCCACGACGGAATGGAATGTATCCGGGGGGAAGACAGTGGAGGCCGCGGCCAGGGCGAGGTTGGCGCCCGCGCTGAAGCCCGAGAGAGATAGGCGGGTCAGATCGAACTCCTCGGACCGCGATTGGACATATTGGATGGCATCTTCAACGTCATGCAGGGCGGCGGGGAAGGGATGTTCCGGTGCCAGGCGATAGGGGACATCGACGACCGTGTACGCGGTCTCCCGGCTGACTCGACGGCAGAATTCATCATCGCTACCGTGGAGGGGGAGCATGAACCCGCTGCCATGGAAGTTGAGGAGAACCGGGGATGGGCCGGGGTGGGAGGGCTGATACAGATGGACCTTGATGGCTCGGCCATCCCTGGAGGGGATATGACGTACTTCATCTGGACTGGCAGATACCTTCGCACCCAAGCCAATGATGAATCGTAGAATGACAGCAAAGCATTTGTGCAGTAGATAGGTGAACATGGTTGTAGGTGCTTGGACGGGGAGCCGAGGTCTGCCCAGGTGGATATAGCCCACGCTGATCCACTGAACCAACCATCGGCATACCCAGGTATGCTTCGCTGTCTTGTGTTCCTGCTACTCCAGGGTTGGGGTTGGGCATCTTAGCCTGGGGGTATCAGTAGGTGCAGTCCATTCATGGGTATACGAATGGAGTCTGAGTGACGTATGGTATCTCGATATATATTCGGAGTGTACATTGGATCATTGGATCTCTTCGACCGAGCCCTGGAGTCCTGCCGGGTGCTTCAAACACATATTAGGTAGTACTAGGTCCTACTTAGGTATTCCAACATAGAAAGTTGGAAACTCCACATATCGAAATACAGAGACCCTACGGAGGACGGAATTTTCAATGTCTATCTAGTCCGTACCTAAGTACGGAGCAGGTGTGTTTGATCTAACCTTGGAACAAGGAGCAAAAAAAGAATACCGGCCCGAGCCCGGGATTGAACCGGGGACCTCGCGCAATTGTGCTTTGGGTGAACCCTAAGCGCGAATCATACCACTAGACCACCCGGGCGGTGATTATGTTAATATGGTCTGAGCTGACTACATAATCCAGACTCAGTGGGGCTCACGAGGGACGTCAGCTCTCCGCTTCGCCCCATCATCGCAACTACTCCAAGCTACGACGTTGGATATTCCATATAATAACACATTCCGATTACCCACCAGGGCACCTGACCACATTTCACTCAAATTTCAGTGTGTAGGAGAGCGCAGTCAACGTACAACCCATCACACCGCTGTTTACACAATGGCCAAACTCCCACCTGGCGAGACCAACTACACCGTATTCATACGACTCCCATTTCCCAGGGGCGACTTTGAAGACCCACCACCGGTGAGTTCCGGATGTGCCACTGAATCCAGAGTCTGCTAATGACCGTAGGTGGAGTGGAACGCAACCAAAGATCTAGACCTTTGGGACATTCTGTCTCGGCCATCCAAAGGCGATATAGACTGTATGCAGGCACCCCAGGTCCATGACTGCTTGGGTGTTGATCTCGCTGACACCATTACAGGGAAAGCCCTGTAGTTCCCCTCTGCCCGGTATCCCTTTACCCCGACAGCTGACGTGATTGGTGTAGGGCAGAGCATTTTGATGTCACCCTGCAATTTCTACTCCAACAAGCCGCATGGCTTTATGACCGGCAGCTGTCCCAAGTACGCGCCAAGATGCGCAAAGTTGGGACCACTCAATCGAACTCTCCTTCCCCGGCTCCCGGCTCAGTGTCCGGGAGCATGGCCTTGGGAGGACAGCCGTCGAGAGAAACCATAGTCCCTGGTATCTGGCTCTCTCGAACCCCCTATTGATACATGAAGACTGACAAAATGTAGGTTCTCGGGCGCCATCACGGCAGGTATCTCACCCACCGGAGATTGTGCAGAGAGGTATGGGCTAGTTCAGGCACCTGTTCTCCGGACCGCGAAAACAATATCTAATATACATTACAGCCGTGGAACCTCGCCCCATCAGCGTGGAATCGGCGAATCTTGTAAATCAGGCTCGGGCCCAAATCTCCCCGCGCACCGAGATACCGGCCGAAAACGACTCACATTGGGACTCTCTAGGTCGTCGCCCATCAGCCGTTAGGCGAGACCAAGCACCGGTCTCGCCCTTACCCCACTCCCCATATGATGAGGAGCCACTATCCTCGAGCATGTCAGAAGAATCAGAGTCCGACGAGGAAGACACCAGACGCGCTCTCCGCTTCAAACGATTTGGGAAAGCCTCCGTCCAGCGCTCTGGTCTTCGGGATGATGAGGATGACGAGGATGAGACCCCAGCATTCCTCCCAATGGTCCGAGAACCGCAAACATCTCACCAGCGACCAGGCCAGGAGTTGAGTGCTACGCTTCGACTGGATGCCGAGCGAGCAACGGGCCCACGACGCCGGGGTCCAGATCCACGAGTTTCCCGGGTCCCCGTGGCATCGGAGTCATCTACTAGCTCCATGAGCTCTGCTGGTCCCATCGGCCTGTCTCCCGGGGAGGCGCGACGGGCAGACTACAGAACACCAGCCTCGGGTCCCCAGAGAGCACTTGGGCCCCGTCAAAATTCGCGGAGATCCAATGCATCCGGTCGCGAGACTAGCGATGGCACTCCCAGCATGGGCAGTAGCTTCAGTGATCTTGATGGTACGTCCTCCGAGTTCAATGATGGATATTGTATTTATGCTGTCCCAGATGCGAGTGTTACCCAGTCAGCTCTGGAGGAGGCTCTGTTGAGCAATATGCAGCATGGTGGTATGGCAAGTCGGATGAGCACCATCAGCCAGGCACTTCGCAGTCGCTACCTCCAGTAATTACGTACGGAACAACGGATCTATATCCCCATGTTTGCACATGTGTATCACAAGAGTGTATAGAAGCCGTATCCGGCACCCCGCATGTGGCATACACGTGACGTAGTAACCGACGCCTCCAATTTGGAGATTCATCTCATCTTCTGTTTCTTTCAACAACCTGTCTGAGTAGTAAGACTGATGTGTCTTTGACCTCAACCCTGCCACCTCGGTCCAACGGCAACGCTAGTGCCGAATCGGGGAGTTCGGCCTCAACGTCCTCCACGCCGAGCATACATGGGCTCAACCTCAAAGAAGATTGGAGTTGTCGGACCATTGATAAATTAACTGCGACGGTAGCCGATTGAGCTGAACCCGACTGGGATCCAACGAACATTATCTAGACAGACTTGCAATACCCCACCAAGGCACAGGGCGCGGGGCCTATCTTATCAGACCCGACAGTTTGCGACAGCTTTCAACTCTTTTGTCCGCGCTTGTACAGATACCCAAACCGTGATCAAACATGGCAGCCCCTTTAGTTGGTGAGATGGAGCCGGCCGCCGCCGAGTCTGTGTATTTCAATGAATACCCGCCCCCAAAGGCCCTGCCGAAGCATGAAGCGCTCGCCCGTGCCTTCATCCAACTCCATGTGGAGGCCAACCGCCGTGTCGTCCTCGTCACGTCTGGTGGTACCACCGTGCCTCTAGAAGCGCAGACCGTCCGATTCATTGACAACTTCTCCGCCGGAACCCGCGGTGCGACATCTGCCGAGTATTTCCTAGAACAAGGGTACGCCGTGATCTTTCTGCACCGCCAGTACAGTTTGCTGCCGTACTCCCGGCACTACAGCCATTCGACGAATTGTTTCTTAGACTTCATGGACGAGGCCCCTCCCTCGGCGGACTCGGCAGAGTCCGGCCATGGCTCTATTATGGTTCGAGACGAGTACCAGGACCAGATGCGCAGCGTGCTGCGCAAATACCGTTATGCCAAGCAGAACAACCGTCTTCTCCTGCTGCCTTTTACGACGGTATCTGAGTACATGTTTGAGCTGCGATCGATGGCAAAGATCATGCGACCCATTGGACCGAATGCGCTCTTCTATCTTGCGGCGGCCGTGAGTGATTTCTTCATCCCGCGCAGCCGGATGGCCGAACACAAAATCCAATCCTCCGAACTCCCGGCGCACCTGCAAGGGAGCGCCGTCGGAGCGGACGATATCTACACAGGCGAGAATGAGGAGCAGCCATCGAACCGCAAGAAACTCGTCGTCAACCTTGACCCTGTCCCGAAATTCCTGCACCGGCTGGTAGATGGCTGGGCGCCCGAAGGAAGTATGGTCGTCTCGTTCAAGTTAGAGACGGATCCCTCCTTGCTTGTGTACAAGGCGCGCACCGCGCTCCAACGGTACTCCCACCACTTGGTGATTGGTAACTTACTTTCCACGCGGAAGTGGGAGGTAGTCTTCATCACCCCGGATGAGCCCCATGAGCGGTGGATCCGGGTTCCGAAATCCAAGCGCAGCAAGAGTATCTCCGGCGTTGAGGATCAGGTTGGGTTGGCGGAGGCTCAGAAGGGCAATACGGTACCCCTTGACCAATCCGAGGCTGAGCAGATCTCAGATGCTAGTCGGGATGGAATTGAGATTGAAAGCATCATTATTCCAGAGCTGGTCAAGCTGCATACTAAGATGGTGGAAAAGAAGACCCAAGAGTAAGACCTGGAAACTGTATACCAAAATCGCACCGTGTGAATGAATGGATTTGTCTTTTGCTTTCTTACATAGAGAACATGAGATTACAGAGGTGAATGTTCTAGTTCTATACGCAGAGAGTAAACGTGACAATCGTATCCTCGACTGGTCACTAACTCTTAAGATGACGCGGTGACCTGGAAGGACTAGTCCACACAGTAAAGTAACCGGGAGCTGGACCCCTACGAGAGAGTATACAAAGACAATTCAAGGGGGGACTTTGTGAATTCCGAGTCCTGACTCCGTACTTCGTACACAGCCCCCAGCCCGTGTACGCGTCCACACGTCGATCATCTTAGCGTCTTCCCCAGCTCAGAGCTCCTATCCCAAAGATGACCAATTGATCTCGCATCCATCATGGTCCCTCGTCGCCGGTTCAGTCGGCGCCTACTGGCCGCTGCAGCCGCCCTCACCGTCTTCTTCTTTTACCATTTCTTCGCCCTCGACAATCGCCCGTGGCGACCGCACTTCGACGACGTCACCCCGGATCTCGACGAACATGGCGAACCGGCTCCATTCTGCCCGCCATTGCCGGGCATCGAGGATGTTCTGGTCGTCATGAAGACCGGGGTGACTGAAGCTCGCGAGAAGGTCCCGGTCCACTTCCAAACCACCCTCCGCTGCATCCCCCACTACGTGATCTACTCGGATTTCGAAGAGGAGATCGAGGGCGTCAAGATCCACGATGTCCTGCGCGATATGGACAGTACCGCGAAGCAGAACCCCGATTTCGAATTCTACAACCGCATCGTCAAGTACGGCCGCAAGGGTCTCGAGCAGCAGGACTTCGCCGACGAAGCCAACTCCGCCATCGGCAAACCCAACAACCCGGGGTGGAAACTGGACAAATGGAAGTTCCTGCCGATGGCCCAGGCAGCCCTGCGACACAAGGCCAACGCGAAATGGTTCATCTTCATCGAAGCCGACACCTACATGTCGTGGCCGACGGTCCTCACCTGGCTGGCCCGGTTCGACCACACCAAGCCGCAGTATCTGGGCACAGAGACCCAGATCGCAGACGTGATTTTCGCCCACGGAGGCTCAGGCTTCATGCTTTCTAATCCCGCCCTGCAGCGCGCCTCCGACCAATATTCTTCCCGCGAACTCGAGCTGAACGCCTACACGGACGGCCACTGGGCGGGTGACTGCGTGCTCGGTAAGGTTCTCGCCGACGCAGGTGTCAACCTGCACTTTACGTGGCCGATCCTGCAGAACTCCAACCTCGGCGAGCTGGACGAGTTCACCGTCGACTTTTACCGTCATCCGTGGTGCTTTATCGCCGTGGCTTTCCACCACCTTTCCCCGACCGACATCGAGAACCTCTGGAAGTTTGAACAGAAGCGCTGGCGTAATGTGCGTTCCTCTCCCCCACATCAGCTCCCCGCGCCCATCACTAATGGCTCATAATACATAGAAAAACAAACGTATCCTCCTCCACGGCGACCTCTTCCGCGAATTCATATACCAAGAAATCGTCACCCAGCCCACTCGTCTCAACTGGGATAACCTGGCAGCTGACGAGCAGCCTTTCGCGCATTCTTTCGAGGATTGTCGTATCCTCTGCGACGCGCAGAAGACCTGCGCGCAGTTCGCGTTCCGCGAAAACACCTGCTTCACCAGCGCCAACCCGCGTCTTGGAAATGCCGTGTCCACCGGCGACGCTACCTCTGGCTGGATCACGGGTCGCGTTCGCGATCTGACCGAGAAAAAGGGTTTGTGCCGAAAGCCCGAATTTGGGGACTAAATTTGGATGTTCCCGAGTTCTTCCTTGCGTTTTTGGCTTATAAGGCGGGGGTTTTTTTTGGGTATAATCTTGGGGATTACTTGCATTGAGAGCGAGATGAATCACGGAGAACGATATTCCAGAATTGGTGGAATCAGGCTGGCTTGGAGAACCCGTCTCCATTTATGTATTATCACTTCCTTTTTGGTTTGGCTGATGCTTCTGGATGAATACTGGCGTTGGGGTTTCTTTTTATACACTTGCTCAATACAGACCACTCGTGCTGATGTGAACGTGTGTCAATCGCTTCGAGTATCCGACTACCTGGATAAAGCCATGCGAGAAGTTGCCTTTCGTCGAAGGCACGGATTAGGAGAAAAGATTATACACTAATGATATACACAGACCTCTCAGCATGCCCCGGCCTAATTCCTCACAGCGGCGGCGCAGCCACATCCTCCAAACACTGATCAATGCGCATAATCTGGTATCCTGCTTTCTTGATGTGCTGAATGAACTTCGGCAAGTATCCAATGGTGGTTGGATTCAAGTAATGCATGACGGCCAGGTTACCACCCTTCTCAACCCCCAGATAGAAAGCGTCGAGCTGTTTCTCTGGGGTAGAAGTATTGGCCCAGAGCCAATCCTCAACATCCACGCTCCAATTCACGATGTATGGACTTGGGACGTGTCGTGCTAGCTGTTGGCGCAGGCGAGCAGCCACTGTTCCGAATGGTGGGCGGAAGTATGAAGCTGAAAAATTAACGTGTTAGGAAGGTTTTCGAAGTCTCATGGCATCTGACGTACATTCGATCCCCAATTGGTCCTTGAATACCTCAACTGTCTGTATGATCTCGTCATCAATCTCACGAACAGTTTGAAGTGCTTCCATTCTATGCTACCGTCAGCCTCACGAATATAGGAAGGGCAGTATCCAATGCAGACTCACTTGGGATGTGTGTTCGAATGAAGTGCAACTTGATGGCCCTTCGTGAGCATCTCCTTATAAAAGGCCGTGAAGTTACTCGACCGGTCTCTCAATCCAGCCCCAACCACAAAGAACGTGACTCGCACACCTTCCTCGTCCAAGATCCGCATCACTCGCTGCGAGAACTGAGGCTGTCCATCATCGATTCCAAAAGCGAACGAATTCGGGCGGGAACACCGAAGAACCAGTCTTCCACTCGGAAGCTTCCCGGGCAATCGGAAGTATCCATTTTCCCGAGAGGGCATTGGGACCGTTGGTACGATCTCGACACGGTGCAGCGTCATAGGCTCGCGGGTATAGAAGCCGTGAAAAGATACTGACACGACTCGATTGAAGTCGATCTCGAAGTGGGTCAGTGGAATATATAGCTCACGGCGTCCCTTGGGGATTTTAGCAGTTCCATTTAGATACTTGTGTTGATCATGGGCCTTGAGGAGGCCAAGTTTTCGATGCTCCTTGTCCAGGGAATCGGTATCAACGTCACCGTCTTCATCCCAATCTTCATTCTCGCCCCGATCACCGTCTCCACCCGTTGATTCCGAGCTGGAATGCATCACATACCGCTCTGCTTGGACGGAGTCCGCGACACTGGGGAACGGGCTGCGGCGTGGATTGCATTCGTCGTTGTGCTGATTCAAAGAGACACTGTACTGATCTGTTCCCTCAAATACGACATGCAGAAACTCATTGAACCAGGGTACCAGACTGTAGCACTGGTTGGTGTCGAACTGTGTGTGGAAGTTTTGATCAGGATCGGTTGGGAAGAGACTGATGAAACCAGGACCGTGTTGTACGGTGAGATTCTCACCCGAGCCATGCCAGAAGCCCAGGTTATTGTGTGTTGGGTTTTGAAAGGTGTCGATGAGGATTGGAAGCCTCGAGTTCTGGTTCGGCGTGTTGAGACTCAGGTCTCGAAGCTCATTCCAGTGATCATGTTTGCTGCCCAGTGCCGTAGCGAAGGAGATTAAATACAGAACGCCAGCAGCAGAGAATAGAGATAACCGATGCATAGTGCGAAGTCGAAAGGACTGGATGGGTTGAAGGGGGGAAATCGAAGGCGCGGACATCTATGGATGGAAGTGCGGTTCTCAAACAAGGCAGGAGCTGCTCTACTGGACTTTATACTTGGACTTCATACCGACTTACGACTGCACTTGGAATTGTTGGAATTGATATCAATGTTTGTGAACGAAATCAGTGTGGTAAATCTCCCAACCAGGTTGTTGCACATCCGTAGATCCTCGAAACCACATAAAGAAATCCTTGTCCCGTTAAAACAATTCTTTCCGTTGTACCTCCCAGTCAATAAGAATGAGAAAAACAATCCCAGTGTCCGAAACCCAAGCCCTTATTTCGATTCTGATCCTGAGCGGCTCAGATAATAGTAGAACGCTCTCATAACCCTACTCATCACTTCGTGAAATCGTAATCCTTGTTGTATCGTCCATGACCGCAGAGATGGATAATCGTAGAGACGGACCGTAGGCCTACCAGCTTTGATCGGCCTTCTTGGGCGCGGAGTCCCAAAAATCCGTGGTGGCCGATGCCTTGGGAGCCTTGGAGGCCCAGGACGACCCACTGAGTCCGCCCTTAGAGGGACGAGACTCGACCTCCATGTCATCCCAATCATCCACCTTATTCTTTGATGGTTTAGCCTTCTTGGAATCCACAAATGGATCTTGCTCAGACTCAGCGAGGGGCTGGTTCTCTCCTTCCGCCTCAACTGGCTCAGCACCAGCCTCATCGCCGGCCTCAGCCCCACCGCCAGCATCGGAGCCAAACCCGGTATCTTCTTCAGGCTTGTCAAAGAACTCGTCCTCGGAGTTGTCATCAAAAACGAGCTCGTCGTTCTCAGGGCGGAAAGACTCCAAGAAGTCCGGAATGTTCTGCTTGCATTCCATAAGAATCTTGACCAGGTCTGGGGCAAGCTCCTCATTGCGCTCATTGTAGAATGAAGTAGCGATTCCTTCATTACCGATACGAGCAGTGCGGCCTATTGATTGCGGAAGAAACAGTGAGCAATCGTATATTCATGCGAAGTAGGTTGATGAGAGGTCACTTACCGATTCGATGAATGTACTCGGTGATTCCACCATGCAAGGTACTGGGAAGATCGAAGTTCACCACATGTAGAACGTTGATGACATCCAATCCACGAGCAGTGACACCGGTGGCAACCATAATGGGACATTTGGCACTGCGGAAAGAACGACTTTGGAAGCATCAGTAAAGGGTTTCAATATCCATGGATCTGCGACTCAAGATCAAGTACTCACATGGCATCCTCACGCTCAAGCTGAGTCCGTCCGCTGTGGATGGAGGTAGAAGGCATGGAGGAGTTGTACAAATAGTCGTCAACGAAATCAACCTGGTCCTTGCTGTTCACAAAGACCAAGGTGCGAACAGGCGGCATGCTAATCAGCAGGTCATAGAGAGCCTTCATCTTTTGGTGCTGATCGGCCCAGACAATCTAGTTTCAAGGTGTCATCAGCATCAGAACGTCGCAAAATTAGGGTTTTCCAGTGGTCCACATACGTCTTGCACCACATTACGGTGCGAGCTGCCAGCCCGGCCAACACGAAGACGCACGTGGTCATCGGAAAGGTAATCCTTGGCGAGTTTGCGGAATTCCTTGTTGAATGTGGCAGAAAACATCATGTAACGATGATCTCCATCCTCGTTAAGATCTTGAACGGGTCAGTAAAATAGACCATGGGGAATCGGGTACTTTATGAGAGATTTGTGCATATGCCAATGCAACAAAACGTCAGGGGTGTTTGAATCAACTTACCTCCGCCAGACATGATACGCTTGAATTCGTCTTCCCAGTCAGAATCCAGCATCTCATCTGCTTCGTCAACGACAGTGTATCTGTATGAAGTCAGTTTCAAGGCCCGTGGTGTGATCCGCGATATAGTATACCGAACGCGCCGAAGAGACAGAACATGAGTCTGTTCCATAAAGTCGAGAAGGCGACCAGGAGTAGCTATGAGGATATCACAGCCTTTCTGTAACTCCTCCCGCTGAGCTCGAGTAGGAGCGCCGCCATAGACAACACATGGACGGAGCATGGATCGATAGCACAGACGACGAGCATCGTCAAATATCTGGGTTGCCAGTTCCCGGGTAGGGCAAACAACCAACACCAGAGGTTCAGCGCGAACTGCATCTCTAGCAAAGTCGAATCCCTGAGTGATGTTAGGGCGAGGAGCCGCAAGCCTCTTCGCTTTTCCCATGAGCTTGGACAGAATGGGGATGAGGAATGCGCCAGTTTTTCCCGAGCCTACGTCGATTAGTATCCGGGGTTCATGAAGTTCAGCTCGAGGCTTACCAGTCTGGGCCACCGCAATGAGATCCTGGTTGGAGAGCACCGCGGGGATTGCGTAGGACTGAATTGCGGTAGGCCGATCGTACTGACACAGCGCAATGTTTTGAAGCATCACGGGGTGCAGGCCAAAGTCCTTCCACTGTGCTTCGTTAGCCTCGTTCTCGTCGCCTTTCTTTTCCACTCACGTCAACCACAGCTTTAATCTCGTTTGGGGATTCCACGTTGACCTTGAAGCTATTCAGGCTGTGCAGGTAGAATCATCAGTCACACGCTCCGCGCCATCTCGTGAGACCACTTACTCGCCCAGCTTAGAACCCGCGCGGGGAATCAAGTTGCCCCGGAACAGCTGCTCCTCCAGCTCTGGGTGGGAGGGCCCAACCTCGCCATACTCATCATCCCATTCGTAGCGAGCGGCAACACCAGCCCAGTCGCGGTGCTCCTTGCTCGTCAACTCCGAGTACGCAAAGGGGACTGGGTCAGTCCAACCCTTATCACGAGCAATTTGACCGGCAGATTCGGCATTAGGGCCGATGCCCGAAAGGACACCTGCTGCCACATCCTCTTGCACTGGGGCTGAGCCTGCGACTGAGGCAGCCGTGGCCGAGGCAGCCTCTGGGACATCGTCTCCAAAGGAATCCATTACAGTAAGGTTGCAAACAGAGAATGCCAGGAAAGGGGTAGATGGCAAAGAACAAAGCAGAGAGCAGAGAGCAGAGAGCGGTAAAGGCAAAGAGACGTGAAGGAAAACAAAACAACAGGTAGCAAATGAAGGAAGGTGCAGAGAGTCGTTCCTTCCTTGGATTGTATCTTGCGACTATTCGCACCTTCCCCTTCACGTCTTCACGTCTTCACTTCACATCTTCACATCTTCGCCCCTTCACCCCTTCACACCTAAAGCCATATTTCACATATGAAATTCATATCTGAAATGTCTCAGAGAGCTTACATGTGGATTATCTCCAATGTAATTGATCAATGTTGAAGTACCGTGATAACTGATGAAAACGGAAGAATGCCAAGATATGTCTTTCATGAACATCGTCTGCTCCAGACTGAATATTCACAGTCAACCATTCCAGTCACAATCACAGTCCATACCCAACAGCTAGCCGACCGGCTTACAGCTATCAGAACAGACCGAAAGCCTCGGGACGTCCCTCGGCTCAAAGTGGAACCGGGTAGAAGGAGATATACGCAGTAAGCGTGGGAACGGGACCTCACCTGAACATCCAACACTCTCCCTTTCTACCACCACAATGTCTCCTGAACGCATTGATTCTCGGCGCAAGCGCCCTAACCGTCTGGAGGAAGCTATCACGAACCCCGGGGCTGTCAAGATCAACGTCAAGGGCGCCTTCATTGTCGACGATGAGCCACGATCCCGAAGCCCCGTTGAAGCAGAGGGTGTACACTATGAGAACAAGGATATTCGGCTTCCACACCACACCGGCGTAGTGAGCCATGTGGCTGTCGATGTGAGTTGCCAAAAAAAAAAAAAAAAAAACACACCCTGCCCCGCACTGCGACCGGCTCCCCCGCAGTCCAGGGGGAACGAGACAACGCGATCACCGAGGAAACAAGAGGCTGACGGAGTGGGAACATAGATTGGTGGCACCTTGGCAAAGCTGGTTTACTTTACTCGCGAGCTCAATTCGGCGGATAATGGCGGTCGACTGAATTTCCTCAATTTCGAGACCCATCGGATCGACCTATGCATTAACTTCATCCGACAGCTAAAAGAGGAGCATGAGAAGCGGAACAGCTCGAAACGGGACGAATTATGTGTGGTGGCCACCGGTGGAGGGGCCTACAAGTACTACGAGAGGCTGAGGGAGGAGTTAGGGGTCAACATATTGCGCGAAGAGGAGATGGAATGCTTGATCATTGGTGAGGGGCAATCACGCCAAATTCCTGCTCCCCCAGCTCTAACGGTATCATAGGCCTGGATTTCTTCATCACCGAGATCCCCAACGAAGTCTTCACCTATAGCGATGCCGACGCAGAGCCCATGCAATATGCCGAGGCTCGACCCGACGTCTATCCATACCTCCTGGTCAACATTGGCTCAGGTGTCTCCATGATTAAAGTGTCCGGTCCGAAACAATTTGAGCGTGTCGGTGGAACGCATCTCGGAGGAGGAACCTTCTGGGGTATCATGTCATTACTGACGGGCTCCCGAACCTTCGACGACATGCTGGCCATGGCCGACCGAGGAGATAATAGTGCCGTGGACATGCTCGTAGGTGATATCTATGGCATGGACTATAGCAAAATTGGATTAAAGAGCACCGCCATCGCCAGTACCTTTGGCAAGGTGCTTCGATTAAAGAACGACGCCGAGCAAGGGGCCGAAGACGGCGAGGGGTTGATCCATGGCGATCCGAATGAGCCCAGCCATGGACCCAAGCCCAATCCGGAAGACATGAGTCGGAGTTTGCTCTACGCCATTAGGTATGCTTCACGATTCGCCGATCTGATCCGAGCTAATCCCTCCAGTAATAATATTGGCCAGATCGCTTATCTGCAGTCAGAGAAGCACAGCGTCAAACACATCTACTTCGGTGGTTCCTTCATCCGAGGCCACCGTCAAACGATGAACACGCTGTCATACGCCATCCGCTTTTGGTCCAAGGGCGAGAAGCAAGCATATTTCCTGCGCCACGAGGGCTACCTGGGGGCCGTTGGGGCTTTCATTCAACGCCAGCCGCAAAACTGGGGCCGCAGAAACAGTGTGGACGACGTGGTTGCACCGCAGGCGGTCAGGAACCTCGTCCGAAATGACAATGTCCTCAATCACCACAGCAGGTCGTCCAGTGATCTATGATATGGACCCATACCATTCCTCTCCAGCGAGTCTTGATACCCCTTGAAAGCAACCATGAAACCTTCACCCTGTCCTGTGTCTCCTGCCGGCTCCAGCGGCATCTGAGTCGACCCGTGAACTCTCCAGCTGATTATTGGCTGATGGATGATCCATCGGGCATTACCCCAGTTTACGCCGATTCTCCGGCGATGTGAGCCCATTTCGGGTTTGAATATCTATGTGTTCCGAAAATGTCATGAAGAGCGTGATAGAAAGTATTCTCTCCCAAGAACTGTTCTGGGCCTTTCCTTCTCCGGCATAGAGTCCCTCATTCTGCATGCCAGACCGTCATTTGGATACCAACCTCCATCCTGGACCTTGGTAAAGCCTCCAGATTGTCCACAGGTCTATATATGTTGACTCAACGATTGTGATACAGCAAACAACGTTGGAACAAAGCTCAAATGTGATGAACATGAGCGATGAATGTGCCAAGGAATGCCCGAAGTGACAACATAAGGCTAGGTCTACGACCAACTTTTTACTAGCAAAGCTGTAACTACACTTTACTAAAGTTCGAATTCATAAGTTGATTTTTGTATTATTATTCACTAATGAGTCGTACCCAGTGCACAATTAGAGCGTGTCGATCCACATGCTGTCAGACCTCCCTCTCCATCTGTCTCCGCGCACCTCCACGCCCTTTTCTCTCCTTTCCACTCACTCAAGTTCACCACTTGGGAAGGGCCTTAAGGAGACTCTGCGAGAAGATCACAGTGCTGAGCTGCAAAAACAGCAATGCACAAGTTCCTTTCCTCCTTCCACTCAGTCTCCCTCACCATTCCACGCACTTATCCATCTCATCCTCCGGTGCACACCTTCGTTGAAAACAAAATCTTCGCGGGGAGGTGTGCTTTAGCAACATACCTCCCCGCGCAGCAACCACCGTCTTCAATTGCCATTCTTAGGCTGATAAGTGTCATCCCGGACCCGTGCAGGCACCACCACAATCTGGTCCTCTGCCCCACGCGAAGAGCGACAAACGTCATTCAGCAACATATCAAATTCATCATCGCAATTGTCGCCAATGTAGCGCTGGCCCTGAAAGCTTGGGTGCGTGAAGAGAAATCCTGGAGGACGAGACTGAAAAAACTCCCGGGCTTTCTTGAAGAAAACATCCGCGTCGTCGGTATCGAAACACCGGATTACATCACCAGCCTCGACTAGTTTGATCCGCACTTTAGCGGTCTCAGCAAGGTCATCACAGTGTGCTTCAATCGCTTTCTGCGTCTCCTCCCCAATGGGGTTTGACTTGGCGCGCTTGACAGGTTCGGCGCGTTTCGAGGGAGCCACAGGGTCGCGGACATCAGAATCCTTTTCCGCAATGGGGACAGGTCGCTCGGGGTCGCTCTTAAGAGTCCACGCCAGAGGTGGCGGAATCCGCGGGACGCCTCCACAGTCAAACATGAGAGGGTTGAACGCAATCATATTATCATCATGCCGCCAGACCCGCAGAGCAAAGAACCGTTCATCGAAGTTGGCTTTGGCCTCGACCCAGGCGAAGATATATTGTCCCCAAATTCTTTTGCCGACATTATCCAAGTCTCCGCGTGAGATAGCATCACTCACGAGCTGGACCGGGCCATTATCGGGATGCAACAGCATCACATAGTATGGACCGAACTTGATGGGACCCTTCGCCTTGACACGCCAGATCGAGCTGTCGAACTCTTCCGCATCCTCGTCAAAAATTCTGACGTTCCAAGCCCGATGCTTGGCGAAATTGATTTTACATGGATGCGCCGCGGTGCTTTCAGGATGAGCTTTGTGCCAACGCTCAAGAATTCCCAAGATTTCGTCCGGGAAGCCCAAAGCTGCGTTTGTGCCCCTGCTGTGTCTTATTTCCAGAATGGCAGGCGTTTCATCTCCTTCCGACGCCTCTTTGATGATTCTTCCCGACGAACAGCGGTCATGAGACGAAACAGACTTTGACAATGGGCCTGATTGGGATAGAAGCTCGGGTCGGCGAACAGGGGTTTGTAACTCGATGATGCGAGCTCCCTTGGGAGTGGACTGGAATATCAAGCGAGAAGGCGAGCTCTGGGTCGAGAGAGCCCCACTGGCTCTCCGCTGACGTGTTGGCGTGGGAGTTACCACATTTGCCTGAATTCCCAGTGATTTGATATAGTTGTCGCTGTGATCAGACAGCGCAGAAGACTCCGATGCCTCGGATTGAGGCGAGGTGGGTCGAACAGGCTCCGACACTGGAGCTGACTGGGAATGAAAATCGATGCGACCAGCAAAGCTTTGTGGTTGTCCAAGGATGCGTGCACTCGTAGGAGTTGTTGCAGCTGTGAAACTGAGTGTTCCAGCCTGGTTCAAACAAGCCTCTTTGCTCCCCGGCCGAGCCTCCAGCGGAGATTCCAACAGCCATTCCACAAGTTTCTCCTTGCGCTCAGTCAAATTAGGTTCCGATTGACTGGATTGAGTCGATGCGGTCGAACCTGACCCCGACATTGAGCTCCCTTCGAGTCGATGCTTGGGTTGGTTGACAGCAGTGCATGTGTGCCCAATGTTTTCTCCACTAGGAGTTGCCGGGACCATCGAGCCAGGGTGTCTGACGTTGGTCAAATGAGCCACATTATCGATCGACCGAGATACTGGCGAAGACGCTGTCAATTCATCGACATGGCCATGACCGTCTTCGCTCGAGTCCGAGAAATCCATTAGCGCAGAAAGAGGCGACGAGGCAAGTTGGTCACTAGAGGACTCGGTATTCGGCGCAGGAGGGTTGGGGTTTGCCACTGTGGCAGACGAATCCAGTGAATATGGAGACTCAGGAAGCATGGGTGCTTCAGTCATAACTACATCCAAAGATGCAGGGTTGGAGATAGGGCCGTCACGCATTGCACCCGGAGATACAGGAGACACCCAATCAGTATCCAAAGATGCAGCAGCTGGTGTCGCAAGCGCACAGCTCGGTGATGAAGTATGCATGTTTCCTAGCTCATCAGCCACCTGGTGAATTTTCGAGTCCTCCATGGTGCCAAAAATGGGGTTGAAACACGTTGATAGTCTGTCTGGGGTTGACGATGCAGATGAAGCGTTGTGAAAAACGAGATACCGAGAAGGTATAGAGAATTTGTTGAGGGGAGAGGAGAAAGTGATGGAAAACACACGAAAGATTCCGCTACAGTGAACAGAAAAACTTAAAAAAAGGTGTGCAGAATTTAAGCCAGAGTCAAGGTGAAAACACACGATGGTCCTGATTCAGCAACCATAGGAGGCAGCTGAGGAACTCTGTAGCCAAGTAGAACATAACCTTACAAAATTGACTTCTCACAAGCATGTGCTATGGTGTTTTCTACTTAGTTTTAGATCATGCATCATATCTGGTACTCTGATACTTGAAGTACGATTGATGGTTTGATATCAGACGACAGGGCATCAAATCTGCAGGGGAACAAATGAGGGTCTTTCACCACAGTAGTCTGTGATTATCATGAGCCTTCTGTGTAGTGATATCTAGTGATACACATATAAAGTTGTATTTATGAGTATCTTGACTAGTAGCAGTCCAGACTACCTCTATACGTAGTAACTCTCGAGTCCACTCATCTTTAGACAATAGATATTGTATCTATGACTTGGGATTAGCCGATGGTGGCTAGCTTCCCATGACTGAGAATTGGGAATACAATGAGACTCTTGATATAAAGATCAGGCCATATGGCATAGAACATATGGATGCATAGTTTCTCCACCGTTGGCGATGGCAGTCTCAGACACCAGTGAGGGTTCATGGCGTCACGTGCCGATTGCGCGGCTGCGACAAGCTACCTATCAGCCCAGGGACCAACCTCGGTCTTTCCAACTGCTTTCTTTTTTTCCTGCGTCATGCCCTGCTAGCTCTGACTGTGCTCGATGACGTCTTCAGCATCGTTAGATCCTCTGCCTTCTTCCAGTCCCGCTGGCGCCCCAATTCGCGACGGGTCCAAGTCTCCTGAGCACGAGCGATCTCTCCCCGATCCCGATCGACTAGCCCCCGAGGATGCTTACTTTGCGCCAGCCCTCTCAAGGGTCCGTTCAGCTCCTGCAAATTATGAAGAAAACTTGCGATCCTTGAACGGCGACAATGCATCCCACATGGGCTCTGCCGCGGCATTGCGCAAGAAGTTGGGTGCCCCGAGACGCCGGAAACGAAAGGGCGCTTGGAAAAAGCTGCTTTGGGTGAAACAGTCCTGTATGCCAATGTATTTCGCAGTTAATATCTCGGCCGCGCCATGCTGACATTGGGATATAGACCCAGATAACTACACCGATACCGAGACGTTTCTAGACCACCTCCAGCGGAATCCTAGAGTACGACCGTACGACTTCTGGCCACTTGTGGCCGACTCAACCGTGATTGTGCAACATGTATGCTCTGTGGTTATCTTCGTCTGCTGTTTCGTTGGCATCGTCCAAGACCGAGTGAGCCCCGTTTCGATAGTATGCTGGGGGAGTGTCGGTACGGCCGTGGGCTGGATTCTGTGGGACAATTGGATCTGGAAAGAGCATGAAGAATCCCTGAAAGAAGTGGATCGAGCGACTGGGGGCGATGATGGCTCCAGTTCGACTTCTTTTGCCAGTGTCGCAGAGACATCTGCAAATGACATGCAAACCGACGACACCAAGATCAACGCGATACATGGGCTTGGACTCTCAATGTCCGGCAATGAATCCAAAGAACAATTGGCGCACCGGAGTGCAGACCTCAGCGACAGAATCGACGCAGTCGCTCATAAGATGGACCAGGTTGCTCCATTGTCGGTACCGTCCAACTCCATGACGGGCGGCACTGATGGGACAGTGCCGCATGATACGTATGATACCTACCGAGGATCCATGTTGTCACCGCGCAATCGACAAAGACTCACTACGGTCAAATCCGCTTTACTCATTTATTTGTCTCTACTCGGGCTGAGCCCCATCCTCAAATCTCTCACCAAATCCACCGCCAGCGACTCAATCTGGGCCATGAGCTGTTGGCTTCTAATAATGAACATATTCTCTTTTGACTATGGAAGTGGGGAAGGCGCAGGCGCCACCACGAAGTTCCCTGCTTCCTTGTCCACCAACGCAGCCGTGATGGCATCTACTGTGCTCGCGTCTCGGCTCCCATCCACGACACATGTGTTCAGCCTCATGCTTTTCTCCATGGAAGTTTTTGGCCTGTTCCCTATCTTCCGACGGCAGCTCCGACAGAAGTCATGGACTGGTCATGTTGTCCTGACACTGACCCTCGTGATCGTTGCTGGTGGCGCTGTCGGGGTGACATTAAGTGGTGGATGGGCAGCGGCCATCATCGGCTCTGTGCTGGGAAGCATTCTCACCGCGTTCGTCATGGGCGGATGCAGCTGGTGGCTCATCAGCTTGCAGAAGTACAAGAACGTCGTGATCGGACCCTGGGATCCTGCTCGGCCGATCATTCGGCGGCATTGGAATTGACCTTTGAAACGCCTACGATCTTCAGAGCGCGATTGTAACTAAAATCTGGCGCGTGCCTAGGTGCTTCATCTTGCTTATAATCCTAGCCCAGACGAACCTACTACGTATTCCAAACGCATTCCCACGGCATGATTTAGCTCGGATGCTCTCGAAGAATTGGATCGCCCTGTCATGTCTGTCCTCCATGCCACCCGACTGTTATTACATCCGTGCATATGTGCAGTAGTGACCGCTCAACTGGGACGGCGATGCCGGGGCGGTATCTCGGGGTTTGTCTTTGTCTTGATTGGGTCACCTAGCGTGTGTACATACAATGTACAGGTGCCTTCCACAAGACAAGATGAGGAATGCGGCATTTGGAGGGAATGCACGGCACATTTGACATTCCGACATTGCGATCTGACTGCCTCCTGTCCGAGGCCTAGAGAACTGAAGGGGGGGGGTCCTACTTACAATGGCCTCGAGCCACGAGCATGACCAAGCGATCAGTGGTTTCTTTAACCATTTGATGTGGTTCTGTCAATACAAAGCAACAGAAAAAGCCAACATTCCACGACCCCTTTGTCACGCTCTCCCCTGAGCACCATGTCATATTGTTTGAGCCTGCAGCATTCCCCGGCCACAGGGGTGCTTTACATGCCCCACGCGAGGAGGAGATCCAGGATACAGTGATCTTGACTGGGATCAAAGCGCCGATCATTCACGGCTGCATGTTTGGTCAATCATGCGCTATACTCCTGACTCCGTATATACATTGCTTCTCTCCCCGGCATGGCTTTCCTCCCATTTATTCCTTGATCCCTTTGGTTTGTCCGCGGCTGCTTGCTGCTTTCTGCTGTATAATCTTTTGACAGTACAGGCCTTTGTTGTGTCTGTCTATCAATCATTTATAATCAACTCACTTGAAGCCCACGAGATCAGAGTGTACGATCTGATCATGTTCAAACGACTGGCAATTGGCCTTTTGGCCGCTCAATCGGTGGCAGCGACTCGGTTCGCCATGTACATTGACCAGTAAGGACAACTGCCTTGTTCTGCTTCCAACGACAGAACTGACCCTGGACGAAGATGGCATGTGAACGCGTTACCAGAGCAGAACCAGACTAAGGGAATTGACACTGCCATCATGGGATTTGCTCCCTCAAAGCAGTTCAATACAGACTCTTCATACAAACCATTCGAGGACCCTGAAACTTTCCGCAAGCGTTTCGGTCCGGACACCAAGCTGACAATCGCGATTGGCGGCTGGGGGGATACCTCTGGATTCTCGGAGGGAGCCAAGGACGATGCCTCGCGTGAGAAATATGCCAAGAACGTCGCTGCCATGCTCGAGTCCAATGGATTCGACGGCGTCGGTAAGAAACCGCCAAGGCCGAACCTTTGGACCAATTTCTAACATTCGGCCAGATATTGACTGGGAGTACCCTGGTGGTAACGGCCAGGACTACAAGGAAGTCCCGAACTCTAAGAAGGTGGATGAGATCGAAACTTACCCCAAGTTCCTTGCAGCTATCCGCAAGGCCATCGGCAAAAAGACACTTTCCATCGCTGTCCCCGGTCGTAAGCAGGATTTCATCGCGTTCACCAAGGAGCAAGGTCCCAAGATCTTCGAGTCCGTGGACTACGTCAATGTTATGAGCTACGATCTGATCAACCGCCGCGACAATGTTACCGGTCACCACAGCGGTGTCCAGGGATCCCTGGACACCATCAACGAGTACCTGTCGATCGGTGCTCCTGCCGAGAAGCTTAACCTTGGTTTTGCATACTACGCCAAGTGGTTCACTACCGATCCCGAGTCTGACTGTGAAGAAAACCCTCTCGGCTGCAAGATGGCCAAGCTCGAGGAGGACGATGGAACCGACAACGGCAAGTCTGGCGCATTCACCTTTGAAGCCAGCAGTGTTGCCGAGCCTCCCAAGAATTTGAAGACCACTACCAATGGAAAGTGTGGCTTCGCCGAGGGATCCAAGTGCCCCGAAGGCCAATGCTGCAGCACCTACGGCAACTGGTGAGTCCAACTACTCAAAGCCCTACCTCGTATCACTAACACGTCTCTAGTGGCACCGGTGATGACTTCTGCCAGGCTGGCTGCCTGTCTGACTACGGCACATGTAAAGGTCTCTCGATTACCGACTCCTGGCGCAAGGCCCAGAAGGACGGCAAGACCGACGAGCAGGGTGGTGGCCAGTACTACTTCGACAAAGACTCCAACATCTTCTGGACCTGGGACACTCCCGCTATGATTGCGCGCAAGTTCAAGGATATTGTCGCCGAGAAGAAGCTTGGAGGAGTCATGGCTTGGAGCTTGGGCGAGGATACCTACAAGTTTGAGCACCTCCAAGCCATGCAGAAGGGACTTGAGTCTCACAAGACAAAGGATAACTAGGATGGGCCACTCTATCTCGTCAAACTCCATGACTAGAAATATGGCCTGGTAGCCATGCAACAAACTCGCTATACAATAGCGCACCTCCCAATGATCACAAATTACCTGGCCATTGTCCTTTCTGCTTTAATGTCTGTCCCTATAATCTGTTCATCGCATATTCCCTGTCGTTAATAGGGTGTCCCTCAAAATTCAAAGGCATTGTTCGATCTGACTTAGAATTACTGTACAAGTGCGTCCACGGGTGTCATGTAAAAATCGATTCCTTTCATTCTGTCTTTTCAACTTATGTTCTGTTCCATCGCTTCATCCAAGTCTCAATATAACGCTGTATCAGACCTTCACTCACTGGATCCCTGACATTCGACAAGGAGGGACAGTCTTTGATGGTGACTCCAGTTTCAAAAGTCAGGCCTGTCTCAGGGAGTGCCCCAGAGGCCGAATCTTCAGCTGGCAAACTGGACTTGGAGTATTTATTCTCCCAGAAATCAATGAGTTTAATACTGGGGTTCTTCTTCGGGTCCTGATCACTGCCCGCCAGTCTTCGCAGCCAGTCTTGTGGGGAAACGACTTCGAAGTCAGGGAGTGCAGATCCCTTCTTCAAAGCAGGAAGCAAGTCGTTTTTCCAGCTGAAGGCGTGAGGATTCACCATATGATATACCAGGTTAGGATCCGAAGAAGCAGAACCAGTATCCATGGCAATGTCTGAAATCGCCAGACCACACTGATCAACAGGAAACCAGCTCGGCCGCTCATTCAACTCAGGCAATGCGCCCGTAGTCAAAGCACTGCGGAACATCAGGGCTATGGCTTCTGTCTCGTTCCATTGAGCGCTGACAGTATCACCACCCAATTGACCGATTCTGAGCACCCGAGCCTGCATCCCAGTCTGACGCATAGCATTACGGGTAATGTGTTCTGTGACCAGCTTCGATCTTCCGTATCCCATCTTTTGAGCATGGTCCAAGTTCTCAACCATGGTTTCTGGAATGGAAGCCGGCTTGGGTGTGTTGCTTGCGGCGCTGACGCTGGAGCAAAAGAAGAACCGTGCTGGGAGGGGCAGATGAGAGCGCAAGCAGAGATTGATGAGGTTGTATGTTCCTTGGATATGCTGATCCTCGAATGATCGCACACCCAGATTGAAGTTCACGGCCCATGCGCTGTGGATCACGCATGTTAAGGAGGAAAGCAAGTGTTGGAGATCATGGTTGCTCAGTCCGAGGTTGGACTGTGACAGGTCGCTCGGCACGGCGTGGAGCTTGGCAGCTTCATCGCTCGAGAGGACGATCTGGCGATCGGCCAGTGATTGATACAGGCGTGCTCCTGCAGCTGCTTGGCCTGGTGCACGCACAAGTGCCCATACTTCGGAGACCGTTGGGCGCTTGAGAAGCTCGGCCACGATGAAAGCTCCCAGGTTGCCTGTCGCGCCGGTGACCATGACCACTTCGGTTTGTGGAGTTTGGATCGTCGTGGGAAAATGTTTCGTGAAGTGCGAATACTTCTCGATCAGCTCTTGCATGATGGCCAACTCATCTTCTTTCTCGGATTCTTCTCCGGTCCTCATCTGATAAAGATGCCTAGCCAGCGCTCTGACCGTACCTTTTTCGAAGACGATGTTCTGAGACAGCCGGTCCTCCAACTCACCAAGATCAATATCCCGCACGATAGATCTCCAGATCTGAGTCGTCTGCAAACTGTCAACACCGGCGGAGAAGATATCAGCATCAGGTCCGGACAATGACACTCCCAGATCCTGACTGAATCTCGCCAGCAACCAGTCTTCAAGTTCAGAGATATTCAGAACAAGACTGCCCCGTTTCTGGCCGCTGCCCTCAAAGCTTGCATACGCCTGCTTGATCTCCTCTTCGAATTGCTGATACACCTGGGCCCGGATACAGGTGCCCTTGTCAGTTTTGGCGTACATAACATCAGATCCCATGACGATGACAAGCTCCTTGGGAATTCGCGAGAATGTCTCCGCTCGCGCATTGGCAGCCTCTACCGCCGGCCAGATGGTTTCCAGGAACTCCTCATCGCTCAAGTGTTCCAGTTTGCCAGGAGCGCGGAAGATGAGGGCCCCAGGCACGGTACGCTGGAATCCAAACACGACACAATCGCTGACGATCGGCTCTTCCCGGACGCGGCCCTCGATGGGGATTGGCAGCACCTTTTCGCCATTTACCAGTGTGATTCGGTCATCCAGTCGGCTCAAATACTTGTAGTAGTTGCCCTTGGCGGGGTCAGGGTGTCTCGTGAAGAGGTCGGCCGTCCGGAAACTGTTCTCGGGGTTCTTGGAGCTATATGGTGGCTTTGAATTCGACGGGCCCTTGCTGGGGAGGCCTTCTAGCGCCACGCACTCAAAGACACCGGGAGAGATTTCATCCATAAGGGTACGGTCGGCAACAGGACGGTGCAGCCGCATGTACTGCCACTCATTGTCGCCAGGGGGGCGGAAAGAGGTCATGATCTGGCCGGTTTCGGTGGCTCCGTAATTGCCCACCAGGTTCACACCCTGGGCAACAAGACGGTCGCCCAGATCGTCGGGGCAGCTGGAACCACCGTACAACACCAATTTGGGAGCAGCCAGTGCTTGGATGCCTTCTTGCTTTTCAGCTAGCAGTTTGATGACGTATGGCACGGCGCTGATCTGCTGCGGCTTGGCCACCTGGAGGGCATCGAAGAGATTCTGGTAAGTCACCGGGAGTGAATGGTTCCCCAGATATGCGGGAGCTCTGGTAAAGAGCGCCCTTCCCAGCTCCATCAGAGCATGGGAGTGGAAGAGAGGGCTAATTGTGAAGAGGCGTAAACCGAAACTCTTGCGGAAGTTGGCCAATGTTTGGAGGTTCGTTAGGAAGATGGGCTTGGGGAAACCGGTACTCCCAGAGGAGTGCAAGATCCAAGCGATCTTTTTGCCTTCCTTTGATGTATCGACACCTGGTCGCTGATAGCGAGGGAAGCTCGCAGGGCGGTTGAACCAATTCTCTCTCTGCAGCAGAGAGTATGTACTGCAGTCGGGGCGCAGAGCACAGATCTCCGTGACCACTTGCTGGTGTTGCTGAGTGTTAATGATGGAATGGCAATTTGCCATGTCCATTAATCGTGCATACGCCGGGGCTGTTAGGCGCGTGGACAAGAACAGCACCGCGTATCCCAGACGGTTCAGGGCAAAGAAAGTCACCACTGCCTCGAAGCTCGACCCTACCAGGGTGGCAATCACAGGCGCTTGTTCGAGATTGGGATCCTATGGGAAATCAGCAATGTCCGATCCGAACGGTGGATTGTTACTTACTGCCGCCGTGAGACCCTGTTGCATGTAGAAGCGAACTGCGACATCGGTATAGCGGTCAATATCGCCGGCTGTGTGTTCTTCGAAGTCGGCGGCCCCGCGGATAGGATAACAGATCAACGGATGCTTCCCTTCGTCAGGCTGAGCCGCATGGGACTTCAACAGACCATCGACGGTCTCGAATTGCTCAAAGGCCGGCCACTGGGAATGGAGTGTGCCATTTAACAGGCGCGTGGCGATGTCCTTGGTCTGGAGTGGCTTCACGCCAGTACTGGTTAGGGTGACAGTCGCCATTGTGTGCTTTGGTGAATGCATGTTCATTGGCGATGTCTTTATATTCAGACAGAAACCCCACGTCGGGGTAATTGCGGTGCTTTTCCGGGTTTCCGACTCGCTGCCCCGGAAAACGCTCTCCGGGCTGATCTCCCATTTCCTGTTCGCACTGCGCGAGGGCAGTCTTTCAATCCAATGATTGTCGACTCAATTTAATTTGGCGAAGTGGCTTCGTTGGCCAGTCCGTGTGATTCCTGGGAAGTGAAGTGGTGATGGTCGCGTCGGATATCCGAAATCCCCCGGATAAGTAACCTGTTCGTTCAACCACAGACAATGGAGACAACGGAGACAGCTACCTAGGTAGATAGAGACAGAGAGTATTCTCAGGCTAAATATCTTCCTGTCATATGAACTGGACTATTACCGTGAGAGAATTAATGTGAATGGATGTGGCCAAAATGCAAGTCGATCTGAACCCTCCTGGACGTTGGAAAATATGTTATATACTATGATCTTTTATACAGTAGTGATACACGAGTTAAAGACGACACAGCCGACCGTTCTGATCGGGAAGACCGTCGAGGCTTCTCACGGTCCATTCTTCACTGCCAACACCAGTGGGGGCGTAGAACAGCATGCCCGGGTCATACTTCTGCTTCAACTGGTACAAGCGCTGGTAGTTCGATCCATAGAACGCCTGCTGGAAGTTCGGCTCCTGGATATCGGACTCAGACATGTACGCACCGGCATCCGGAGAGACAGCGCGCCACTGGCCGAGGATGTCGTTGGTGAAATAATCCATCTTGGTCTTGATGTCAGCGTTGGAAGTCGTCTCGGTCCAGCTGGTCGAGGAAATGGCATGCAGCAGAGTCTGGCGGAAGGCCGGGTTGGCGGAGTTGGAGGCAAATCCTTTCTGGAGCTCAGCCTTCATGTTGAAGGCGAGCAAGGGGAAGCCGGCAGTCACGGTGGAGCGGAGGGCGTTGAAAGTCTTGTTCAGCAGCTCCGCGTCTTCCCAGTTGGATCGGGGGAAGAGACGACTGCCGGTCATCATGGTCGAGGAGGCTACTGTCTCGAGGGGGAAGCCTGAGTTCCAGGCGTCGTAGAAGTTGTCGTAGTAGGTCGAGTTGGGCTGAATCTGGATTCCCAGGGCGCGAAGCTCCTGGTACCAGGGCTTCACCAAGGCATTGTACTGGCTCAGGGTGTGGTTGACGGCGAAGAAGGGATTCATGAGGAACGTGTAGGAATCCTCGCCCGTGGCCATAACCCAGAAGTAGGCGTATGTGCCCGCATCGGCGTGCGCTGGGAAGTGACTCAAGTAGGCCTTGACGCCAGCCCAGAAGGTCTCGGTGGAGACATTCTTTCCAGTCGAGAAGTTGAAGGTCGACACTGTCGTGCCGATCTTGGGGTAGACACGAGAGATGATGGAAGTGACAATTCCAAAGGTTCCTGATCGATGGTTAGCAAATATCGTCACTATAGGCAATCCGCACATACCTCCACCTCCACCTCGCAGAGCCCAGAAGAGATCAGGATGGCTCGTCTTGGTCACTGTCACGAAGTGTCCATTGCTGAGGACAACTTCCAAGGCCAGAACCTGGTCCGCCGCCAAGCCAAACAAGCTGGACATAGGAGAGTGACCACCGCCCAGCACGTAGCCGCCTGCAACGCCGACCGTCTGCGATAATTAGCGATTGCGATGCCGAGGCTGTTTGGACTCCTACCTTTCCCTCACCACCGACGGCGGTGTAGCCTAGCTTCTTGGCATGCGCGTACACTTCAGCGGCCTGCACACCGGCACCCAGCTTCACAGCCGGACCCTGATAGTCCGCGGCGGAATAGTTCTCAAAATATTCCACATTCTTGAGGTTGTGGGTCCAGATGCCCAAGGCACCGGCACCACTCGATTTGCCATTGAACTGGGGTTGTTAGACTGTTGCTCCTCATCGCAGATTGCTGTACTTACATCGTGTCCCGTGTTCTTGGTGACGAGACGAATGTTGCTGTTGCGAGCGAAGTTGACGGCAAGCTGGATTTGCGCCACGTTCGACACCTGGACTGAGATTAGCATTTTCTATACTCGCATTCCAAATCGAGTCCTTACATTCACAGAGTAGACACTGTATCCACCCAGACTGCAGCTGGAGGAGGAATTGGTCGTGGGCAGACAGCTTCGGCCCTCGAACAACGGCCACATGACCGATGCTGGATCGGCGGCACTAGGGCCGAGTTAATAGGGCTCTGGATGTGCAGGGCTCTCTCACTCACTGGATATGCGAATCCGTCCACTTGTCCGTGATCTCCTTGCAAAGTTCACTGTCATATTGAGGCCATGACGAGTAGCAAGATGCAGCCAGGGGGACGGTCTCAATCAGCGCACCGTCCACGGCCTTGTTCAGCGCCGCCCAGGACGCCTGTGACGGCCACTGGCGATCCCCGGGGAACACCTTGCAAGTGCCGGACTGGGTCGTATTGGTCGTATTGCCAAAGCCAAAGAGGGACTGCGCTCGGCCCAGTTTCGCCAGGGTCTGCTCGGTCAATTGGACCTTCTCATACTCAAACAGCGGCGCGGCCGAAGCCTTGCATGAAGCCGCGTCTCCGGCTGTCGCCAGCAGAACAGCAAGCAATGCGCCCTTCAATAAAGCCATGTTAGGAATATAGATCGACGAGGGGACTTCCCGGAAAGGGGGAATGGTCGGCTTATAAGCAAAGCTTCGACATGTTCAAGGAGTGTCGGAGATACAGCCGAGCCCTAGCACTCCACCCGCGTGCATGTACAGCGGAAGTCGATGGAATAGGAAGGGCTCCACCCACTATATATGTGACACTCCGTGGCCGGGTCTTTTTTTCTTTTGGCAAAAGAGAGAAGTGTAGAGTGCTATACTGTATGCAAAGGGAATTTTCTCGGCCATAACAAAATACACAATAGACTATACAACTGAATACTCCCAGGATATACTACTGACAGTGTACTGTATAGTAGAACCCGACCCACCGGCCTGGCTAATGGCCCCCATAATGGCATGAGACAATTTACTTTCGGCAGTTTAGATTGCCACACAATGGCACTAGTGTAGTGTCAATAGTTCGGAATATGTCTGCCGTCTAGGGCTCTACAATGCATTGTCCCATCTGCAACCGCATTGGATCTACCCTGGCACATATCGTACAAGAATACGATGCAGGATGTCGATCTTAGTTCCGTGAAGATCTCCCACAGCACCACGGTTCACCATGTGAGACCCACGATCATGGATCCTGTCCGCAGTGGACACAGTCCGATAGATTAACGGCCGAGTGTTCGGCCATTGCCTCTCTGGGCTCGGCTACAGTCTGCATAACTGCGAGCGGATATGCCTCGGCATAGAGCAGACTAGAATCCAACAGCTTCCGGTTTCTAGCCCAGTGGAGCCTCTTCTACTATGTGCCATGGCCTGAGACTCTGCGCCACGTCCGAAACTTGTGCAGCCACGGTGCCCGTCGGATATTACTCGATTCCACGGGTTGAAGTGTTTGAGATTTCCCAAATGTAATAGAATGGAAGACACAAATCTATAATAAAATAATAGAAGGCAGCCCCAATTCCAGGCTGAAACGGAAGGATGAATTGACTTTCACCCGGTTATAAGAGCCTGCGCAGACTCCTCATGTTCGTCTAAAATGCTCGACGACCATCACCAGAAGAGCGCCCTGGGGATTGTAGTCGCCTTTGCGGCCCTGGGCGGTATTGCGGTGCTCCTTCGACTCTGGAGTCGACGATTGACACGAACGGCCCCGACGAGTGGTATGATCTCTGCTGATTTTGCGGTGACAATGCTAATAAGAATCTATTAGATGACTATTTAATTGTGCTAGGATATGTAAGATCCAATTTTACTCTCGAATCTACAGGGCTAATCGGTATAGATCTTCGCCGTCTGTCAAACGGTCACCTCCTGGTACTGTGAGTGAATCGAATCCCATCGTACGTTCTGTCGCTGATGAACAAGACATCAAAACCAACAATGTCGGCATTCACATTGGGGACATCCCTAAAGACCACGACCCGGTCCCTGGTCTGATTGTAGGTCAATTCTGGTCAGCTTCAGGAACAATATTGACCAAATAGTGGAACTTTGCCAACCAAATCATCTACAATCCCGCGCTGTCGATCGTCAAAGTCTCGATCCTGCTCTTCCTCCATCGACTGAATTCTCAGTCGCGCGTGGTGCGATACCTCATCTGGGTGTCCTTAGCGACAGTGATCACCCTCTGTCTGGCTGTGCTGTTCGTCGATATCTTCCAATGCACGCCCGTCGCCTATGTCTATGACATGAGCATCCCCGGGGGCAAATGCATCGACCAAGGCGCGTTCTACGTCTCGACCGCCGCCCTGAACCTCACCACGGACCTCATGGTCCTCTCGATTCCCATCATCATCACCGCTCGCCTGCAGATGCCCGTGCGACGCAAGATCGCCGTCTGTGTCATCTTATGTCTGGGTGGCGTGTGAGTCCCCGATCCCATTCCCTCTTCCCAGCCTGTGCTAACCCTTCCAGCGCCACCGCGATCGGCGTCTGGCGCATCATCATCTTGGCCCAAGGTTTCATTGCCAAAATCGAAACCCCAGACCCCACTTACTCCATCGGCTTCTGTAGTTCGGCCATCGAAGTGAATATCGCCGTCGTGACCGCCTGTGGGCCATCACTCAAAGCCATCAGCACCAGATACCTGCCCAAGGTACTCGGGAGCTCCCGCCGAGGCACTCGGACCGGCTATGGGACGGGCACAGGGACGGGCAGCCGAGGTCGCAAGTTCCCCATCTCGAACCTGTTCACCAAGTCCGGGACGCAACATAAGTCGTTACACTCGAGTGTGGCCGGGTACGAGATGGCGGATCCACTGGGAGGACCGAAATTCAATGTGGATGAGGACTTTGAAATGGCCAAATACGGGCGCAAAGTGAAGACTCCGAGTTTGGAGTTGTCGGACGAAGACAAGGGGATTGTCAAGACCACCGATATCACCGTTGGATATAGTGTCGAGCCAGCCGATAGGAGTAACCGGCTATATGGGAAAAGACCTGCCAGTGCAGACAGCATGGTTTAGACATTTCGCAATGAAAGACGAAGTACGAAGTACACGAAGTCGGCGTCTTCAATCCCCGCGCGATAAGCGTGAGGGGTTCACCCCTCATTTCTCTTCTCTTCGCGCGATTCAAGTCTTCGATTCATTTTGATCCGCACATATCTCTACTTGACACCATGTCGCCCTACCAACTACCGTTCCAAGTATGACCTCCATCGGCGTCTCGGCGAGATGTCCGAAGTCCCCCTCCGAGCCAACTCGCGAGGTTTGATAGAACTAACCGACTGTCCAGCTCGCCGATCCCAGCCTGTTAAATTTCGACTCCTACGTGGGTGAATCCTGGGTGGCCGCAAAGAGTGGCAAGCGCTTTGAAGTCATCGGTATAGATCACCTTCCCCAGATGATGATCGCAACTCATGTTCTTTAGACCCCGGCACCGACAAGCCCTGGGCCAGCTGTCCGGCCAACTCGGCCGAGGATGTTCCCGCGGCCGTGGAAATCGCCCATGTAGCATTCGAGCAGTACCGCAAGGTGTTGCCCCGCCAGAGAGCGAAATGGCTCCTGAAATGGCACGACCTGACGCTCGCGGCGCGAGACGATCTGGCTCAGATCGTGACGCATGAGACGGGAAAGCCTTTGGCCGAGGCCTATGGTGAAATTGATTACTCCCTGGGCTTCTTGTGGTTTTTCTCCGGGGAATGTGAGCGAATTCAAGGCACCGTGTCACAGGCGGCGGCTCCGAATCGCCGCTTGTTTACCGTGAAGGCGCCCATTGGAGTGGCAGCTGCGTTGACTCCTTGGAATTTCCCTGTTGCGTGAGTCTGGATTCGTCCAAATATGAATCTCCGCTGACCGAATAGCATGGTTCTTCGAAAGGCCGGTGCAGCCCTGGCAGCTGGATGCACTATGGTTGTGAAGCCCAGCCCGGAGACTCCAATCTCCTCACTTGTTCTAGCGGTGCTGGCTTCACGGGCCGGGTTCCCTTCAGGCTGTCTGAATATTTTGACCACAGATCTAGACAATACTCCAGTATTGAGCGAGACGCTCATCAAGCATCCGCTCATCAAGAAAGTGTCTTTCACTGGTTCGACGCGAGTAGGCAAACTAGTGGCATCGCACTGCGCCCAAGGATTGAAGAAGGTGACTCTCGAGCTAGGAGGCAATTGTCCCTTTATCGTCTTCGACGATGCCAACCTCGACCAAGCCATCGAGCAGCTCATGGCTCTCAAATGGCGCCACGCCGGCCAGGCCTGTATTACCGCGAATCGAATCTATGTCCAAGCAGGCATCTTCGATCGCTTCGCTGCTCTCTTGAAGGAGCGCACAGCCGCTCTGGTCGTCGGTCACGGCACTGCCCCCAACACGACCATGGGCCCCCTCACGACTCCCCGAAGTATCGACAAGGCCACTGCACAGATCGAGGACGCTCGCCGTCTGGGCGCCGATGTCCTCCTGGGCGGCAATGCTCTCACCTCCCAGCCGGGCTATTTCTTTGAGCCGACGATTCTTTCCGGCATGACAGAGGAGATGCTCATCTCGAAAGAAGAATCCTTTGCTCCCATTGCCGCACTGTACCGGTTTGAGACGGAAGATCAAGCGGTCAAGTTGGCTAATGATACCAGCATGGGTTTGGCTAGTTATGCATTTACTAAGAACATTGATCGCATGTGGCGTCTGTTGGAAAACTTGGAGGCAGGCATGATTGGAATGAACACAGGTCGGTGCCTTCGATATCCATTTCGAATCATCCCACTAAATGACTTTGCAGGCAATCAATCGGCAGCCGAGTCGCCTTTCGGTGGCATCAAGGAGTCTGGATATGGAAAGGAGAGCGGAAAGGATGTGGCTGTCAATGAGTATTTGGTCACTAAGACGGGCACTTTGACGCTCGAGGGACATTTCTGAGTCGCCAATGTCTTTCAGTCTCTTTTTAGCGTCTACCATATTCGTCTCTTCACGAATTGAAATCGTTTGAAGTCGATGATATCCTTGTGAATTCCGACTTGGCCTGCATTCCGTAATTCTGTAATCACAATACACATTGTGTAATTTTCCAACTTCTGCCACACAAAACCCCTGAGTTGATGGTTTGGGGCTGAAATATTACGGTAATGAAAACTCAGATGGGGAATTTGAGCATCAGCGACGACGTACAGAACATCGAGTATGGATTCTTTAGAGTAAATACACAATAAGTGAGATAAAATATCTTAACCTGAAGTGAATCGTTCTGATATTCTTGGATCGACATCGACCCTTTGCAAGCCATTTCCACGCCGATATTTCCAAAGCAACTTCATCCCCGGCGTATCTGCCTTCACACCCATTCTCTGCAACCCTGGGAGTCCTGCACGCAATGGAGAATCTGGATATCCTCCGCAACCTGGTCCAGTCCCACCCGCACATCGACAGCCATGCCCAGAATCTGCTGAAAAAAGAGTCGATCGACGAGTACCTGGATAAATTCCTCGGACACAGCACATCCAAAGCCAATGGAATAGCTTTGCTCAAAGCTCGCACTGGCTTTCCTTTCATGCGAGCCACCAGGCAGCTGAGCGAGCTCTATGGAAGCCCTTGTGCTGATTGGCCTGACGCCATATCAGCTCACTCGGAGTTCGTGAACACAGATTACGAGGGTCTGATTCGGCGATCCCTCGTCGGGACACAAGCACTAATTTTGGATGATCTTTTCGACGAGTATGAAGAAACCGAATCTTTCAACTTGCATGACAGCTTTACCGCATCGCCCACGAAGCGGATTGTCCAAATTGAAGCCCTGGCCGAGTCTGCAATCCTCCAGGTAGCCAAGAGCGAGCGCAAGCCGGACGAATCAGTGTGGAACAACTTCCGCCAGCGGTTCCTGGATGCTGTCTCCAGTGCAATGGAAGATCCCAATGTGGTCGGTTTCAAGTCCGTTGTCTGTTCCCGCACTGGCTTGGGCGTGGACCCATATTCGTCTGACGATACCACTCTCGCTGGCTCTCTAGTGCGGACCCTCGACTCGGGTACCACGAGGAGTGGCTTCACAGTTGAAGACAAACCTATATGTGACTGGATCGTCCAGCAAACCCTGAAAGCCATCTCATTGGGGAGGTACTCCGGCGTTGGCAAGCCTCTTCAGTTCGATACTGGATTTGGCGATGACTCGACGGTTCTTGAGGGAGCTAACCCTACAAATTTGCAACCTTTGATCGATAAATACTCCAATGCCGACATGGTTCTGCTCCATTCTGCATATCCCTTCACGCGGGAAGCGGGATGTCTCGCCAGCGTTCATCCCAATGTCTACCTGAGTCTGGGTGGACCCTTCCCCATGATCAGCCGCGAGGGCCAAGAGAAGATCATTAGAGAAAGCCTGGAGTTGACGCCTACCAATCGCTTACTCTGGAGCTCAGACGGTCGCTTCCATCCGGAGACCTTTTGGCTGGCCAATGTGCAGTTTCGACGAGCTCTTGAAATGGTTAGTTACAACTCTATTCCTCTTCACGACAAATATTGATTCGTATTACAGGTTCTCGTAGACTATGTTCAACATGACGACCTCGGTGTTCGCCAGGCCATGGATATTGCCGTCAATATACTCTTTTCTAATGCAAACCAACTATACAGCCTGAATCTGTCGCCAAATATTGCGCCGGAAGCCCGGGATGAAATGATGGGAAATACTTCGAGAACTTGAATCGTGAGAATTATTTGTATATTTTCCTCTCAAATTATATGTATGAATCATGACTTTTTGCCAAAATGCGTTCATCCCAAATCGTATATCTTGCGAGATCGGCAAGCGACCCAACTCAGGTATCAAACACCCGTGGACGTCTACCAAGTCTGTCGAAGTATCCCAAGACCAAAAAGCACACGCATACCTAGGTACCACCCAAGGTGCTGAATCGATGCAGATCACGCAATGTTGAGTATCATGCAAGAAGTGGATTGCGAAAAATGAAATGCAAGAAAAGAATCGCCTAAAAAGTATACAACTCTCCAACTCCGGCCGTTACTGTTCGTGTTTCAAGTGCCGGCCTTGACAAAGCACGCTGCAAAAGTCATGAGTGAGAGAAATCCAGGGATATGGGGAATGTATATGCGAGAAGGAAAGGGGAAGGAGACAAAATATAATTCAAGCGGTCATCGCATTGATTGTCTGATATGGTGATATTGACATTGTGAAAATAACAAGATCAATACCAATCATTCGATCAGGGCAACGACAGCTGAAAATTTTAGAGTATGGTGAAAATAACCATAAAGAAGAGACAAAAACAAGACTGAACCAGCACTTCCCATCTCAGCTCCCAAGGCGTGTACAATGGGGATGTCGAACGGGGCTGTAGAAAGATAATCTGCCGTGGACTGAAAAATCCAAGGTAGAGTTGTGAGGATGGGGAGACAAGAACAATGAGGAGAACCGAAGCCATCAGAGAACAAATGAACGCAAATTGGATCAAGGGGCATTGCCCCGCTCTGATTTCATGCCGTCCTTCTCCCATTCGTTCAGAAGTCGGGAGACTTCTCTAAAAGAGACTGGCTTTGTGAGGAATAGGTCCACACCAGAAGCCAAAGCCTCAGATTCATCGCGTGAGCTACTCAGACCCGTCAAGGCAATGATGATGGCCGGCTTGCGACCGTCTGAATCCTTTTCCAAGGAGCGAATGGCACGCGTAGCTTCGAACCCATTCATAACGGGCATGGAAATGTCCATAAAGATGATATCGTAGCCACTCTGTAGGCGCTCGACTGCCTCGACTGCAACTTTCCCATTCTCCGCACCGTGCAGCTCGATGAGTTGGCGTTTCTTGAGGAATGTCATCATAAGATTGAGATTGATCCGGTTGTCATCGACAACGAGCACCCGGGCTAGTCGAGTGGAAGGAACCGAGCCTTCAGACAAGGGCCCGGGCAAGGGGGCTTCTGCGACTTCCTCCGGGAGGCCGCTTATTACCGAGGGATCTTGTATAGGGGAACATTGCATTGAGACATTGCGAGTTCCTGCATTGTCCGGATCTGCAGCACTGATTTCGGGTGCACTCATCACATCGGCCATAGAGACACTGGGAGATGCCATCCGCGATGGCAATGAAGAGGTACGAATCGGCAGACTCATGGGCTGCCGGACCGAAGCCGGGGTTCCTGATCTTGACTCCTCCACGGGCCTCAGGCAGCTCATCACACTACGGGCCAGCTTGTGTGGCCCACAGGGACGTCGAATGATGTTCACAGAGGATGCAAGAGGCAGCCATTCAGACCGAGCCCCACTGTAATCGACCGCCTTGTGGCAAAGGACGAGAAGAGCAGGTAAGGTAGCCGAAGGTTCGGTATCGATGAATTTCGGTATGTCAGCTTCATCCATGAGCACCATGTCGACATGAGAATCGCGGGACCACGAAACGATCTCAATGTCGTACCAATCGGTGAGATATCGACCAATTTCCGACCAATTGGCGTCGTGAGACACTTCGGCCGGATCGACGCCCCAGATGGCTGCTCGCTTCTCAGGATATCCCTCACGAAGCAAAAGGGTTTGAGTCAAGAGCTCCCGTTGTTGCATGAGCTGCCCCGATGGTTCGATGGCCGGGCTCTCCTTGCCAACGGGCCGCTCGAGGGGGAGAGATACTCGGACGACAGTGCCTTCGCCAGGGCGGCTGCGTATCCTGATTGTTCCGTTCAGAGCCTTGACCAGGCTTCGAACGATAGACAGTCCTAGCCCAGTTCCGACGGCCAGTGAATCCTCCTGGGCAAAGGGCGTGTAGAGCTTTCCACGAAGGAACTCCTCTGAGATACCCTTGCCGGTATCGGCCACTGTCAATGTGACCTGGTCTCTGAGGCCCTGGCGACGAGACCGTCCTTCGGACTGGCTGGAAGCGGCTAACGTCAAGGTGATCCGGCCAGATTCTGTATATTTCATTGCGTTGCCGAAGAGATTCATTATGATTCGCCGTAGAGCACCGGGCTGAGTACGATAGACCCAATCGCGGAACGCTACGTCGATGACAACTTCAACATTGGACCGAACATTTTGTATCTTGGGATGATGCGGCATCAAGACAGGCAGGTCTGCTGATGCGGTAGAGCTCTGGCCGTATGCATGGCCTAAACAAATTCCTTCCACAACTTCTTCGGCGAGGATGGCAACATCGGTTGCCACATACGTGTCCAAATGATATGCCAACTGTTCTGCTCCTTTGAGTACGAGTGGAGACTCTTTCTTGCGTTTCAATGTGCGCCAGGTTCGCTCCAATGACACAACCTTGCTAAAATCAAGGACCTGATTCATTGTGTCCAACAGGGTCCGCCCACAAGCATTGACAGTTTCAAGCAATGAATCTTGGAACTCGTTGAGGTGGGTGCTGTTCAAAAATTCAGCCGCGGCCAAGATTCCATGGAGTGGGCTACGGAGTTCATGCCTGGAAGAGAGAATTAGTATTGGGCACATAATTACGAAGAACCCTCGAAGGATTCAACCCCATCTACGGATATCCTGGGGGACTTACGATATGCTGCCAATGAAGTCACCCTTCTGGCGGTCTGCGATGAGTGACTCAACACGGCTGTATTCGGCCATGATGGAAGAGGAAAATCCGAGCACCGAGCTTAGCTCAACTGAAGTAGTGAATACCTGTGTTTCGATAGTGCTCCAGCAGAAACATCCTGCAAACCACTGCGATCCAACAGCGTTCCACAGAGGCACAAACATGATTTGTGTGGCGTTGGGAAAATATTGGTTAAGGGAGGAGTTTTCCCCTGCTTTCCTCCGTCTCTTCATGGCCTTCGAGTGTTCAGGCTCACGCGCGCCACTGGGAGGAGACCGGCTGGTTGCACTGGTTCCAGAGCCATGGTTGTCTTGTGGTTCTTGATCGTCTTCAGATGTCGAGATGAGTCCATCGCGGTGGAAAGACCAGAGTTTTCCTCTGGGATAGCGCCGGAGGAGTTTTTGTAGGAAGGATTGGTCCAAGCTCGCAGCCGGGCACGAGGTTACCGACCCTGCCATTGGGGCAAAAGGCTCATCATTGGTTGACGCTGACAGCACGGGCGCAGGCCCGACGGCATCTGAGCAGTCGCTTGCCGTATCGATGTCCGCCAATGGATTATTGTTGGCTTCCAGGAAGATAACGCCGCTTTCGCCGCGCAGGTCAAGACTTTCTCGAAGTAGGTTGGCGGCCCTGCGGAAACACCATGAGTTGCCCTGGGAATCATCCGGCGGTAACTGGTTCCGGCCACTGCTTGTCAGCCACTCAGGTAGGGAGCTTTCGACACCAGAGGTCCCTGACTCATTTTTAGAGCCGCTGCCGAGCTTGGAATTGCTTCCTGATTTGCTGTCGCAGTCCGGTTTGGAATCGCTGTCCAGTTTGAGATCCGAAGGCACAGAAGTGAAGGATTGCGCGTCATTGCTGGGTGAGCGGCCGCCCTGTGGACTGTTTGACGCCGCCTGCGAGGCTTGCTCTGCGCTATGCTCCCGACTGCCAACCATGGCGGTCATTTGATTGTAAGAAGATGGTGGAGTAGCTGACGGGGGTCCCACGCTGTCTGTGCGCGACAAATCGATATTGTCCACGAAACTAGAACTTCCTTCAACAAAGTAGCTCAGACCCCGAGAGAGTCGCGCGGCTCTGCGACCCTCCGAGGCTTGTCGGCAGATTTTCATATAGTCCATCGCAAGCATCGATAGGGACCCCAGCGTATCCTTCTCCAGTGGTGTCAGTCCATCTCGAGGCTTCTTGTCCAATACGATAAAACAACCCATGTTGATGTTGTTTCCGGAAGTGAGAGGTGTCCCGGCTAGGAATCGGAATTCGGGTTCCTTCTCCACGAACGAAAGGTTTCTGTAGCGGTCATGTTCGGTCATGTCGTTCACGACTAAGAATTGATAATTTGCGGTTTCGCGTGCATTCGGAGGTAAGGCAGCAATGTCCTGTCGAGAGTGGCGTCAAACCCCGGCAGAGACGAGCAAAGGATCGTTTGGCATGAAAGATGGCGGTAGGGTCGAAAGTCTTGTCGAAAATGTTAACTTACCTTACAAATGTTCCATGCCTTGCGCGTGTCGGGCGTCCCAAAACAAAGATTGTGGTCCTTATCGTGTACTGTCGGATCATTGAGATTGAGGGACTGTGTGGCTTCGGCGATGATATGTTGGCGGTCACGGTCCAGAACAGTAATAATCACTCGCTCGACGTTCAGACGCAGGGTCGCGAGTTGCGCGAAGGAGGTAAGGGTGCTGTTGGCAGTACCGAGGATCAAAGTATCCGAGCCGATGGAGGAGGTGGCCGGCTGAGAGGTGATTGTGCTATTTGATCCCAAGCCTTCGGACATCGGAGGGGTGATCGTGCTATTCGATTGCGCAGAGAAAGGGAATTCGTCGCCTGCCGGTAGCCATGGTGGGATCACTTCGGCTGGTGCGGCCGGTTGGTAGTAGCGATACAACTCCCGGGCGTTGCGATCGGCATTATGTCGCGCCTCTTGGTGTGTGCTAGGAGCCTCCATGGTTTTCTGTTCGCGGTGGAGAGGTGAGGATGCAGTGCTGCATCCTCGAGCTCCAAAGTGCTGCAGCTAGCAGGAGGATCAGGCAAGCGACGGCCCGGGAGGGGTGGGGACGATGAAAGGTGTTCGAGGGACACAAAGGGAGAGTGAAGAGAGAAAAGTGTCGGAGCTCTCTGTGTGAGTCGATCAGTCATCGATGGGGCCGGATGGAGTCAGCAGAAATATAGAATTTCCAATCCCATGTCTTGATCTCCACAGCAGTCTATTGTGGTACATCAAGTCGGGTGCCGCGTGGATGGAGCACCTGGGAATGCAAAGAAATTTGGCCGCCAGCGAGGGATCTCATCTGTCAAGGTGGGGACGGGTGCTGGCGAGGGTCCCAAAGGGGAGAAAGGCTCCATCGGATATGATTAGTGTGAACCAGCGCTCGGTGCGCAATCAGAGTCGAGAGTATGTACCCTGGCTCCACCGCCTCATCAGCTCGCCCTGATGATTGCGCGGAATCTGGCGATCGACAAATTGGTTGTGTGCGCAGACGCTGCTGGACCAATATTAACGACATTGTGGATGGAGCCGATGGAGTAGGAGGCTCCAGGAGGGCGTCCACTGGCGTCCACTGGGGATGATGCGCAATGAATGTGGACGAATGCGGAGAGCGAGAGGCCTAGTGGCTGTGGTGATGACCCAGTGGCGGTCGCAGGGTGCAGTTCATTGGTCTGTGCCTCAGGCCGCATTATTGTGGCCACAAAAGCCAGGCTCCTACATAAGTGGTCCAGGGGACCCTCTCTTTCTCTTGCTCTTCACCAGTCAGAGTCAGTCACTTCACACGGTTGCTTTCTCCCGGTTTCTTCATCCAACTCGAAGAATGTCAGGGTTTCTATAAGCGGCTGTGGAACGGCATCCCACATCCATGTTGTCCAGCGGGATCCATTCCTGCCAGGGGCGCGCACTAACCCTGCAAGCCTCCCACAAGCCCATGACGCCGGTGGCGAAAACAGATGGATATGTACAAAGAAAGGGTGTGGAGGTACCGAGTACCCAAAGCAGTACTGTACGGGGCACATCGCAGCAAAATGAAACGTTCAAGCCTACATACATAGTAGGCAATGGTCTCCACTATACCGTTGCTGCCGTGGGTAGCTATACATCTCGATCGTCCCCGCTCGGGTACTAAATCGCTCACGTCCAAATTGATCAGAATCCATGCGATATCATGCAACTCTGTGTTTTCGAAGAGGCATGTACATCCTCAGTGATGCGTTTGTAGTGCTTGCTGTGGCAAGGCTGGAAGGAGATATTGGCAAATCCGCTGATATCTGACCGATCATTACAATTGCAACCTATTTGGTCTAGTTTCCTGTCACCGCACCCCAAATATAGGCCACCCACGATCCAAGTACCAACAGGATCAAAGCTCCAAAAGCAACCGTGGAAGTGGCGCGAGTGCGGCGCCAATCGGTGACCAGACTGCGCTCTCGAATGCGCTCGATGATCTCCGCTCCGGACGAGAGTCGCTTCTTGCGAGTCCACTGCAACAACGCCAAGTTGTCGGTGAAGAATGTGCCAACCAAGAGAGCCATACCGACGATAGTGGCTCCAGCTCCGAGGACAAGATATACCTGCACTACGCGACGGTACGAGTTGTCATCGGCATCCTGCAATGCTCCAGTGATGATTCGGATGATGATGCTCATTCTGCGATCGGAAGTGTTAGTTGTGGCTACAATGTGCATTATGCAAGAGATACGTACGCGTTGTTCATGGTAACCTTCAAAGCATACGCAGAGCCAAATACGGATTGGTGCCAGAGCGTGGTGCGAATGCTATCAATGACCGAGGTAGGCCCGAGAGACACTGCAATGGCGTAGATACCAAATGCGGCTCCTGTTCCAGCCTTGGAAGTTGCGAAGTTGATGAGTACCATGCTCAGCATCATACCGAGGCCACAGGCGCACACTAGAGATCAATTAGCGATGCTACGATACCGTGTTCTCATGCAGCTCAAACTCACAGACAGATGCTCGGTTTCCGAAGACATCGATGAACACGCCCAGGCAAGGTACAAGGAAGAAGCCCGCATATTGCGACAAAGAACTGTACCATCCCGCCTTGATGGAATCGACATTGAATCGTTGCTCTGCCAGTTCTGTGGCATTTTGGGCGAAGACCGAGGCTGCGCTCGTTTGGAATATAGAGAATGCCATGACGGCCCAGAACATCCAAGGAAGTTCCAACATCTTTTTGAGCTCGAACTTCTTGTTCTTCTCGGTCAATTGCTCCTTGGTTGCTGCATCGCGACGTCCCTTGTAGTGGCGATTGCAGTACTTGTTGAAGAACCAGAACGCTGCACTAGCAAAGTTGGTAAAAAGGTTCATGAAAACCGACGTCCAAAAAACCCAGGAAAAGTTCCCTGTTTTCTGTGTTTCGGTCAGTACTGTCTTTGAGTGATGCTCTGTTGGTGAATCGGGGACATACCTTGGCAATGATATTGGCCGTCGACTTGCCGACGAATCCACCAATCTTACCGATCGCAAGTTCAAATCCTAGCGTGGACGCGAATCCATTACTCGGAGGAAACCACGAAGAGAACATCTTATACTGGGCGATCTGCGTAGCGATATCGCCCAACGCCAGAATGATACGACCTCCGATCATGAATTTGAATGAGCGCACCGTGGTGGCGGCAGCCACGAGAATCGATCCGATGGTGTACACGACATTTCCGTAAACGATCATTTCTGTTGCCACTGATCAGACAAATTCTTCACGGACTCGAGAAACTTCCCGAGGTCGCTTTCCCCCAGCTGTACATACCTGCACCACCCAATCGGTCGGTGATCACACCACTGGCCAACAGGAGGACCGTGGCCATGAAATTCTCGCTTGCTTCCAAGAGCGAGAACTCGGTATTGTCGATATGCATTTTCTGACCACAGTCAGCCCCGTCTGCCGCACTTCGCTCGACCCTTTCAGTACCTTCTTGATCGTGCTTTTCATCGCACCCGTGACACCAGAACTCCAGTGCGAGCCAAAACTGATACAGGAGATCAGAATGACGGCACATAGCTTTGCTACCAATGGAGGCGGCTTTTTCCCACCGTTTGAATCATTCTCAGACTCATCCGACGAGTGAAGCTCATGGATGGGGTCTGAAACAACATCCACGGATTTGGAGACTGAAGTATCGACTGCCATCATGACAGAGTGATACTGAAATTAGATGACTTTACCAACAGGGCTGAGGATTTCGAAATAACTTGAGAACTACGGCCTAACTCAGCGGGCCTTTGCTATTTATGCGGGATCGATCTCGGAGATTGATAAATTTCTTAATTCGCATAGTGGAACCTTGGAGCTGGCCAGCATGGGAAGTCTTGGCCGAATCTGAGCTCCGACCAAAAGAAGAAACAGAAGAAACAGCCAGGGAACAACGATCCTTTCAAGCTTGGCGCCCATCAGATAAGAGTTTAACGTCGGAGACTTGCCTCGAATAGACTCCACGCTACGCCCAGTCGGGACTAGAGCCCCAACTCACCACCCCCCGGCGAATCGTCGGCGATTTTAGCTCATCGGAACGGACTCAACAGCCATACAGAGGCCGTCTATGCTCCTGCGTGGGAATCACTTCGGTTCCTCTCCGATCCGTTTCCAGCTTCTAGCGTTGCGCACCCGTTTTCTTCCTTGCGTGAGATCTAAGGGCCTTGGAGCTATATTGCCCACGTGGTTATCGACCCGCTCGGTGTCTGAGAAGTCGGACATAAGTACTCGTACGAGCAAGGTCAACTGCTTCAATGGTTCTACATGTTATACGTTCAGACCCACGGGGTTGATGGGCGTTTTTCCACCGACATGAGACAGTCCTCCTTACCGGCCCACAGCCTTATCATGCCACCCTTCTTTTCACCAAGCGCCGCTCCGTATGGCGAGGAAGCCTCATACCTATGCAGGTAAATCTTGAACGATTTTCCGTCATAGATTGAGGGTCCGTGCTGGCGCCCTCGGCGTGTAGTAGTTTACTTCTTGTAGTCGGGGGCTCCACAGGGTTAACCTCCCGGCAGATTCAGTTGCCATTTCCGTTCAAATGAACGCCTAGAATGTGTCTTTCTTCACCCTGGTTCGACACGGTTGTATATTTCCCGTCTACATCAGAATTTTCAAAAGGAAGTCGACCTTCCGAGTGGCTGTCGGCAGTGTGTATCGTTTTGTGCCCATGTACATACGATTGCCAGTACTCAGTTACGCGTCAGTTCAAGCCTAGAGGTTGTCATATTTTCTATTGCTCCTCGTGCAGTGTGTAGACATTCTTATTGAATTTCTCGACAGTTGTGAGCGCCCCGGAGAGCAACTCACTGCATGTCTTACAATCGTGGTTGCTGTTTAAAAATGTTATGCAGACACACTCGCCAAATGAGAGGCAGAGCACAAAATTTAAAATGCCAAAATGCAGGTCAACTGTCGTGATGGTCTTTCCAATGATATGCAAGCTGAAGATCCAAATACAAATGCAACACCAAACGCCCTCTAGATCGATGTATCAATGATCTGATCAAAGCCGCTCCATCAATCCCTTGCGAACAGTCCACATGCGAGCTCGTTTGCCGTAAATATACATGGGTATTGACATGAGCATGAAAAATAATTGAATACCACCAATAGCAAGGAAGACGGTTCGTGAACCATCAGCCTCAAGCCAATCGACAATGAACAGTGAGAAGATCAGGCCATGGAGAACATCTGAAAAGTCGCATGTTAGTTGAGCCATGGGAATAGCGAGGGGCGAACATACTCTTGCTGAAGTTGAGAGTGACTAATGCCTCGCCAGCATACTGGCGATAGCTGTCCACACAAAAAGTAATGGCCGTCGTGCTGCCTAAGCAGCAGCCGAATGAAATCATACCAAAGAAAATGGTAGGCACGATCCAATGATCCCCAAGCTCAGCACTCCATCCAAACGCCATCAAGCCGATGACAGTCGACAGGGCGATAGGGATTGCCATAACAAGCCGGAATTCAGGCTCATAGATACCGCCGTTGCGCTTTGTCAGATACTGAGCGATAACATCGGACACTTTGCCCGCCACAGCGGTCCCCAGCAAACCGCCAACAAAGGGGGATATGTAAATCAGACCGGTTTGGAGGGCGGTAAAGTTATAGTGTGCTTTACCTTCGAAGATATGCGCGACTGATTCCGACAGCACGATCAGCCAACCTACTGACAAGGCATAAACCACTGTTGACCAGAGCACAGATGGATAGGCGAAGAGTACAAATGGACGCGCGGCAACTCGTAGCCAGCTGTCCTGTGCAATTCTTCCATTCCATATGCCCAGGAGCTGTGAATATGGAATCTTTGGGCGCTCGCGGAGACGGTTTGTGTATTGTAGTGTGGCCGTCAATGGTGTTCCGCTGGGCTCTTGTGATTCGGTTCTCGCCGGCGAGACGGCGGCTGAGCGCGCCGCCTCTAAGTCAGCTGGATGCGCATCAGGCACAAGAGCGTGGGGCGGTGGCTGGATTAGACCATCATCTTTCTCATTGACTGTGCTAAGAGGTCGAGGGTTGATCTGGCCACCTTCGGCCAAGTTTGGTTTCTCGGCATTGATTTCAGAGATCCCATCCTCTCCCTCGTCATCAACAAATCCGACATGCGCATTCTTGGGTCTTTTCGGGGCTAAGGTCGGATCTTGGCGGTCTTTTTCAGCAGGTTCGTCCGGGACTTGGACGTGCGGATGCCGCCCGCGGAAGCCATGGGAAACAATATCGGAAACACTGCGGCCAGGAATGCGTGGTCGTTTGGGTTTGTGCACACGAGGCCGAGGAGTACGGTCCCAGAACGTTTCTGGGACAAAGAAAAATAGCAACACCAGACATGCGCCCACGATGATTGCGACAATCCAGAAAACCCAGCGCCAGCTCAGACTTTCGATGATGGCGGCACTCACGAGAGGAATGAGATTCTTGCCGCCGAGTAAGAGAAGGGTGTAAATTCCCACACGATAAGCTCTTTCGTGGAGGAAGTAGATTTCTGCGATAGTGGCCGATGGAAGACACTCGACCGGGCTGACTGCAAATCCTTGGAAAATGCGGGCGACCACCAGACTAGGATAGTTGGGCGATGCAGCACACCAGATGGCCGAAATGACGAAGAGCGAAGCACCCAGAAGATAAATGGGTCGTTTGCCGTACAGGATCGCCGTGGGCGACATGACACAAGATCCCAGACCCAGACCAAGCATGTAAAAGCCAGTGGTAAAGGCAACTTGCTGTGTACTGACATTGTATGTTTTTGAAACATCGGTAAATCCAGCTGCTAGAATCGGGGTCATACCACCACCCATGAGGCAGTAGAATCCCAGCGAGACTAGCGCAGTGTCTCTCTGCCAGACCGGCCAATTCAACGGATCGTTCGCGGAATCATCCGGCTGCGGATCAAGCACAAACTGACCATCAGCCGTCCTCTTCTGCACAGGCACACGTGTTCGAGAGTTCGATCGCGATGGACGGTATGACGAGGAAAAAGACGATGTCGATGTCCGGTGTGGTTGATGGCTCATTCCGAGAGGCTCATTTCTATTTGACGATAGAAGCAGCACCGTTCCTAAACCATAGCAGTCACAAATCAGTCCCGGGTCATTCTTGTCTCGTATTTTGAGAGCAAAGCCTTCACTCACCAGGTACTTCATCAGTCTCCTTATCACTGAGAATCCCCAGCGTCGCTCTCGCACGGTAATTTGGATCTCCACTGGAGCTGGTTGTCTCCTTGGGCTTTCCCCCAAAGAGCCGTCTCCAGCGTGGGGCAGCTGGTTGCGGGGTATCGGTTTCCATCTCAGTGTCGTCTCTTGTAGTGGGATGATCTCCCTCCGGTGAAGCCATTCCGGCACGGGGAGGGAATATGAGAGCTCGGTAGATGTTATATTCTCAATCAATCTGTTTATCCACGGTCAGTCAATGTCTCGTCAATCCGGTATTGCCACCAAAGACCGTTTCGGGAAGTATTCCAGAACACACAGGCCGACTGAAACCACCGAGGCGTACTCACCCCTGTCTTACTAGTCGTTCTGACTGATAGTTCTCAGGTGGATGATCAGAGTGTTCTGGGTCTGCTATCCAGTGTAGGGAGCTTCTCTCTAAAGGTCAAGGTAGTCGCTCTGAAAACGGTATCAACGCTGGTTGATCCCAAGCGACAGCAAATGAGCCAGTTTCAGCTTCATAGCTCGATGCAGTGAGAATCAGTACGGGGATGTCCCAGAATATATGGCCATTCACCAGCTCCCAAGGATCACGGGGTACTCAAGCTGCTCGAAAAAAAAGAAAAAACGACCAACGATAACGCGATCGACGATCCCACATGTGGCAGCGGGGCGGTGAGACGTCTGGGTACCCACCGGGTACTTTTGCCGCCGCGTGATCGTCGCCGAGACCCCAGGTCACTGACAGGTACTCCTGAGAGATCAATTTGGCTTTGCAGATGCACGTTGATTTGACAACACGCAACTGTCTGATTTTCGGACTTTTTCTTTGCTTCCTGTGCAGATCTCAAGTGGCCACGTACATCCAATATGCCAATCTGCCAGAATCAGTGCAGTCGATATGGAGCACGAAGCTTAAACGGTCTCGTGGGATGCGGCCAATCCTGTACGCCAAGCCATCTGAACCCGGCAGAGCGCTTGTCGCGAGACTTTGGGGCTCATTGATTAGTGCCGATTTGCTGAAAGGGACGCTCATCTGATGCCCCAAGCTCATCTCAGGTGATCTCCAGAGGCGTTGGCTGCCGTCATCGTGCAGATGGCCAATCACATATCCCCTTTCCTTGGAGACAAGAGGAATAGCGGCCATCATCTGGGTTGTAAAGGATACCGTCTAGGGGAATCAGTCTGGGCTATTGACTTACCGAACCTACATTGGACGCCTTCGCCGTCATCGACTACCAATATGCTACTGGACCTACAACATACGAGCAGTGACCGGCCAATTATCCAATCTTGAATTATCGATGGGCCGTGCACCTTCAAGGATGTTGGACCCCGCAAAGTGATAGACGGGTCTAAGGTATGTTTAATTACACATTTGAAAGGTAGCCTTCTGATCCTGTTGCAAATATGTATGGACTGCAGGGTGTCTGAGTCCCGGTGAAGTGTCCGGATGAGCTGCTAAACCAAGGCAAGGGTCATGTCATTCAACGGGTTGTGCACTGTGCCGGCATAGTTCGCATATCGTCGGCAAGTACGGAGTACCTAGTAGGTAGCAGGTGTGCATGATGCGATGCCGATTACCTTGCCTGCTTGCGGCCCTTGAAACCTTGGAATGACCCAGCTTATGTGAGAACATACTCATCCTAGGCCACCGGCTGCATAAATATACTACCTCTTACCTCTACCTAGGTATTGGCTCAAGGTTGCCTAAAGACCACCCGCCGTGGGATGGCTCGCAGAGCGTCAGGGCGCGGATCTAGCGAAACCGTACTCCATGCACTTCCCTTTCTCAGCGCCAATCTACAAGTACTAGTACAGCCCACGTACGTTTGTCATCCGAGTTGTCTTTCCAGCAATTATTTGATCGGCTTGTGTGACTTCGAGGCCTCCTCCGACCAATCAAACTGATAGGACTGCCAGTGATACAGACCTCTGTGTCCACGGCTCCGGAGGCACCCAATGGCCCAGGTGTACGATTGGTATCTTGTGCTAAAAATCCATGGATGATGGGAACAAAGGAATGCCATAGCAGAGGCCCTAGAATTCCCATTCTCGTGCTTAGGCAGGTCACCTGCCGTCCGTGTATTCATACGGAGATGGATGTGATGGGTAGGCTAAGATTAATGCTGTAGTCATCTTTGGCGTGATTGTTGTTCGAATCTGTGAACACTGTGCTCGAGGTGTTTCGATCCTAAGAACATGTACTATGACCATGAATGACCGGGCAGATCTATAAAGTCGAGACACAGAACAAAAAGCAAGCATTCCAAAACTATGTGCAGGGGCAGAAAACTTAGGAGTGGGACTTTTGTCCGAGTGGCCTATACGGAGGACATATGGAGTGCACTATCTGTCAATCTCCATGCAGCTTCCCCCGAACACTCCAGGGCTGCAGACGATGCCCGTCAACTGGCATCAAGGGGGTGAACCAGCGCGCGGCGATTACAATTGGGCCGTTCGCGGGTGGGTCACGTGCCCTCCCCCTTGAGCGATTCGAGATTATTTTTCTCTTCGTTGTTGTTGACTATACTTGGTTTTAATATATATGTTCTTTTCGACCTCTCCATTTTACATTCCTTCTCCGATTCCATCCCGACCGTGAGGATTGGATTGTCTGACGCGACTTGGTGTCGTGGCACTGCTCAAAGAGTTCTCCGGTCTCGATAACAGATCTCTCTCCTTTATATCTCCCCTGAGACTCGCCAAATAGCTATCCAACCCCCTCGAAACTGACCTCAATTCACTCCTTCCGCGGGAGCTGCCGCCCAAAATGAAGATCAACACGTCGTCAATCCTTCTCTTCCTCCTTCCCGCCATCTCGGCCGCACTCGCCGATGGATCATACAATGACAACATTGAATCTCGAGTCTCACGGGAGACAGTCGGCGCCAACGCCCGTCTCGCTGACTCGGAGACAGTTGCGTCAAATGTTGCCAAAGGGGCGCCGGACGTCTCGGTCGATGGCAAAGATGGAAGACCGCACGCCGGTCCGTGGGTCGAAACCAACGCGGACCGTGATCGCAAGGTGACCAAGGGCAGTGATGGGATTGACTTATCAACAAAATACGACCCCAAGATTCCATCGTCGCAGCATTTGAGCACGGAAGGAGGAAAAGTGATCCCACATTCCAATGGTGGCGTTATGGATGATCCGTACCGGGCGGGCCCCAAAGAGGGCACACGCGGAACCGAGGGAGGTGTGTCCGGGAAAGCAAAGGAGAGCCAATATACGCCCGAAAAAGTGCCCGGAGGGCCAAAAGAAGCGCCTCCGCTACCCCACAGCGAGGCCAAGAAGCTGTCTGACAGCGATGACATTGTAATCGGGAGTGGAAGTCGGACAGCGGACGGCTCGGGCTCGCTGGGCAAGCTGGAGGTAAGTCCTTTCTTCTTTGAGGAGCAGGCCCGTACAGAGTAAAGAGTACTACTAACATGAGTTCAGAAACCCGCTGACCTGCCCGAAAAGCCCCACGATATCCCGCACCCCAAGCCCCCGACGATGATCAAGGACGATTCCCTTGACCTCGACCACGGTCTGAAGGGCTCGGGATCATCCTCGAGCTCATCCTCGAGCTCATCTTCGCTAGGCCATCACGAACATGATCTGGGTGATGCTGCGCCTGATGCTCTCCATTCTCTGGTTTTCTCGTTCACCATGATCCTGGTCTCAGAGATCGGTGATAAGACATTCCTCGTGGCTGCGTTGATGGCCATGAGACATCCTCGGATGGTGGTGTTCAGTGCCGCCTTCAGTGCTTTGATTGGAATGACAGTGCTCTCCGCAGTTTTGGGACACGCCGTTCCCGCCCTTATCCCCAAAAGCTTCACCAAGTTCATGGCCGCCATTCTCTTCTTGGTCTTTGGTGCCAAGATGCTCAAGGAAGGCCGTGAGATGTCTCCTGATGAGGGTGTCGGCGAAGAGATGCGGGAGGTGGAGGCAGAATTGGAGGAGAAGGAGCATGAGCAATTGCGCCTGGGCCGCCGTCGCTCGTCGGTCACCCCCCACAACCTGGAAGCTGGTCGTGCTGGAGGTCGCCCCAAGACTCGCGGCTCAGGCAACCGCTTGCCCTCTCCCCCGGAGAGCATTTCCTCTTCTTCGTCTCGAGGTTCTTCCCCTCACCCTCGCCAGCGCTTGACTGATGCCTTCTCTGGGCTGAGCAATCTCTTCTCTCTCCTTCTCAGCCCGGCTTGGGTTCAGACTTTCGTCATGACTTTCCTAGGTGAATGGGGCGACCGCAGCCAGATTGCTACGATTGCCATGGCTGCTGGGCAAGACTATTGGTGGGTCACTATCGGTGCGAGTGCTGGTCACGGAATCTGTACCGCCGCCGCCGTGATTGGAGGACGGGCGATCGCTGGTCGGGTCAGCATGCGCGTTGGTATGTATCTTCTCCTCTGCTACAGGGCTACCACTAACTCTTTCAGTTACCCTTGGCGGCGCTGTTGCCTTCCTTGTATTCGGAGTCATCTACTTCTTTGAAGCCATCTTCTAACGCACTGCATCTCGGCGGTTGTATGTGTCTACGGGAATTACAGTCTTTGCCGGTTGCGTCTATAAAAGTCGAATGTATCTTGTGACATACTAATGGTTTAATCATTCTGGCCCAATGGCCTCATCTCTGATCCACCCTAGAGTTACCATTGGTATATACTCGTAGGTCTACACTCAATTGGTTGATGCAAGCAGAGTCTAGGTTTTCAAGATGTGTGCAATGTATCATTCTCTCGTAGCAGCCCTGGAGGTATGGGTTGTCGGCTACTAGGGTTTCTGATTGGTTGGCATTAGGGCCTGGGTGTGGCCTTAGGGTCATGCCAACGTCACCTGATTTCTCAGGCACCAATATCGCCGGATGCGGCCACAACCCCTACGTATCATCATTCTTCCGGAGTCTTTGCATCATCAAACACAACAAACCCTTAGGGGATCTCGGCGACTATTTATCTCTCGACTTCCCCCCCTACGATGCCAGAATATCAGCCCTGAACATCAAAGCCTACTTTTCTATCGTCTGATTTATCTTTTACTCTTCAATCTACGGAATCGAACTCGCTTCAGTCCTGGTAGGGCGAAAAGCGACAACAAACAGCGGGTTCTGCACGTTCTGGCTCACCGCCAATGGCATCCATCATGGGGTCGCGCATGTCCAGAAGTCGGAGCCGACAAATAAGCGTGGAATCGGACAGGCTCACTCCTGCCACACTCGGGCGAAAACGTAAGTCACTGTTCAATGTTAGCGCAATGTCAAGTATCCGAGTCAAGTGTTTCTCCCAGTGGGACCTCACCACTTCGGGAACTATACTCGGTTATTCCATGATTGTCTGCATCTTGTCCACATCTCCTTCCCCAAATTATCCACCACCAAAGAAACCGCATTTGTTGTCGCATACTCTAACCCTCTTCCAGAACTTGGCGAGATACCTGAGGAGCCCTCTTCCATCTTGGCTGGCTCCACGCAGGTGGTACCTGAATCACCTGAAAATCATGAAGGCCACACCAATGTCTCTGGTACCACGCTGGGCCCCAACGATGACAGGGCTGTGGAGTCCCAACCATGGATGAAGGTCATGGACCACTTGCCCTTCATCCAGGCACAGGCGACCCTAGTCATGAATGTCTTAATTCCTCCGTCTTTGAGCCCCGACAGTATTTTGGCCGAGGCCAAGAAGCTTCGGGATTCTGCCCACCCAAACACTAAGCGCTTGAACAGGTCAATCCAGGGCCTGACTGATGAGATACAAGACTCGCCTCTTGCTACCGAGGGCGATATCTTGATAGATATCTCTCACTTTCGCACCGGGATCAGCCCACCCCAGCTTGAAGCATCCATTTCTGATGTTCACATGACCAACTGCGCCTCGCTGGCCTTTGTAATGTTTTGCCAAAGCACTGGCGAACCGCATTCACAAGCCATAGAAGACCTCGACGATCTCTTCCCGCTATGCTTGATGGAGAACATTGCGCACAACCCCGAGTCCAGGAAGATTGGAACCAGCGTCACACAAGACACGACGTTCAGCCTTGCCTTGAGCATCAGGACTCAATTCTTCATCATTGAAATCGAAAGACGTCAACAGGAGCTCAACTTCAATCCAGTCTCTATCCTGCGACAAATATTCTGCAAAGACCTCACTCCCAGCGAGGACAACCACGAGAACCCTGGCTCTTTCCGGGGGTTCAAGTTGCCAGGTGTTTTTGAGGACGAAGAGGGTCATCTTCCTGATGCCCTCCCCGAAAAGCTCCGACAATCTGTCAGTGACAGATTCTCCGATTTATACGAAGAGATTTCAGAATGGGATGGTGTTGATGTCGATGGCTTGAAGAAAGCATACAAGTGGCGGGCGTTTGAGCGTGATCTTGCCCGTTGGATCCATGCGCGCAGCCGCGAAATCAGGGAGGATATCCGTCGTGTCTCTGACAAACTCACGCAGTCATCCTCGCCAGCTCGTCGCTATACGCCACTGTCAGTGGGACCTCCTGCAAGACACACCCCAGCGAGGACTCCTGTGGTGGCCAACTCGACTCCCCAAAAGCAAAATCTTGCAAATGTGCCCCACGCAGCGAGCCAAGCAGCTTCGATTAATTCTCCTCCGGCGCCTTCACCTCAGAGGGTTCCTGCAACCAGTCCTCGCCCGCCTGCTCCTTCACCCCAAAAAGCTCCTATCCGTGTTTCTTTCGACGAAGCCGAATCGCCAGTCGTCAATAACCAGACTAGCCGCAAACGTCATGGGTATGACAACGTGCATTGATCTTGAGTTCCCTTTTACAACCACTAATACTCATTTTCCATTTAGCAATAATTTCCGAGACCAGTTCTCCTTTGAATTCTTAAAGAAGAAGCGCTTGGGCACCAGTCGCCCACAGCCTCTCTCTGTCGCCACCTCACATCCTCCGAATCATCTCTCCAATGGGTCTACGGCCACGGGTGCCGTCAACGGAGGTGATAACGCCGACTCTCGCGAAGTCCGGGAGTCCCCTGACCTTGGAGATCTAGACGACATTACATACGTCAACAACGATGACGATTTGGTTTTCGGCAATGACAATGAGATCACGGCATCAACAAGTCCCACGGCCTCTGCTCGGATCAACCGAGTGAGCCATAACCCAAATCAGTACAAGAACATGTCGCATGATCAAGAACCGCGGCCATCAATTGAGCAAAGCGGGATTGGTGGTGGATCTACCGTTCCGCGAAGATCATTCATCGATCAACAGAACGGGGCCGGCAGAGTCTCGCCAATCAACTACAACGAAACTGGAAGCGCAGAAAAGCCCCGCGCAGGGCCCTCTCTTCCAAATCCCAGAAAGCGACCAGTTTCTCGCTCATCAAGTGAAGAGTCGGATAGTTATGAGCGGGATGATCGTGACAACAACCGCCGGACGGAAAAGCGGCCACGTTTGCAGGTCACGCCAGGAAATGGGGCTGGGTCATCGCTTGGCAGCACCCATCAGCCAACCTGGATTATATCAGGGCCCGAACAGGAGGACCGTCCTCGCCATATTCGAACCGACAGTGGAGAACTCACCGATGGAGAGACTACAAACAGGCCGCTTCCAGCCGTCTTCCGGCAGCAATCCAATCCTGTTGTGCAACGAAGCCCGTCCAGCCGCCACGGAAGAGCTATTGGGAGGGGTGGCCGGTGGTCGGCCGAAGAAGACGCCCATTTCATGGAACTTATGAAGGAACATGGGTTGGGGTGGGCGGCAATCAAGCAGGCAGACGAAAGGTATGGTTCTAGCCGTGGTGGCCCTCCCCTCTTCCTTCGGACTCAGATCAACCTCAAGGATCGGCATCGTTGCTTAGTGGCCAAATTTGAACAGTAAGAGCTTCCCATATTATATTATTATCTTGTTGCTCTGTTGCTGACATTCATGCTTTCAGTGAGGGGAAACCTGTTCCCGAATTCATGGTTCGACCAGAAAAGACTTAACTTCTGCCCATGGAGTATCGGATTCCATTCTTCTTTCTTTTTTTGCTTTGGGTGTTGGAACGGCGTCAACGGTATACCCAATCTTGCTTTTTTGTGCTGCGTCTCGAATCCCCTCTGAGTGATGGCTTTGTTTCTCTTATGCGTTATGACTGGTCAGTCAGGACTTCGCGCTATAATGTCTTAATTGATCATTATTATGATACTTGCTTTGCGCTCTCCATGAACACATTGTTCACGGCTAATGGAATGCTATTGCTGAATTCGAATCACTATTACACCACGATAAGAGGGTCGCTGGACCGTCACGGAGTAAGTCGAGTTTACATAGCAAGCCCGACAAGGGCAGTTCTCTTCGGGGATGCCATTGGCAAATCTTGTAATTTCGAGAAGGATTTCGAAGTCCATCCGACAGCATTTATAAAGCTGGTCTAAGTAATGATTCAGGTGAAGTCAACATTAATAAACGAGTGTGAAGAATGATCGCATAGGTTGCGCACCAAATCCGACCAGCGGACTCAGTGCAAACAGCGTACATGCGAGACTCAATGAGCGAGGACACGGCGAGTCTATACGTGCAGGTGCAATGATTCAGAACGACTGTATAGATACAATCCCAGCCACTCAGGTATCAAACGAAATCACAGCAACAAACCCATGCCCGCAATGGCGGCGCCGATGAAAGACGAGCCAACGCGAATAGATCCGGCAGCGTTGTCGGTGGGAGTTGGGCTGGCGCTTGACTTGGCAGTCGAGATTGCGGAGCCGGCAGACTTGGAGGCGGAATTGGCGTTCTTGGAGTTGGCGGATGAGGCGGCGGTCACGATGCCGGTTGGTGCGGCAGCAGTTGAGGGCGCGACAACGATTCCACCGGCGGCGGTGACGGCGGTGGGCGCCGCGGTCGTCGAGGCAGACTCGGACTTATCGGAGCCGGCTACTTCGGTTCCCTGGATGATGGTGTAGGTATCCTTGCCGCCGCCTGGAGAACGTTATTAGTGATTATCTTTTGGGGTGATTGGGCCTAGAGCTTACATTTTTCTTCCGGCCATCCGGGGCAGGTCAGATCGCACTTGTCGTCGTCGACCTTGGCGGACTCGGCAGGAAGTTTGTCACCGCAGTAGCACATGTCACCGCGGCTGAGCGCGGCCACCTTGAATCCTTTGCTGGAGCATTGCTCCTGGCAATGTCCTGGTGATTGGAAGGTGAAGGGCCCCTGGCTCTTCATCGAGTCGACTTCGGAGTAGCAGCCCATGCTGGCGGTCGAGCTGGAGTAGACCGGCAGTGCGAGGGCGAATGCCGAGAGAATGTAGGAGGTATGCATGATTGGTATGGAACAAGAACGAATGGGGACGGAGTAAACAGTTCAAGGAAATTGTATAGTATTCAAAGAGAGATATAGCGAAAGTGACAGTCGTGACAGGAGAAAGTCAGGGTCCATGAAGCTTCTTTAAAGCACCCGGGGATTCGGTGCAGGAACGCCTGTCGGGCTCCATTTTTTCGATGATTTTTCTGTGGAGTGCGCTGGGGCCGATGACATCGCAGTCCCATTGATCGAGCGAGTGTAGCAAGTGATCATCCTGAAACACTAAGCGATATGTTCTATTGAAAGTGAAATGGGGCCGCACCGGGCTGATTGGCTTGCGAGGGAGCGATCGCCGGATCAGCATCCCCAGGTGTGGCGCCTTGCTTTCATTCTCAGAGGTCGACGGTGGCGGATCCCTCCGGTGGAGTGAAACCGAAGAACAGTTCGCGTGTTTCTAGTCTGCCACTTGACTCCTTTCAGCGTAGGGGGGACGTTTGGTGACATTGTGAGGCATCTGGCATTGTTTTGGAATCCGCCCCTTGTGAGATTCCACCTACATCATTCAGCGTTGGGGGCTAATATAATCATGTAGATAGATCGAACACCATTACTCTGTACACTGTGTCTGTAAGGAAGAATGTACTTCAATTAACCTTTAGGGTGCACTGTGTTCCACGGTTCCAATGTTGGTTGCCATGTTATTTCTGCCTGATTCCCCAGGCGCCATTCCCCTTTCCCTAGTTATCAGAGCCAGACATGACTGTCTCAGACCCATTTTTGGCCCGAGAGCTAGTATTCATTGTCATTGCTGGTATACGATAGCTCAATTCCCAGTTCTCCGATGCCATACGCCGTTCAGCCGATCTACAGCGCAGTAGTGTTGCCTATCCGAATACAGGTGCTCCATCAGGTATCGCCAAATCAAATGAGCCCCGAATACCTAGTAATTTCCGACCCTGCAATGTTTCTGCAGTACTAGTGTTTTCTACAGCAGTATGGGATATCTATTTTGTTCCAATTGTTGTGTACTCTTTCAGAGTCTTTCCACAAGACAACAAACTCGCGCTCAACATGACCTCGGGAGCATCTAGGACATTTCCTGTGAAGCGTGATCCACGTACTCTAGTCACTTGAAATGCGTACTAGTTACCTGCCCAGGTGATGGTGAAGCACAAGAAAACTACTCTGCTAGATAGTACTGTATAGCCTTGGTGGTCCCGGGGTCAGTACGGAGTACCAGGTGTCAATGCAGACCTGAAGGCGTGCTTCCCGGTAAATCCCTCGCAATCCTGATACGTTTCCCCATATGCCTCGGGCTGCGCGGAAGTTGGTGGTGCCCGATTACCCACAATCTGGCCCCGCAGGCCAAAGATAGGAGACTTGGTACGGCGTACGCAGTAGTAGTGCTTATACCGGTATGGTGAACTTGGGATTTCCGGGATTTGAGTCGGTCGATCGCGGGATGGAGAACCTTGGAAGTGGCATGTGCCTCCAAGTCTCCTCCAAGGCGGTTCTGCACACTTCCAAACTTCTCGGGCTCTCCAGGCCGGTGAAGAAATACGAGCGGGAACAACGTTGCCCTCAGGGCTCCAGGGCTGGAGTGGGGTCTGCCGAAATATATTTTGAGTCGTGACGCCTTTCTGCACGGGATGCCACCAAGAATTGAAATTTGCGCAATCATTATATGCCATGAAAACCTTGGAATATCCAATGTATAAGCACAGATAATTATCAAGTGATCTCCGTGAATGAGTGTTTTGTTTCCCAGGTGAATTGGACTATACCGGATCAGGAAATACCGAATTGGGACGTGCCGAGGGTCAAACAAGCATTCGGTGGCGGACAATGTTCACTTACCCTCTCCCAGTATCTTAAGGTGTTTCGGGAATCAACGCCCAGGGACATCGGCAGTAGACAGCCCCAACGGTCGATGCGACGATACCCCAACTCTCGGCAAATGGGCCCCGATGATTGGGCAATTCGCCTACGGCAAGGGCCGCCAAAGAGGGGGAGATAAGGCCCTTGACGTGCTGATGGCGAATCTCTGAATCCCTTCTGAAGTTGTTCCCAATTCCCCCGAGGTCATTCACGATGAAGAATCTCGGCTTCCTCGCTCTGGCAGCGCCTTCACTGGCCCTCAACATACCTACCCAGCAGCTTCTCTCCGGCGACTTATGGAGTAGCTTGTCCAATCCGCTCAAGCCTGTGGCACGGGAGACATGCCCGCAGCCATCCCAGGTGAGCACGCCCGACGATGGCTTCCACTCGTCGCAGACGTTCCTCTCCGACGAGGCCTTCCGGGCCCGCCAAGCACACCGACTCTCTCGCGCCGTGCAGATCCCGACAACAGTGGGCGACTTTGCACGCGACCCATATGATGAGGCTTTTGAACCTGTTGTCAAGTTTCAAGAGCTCTTGGAAGAGCTTTTCCCTTTGGTGTATGAATTTCAAAATTTCGCATCTTCTGCCGGTCAACCAATCACTAATTTGGCTCTAGACACCAGCGTGCCAAGGTTGAACACATCAACCGTCTTGGTTTGGTTTTCACCTTCGAGGGCGTAGAATCCTCCCGCAAGCCTCTGTTGTTCATGGCCCACCAGGATGTCGTCCCAATTGATGACCCCTCAGACTGGACGCACCCTCCTTTCGCGGGTGTTTTCGACGGTGAATGGATCTGGGGCCGTGGCGCAAGTGACTGCAAGAATGTCCTCATCGGCCTGATGTCCGTGGTCGAAGACCTACTCTCTCAAGACTGGAAGCCACAGCGGACAGTCCTGTTCGCCTTCGGATTCGATGAGGAATCGCACGGTTTCCTCGGCGCTGGGGCTATCTCAGCAGCCCTGGAGGAAAAGTACGGCAAGGATTCCTTTGAGTTCATCCTGGACGAGGGTGGCATGGGGCTACAGAGTCTGGGTGGAGAGTCGGACTCCAGCAGTGAAGTCTTGTATGCTCTTCCAGCGGTCGGCGAAAAGGGTTCTCTCGACCTGATCATCGACATCGCTGTGCCTGGAGGCCATAGCTCCATCCCCCCAGCGCACACTGGCATCGGCATCATGGGTGAAATCCTGTACCAGCTCGAGCGCAAGGAGCTGTTCCCCGCTTGGTTGGATAGCAACCACCCAGCTCACGGAATGCTCGAATGCCAGGCACGGTACTCGTCCGACCACGTCGAGACCTGGCTATCCGAGAAGCTCGAAGCTAATGACCCTGCAGCTCTCGGTGAAGCCGTCGCCAGCTCTCGCGGCCCCGCAGTCCGTTATACTATGCAGACCTCACAGGCCGCAGATCTGATCCACGGTGGCGTGAAGACTAATGCGCTGCCCGAGAAGATCTCAGCTGTTGTAAACTACCGTGTGGCGTTACACCAAACACCGGACGAGCTCCGTGAGCGTGCCGTGCGAATCATCAGCCCCATTGCAGAAGAGCACAATCTCACTTTGCATGTTGCTTTCCCCGGCGTGGAACAAAACACAGATGAGGGGAGCGACCGGACTCTCACCCTTTACCCACTCAGCAAGCCCCTTGTTCCGGCACCGATCTCGCCTACTGATCCGCTCACGTCGAAGGTGTGGGCGCACTTTGCCGGCGTGGCTCGCAGTGTATTCGAGTCTCACTCGAATCCTCTTTCCAAGTCTACGTCTAAGCCGACCGTGGTTGTCACCGGCGATGTCATGACCGGTAACACCGATACTCGCTTCTACTGGTCTCTCTCTGAGAACATTTATCGCTGGAGTCCCTCGCGTGCTGGCGGGTCACTGAACATCCATACTGTGGATGAGCGGATTCTACTCGATGTCCATTTGGAGGGCATGATGCTCTACTACGGTTTGTTTACTCTCAATAGTATCACTCTTGTGTAATCTAGCTAACCGATGATAGACCTGATCCGATCTTTCGATGGCTGGGACGGTAAGTCCGAGTAGACGTGAGGGTGGATTGGTATACCACTATACCACTGGTTCAGAACCAGACATCTGGAATGAAACCCCCCCTTCTGAATATGACGACTGCGTAGGACATTTGAATCGAAACTACATACCATTTGGGGTTGCAGTGGTTTGTATATACATCATTGATCGAACAAACTTCATAACCTTCGTTATTGGTGAATATCCAAACCCCAAAGGCGATGTTTAGACTCTTAAGGTCAACATCCCCTCTGTCGATATAATCACCTGGGCCTTCAAGGCTCATGAATTTTGATTTTCCCTCTTTTCTCCCCCGAAATCCTGAACATGATTGCTCGAAAACAATAAGAACTGGGGAGGATCACCTCCGCCCAGCTCCGAACAGCTCCGAACCTTGAAGGATGGATGCCAGCCTTCGAGAATTTTTATTTAATATGCTATCTAAAATATGGTATAGCAAGGTCGCAAGCCCTGAAGTTTATCACCGAAGCCAACATATACTCATCATCCCGATGAACGCTCGATGAGAGAGTATAGTAACTGATGCATACCACCAAATCCGACCAGGTCCAACGGATGTCGAGTCAAGACTCCCATAATCTTCATACACCCGGATCCAACAGCAGCGCTATGAATGGGTGTGGGCAGAAATGATTCACGTTGAAAGAAGATCGTGCACCTCTTTGATCCAATCTGACCAAACACGTCTTGATCAAAGATTCCAAAGTACTCCATACGGCCTGTTGGAGTCGGAAATAGAGAAATCCAGATTTATGCCATCGGGAGGCCAACGAGAAGTGAAGAGATGCACTAACGCACAAGCAATGGCGCAAAAGATCCTCCCATGACCGGACGAGCGACGAAGGTGTTTTGAGGGTAACTGCCATTCATTAAGAAAAATCCATGTACGGATGCAGAGTTTTTACTCACTTTCCCGACTCAGTATCGTACAGATCGGTGAGGGGTCGGTTAGTTGGTGTCTCGTTAATCCAAGTAGCGAGATCCTTGAGGAACATGTCTCGGGTTTCGACCGAAGAAATGGCGGCAGTGAAGCACTCCCAGTCACCTAACATCATCAGCACCCATCAAATAATTGGAATTAATTTGAAGTACTTACTCTTTGTGTAAGCGTGACGAGTATCCAGAGGAACGCCGTACTTGTTCTCAACGGTTGGGTAGAAGTCACTCTGCATCTGATAAACGGACTGCGGTACTAGGCCAAGGCCCAGCTGAGCATCCGCAAACAGGTTGTATAGTAGACCTGTGTGACAGGTCAGTAATGCTACATGAGACTAAGATAAACAGAAGCCTACCATGACTGCTAGCATCCCCGTATGACAGAGTCGTCCGGGGTGGATTGGCATCTTTGGCAATGGCCAGTTCCTGCCACTGGGTAATATAATCATGAGCAATACTGGTGAAATTGGCAGCATCGTCCTGGTGACCGGTCTTGTTAGCAATGACAGCCATTGCCTGAATGCCGATCATGCCCTTAAGCGCTAGGTTGGTTTGGTTTCTAATCGAACCGGTCAGTTTTGGACCGCCAGAGACAGGGGGCAACTCACGCGAGGGAGCCGGCAAAATCATCGGTGGAAATCTGGTTAGCAGGGTAGAGGGAGTCGGCGACCAGATAGCTAGTCCACTTCTTCAGCAAGTTGTAGTGGAGGTTCAGGTAGTCGGTGTCTTTGGCCTTCTGCGAGTAAGCCAGAGTCATTATCAGCATATCTCCACACTCTTCCAGTGGCATTTTCTCGTCGCTGCCGTCGGAATGGCCCGTTGCATTGGGGTATGACGAGCCCATGTCGTGCATAGAATAGTCATTAGGGTATTTTCCAGCCTCCTGGTTCTCAAACAGCGGATCGAGGACCAGCCTGAGGAGAGCAGGGTTGGAGTACAAGAAGATCGGGTAGGCGGGGAACACAACATCGACGGTGTTCATGTTTCCATCGGAAGATATCTCTTTCAGGAACAAGTACGTTTTCTCCTGAGTACCGCATAGTTGAGTAGCACCGAATGCCTGTCGGACCGAAAGGGAAGTAATCGTGAGATAGTCCTGGCCAGCAGTGGCTATGGAGTCCTTGGCCACTTTGTCGTCAAACCAGGTTGAAAGTCTCGTAGCCTCTCTGTAATCATGGTGGAAGAAAGCGAGCGCAGCCAGTTCAGTATCGAAATAACTCTTCCATAGAGACGGAACAGGACCGTAGGACTGCGCACCCTCGTATTGCGCAGCTTCATCCTGTGTCAGACCGAGCGAGAACAACGTGTTGACGGGCGATGACCCAACTGAGCCCAAGTTTGAGGAAAAGCCGAAGACAGGCCAGTCGTCGTGGATAGCGCGGAAGTTGGTATCGCCTTTGTTCGCAAGCTTGCCATTGTTGCGGAATTGGGAGCGGACAACAGTGTCTGCGCCCGACTGGTAGGTCATACCAGGAGAAGTATCAGTAGCCCAGTACCAGTAACCCCATTCGCCCTGCTCATTCTTCTCGGAGAAGGCTAGTTGAGTCTGTCGGTGCACCTTGTGGTACGCGACACCATCGGTAGTGCCATAGTCCCATTCCGCAACTGCATTGCGGTCGCCAGAAACCCATTCTGCTCGCGACTCAGCCGCTGTATGTTAGGGACGAGCTGGGAGTTACATACCTGCCGAGATGTCGGCATATACCTGCACATCGTGGTCCTGGCCATCGAGAGAAGAAACTTCAACATTGAGATACGAGAACACAAGAGACTGGCGCTTAAAGTCTTCCGGGGTGATGGGCGACAGGAAGGTAATTTTCATTTTGAGCTTGTCATGGACATGCATGGTGAAAATACTCTTAGTCGAGGTGTACTCGTAGGCAGTCTGATTGACCGTGTCGGTGCCGGGCAATCCCATCCACGTATACACATCGCCATCTACACGAATCATACCCGCCCAGGCCGTAACTTGGTTTCTAGGACAAGATCAGCACAAAATATCCGCATTTGATCTATCTAAAGTCTAACGGCACTCACTGCCAGAACACTGGCCATTGGCCAGCCAAGTACCCACCATTGCCGCCGTCACTTCCTGCATCAAGCCAAGTGCTGAGATACGGCGATCGGACAGCGAGAGGAATCGCAGGTGGCCGGGCCGGCGAGAACGTGGATTGGGCTCCGATGGATGTCACCAAGGAGGCGACCAGCAGACCCAGAGACAGCTGCATCTTGGGCGAAGAAAGGTGAAATTCCAAATCCACGCCAGGGACCCTGTTGGATATTTAATCTCAGCAGTAGTTTCCCCGAAGTTCGGTGGCGCAGAAGTCAGACGGATACCTGAAGACAGGGATCAGCATTGTGTTTACAGGGGAGGAATGTCACGACATTTTTATAGTCGAGCTCAATTTACCTCGCCAGGGGGTTGCCCGACATCTTGGACCCGCTGCCTGCATGCCAGAATGTGATCTCGACGGAATACTGAAGCGGTTGTCCTGAAGGTTGCAGTTGACCTGCATCTCACAGCAGACTGAATTCAAAGCGCTTCTGTTCCCAGTCCGAATTCAGATCGAGTCATAACAGCGTCAGATGATAGCGGCAGGTGAAGCAAAATAGACAAGAGGATAATCCAGAAGCCCCAAATGTGTCAGGCTTTCCCGCCTTTCAGAAAGCGGATCTCCTGGTCGCAAGACAAGCGGTCCAAGCAAAATCAGTGTACTGGGGCGATCTGATCTCGAGGGTCGGTGAGCGCCTTGCAGGTGACTGTTCATAACGGTGTCCAGGTATGGGGAACTAAATGATACTGCAGAAGCAGAGTGTGAACATACCTAGGTACAGTCTAGTCATAATATGATATATTAAGACGATAGTAGGCTCGAATGCTGCGCGTGAACTCCGGAGAAATGGGATATCAGAGCCTTTAACCTTCAAATGCCTGCAGCACGAATATCTCGTAACTCGTATAGTCCCTTGCAGATCTTCAAGTGTTGAATATTTGGCTTAACATGTATTCCTGCACCCAAGTTATAGTGATCTGAGAGACACGAGCGTCATGCTGCTAGATTCCATGCACTTCTAATGTCCCATCTAAAGAATCTATAGCACCCTCGAGTCACTGTTTATTTGGACTTGCTTTCTAACATCATTTCCACTAACTTATCATATCCCTCAGCAGCAGCTCGTGACAGTGGTGTCTTTCCATCAGAGTCTTGGGAATTTATATCAACCTTTCCAGTATCAAGAAGCATTTTCACCACCGACTCACGCTTCCATCCAGCAGTAGCAGCGAGTGCAAGCGGGGTCTGTCTATCATTATCTCGGGGCTCAAAATCAACCTCTCCAGTGGCAAAAAGGAGTTTTACCACCGAATCATTCCCACCTTTAGCAGCGAGTGCAAGCAGGATCTATCCTTACTTATCTCTGGATTCAAGATTAACCTCTCCAGTGGCAAGAAGTAATTTTACCACTAAATCATTCCCACCTTTAGCAGCGAGTGCTACCAGAGTATATCCATCATTATCTCGGGACTTAATATTAACCTCTCTAGTAGCAAGAAATAATTTTACTACTGAATCATTCCCATCTTTAGCAGTGAGTGCTACCAAAGTATATCTATTATTGTCTCAGGATTCAATATTAACCTCTCCAGTAGCAAGAAGTACTTTTATCACTGAATTATTCCTACCTTTAGCAACGAATACCATCAGGGTATATCTATCATTATCTTAGGACTTAATATCAACCTTTCTAGTAGTAAGAAGTAATTTTATTACTAAATCATTCCTATCTTTAGCAATAAATGCTATCTAGGTCTATCCATCATTATCTCAGGACTTAAGATTAATCTTTCCAGTAGCAAGAAGTAATTTTATTACTAAATCATTCCTACCTTTAGCAATAAGTACTACTAGAGTATATCTATTATTATCTCAGGACTCAATATCAACCTCTCCAGTAGCAAAAAGTAATTTCACCACTGAATTATTCCCACCTTTAGCAGTAAGTACCACCAGAGTATATCTATTATTGTCTCGGGACTTAATATTAACCTCTTCAGTAGTAAGAAGTACTTTTACTACTGAATTATTCCCACCTTTAGCAACGAGTGCTATCGGGGTATGTCCATCATTGTCTCGGGACTTAATATCAACCTCTCCAGTGGTAAGAAGTAATTTCATCACCGAATCATTCCCACCTTTAGCAGCGAGTGCCATCTGGGTCTGTCCATCATTGTCTCGGGACTCAAGATCAACCTTTCCAGTGGCAAGAAGCATTTTGACCACCGATTCATACCCCCAGTAAACAGCGCTTGCAAGTGGGGTCCGTCCTTCATTATCTCTGGAATCGATATCAACCTTTCCTGTATCAAGAAACATTTTCACCACCGAATCGTGCCCCTTCAAAGCAGCGGCAGACAGCGGGGTCTCCCCAAAATCATCTCGTGAATTAATATCAACCATTCCAGTCCCAAGAAGCAACTCCACCACCGACTTGTCCCCTTTGTCAGCAGCGTGAGCCAATGGGGGGCTCCCACAACCATCTCTGGACATAAGATCAACCTTTCCGGTATCAAGAAGCATCCTCACTACCGACTCATGCCCCTGAAAAATAGCCCATGATAGCGGGCCCATTCTAGTAAAGGCAGAGTCACAGGTGTTCACATCATTGATTCTATGAGCAAGAGCCTGTCGTAATATTGCATCAAGTCCGAAGTAAGATGCAATAAGAAAGGGGGTATCTGTTGGAAAGAATCCACTTTCCAGATGGGAAGCGCCTTCTGTGAGCACTACCCAAGTCTTGAATGACTCAGAGTCTGGAGTGCAGAGACGATAACCAAGAGTTGCTATGTCACTTGGAAACTCGACATCAGCCTCCCGGAAGTGTTCAGTCCAATGTAAGAGCGAGTATCCACAGAGTATTTCTGAACAAGCCTTAGATGCATAAGCGTCAATATACCGCAGGCATGTCTCTGCGAGAAGTCTATTTGACTGCACAACCGAAAATTTGTGATTCCAGCTAATAGGTGATGGGAGGCTAGGCGATTTCTCCGTGCTCTGGACCAGAAACTCCTTAACGGTTTGATGAAGAAGGTATACCTTGTCGTCAACATGCACCGTCATCAGTCCACAAAGATCTCGGAGAGTAGCTCGGAATCGCTCAGTAGGCTCTGTCTCTTCCGTTATCTGGTCATGAGATGGACACCTTCTGAACGCCATGGCTAGAGCGAGCTCTTCCACCGAGAAAGGTCTTTTTGCAGCCAGGATGAGGTGCAGCAGGTGGCTCGCTCTATGATGATCCTTGCTCTTTCCCAATATCTTCTCATAGGCAGTGTCGACTGAGTCGGGGAGATCATGCATTGCTTGGCAAACGTTTCCCTTCGTGAAACCATCTAGGCCACTGATGTAACTGAGAGTAAGAGTGACCCAGAGATATGTTCGATTTCGTGATGCGGTAAGATTCTCTTGCAAAAATTCTTGCTCGTGATGCTCCAACCTCTTTTTGCGGGACATATCGGCAACTCTCTTCCTGATTACCAGATTGATCTCACCAGATATTTTTTCGATCTCAGACTTGCCTTCTCCGTTCAAATGAATCGAAGGCATTTGATCTTCAAGCTCTTGAAACTCAGCACGGATTTCACCGTAAGGTCTGCTTGTCAACAGAAACTTCAGCTTGTGGTCATTGCTGCCATCCAAGTAGTAGTCACGGACGCAGCCAATGAGCTCATTCCTGTCATCCTTTCGGCACTCGTCCAATGCATCCAGTACGCAGACAATTTCACCAACATTATTTCTGGCAACGAGGTCCATGAACAAGTCCCACAGACTGCGGAAAGACTCAGCCAGCCTTTCGCCTTCTTGATCCATCTTGTCTAGCACGGAATCGGTTATGAGAGACGGCTGAGCCATCAATATTTGGCGAATGAGACTGGCAAGTGCAATTGCGGAGGTCCTCTGGTCCGGATAGTCGTCTCGAAAGAAGAAGTAGCATATTGTTCGTTTCCTGGCGCTTGGAAGGACCTCGTCCACCAGGTACTTGGACAAGACCGACTTCCCGCAACCTGGATCTGCAGAGACCCACAGGAGTCTTGAACCATCATTCTGGTCCCATTTCCGGAAAAGGGAGTGGCCGGTGAACCATTCACAGGTCTCAAGAACACGATCGTCAACTCTATCTTTTCTGTCTCTGTACGGACATAGGTTGAGTGTCTTGAGCAAGATTTTGACCTTTTCAAATCGTTGGGATGTGGTCTGCGAGACTTGATGTCTTTTGAGCGCTCTGTCAAACTCCAGTGAGATCTTTTCGCAATCTGATCTCCTATTCGCCGCGTCGATCAGCTTCATGAAGTTTTGAGCCTCGACATCCTGGCTCATGATGCTTGCTTTCAAAGCATCCCACTGATCCAATTTGAGTGCATTTCTGGAAGCTTGAACAAAGGAACTTTTCCGTAGGAAGTATAGAGCCCGAGCCTGGAATTCGAGAGTTTTGCAGTACAGAGAGATCAGCCCTGCTTTGAATTTGACCATGAAATCAGCAGGAACATTGGTCTCTGACTTCAGGTATAGACCCTCCATGGCATCAAGCCGGGCAATTAAGCCTGAGGTCGCTTCTAAACCTTGCAGCAGGCTGTCCTTTTGGTCGGCTGCTTGGATGAAGAGCTCATCAAGAAGTGTTAGCATTGACCTGAAATTCTGTATCTGAGTGAGTGACCCACCAAGAGACAAACAGTGACACCAGCACAGGCCAAAGCTGCTGGAGGACTCGAAGATGCGGCAGTGGTGACCAGATCTTTCATTGCGACAACATTTCGAATGACCCGGGTGAGCTGTTCTCTGACCTTGAAGTAGCGGTCATCAATCCGGATCACCCATTCCTTTTGGTTCAGTTCGTCTATCCTGGCATTAAGGAACGTGTGGATTTGCTGGTTTGCTCCGTGAGCCCCCGGATCCAAGCCGTGCTCTGCAAAAATGCGAGCTGCCTTTTCCAATATCGGCTTCATGTGTTCATCTTGATCAAGCTTTTGCCTTGCTCTCTCCCGAAGGTTCTCAGAGTCTTCAGAAGGGGTAGTCGTGAGGTCGCTCCCTGGAGAGGATTGCCCTCCCAGTCTCCCGGCCTCTCATAATACAGCACAGACAGTGTCTGCTTCTGTGTTGTTGACTGAAATTCCTGAGCTCGCTGTGATTGTGATGGACTCGTCGGTTCTATCTTGTTGAAGGATTTTCGGTTTGTCTATATTGACTGCTCCTTTGGATCGATCGCGCTTGAAAGCGAAGAGCTTAGAGCGAAACCGACCCATCTTGTGTTGTTGTTGTTGTTGGTGTTGTTGTTGTTGGAAGGAGGGGCTGTTTTGCCCCAAGATTTAGCTGAAGTCGGGAAATCTGCCTGATGTGAGACTCGGCGCTAAATCATGCAGCAATGGGAGGACAGGGGCCAATCAGCATGATGGGGACACTTTCGGGGCGGCAAAAGCGAGAGAACAGATGCCACAAGAGCCAACTGATCTTAGTTGTCAAAGAGAATAAAGCATAGACTCGGTGAAGTGAGCCCATGAGGTGACAGCCGTGAGACCCATCAAACACCCGAGTCAACGATACACAGATCACTCACGCTGACAATATTTCCTAGGTTTTCCTCTAATTTCTGGATCGCTGTGCTCCTAGACTGTCTTGACACATTGGAATATGGACCTCCGTACATTTTCAACAGTCCGAAACGAGAAAGGGCTTTCACAAATATCAAAATATCAAAAAAAAAAAAGCTGACCACTTCCATTTACTGATCGCATGGGAAAATGACTCTGTGCCTTCATCAGGAGCTTGACAGTAGACTCTCATGAAGGCTTGAGTGGATGGGTAGTCTCGATGATGGCAGAAATGCTTAGCTTCCTAATAGGACGGGTTAACGTCGGTATCAAGAGGAACTACCCCGTCGACAAAATCCTCTAAAGCTTCTCATCGATAACCTGGCCATTAGTGTAAGAGACTCGGAGGTAGGTAAGGCAATCATAGTGCTAATGAAAATTCAAGTGATATCTTCTATTATAACGTAGAGTATAAGATAGATATAAAGAGGCTAGAGTGAAGAAGAGTGAAGAGGAGTGAAGAAGAGTAAAGAGGAGTAAAGAGGAGTAAAGAGGAGTAAAGAGGAGTAAAGAGGAGTAAAGAGGAGTAAAGAGGAGTAAAGAGAAGTAAAGAGGAGTAAAGAGGAGTAAAGAAGAGTAAAAAGGAGTAAAAAGGAGTAAAAAGAAATAAAGAGAAGTAAAAAGGAATAAAAAGGAGTAAAGAGAAATAAAAAAGAGTAAAAAAGAGTAAAGAGGAATAAAAAGGAGTAAAAAGGAGTAAAGAGGAATAAAGAGGAGTGAAGAGGAGTAAAGAGGAGTGAAAAGGAGTAAAGAGAAGTAAAAAGGAGTGAAGAGGAGTAAAAAAGAGTAAAGAGGAGTAAAGAGGAGTGAAGAGGAGAGAAGAGAAAGGGAGTGAAGGGGAAACTGAAATTATGGCCTAAGGCAATGTCCGTAGATGAATGTATTAGGAACTGTGGAATATTAAATCTTCCATTCTACTCACTTCGAGGTTCTTCGCTATATGTCTTCTACAAGTCACCTCGTTCAAGATCCAAGTTCTTAATGAAATTCCCTCCTATAGAAGCCAACATAGCAGCATCCAGCATCTGCTGCTCCACACTCGCTCACAATCATCCAGACCATATCCTATGACGGAGGGAAATAATTCGAGCTCGAGGGCAACTTCTTCAACAAGCCCAAGATAGTGTGCTGATTCGTCACGACCAGCGGTGGAAGAATAGCATGATATTCATGGGTGTTCAAATCGATACTCCCACGCCTCCCATGCTCCCAGCAAAGAGCCAGGCTCCGTGCATTGTTTTCCACCTGAATCCTCAGCTTTACCCTCTGGCGCGCTGTATCAATCGGCTCATCCGGGCCGACCAGCTGCATTCCAGTCGCGAACTCACTGGGGACAGGAGCACCGGGGAGTGTTTCACGGATGAACTCTTGCTTGGAGATCTGCAACAGATCTCCCATGACGACGGTGCTATTTCTGGGGCCACAGATGATACGAGCCCCGAGACCCCAGACGAAGGGTCGGTAATTGGTTGTGTCGACTTGGTTCTCGGTCATATTCCCGACTACCCACTCGGCGAGAGTGTGGATTTCAGAAGAGCAGTAGTCGGTTGTGCCAATATGATATGCCACAAAGGGCTGCTCGGGGGGATCTTGGGATAGTTTCCCGGGCAATGAGTAGTCGTCGTCGCGCAGTCTGAACCACCCGTCGTTTTACTCTCGGTGAGATGGTAATAATGTCCTTGGCTGTATATCGACCAGTGACAGTGCTGAAATGGCATCGTCGACAGACGATTCCATCTGTTTGGTCGAGCGACGATGTATACGCCATACATTGTTGGTTGCTTAGGGTCGGGATCCGAGAATTCAGGGAGCTCAAATTGCTGATGGACTTGACGATACCCTTTTGCCAACAGAGGGAGATTGGGCGAAACCAGTCCATTCAAATACATCTCATATAAATGTTGTCGAGACGAGGGTCGGTGTTGTTCACCCAAGATCTCCCGGTTGGTAGGCTCTTTCATGCCTTTCTCCATGGTCGCCTTGTGCAGACGATTGCTCAGAGTTACCATATTGAAGGTTGGAGGATTCGCAATGAAGATTGTGAGAGATGGTTGTATTTTCCGAGTCAAGACTGATCTTCCACTGTCCTTATATCTCTGTATCTCTCTGGTCGCAGCATATTTGGGATGAAAGCGACCCGATGTGCTCGGTCAATGGATTTTTATTAGAATCGCCATCTATAGCTTCGCCAGTGTCTGAGAACGAGTGTAAGCCAAACCGTTGAGACTAGGAGGGATCTGCCTCACGCATCCAGAGCCTCATGCCTGCGCTTGGTATGTTAATATTAAGGATTTAGGGATTTTTGCTGTAAGCGCCTTGCGCTAAACGGCGCATCGAGGGGCAGCGCAAGGTCGAGGAGGGTATAACATGGACATTGATGCCAACAGGAGTCAGGGGGTCAAATACAAGCACAGCGTCAACCTAAAGCAAAAGGGCGTCATCACTCATTCATTCTGCCCCTAAATGGTCTGGAATAAGCAATATAACGATGTACAGTGACTGTATACACAGTATCGATAAGCGTGGGGCTGAAGTAGACCCCTATCCCCAGCCACAATCTCACCTTTTCACCTCTCAACATGTCCATAGCAAAGCTTTTCAGCATAACGACAGGGGACTGTCCATTCGAGGACCTGCTGCCAGCCGCGTTCCGAGACGACAACCTCACCTTCCACGCCCCACTCAGCGACATCTCCCAATTCCTCCACCAAGACCTCTCAGTCCAGCGCCTAAACGACATCCAAAAATGGCTCTGGCTAGCAGGTCGGCCCATGCCACCCCGACCCCTGAACTACCAAATTTCCGTCTCACGCCAAATCATCGTGGATGAAAAAGTCGACATGCATCTCGTCTGGGGCCCCGCGCGCCGTATCCACCTCAAACCCCTCCCAGCGTACCTCCTTGACTCGCGCTTCTGGTGCAAGCACCTAAACGAGAGTAGAAGCACAGCCGACGGACAGCAAATGCCAAGTCGCAATAATCCCTGGCCGCACTCGGAGCTTGGCAAATCCGCCTTGGGCTTTCTGAGCTCGTATATAGCGCTGATTGAGCATCGGAGTGATTTCGCCATCGCGAAACAGCACTGCCTACTCCCTGACTCACTGACGTGGGCGCAGTGGTCAGGTCTGGTGCGAACGCTGCTGCAGAACGAGCTCATCACGCCGGATAGTATCAACCGTCGGTATAGATTTGGGGAACTGCGCCTCTCGCGATTGAATAAGATATACGTTTGTCAGAAAGGCAGCTTCCTGCGTGGGTATAGGTCCAAGTATCAGACGTACGAAGAGCTGTTCCTGGCGTATTTGACCCCCATCACGGCGATGACGGTGTACTTTGCGCTCGTGTTGACTGCGATGCAGGTTGGGCTGGCGACGGACAAGTTGCAGCATAGCGGGGCGTTCCAGAATGCGTCGTATGGATTTACGGTGTTTTCGATCTTGGGACCACTCATCCTTCTCTTTGCGGTAATTGGGATCGCGGTGGCGCATATGGGGGCGAATATACTGGCTACGCTGGTCTTCCGGAGGAAGAGATCCAGTTTCTTTCGACGATTGTAGAGAGGCTTGCACCTGTCATATAAATTGATCTGATACCTCCCATAGAGTAAGCGTATACATCTAAAGCTACAACAAATACACATAATTAACATCCCAGCTCGAGCATACCCCCAGACCATATAGACTGTACCATCTGACTCCATCTTATGCACTGCGCGCCAACTCGATACAGAACTCACCCCATTCTTGGCCTCCATTCAGAGACAGAATCTCTTCCGCGATGGCCTCTTCCAGCCGCTCCCGATATCTCCGTCGATACTCCGTCTTCACCTGCGCCAGGTGTCTAGGTTCCCAGTGAAGTCTCACAAGACGGGAGATGAGCAGTTCAGAGCGTTCGCGGCCACTCTGCGATTCCCGCAGAGCTTGGTGGAGAAGAAGAGCGTCGCGCATCGGACGATTAATCGCTCCATTGAGAATGTGAGCCAGAGTTTCTCCCTGTAGAGATAGACATCAGTGTCATGACCAGCCAGCAAAACCAGAATTACATACCACCAGGTTCCGAGACTTCTGAATCATAGCCTTGGCAAAGTTATGCCGGTACATATCCTCGTAAGCGCGAAGCACTTCGCGCAGATGTTCATCACTCCGCAAAACAATAATCTCAATCATGGCAGTTTCACCACCCCGAGTAAGCGCATAGTGCAAGTCCTGCACGTCATTGCGAATCAGCCGCTTATCCAACGGCTCACGATCATCCTGCCGTTGACCCTCGAGCGCGAGCAGAATCGCCGTACGGAACTTATCAGCCCTCAGCTCAGCACGCATGCACCGCTCAAGACTATTCTCATAGCGAGTATCGCGGAACGAGTTTTTGATCTCACGAATTGCCGCATTCGAACGACCCATCAGGGACTCGATGAGGAGTTCGCGACGCGAGGTCCCGGCTTGGTAGTAGCAGTTTGCCCAGTAGGCTTCTGATTCCCAGCGACCGAGGGCAGTGGCGTAGCAGACTTTGGCGAAGTTGGAGGAACCGAGTTTGAGACGCAGGTGTTTGGCAAGATTAATGCCTTTGCCTTGCATGCGGACGCGGGCTTTGTATTCCTGGCGGAGGGTGAGAATCTCGTCACTAGTGAGACGGGGTAGGATCTGAATGAGAGGTTTGTTGTCGACATGGCGGGTGTGGTTGAGGGCCGCTTGCATGGCGGCGGCGTCTGCGGCGGCATCGTAGAATGAGACGCGTTTGCGGGCCGACGGGGAGATGAGGACCATTGAGTCGGCGACGGAGGAGGAAGAGTCCAGGCGGGTGTGGGTTGGTCTGCGCTTGTCGTCGCCGGAGCCTCGCTCTTTGTCTTTCTTGTCCTTGTTGGTGCGGGGGCGATCTTTCTCACCGACGGAGGAGTGAGAGCGGTGCCTTCTGCGACGGCCTGAGTCCGAGGCTCCGCCATCGAGGGGCTCCACGTCCGAGATGTCCTCATCGCGGATGGAGGGGATCGCAATCGGAGATGGCATGGGCGAAATCGATTGATATGTCCCGTGATACGGCTCTAGTAGCGGACTAGCAGGGGGATGGCCTGCATGGCTTGAGCTAGGCCCAGCGACTGCCAGATTGCTGGACGACCCAGCGCGACTGTGAGGACGAGCTCCAGATCGACCACCTGGTGCGATTTCCACAAACTGCGGCTCATACTTGTACCTGTATGGCTCCTGAGGCTGTGCGGGCTGCGAGGACTGTGATGGCTGCGATTGAGGCTGTGGTGATGGCTGACGATACTGCACCTGGGGTTGAGGCTGCGACTGAAGCTGCGACTGAGGCTTAGGCTGTGAAGACGGCTGTCTGGGGAACTGCTCATGCGCCGAAGCCGTGTACGCAGGCTTCGCGGCACCCTTCGAAGTATACTTGACATTCGGATCGACCTGAGCATACTGGAAGACGCCCGGGTTCGCATACCCCGACGCAGCAGGTGCGTAACCAGAATCACTCGCCGAAGCCGTCCGATGATGCGACGACGGCGCATAGTTCGCGCTCGAAGCATACGGAACCGACGGCGCAGCCTGAGCAGGCACACTGGGGGCACTCGCATAGCTCGAAGCCGGCGGGAACGCACCCGGCATCGAGGCAGTATCCGGCTGCGAAGAAGGGGGCACGAAGCCTGGACGCTCACACTCAGGCACAGGGGCCCAATCCGTCCCCGCACCGGGGTAGGGCTGAGCAGGACGCGCAGGCTGAGCGTGGCTGATATGCGGCTGCGCATAATTATACTTCACGGGACGTGCATAGCTGGGATGAGAGCCTGGCGCGTCCCCGTAGGCCAATTCATCGTCGACGGAGCTATCGGAGTCGTCGACGCGACTTCCGCGATCGGGGGAGCGTCTGCGAGGGCGCGATGGCAGGGAGGTAGACGCGGACGTGGAAGTCGATTTGGCGGGGATGTATTCGCGACGGGTGCGCTCATCGTCGGAGTGTTCGTAGCGGTCTTCGCGACGTGATCTGTCGCGATCACGACGCTTGTCCTCGTCTGAGCCCGTGCGGCTCACGTCGTAGCGGGAGCTGCGTGGGGCTCGGGAGATGGTTTGCGGTTCGACATCGCGGTCACGCATCAGCTTGTATTGGCGTTCAATCTCGGCTTCTTCATCTGGACTGTAACGGGTTGGCACTGCTGGGGACCGGGAGCGGGGTGACGGAGCACGGCTGTCGCGCGATCGCGAGCGATCGCGACCGGGGGATTTGGAGCGAGTGCGCGACCGGGAGTCGTTGACTTGAAGCGACATGAGCTGTGGTCTTGTTCTGCTTCTGTGTCTTTGACTTGCTTTTTTCTGCTCGGGGGAGAATCAGTTCTCCCACAAAGAGCCCTTGGAGAAATGGCGGCTCGTATTACACAGAGCTAACGCACTAGTTGCTTCTTCAGCGGCCCCCAATGCATGCAGCACGGTCATTGGCTCGATATAGTCGCTGAGGTCGAGATCGTCTTCAGCTGGTCCCTGTTTGGCCAAGAAGTAAGATTGGAAATACAGCCGGGCGCTACAAAGTACCGTCTTACGTGCCTGACAGGTTGTACATTATCAAGGAAATTGGAGTCAAATTAGTCCAGTAAGAAAAGAGGGCTCGAGAGACACATTTTGTCGACAGCTGAGGTATGACATGAAAATAATAAAAAAGAAGCCCAGAGGCCGCGAAGAATGGGGGTATGTGCGGGAACAGAAATGCGAAACAGTAATTAGCGAGTGCGACGACCATCGCCAGGCCCCATGCGGCCCCCATAGGTGGGCTGCTTCTGCACCGGTTGCCCATTGCGGTTGAGACGGTTGGTTCGCCAGCGCTCATACCAGATCACGCGGCTGGCCTCCCGCAGCTCGGTGCGCCAGTCGGAAAACACGGAGTCCTTCAACCGCACAAAGTCACAGTGGTCGGCGTCGTAAGGGTCCGCGAAGCCCCAAGGGAATCGACGGCCCACGGGCTGGTCGCCAGCGGCGAGGGAGTGCGGATCGGGAGAGAGGATCGAAAAGGGAACGTGCTGGTTGGCAGCCTGGCTGCGGGTGCCGTCACTGTGCTGCGAGGGCGATCCGGGCACTGTCGCCTCCGTGGCGGTCTCGCCGGCTTCGCCAGTGGCATCGGTCTCCTCCTCGTCGCCACTCTCGGACGATGTATACTCCTCTTGGTCCTCCAACGTCAGAATCTCCAGGGGATCAATGTTGGCCTGCTTCAAGCTGTTCCAAACCGCCTTGCGGAGATACTGCATATGAGCCGAGGTGATGGTGTCCGCCTTGCTGATGACCGGCACGACCGTGGTCTTTCCCAGCACCGTGCGCAAGACCTGCAGATCAAGGTTCTGGTCTAGAATGCCACAGATGGGCGCATCCGACGCCTTGGAGGTCCCATTTGCGAACCGCTCGGCGGCCGCGATGTTCTCGTCGAGGCGCACGGGGTCCAGCAGCAGGAAGGTGCAGTGAATGTGGGTATCGCGAGCTCCGGGGGATCGAATGACCTTCATCTCCTCGGCCAGAGTTTCCTCGAACTTGCTCTCCAGGAACCCTGTCACGCCCCGCAGCTGTAGATCGGCAATGTTGCGCTCCAGACCCACCGAGTCCCACAGGGTCAGTCCAACCCGTTCTCCATCAAACTCGGTCTCCAGGTACTGGGCCTTGAAGCCTTCCCAGGCGGAGGTCTGGCGTTCTAATTCCTGGGTTTCCTCGGGGGTGCGGGACGGGTGCTTGTGCGCGGGCATGGTTAGGGCCGAGCGGAGGAAGTTCAAGAACGAGGTCTTGCCCGAGTTCCGGGCTCCGATGACCAAGACACTCGAATCCAGTTAGCCATGGGAAAACCGATCAGGGGTGTGATCGACTTACTTGTAGGAGGTCGGGTCCTTGCGGCGGCGTACGCGACGGGGGCTGTTGAGGGTGCTGTTGGTACTGGCGTAGCTGTAGCGGCCACGATGGGTCATGCTTTCGGTGCGGGCGTAAGGGTCGACCACATTGTTAATTGAACCGGTCATGGTGGGCGAGGCGACACCGGACTGAGGGCGAGAACTGGGAGCTGGGGCGATCTTATCGCGCTCTTCGCCGCCAAAGGTTTCCAGCTGGGGAGCGGGGGAGAAGTCAGGCAAGCGGGGAGGAACTTTGGGGGCGTAAGACTCCCGCTGACGCTGGTCTTCCATCTTCTTTCGGCGAGAACCAGATGATTTGCGTTCGCCCAGGGGTTCGGTGGATTTGGAACGTCGAAGGAAGCCGAGGGAGGTGCGTCGGTCCGGTTCTGGCAGGCGCGCGGTTGGAGTCGCCATTTCTGTCCTTTCGTTAGCCCTGATTCTCTCACGTTTCAGGTTGATTGCTCTCTTACTGTTCAACTCAGAGCGATTGGAAACTCTGCGTGTCTCTATCTGAATGAATATATCCCAACCAGTGGGCGATCGAATTGAAATTGGGCCTTCCAACAAGGTTTGTTTTGTTTTTGGGGCAAACTTGCGAAATAGACCAGCTCACAGCGTCCAGCAACAGCGGCTGAGGGAAAGGGTGAAAGGAAATCCCGCTCTACGGAAATATGGGGGGATTCGTATCCAGTAATGATCCAAAGACCTCATTGGATTCAGGGGTAAAAAAACACCGTCAAATCCGAGAGCCCAGAGCCCCGTTCGTCTCCACAGGGAGCTTGGGTGGTGTCCTACGCCAATGAGCGACTAGAGCGAGACGGGAAGTGGTACGGCCTTTGAGTTTCTACAGGGCATCTCCCAGTATACAGACAGTATACTAGTACATTTCCTGAGTATCTACCTAGGTACATTGTACTGTAGAGGGATAGAGAATATGCATAGATTTAGAGCTGCACGTTGCCCTCTCGTGGCCTGGCACGTGCTCAGCCGTTGTGTCTCCACTCACTATTGGAGCTTCTCGAGATCTGAGTGTTTGCTGTGTTTGTTCTGCTTGTGATGGCTTGGAAATCAGTAAGATTGCGCAGACGATCTTCTGAAATACCCAAATTACCAGGACCAAGTGCTTGACCCCGTTGAGTGGGATTCTACTCAGCCCAAGTTTGTATTAGAACGATCTTAGCGTCTGCTCAGTGCCATGGAACGGGACAAACTATTGGATCACTTCCCGTAACCCCTTTCTATTGTCCGGTCTATGTCGGGTCTTGAATGCTTTTATATTTGCAGACTACGGAGTATCATACCGTAAGCTCAATTTTATCTCGAATCAGTGAATGAGGTCTGTGGGGCTCTGGAAATCTGATCAAGCTCCATATCGTGCGCCACCAGTCATCTAATTAAATTGCCAGTCGAGCCTCAATAGCCGAACATGATGTTGGAGTGGCACAGTGCTGGACATATGTCCAGCAAACATCACACGAAACATGGAGGGATTCGCGGGAGAATCTGGTGCCTGGATTTCAAGGCATAAGTTGAATGCCTGAAACCGCTGTCCCTCAACTTCCTCGCAATGCTACCAGACTTCCCCAACATCTTGCTTGAGATCCCGCAACTTGGCGTATAAAGATTGCCGCATCTCTTGAATCTATTCACTCGTGGCAAGAAATTCTGGAAATTGAGGAGCTTGTTCCAACCACTGAGCGTTCTGGACCTCTACATCCCTACTAGCAGAGCCCATGGCTTCAGGGCTATCGGCCTAACCTCGGAAGTCTGTGGTCTGGGGAATGGGGTGACCAATCGGATAAAGGCAGTCCACGAGTCAACTGGTCTTCCCGAGTTACCGCATCGGGAACTTCCCCGGTCAGCCAACTTGATGGACGATCCTAAGATCACTGGCATACTATACTCAGGCTGGAAGAACTGCCTGCACCGGTCCTTATACGTCAATGGAATGCGGGGGTTGGCACCATTCTGCACTTCCCCGGCATTTCTCTCCCCACACTGCGAGCCATGCAGTATATAAAGCGGGGCCGAGGACGGTTCCAAGTTGGTAGACGAGTGCCTTCTACCATCTTGTTCTTATAGGATCACCTATTTTGAGCTCAGAGTGCTCCTGTCTGAGTCATCAGGAAACCACCTCGAAATGGTTGAAGAAAAGCAAGATGCCAGAGGACCGATTGCCGAAGTGAGACATTGACTCTATCGTCTACTATCTTCGACACCAAAATGACTAACTATCTCTCACCGAAGGCTCTCCCGTCTGACACAACGCCGTGGTGGAAGAAGCCTCATTTATTGAAACTAAACACGATCATCTCTGGTCTGCTGCTGTTCTCGGGCACCGTGGGCTACGATGGCTCGCTGATGAACGGCCTGCAATCCCTTGGACAGTGGCGAGAATTCATGAATCAACCAGCTGGAGTATGGCTGGGATTCATCAATGCGATCCAGTTCATAGGCGTGATGATCACATCCCCAATACAGGCGTGGGCTGCCAACCGCTTTGGGCGTAAGCCCACCCTCTTCATCGGCTACATATTCCTCCTCGCCGGCGCTGGTCTGCAAGCCGGGGCAAAGGACCAAGTCATGTTCATTGTTGCTCGCTTTCTAGTGGGAGTGGCCAGCGCTTGGTTCACCGTGGCGGTTATCTTAATCGCCGAGATCTCCCACTCAACCCATCGCTCCAAGCTCTCTGCGATGTTTCAGTGCCAGTACTATCTCGGCAGTACCCTTTCAGCATGGGTATCATTCGGCTGTCGCAACAATGATTCTTCGTGGGCGTGGCGAATTCCCTCGTTGATGCAGGTGGGAATCCCTCTTTGTGCCTTGCCGCTTGCTCTTCTTGCGCCGGAGTCCCCTCGATGGCTTATCAGCAAAGATCGTCATCAAGAAGCATTTCAAATGCTTGTCGAGCACCATGCAGGGGGAGATCAAACTTCTTCTCTCGTTGCTTCAGAGATGCAGGAGATTGCCCAGTCCATTGCAAGCGAGCGCGAAGCGCAGAACTCCACAAAGTGGACCGACATGGTTAAGACCAAAGGAAACCGTCGTCGCTCATTTATCAGCGCTACCTTGGGTATCTTTGCCCAGTGGAATGGAGTGTACGTCTACCTTATGGTGTTCCTTCCCCATTGAGACACTGACATTATCATAGTGGGATAGTCTCCTATTACCTTTCATTGATTCTCAATAACATTGGAATCACCTCGGTCACAGACCAGCTCATGATCAATGGTTTCCTCCAAGTCTGGAATTTCTTGATGGCTATTGTAGGCGCAATGCTTGTCGATCGTCTCGGTCGTCGACCCCTCTTCCTGCTATCGACCATCATCATGCTCATGAGCTACATCGTCATCACCGGTCTATCTGGTAGCTTCGCCACAACAAACTCCAATAGCGTGGGTATCAGCGTGATCCCGTTCTTGTTCATCTACTACGGCGGATACGACCTCGGTTTTACGCCCTTACTACTAGCCTATCCAGCGGAGATCTGGCAATACTCCCTGCGCGCAAAAGGTGTGGCGCTCACTTCGACGTGTACCTATTTGGCTTTGGTTTTCAATACTCTCGTCAACCCCATTGCGCTGGACGCCATTCAGTGGAAATACTATATCGTATATATTGCCCTCTTGGTGCTGATTCTGCTGGTCGTTTACTTCACATACCCTGAGACTCGGAGACATTCGTTGGAAGAGATTGCTTTGATATTTGATGCCGATGAAACCTCGAAGACAAACATTTTTGATGTGGGCGAAGGGAAGATCGATTCGGAGATTGAACATGTCGAAGGCACGACACCTCGCTCTTGATCGGGGCTTTTGCAACTACGATGTTTGAAACGATGGGTTTGTCGGTTTTTGCTTTTGTGACCAGCCGAAGATTAACTCTTTGTTTTTGTTTTCACGACTTCTCTCAATCAATGGATCTATTGGTTTGTCTATTTACGCTACTCGAGCCTCGTTCTCAAATGTTCAGCTTTATCATATGCATACCTAGGTAGGCCTTGGGCCTGGGTGACAGCAACAAAATTGTGAACCACATGGGCATATTTTCCGGAGAGCACCTTAAAATCTGCTTAGATAGAATCGTCCTGGGGGAATCGCGCACCGCCTCGCTCTCTGACTCCGTCCATCAACTCCATTACCCTCAGAGTCTCCGCCCAAGGCATTCTCGAGTTCTCGGTCTTTTTCGCGGCAATGTCATGAGCGACCGCATCTGCTTCCCAGTAGAAACCATACCCAGGACGCGAGAAATCGTATTTCTTCTTCTCGGCGTCCTCTCCTCGCGGAATTACCGTAAACTTTTTCGGAACAGACGTGGCAGGACCTTCGATCGTGATAACGCCCTTGGAGCCCTCAATTCTCGCGAACACGGGATCCGTCTTGATTTGCATGCTCGAAGTGAGAATTCCTTGACGACCAGTCTGTGGATAATGTAAGATCATTGAGGATGCAATGTCGATTTCCTGGCTGATCGACTGAGCGGAAAAGACCTGAGGCGTGGCAGCGGTCTCTCCAATGCCGTTGTCCAAAAGCAGCAGTCCCCAGGTTAAGGAGTAAATTCCAATGTCAAGAAGTGATCCACCACCCAGGGCTACATTCTTCAAACGAGAAGAACTGGGCAGAGTCTCAAGACCTATGTGCAAACCAAAGTCGCAAAAGACTCGGTTGACCTCCCCAATGACTTTGTCTTCGTGGACTGCTTTCTGAAGTTCCTGACATAGGGGCACGAATCGGGTCCAAAGTGCTGTACATTATTAACATCAGAATGATTCTGAAACGGCTCTCTGGGACTCTCACCTTCCATGACAAAAACACCCTTCTTCCTCGCAGCATCGAATACCTCAGCGGCCTCCCGTCGGTTCAGAGTGAATGGCTTCTCGCACAGAACGTGCTTTCCCTGGGCTATCGCAGCCAGACATGCCTCTTTATGGAATGCATGGGGGGTACCGATGTAAACGATATCCACTGCAGGGTCGGCATAGACTGAATCATAGGCTCCGTAGGTAGTGGCGGCGCTCTCTGGTGCAACCTTCTTCACGAACTCATCCGCCTTCTCCTTCGAGGAGGGTCCAATAGCTTGGACGACGTGGTTGGCGTTCTTGTCATCTCGAGGAAGAACAAGATCTGTCACAAATGCAGTCGAGATCTGGCCGGTGCCTATTTCCAATTAGCTGCTGGTTACGACTAGAGTTGAAGTCCCACTCACCAATGATACCCCATTTGAGTGTCGGGCAGTCCATTTTGCAGATACGAAAAGTTTCCAGAATTCAGATTATGGTGAAGAGGGGTCAAAATGAGGATACGAAGGAGACTTAAATTATTCAGTTGATCGTATCCCCATTCCCTCGAAGTCCACAGTAAGACGAGTCCGGGTATTCGCCCCGAAAGCCGATGGTGGATCCCCGTCTCGTACGAACAGCCCCGTTGGACTCGACAGTATGAATTCATTGTCAGATACTACGGGGTAGTCTTCGTATGCTAGTCTTTTGGTGTATTAGGGTTCTATGTCACTGCAAAGCATCCGATGTGGCACTGGTAGTATGAATGGGCAACTTTCATAGAGAATCTCGTATCATTGCCAAAAGGCGAAGGTCCGATTACAACCGCACGTATCTGAGGGAGTAAATGACGGGCAAGAGTCGCAATTATTTCAACGCCATGTTTTTCTCCGTTTAATGCAAGAGCATCCCAAGAATTGAAAATATACAAGAATACCGTATTGCAAATACGGGGAAGCTGCCACCGGCGCTATATAGCCCTGGTCCCTGGAGACCCCGAACTTCCCCGTCCCAACTCCTCACACCCCAGGGCTTCCACTATGACGGAGCCAACCTCCAATTTGCCAATGTGAGTGTCCCCAGGCCGACAATTGAGCCCCACTTACCCATTAGCCCGGATGCAGGCGCGAAACGCAAGGCGGCGGGGGATTATTACCCCCGGAAAAGGGCTATCACGGCATGTCAAGTCTGCCGGCGACGAAAAACCAGATGTGACAATGTCCGACCCACATGTGGCTTTTGCACAGACACCGGCGCAGTTTGCTCCTACCTCCCCGTGGGGCAGGAGACCACCCCGTAGGTGGTGCCGATCCGGGTGATAGCCGCGGGACTGACTGCGATAGGTTCGACCCGGCCAGCGCGGCTCTCATGGAGAGGCTGAACTATGTCGTGTCTCTTCTGGAAACTCAGCAGACGCATTCCGCGTCGAGTGCCCCGGCGATCACGCCGGGGTCTATTTCTAATACCGTGTCGCCGGGGTGGCCGGTAATTGCCCAGGACCACATCCCGCAACTACCTCCGCAAGTGCTTTCACATTGCAATCTGTCTTGTCGCGTGTTGCAGTGGCCAATTATCAGCAGCGAAGGATACAATGCAGTATTGGAGTCGCTATTTTTGTCGGAAAAGAGTAATCCAGAGTCGCGTTTATCGCGTCCCCAGAGTGTCACTGAAGAAGACTTCCCGGCCCATGCTCGTGCGTTTCTCGCCAACGTTCATACTAAAAACCCAGTGGTGGAGTATAAAACATTGATGCGATATTCGAATGACGCCGCAGAGAATGGCGTCGGTTGGGATGGACCCAGTTGTTTGGTTGTATGTCCAGTTGCTATTACTTGAGCTCTTGCTTGCATCAGTGCTAACATTCTTAGCTACTAACATCGGCACTTGGCATTGTTTCAACCACATTTCAACGTGTTTCAACAACACAGCAGGCTCAGCCGGAATCCAATAGAGAGCTCGCAGATGCCTGTTATTTCGCAGCCCGGAAGCGCATCGGCTTACTGAGCGCCACATCTTTACTCTATCTTCAGTGCCACTTCCTTTCGGGTGTTTATGAGATGTATAACCTGCGACCATTGGAAGCCTGGCACTCATTCTACGTGGTATCCACCGCAAAGCCCTTGTACACTCGCACTAGAAACCCTGGATCTGTCGATGCGGAAACAAACGATCTGGAACAGCGCCTCTTCTGGTCCGCCTCGAAGTCTGAGTTGTGCGTCATCAAACCGCGCGATGTCCTTTGCGAATGACTGTTCTAACCCTTATTATAGTGAGCTCCGCATTGAGCTTGACTTACCTGCTCCCTTAGTTCCCGAGCCCAGCTTTCCAGTGGACTATCCGAACCCTCCCACCAGTGTGGATGATATACCGCAGGAATTCCCCCAGGAGGAAAGCTGGTACTACTACTTATTCGAAGTATCCCAACAACGCACGATGTATCAAGTCATCAGCTCGTTTTACTCGAGCAGACAAGATACGCAGCTACTCGAAGCCTCTGTTGGAGTACTGACACAAGATGCGATAGAATTGGAGCGCCATCAGACTCTAGCCGGGTCCAGGCTCCCTCCCTGGTTGCAGTTTGTCGAGGGCGAGGCCTCTGATCGAGAATTGCCATACTTCGTGCGCACGCGCTCGCTTTCTGTACAAGACAGTATTCTCCGACCCTTTTTGTTTCTTCTTATCCACTCAACTACTCTCCAGTCGCCTACCATTTATGGATTTGCTCAACGCTGTTTAGAAGGCTGCTACACTCTCATCGATCTAAACGATATCCAACATCGCCATCATGGAAGCTGGTTCCAGGCCCGAGCAGCCTTCCGCTGCGCGCTCACCATTCTTGCAGCAAAAAAGAGTGAGAAAATCACCGTCCGCTCGGACTGGAGACATTTCATAGATGTATCCTTGAGTGTGGTGGAGTTTTGGGCAAAGGACGCCGACGACCTGCAAAGACTGGCGGTTGTCCTTCGCAATCTTTATGACAGTATGGCATCTTATGATTGAGCCAGTGTACGATAGGACGAAGCGTGCAATTCTTAATGTATTAATATAGGCCCCCAACGCATGCAGGCAGCTGCATCATTGTATTCAGATCATGAAGTCGAGTTCCCCGACCAAATTCTAAATGGAAGCACGACACACGGCTTCGAGGGACATATCAGCTTTCTTCCCAGACCCTTGAACTTCGGACCATTCGGTCCAGCAACATTCTTGGCCTCGCCAAAGATCTCAGGCTCACCCGGCGGCTGGTCATCGCCCCATTTGCCATTGAAATTCAACCACGCTACCGGGTCTTTTGAGTTGATAGCCTCGAATGTGGCTGTTTTAGCATCGTATGTATAGAAGTAGGCGTTCACGACAGGATCCCAGACTCTCCCCCGGTCTGTATAGTCCATGACGAACCCGACGGGGAGGTTGATGCCCGGAATCGCGTGGTCGTGTTGTCTAATTGCGTTAGCCATGGCATCAAGCGTATACAGAGTGGAACAGCATACCCGGAGGTTGCATAGTTGGCATGAGTTCCATTTCCAGAGAAAGCGTACGGTCGCTTCCCTTTTTTCTCGACAGCGTGGTACGTGAAGGCTTGGCCGCTGGCATGCTGGCTATACCAGATTGCATCGGGTTTGCCATTTTTGAAGCGGATCATGTTGTGTTCCCTGGACGATCAGGTTTTGTATCAAAGACAGACTTCTCCATACTTACCAGTCTCCGATATGATCGCCAAATTCCATCTTGAGAACCTTGTCGCCCTTATTGAATCTAAGAAAGTCAGCCAGACTCCAGACGCAATGCGACTTGGAACCCACGCATAGAAGTAAAAGTAAAAGGCGTCGACCGTTCCATTGCCGCGTTCTGCGATGATAATAGCACTTCCTGTCCCATTACCTAGACGCCCATCTTTGTCTGGGGTTATACCCCGGAACCAGGCTGGTTGAGGACTAGCCTCGATTCCATCATGGGAAGTCAAGTAGACACTCGTGTTGCCGAGGCTATTCAATGTATCGAGGTTACTCAGATCCAAGGGACTCTTGAACCCCTCGATAGAAGTCCAGTTGACTTTGGGTATGGTGTTGTCGAGCTGTTGCTGTATGTCACTTGGCATGTAAATTTCCTGGCTATGAAGCCACACTAGTGGTGCTGTTAGGGTCGGATGAATTAGCTCGGAAATCGATTCTGGTACATTCCTTTCATACCATAGTCGAGTACATATTGCGGAACAGCGGGTATACTAGTGTTGCTTGTCACGCCATAGACGGGGTTGATCGAAGCGAGGGCCACCAAGGCCAGCAACATAAAGTAATGCATATTATGGTAGTTGCTCGCGATCTAAAGAAATACTGCGGCGCCTTTATAGAGTATGTTAGTAAGGCTGAATGTATGTTAGCCGAGGCCAAGGCGATATGAAGATTAACATGACGTTGTCATCAGGGCCTCTGGGTTCATACTAGCAATGCAGAGTATAGGAGCGGAGAGATCAGTTGAGCACAGGGACCCAAGGAATTAGAGTCGACAGTTTCAGCACTTGCTGGGGCAGTCTATCTTAATTGCTGGATGCCATAGGTGCCCAGTGTTGGGTGATCTTCTTTCCTGGGATCATGCCAGTGTGTTGAGCAGGTCACGGCGGCCAATCTAAGTATCTTAACGGTCGATTCAGCAAAGGGCGATATTCGAGGTGGGTAGCATTCTGAAAAAAGGTGGGATTTTGTGCGTTCTGTTTACTCGCTTTACCCTCCGCGAGGTATGCAACCCGAGGAATGTCGGCCCTCACCCTTGAAGATTCAAGCATATGAGCATTATGAAGAGGCAGATCTGAGGATTCAGCACATGTATGGCTGATTCTGCACTGTCATTATAGAAGATCGGCGGGCTGATTGCCACTTCTCGTGACTCGGTCATCTGGGCGAACCCTCATGACAACGGCATATCTCGGGGCAATCAACAGCCCAGTCGCAACCTACTCGAATTGAAATATCCCCGTTCAAGTCATCCATTCTATGGAGTGGCCTGAGGTCAAAACAAAAAAACACGTATGAATTGTACTATCATCTGAGGTTCAACTTCAATCTGGATCACATCTCGAGGTAAAGATCAAATTAAACGAAATGCAGACTCGGGTCCACCCACATAGAAAGGAAACGGTGAACTATCTTCCCCATATCAAGTATGCAATCACACGTGCAAGATATGCAGGCAAAATGGTGTATCATAAGGCGCTCAATAAACGGACAGTCATTGGAAATCATCAGAAACAGGCATCAGTTCACGCTGTCGGGTACGTTAGACAGGGGTAGGAAGTAAAACAGCCTCATGGAATCATGATTGAATTCTGAGATACCCGACAAGCAAGGATATTCCATCACTCCCTGCCAAGGTCCAGAGCAATGTGCATTGATGCAGGATATACATTGACACCATATCCATTATGCGGCCGGGGTAGGGTTTGAAATGCTCCCGGTACGTATCGGCTGAGAGGCCGCTGGTCCATTCAGAGAATTTCTCGATCGCCCAGTAGAGCTCAAACTCGAAGGACCAGTCTTGAACATCCGCCGTCTGCGCCGCGGGGGCGAATTCAGAACCGGATGATGAAGGGGAGAGAGCACGATCCAAGTCAGTATCGGACTCAGCTTCTTCCGAACTGTCTTCGAGCTTGATGGATTGGCACTGCTTAGGAAGAGGGCTTGGCTTCGAGACCGATGCTCTGAGCTTCAAAAGTTTGACGAGCACACGCACTCGCGTGCGGAGGGGGTGGCTGGACTGGCGAGAAGCCGGTTTCATGTCAAAACTCATTTCGACTCTTTCGGACGGAGACAACTTGGCATAGATCTTCGCGCTGTAAGTTTCATGGGGCAGAGTCATACATGGACATTGGCACTGGGATGCGGACTGGGAAGATCCAAGCGCGGGGAGTCCACCATTCGTGGAGACAGGCCTGTGCGACTCGGTGACCAGATCAAGAGAAGCTTTGGCTACCGCTTGCTTGTACTGGTCATCGAAAGACTTGAATCGAGTGAATGAGCTTAGCCCAAGGTTGTGGAGCAATCTGAAATCTTCGACAAGCTTTGATGACCTGAGTGACTTCACATCGGCACTCTGCAGAACGCTGTGATCTTCAGTGATCATGGCCACCTGAACAAATGGGTTTCCCCGGAAGATTTCGCGAGGGTGAGCGTCGGTGGCATTATTGAATGAGCCATCTTGGTTCGCCCATCGAGCATGCTGTGTGGCGTAATTCGATGGGGTGTATAGCTGCTGCTCGTTTGAGCCTTGGGGGAAGCCAACGTAGTCTTCCGGGAAGTTGCGCTGGATGTTCTGACTACCTTGTGTGGCAGTAGTACGCAATACCGTCTGGCCTGCCTGGAAGAGCGATCCGGAGGGGCGTATAGTTTGAGTCGCAATGCGAGTCGATTGAGGGCTCTGAGCGCATTCATGACAAGTATGGATGGGCTCTGGAAGGTCTTGACAATACCGACATGTCCCACAGTTATGCTTGCAGGTCTTACAAACCTTAGACTTTGGAGACTGCTGCTTCAAGGGCTGCTTAGTAGGTGCCCTTTGGCTGGCTGGGCCTTTACCTTTGGAAGGCTCCGGGGCCTTCGAGCCAGGCTGGCCAGCTTCAGAGCCCCAAAAAGCTTGGGCCGACTGAGGATCATAGAGCTGTGGGCCTGATCCATCGGTCATATCAAGATTGGAATCCAAGGAGGTGTTCATGAGGTCATCCATGGCAGCATCATTCCATCCGAGGCGACCTCTGGGGTCCAGTTGAGTGTCCGAGACAGAGCGCCCCTGGGTATTGGGTCGCACATCTTTCTTGTAATGGTTCATGTATCCTCCCTGGGTGCCAAGATAGGAGGGCCTCTGGGGGTCGGATGCCTGGCTAGATGGGTAGGGCCAAGACTGTCCGTTCCCATTACTTGGCCCAGCGAAGGATGGATAATGAGGGCCGCTGCCGCCATTGCTGCCGCCATCATTCCCACCCCCATTACCACCCCGACGGGAACGGTCGTCACCAGTCGTGGTACTAGCCGTGCCAGGGCTTGTAAGACAATGGTGCTTGATGTGCTGAAAGACCCGGTTCCATGACCACGCTATGATTCCTATGCGGCAAATAGGGCAAACAGCAGGGAGATCAACCGACCTGTCGACGTTGTCCATCAAGGCGGGGTCTGCCCTTCTGTGGAAAGTATTCAGATGCGAACTCAACTTATCCCGGCGCTCGAAGGGGCTCTTGGGGCAGTTTTGAAAAGGGCAATCAAACACCTTGTCAGTAATCCTGTGCTGGGTTGCCAGGTGTCTTTTAAGTGTACCCGTGCCGTGAAGAGTCACAGCCTGGAATTTTTCGATGTAGCAAATCCTACATTGGAACTGTTCCCGGTGGGTTTGATTGGATCCAGCCGGTGTCACTGGGTGGTCGCTGCTTCGCATCGAAGCAAGGCGTCTCGCGAGGGATCTCGCGCCCTCTTCTGCCTGTCGGATGTCCTCATCGCTCCGTGTAATGCCATATTCGATGTCAATCAATACCCTCAAGATCTGGCTCAGCTCACTACCACAGGACAGTGCCGGCAGAAGGAAGTTCATCGAGCTTGGGGCTCCCAGCATGTTCCGACTGAGAGCTGATTGGACGCCCAAGGACGACTGAACATCCAGGGACAGTTGAGGAACCTCGGTGGGATCGGCATGCTCTTCGACCTCCGGCAGGAAATCGGGGAGTGCTTCCGACAACTGCGGATGATCATCGTCGACGCCGAACCCATAGCCAAATAGATCCTGGACCGGTTCAGGGCGAATGGTGGCAACGCTTGAGTCCATTGCATCGGATAGGAAGCTCCCGTCGGTTTGGCTTTGGCTCGACAAGCTCGACATGTCGGCCGCATCGTTCTATGAGGACGTATTAGCACTGACACTTGACGCTTGAAACTTGGTCTCAGGACCCACATGACCACCCTGCTCGGTATCAAATGGGTTCGAGAGCGACGACCACCCGGTGGAGTCCGTGTGGAGTGATTGTGGTATGTGCGGCGATGGCCATGCGGCTCGGTTGCGGGATCTGCTTCGTTGATTGTTGCGTATCGGACGATACATGTTGAGCAAATCCGATTTCACTGGGAAACCACTCGGCTGGGCCTCCTTTCTGCTTAGATAAATAGCGCGGATTAAGGGAGATTGGGGCCTCTTTATACCTCAAGTAAAGAAATAAGATAAATTAAAATGGGATAAAATGAGATACACAGCCACGTATGAAGAGCACCCGGGTAGCTCTTGGAGGCCAATCTGGTTATACAGTAATAAAATCCACCTTCCAGGGGTGGGGAATTAAGGGTAGAAAGTCATTAAGAGGTTAAGATGCGCTGTATCGTGGACAATGTTTTGGCTATTCCGTCTGAATCTCCGAGGCAAAGGGGAGGTAATTTTACCATGTATTGAAAGGAGTGAGAGCCTCATCTTTGCTGCCTGACTGGGATTGCCCAACTGCAGTCTGGACGTGACCTGCTAGCCCCTTCCAAGGTTCCAATGAGGGAGCTTTTAGATACAAGGCGTTTCTGCACAGTACGGAGTTGGAATCCTCTTTGACTTCCGTTCACTGATGATTTCCCGACACAGGGAGATAAATCGCATCTACAGGATGCCCGAATCAACCTGAGCATTCCAGCTGTCTGCGGGGGAATCGCAGGTGGGCTATGCGATGACGTCAACGAACACCCTCGGGGCCCTGGAGATGGAACGCGCTCAGCAAGTCGGATTGGGAGGTCCTGTAATGGTCCAGTAGAGACAAGATCGGCACTAGACGGCAAATCAGGGAGGAAGCTGGAAAGGGCTGATGGCTGTGAGGCGGACGGCTAACCGTAGCTAGGTATGTACAAGATCCCTGTTGCGGATTGATCAAAGCCAACAAATTATGGGACATAAGATATGACAGTAAGATATCAAAAACAAAATATCAAAAATAAGGATATCAGAGTATAAGAATATAAAGCAAAAGTCAAAAATACTGAAATGAGAATAATATGGCCGGATCTCCGGAGCCTGGGAGCCTGGCTTATATTGAATCCCTAATCTTAGAAGAGATGTGGATAAAAAGCCCGTATCACTTCCTACGGCTCAAGATCTCCGGGGAATTTTATTAGATCGGGAGAAAAGCAGCCAGTTTCCCGATTCCCCTTAGTACTCGCATCATCAGCAAAAGCACCAATCTTACTCCGACAGGAACAATCGTCAACGAAAACGAGTACGAGAACATTCCACGGTAGACGCCTCAAAAAGAAAGACCAAAGGGGGAATAAAAAGAAAGAGAGACAGAGACCTGTCTTCCTGCCCAAGCCGGAGCATGGGATAAACGAGAAGTCCAATGGACAAGGCCTTGTGATCACGATTCACGGAGATTCTCGGTTGCGCATGGTCCTTCGCAAAATGGCGCTAATAGGCAAAGAGTGCCCCGGAAGCCCAACGAGCGGTGGACTGGCGACTGGGAATGACCTCAAAGTGAGGCAGAGCCCAGTCCTCCGAAGTCCACTCAGCACTGATCGGGTCCCTTGACGCCATGATCTTGGATGCAGCCGTGGAGTACTAGTACGATCGTCAGGGCCTAATGATCCGGGCGGGGCGATTGGCACCGGTATTCATTAACGAGCAGATGAGGACTCTCTGCACCGGTGATTCGCAGCCACCTTCCGACGTTGCTATGTACTGCGAGAACAGCTCGCCATGCTTTTGATAGGTCTGAGTAGCGAAATAGACGGCTTCTTCACGTTCGTGTCTGTACGGAGAACTAGTAGATTTGAGAAATGCGGGCGAGCCCAATTCATTCTGCCGACGGAGCCAATCAATCTCCTCTGCACCCGGGTGCCGGTGGATCATTCTTGAGCTTGCAATTGCCCCAGGGCCCTGTGTCACTTGGCGGACGATGTGGTGATGCTCACCACTAGGGTCTACTCATACTGTTCTGGCTGTTTCGTCTCACCGAAAGTTCACGAAGTCATTTTATTGGCCATTGCGCGGCTGACTTCGGTTACAGGGCTCGATACGGAGGAAGGGGGTTTTGCAGAAGCTAGGAGAATTTGTGGAGATCCTGCTGATATGGGGGAACGCGTAATATGGGGTCAAAACAAAGCAACCAATCCTGTCGACAGCTCATTATCAAATATCTCAAATTAGAACCAGAGACAAAAAAAAGAAGAAAAGAAGAAACCAAAGGACGTGCTATTCCCAAAAAGGAAGTGGGGCGACAGAGCTTGGAAGCTCCCGAGGTCCCGCTCTGTACCGTGGTTCATCCGAGTCTGCACGGTGGGGAGCAACTCAGGAACATTCTGCATACTACAGCACACACATATACAGTACTAAGTCTACTATACAGTAGTACAGTGCATGAGTAGACCAATGACTAAGGATCATTGACCATCGAGAAAAGTTAAAAACGCGAGATTAGACACCATTTCTAGCTGTACTCCGTATGTTACCCCCAAGAAAAACAAGAATGAAGGTGAAAAGCAAGATCGAGACACAAAAGAAAAGACAAAAGAAAAGTGAAAAGAGCGTGATGGTGGAGCCAGAGCCGGGCATACCAATGGGGGCAAAGTACTGCGCGTATGTACTTTGAACCCTACATCCAACGACCCTATCCTCGACCAAAATCCTTGAAATCGAACCCAGCTCCTGTTCGCCGTATATAGTACTCCCCAACGTCCATACCAATAGCGCACACCCTATCTCACATTTTGTCACATCCATGGCCCATGGATGTGTCGAGACTCAAGGCTTCGTGCCAGCGGCTCGCGCCGGAGTCCACGGGTCCGATTTCGGTGGAGAAGTCAGCCACACATTGAGCATGGACACTTGGGCGCCCGAATTGGGGGTCGCCGGGGCGCCGTTGTTGCCGAGGCTTAGGCTCGGGCTTGGACTGTTGGTCGGGTTGGCAGCATGGTTGCCGGTGGGTGGGGATCTGAGTCAAGGGAAACATCAGGTTAGTACGTAGTAGATAGAACAGAGAGATGGATCAATATCAATGATAGCATAGCATCATGGCAGCTCGAGTAGTAAACAACTCAAGATTGGTGGATATCTGGAAGGCGGGTCTATTCGGCCCCAGAACAGGCATGTAGGAGCCGGCTTACTGGTAGCTGTCCATTTTGGGACTAGATGGATGTCCAGGAGACGGTGGTCAAGATCGCAAGAAAAGCGATCAAAAAAAAGAGAGGTGAAAATCACGAAGGTATGAATAGCTGCGTCCGCTGCTTAATGGGGAGAAAGGAACCGGTCAGAGTTCGATGTGACGGGCAAGTGTATGTCGCACTCTATGAGTCGGGCAGGTGGATAGGAAGTCTTCTACGAAAAAAAAGAAAAATAGGGAAACTTAACTTCAAGTCACCTTTATAAAGAAGACTGGCCATCAACACTTCGCTGCCTACAGTAAATACACGATGCGACGACCCGGGTTCAAACTCACTCCCCCGGGCACAATCTGGAACGCCGGGGTGAAAAGAAGATTATCGCGAGAGAGCCAAAGTAGCGGTATTGGGATATCGAGTAAGTAGAAGAGCGGAGTGTCTACGAGTTCCCGGGTAGCAAGCCGGGCTTTTTGGTATAGGGGCATCCAAATACAGGCAAAGGGAAATTCGGCCATTGTACACTATTCGACCAGGACCGGAGGCTTGATGGATACCAAGGTATTTCCCATTTCACTCCGTGGGCTGGGTCATCATTCTCCAGACTGAACAGCCACACAGCCACACATCAACGGGGCGATCACTCTATTAGTCTGATCCTCCCTATGCGTTGTGGCGCTGCCCTTGCCGATTTACGGGATCTCCCCTTCCACTGGTCCATTTACGGATACCTAGGTAGGATACAGAACAACATGAAGGGCCCAGTCGAATCAAGACGATGTCCCCCAAACCTGGCAGTGAATTGGCTTCCGCGCTCCTTTCGCGTGTCGTCATCGCCAAAACAGTGTGGCTATCCATGTCCGCCTTACAGGGGGACGTGGGCCTAGACCTCGAATGTTCGCGATCTCGAAGTCAACCTTAGTGTTCCTTCGCTGTCCCACAGGGTGGGCTCTGGATTACGTCGCTGCCCAACTCATGGGACGTTTGGAATTGATCGCCGCTTCTGATCCTTCGACACATCGCGTGGATGCCTGGAGCTAGTCTAGATCTCGCCCAAGTGACATCGAATTCGCCCAAGGCGGACTAGCCTCGATTCCTAGGGCACTGCACGAACCTGGACCTGTTGAGCCGGGACCTATAATCCGACAGTTACGCCAGTAGACCACTAACGTCAGGTCCAAGGTTGCTGCGGCATGTGCGGTTCGCAGTACGAAGCACGAAGTACGGAGTGCAGGGGTACAGATCCAGGCCGGCTATGTCGACCCCTGCAAAGGCATTGTTCATCCAATCTATTGTTTTCGTTTTCTTTCAATCGGAATTCAAGAAACAATACATAGTAATCAGAACATTTGAGGTTTCAAGCGAAAATCGGTTAGGTCCAAGGAGAAAGGACATACCCATGTCAGTTGAGGTCGGGTTAGGGTCAATTGAAAAGGCACCTGGGACCAATGATACAATAATAGAGAGCCGTGCATATACATTTACACGTAGCACAACTGCGTTTAACTTAACATCACCGAAGTCGAGGGCAATGAATATACACAATATCAACGAGACTGTTGAGTCCAGTTCGTGTCTCCAAGAGGGGTAAGGGAACATTGCTTTTTTCTGACGTCGCAGTTGATCACTTCCAAGGTTGTGGCGCAGCCAACTCTTCTGCTTCACGATGTCACGATGTCGAGATGTCACGATGTCACGATGTCACGGTAGAGGGTCCATTTGACCTTGAAACCACCTGGGCAGAACCCTAATCTTGCTAATTTCTTGACGAATGCGAGTAAAGAGCCTGGGAAAATGTCCGCCACTAGCTCCTTTCGACAAAGGGACCGACCCAAGCGCGACCCGCAATAGACATCACGTTCATGTCCCGCTCCTAGAAATCGATTTGAATCTTGACCAGGACAGGTCCTTCCAGATTGGAGATTTTGCATCCCAAACCTCGTCTGACGGAGAAGTCCGAAAGCCAAAGGTGGACTAACCTGGCGTGCAGTCCGACCAATAACTAACCAACATCCATCCCTACTGTAAAGGCCCCATGGCCTTCATGGAGGATCGAGGCGCAGGATTGCATACCGCAACTTGAGCAAAGTCGGCAGTGCCAGTCGCACTCGACAACGCATCACTTGCTGATCCAATCAGCGCGAGAAATGGACATTCAAATGGGGACACGAGGTGTCGACCCTTTTTTCCACCGTTTTCGATTGATTGTCGACGAGGGTTTCCAAGGCCCACGATTGGTTAGGGCGTAAACGCCCATAATGGCGTTCGGGGAAATAGAGGGGGAAAAAAGAAAATACAAGCATCTCAGACACGCGCATGGATCTCGCGCCTGGGCGAAATCTGCCTAATTGCCTTGACAAAGTGGAATGCGATGTCTGATCCATATACTCCGTAGCGACCTCGGGATTTGCACTCAATACTTTGGATCTTGCACCCCCGGGTGCAACCCGGGCTGTATGGGATGTGGGCAGTGCGGCAGCGATGATCAGGATTCGGGCGCGAGTGGGTTTGGCGTGCATGCTGCAAGCCCTGCCGAAAATCGACAGTGGGATAATGTGGGATTATTCCATTGATTTTGCGTTGCACTGCATGGAGTAGAGTCGTAATATTGTATTATACAGATAGAGATTAAAACAGACAGATTTTGGGTTGCCAATGCGCGTCGCGCCAGTGCAAAAAGAAGTGTAAACCCAGATCGTGTGCGCCGTAGACATGCAGGTCGTTTTCCGTCTATACACAATGAAAACACGCAGAGAGATCCTCTCGAATCCCTCGGGAAGTAGAGAAGCGCAAAGCTAATATTATACAGGGGCGCGAGAGTTGAGAGTCGCGCATCGACTTTGAGTGTCGAAGGCAAGATTATGAAGTCGTGCCAAACACGCGCAAGATGAACTCGTACCTTGAGAGATCGTCAGTATATGGAACATCAGAGATCGCATCGCAGCAACTTACATTCCAAACATGATCGCAGCGGAGGGCACGACACGGAGCAAATGCGGCGTCAAGCCTCCATACATGGCGACCATGCCCTCCTCCTTCCAAACGGTCTTGAAGCACTGCGCCAAGCCAGTGTACTTCATCTCGACCTTGCCATTGCCCACCGAGACCGTCGGGGCTTGACGCAGACGAGTCCGCACAACCTCATGGGGGTACGTGATCGCGGCCGCGACCAGCTTCGCCAAACCAGCCGCACTGATGCGGCCACCCCAGAGCTCCGCCGAGTCCCACGATGTGTATTCGTACCCCGGATCAGACTTCTTGAGGGCATCACGGCGGGCAAGATACATCTTCATTTGCTCGTACATCACCCACTGGAGCGAGGATTCCGTCACGCCCAGGTACGAAGCCGACAGGCCACGGTAGAGGCCCTTGATGCCCTCGTGGCGCACAGTCTGCTTGACACAGTCGAAGCTGTTCCGGTACTGCCGGCTCTGTCCATGTTCGGCGTTCGACTTGTCCAGCTGCAGGCGTGTCTTCACCAGCCAGATGGGGTTCGTGGCGGTTCCGGTCGCAATGCCGGCGATCGATGCGGCGGCGAGGTGAATGCCCATGGGAGTCTGCTCGGCCGTCCGGTACCCGAAGTAATCACTCAGGATCCGCTTCCCGTTTCCATAAACGTAGAAGTTGATGGCGCGCGCCGGCACGACACCGATCAGGTTGGGGCCCAGGCCCTTGAACAGCGCGCGCCAGCCTTCGTGGACGTGGATCGACCGGAGGATCTGGAAGGTTTCGCCAAAATGCATGCCCGCCGTTCGGGTGAGGTGGACCAGCGTGTTCGAGGATGCTGCGGGCGCGGGCTTCGAAGCGCGCAGGGCCTGGAGCTGCGCCTGGTAGAAATCGGACTGCAGGCGCGTCTTCAAGACGTCCAGCGGGGAGGTGAGGGTCGCAGCGGTCATTCCTCCTAACCTATTCACCTCGTTAGAATCCATGTTCAATGATCCGTCGTGGCTGTCTCGGTGACGTACCCTCCGGCGACGAAGTGCGCGAACGGCTTCGCCTCAGACTTCGGTTCGGCGGCTGGTGTTCGACTCGGAATCACATCCCCCATCTCTCTCGATTGGGGGATTGCTTCTTTATTGAGCGAGGATTGACCCAGGTGCGCCTGCGCAGAGCTGGGGGTTGTGGAGAGTGTCATCGGGACGTGAGCAGGGAAAACTGTCGAAACGCAAATTTTGAAAGGAAAAGTCCGATTAAATCATAATAAGTCGAATGGATAGGTCAAATAGAGTACATTGAAGAGATGAAGAGATGAAGTCCGGATATTTTTTCGATTGCGGGTCTCCGCCTGGGGAAGGCCGCATTTCTAAGGGGCGAAATTGATATCAGTCTCTGCCAGTATTATGGACGTATGCATCTTTTATAGAGCAGTCTGTGAGAAGTACAGAGTATGCTAGTGATGCCTGGATTGATAAAAGAATATCGTCTTCAACCTTGGAGTATATCCCGCTGAGAGAAGCTGTTCATGCACTTGGTGTTGTCGGAACCAGCGGAAACAATATATCTAGACTCGAGTGCTCCGTAGCAATGGCAAGGCGTATGCAGGTGACCGAGTATCGTCATGTAGGACCACTGGGGGTATGGGGATGGCGGCAGACCTCCAGGGCTACAATCCACTACGAACATCTAGAGCCCATGGCGGACCAAAACAGCTCAAAACCGATGTAGACATAAACTCGGAGATTTTGATTTTGTTTCATTCAGGGGAATCTATGCACAGGCGAGAGATGTGCCAGGGCATCCGAAACCCTTTGCGCTTCGTCTCATCGAAATCCATTTCAGTCTAGGCAAAAAATGGAGTGAAAACCCAGTATAACACCTAACAACCGCACACACCGTTCCAATTCCAACGCGATCCCTTTAAATGTGGGTGTCGTAGGCGATGGGAACGACGGTCTCGGGCTTGTTACCGGCCTGCTGGACGAAGTGGGCCTCGCGGGGACCGACGGCCTGGCGCTTCAGGTGAACGTGGACACCCTTCTCCTTGGCCTCGCGCTTCTTGAGAGCGTTCTCCTTGACGCGCTTGATGAAGTCCTCGCGGGAGCGGGAGTGCTGGACGTGCTCGATGCGGACGCTGATACGCTTCTCGAGGTAGCGGTTGTCGACCTTCTTGTAGAGGATGACACCGACGGAGGACTTGGTGACGTTGTAGACGACACCGGTCTTACCGTGGTAGACCTTGTGGGGCATACTGTGCAACTGGTTAGATTTTCGTTCGTTTCTATATTGGCAATGCCCGCGCTTGGGGTGATCGGTGATGGCGATCCGGGCAATTGCGCAATGATCATCGGAGATGTACTGACCCCTTCTGGACGGCACCGTTGACCTTGAGGTCGACAATGTCACCAACACTAAAAAATTCCGTCAGAGTCCAATTCTTATCGTTCGTTGTAGATTCGAGTGATGTGATCGTACCGGTAGGTCTTCATGTAGGTAGAGAGGCGGATCATACCGCTCTCCTTGAAGCCACGGCTGAAGGCATACTGTTGGTCGCTTGGTTAGCTATGTTTCCGACAACCTCGACAAATTTCCTCCAAGTTCGTGTCCGGTCCAGATGGAGCTCCAGCGGTATGGAAATTCGTGTCGCAAAAAAGGGTTTAAACGTACCCGAGTGCCGGCGCGGAGACCGTACGAGTGAGGCATAACGGCGGTGTTGTGGTGGGTGCTGGTGAGTTAGTCGACGACTTCCAAGCGCGGGAGTAGAATAGTCTCGGTCGGATAATAATCGTGCGCTGAGTCAGACAGAATCACGTGTGTGGGAAACCCATAAGTGGAATTTCCTAAGCGACCTACGGCCAATCGGGAAAGTAGGGCTAGGGCCAGACGGGAATATGATCATGTGACATGGAAGATAGACACGGCTTAGTCATTGTGGGCTCCCGAGGTCTGGATCACGTGGTAGATATGGATCCCCCACTAAAGTTTGATTGGCCAACTAAGCGATTTCACAAACGTTACTACTCCGACCATCTGTGGGATTTTCTTTCACGTCGACATCCTCCGCCAAATTAACCGCAGCCATGGCCCCGTGAGTCCCGATGCAATTGCTGTTGAATCGCAAGAGCATGAGTCTAATTTCTGTGCAGTCGCGTCTCCTCCAAGACCTACAAGGTCCCCCGTCGCCGTAAGTCAATTTCGAAAATCGTGCCTTTGAAGAAATCGAGAAGCTAACTCCATCGCAGCCTTCGAGTCCGCCCGTCTGTCAGTATACTCCGGCCACTGATTGGAAGCGTGCTTCTTTTCATGTCGTGTTCAATTTTCTAACCTTTCTAATAGTGACTCCGAGCTCAAGGTCGTTGGTGAATTCGGTCTGCGCAACAAGCGTGAGGTGTGGCGTGTCCAGCTCACCCTGTCCAAGATCCGTCGTGCTGCTCGGTATGTGAAGGACTCTAGCTTTGCGAAGCGCCGGGCGATGTTTCGGTACTCCATGTGAATTGGCGCGCTAACCCACCGCTTCCACAGTGAGCTCCTCACCCTCGACGAGAAGGACCCCAAGCGTCTGTTCGAAGGAAATGCCCTCATTCGCCGTCTCGTCCGCATCGGTGTGCTCGACGAGGGCCGCATGAAGCTCGATTACGTCCTTGCCCTGAAGGTCGAGGATTTCCTTGAGCGTCGTCTCCAGACCTGTGTCTACAAGCTCGGTCTCGCCAAGTCCATCCACCACGCCCGTGTCCTCATCAAGCAGCGTCACATCCGCGTCGGCAAGCAGATCGTCAACGTTCCCTCGTTCATGGTCCGTCTTGACTCCCAGAAGCACATTGACTTCTCTCTCACCTCTCCCTTCGGTGGTGGCCGCCCCGGTCGCGTTCGCCGCAAGAAGGCCGCCGCCGCCGCCGGTGGTGAGGAGGGTGCCGAGGAGGAGGATGAGGAATAAATTATTCCCCATCTTTAAAAAATGGAGTACGGTCGGGTTTCGCTTGGGGCACCTCCATCCTTCGGAGGTTCAAAATGACTGCATCATAGCGTCTCATGTTGTACGATCATGCAATACAATGAATCAAAAACAGCCAGACGGCTTCAATTTGGAACCCGATCTCAATGAACTCAAATTTTCATGTCAATTGCCGCCTTTGTTCTAGTAATACCCCGGACCCATAGTATATGTACAGTATGTAGATCCTTCACGCGAAAAAACGCCAAATGTTCCAACCCCACCCAATTAAGCCTTATAGTTCGTCTCGTCGTGTCTAGGTCCTGATGGTCATGTTTCATACCTTCGTCCCGACCAACTCTTTAAGAGTCTCCTCTGCCCCTCGATACCACCGACCCATCTCCTCTAGTCCATCACTCTCGCCCTGCTGTTTCTTGCGTTGGGCTTCTTGTGCTTGTGCGACGGCCTCTGATTTGCGTCGCTTGAGCACCCCGGTCTCCCGTTCAATTGCCTCAGCCTCTCGAGTCTTCCGGGGCAGGGTGTTCTGCACAGCTGCTAACTGACGGTTAAGAGCCGCCAATTCCGCCTCGCGTTCCGTCAAAAGCGCGAGCGTCGCCGGCAGAGGGAGATTCTGTGATGAAGAGTGATTGGAGTCCGAGGAGCCCATGTTGGCGACCTGTTTAGCACGAAGACCAGCAATGGTTGACTCGAGGGTTTCTATTGAGGCGGGCAGCGTGGACAGCTGTGCTGTTTGAAGTTCAACCTCCTTGTACCCTATGACGATCCGTGTCAGTCAGTATGTCCGTGCTTTCAAGAACGACACTTACGGCTTGCCAGATCACGCCCCATTTGCTCCATTTCCTCAACCATCACTCGAACATCTTCCTTGCGCGCCTTGAGCTCAGCTTTCACTTCTGCCATTTGCGTCTCAAGTTCCATGTTCTCATTGTGTCCCACAATAACTGGCGGGTCACCAACAATTGATCGCAAGAACTTTTCCTTCGTGACTTGCTCGACGTAAGAGAATCGCAGCTTTGAGAAAAGTTCCTAGATACAGATTGAGTTAACGCTTCGCTGTGCATGGAGTACCACCACTTACCTTGTAGTGTGAAAGATCCGCCTCCAGAGAGGCAGGAGTCGGGTTTTCCATGTTCGATGTAGAGACATCCGAGCCTCTTCTGGAGGCCGATGCATATGAGCTTCCGACGTCGGTTGAGATTGGCTCGCTGATGCGAACAATCGTGAGTCGCTTCTTCAGGTCGCCACTCTGCTCCAGCTGCTGGAGCGCGGCTAAAGCTTCGGCTGAACTGCTTGCCATTGTGAATGTGGATGTCAGTGAGCAGAATAAGGCGGGGGCATAACATTGGATATAAACAATTTATCGCGATTGCCGATCACAAAGGCGGTCAGTCGAGCCTTTGGCTTTGGCCTTCGTCTCTCGACCTCCGTTTCGTCTCAGCTCTGCTGTTTTGAGATGGCTCTATATCATACTGTCCCATTCTAATTGTTTGTGTTGGGCAGCTTGGTGTTTTCCCTTACTGCTGTCAAACCCCCGCTATCTGCGGCGCAATCGCATTATGGATGACGACTATGTGGCGCAAATCCTGGCCAAAGAGGCCAAGGAGAGTTCTGTGAAATACTCTTCCCAAGGGCTCAGTGCTTTGATGTCTCCATCAAGGTCCGTTCTCTTCGCCGTGCGTGAAGAATGAGTGTTGACCAACTACAGGCCAGCAAGCAACGCCCCAAAACCCAACACCCGCTTTTTGCGCAACCTTATCAAAGTGACAGACAGCCATAATTCAGCTCTCAAGTTGAAAGAAGAAAAGGATGCCCGGGAGCGCATGCGTCAGCTGAAATCTCAGGCTTCAAGGGCCTCAGCTTCAACATCGACAGACCGTACATCGGGAGGATCCAGCAGACGACATGAACGAGCACGCTCGAGAGACCGGCGGGATGATAAGGAAGATCGCCATCGCTCAGACCGAAAACGGCATCGCAGTCGCTCTTCATCAATAGAGCGCGACCGACCAAGACGGCACCGAAGAGACGAGAATCGTGAGGGTGGCGACAGAAAGAGAGGCAGTGATAGCCATCGGCATGCCAGCCGCAGTCCCGAGCCGTCTCGGAAAGACCGACGCGAAAGAGATAGAGAACATACTAGACGACGGCGCCACCGATCCTACTCGAGGTCGAGGTCCCGCAGCCGCTCCCCACGTCGAGACCGAAACACCGACCGCCGTCGTCATCGCAGAGAAGACCGCAAATCCGATCGCTATTCTCGCTCGCGCTCGCGCTCACACTCCCCGGAACCCCGAAAATCTCGGTCCTCAAGGCATACAGATCCATCACCTCGTCGCTCTCGCGAAGCCACCCGACGAGACCGAGCTCCGCCTACGCTCAAAGCCCCGACCGAGGCAGACGATGACTCCGACCCTCTCGAAGATCTCGTCGGACCGCTCCCTCCCCGCAAAAACGAGGCACCCATCATCTCCCGCGGTCGGGGCGCCTACAAACCTAACATGAGCAACATAGACGCCCACTTTGCCCCTGGGTATGATCCGACCACCGATGTGCATTTAGAAGACAACATGGCTTCGACGGGCGAGCCCTCCCGCCGACCTGTTGCAGGGCTCATGACGAAAGACGATGACTGGGACATGGCGCTCGAGGCACTCCGCGACCGCCAGCGCTGGAAACAAAAGGGGGAGGAGAGGCTACGCGCCGCTGGGATCAACGAGGCCACGATTGATCAGTGGAAGAACAACACTGCCTTCACAGGGTCGGGGGGAGAAGGCAACCCGGAAGATGTCCAATGGTCCAAGAAGGGCGAGGGACGCGAGTGGGATCGGGGCAAGTTCGTGGACGATGATGGGCATATTGATATCCGGGCTGCGTGGTAGTCCTGTTTTTCTGGCGTTTGAGGCTTATGATACCATGTTTAAAAGTTCTACATTCCTCCATATACACATATCTACTGATCTCCATGGATATTAGCGTCAGCATTGTCTACTTCGAAGTCTTGGCGTTTTGTCGGAGTGCGGAATTCCGCCGCGTTGATGGCGATAGACCGCAGATTGACGTCGATTGCTCCATGGGCTTATAAATTGGCAATGCATACCTAAGTACGTATATCCTAGTGTCGTCTCGTAATTTGATTGATAACCATCGATCTACTTCCAGGTTGATTCCACTGCCCCGGTGCCTTTCGCTATATATACTCAACACCCGGGCATCTCCCACCCTAACCTCTGGTCCTACACTTCACCTGGCACAATGTCTGATCCCTTCGCCTACGAATACCCATCTCCACTGGAAGGCTACGAGAATCTCGAGCCCTTGTCTGAGTAAGTGTCGTCCATGAGATGCCTATAGCCCCTAATCTCGAGCTCTCAGAGAGAAAAACGAAGATGGCAAATCGCTGAAGAACCCCCAACATGGAGTTCTGAGCAAAGCATATGAAGAATTCCCCGATCCCCTCTCCAAGGGGCGAGAAGGAGGCTTCGATATCCACATCTATTACTTCCAAGTAGGTCGCACCACCGCCCACCCCGATGCAACCGCTAATGCCGACCAGAATAACCCCGCCCAAGTCACTTTCGCCAGAGCACTCTGGGAACGTATCAGACGAGAATGTAAGACCCTGGATTATCTCACCGTCATCGGCCACTGACAAGAATAGTCCCCGAGCTACGGGTCTACCGATTCTGGGACTGCCCCATTGGCCCGCATCCCGTGGCGATGTTCGAAGTGAATCTGTTCACACCGGCACAATTTGGAGCCTTCGTCTCCTGGCTGGTCATTAATCGGGGCCCATTGAGTGCATTGGTTCACCCCAATACTGTCCAGTCGGAAGATGAGCGTAATCATACCCAGCGTGCGACCTGGTTGGGAGATCGACTTCCGCTGGATACTAGCGTCTTCAAGAAATAATATTGGGCCCACACGCGTTGTTAACTCTAGATGAAGCTTTGGTGGCGCAGCTCGATCGGTCGAGAATGAACCAGCGTATTACCTAGTACAGCCTTGGATGCTGCGAAAGAGAGCGGTGGTAGCACAAAAGAGCTGACTCTGATCAGTCATGTCGATGCTATCAGGTTGGACATCTTCCAAGATCCCAAGGTTAATAGGTTCCCTAGGTGTCCTTAAACTCTAGACGCCTGAATCAGACCGAACAAACTTCTATTGCAAGTGACACTATTCAAATACACCTCGACTTGCTCTCGATTGAACTTATCGGGTTGCACTGCTATTGTGCTTTTGTTCGATGTAACTGCACCTTCACTGCACCTGAGCGAAAAACACCAGCCAGAGGCTTTATCCGATTGTGTCGGCGGTTATATGCCTGCCTCCTCGCTTTGCAAGATACCTAGGTACCTCTATGTCCAAGAGTGACATCGGGAGACATAATGGCTCACTTTCCTTTCAACCTGAGATACTCTGCTGTAGTCTTGATGGTATCAGCGCTCTTGATTGCTCTCGCTTTTGCTGTCGGCCATGACGCTTTATATCACAGCGTGGACAGGAAGTCTGTCCTACACGTTGAGATATTGTTCAACTGGAACTCCCTTCAGCTATCCAACCAACAAGTATACGTTGCACTCGGTGCCTTGTTTGCTTTCATAGTCAGAAGCTTCCTTGGCGTCAGTGTTTCGACGGCCTTTGAGCAATTTGCCTGGAAATCTATTCACAGCCAAACCACCAAGATTGGCATCATTGACGATCTGTTCTCCGTTCTGAGGAATGGCCTGACAGTCCTGGATCCGCGACTATGGAGGCGATATCCACTCAGCATGACCCTTGCGGCGATGTGCTGGCTTCTCCCAGTGTCATCCATCCTCACCCCAGCTACATTGAGCGTGAAGCTAGCGCCCTTTGATGACAAAGTTTTGCAAAGAGTTCCACGAGTCGACTTTGCAAATTCCAACTTTGTCAACTTGATTCAAAGCTACGAGAGGAGCAACGGGTCTGGTGAATGGATGAAAGTGTACTCTGGCCCCACGCCAGACGTTCAAAGAATTGTCAACGGTGCAGCAAATCAGGGCAGAGTCCTGCCCATCGAGCCTGCAGCTGCAAACTCATCCTGGTCACAGGAGTTCCATGGCCCGGCACTGGTATGCAGTGAAGTCAACCAGACACTCCGGGCCATCATCACTCGGAACATAGTAACTGCAATAAATACAACCCAAACCACCGAGATAAACAACGGCTCTCAGGCGAAATCATACACAGGATATCTATATCTCTCCTGGGCACCGGCAGGCGAGGATCCCGTCAATGTTGTTCCCTTCTGGCAGCCCGAGAAGAACGGGACCTACACCTTACAAGCGCGACAGATAGGACCTGACCCCTATGCCACTGGGGGGTCTGAAGATACATGGCTCTCAACTGACTCTGAGCCGATTCAGAATAGATCACCACTTTCAATCTTCGTGAGCAGCTTCCCAAGAATGGCCGAGTACGTTGATCTCAGCAACGTAGATGCCGGTTTGCAGAATTCGACTATCATACAATGCTTCCTTCACAATGCATCATATCAAGCAGGCTTCAATTATGTCAATGGGAACCAGACAATTCGTATAATCGATGAAAAAGTCCAGAATGGAATCTCGCTTCTGGGCGGGATCGAGGGTTCGATACATCGGAACGAGACTGCGTTCATACGAAATCCTCAGATCATGGAATCCATGGCTTTTCAGTCCGTGATGGATGCATTCTGCAGTCTCCTGTATGGATACATCGGCACGAATATCGTCAACCTTCGTGGTAGTGGCTATGCCGCGAATGGGTCTACCCCGTTGAGGGCGCACACCGACGTGACTTCAACGATATTGATGGAGACAGAGGAACTGCATCAGCTGAAACTCAGTTTGATCTCCGGAGGCAATGATGAGTATATCGAGTATTGGCGTGGAAGGTCCACAAGTTCGCTGGATTATCCTCTAACTCCACTGGCGACAACCATCCAGGACCTTTTCCGAAATATTTCAATCTCGTTCATGAGCTCTCCGCTATTTCAGTACGCAGCTCTTTTACCTTGCAACTATAAAAAGTCGAAATGCTAACCCTTGTCCACAATCCGAATTACTCGGTAACAGCAGTCCCGAACACGACAGTGACTATTTCCACGTACCGCAATATGTACAACTACAGTCGGTCGACTCTCTGGGTCACCTACGGCGTAGCACTAGGTGTCACTTTATTGAGTGCCATTGCAGGCATCTTGGCATGGATGTCAAGCCAAGGCTCATACAGCAACAAGTTTTCAACAATATTGAGGATCACTCAAGGGGCCACGATATCCACAGAGCTCAAACCGGAAGATTATAGTGGCTTTGATCCACTGCCAGATTATATCGCAAATGCGCAGCTGAGACCCGGCTGCGCCTCAAAAGAGAATGTTAGCGAGACAGCACCTGGCGACAGCCGATCTCCCAGCCGGGTTCTGGGGAGAATGGACGAGACGCATCAGAATGGGGATCATCAGAGATCATATACCTTATGATATACATGATTAGATCTTGGGAATGTCATAGATCCGACCCCTTGATTCTCGAACATTGTCCATGCTGAAAGTGAAGATGTAGATTATCTCGTTCCTAACCCTACTAGACATCATACAGCACAAATCGCAGCAAATTATATTCCGTCTCAAAGGGAAGAAACAGTCTTTCATGACATGCGATGTGAAACCGTAGACTGATGCATCATGAAAAGGGCAAGGGGAACTCGAAACAGCAGTCCAAGGATCAACTGTGGGCTTCAGCATTAGAATGTATTTACTACCTACCTAGGTAGGTATTTACAAATTTGAACCAGGTTGAGGAAATGAAGTACGAAAGTAGATAACGCCTATTGATTGCATCCTAAAAATACGCCATAGCTATGAAGCGAAACAGAGCAAGTTCAAGATGGCGGTTTCCAGCCAAAAAAGAGCACTCCATCTCACCTTTTCCACGAGCCAAAGAAGCAAAATCAAATCGCGCAAAAGAAAATTAAAACGATAATTCCTCCCAAGAATATTCCTCCTATCTCAAAGGTGATCACCGGGGCAGGTTACTCCAATAGAGCCTCGATTTGACAGCCAAGTGACGGTCGAATGAGGAAAAAAAGTAACACCCTGGCACGAAGACCTCATGAGGTCAAGAGATTTAGTCTTGACGGCTGCGCTTGGCACCGTGAGGGTTGGATCCATGGCCGCCGGTTTGGTTGTTGTTGTAGAATCCGCCCTGGTTGTGGCCATGGGTTTGGTTGAACGGAGCATGACCACCTTGGAAGGGGGGTTGGCCTGGAAGAGGTTAGCTGAGAGATCGACGGTCTTCCGTGGATAGCTTACCTTGCATGTTCATGTTACCGCCCATGTTGGGGGCCATTCCAGGCATCATGGGGTTCATCATGGGGTTCATGCCGCCCATACCTCCCATAGCGGGGTTCATTCCCATTGGCATCATGTTTCCTCCCATGTGGCCACGGCCGCGAGGAGCGCCACGCATATTTCCCATCATGGGACCGCCGCGGTTGAATCCGTAGTTCATACCGCCCATTGGGCCGAAGTTACCCATCATGGGGTTGTTGTTTCCGCCCTGGAAAGGCATGGGGTTAAAGTTATTGTGGCCACCACGGTTGTTGAAATTGTTGTAGTTTCCACGGTTGTTGTTGTAGTTTGCTCGACCACCGCGGAAGTTGCCATTGTTGTTGTGACCATAGTTATTGCCGCCATGATAGTTGCCACGGGGAGTTGCATTATTCTGGCGCATAGGTGTATCCTTGGGCAAGGTCTTGAATGGATTGTTGACAGGGTTGGCATAGGCCGCGCTATGGCCGCGACTACCATCGGTGGTCTGGACAATCGCCTTCTTGGCAATGGTGGCGGCCTGAGGGGTACTGAACAGAGCATAGACTTGTCTGTTGAAGTTCAACTCGTTAGTAGATACACTTTTGTAACTGATGGTATGGAATTTCCTTACCCTTTGCTCTTGCCGTTGACCTTGTGCTCACTGAAGGTCAATTCCTTAACATCGGGTTCAGCGCCCGAGGCGTTGATCCAGCCTCGAACGTCTTCCTCAGTAAGCCACCAGGAAATCTCGCTGATCAGCAGCGCGGCGGTGGCATCAGGGTCGGAGGGCTTCTCGTCGATTTCCTTGCGCTTGGTACCCTGGGGGTGAGTGGGTGGGGTGTTGGTGGAAGCCTGCTGCTCAGAGCCAGGTCCGTGGTTCACAGACTGGACGGACTGAACAGGCTGGAGAGGCTGAGCGGCACGCTCGTTCGCGGCACGGTCGGAGGTAGTAGACTGGCGGGGCTTGTCATTCGCGCCGTCGGTGCTAGCAGGCAGATTCTCGGGAGCATCCAGAATCAGCTCCGAGTCGTCCTGACCGGCGGGATCATTGGCGTTGTAGGTGCCATCCCCGTAGATATCAATGTCAAAGTTGTCGTCGTCGGTAGCCATTGAGACGTCAAGTTAAGAATCAGTTCTTCGGGTTGAAGTAAGTATTCGATTTGCCTGTGTATGTACAGGCCCTTGATGTTTCTGTCTTCTTTCCCGCTTCCGAGCAAGCCAAGGAAAGAAATGCACTTCTGCAGACACCCGATCAATTAGCAGTGTAATCATCGCAAATGACGCTGATCCATGGGAGGTAGGAGGAGGAAATGCGCAATTCTCGAACTAGGCCCCGAAGGCTCGCATGTCTGAGCCTTCACGAAAACAGTAGACAATGACATAGTAATATAGCATGGGTAGAGGCAGACAGGACATGGGAAGAGACAGGTGATGCGCTGAGGACGTGCCAGGCCTGATAATACGTACAAATCCGAAGCTGATCAAGTGCTTGCGGCTGAGACAAGACTGCGCAGGCGAAATGCAATACGCACAAGACGATGACCCGGAAAAACGGGTTAGAAAAGAATAGAGCGTGTGAGAAAAGAAGAAAAGCTGTGGCAGAGATGCAACAGCGTGGACAGTGTGTTGTGAAGCGGAAGAAGAGACAGAGCAGATCAGATCAGTGAAATGGATTGCCAGGGAAGGGACACGGGGGGGAGGGGGAGCTAGCAAACGACCGCAACGTCAGGGCAACGATCCAGGACGTGAAAGGGGACCCGCTTGTGACGATGCGATGCAGAAGCACCAGGAGCGACGGCGAGCTCCCATGCGATGAGCTCAGCGGATCATCTGATTTTCCGACCCACCCCGGGGCCCTTAGGACTCGGCGGAAACCACCTGTCCTAATCGCCTCCCTTGGACTTTCTTCTTCAACCCCTTCAGTCGTCTTTGTCGTCAATAATCATCAATATGTCTGAGACTTTCCAAGAGCTTGCCGATATCCCCAAGGACTTTGTCCGGGAGGGCTCTCAATTCGTGCGCCGCTGCACCAAGCGTATGTCGATCGCCATGCATCACGTTCTTCGACATACTGACTCTCAGCATAGCCGATAAGCGTGAATTTATCAAAATCAGCCAGGCTGTCGGCATGGGCTTCCTCGTCATGGTAAGTGTCCATGGGGGCGACCCCTGATTTGAGTGCGCGAGGCCAGATATCTGACATCGCAAATAGGGAGCCATTGGCTACTTCGTCAAGCTGAGTATGACTTTCTAAAGCCTGGATGATTATCCATGGCATCCATCAACACGTGTTGTTGTGCTAATATGCTGTCTGCAGTCCACATCCCCGTCAACCAGGTCCTGGTCGGTGGCGCATAAAGGAGAACTGCACCATAGGTGTTTCCTGCTCCTGTTGGTTAGCTGAGGAATGATGGGAGAGGGATGGATGGGGTGGATGAGATGGGGGAGGCGTGAAAGCAACAACCGGGGAAGGGAGGCGACGACGAGGGGCAAATTACGCCGGCGCATGTACGCATTAAGCCATGGACTTCAGGCTTCCAACCCTTATGCGTCTCCGGGGCAGCCACGACGACATCATTCGTGTTCCCAGTCGCTTTCTCCTGCCTCAAACTCCAGACTCTGCCCTCCTGTTGTGCCTATCAGCACTTTCGTTTCTGTGATTTGACCTGCCATGGCGAGCGCTGCCACTTGGCTCTTTTATTTGGATATGCGATGAAACAGTCTTCAATCGCTATCCATGAGATACCACCACTTACGCATCCTGTATTAATACAGACATCTTCAAACAATTGACGCATTTCACACATTGATCATTCCAGCGACTGAGGCTGAACCACTAACGTGGCCCAGAAAGCCTTCTCAGTTCGCACATCTGTATCTGAATCTCGAAAGACGGCACATCTATCTAACTACCTACGATGGCACGAAATTGGCAATTGCACGGTGACGATGATCCCCAAACGTGCATAATCGCGAACCATCGGAACTTGCTTTTGCTGGTGGGCAGTTAGTTGGGAATCTTACCATATTGTGGTATCTTCGGCTTCCTCGTCAATGTCCAAGCGGCGAACAGGTCGGCTCCGCAGTGGACGCCGCGCACGACCAAATGGAACATTTTCGCGGTAATGGTTGAACTCGGGGACGTAGCGCAACTTGTCATCATAACTCTTGCCCAAAGGCGGGTAACCTTCGTCTTCAGTGGCGCCATCATTCCATGAATGAACCGTGCATGTTCCAGTGGAGAGACCCCAGCCGTTCCAGGATGTTGCTATAGACTGCATCAGCAATATTCTAAAAGACACTGTAGGACACTCACCTGCTAGCACTGGAGCATTCGGATGCCAGCTGGCATCTCGAACACAAGTCCTCCACATTGTTTCCCCGCCCATCTCATAAGCCGTTGCGTAGGTATCTGCCTCGCGCGAACGCGAATTCACAGTCGCTTCTCCGACGTCAATCGTGTCGGCCAAGGTGGCATCCATGTTATAAACGTAAACTTTGCCATCGTCGCTTCCACTGTATACATAACGGGAGTTTGTGCTATCCGGCGGCGAGAAATGGCACCGGATCAAAGTCTTGAGCACATGGTGGCCCCGATACGTAACAACCGAGCAATCATTTGGGGCATTTCTGCGGAAATCCTCCGGGTATGGTTCAAAACGGTAGTCATATCCAGTCATGTACCCATAAGGGTCGAGATTTTCCACACTGGCAGATGTCATCATCTTGCGCAAGTCCCAAAGCTTCATAGTTTGGTCTTTGCTGTTGGACAAAACGTATCGACCATCGCCTTTGCTGTCGACGTAGGTGAGGCCCTCGGTATGACCCATGAAGACTCCGGCTTCACGGCCATCGCCCATAGATCGTCGGTCCCATACTCGCAGGGTCGTGTCATCGGATCCAGAGTACAAAATATGGGGCGATGATGTATCGCCGTAGCAAACTGCATTGACATGGTGTCCATGTCGGTCACGCAGACAGAGAACTGGCTGCTTGGTTTCTAAATCATATACGATGACCGAATCTTCCGACGTTCCAGCGACGACCTCACGGCCGTCTCCAGAGAATCGGAGGGACCAAATCTGTTCAAAAAATGTTAGCCACCGAGAAACTCACGTATGGGCACCTCTTACTCCAAAATGTGAGCTACCACGTCTTTGTTGACCTGGTATAGTTGAAAAATCAAGGGCAGTGGGATCCGAATCATCCTCTGGGTCTGTAGGCGCCATGTATGCTTGACTTCGTATAGAGCTGTACACAAGGAACCGATTATCCGGGCTCAGGGTTGCATCGGTGATGGTCCATTGGCCAAATGGATATTCGACGGTTTTGAAGTATTTCCAGTCGTAAGGGTTAGAGGTATCATACATTCGAACTTTGAAATCTTGTGCACAGCAGAAGAAGAAATTTCCGTCATCCGAGAATTGGCCCGAGTAACTTCGTGTGTCGTAATGAATAATTCGGTCTGCAACCGAGCCTGGGATCAATCCCTAATAGCAGGAAAGAAGAGGTGAGCCCGGACCACTGGCTAGATTAGACGCTCTTTGAAGAACATACCTGTGAGATGATTTGGTTCGCTCGTTTCCGCACTCCATAGACATCAACACCTAGTTCTCGCCACATGAGGTTTGTCGTCAAGTCCTTTTTGCGTTGTCTGAGACGGTCGATATAATACTGGTCGGTCCCGAAGTGACCGTCGCCCATCAGTTTCTTTCCTTCTGGATTGGGCACTGGAGGTAGTTCGGGCGGGGGTCTGTTTGGCCTGCCCCGTCTGGTTCGATAGGCCCTGGCGCGGTATCGTGACATGAAACGCTCCTCATAATCGCTGTCGTCATCCTCGCTTTCAAATTGTTCATCGCTTTCATCTTGCGCCTGCGGCTGTAAGGCCACAGGCCCACCAATGGACTGAAGGATGTTCTGTAGTCCGTGACCGGCAAGCAACTCGATCACCCGGGCAGGAACTGCCATTCGTCAGTTATTTATCCTGGACTCCCATCATATGGACAGTCAGACATACGATCTGGATGTTCACCGTGGCCTTCGCTCGCGGGGTCGTCGTTCGTGAGAACAATCTGGATATTACCGATGTTGATGCTGGGGGTGTCTGTGAGAAGACCATTAGCCGATTTGCTCGACTCGGGCCGCGCTCTGTATAGTCAGGATCCAGACTTACCACCAGTGACTCTCATGCCCATGGCTTCGTCTTCAATTGGCATGTCGTCAAGCCATCCCTCACCGTATTCGGGTTCTCGAGCGGGGTGGTAGTCGCTGTCCTGCTCGTCTTCTTCTAGCCATTCATGGGCAGGGTGCCAGAGACCCTCGTCATCTCCTGGCGATTCTGTTCTGTTAGGGGTTGAGGAACTCATGGTGTGCCCCAGGTGGGAGATGACCTCAGGGAGATGGTGCTTATCGATAGCCGATAAGTGCCATCCGGGCCCCGGGGGCCCGGTGACCTCGGTCACCGCCTTTGCGGTCCGGACTTAAGTCCCCGTTATCTCCGGGGCCGGTCCACCGATCTTAGGAACCACCGATCTATGACTTCGATTGCCTCTGAGCCTCGGTGTATATTACATAGGTAGGTTTTCCTCCAAACTTGGAAGATGTCTTGTACATAATAAATTACATTCTCAATCTACTACACTCCCATCTTGATGTAGGCATCTTTGCATACTAGAAGTTCACAAACATCAGGGTGTCTTTGTGGTTGGAGCTGTTCGGCTAAGGTTCATGATCCATGGCCAATACCTAGGTGAATGCCTTGGAGGATACTCCGTATTGATATCAGAGCCGCTATAAAGTTATAATTTCCATGTTGGGATAGATAGTGTCATTCTTGAAGCCCTCACCCACAGCATCCCACGTCTATAGTGTACCTAGGTATCAACCATAGGATATCGATCAAGTATGCAGGGCAATTTAGCTCTGTGGGGACCCATGGATGCATTAAACATAGCTCTGTGCATGTATGTTTTGCAGATTTCGCACCAGTGGCACACCGGTTTCCCGTGTTCGGTTATGGTGAACCTTATGCTATGTATCATATTTTCCATACCAACGTATCCTAACTCTACCGGACATGACTCTTCCCATCTTTTCAAGGTTGATAGCCCCAAGTGATGATAAACTTTTCTCATTGCAGATCCATGGACTGGCAGATTCCCCTGGGTATGCTCTGTGGTTGATCGAATAGCGCACTGTGTAGATAGCAAGTAGATATGCCATGATTGAAGACCATAAAAAGGACTAGATATTCAGTCTTGCAATTAGACTGGCACACATAGGCAGAACAATGATATTCAGCAACCTGGGAGTACTATAAGGGTCGACTAGTGTAAGGAAGCAACCTGGGAAAAACGTTGGAAGATAAGCTCTATCGGACTAACCATTATCCCGGCCCCACTCTACTCTCCTCCGAGCTTGGGCTTCGTATGTCTTTGAGACCACCTGGGCAGGCAGATACTCTGAGATTCTTAATCTTCATTTGTGGCTCAAAGTCGCATTCTGGCGCTTCAAAGATATCGCGCTACCATCCTCAGTCCCTGACACCCTTCAAACCACCCCCACCATGCAGTCCGTCCCAGAATCACGACAGCAGTCATTCGAAGAGATCTACGGACCTCCGGAGAACTTCCTCGAGATTGAGGTGAGTTCCCTGGCACTTAAGATCTCTCAAATAAGGCTTCCAATCAGTCTCTCATCCTCTATCATCTTGTGCCCGCGTCGGATTCAAGCAATCCCCATACATCCCCACCCAAACCCATGATAACCCCGCTACCCACATCATACTGTAGACTAACCAGAGAATCCAAAGGTCCGTAACCCCCAGACTCATGGCACCTCTCGGAACATGTACACGTCGTACGAGATCGTGTGCCGGACCAACATCCCCGCCTTCAAACTGAAACATTCGGTCGTGCGCCGCCGCTACTCCGACTTCGAGTACTTCCGCGATATCCTAGAGCGTGAGAGCACGCGCGTCACGATACCACCACTGCCGGGCAAGGTCTTTACCAACCGGTTCAGCGACGATGTCATCGAACACCGCCGCGAAGGCCTCCAACGCTTCCTTCAAATTGTCGCTGGACACCCACTCCTCCAAACCGGAAGCAAGGTTCTGGCAAGCTTCATACAAGGTGGGCGATTTCCTGTTGATTGTCACTGGAAATCGAATATACTAATACGAGTGTAGATCCTAACTGGGACCGCAATGCGTGGTAGACTATAGTCGGCTCAGTCTTCATTCAGCGTGCTTCATTTCTGGGAATTGACCTACATTTCGCATTGGGTCCTTACTGCTTCTTCGTTCATGTCCTTTTCTCTGCCCCTCTTGGATGTCTCATGCTTTTACATATTCTTTCTCCGGATGCCTTGCGATCAAAAATTACCCACGACTGTAAGCTATGAGATGGCCATTACATGATTTCACTTGTGCTCGTTTGATGTCCGAATCCACCGCTATTCTCCATTAGCAGCATAGGAGGTATTCTATTGATATCGAATATATTAGAAACCGAATACCAGAAGTTTGAAGTTTGTAGAATTCGAATGAATAACTTTTGTTTAAAGCAAAAACCGTCGTGTACTGCGGGATATCGATCAATAACAAAAAAACAACGAGAGCGGAGAAGCTGGTGGCAAGGAATAGCCCAAGAAACACCGAAAAGAATATAAGCCGGAAAGAACACAGAAAGAAACATTAAAAAATGATACCAGGTCATACAAAAACGTCGATAACGTTGTATGGAAGATAGCATTTGTCCATCATTGGGCCAATTCGTCCCAAATCATCGGAGCAAGTGTATTGTCTTCCCACGGTGCCTCAACAGTCGAAGAAGCAGGGCCAGAGCCTTCTTCCAAAGAGAAAGAAAGCCCACCCGCGGCAGGAAGAGGTATAGGGTTGTCCAGCAAGCCCTGAGGGGGCGGAGGGAGAAAAGCCGGATCAATTTGGGCAGGATTGGAGTGAGAAGAGGTGGCAGCGTGACCCTCCCTCGAATGGCGAGTGTCAACAAAAGGTTGGGTCGCACGACCCTTACTATGGGAGAGTTCTCCGACACTGGGACCATTCGGACGAGGCGTGGACGCGCCCGCCGAGTCCGGTTGGTTCGGAACCTGGGTAGCCATCTTTTTGCCGCTCACGGAACCGCCATCACGATATGCATGTGGGAACTTCGTCCTGAACCTGTCACGCAGATCAGTTGCTTTCCGGTGACTGAGGTTCAGTCTTGGGTCCTGTTGAATCAATGTCCATTGGAAGCCGTGGACGGCGTATCCCTTGAGAAGGGCTTCGTCTTCTGTGGTTGTGAAGGGGCGCCTTGAGCGGCGTTTGGTTTGTGCGACATGGGGTTGGGGAATGCCGAGAGATTCCAGCGTTGAACGGGATTGGCTTGGTAGAGCGGGTGTGCTTTGTCCTGGGGAGGGTGAAATGGCATTTCCAGGCTCCGTATCAGGCGTGGATGCGAGGGTACTTGGGGTCGAAGAGTGGCGTGAAAAGACTGATGGGCTTCCTGACGCAGCAGTCGAGTCGGATCCTCCCGATTCGGTGCGCACAAGCTGGGGGATTTGCAAAGTGGGGGAATCATCCGAGCCTCCTGCTTTGGCCTTGAGTAGGGCGTTAGTGAGGGTTTCGTGTAGCTTTCTTGCGGCTTCGTTGGGATCAGATGCACTTTCAGATTTGTTAGCCAATGACCCAGAAATCTACACTCGATGGGATCATTACCGGTACGCCCATGGACAGAGTACTCGAAACCTAGCACCAGGCAATTTAGCAGGAAACCCGACGTTGATCCAGGAACATGACACATACCTATCTTTGAGGTTAGATGCAGTTCTTTGGTTGAACTCCAGCTCTGGCTGTGCCAGAATAGCAGTCCAATTTCCAATCCCACATTTGACCACGCCCCGAAGCAAAGTGGTAGTTTCTTCATCGGTCCATCTTCTCAGATTCTTACGGGACCGGCCCCGGCTTTTCGGCGATATGGGTGTGTCTTCCTTATGCGCGGTAGGCTCGGGATTGTGGACTTGGGGTGGACCTGCTTCAGGCGCCGATAGAGTAATGCTATCAGGTTCGGGTGTGTTAGTGCTTTGAATAGTTTCAAAATTATCATTACGAGCATCGTCTTCATCAACATTGAGAGATGTGCGAAGTATCTCTTCGATCCGTGCACCACGTCGTTCGACGGGCTGGCCATCTGCCGGTGTACCCTGGACGGAAGTCGATGCCCCCGCATCGAGATCTGCATCACCTCCCGATGGTTTGGTAAGAAGCTGGGATATGTTAGACCCAACCTCAATGGGCGGGAGGAATGCAGCGTTAGGCGGGGGCTCATTCAATCCATTAAGAATGGCAAATGGGCCAAATGGCGGAGGCCTTTGCTCCTTTTGGGCCTGCGGGATGGGCAGTTGTAGATGCTCGCTGAAGGAATCCGCCTGATGATCTAAGCGTCGGCGCTTGCGGGTCCCCTGAGGGGCTCCATCATCAAATGACGTGGAAAACGGGAATTTTTCTAATGCCCGTAGGTTGACAAAGGCCGGGAGAATCGGCCTCGGTGGTCGCTCCACGTTCGACAAGTCTGTCGGGGGATCGGGTGGCTTCGTCCGCGCCGCATTGAGGAACTCTGTTACTGTTGGAAGACCGGCTTGTGAGTTTGCTGCCTTGGCGGCATTGCTGTTGGCCTTTGGTATATTATTTGTATCCCTCGCACCGCTGGCATTGGGTTCGAGTGGCGAGGGGACTCTCAAGGTCCGGGAGGAAACCGGTTCTCGGAGAGGCGCGATCCGAAGAGAGAGTTGAGGCAGTTCACGGAGTGCCGATTCGTCAGGAAGCCTTGAGGCATTGGCAGGTTCCATTTCCAATCACAGATGTATCATTCCGGACATCATTGCGTCCATGGTGATGTGCAGAACCTTGGAAGACGAAAACGATAAGGGACGTGATAACGGGATGTGTTCCAAGGTTGGGGCGGTGACGGACGCCAGTAAAGTGGGTTCGCAATACGTCAGCTATGACATTCTGTTTACTCCTTGGCTCTCTTTTGACTACAACTGTTCCAGTTGTCTTGCAATTGATCTGTTCACATCCTTGATACCCTGGATAAACTGCCTATCTCGTACACTTATCTCTGGAAAACAGTGAGTTTTCCTCGCTCGGCATCAAGTACAATAAGCTGCTCTGTACTTATGCAGGTCACCCTGAGCGCAATGCAGAACTGCGCAAGCGAGGAACAAGGAATAACGTTGAGAATTGCAGGACGTCAAAATGCCCACTATCTTTCCCACATGGCCACATATCCTCTTTGGCATTCTGGAGCCTATCTCACTGTACGAACATGGATCACCCATCCTCGTCCATGCACATCACTAACTCAATTCAATCTGACAGGGCATTGGGCAGTGCTTATCCTCTCTATGACCTCCCCGGCTTCATCACGGGTCAAACGCCTACCATTGCAGACCCTGCCACCCCTCACCCCAGCAGCGTCGCTCTAGCCTACCAGGTCGGGAATCTATATTTACTTCTCTTCCTGGTCGGTGTGGGAGTGTGCCATGCCACGACAGAGCCCAAGGTGCTGCGCAACTACCTCGTCGGGCTGGCCATCGCCGATGTAGGGCATGTATATGCCACGTGCTTGGCGATGGGCTGGGACGCCTTTGTGAACGTCGGGGCATGGAACGCTCTGACGTGGGGTAACATTGGGGCGACTTCATTCTTGTTTGTTAATAGGATTGCCTATTTCTGGGGGGTTTTCGGATATGCGAAAGCGCCTAAGGCGGCTGTCAAACAGCAGTGAAGTACCTAGGTAGTCCGTATGTACCATATTACTTGATTGAAAATGTATGCTTTGATTAGAGGGGGAAAAAAAGCAAACAATAGTGGACAGGGGCCAATCCCACCTGCATGAGACCGCATATTTGTAATGCCGACTTCAATCGTGCTATCGCCTAGAGCGGCTCTTCGGATGCAGTGGGTTTTATCTGATTCGTAGGCCCTGCGATGGGCAGGCAAAGAGGGGGTTGCATGTAAGAATCTAGCCATATGCGCTGCTCTGAGCCGTGTCTCAAGACTCGAGCCGGGGTCTAATAATCTTCCAATGGGGTTTATAGCTGACAGCCACGTATACTCTTAATTGTCAAAGATATTAGATTCAAACAGACAACGCCAGACTCCCAGATGCTGCCCGATACTAGCATGGGTATAAACATAGAAATACAGGTCATGACACGGAGCATTTCAGTCAGTGGCCGTGCAAAATCGCCCCCAGAAATGCTGCCAAGACGCACAATCAATGCATCAGCGGGGACAAACAAGAATATCGAGTCTTCAGCTCCCCGTCAACGTGGGGCGGTTTCGCCATCTGCAGCCACAGCAAGCCAAGCACACTCCCCTTGTGATTTTCTCCTTTTACCGAAGCTAGCGAGCGACTTCAATCGGGCTCGACCGGGCCCTGTGGATTAATCCTCCTGCAAGAACTGTAAGACTGGCTGCAGCCCGGCATCGCCGTTTTCTTTGAAATCACGGATGTGGGGGATCAAAAAGGGAACTCCGGGGTATTTTTGGTAATGCTGTCGGTACGCAGAGTAGTTCCCAATGGGGTCCATGAGCGACATGATCTCCTTGGGAATGAGGGCCTCTACGATCGCGGTGTCGGTGCCTCCATCGGGGCGCATTGAGGAAATAGCGTAGTCGCGGAGGCCGCTGATCAAGGCCATGAGAGAGTGATAGTCTCGAGTTGCTGATAAACTCTACTCGCATCATTAGATCAGTGTCTCGGGGGCATTCCTCAAATACTCACTTGTATACAGTCTTGGAAATATGGAACCAAGTCGGGAAGGGCGCAGCAACATTCCCAGACCGAGACGCTCAGAGTCCGCCCATGAGCAAACAATTGTCGGACCACAGCGTCATCCGTCACTAATTTTTGGCGGGTGACGTCGGCGAATTGATGTTCATCCAGACTTTTCATGTTGAGCGCCAGATCCATTGGCGATGAGTAGGTGAGGCAGTCTTCCAAAAACGTAAGTGATGTATCGAATGGGGTTTCCCAGTCCATAGCCGCAGCATGCGCATACTGTCGGCGAAAGCGAATGGCCAGAACACTCAGCATCTTGAGCATGTCGCTCAGCCTCCCCGGCTGATCTTTGAACAAATCCTGGATGGGGCCTGCGATGAACTGGAATCCCGTAGTGCTGCAAGGGAGCATATCATGATCCTCCTGGACCGCCTCCAGGCTTCTGAACAATGCTCGATGGGCGAAAGGGCTCCGCCACCGCATAATCTATCAATGTTAGTCGGGGTTCGGGGGCAAAGGGCGGCTCATTATGTAGATCACCGCACACACCTTTTCGACCTGAGCATACAACGGGACTTCTTCTGGATGGGCCTGGAGATGATTCAACAGAATCAAGTAGAGCACCGTATGTTGCTGGAGGAACCAATCTACAAAGAGGGCATTGTAGCCCAGCGCCGCACGGACAAACTCTTCAAAGTCAATCCGTCTGAAATGGAACTGGCTCTCGATCTCAATTGCCGTGGCTATTTCTTCCGCATCTGCGGTCTGACTCTGGGATGGGAACCAACTCCAGGGAATGGGCTCGAATGGCGGGATACTGGACCGCCGTAGAATCTCCTCCACCCTCTGCATGTGCGAGAGACTGTCGAGGAGCTGGTACTCGTGTGGCGCAGACAGCGCGATCAGAAATGCATCGATGGTGTCTGTATTGCGTGCGCGTAACGAGGTCCGCGGAAAGTTTTCATCGCGAAAGAGACCGAATCGAATGATCCGGCTAATTTCTTGGATGTCAAAGGCCCAAAATACGGTAGTTGCTTCATCCTCCCACCAGCGGTAGGAGACAAAGAAGCTTGGGACCTCCATCGTCCGGGGCTGGAAAGGGGGCAATTGCACCACGTCCATGGCCATGATGGACAGGGAGTGGCAAATGACCCGAGAGATTGTGTCGGAGGGTCAAAGGACAATGGGCAGGGCGATTGCATTTATCTCACATTAGGGGCTCCACGGCAAAGTACACGCTCAGGTCACACGGCGAAGGTAATTATAAGACGGCGCGATAAGGTCGAGAGAGAGAGAGAGAGCTATATTAATGAAACGTGCAGGGATCATCAAGAGGGTTATTGGCGATGCTAATTGTATCCCTGTACTGTTCCGCCACGTTCGACACATCACGAGGGTATAGCAAAGGCACAGAGGCACCGCGCCTAGGCACATTGCCAACGGGCTCCAGGCTGCGAGAAAGAGAGTAATGATCGACCTCAGATCGCTGACGAACTGTCGAGGCTTCGATTCTGATTCCGTTCTATGCCGACTACCCGCCCGTTGGGCTGCAGCATTGAGACTCGGGCCAGTCGACCCTACGATGGGTTGCCACAGCTGAGAGGCGGTCAGCTTCTAGAAGTTTTCAATTCATCAGTCCTCTCCAATGCTCTCCAATGGCCAGGGCTGTCCATCATCAGGCTCGGAATCGACATTATTCCATGGACGTCTGCAATTGGTTCTCCCGTCAACGCCCTTGCTACCCTTGCGATGTCCTTACTACCCGGTCGGAGAGAATCATTGAGAGGCAACTTGTCATTTGAGGCAAGGCTAAGCAATCAGGCATTATTGAACCTTGTGACCGTGTTGATCAGTGGAGATCTCTACTGCTACACCGCTAGAGTGGAATGTGCACAGGACGGTACTATGCTATACCTAGGTACTATACCAGTGTACTAGTACTCCGTACTCCGTACTGGTATACTTCGTATACCAGCCGTTGACTCCTTCACGGCTAACTTCTCCAGACCAATCATCGCCGCATCGCCACGTGAATTCCTCACCCAGCACCTTGGGAACGGGTCGCGGTAGTCGATCCACGCGGGGGGGGTCCTCTACTCGGTGCCTTGATTCCAAGTCTTCTGTTTTCAGAGGCGACTACTAGTCGGCAGTGCACTACGGAGTACTCCGTGCACCTACGAACAGACCAAAATAGCCCGGTATCACTCGTATTCCCTGTACGGAGTATCAATTCCAACGTTGCTATGATGCGGATATTGATGTCCGGTGGCCCTGGAGATTGACCTGGATTTAGAATTCAGGAGAAAAAGAAAGACCCCATCGCGGCAGATGCAGGACAATCCCTTTGTGCGGGCAGATGTACGGAATCCGAGTATGGAGGATGATGTAAGTATACGGGAACGAGTCCGACGGAGCATGCAGACCTGGAACGACTAGCCACCGTAAATGCAGGCTCGCAACTTTGGAATAGTCCAGCGTCGCACATACCTTGGAATCTCCCTGATCACGTCCAGCCCCTTGCCACATGTGCCTTGCCTCTCCCCATACGCCAATGGCGATGTTCGGTCTCCACGTTGCATCAGATGGGTCAGGAATCCTGCTGGGCTGTCGTGCATATCCCAGCAGAGTGGATAGGGGTTCGGAATAGTCCTCGAACGTGGGCTCTCGCGGTGAGTTTGGATCTATCAGATTTCCTTTCTCCACCGAGAACTTTCCCGGCGATCCCTCGGTGGATTGGTCAGATCCGGAGAGACTGGGAATTACTCCGTACACTGGGGAGTGGCTGGAATAATTAATCTCTCTCGTCCTCATACGCCCATCGAATTCGATCGATTTCCAGGTGAGTTCCTGCACACGGGACAATATTCCAAGGTTGGGGTGAGCTCTTTTCCACGAACTACTCTATTCCGCAGACTAGTGTTCATTCAGGTACTCTACGGTGCCAATATTCGATCTCACTGCCAACCTGGAGCCTTCCAAGGTTGGAACCTGGGAATGTTGGAGCCCGTACGGAGTATTCCGTACTGCTCAGATGTACGGAGTACTCTACGCCATAGGATACAGGGGGTGCCGCAATATATATCCACAACCTTGGAATAGATCCAAGACTAGCGTTTCCTCTCCATAGTTTGTTCCGATGTGTCACGGAATCCTTTCCCGCCAACTAAATCGGAGACGTTCTACTGCATCGTCATGTCAATATCGACATATTAGGATACCGATCTAGCCAAGCGCACGGGTTATCTCATTGGCCTGCGATACTAGGTACCTCGCCAATTCCAAGCCCTGGAAGTGATGATCGCCTTCAAATCGGATAAGGTGCACTCGGGGTTCCTCAAGGCAAAGCTAAAAAAACACGGACGCGGGTAGTCTCTTGAGCGGGTGAACTGTGCTTGGGTCCTGTTGATCGCGAGGCCTAGGCACCGTGTCTGTCAATCTCCAGCACGGACGTACTAGTGAGCCGCGTATGGACACGGAGGCCGGAGTACAGAGCAATATCACCACCGCATGTTCTATCATTGGGCGAGACGGGTGCGTTGCTCGTGTGGATCGGACTAACGTTCGGAGATGAGAAGGCGATATACCTTGATTGGGAGGTGGTCCTGCCCAGGTGGATATGGGTTGAAATTCTGATATCACCTGGAGTATCTGTGCGTTACTAGTCTGCGGACATAGCGGAGCTGATGGCGAGTGCGTATGCGCATACATACGGTTCCTTCGATCTTCAAAGCGATAAGCCCAACCGCGGCATGGCCCAGAAACAGGGGGACGATTCAGAAGCTATGAGCCAGCGGAGGGAAGGTCGAAAGAAGGAAAGGAAATACGGTCATTAAAATAATTGAACAGAGGTATCATCAAATGGTATCATATCACTTGGAAACGCGGCGGTCAGCCCGTCCCGGCTTTGTTTGCTATGGTGCAGAAACTACGAGATCATGACATCCAGCTTGGAGCAGGCAGTGCCGTTTTCCAGCTACTCTTTTTGGTTGCTTTTACCGACCACTATCTCACCAATGCCGTAAGACATTTAGTTGGCGAGAGCGTGGGCACGGCGGCGGTCACGCTCCTCAGAGATGGAGAGCTTGACACCCTTGCCCTTGGGGAGGGAAACCCAAGGCTTGTCCTGTCCAATGACGAAGACGTTGGACTCACGGGTGGCGAAGACGTTGTCAATGGCGTCTAGAAATGGGTTAGAAGATGGATTCGTAGGGAGAGAACGACCAGAACATACCCTTGACGTGGACGATGTTGAAACCACCGTCGTGGCGCTCACGGTGAGTGACGACACCGACACGACCCATGTTACGACCACCGGTGGCCATGATGACAGCACCGGAGTCGAACTTGACGAAGTCAACGATCTTGCCAGTGGCAAGGTCGACCTTGACGGTGTCGTTGACCTTGATAGCGGGGTCGGGGTAGCGGATGCTAGAGAGCGCAAGTTAGCAAAACCATGTTCTGACCAATGGGTTCTTACTGTGTCCAGAGAGATGGAACAGTTGGAACCGTTGGTTCCAAGTTCATTGTCCTCCGCCGATCAACCAAAGCCTGGTCCAACGACTGAATGACACGGAACTTGTGGAGTGTGGAACTCACGTTCGCGCATCGTGCGTAACCAAGAATGGGATCCCGCCCTTGCCGAGCTGAACGCGCTTGACCTTGCAGAGCTTGAACTCAGCCTCCTCAGCCTGGATGCGGTGGACGGTGAAGCGACCCTTGGTGTCGTAGACGAGACGGAAGTGCTCGCCGGTCTTCTCGAGGGAGATGACGTCCATGAAGCCGGCGGGGAAGGTGCTGTCGGTGCGGACCTTGCCGTCAACCTTGACGAGACGCTGCATCATGATGGCCTTGACCTCACGACCGTTCAGGGCGTACTTGAGACGGTTGCGGATGAAGACGATCAGGGGAAGGCAGTCGCGCAGCTTGTGGGGACCGGGGGAAGCCTTGGGGGCGTAGGTTCCGGACATCTTGTCCAGGAGCCAGTGGGAGGGCGCGCTAAGGCGCTTCTGGTGCTTTCCGCTGTAAAGGCATTGTCATTAGTGATGATGTTCGGGCGTTGAATTTTTTTTTCTCAATCACGCTCGCAGCGACAGGAGATCTGGAAGTTGCTGTGCAGCATGCAGAAAACAGGGTGCTGAGAGGGCGATCGAGAAGGTCGTGATTTGACACTTACGGGCCACGCATTTTGACTGATTTGGTCGACGGTTGGTGAGTTGGTCGAGTATCGCAAAGAGAGGAAGAGGCTGCCCGAGAGTCTAGGATAATGTGTGCGGGGATCAGGTGACCTACCGATTAGAGCTAGCCCTAGTGGATCCCATCGCTTATTTATGCCTGAGGCAATCAATTTGCTTAAGATTTCTGCCTGAACCCCAAGGCTGCGAGGGGAGATCCACCCTCATAGATCCACTTATTCCCATTTTAGGAAACTGAATTTATAGTCCTGGTGGTGGTTTGTACAGATCTTTCCTTTATTGACATTCCATGAGTCTACCGTTTTATTTAAATGTATCCCTTGATCACAGCAACCTCGGCGTTGAGGATGGATGATCCAGCAGCGCCAATAACCGTGTTGTGAGAGAGAGCAGCAAAGCGGATATCGAAGTGACCACCGGGGGCACCCTCACGAACACGTCCAACACTGACAGTGTAACCACCAGAGATGTTACGGTCAAGACGAGGCTGGGGACGGTCGGGCTCATCGAAGACCTTGATCGCGGGTTGAGGGGCGGAGGGAGCACCCAGCTTCTGTGCCTCGGACTGGTACTCACGCAGAGCCTCAACGACCTGCTCGGCGCTGGGGGTCTGGCGGTTCTTGAAACGGAGAGAGACAAATGCCATGTGTCCATCAGTGACACCGACACGGGTACAGGTGGCACCAATGCGAAGACCAGACTGCTCATCGAAGCCAGTAGCGCTGGCGTTCAGGGAGCCAAGAATCTTCTGGGCCTCGTTCTCGAGCTTGTCCTCCTCACCGCTGATGTAGGGAATGACGTTATCGAGGATATCCATGGTAGGGACACCGGGGTAACCGGCGCCAGAGACGGCCTGCTCGGTGAAGACCTCCACCTCCTCGACAGGACCGAACTTGGCCTGGAGAGCGGCGAAGGGAATGACGATTCCAATGACAGCACAGTTAGAGTTGCAGACCAAGAAGCCCTTCTTGAGACCGTACTTCTCACGCTGGTGAGGGATCAGGTCCAGATGTTGGGGGTTGACAGTGGGAACAACCAAGGGCACGATGGGGTCCTTGCGGAAGTTCTTTGCGTTAGAGAAGACAGGGATCTCTGCCTTGATGAAAGCCATCTCTGCGAAGAATCAGCATGTCATTCAGCATGGTTAGGCTTGATATCAACTTACCAGTCTCTCCAGCAACATCGCTGTTCAGACCAGAGAAGACAAGGTCGCAGTCGGAGAACAGCTCGGCCTTGCAGTCACGCAGGACCAGATTGCTGAGCTTCTCGGACATGGGGGAAGACTGCTTCCAGTTCACGGCATCCTTGTACTTCTTGTTTGAGGAGCGCGAGGAAGCACCCACGGCATGCAACTCAAGGAAAGGGTGGTCTGCCAGCAGCAGAATGAAGCGCTGACCGACGGAGCCGGTGGCACCGAGGACACCTTCGTTCAGTCAGACATGAATATTTCATAGAAGAGGAGATGAATAGCATACCGCACTTCTTTTTAGCGAATGAAGGAGCCATTTTTGAATGTGGTTCTGAATCTTGCCGAGTTAGCCACTACACAAATCCACAGCTTGAAAATTGAAAGCAAAACACAATTTGAACAAAGATGGGCTGGCAATTGCCATGGAGCATATGTCCTCAAGGTGCTCTTATGAGTCAAAGCGTTTCCAGAGCCCCGCATAGAGGTTCAGATGGCTCTGCAAGGGTGAATGCTTCCTCGAACCCCAGAGACAGCACCCTAGGCCAGCCCAGCACGCAAATAACAATAGGAAACAGCAATTGTACTCACCACGTTGACAACGAAGATGAAGCAATTCACCGCGCCTGGGCAGCGATGTCGCTGCTCAAGGCCCCGCGCTGCTGACTCACCATCCGGAAAAACTCGACTGCTCCCCGATTGGCCAATCTTTGATCTTCAACGGCATCATTTTCGACTTGCCCGTGTTGGTCTCTTGAGATCACTGGAGATGAACCAAAGATCTCACCTGGGCACCATAGAGACGGCCATCTTGATGCTCCATATGGAAGGCCGGGTCACCGTCTACGAGGATTGCTGCGCATGAAAGGTGGAATAATTTTGATCTACCGAAATCCCGAAAAGTCTATAATGTCGCAGCTAATGTCCTGGACCGTTGCCATCGTCGTAGTAGTCGAAGATCTTGCCAGGATTCAATAGCCAATTGGGGTCCATGGAGCGCTTCACGCCGCGCATGAGTTCGATCGTCTCTGGCCCAACTTCCTTTCGCAATGATCCCTTCTTGCCCAGTCCAACGCCGTGTTCACCCTGTAATAGATTAGCGGTTATCTTTGTCTGAGGAAGTTGGCATACTGTGCAGGATCCTTCCATCTCTAGTCCACGATCAACCATATCATAAACGACCTTCTTGACCCGAGCCAGCTCGGCGGGGTCGTTCCGATCATACATGATACTTGCGTGGAAGTTTCCGTCTCCAATGTGGCCAAGAATACTCGCGAACAGATTGAGGTCAACAAGTTCTTTCTTGGAAATTTCTGCAGTATCTGGTTAGACAGGACAGCCAAATGATGAGTTGAATTCCTTACCAATGATATCAGGCAGTCTCGAGATGGGCACTGACACATCTGTCGACCACACCTCTGAGCCCTCCTTTCGCAGCGCCATCATACTCCATAGTGACTGCTTCCGCGCCGACCACAGATTATGAGCCTCCTGTTCGTCGCGAGCAAATTCAAATGACTCCGCCTTGTTGTCTTGAGCCAACTGCGTTGTCAAATTGATACTATCCGCCACCCCGGCAGTGGTTCCGGAGAATTTGAAGAAAAGCGTCGGCGAGACCTTCCAATCACGACCCGTGCCTCCGGCCCGGTTGATAACATCCATCTGGACATCATCCATGATCTCCATGCACTGCACGGGAACGCCCTTCCGGATCAACTGCATCGCCGTGGAAGCGGCATCCCGAATCGACGGGAATGCCACGACCCCAACACGAGTCTGTTCCGGCAAGGGCGCCAACTTCAACGTGGCTTCGGTCACAATACCCAATGTGCCTTCAGATCCCACAAAGAGTCCAGTCATGTTGTACCCGGCGGAGGTCTTGCGCGGACGTCTCCGCGTTTTGATGATCCTTCCGTCAGCCAGGACCACAGTCAGATTGATCACCCAGTCTTTCATGGTACCGTAGCGAACGGCATTGGTGCCGCTGCAGTTCGTACCCACCATACCGCCAATCATGGCGGATGGGCCGGGGTCCACGGGGAAGAACAGACCGGTCCCTTTGATCTGCTCGTTGAGACTCATCCACTGAATGGACGGTTGAACCACGACATCCATGTCGTCCGGGTGGATATCCAGGACCTTGTTCATGAACGCGAAGTCGATGGTCAGACCGCCGTACGGTGCGGAGAAGTTCGCCTCCAGACTTGAGCCGCCCGAATAGGGAATCATGGGCATGCGGTACTTGGTGCATATCTTGGCGATCTCAGAGACATCCTCCGTTGTTTTGGGGTAGGCCACAGCGGACGGAAGACGTTCTGCGTTCAAACTGGACCATTCTGAGTAGCCGTGGTGATGGAGCTCGTCTTCTTCGGTGCTGACGGAGTCTTCGCCGAGGAGGGCTTTTAATTCGGTGACGGCCTATTGTATATCAGCTGGAGCTATCAAGCCATGAGCAGATGGGATGCATACCCGAGCGAAATCCTTCGCTGAACCATAGTTCGGTGGCTTTGATTTGTAGGAAGAGTACCCGTAGCCTGCCCCCGCAGTCAATCCAGTGGCCAGCATAGCATTTTTCGGCGTCCAGGGGGACTCGGGGCCCGACGAGGACGAGTCATTGTTCTGCTCTTTCTGCTCTTTCTCCTTTTCGCCCTCATTGGAGCTATTCTTCGGTCTTCCACCCCGGGCTAGGATGGACTGGCGAGCTGCGATCCGCGACCAAGGGGCGGGAATGACCCGAAAGGGCCTGACGAGTCTCATGGCTATTAAAGGCACAAAGTTTAATTGCAATTGGGAAATCTTGAGGATCTCAAACTTGGGAGAAGGGGGAGCCACTAGCCCCTGTCGACATTGCGGCCCTGCATGATGTGACCGCTCTTTTGTAGCCTTGCATACCTGCGAGGTCGGACATTCGGCCGAACAAGACAGTCGGACACAACCCGATAAGCCTCCGCTTCACAGCTGAAGTGCGGAGAAGCTGAGGACGTGGGGGCGCGGGAGAAGTCAAGCCGACGGCCCCTGGGGGTATACTACCCGTGTAGTAGCACTATAAGTGAGAATCATTAAAATCACTGTTCTTGTTTGCTTTTTCTTGATTCTTGATTTTGACAAATAGAACAAATAGTACACCGTACAAGTACATACTGTCAACTCGAGATAAACTCGACATAATCCCTCTAGTAATTAACACCTTGGAAGTCCTCGTACTGTAGTCCGTAGCTCCCGCTCCCAGCGCAGCCTCGCACCATCATTGGTGCAGACCCCGAACATTGTTGATGGGGCAACCCAACCTGCACTTCGCAACTCGGACGCATCGATACTGCAACGGCCAATATCGCCGATGGAGCTCACTCAGCTGGTGCGCGAGGTAGAGCGCGTAGTCACCGCGCCGTACGTACCGTCACTACAGGTAGGTTTGGCACGAAAATTCATGGGATGTTGCTGAGCAGACCACCTGTGCAGGGTCTATATGATACATTACAAACCCACTCAATTGAGTCATGGGTGCGGTACAAGCCATGTCAGGTCGGGCTCATGGCCGATGTCTTGGTGGACGCGTTACCGCGATCGCGCGTCGCGGTGCCTCTGATCGCGGCATTCGGTAGGACGCGGTACATTCTCGCCAGCCACATTCATCTAACCTGCAATAGCGTCGGCACCGGCGGTTAGAGATGCACTACTAGAGCGCCATCCGACAATACTTGATCAATTCCTGGAAAAGGCTGTCAATGGCGAGTCCGAAGTGAGTACCCAGGCACCTCCAACTAAAGCAACACCCGCTAATTGAGCTAGTACGATTCGGCATGCATTGCGTTTTTTGCATCGCCTCTCCCGGAGGGCTTTGTGCCGCCGGCTCGCATCGCGACATTGATCTCTAGGCTGGTGAGCGTGATGGTGGCTGATCCATGTATGGATTCGGTGACACCAATCCACGCACTCATCACCGGGCTGAAAGGCTCGCCGCAAGTCTTGAACGATGTCCCCTCTGAAATCATGTCGGGGCTTCAGTTGGAGTTTACAAAGACACTAAGGAACCTAGACGACCACATGGGAAATCTGCTTTGCTTGTCCACATTTGCCCAAATCACAACAGCACGACTCACAGAACAGCATCAACACGGATCAGAGCGCCAGTGGCTGCTCAACATTAAGCATTTCTTCGGTCCCAAGCGAGGCATCAAAACCCTCGATCTAGTTGTCCTGCGCGCTATACTGGCTTGCTCTTCAAGCTGCAATCTAGGCCCACAAGACGCTGCTGCGAGTATTCGCCTCGCAATTGACATCAGTGATGCCATTGAGCCGGCGCAGAAGCAGGCTTGGATAGCCAGCAACTCTGCCAAAGTTACCAAGCTGTGTGAAAAGGCTGCCAAGGATGGCTTGGATCCTGGAATCCAAAAGATGGTTGGACGCAACTCCTTAAGTTCTCGGATCGATGCTAATGTGTGGCTATAGGCTGTTTGTTTCCTGCATGCCCTTCTTCCGGAGCAATCCTTGTCATCACAACTGCGTGGTCTTGGCCTTAGGACTCTTTTTTCGAAGGACACCAATGAAACATTGGAGTTAATCTCCCCACGGCTCATAACGCGTCTTGCAAAATCATTAGCTGTGAGTGAACTTACCTACTTGATCTTGCCCAATTCTAATGAGGTAGACTACCGGGGAACTTGCTACCCGTGAGGTTATGGCATTTGTGCTTGGCACCTTCAAAAATAGTCAATGGCAAGACGGGGATGCCATTTCCGCACTAACTCTAGCGCAACTCATCCTGACAGGTTTGCAAGAACTGGATCCGGAGACGCTGAACTTCAATTTGAGCAGTTCAATGAGCTCAATTAGACAAGTTGTTGGTGAGGCGGTGGAGTCCTTCCCCCGAAAGCCAAATGAAGACCAATGTAAGGAACTGGCCATGTGCAACTCTCAGTTATGCATCATGCAAAACCAGCTATTCCTATCTCTACTCGGTCTCTACAATACCTCTTCCACGCAATTCACGGGCGACATCATCATGAAGACTTTCATGGCCAGGGTGGTCCAATCATTGCCTGATATTCGCTGCGCATTTTCGACGAGGAAACCTATCGGTAATAGAGAGCGCCTTTCCTTGCCCGACACTCGCAATTTATCGTCCACCCACATCGACCGCGATTGGCGCGCTGGCTTTACCAACGCGTTCATGCAGAATGCACAAGCCCAACATGATAAAATGATGAGGAAGATCGAAGAAACCTGCTTCGATTTAGAACGACGATGTGACGACGTGGAAGGACCGCTGCGGATCGTTGAAGAAGAGCGTGACCGATACGCACTGGAGGTCCAGCACCTCAGAGAACAGAATGAGCAAATGGTCAAGGAACTGCTAGAAAAGACCGATGAAGTGGAAGCTGCGCGGCGGATGTCGTCCGAACATCTGACTGAATCCAGCCATGAGCACACGCGCCTGGAACAACTCCTCCAGGATCAATATGCCCACCGTGATGAGCTGATGGCATCCGTTGACGCTCTACGTATGAGTCTGAATGAACAGAAGCATGAATCTGAAAAGGCCCTTCTTACGGAGAGGGACACAACTCGCTCCAAGGAGTTAGAGCTTATGGCTACTCTTACCGGGAAGGATGATCAAATCGAGGAATTGCAAGAAGAATTGAGTGATATCAAATCACGCAATGAGGAAACAGTGCAGAGTCTTGCTCTCATGGAGTCGGATTTTACCGACAGCCTCGAGCGAGCCAGACTTCTCCACGGTCAAAAGGACGATAGAATCACTGAGCTTTTGGACTTGACTGCTCAGAAAACCCGCGAAATCGAAGATCTGTTGGAGCAGGATCGTAACATGCAGGGGCTATGTGATTCTTTGAACGAAACAGTAAGTCCCTTGTCGACAGGCTGGGTACTTTGATACTGACCTCCCAAGCTGGACCGAAAAGCTGAAGAGCATGAAGAACAACGGGTTGCCCTGGAGCAATCGCAGACGAAATTGCGGGGCGATATCGAAAGGCTAAACCGAGAAGCAGCAAACGAAGCTTCTCGGGCTTCCAATGAGGTTTGTTTTATATTTCCCTATGTCGCCATTCAAACCTCAAGTCAATCAATGCTCACAATCCCACAGATCGCAAAACTCCATGCAGAAAGGGAACGTCTGCAGTCTGCCATGCAGGCCACCGCTCTCAATGCTTCAAAAGATGCTCAAGTGAAAGACAAACGCATCCACCACCTAGAAAGAAAGGTAAAACACACAATCAGAATTTTTTTTTAAAGAAAGCTCAGCCCTAATTCGCATACAGGTGCAAGCTTTACGGGACGAACGAGCTGCCAAGGCGCGAGAGTTCTCCGAAGCGCAGCAACACATCGGACGACTGATGGGTGTCATGGGCTTCTCTGCCAACGCCCCAGAATCCACCAAGCACCAACGAACTAGATCCAGCCCCTTTGACAGTCCAGTGGCAAAGTCCCCCCGGCTCATTGGCGAAGAAAAAGATGGTGCATGTCGGCCCTCCTCGCCCACCCCCAACCGTCGAGGAAACCGCAAATCGTTGAGATCTGAACCGATCCATGCTTCGCCAGCCGCTTCCCCAGAAAGCCCTCGCGATACAACCCTGTCTGGCCGGAGACCCCTGGCGGAAACCGGGGGTAATGGTTCAGCTAACAGAGTGCCAAGCGGTGGATGGAAGAGTAGTCAGGTTGATGCTGTGCCAAGCACTCCGACTCCGGCGAGCTTTGAAGAGAATCATCTTCGGGGTCTGAATCTTGGTATGGACCTTGAGTTCTCCAAGGACTTCCAGTTCTCAGGTACCGCTTTCACAGGGTCGGATGGGCAGGCTGAGGAGCAGTAGTTGTACCATTTACCCTGGCTAGCGTGATCAATATAATGTATGCACGAATAGTAATCTCACGACACAATAGATGACATTACCATAGCCGTGGTGGTCAGGGGCCCATAGCAGAAGATCGAGATATGGAAGACAAAGAAGTTGGAATTAAGTAAGAGCTGTTTGTCAAGACCAAGTGAGCCCCGTCACTTCACCTATGCTCGCTTTGATCTTCAGGTATCTATTTACTTCTGTTATTTCTTCCTCTTTGATCCCCAGTTGAAAGTTTGATATATTAGCTAGGATTTCCAGAAGCCTACCTTCTCTTCATCTATAAGCCAAGGTATCCTTTATTTTCATCCTAAGACTAGATATACACTGGTTGTTCAAATGTTTAAATGTTCACTTACTACCTAGGTACCTAGATACCCTCTAGTGGACTAGGTCAATCATATGGTATTCACCTCACTTTAACATGATCTTAAAGCACTTAGGCATGCTTTCCCAACTCTTACCCTAATTCATAAAGACTCACTATCATCATTCTGACCAGCAAAAGACAATCAATATAACCGCCAGGGCCACTGGTGCTATACATGAATGTTCATGGGAATGCCTCCGATCGTTCCTGCCTATCTAGGTGAATGATTTGAAAGTGCAGACTTCCAAAGTTCGCACCTTCCCATTCGAGGGCTCATTCCTATTGACACGGAGTTCGATCGATTTTCCCTTCTTCCCCTTTCATAGTCACTATCACCATCACCACCACCATCATCATCACCACCACCACCACCACCACCATCATCATCACACCACCACCATCATCATCACACCACCACCACCATCATTACCATCATATTTGCCCTCTTCTATCCCCATTTAACGTAGCAATATGATATCCTCTCCGCAGGGGCCTCAACAAGGTCCAAACCCCGCCCGACCGGAATGGCAATCCTGGAAGTCGTGGAACACGCTTGCACTGGATTTGCTGAATATCCCGAAGGAGGTCAACACACATGATCTATATGAAGCACTGAGCAAAGAAGGAAACATAATGTGCATTGATATTTGGGAGAATAAGCCTGGCGACCGAATGACAAAAGGACGCGTGCGCTTCCGGTCAGTTACCCCGACCGACGCGGTGATGGCTATTAACAAGATATAGACCTCCGCCTGCAGACATCTCATGGGCACAGAAGCCATATCGCATCAAGCTCCGAAGCGGTGGCACTCATTTGCTCCTTTTTCAGATCTCTGACTCGCATACCGAGACTATCCCAAGTCCAGTGCGACCGGGCATCCAGCTACCTATTGAAACTGTAAGTCATGTCTGGCTGTAATGGTGATGGCTTGCTAATAAGGTCACAGGAGCTGAGAACCACTCAAGTGGATATAGGTGTTCTGTTGGGCGAGACCACCACGCACTTCATGCAGAGCTTTACAGCTGCTGCTCGCCCCAGATTTGTAGTGGACGTCAGGCTCAAGTGCATCTTTATTTACTTCAAGGTGGGCCTTCGAGGATCAGGGCCAGGACCAGCCAAAGGAGATCTCACTCAGCACGACTATCGCCTCAAAATTACTTTTCTTCAGTTGTCAGAGGTCTTTGAAAGATTCGACAAGATCTCTCAGCAGGCCTCTCTTCTGATCGTTCTGGATTCCTCTGTGATCTGCCACCGAAAAGTGAAAGACCTTCAAATGACCTTCACAGAGCCCCGAATCTGGAGGGAAGAGGACTCCTGGTATCGCCAGACAACGGTGGCCCACAACCCGATATTTTTAAGGAATGCTGCTACTAACTTGAAGAGACCGGGCCAAATAATTGATTTGGGTAGGCACTCTGCTAAAAATATATATCTGAAACATGCTAACGCCCTTCGTAGGCAGATGGAACGTCCTTAGGGTTACGTTTGCACCTGAACAAGTCATAGAGCCCCGGCTTTCTAAACCTCCCGTCAATCCCTTCACGAAAGCCCGTGATATCTTTCAAGACTATAACATCACTGTCAAGGATGGCAACCATTTCATTGAGAGTCCAGATCGACCAGTACCAGTGTGGCAATGGATAGACTTTTCGGAGTCTGCCCCTGCCTCTGCCTCCACCAAGGCTTCGGCCCTGCTGAAGGACCTGGAAGACCAGACCTATGAGTATCTCTCATTTGAGATTCGTTATCAGCTTGAGGTTTGCTTGTCACAAGGGTTTCTCTCGGAGTATACAATGACCCGTCGGTTTGTTCAAGAGCTGAAGAGCCTCGGGGATGGGCGAGCCCGACGACTGCTTGAATTTGTGGCGTCGGAGAAAACGAAGTACCTTGACCCGATGAAGATATTTGACCTCAAATTCGTCAAAGGGGTGACCAACTCAAGGATTCCGAGCTATTGCTGCCACATGCGCACGGCACGCATTACACCAACAACGATCTATTACAATACCCCAACAGTCGATATATCAAACCGAGTGGTGCGGCAGTGGTCAGGCAATCACAAGGCAGGCCGCTTCCTTCGTGTTCGATTCACGGATGAGAAAACTGAAGGACGTATCAACGCATCCATGGGGGACTCCAACGATGAGATCTACACGCGCGTGAAAAGGACCCTGGCAAATGGAATCACCATTGGCAGTCGTCACTACGAATTTCTCGCATTTGGCAATTCGCAGTTCCGTGAACACGGCGCGTATTTCTTTGCATCAGAGGCGGGCATTTCAGCGGCGACTATTCGAGCCTGGATGGGACAATTCAATCATATTCGCAACGTTGCCAAGTACGCCGCCAGACTAGGCCAGAGCTTCTCGACCACTCGGGCGTTTACCACCTCTTCGGTGCAAACTGTTCAATGCGAGGAAATAGTCCGTAATGGTTGCACTTTCTCAGATGGTGTCGGAAAGATCTCAACCTTCCTGGCTCGACTTTTGACTGAGGAGCACGGTCTGCAAACTTGGAACGGGGAGCCTCCTTCCGCCTACCAGTTCCGTCTTGGTGGATCCAAAGGAATGCTTGTTATTTCCCCGGATCCTCTCCCACAGGAAGTGCACCTTCGACCGAGTCAACAGAAGTTCGAAGCGACCCATAACGGGTTGGAGATCATCCGTTGGTCTCAATACTCTCTTGCAACGCTTAATCGTCAGCTGATTCTTGTCCTATGTGCGCTGGGCATCACAGACGACGTGTTCCTGCAGAAGCAAAATGTCATGCTCACCAGCATCCAGGAGGCTATGAGCAGCGACGTAAAGGCCATGGCACTACTGCAAAAATACATTGACCCTAATCAAACCACCCTTACGCTCTCTAGAATGGTCAGCTGTGGCTTCCGGAAGACCAATGAGCCGTTCATGAACACCATGCTCGGCCTCTGGAAAGCATGGCATCTGAAAAATCTCAAAGAAAAGGCAAAGATCGCAATCGATGCAGGCGCAGATCTGCTCGGATGTATTGATGAGACGGGCACCCTGAAAGGTTATTATAAGGATAAGGTTTCCGCTGCTCGCTCATACGAAGAGAGGCTGGCGGCCCTGCCCGAGATCTTCGTCCAGGTCTGTCGCGAGGACCAATATGGCAGGTATGAGATCATTGAGGGTCTCTGCATCCTGGCCAGAAACCCTTCCCTTCACCCCGGCGACGTACGCATTGTCAAAGCAGTCAATCGACCAGAGCTGCGAGAGCTACGAGATGTCGTGGTTCTTCCGCAGACTGGCGATCATGACGTTGCAAGTATGTGCTCCGGGGGCGATCTTGATGGAGACGACTACTTGATTATCTGGGATCCCGACCTAATCCCCAATGACTGGTTCGTTGAGTGCATGGACTTCAAGTCGAAGAAGGCTCCGGATCTCGATCACGATGTGACAGTGGATGAAGTCACTTCTTTCTTCGTTACTTACATGAAGAATGACTGCCTGCCAAGAATTGCACACGCCCACATGGCCTGGGCTGATATGCAAGAAGGTGGTGTCCGGTCCGATAAGTGTCTCCGTCTCGCGAAGCTCCATTCCGATGCCGTTGATTATAACAAAACGGGGGGACACGCAATTATGAGCCGGGACTTGGTTCCCAAGAGATGGCCACACTTCATGGAGAAGCGATTCAAGCGGGAGGATGCCATTTATCATTCTCGCAAAGTTCTCGGGCAGCTGTACGATACAGTCATTGCTCCCGACTTTGTCCCGAATCTTGCGATGCCCTTCGACTCTCGTATCTTGAATAGTCCACTGGTGCCCGCAAGTAATGTTTACATGGACACAGCCCGAAGTCTCAAAGCCGAATGGGATCTCAACATGCTACAGGTCATGGCGCAGTATGAAATTAAGACCGAGTTTGAAGTCTGGTCAACCTTTGTTCTTCGCCACGGCTTCGTGTTGAAGGACTTCAAGATGCAGGAAGACCTCGGAAGAATCGTAGGCACCATGCGTCGAGGATTCCGTCAAGCCTGCTATGACAAAGCTGGCCCGGGCAGCATTGCCTCTCTGGTCCTCGCCATGTACCGAGTGACCGAGGAGCAAATGACAGCCGCTCTCAAGGCCCAAGAAAAGGAAAAGGTACTCCGTGAAAGCCTGTCCAACGTGCAGACCTCCCCCACCGAGCTCCCGCTGATCACCTTCCCTTGGGTGTTTCCCGAAGTTTTGGGTGACATCGCGATGAACAGAGTTCAAGCCCCGGTCCTGATTCCAATTTCAGACGATGACCCCGATGCTCAGGCTACGATGCCAGCCGGCGTAGCTCCCATGTTCGACTGGACCCATGCTCGGGAGATATTCCAAAGCATGCAGGACGAGACCGAAGCCACGGCAGACCCAACGCGCCCGATTGGAGATTTGATTTCTCTGTCCTCAGAATCCGATGGACCAGATAGTAAACTCCCTCGCACAATTGGTGACGATCGAGACTCAGGTGTGTACTTTGTAGGGCGTGAGAACGGTGTTGAAGATGGAAGTAAGAAGTCAGCCGGCAATATTCTCGAAGTTCCAGACGAAGGGTTTGCGAATGGGGCGGAGAGCGATACTCGACTGGCACACGGGCAAGTTGCCAAACTGGCCCACAAGATTGAAGCAAATGAGGAACTGGATATGGTCGAGCAGGAGGGAGACATCAAGTCGTCAGCTCTGGATGCGCTCATTAACATGATCAGCAATTAGGACCCAGCATGTTGTTTGGTCTGCCGAATGGAAGTTTCTGCTTCCTTTGTGTCGAATTCATCTGTACGGAGTAGAGCGTTTCATAATTTTGAATGTTCAGTACAACACCCTTTTTCAGAAAAGCTTCACTTTGATTTCTCGATTGAGTCTTCGGTATCGTACACGGGTCAACACGCTGTAGCTACTTGCAACACAGGATACATCTGAGTATGATTGTTCGTCTCTAACAGCCTCACAATCACCAATCGAGGCATTCATCGCCCTTCTGTTCCAACAACTCAACCACTGGGCCCAACGTGGCCCGCGAGTGTCTCCAATGAGCAGCATCTCTTGTGCGAGAATAGAAAGTAGAACAGTCCATGCTATCACAGCTCACGGCATCACCAGCCGTGAAGCCCATGCAAGACCGACAAACAGCCTCCAGATCCACAACCCGCTTCTCAGCACGCCGCAGCCGCGAGACAACGTCCAACAGCGCAAGATGCGGCTGCTGCAAGCATTCCTCACAAACAGGAACCGTAGCATCAGTCAATTTAGACCGACACACCACACACGACGAAGAACGCATATAAGTCTCCAACGTTTTCCTCGCTCCCACAGAGCCCATCAACTCAGCCGAACCATCCACCCGCCGGATCCGCTGCACTTTCGGCATCTCGTCATACCACTGACGAACATTCGCACCAACAAGGTTGAAGATCCGCTCAAGCGGCGGAATCAGATTCTTAGTGATGTAGTACTCCGCATCGAGCTCCAGCTGCGCATCATGCAGCAGAGTCTGCGGCGCCACGCACCGGTCAATCAGTCTCGACCCCGGCGCACCAGTGACAACGACGTAGGGAATACGCTCGCCAGTCTGAGGCTCCGAGCGCGGATCCTCGACCATGCGCTTCGTGCTGATCATCGCGCCGGCAGGAAGCTGGCCCCGATCCGAGTATGTGCCTAAGCGGACTTCGCGGGCGAAACAGAAGTCTTGGATGGAGACGCGGCCTTGCATGACTTTGGCGCATTGGCGCTGGAAGTAGGATTTGACTTGGGAGAGGTCTGCGGTGCGGAAGAGGGTTTTGAGGGCCTTTTCTTCGATTTTCTGCTCGGCTGGGGTGCCGTCGCGGCGGACGGTTTCGATGCCTTTGGCGTCGAACTCGGGCTCTTTTTGGGTGCGGTGTTCGTATTTGAAGCCGACGTAGCGTTTCTTTGCTAGGAGGACGCAGGGGTGGTATACCTTTTCGAATTTGAGTTTGATAGGACGCGGGTTCAGATCTGTTACTGCTTTGGCGATTTCTTCGCCGATGTCGAAGGCTTGGTCCCGCGTTCGCCCTTTGAGATATACGAAGAGACTGTCGGTGTCGCCGTAGACTACTTCGGCACCCCATCTCTCAACTGAGTGGATGAAGGCGATGGCTTTTTCGAGGGTCTCTCGTCCGGTCTGGACGATGCTGTCGGCGATCTCTGAGCAGGGCATTCGGCCGGAGAACGAGGCAGAAGCGTAACCATAAGTCACGTTGGCAATTAGTTTGAGGGCCAATTGTCGATTATTCAGAAGACGCTGTAAAACCTTGTCGTCTTTGTCGACCTTCATGCCGTTCTTGACCATCACGCGAGTCTCAAGAATCTCCGTAAGCATTTTAGCCAGCAATGATTGCCGGGCTTCCTGCTTGGCGTACATCATACCGTTTGGCGCCATGTTGACCTTGCCCTTGAGTAACTCAAGTAGTCTTGGTTGACGCTTGTAATCCATGAACCCCATCTTATCTCGGCCACGCCAATGCATCGCTCTGCCGAGGAATGTGGAGTAGCAGTAGTTGTACGCGATCATGACACTCGGGTATAAAGACTGGAAGTCAAGCACCAGAAGTGGACTGGTATAAAAGTCACTCTGCGGCTCCATAACCAGAGGCAAGCATTCCAGCGCGTTCTGCTGTCCCACCTGCTTTCTACTCGGCGAGACCAGCATGAAGTTCTCGGGCTTTGCGATTCGAAACATCAAAGATTCAACTTTGAACTGAGATCCTCGCGAGATGACGGAGGCAAAGTCGATGCCTAGCAATCTTGCTTGCTCGCTTGTCCTCGGCGTCAATTCATTCGCTTCGAGAATCTCAAGGTTCATCTGCACGCGTGAGGAGAAGTAGTCCACAACTTTGAGCATGTCGCGAGGCTTGCCGCTTTGGTACCATTGGGTCAATACTTGAGGCGAATAGTGAGGGATTCGGCGGTGCAGGACGTGAAAAACAACGTTTTCCATGGTATATTGGAGGAGGTTGAGTTCACCCTTCATGGCGCGCCAGATGTTGAACATATGTCGACCAGTGATGCGCGCCGATGAAGAGTGATCGAACCCCCACCGATCTGCCTCCTTGCCAAATCGGCCATTGGATTGAGACTTTGTCCGAGAAAGCTCCTCGCAGATATCGAAGTCGTACTTTCTTTTCGCGCGTTCAATCATGTATCCCCAAGAGGCATTGTGGACCTCGTAGCCTGTGATGACATCTGGGTCATGATACCGAACCAGATCGACGAGTCGATTGATGAGATCGAGCTCTGTGGGCTCATGCTCAGCATCTATCTTCAGAGCTTTCGTTATTTTAGCTTCCGGCCTCTCGCCTTCGCCATGATATACCATGCCAACATGAACGCCCGGGAGATGACTATTGACTTCAAAGTCACCATCATCGGACTGGATGCACCAGAACATACAAGTAATCTCATCCTCTTCGGGGTTTGGGAACAGCGTGCCGCGCGTATTCACATGCACCTCCAAGCTCATGGTGCTCATATATTGGGCTTGATGTTCCACACTCGTGGAGGTTCCCTTCTGCGAATACTTGAAGCCCTGTGTATTCTTTTGCGTCGGGCCTTCAATCTGTGAACATGTCTCAGGTTTGGGGCCAACGGGCCGGGGCTGGACACGCTCTGTTGTGACTGATTGTCGCGTAGCTTCCATGTCGTCGAACCATTTCACAACCTCTGCGCGACTCGGCGGAACAGGTGCAAACTCCCAAATTTTTGTTGTGCAGTTTTCTCTGAGCTGCAAGTCAATAGCTTCCTGTCGATCTTGATCGAGAGTTATGGGTGTTTGCTCGCCGAACATCGCTGGCATTTCTGCCGTTGGGTCGAAATCAGGTAGATAGTGAATAGTATTGCTCTCAAGACGAAATTCCCTTCCGCCATATTCCCTTGGCCTTTCGGGTACATCCGCCTCGTCGCTGTAATATGCTTTCTGGTACACAACAGAGGGACGTCCATGATGGTGTATCGTTGAAGCGACCTCACTGGAAGATGGCCCGGGGGTTCGGAGACATCGAAGAGATGCATTTGGCGCAAAGTTGAATGATTGATGAACCAGTTTCAGTGTTTCTGCAAGATGTGGATCCAGCGGAGATGGTCCTGTTATCGTTGCAGACGAGTGCGGTTCAGAGGAACTCTCGCTCACACTGACCACGCCTAATTTTTCGGTGGTCGATGCAGAAGGGACGGAGCCAAAGGAAGTCTGAGAAGACTCGACGCCTTTTTTCGAGGCGTGCCCGTCGTCTTGGCTGTATCGAGTTATGGTCAAAGAATCATTGGGATCCTTTACCACTGGGAATTTCAGCCCACTGGTATAGCTGTGCGCCTTCGGGCGGATTGTCCGCTGTGAGGAAGATGAATTTGGTGTCGAGGATGGAGCACCCGCATGCGCATGCAGGTCGCTTTCAAACGAGACACTCTTTTGTTTATTGTCTTGTTGGGACTTCCGTGGCTCTAAATGTCCACCGGAGAGGTCTTGGTTGATTGAATGCTTTCGTTTCTTCCCAGACAGGTTGTGGCCTTCGGGGAAATCAAAGAATAGCCTTTTGTGAAGAGCAACACTTTTATTTCTGCGCTGTTCCATGTCGGTTCCATTTGGTTGCGCCGCAAGCCCGGAAGGATTGGTGATATCTGGAATTGCCATATCGTCAAAGACCCCGTCGTAAAAGCTTTCACTCAAGGGGTTCTCTTTGGGCCCCTCTTCTGGTTCGGCCTCTTCGTCCAATTGCCCATCTTCTGGGTCAATGTCCGAGTCATACTGGTAGTCGGCTTGCGAAGACAGGGCAAGACCCTCGTCGACTGAGATTTCCGGGGTCGTCTGCCGAGTCGATTCTTGCTGATATGCACCATCAAAGGTTGACCCGTGAAATTTGTTTGGGAAAAAGTCTTCGACACTGTCCAGCGCGGTCTTGACATTTTCTGCCAGATCCTGGTTATGCAAAATTGTATCAAAAGACGTCTCTTTGTCATTGTCATCCAGCTTCTCGTTCGCAGCAAGCCGAGCTTCCATCTCGCGGAATTCTTCCTCGTGAACCCAGCCACCTCTCTCTTGGTTTCTTGGATCAGCTGACATTGAGACCAACTCCTCCGGTCCGAATGGAGTGCTTCCCGGGTCTTTGATGCCCATTCTTTTCTTGCGCCTACGAGTCTCATCTTGCCAAAGTCCAGCCATGCTCGGAACTAGTCGCTCATCGACTGCAACTGGTTTCAAAAGCTCCGTAAAGTCATGATGCAGGGGTCTTGCTTTGAGGTCGGCGCGATTCAAGATATCCTGCACGCACACATCAACTTCCAAAGGGCAGTGGCTTTGCTTCTGCAAAGCAGGGTGATCAAGTATGTCATCGGCCGAAACTGAACGGTCGTGCCAACGGTGGTTTAGATTATTGAGCTCCAGATACTCTGGGACCGGTTCCCTGAATCGAACTTTGCTGCATCTCATGATCTCACATCCGTACAGGTTGTAATCACACATCCATTGCGGAACGTACTGCACATGCGCCTCGTAGGGCTGAAGAGGGCGTTTCATCACGGCTCCTTGGTGCAGAAGATCCACCAGGCGATTGGTATGGAATGGATTCAAAAGGTAGATTTTGAAAAAGAAACGCCATCCAACGTGGTATCCGTAGAATGGGACTCCTTTGACCAAGGTGATATGCGCCACATAGGCTATCTTCCTGTCATATGCATTTTGGCGGAAGCTAACGGCCAAAGCATGGTCAATCGAATGATGAAGAATCCGAATGGCCGAGTGAACTATTACTATATTAGAGCAAATCTTCGAGGATCAGCAATCTGCCATACCTTCGTTTGGCGCCAAAGACCCATTGTATTCGATATAGAGGTATGGAAATGCGCCGTGGACATGTACGCAAACCCTTTGGCCCGTTTCAGTGGCTCCAAATACTCGAATCACAGGCACCTTGGGCCTGTATCCCTTCTCCGATGCTCCATCACGAAATGGCAGTGGGGGATCCAGGTCCGACGCGGTCGCCTGGTAATGATCGATACAGTTTAGGCGCACGCGAAATGGCTCCATCGCTCCAGTATGTGGCGATCAGAAGCCACAGCGACATTGCGACAGGCAGGTGTCAGCACCGATTATTGCATATCAATCGGCAAGTTGGTAGAGGAACGCGACGCCATGCCCTTGATCCGGAACGCGTAGATAACACCTGGTCACGTGGGATCCATGTATCCGCCAACCTTGGAAGTCTTGATATCGCAACCTCACTTTCATCTTTCGCCTCAGATCAGAGCTGCAAGGGCTCAACCAACATTTATCTGACTGAATAGTCTCTCGTTATTCCTCAATTTGACTACTTCTGATCTATATCAACCTGGACCTTGCCGGGCTTGTCAGCCATGTCTTCCCGAAAACCTGCTGATGTTGCGGCGAAAGAGCGCAACGAGTACATTCCCTCCTTCATCTCGAAGAAGCCATTCTACGTTGACGATGATGCCGACAATGACTACCTGGAGCATCAGCGTCTTCAAAAATCCACCCCCGACCAATCCAAATGGTACGATCGTGGAAAGCGCGCCGGTCCCGCAGCCACCAAATACCGCAAAGGCGCATGTGAAAATTGCGGTGCAATGACACACAAGACTAAGGAATGTCTGAGTCGGCCGCGCAAACAAGGCGCAAAGTGGACCGGCAAGGATATCCAAGCAGACGAGTTGCTCCAGAACGTCGACATGGGCTGGGACGCCAAGCGAGATCGATGGAATGGTTACGATGCTAGCGAATACCGCCAGGTTGTCAACGAATATGAAGAAATGGAGGCCATCAAGAAGACGGCCAAAGAGAACTCGGATTTGAAGAAGCTCGGTGAAGATGACGACGCACCCGATTCCGACATTCGCTACGCCGAAGAATCCGACATGGGTCGCCAGCAGAGCACCGCAACTCGCAACCTCCGTATCCGTGAAGATACTGCGAAATACCTGCTCAACCTTGATCTTGATTCAGCCAAATATGACCCCAAGACCCGCCGAATGGTAGATATGGGTGCGCAGGATGATCAGGCATCTGCGCTTGTGGCGGAGGAAAACTTTGTTCGTGCTTCAGGAGACGCTGCCGAGTTTGAAAAGGCTCAGCAGTATGCGTGGGAGTCCCAAGAAAAGGGGCACCCTCAACTCCACATCCAGGCCAATCCGACGTCAGGAGAGGTCCTCCGGAAAAAGGAGAAGGAAGACAGCGAATCTAAGCGCGCAGCCCATCGCAAGGCTCTCATGGAAAAGTACGGTGGTGATGAACACTCGCAACCCAGCGCACTCCGAGACACTATGGTTGTGGAGAACGAACGGTTCGTCGAATATGACGAAAGCGGCGCCATCAAGGGTGCGCCCAAGAAGGCCACCAAATCAAAATACCCCGAGGATATCATGGTCAACAACCACTCCTCTGTGTTTGGTAGCTGGTGGTACCAATTCAAGTGGGGATACGCGTGCTGCTACTCCACTGTGAAGAACAGTTACTGCACCGGAGAAGACGGCAAGAGGGCATTTGAGGAGGAAGGAAACCTGTTGATGATGGGAGATGAGGAGGAAGAGGAGGTCGACAACGCTGACCCCGTGGATGCCTCCCATGAGTCTGAACCAGCCAACCCCCGGAGCACTGAACACGACACTGCCAACACGAAGAAGCGAACTTTGGAAGAAATAAAATCCGGTGTCACTGAGGAGGAATACGAATCATACAAACGAAGCCGCTTGGCGGCTGATGATCCGATGGCGAACTTTATCGGAAAGGATTGAGGCTTCTGTCTATACTTGCATTGGCGTTTGGATGTACTATAAAATACCCATATGATCAACTCTTCATAAGCGAACATGAATAACATACGTGCTTAAGGCGTCTGTGTACTTTAACATTACTTGTGTATTTGCAGCCATTAGAAGATGGCCCTAGAATGACTAGATGTAGTCTGGAGGGTGCGCTAGTCCGTACATAGTCCACTGATCTTTAGATCAGCCAGGTGCACGGACCAAGAAGTGTTATTTATGCCTGAGGCCAGACGATAATACATCACGTGCTAGGGCGGACACTAGGGTGCCCTAATTTCCACTTCAGTCCCGAGGTCCCACAACGAGAAAGGAAATAAGCGAGCCAGCCCTGGAGAGACTGAATCACATCGGAGAAGTTCTATTAGCGACATCGACAACCCAGCCAGCCCCTTCAACGGAATCGCCAGGTAGGTTCCGCATGTTCATTTCACAAATTCTTGTCCATTTGCTAATCTCCTCATCAGTTCCTAATTCAAAATGAGTACGTCCGATGTCGAAACCACGCACGAAGCGTCATGTCGAATTCCGTGAATACTGACAACCTCTGCAGCGAAGGGTACCTCGAGCTTCGGAAAGCGCCACAACAAGACGCACACTCTGTGCCGTCGCTGTGGTTAGTATCCCACCTTTCTATTCTGCACGATCCCACCTATCCGAACCGTTGTCGCAAACTTGCAAAGTTCTTCGAAACACGCAGCACCGTCGATTACGGGGAGGATCTCCACACAAATTGCACAAGGACGATGAGAGCTAACCTCCGACTTTTCGCGAATCTACAGGCAAGCGGTCTTTCCACATCCAGAAGTCCACCTGTGCCAACTGTGGCTACCCTGCCGCCAAGACCCGCAAGTGTACGCAAATACCCCCCTCCCGCGAAGGTGTCATGACTTGACAAAGGAATTGGACATTGGAACTCCCGAATTGAGAACCTCGACTTACATGGATTTTTACGAACAGTCAACTGGGGTGAGAAGGCCAAGAGACGCAAGACCACCGGCTCCGGCCGCATGCGCTCCCTCCGTGACGTCCACCGCCGCTTCCTGAACGGCTTCCAGACCGGTACCCCCAAGGGTGCCCGTGGCCCCGAGACCAACTAGATTCCCTTTTTCGTCCGCTCGGCGTCGCGTTTTCGTTCTCGGAGAGGCTGGAAAGAAATGAGGAGAGGGATACTGGCATGACATGAATTAGCATTACGGGATAGCATTACTCGAAATGCAATGGCAGTTCCGGAATCTTACCGCTTTCCTGTGGAGTTGGTGTGCAACTGTCGATTTTGTTGGTTCTCTTTGCCACGACCTTGATGACAAAGTAAAACTTGCGAAACGGTGGGAAAAGTTTCGTTGAAGGGCTCCTCTCTACGGAGTGGAGTTGATTAAAAAAAAACCTGGGAAAGCGTGCATGAATTTCCTTTTTCTTCTTTTATGACTGGCAAATATCCCCATGTCATGGCAGATGCAAATGAAGACTCTTCTCGACATCTGATCGTTCCACTCACATTTCCACTTAGTCCGGAGTATGATCTTTTGATTTGGAAGCTTGAAGGACATCATTGTTCTGTCTGACAGCTATAGTATACACTATGACTCCCCGCGACCAAACACTGTGACTCCACCATCGCGCTGAATGAAGTACAACGCCTCTCGCTCCTCCAGGTTGTTTTCGGTGCTCAACCCACCACCGCGGCTGATCCTCAGTACCCCGCTTACATCCTTCGCGGCTCCGGTCTCCAGCGTGCGGAGTTGCATGACCGACCTCGCCCGATGCGCCAATCCAATAGCCAGCGCGGCATGCTCCGTCTCAATCGGCGTAGCCAATTGCCCCAGTCCAGATGAATTGTGGATCAAAGGAGCATCCGTAGCCAAGGTCAGAACTGTAGCATGTGCATGCTGCGTGACACGTTAGCCCTAGATAGTTCTCAGTTGGTACACGACCTCGGGACTTACCTGCTGTAGCCCGGTGATCCACTCTGCCATCTCAGTGGCCCCAATGCCCATACTCGGACCGGTTGTTGCGAGAAGTAGATCAGGCTGGTCGAGAATAAGGATGAGCTCGTCGCCCTCTTCCATGTGAGTCTTTTGCTGTTCCATCACCGAGGCAACATCCTTCTCCATGGCATCGAGTGAGGCAAGGCCACGGCCAGAGAAATGGAGCTTCTTTGCAATACCAGGCTCTGCCTGCTTGGGTGCTGTATTGCCTGGTGGGCCTGTCGGCGCCGCCGGCTGTGGCGCTCTTCCGAGTACAGCACCAGGCGGAGATCTCAGAGGCAGGGTTGTGCGTGGACTGCTTCCCAGGCCTGGTGAGCTGGTGGGAGCAGCCATGGCTTGTGGTGCATAGAATAATTCAGACAGGCCGTCTACGAACGCAAATTCATGTCTCTCTGTTAGGCGTGCCAGATCAAGTCCCTGGATGAAGGGTCAGTGTCTTGATCGAGACGTATGTCAATTGACAGTAGATCATGGATGTAGCAGATCAAACGGAAGCATGATTTCACATGTTCGAAACGTCCTTTTTTTCCATTCTGTGAGAGCACTTACCAGTCGTTTGGCCTCGGTCTTCCAAAATTCATAACTCCGCAAAAAGCTCACTAGTACCACCTTCTTCTTGGTGCCATTTGGCAGATCGTCTGCGCCGAACGTTGAAGTGGGTTGAGAGCTGAGTGCAGCATGTAAAAATCGTAAGACTAGCCAGTTTGAGGTTGCTCCCAGGATTGAAGAGACCAGAGTCAAGGATGCATCTGGTAGTGATGATACATATGGAGCGAGGAGGGGCGGTAGTGGGGGTTGTGAAGGCATGATTGCTCCTTCAGGTCGAGAATTGTCGATGTTTTTGGGTATTGATCAGACTATGTGGGTTTTTTCCAGCCTCTTGGTCGAGTAGTAATTGATAATTGTTTGGTTGTGTTGCTGTTGATCGAGGCGATATGAACTGAAAAAATGTCTGCGGCTCCAATCCCGCTCTGCCAAGACATAGGATATCACGGTCATAGATGTATTAGATCGGTCATTTTGGGTTTTGCAATGTCAAATCTGTCATTTATTGAATAATACGGGGGATTTCATTGGCATGGCAGTTCTATAGATGCCTACAAGGTTGGATGCAATATTTGGATGTTCGAAGTATAAGGCTGAAGTATAGAGATGATATATAACGACCATCTTAGCCCTGATTTTGCATTTTGACCCCACCAACTTGGACGATTAATCTTTGCTTGACCTTGACCTCATAAAAACCTAGTCTACCAGACACGTCTTTCCCTCATCTAGGTGAATTCACCTAATTATAATCAACCTGCATCTGAAATGCTCCCCGGTGCCGGCAAACCAGCGGAAGTCCATCGATTTCTGCCTGAGGCACCGATAAAAAGTTTTGCACCGCCTGTCCGCTTTCTTCCCCACTTCGAGGGGAGCATCGCATCGGTTTCGCATTACAGGATCGATGATTGCTTTAGCGCCGATCGTGAGTTGTCTACACGGCTCCCCGAACCCTGGAGCCTCACTTGCCATCTGCTTTTAAGGTTGAAGGTCTTCATACATGAGACTAACATGTCCAGATGACTGCCGTTGTCGGGCATGATCAGAGCGCATTGCATACACCTTACGAGATATCCAACTTGTCTCGATAAAGATGGCGAGCACCCGTGACTCCCACTCATTTGCTGTATGTACCCACGGGATCAGAGGAGATCAGATCTGACTCCATGTATAGTGCGACGAATGCCGCTTGCGCAAGTCAAGAGTATGTCAACTTTTCCAGTCGAAGATACATCTTGTTGACTGGCATCCAACAGTGTTCCAAAGAACGACCAGTATGCCTGCAGTGCAGGCAGCTGAACAAAGAATGCTTATATAGCCCCAAAGTCAGCCGGAGTCCTCTAACTCGACAGTAAGTGGAAATGAGTATCCGGAGTAGAATGTTACTCACATTCGCAGACACTTGACCTATGTCGAGGATCGCCTACACTCATTTGAGACAGCCCTAGGGAGGCTGTTCCCCGGTGGTGATCTAGATGCTACTCTTCGTTCTCTTCTGCAGAATCCAGAGGCGCCAAGAGCTCCCTCATCAAAGTCTTCCTCAAGACATTCTACGCCGGCCAAGCATGAACAGGAGCCGGCCGAGCCGGCACCTGAGGCTCTTCCCCAACAAGCCGATGGCTTTGACTGGGCTGAGAAAGAAATTACCCTTGGGGATCTGACCGATGGCATGGCTGCTCTGTCGATCAAACCGGAAGGCGCTGGCTACTTTGGTGGGTAAAGGAAATATTTATGTTCCAATCGCGGCACTAACAATTATGACAGGAGCTTCTTCAAGTGTTGTTCCCTTGCGAGCATTGTTTGATCATGGATTTGACTTGAACATGCCTGTTCGATCGGCAAGATCGGGAGGCGTGCCTCTAAAGGCCCAACTTCTCGAAAGTGCCCCATCAGGGTTAATTGAGCAAGCCTTTATCGATGCCTTCTTCTTGAACTACCACACCAGCTATCCCTTTGTCCACGAACCAACTTTCCGGGCACAGTTCAATGACCCATCTATCAGGCCGCATGGAACCGCTTGGCATATCCTGCTAAACACCATATTGGCTCTTGGAGCATGGTGCATTGGTGATGACAGCTCTGATCTCGATATCACTTTCTACCAAGAAGCGAGAGGATACCTGCAACAAGCCTCCGTCTTTGAGACTGGAAACTTGACACTGGTCCAGGGTCTGTTATTACTGAGTAACTATGCCCAGAAGCGAAACAAGCCAAACACCGGATGGAACTATCTCGGTCTGGCTGTTCGAATGGCCATGAGCTTGGGTCTCCACAAGGAGTTCCCCGGCTGGAAAATCAGCCTCCTACAGAGAGAAATTCGCCGAAGACTATGGTGGGGAGTGTTCATCTTCGACAGTGGCGCAGCCAAGACCTTTGGAAGGCCAATTCTGCTCCCCGAAGAAAGCGTCATGGACGCCAAGCAAGTTCGAAACATCCATGAAGACGAATTGACCCCAACTACAACCGCACTTCCCGACGAATCCCTTGGCCCAACCATATACTCTGGCTTAATCGCCCAGGCTCGGTTCCACATTCTCACCAACAGCGTTTACCAGCGCCTCATCTCAAGCCCTAGCCTCACGCCCGAAGATACATTAAAACTGCAGCAACCCATTGAAGAATGGTATAATGGTCTTCCATCCTATCTGCAACACCCGCAGATGCCTTTATCCGTGCAGCCAACCAACCCAGACCCCGATTCGCTGGCGCTCGTCCGAAACCGCCTGCTGTGGCGAAACTGGAATCTCACCATCCTCATCCACAGGCCAATCCTACTCCGCTGGGCCTCGAGGCGATGGGCCCCACTTAGCGGCATGCCAGGTACCCCAGATGCAGGAACTGAAGATCCGTGCGAAACAGAGTGCCGGGTGCGCTGTCTTCAGAATGCCCGCTTGACCATCTCATCGATCTCCGAGTATATGGACAATTATATCTGCACCAGACTGGGCGCATGGTACATGCTGTAAGTCTCACCTCCACATTCTTTGCATCCTACAAAAGTTGACAAAAAACAGTTACTTCCTCTTCCAAGCCGGTCTTATCCCCATCGTCTTCTTCATGACCGACCCATCCAACCCGGAAGCCGCAACCTGGCTGCAGGACATTGAGACCACCAAAGCCCTTCTCACCCACCCCTCACTTGGCACCAACCGCTTCGCAACTCGCTGTTACGAAGTCATCAACCGTCTCCTCGGTCCGCCAATCCCCCCAACACAGGTCATCCCCACCGCGAACCCCCACGAGGCCCAGCAACAACCAATGCACCATATTCCTCAACAACCGCAGAATATGATGCCATTCCCCGAACAGCTATTCAGCGACCCCGGATTCGGCGGAAGTCTCTTCCCAGTAGAGCAGCAGATGCAGATGAATGCCGGCGGCATGGACTTTTCAGAATGGGTGAACTTCCCACCTACAGAGTGACCACCCCGATCATGTTCATTCTTTGGATTTTGGATTGGATTTGCATCTCAGGACATGTGAACAAAATGGTGTTTGATTTGAACTAGCAATGTGAAATACCTTGGTGTAGGCATCAGCGATTCGCCTTGTGTTATATGATATATCAGTATGTACGTGTTATGTTATTGGAATTAATGATCAATATTCGCTGGATGTTCTCAAGCCACGGTCTCAGCATGTTCGTCAACTGGTTTCATGAATTCGTCGTCTTCGATCGGAGTGCCGCGCAGCTCGGCTTCAATGTTCTTGATTCGTTTCTTCTCTTCGTGCGCGGCTGTATCACCGAAGATGAGATCCATGTCCTCAAGCGTCTGCTGGAGTTAGCTTATCTAATTCAACAGAGATACGCGAACTGGGAATGCTTACCTTGCCTCGGGTTTCGGGGACACAGAAGATCGTGAAAGCCAGTGCAAGGAGACAAAATGCGGCGAAGAAGATGTATGTGCCCCAAGTGATGGACTCGAGCATGTCGGGCGTGACGAGGCCGATGATGCTGTCGGAAATATGGATCAGTATGCAGTGAACAGAACGCGAAGCCGAACTTACAAGTTACACATCCACGTTGCGGATGTGGTGATTGAAATGGCCTTGGATCTAATCGACAGATTGAATATCTCAGATGGCAGAACCCAACCGATAGGGGCTGAACAGTGCCATGTTAGCCATGGCGGGACAAATGAAGTAGGGACGATCTCACCAAACGAGTACGAGAAATTGATGTCGTAAATGTAGATAAAAGCGATACCAACCCACCCGGCAGACTTGTTGTCTACCAGAGCAGAGCCATATCCGCCCAAGATGCCACCCACAATGACCAGGGAGATACAGGTTCCCGTGGCACCGGCCATGAGCAAGGGCCGACGACCGACTTTGTCGATGAAGAATAGTGCTGGGAGTGTACTTAGACAATTGACGATACCATACACACCGGTTGCGAGAAGCGAAGTGGTGTTTCCGTCCAGACCGAGCTGAGCGAAGATTGTCGGCGCGTAATAAATCATTGCTACACACGTTAGACATTACAAGGCGAGGGCCGATAGTCGACATACCATTGCAGCCCATGAACTGCTGGAAGAACATTACAATGCAGCCGATGGCAAGTCGTTTGAAGCGGGCCCAAGTCGTCAAGAAGGACATGTACTGCGGTTATTAGCAGAGATCAGACGTGACAAGAGTATATCACCTACCTGAGCCATATGCAACCTGTATCCAGAAAGATTGGGGAAATTCTCTCTTGCAAAAGTGTTCTCTAGCATAATCGAGGCTTTGATCTCCAGATACTCATTCAAAAGCACCGGGCTATCGCGAGCCTGTCGGCGCAACTTCGAAAGCGCAGTGATTGATTCATCGTCACGTTCCTTCATTAACAGCCAGCGAGGCGATTCCGGGAAGAATAACATTCCCACACCCAGAATCACCGCCGGAAGGATTTGCAACGCGAGGGGAAATCTCCACGAAGCCTCTGATTGACCCGTACAACCACCGACAGGAACATCATGATACGGATCAAAGACCGGCTTTGCCAGGGTGCCGCCTGAATAGGGCACATCTGGCGCACACCGAGTCCCGCCGATATAGTTCGTTCCATAGTCGATCCAATAGCTGAACAGGATTCCCAGCGTAACAGACACTACACGATGAGCTGGGAATACCCCCGACAAGACCAGGGCAACTTACATTGCTGAACAACCACCAATCCACCACGAATATCAGGAATCGACACCTCAGAGATGTACAACGGCACCACCATTGTCAATTGACCAACGGCCAAGCCAGCAATTGCCCTCCCAGCGAACAACATCGGGATATTCATCGCCGCACACTGCACCATCGACCCAATGGTGAACACCACCACGGCAAGATTAATAGACAACTTCCTTCCAATCCGATCAGCAATCGGCCCATTAATCAAAGACCCCAACCAAGCCGCCAGCAACAGCGTCGACACAAACCAGCCCTTGAATCCGCTATCGGAAAAGACACGCGGATACCGAGCCCCAAACGACTCCATCGTGATGACCCCACTGATGACTCCCTGGTCATATCCAAAGAGCAACCCGCCCAGGGTTGAAAACTACACCATTAGCTATCGATCGTTGATCGAATCGAGGGACATACCGATGCCACGCCGCATAGATACGGATTCTGTAGAACCATGGCAAATCCACCCTTGGTCGCCATGTTGTCGATATCGAACTTGCTGGAATCAGACCCGGGCTTAAATCTTAGTTCAGACGGTACACACGGTCGACATCGGCCTGATTAGGACTTTGGTCCTTGTAGGACGACTGTACTCCGAGCTGGATGAAGCTTTCAGGAAGACAGTACTCCGAGTATGGTATTGAGAGAGCAGAGTAGATGCGGAGTGGTCTCCTCCGAGAATTGAGAGAGTCGAGAGAGTCGAGTCTGGGGAAATCCGACGATGTGGGCCGATAATGCGGGGAAGCGGCCCGGGGTCAGGCCGAGTCGTTGTTTTTCTGATGTTAAACATGCAGGACTCTTGCCTTTATTCAAGTCAATTGAGGGTATTCGAGAGTATTTGAAAGTATTCGAAGGCATTGAGGGCAAGTACTTGAAGGGCCTTGAAGCCCTGGAGCCCTGGAGAGTATGGGGAGAAAACATCGGCTCGGGGATCCTCCGATGTAGATCTTCGGTGTTAAGATACTTGGACTGTCTAGGTGTTAAGAGGAATCATAATGGGTATCAAATGTGGGAGCCAGCTACTGCAAGACTGCTGTATGTATACCATAGATGTCACCTTCCAATCCAGCCAGATGGATCTTCAAGATCTCAACCTTCAAGACTATACCTCTAGTTCTAGAATTCGAGATAGCAGACAGTATCTACAAACCTACCAGCCTTATTTCCATCAACATCAATCGATGTATAGAACAAGTCTATCCCATATGATGAGCAAATCATGAACGAATCCCGAGGTCCATCGTCACCTACCGGAAGCAATCGTCGACACTCAACATCCTAGTTAGAACAAAAGAAGCAATGGCCCTCCACATCGGCGTGCTCCTCCTCAACACCCCCCAACTCCTCGACCTCGCTGCCATTGACCTCTTCTACATGACCACCCCAACCTACCTAACCGCCTGCTCCCTCCCGACCCCCCTCCTCTCCCTCGCCCGTCCCCTCACCATCCACTACATAGCCCCCCAAACCCCGGTTTCAACCACATCCAACCTCACCATTCTCCCCACGCACACACTCTCCTCTCCCGACATCGCCCCTCACACCCTCGACATCCTCCTGATCCCAGGCCCGTCCCCTCAAGCCCACATCCCCGAGGACATCCTCGACTTCGTGGCCGCGCACCACGCGGCCGGCGCCGATATCCTGAGTATCTGCACCGCGGCACTGGTCATTGCGTCTGCGGGTGTAAGTGCCGGGCGGAGGGTGACAGGGCCGAGATTGATGATTCCGGAATTGAGGGCCAGGTTTCCGGAGTCGAATTGGGTGGATGGGAGGGTAGTGAGGGATAGGAATTTGTGGAGTTGTGGTGTGTTTCCTCTTCTTTCTTTTTTTCTTCTTCTTTCTCTCCTCTTTATGCTGGGTAGTGACTGGTTCAGGTGGGATTACGAATGGGCAGGATCTGGTGGCTGCGTATCTGTGTGAGAAGTTTCCTGCTCCGTTGGTGAATGTGGTGCTGGCTACGGCGGATATTCCTCGGCTGGATTATGGGAGTTGGATGGATAGAGGGTATATGCTGTGGCAGGTTGTGCGTGCAGTGCCGAGGTATTTGGGGTTAGTCAATTCTGCGCAGTGATGTTCGTAGTGAGCAGTGAGTAGTTAGTAGTTAGCAGTTGGAGTAGTTAGCGGGTGGGAGATCCAAGTACGTCATCCCGAATCTTCGGGGCCAACTTCTTCTCTCTTCACCAAGAAGGAAAAAGAAGAAAAGGAGAAGAGGAATATGTCCCTCTCCATTCTCATCTTCGTCGCCTCCCCACTCGACTACGCCCGCTACAGACACGCAGCACTACACATCCACGGTCCACCGCCCTCCCTCGCAGAGGTAACAGGCACAACCGGGTTCTACAGCTACTCCGAGCGCGAGAACTACGAGATCCCAACAAAATCAACCAGTAAGCGCAGTTCAATTGACCAGTGCTTCAAAACTAACAAGACCAGGTATTGCGCGCATAATTCCCGTCCCAGAACTATCGCCTGACGAACGACTCCGGGAGATAATTGCCGAGACGCCGATCCCGAATACATTAGATGACTGGAATAGCCAAGACTGGGTATGTGATGTGCTGGAAAGACTGGTTCGACTGGGATATTTAAGGGAAAGGGGCAAGGATCAGGCGGTGGATGGAATGGTGAGTGCGGTATTGGAGGCGGGGGATGAAGTGTGAAGTGTAACGATTGATATTCCAGGTTGGAAGTTTGTATGAACTACGGGATGGAAAAGGTTCAAAAAACACCATAAATAGGACCCGAAGAAACAATCTGGGCGAGAACGCTCGTATCATGCAACGCGCTGCACCACGCTAAAGAGGACATTCAAGAAGGCCAAAGAGGGTTGGGGGAATGGGCGGGCAAAGAAAGGCAAAAAGAGTGCGTAAGGGTCGTGTCCTGGAGAGCTCGGGCGAAATAAGGGGAGTGATTAAAGAGATGGTCGTGGCTCTTTTTCATAACGGGTCATCTTTCATCTTCCATGCGGCTCCCAGTGAATGGGCTCGAAGTCGGAATTTTGGAAGTGGGCTTGGTTGTAAGGGGAGCTGGGGGAATTAGCAGTGGAGTATACAGGAGGGAGAGGGTCTCACTTTTTGAAAGGTGTGGTGACGGGCAGCGATCGACTGAGGTTCGGTTTCATCACGAGAGGGTTCAGTCGGATCTGCGGGCCGTCTGAGCTCCGACTGGGCAGCGAGGTCATGGGCGGCGGGGCGGAGGAAGGGGGAGGGTGGGGGGAGGAGATAGATGCGATGGGGGGATGCGATTGCATGGGTGGGTACATCTCTTGCTGGGGAGACATGCCGTAGGGACTGGGGGGAGCAGGCGAGACCGACGGCATGGGGGACATGGAGGCACCCATGCCGAAGGAGGAATCCTGCATCAGATTGGGGATAGCCATCAAACTGGAGTTCATGTCGAAGCCGAGAGTGGCGTTGTCCCAGGAGTTGGTATAGTCGGAACTCAGGCCATATTGGAGGTTGACGATAGGTGCCACGTTCAGAGTGGACTCAGCCTGGTAGAGGATATCGTAGTGGCCACTATGATCTGTGATTAGATTCGACGGGAGAGAACAAGGAAGAGGGAATATCTCACGGTCGATACAGAAGGCGCAGTGTTGCGCCGCTGGGACAGTTGGTGGTGAGCTGATGGGGTGTCACCGCATCACCCTCACTGCGGTCCAGGTAGAGGATCTCCACGCCAAAGCCAGACCCTTCGATGACGCCGTGGATGAGTGCCTGTAGACCCACCTCGTCGATTTCGGTCTTCACCGGGTCGATCCGCGTGCTGCAATACTGATCGACCGGCATGGGTAGGAATGGAAGGTATCGACCGGGGTTGAGCTTGATCCAAGCACCAGTCAAGAGCTAACAAATCATCAGCTCTATTCGGGGGACCACAAAAGGAACCACAGCAAGAGCCAGCGCCAGCCCTCTTAAAGTCAAACTTACTCGGAAATGGGTGATCACGGCATCGGAGCTGTATCCCTCATTAAAAGCCTCGACGAGGAACGACTCGTCCTGCACACCGCTCTGGATAGCATCGATGATGCGCTTGAGAATATCCTCCGTCGCATCGACAAAGATCTCATAGATATGATCGGCCAGGCCGATCTGATCCAACAGCGTATTGAGTGATTTGATGCGGGAAGACTCGGTCTGGATCCGGAGCGGGTCCCGCAGCGCGAAGAGGGTTTCAAAATATCCAAACGCCACAGCTGTCGCGGGTCAGCACGTCGCATTCCAAACCAGACGGGGAGCTTACCCCTCCACCCGCAATTCCCATCGCCTCTCATGATCCGGCATTCGGGGTGGGAGAGCGCCAAGGCCTAGAAGCGGTCAGGGACGGAGATACTCGGCGGGCCATGAAACACCTACGTTGGTCTTTGCCGCCAGGGTGGGATCGGCATTCGCGTAGTCCAGGGCGATACTGTGACTGGGCTGTTTCGTCGAGACGGGGGGACCCTGTCTGTGTCAGCAGTTGCCGGGGGTGCCGGGGGGAAGAGGGACAGCAAGCTACCTGGACGTCGGGTTGGTAGGTGTTGGAGAGGCGTTGGAAGCGCTCCATCTCGTCGGGGGAGAGGGCGTTCATCGCGAAGGGGGAGAAGGTGGAGAGGGAGAAAGCAGGCCGGAGGGACGAGGAGACGTCCCGGTAGAGATCGAAGTTCTGCTTGTGCGGGAACGGGTGGTGAGAACCATGATTCCAGGGTTTTGATAAGGACATCGCATACGGTGGTGAAATGCGCTCAATTGCTAGATCGGGGTCAGGCGGGTGTTTTTAAGATCGACCACAGGGACGTACAAATCGATCATGGACGATGGGCACACGGGTGTACACTTGCTGTGCAACGCTGCGTGTCCCAATACGGTGAATCGGCTACTGCTGACCTGGTTCTCAGCGCGACGATCCAGAGTATAACTCATGCACGAAGGTTGCAACGGCAGGCCCAAGTAAAATGCCATGACGGTAGAATAGAGCACCGTGGAATAAAATGGAATGAAATGCAATAGTCACATAGTCCAATGAGGGATCAACGCTATGAAATCGAGTACATGATGTCCAGGCGCGAGGCCCTAACATGGATTGACATATCGGGACGTGCGCCGGAGGGGGGCACACAACCCGATCTAAATGAAGAAAAAAAATGGACCTACCGAGGGAGCATGAAAGGGTGAAAGTCGGTGGGAAGAGGGTGAGATAGAGGAGAAGTGTATATGAAGAAAATCAAACACCGTGCGTCAAGACTACTCATGTTAAATACTATTAAATACTGATATTAAATACTATGCTAAATACTGTTTGATGTTAATCGAATTAATACTGATATTACAGAGATTACAGGGCATACAGATACAAACGTACCTGCACCGCCAAAGTACCGTACTCGACGCAGTAAACGGTATCGTACGGGTAAACGCAACTGCGGGGTTACAAACTTATCAGCCGACCTGAGCGTCTTCCAATCGGACTTGGCTACCGCTGTCTTGGGTCTCCGATGGCTTGCGCAAGTTCACCAACTTTCCTTTGGGGTGGGTTCGATTCTATACTATAGTACGCATTCAGTCGTCTTATCATTAGGTTCCCGAAACTATAGAGCAAAATGTCCCTTTGGTTTGACAGGCCCCTTGCGGGCACGCTCATCACGAAACCCGGGCTGAAATACAGCATGGGTGGGTTCGTCGGCGCGCAGCCCCTCACCGTTGAATGTTGTTTGCCAGAGAGCACGCAGCGCAGAGCTCCACTCTTCCACCGCACGCAGACGCTCCACGTCACTCGCCCGCTCCACCGTCACCGTGCCGTTCTCCTGGTCAATCTTGGCGTTGAGTTTCTTGTCGAGGATCAGGAAGCTCAGAATGTCCAACACCTCCGGCACCGAGATCTGAAGATGCTTGGAGATGAATTGCAGCGTGAACCGCGTGAAGGGGGCAATCAATTTCAAAACGGCCTTGGTGCGCATGTTGCGGCTGACCTCGTCGATGTTCTCCGCAATGAAGGGGTCCGCTAGCACGTCAGGATGTTTGCTCAGCACGGCCTCGTATGCATGGATGTCGTCTCGCTGGAAGGCGTCCACGAGGTCTGTCATGGCCGAGATCCGGGGGTCATTCTTGTAGGGTTTGGTCTCCTGCGAATCGAACGGGTTGATGTTGGATTTCATCAGCATGGTTGTGAGGACCAGGTACTTGAGCACCTGGATCCGTTGCATGGAGCCCGCCTCGTCGTAGTTGCGGAAGGACTCGAAGAAGTCGATCTGTGCCTCCTTCCAGTTCTCCTCGCTCATGTGCATCTTGCCCCCGCATTCCCGGATGATGCCCATGATCTTGGGGTGTGGCACCGCCGACCGCACCGTCAGCGCCCGCTGGTACAGCACCTTCAGCCGCTTGTTGTTCTTCGTCTCTGCAAACATCTGGATCTCCAGCGCGTAGAGCTCGAGCAGGTAGGTGCCCTTGCTGGTGTCGTCCGACCCGTCCTCCCGCTGGCACGCCCGATGCAGGTCCCGAACCTTCTTGCCCAGCTGGCTGTACTGCTTGCGCTCCAGCCAGAGGCGCGCCAGTTTAATATTGGTCTTCAGCCACAGGCGCTCATTGTTGGTGTTTTGGAACGACTCGAGGGTCAACGAGTAGAATTCCTCCATGCACTCATAGGTTTTGGCATCGTCGGAGCCCTTCTCAATGTAGTCGAGCATATTATTGATGGATTTCTCGGAATAGTTGCGGGTCACGGCCGATTTGACATAGGTGAGCAGTTCGCGGTAGTGTTCAACAGCCTGGACAGAGTCAGTGGAGCCCAACATCGCTGCACCTCGCACTTACATCGCTGTATCGCCCCAGCTGAAACTCCAGCTTGATCGCTTGCTTCAGGCCCTTGAATCCCCTGGTCTGCCGTTAGCACTGGTCCTCGTGACCCGATCCCCGAGCACGCACCATTCACTCTTGTCTTGCTCCATGGGCGCGATGCCTAGGAACTCATCCACCGCCTCCTCTGGGTTGTCGACCTTGATCTGCTTCGCATTGTAGTATTTGTTCTCGATTCCAATGTCGCCGGACTCGTCGTCATCCGGATCCTCGTATTCAAAGTCATAACTGAATCAACGGTCAGCGCAGCTTCCAAGGTTGGGCCAGCGGATCACAGGCGTACTCTTCATCCCCTGAATCTTGCATGAAATCATCGTCGTCGGACATGGTGAGTGTTTTGAGGAAAGTTGGAGTGGGTAGGAGTGGGGTTTGGAGAAAGGTGAGCTTCCGCCTTGTGTTCGGAGACGTTTTCCCTGTCTCCGAGCTGTCTACAGTACGTATTACTGGGAGTTTGCAAGTAAAGTTCTCCTGACAATACCTAGGTGGAATATAAGTTAATATGAATACAGAGTACTCTATTTAGCAGATAATCGTTGAATTCTAACATATTTGAGTACCATCCCTTCTGAGTATTTACTACGGAGCTTACTCCGAAAGAGCATGGAGAACAAGCTCGTCCGACCTTTGCATCTCCAGGGCTTGGAAAGGCCGGAGTTTGTAATACGTCAGGATTCAAGATCTGGGTAGCGATGGATCTCCAGGGCTATTGTATCGGTTGGGAAATGAAGGCCCACAGCGCAATTAGGGAGGCCAGATCCTGTACGGAGAGTAGAGTATGAGTTTACTAGACATAGGATAGTATGTGTATAGAGGTAGGATCGAGACAAATACATAAAGACTATATACAGTAGCCCTGGAGTCGAACATCGAAAATAGCACTTAGTGGTATAAGAGAAGGGGGCTGACGCTATTCGCCGATCCCTTCGATGTCATCGACTCAGCCAGTCCTGGAATCTTCCCCCGACAACATCTTCACAACATTTTCTAATTTCTTAATCCCTAATTCCCTCGACCTTCGCTGATCCTCGTTCTAACTCTTTGTCCTTCCCCTATCCTCCCCTTACCTAGCGCAATGCAGCTGTGCGGCCGACAGAAGGTGGTTCAGCGCAAGATGGTGCTACTGTCAGTTTCGATTGGAACCCCCTTACGATTGGTCTAACAAACAGCAGAGGCGACGGAGCCTGTGGCAAGACCTCGGCGCTGAACGTGTTTACACGCGGGTGCGGCCCCCTCGCATACCCCCTCAGACCCGGCTAACCTTCTCAGATTCTTCCCAACTGTCTAGTAAGATATGCATGCTTCATGAGAAAAAAAGGAAATTGACCGGAATTCCCTCCCAGCGAACCCACCGTCTTTGGTATGCGCGCATTCTCCCAACTGCCGAATCCCAGCTAACGCATTACAGAGAACTACGTCCACGGTATTCCCCACTCCCCACTTGGCCCGATTCACTCGGCTGATGCGCCCAGACATCTTCGTCGATAGTATACACGTTGAGCTGTCCCTATGGGATACGGCCGGACAGGAGGAATTCGATCGCTTGCGCGCCCTGTCGTATGAGGACACCCATGTGCTTATGCTCTGTTTCAGTGTAAGCCATTACTTCCCGCGTCTTAAGATGCCACTAATGCGCGCACAGGTCGACAGCCCAGACTCGTTTGAGAACGTCTCGTCGAAATGGATCGCGGAGATCAACGAGAATTGTCCCGGGGTGCGGGTTGTCCTGACAGCCCTGAAGTGCGATTTGCGCAAAGATGAGGACCTGAATGATAATCCCAATACGATCAGCTTTGACCAGGGTCTGGCTAAGGCGAAGGAAATCGGTGCCGTCAAGTACTTGGGTGAGTGTGCTTTTGTCTCGCGCTCGGGGCCAATGGCTTAGGCTGACCGGTGGTAGAATGCTCTGCGGTGCAAAACCGTGGCATTAGAGAGAGCTTCTATGAAGCTGCCAAGGTTGCCCTGGAGGTTAAGCCGGCTGGGGCATCGGCTTCTGGTTCTTCGTGTGTCATTCAATAATCGTGATGACACTTTCATGCCCGACATGACTTGCATGGGGTGCTGTGACCCTATACTTGCCGGAGCTATATACTCCAGCTTATCTCTAGAGGATGGGCGTCCTCTTCCCTTCCCCCCCTTCTTGTCCCCACTTTATAGTCGATTTGTTGATTCCCCCATGCATTGGTGTTTTGAGCTTGCTTTCGCGTTTCTTTCTCTTTCGGCCGGGACTCCTGGCTGATATGTGGCGCGATCAATTGGCCTGGGTTCCATTCTGCATAGCTCCGGAGCTCCGGCCAGGTCAGCGATGGCCATTTGAGTCGCTGCCTTTTATACCAAATATAATATTCTATCGGGTTGTTGGATTAGGCTGTTTTGCTTTGTTCGGGTAACCGGGGCCTCCTGTCCCACTCTGAAGTGGATGTGCGTACACCCATGTATATATAGTGGAGATATCAAAGAGGGCTGGCTGTGGCAGTACAACCTTGGAAGTCAAGGATCTGCCGGCCAAGGACACTCGGGATACAACTACTTGCCCAATGATCGCTGAGATGGACTTGACAATGCAAGCGTGGTTTGACAACAGCCATTCACAGCATGCAGGTCCCCATTCGGACATCCACATTGCATGTTCTGATACAGTCCATCCAGTCAGAATGAAAGATCCAGCTACATAATACCGAGGTACATCCATGGACAAAGGACATAGGTGAGCATGATATCGAATCCGCCACAACCTATACAAGTACAAATATATTCTCTCCAGGGCTCCAATACCACCTGGGCAACCCCCATACAGTATCAGTACAACTCAAGGCAAAAGATCCTCCTCTTTAACCCTATAGACCTCATCAATCTTCTCCCCACCTTTACTACAAGCAAAATCCGCATTAACACGCTCTACAAAGCGCTCCACAAACCCATTCGCAACATCATCAAGCCCAGCCTGAACCCCAACACCCTGCAAACTCGTCGCCTCCTTCCCCTCAAGCCCACAAGCAACAATCTGCTTCAAGAACCACATCGGCTCCTCAGTAACATTCAACCCAATTCCAAAACTGCTAATATTCCGCCTCAAATGCACCCCCACCGCCGTGATCTTCCTCGGCCCATCCCCCGTCCACACACCCGGATCCTCTGTCGTAAACCCCTTCACCCCATAAGAAGCCAGTAGATCGATGACGCTATTTTCCAAAACACGTATATGGCACCGAGGTGAGAGCCCCAATCTTTTCAGATCGAGGATCGTATACGCGACCATCTGGCCTGGGCCATGGTATGTTGTTTGGCCACCACGTAGAGTGGGGTGGTATTCGGCCTTGTTAGATGCGAAGAGAGAGCGAATTGGCTCGAGAGGTGGTGGGAGAGAGAGCGTTGTTGGTGAGGGTGGGGTGTTGGATGGGGGGAGATCGCGCCGGCCGGTGGTGTAGACGGGGTTCGGGGTGAAAGTTATGATTGTTGGGTCTGGGGGTGGAGGGGGTGATTTGGAAGATGGGGAGTGCTCGTATTGCGAGGAGAGAGAGCCTGGGGAGGCGAGCTTTTTGTGTGTGAGGAGTCGGCTGGTGAGGGATTGTTGGAGGGCTGAGACGCGGGCGAAGGGCGTTTGATGGGGGAGGTGGAGGTGCGCAAGTCTCATTTTGGCGGGTGAGATATTGTACAGGGTGGAATTGTACAAGTTTGAAGTGGACGGAGAGGTGAGGGCGCAAATGTGTTTTCCTCGGAGTTGGTCGGTTGCGGAGAAGTTGGAGCTTCTCCGATAAGGTTTGATAAGTGACCCGTTGCGTCAATTACTTCCATCCTTCTAGGTTGGAACATTGAGTTGTCCTCTTAGGTCCTCTAAGATTCAATTGGGGGTTGGTTCACGATATCGAGATCATTATAGGAGCTACAGCTATGAACACAGCTCTGGGGAATTGAAGTTGGCAACATTTCGAGCAATCAACATGAATTCGGTGAGTTCTTTCTAAGCTTTTCGAGAGAACCAGAATGCCACGTTAGATAAATACAGGAAAGGAAGACCAGCGCAACAGACCAAGAGTGGTACCGGGGAGCCATCTATCTTATGAAAGGTGCATACCATCGTTCCACCATGGAGAACTATGAAGATGGCACGCCGTTGACCAGCCCAGCATCCTGCGATTCAGCCGGGAGCAGAGTCCAATCGCGAACACCGCCCTTCCAATCCGCAATGCGGCCCTCCGTAACTCTCACCGTAACGACCCGCACATCCGTATCCAGCCCAAGACTCGGCCGTCTTTGACTAGGATCCTGCTGCTGACCAAAGGTGTTGATCTCCTCCTCCTCGAAGGTGTTATTTTCCAAATGGCGAGCTTTGCACCACGACTCCTCTTCCGAGCCAGACTCCAAAAACTGCGCTTCTCCACAGATGGTCGTCGAGATGCTCGACAGTGCACTGGTATTCAAGTTCAGCAGCAGGCTGGCCAGCGAGGAGCGCGTAGCCGCGGGTGGCGGGGAGCCATCACGATCCCCGTGTGTGGGGGCCCTGGTGGGCGGGCGATGTGAGACCCAGTCGTGGACCAGCAGCGAGACGCGCGGGTTGGACAAGAGGTGGTTGGTTTTCCGCGATGCGGGGTTAGTGGTCATGATGATGGTGGGGTTGGGGTCGAACGGGGTCGAGGGCAGATAGGTGTACGACATCAGAGAGATGTGAGGCGTCTTGTCATCGCATGTTGCCAGATGCAGCTGGGGAGGGGTTAGTCGGGTTCATTTGCGGGCGTAGGTTGTACTGACGAAGCGGGAGTTCTTCAGGCATTGGATGACCTCGGATGGGAGGGAAGTGGCCACATGAGGGTGGGTGGTAGTGGCAGATGCCTCGTAGGACAATGGGGGGTTTAGTGAATCGGCCATGTTCGCTGTTTTCGCAGTGAAGCTGAAGAGGGAGATCTGAAGATCTGCCGATACTCGGGGCCGGATCGCTGTTTGTCCGGACCGGCAACGTCATTGGGGTGGCGAGATCCCTACATTTGCGATTCGTAACACTTGATAGTCCTGAATCTTTTTATTTGTACGGAGTATTACACAGGGTGTAAGGTGTAAGCGCCTATACTCGGCAGTGTGTAGTACTACTAGTATGTGCATACGGCGTATGTTGCAGATATACTCCGCGGTGCGGTCTAGACGATGAATACAGAGAGTCCATGGCCTGATCCAACGAGAGCAACTAAAGAGATGGATATACACGGTAACATGTAAAGACGTCAACATATGTCAGAGCCAGGTACCCAGTACCCCCTAGCCATGTCATCATCACCCACCCGTGAGTGGCGGACAGGCGGGAAATTGGGCCAAGAGTACCACCGCCGTTCGTCACCAGTACCCACAGCTGGGGATAGCTCCTTCCCCGCACATTTGAGCTAATCACTTCGCAGTCAAAGTCATCTTCATCTCACCTCTTGACTTCTGCTTCTGCTTCTGCTCGAGCCTTCCCAAGCCACTGTACTAGTACCCGACCCAATCGGTGCACTCTCCCCCCCGGATCGTCGTGTGCCCCCTTCAATCAATTTACTGCAATCCCTGTCCCTTTACTACTCTCCCCCCTCTTCACTCTCTTCACTCTCCACTCTTCTGCTACCTTGCTCATCTGCTACTCTCCCCATTACCTGTCAACACCTACCTCACCCTGAGCTGTCTTTGTACCCTCTGAATCTCTTGTTGTTCCCATCATGCTCGGCCCACGCGCAATCCGCACGGCCAGGTCGGCGACCACATTGCTGCGTCCCTTCAGTTCCTCGGCCGTGGCCTACCGTTCCCCCTCAATTCGAGATGTCACCCCCCAGTCCACTGAGGAATTTCTCCGACGTCAGAAGGAGTTCCGGGAGAACTTGGAACAAGCTCGTGTGAGGAAAGAACAGCAAAGTAGTCAGTCTGTCAATGCTTCCGCCTCTTCTACCCCTTCCCGTGAGTACGCTCCCACTGCTCCAGAAGTGAGCAATGCGAGCAGTCATGATGTTCTCCATTCGTTCGATGCTGCTACGCCACTTGATGATCAGGAACTGGGCTCACTGTCGATGCATCGATATATAGGGGAAGAACAACAACAAGAAGCTGCCGCCAAACGGGGCTCGTTCTCGTCGCTCATCTATGGCACCAAGGAGGGCCAGCACTTTGACAAGGACATGGAACGCTCCTTCTCGCAGGTCCTCGCTCGCGGTAAATACGTCCACTCCATCGTCATGCACGACGTCAAGCCCGACAAGGTCGATGAATATGTAGAGCTGGTGGGCCAGTGGTATCCTCGCATGGCGGGCACCGAAGAGAACCGTGTCAACCTGGTTGGCAGCTGGCGCACACAGGTGGGCGACAACGACACCTTTGGTAAAATCCCAACCGAACCCCTGAAAATGAACGTGTTCGCTGATCAGTTCCCCCTGCGCAGTTCACATTTGGGAGTACCAACGGTACGAGGGTTACCACGCCTCCCTCCACAACATCTCGGAACACCCCGAGTTCCGCGAGTTTGACCGCAAGCTCAAGAGCTTGATCAAGAGCAAGAAGACCTCACTCATGCAGGAATTCTCCTTCTGGCCCACCACACCCCCTCGCCGCCTCGGCGGTCTGTTTGAGCTCCGGTCGTACACGCTGCACCCTGGAAACCTTCTGGAGTGGGAGACACACTGGCGCCGTGGCTTGTCCGCCCGCCGCGAAGTGATGGAAGGTGTGGGCGCTTGGTTCGTGCAGATTGGCGAGCTGAACACGGTGCACCACCTTTGGCAATTTGCCAACCTGGAGGAACGCAAGATCCGCCGCGAGGAATCGTGGGGTGTCGAGGGCTGGGCCGAGACCGTCCACAAGACGGTGCCTCTGATTCAGACCATGCAGAGCCGAATTCTCGTCCCCATGCCCTGGAGCCCTGTTGGCTAAGCTGCGTGTTAACGTCTGCTTTCGTTCTTGTCTTTAATATCCTTTGGGCACTCTTGGCCATTGCCAAAGACGCGAAACTGGCCCCATCATTGCCCTAAACCTGTCATTCCTCAGTATGAGCAGACGATACAAGGTTTCTGCTTCATATTCTGTATTCTGTACCTAGGCATGAAGCGTGTGTCAATCCAACCATTATCAATGATTCTGTTTATCCGTAGTATTCTCAGTAATTTCGCTCTGCAGTACTCCGTACCCCACCCCAGTGATGGACGATCACAACGCTTTAGGGCGTTTTATTGGCAACGCTTGGACAGCAGTAATTTCGCTGTCCAACACACGCGCACGTGTTGCCGAGCAGTCCCCTCGGTGAATCCAAGGTCATCTCCACGGCCATCAAATTGCGTTCGTATAAGTGAGTGGCCGAGTATTTAGACTGAAGACTCGAACGTCAAGATCTAATCTATCCACTCCGACTCGGCAGAAAAAAAAGTAAACCACCCAAAACAAACGATCGGGACCAAGTGGCCTCTTCATCGCCGATCAACTCCATTCCCCCCGTCTCTTCTCTTCTCTCTTTGTATTAATCCCCTTTTCAACCGGCACCATCCCTTACTCGGATGCGCAACGCCAACTAATACAATACATGCGCGCGCAAAACGGACCCAGGTAATCGATCGCGCGTTCGAAGACGCGCCACATCCTCAAAATGGTGTACATCCGACAGCAGCATCTTGCGAATCTCAAGAACTACAAGTATGCCGGTGTCGACCACTCTCCGATCAGTCGGTTTGTCCTCAAACCGTTCTACAACAAATGCGTGATCAACTGTTTCCCCATGTCGATGGCGTGCGTATACCTCAGGAGCTTTTGCTTGAGCCATATTCTGGCTGTTGTTTTTGGCGAGGCGTAATATGGCTGACTTTGGTTTTCTGGGCGCTTTTCAGACCCAATGCTGTAAGTTTGGCGGGAAGGCTCTCTCGGAATCATCGCTAATCGGTTCATAGATCACTCTCACAGGATTCATGTTCGTCGTCATCAACTTCATCACCGTGATGTGGTTCAATCCGAACTTAGATACCGATTGTCCGAGATGGGTTTATGCCAGTTGCGCAATTGGTCTGTTCTTGTACCAGACCTTTGATGCTGTAGATGGAATGCAGGCGTACGTTTATACTCCCGGTTCTATGGGCCATTCTGACAGAATATACGGTGCAGACGGAGAACGAGGCAGAGTGGACCGTTGGGCGAGCTCTTTGATCACAGTGAGTTGCTACTCAACATAACCGATAGATTGATGGCTAACTGGTGTAGGCGTTGACGCATGCAACACCGGTCTCGGCGTGTTGGTTTTCGCATCCGCCATGAACCTCGGACAAGGCTGGATGACCTTTATCGCATTATTTGGATGTACGCCAAGTTCAACTCCCCCAGCGAATTCGACTGACAACACGCAGCGACCATGACCTTCTACGTCCAGACATGGGATGAGTACTATACCCAGATTCTCACGCTGGGCGTGGTTTCTGGACCTGTCGAGGGCATCTTAGCCCTCTGCACCGTCTACGGATTTACAGCCTACATGGGTGGTGGCAGCTTCTGGCACCAGTCCATGCTAGCCACGATCGGCGTCTCCAAGCCGACCTTCCTCCCCAACCAGCTGTATGACATGCCCTTCACGCAGTGGTACTTGGTATACGGCGCATTCGTCCTGTTCTTCGCCACGGGATCGAGTATCATGCACGTTGTGCAGGTGCGCCGCGAGCGGGGCCAGGATCCCTACCAGCCGCTGTACGGCTTGCTTCCCTTGGTCGCCATCTGGACTCTCACCCCGGCCTACCTGTACCTGCAGCCGGCGATCATGGAGAACTTCACCATTCCTTTCGGTTTGTTTGTGACTCTGGTGAATGCTTACTCGGTTGGCCGCATCATCGTTGGTCACCTCACCCAGACTAGCTTCCCGTACCAGAATGTTCTGTTGTACCCGCTCGCCTTGGGTGTGCTCGACAGTGCTGGCGCGCTGGTTGGCGCGTGGTCCACACCGGTTTTGGGTAATGGCGTTGGACAGGTGGCTTTCACCTTTGTGTGCTTGGGATTGGCCGTCGGAGTGTACGGTAGCTTCGTGGTATGTTTCTCCCGGATTCCTTGGATGCGCGCGGCAATGCTGACCCTCTCCAGTTCGATGTCATCACCACGATATGTGATTACATTGACATCTGGTGTCTCACCATCAAGTACCCGTTCACTGAAGAGACGGAGCACAAGAACGGAGTGTCTAAGAAGACCAAATAGAGGGGTAGATGGGGCGATTTTCGCATTCTGGGGAAGACTTGAGAACAATTCAACCTTGATCACCACGGGCGGAGCTCAACCGAGTCTAGGCGGGTATCGACGGATCCCGCAAGCATTGACCTGGCTTATGACCGATTTCAGTAAATAATGTACTTTTTTTTTCTCTTTCTCCTGTTCTCGAGTGTTCCAAGTGGCGATTTAGCGATAGAATATGAGAGTTGTAACTGCAAGATTCGCGATTGGCATCGATGGTTGTAGAAGAGTCATGAGACTGCCTGCCTCCATTGGACAGACGGCGCGCGCTAGTCCCGAACAGGCAACCCAGTGGAGCCCCAACCGGAAGTGCTGATTGGCGGCAACTAAGCGAGACTGAGGGCACAAACTAAATCCCTTCGAACTTATCTCCAACCACCTCATCCGCATCACACAAGGCCATCGCCATCAGCGCCATTTAATCAACTATCTCGCTGATCGACTTTCACTCGTCAAGATGGTGAGAATTTTTGCCCTCCCATTTTTTCGCTCGGCCCCCGATTCGATATCCAATACATGCCGAGACGAAGAAATCAGCAACATCGTGAACATGTCCGCTAACATGTCCTAGGTTCTCGCTGTCGATCTTCTCAACCCCACTCCTCAGGCTGAGGGCCGCAAGCACAAGCTTAAGGTATGACCGGACTCCGAAACACGCCCATGCACAAAAAGCGAAAGACACGAATATTCCCGGACTGGACACTCGACTGGACCCTGGACCACCCGATACATTCGCCATCGGGCGGGAAGAAGGGAACAAAAATCAGACGAACGAACACGAAGGGAATATTCGCGGGATAATATTTCGCAATGAACATCCCGGAATTGATAGGCTGATTCTCGAACCTCCACAGACTCTTGTGCCCCAGCCCCGCTCCTTCTTCATGGACGTCAAGTGCCCCGGCTGCTTCACCATCACCACCGTCTTCTCCCACGCCCAGACCGTCGTCATCTGCGCCGGCTGCTCCACCGTCCTGTGCCAGCCCACCGGTGGCAAGGCCCGTCTGACCGAGGGCTGCTCTTTCCGCCGCAAGTAAACGAGAAAACGAATGAAAAACTTTTTTTTTCTTGTTATGTTCCGGTTTGAAACGTCGAGAGAATTAGCATGGAGAAATTAGGATGAAAATACCAAAACCCGGGGTTGACCTCTTTTTTACCTCTTGTTTACTTTATCCCGGTCTCGGTTTTCGTTAGGAGGGTTTGGGTCCCTCCGGGCTCTTTTTCCTAACGGGCTTCAAAATGTCACATACCCTTTTTTTCAATATCACCATTCCCCTCCCGAGCGGGGATTACAACTGTTTCTTTCGACTGGGTTGGTGATACGGGCGACATGGTTCTACGATTGTGTCGCCTGTTGCATTTCTTGAAGAAATTTGAATGTGGCCTTTTTGGATCCCTTCCTCTCTTCCCTTGCTAATCTTTCCCTTTTGCACTTCACGGTGATGATTAATATCTCAGCGTTGGATTTTTTTGTTTTCATTGATGACAGATAGAAGATGGAATGACCCGATCCTGTCAACGACCCCCCAAAAGCAACCAAAAAAAGCAACGCATCTGCGAGGGAGTTCCGGATATCTGACACGAAAAGGCACCTTGCTAGACTTTGTGTCATGTTTTGTTTGATTCTGGCTTCTTGTTTTATATGCAAATGTAACTGCGATACTGTATATGGTTCTCTCAATCTATGAGCTGTGCCTAACTAGTACCTGACAAGCCTAGTAGAAGCATAATCGACTATAGGGACCTGGTTCCAGACCCTCTATACTCCGTACTCCGTGCTCCCTGCCAAGGTGTGGAGCTGACCTTGTCGATACCTAGGTAGTACGGAGTATATTTGACATGCGCCAACCTTGGAATGTTGAGCCATTGGAAACCCCCCAGAATATTCTAATTGCACAATTATCCTTCTATCCTTACCCATAACTGTCCTTTCATTGCACAGACCAAATTCTAAGCCTGCGGAGATGCGCCACCCGAGGGTTCTCCACCATTAGCGCTATGAAAGCTCTGATTATTGTTTTGCAGCCCATGCCTTGTTGTCAGACATACAGCCCTGCATCTGTCCTCGGCTATTACCAATCTCATGTACCCTGCCTAACAAGGCAGTCCCGTAAGAATGGATTTCGGGACAAAGATTGCCAGACTTGTCAGAGTGGTATACTGGTAGTTGAAACAGGACTGAATGAGGGACTATACTTTACTGCTCTAGTTTAGGAGTCCATTGTAGTCTCCCATGAATTGTGGAAATAACACCAAAAGCAGTGGTCAGAAAACACCACTAATTCATCCGTGGGCATATGGAAAACAGGAAACCGAAAAGTGCCAGATTGGGTGTACCTAAATACGGGTATGATAAAGACTGATTCATCAAGTAAAAACTTTAACCTGTACGGAGTAAAGATCAAGGAAATAGCCTGATACTCGAGAGAACATCACAAGATTAGAGACCATCGCCGACAACGACCTCACAATTTCTCCATCGCGGCCTTGATGTCGTCTCCGAAGTTGACAGGATTGGCAGCATTGCCACTTGTCATCAAAGCCATCTTGCCAGAGGTATCATTGACGAGCACGGTCGAGAAAGCATTGCGGCCAATGATTTCCTTGACGGCTTCCCGAGCAGCCTTGTCGCCAGCGGCGTATTTGGCGGCATCAACCTGCTTCAACTGGTTATAAGTGTTGCGAATGAAGTCATAGCTGAAGAAGATTGAGGGGTTTGTGTTGGGAGGTTGACATTCAGGGTGTGCCTCAAACAAACTGAGATCATTGTCAGCGGGGATATCCATTATTGGCACCTGGGCAGGAATGTTGCGGGGTGGGGAACGGAGACGGATGAAATATCGGACATACCTGAGGACTGTCTTCATGTTAGTGTCGAGCTCGGCGAGATTGATTTCTTCCATGATTGCGGTGGAATGAATTGGCAAGTAATTGGAGGTTGACGACGTCTCCAGGGCTGTGTTGATGCCCAGAGGGGAATTTCCTATCGGGGACTCCGCCCTCGTTATCTTATCGGAAGAGGGGCCCCGGGGGATTTCGAGTTTCTCTTCGCAACCTTGGGATGTATAAAGCCCGCAATCTCGCCTTTGGATTTCAATCTCGTTCCCTACGAACAGTGACAATGGCTCCAAATCCTACAGCCCGGCAGCCTCTCAAGCTGCTCATGCTACACGGCTACACGCAGTCTGGCACCCTCTTCCACGCCAAAAGCCGCGCTCTCACCAAACACATTCAGAAGGCCTTCCCGCTCCATGAAGTGACAGCAATTTACCCAACCGGGCCAATGCGCCTGCGCCCTTCTGAAATTCCCGGCCATGAACCTACCGGCCAACCAGACGACGAAATCGAAGCCTATGGCTGGTGGCGGCGATCAAACACAGCCAACCCACCCCTCTACACGGGGATTGAGGATGGCTTCGCGGCAGTTGCGCAAACTCTGAAGGCCGAAGGACCGTTCGATGGTGTGATCGGATTCTCGCAGGGCGCCGCAATGGCAGCCATGCTAACTGCTCTCTTGGAGGGACGGAAAGAGTCCTTCGAGCACTTTGCAAAGATAACCGAGGATGGCGCAACGGGCATGGAGATCCCCGCACCATTCGGCGAGCCATTCCACCCGCCGCTGAAGTTTGCGATTTTGTACTCTGGTTTCAGGGCTCCGGGGGCGCGATACAAGGCTTTCTATGAGCCTGCGATTGCGACGCCTGCTCTGCATGTTCTTGGGTCCTTGGATGCTGTGGTCGACGAAACTAGAGGTCGGGCGCTAATTGAGGCCTGTGCTGGTGATCCGGAGAAGGATGGGTCTGTAGTTTGGCATCCCGGTGGTCACTTCTTGCCTAGTCAGCGACCATACTTGGATGCTGCTGTGAGGTTTATTCGGGAGCAATTGGAGGGTGGGAAGAAGAAGGTGGAGGAGGTGGATGTTAACGACATGGATATGCCATTTTGAAATAGAGTCGGATAGAGAGCATCTTGTACATAGATATTCTAGATCAGAGTCCAGTACCCCCAATTGACGAATCATGACTACATCTATTTCGTGCTAGGGGTGAAGATATGGTATAAGGTCAATGTTGTGACTTGGATCTACCGGCGATTATTTTACACGCGGCTATCCCGCGCCATTCTCTCCAATTAAGCCTTGCCCTTCTCACTGCGAGTAGGCTGGATGCGGGCCATCATCTCCTCCTTGGTGATGAGATGATCAATCCGCTCGAGCAGACCCAGCAAGTTCTTCATGTCACTGCTCCACTCGTTCAGAACGTCATCCGCATCCCGGGGTTTGGCGAAGTTAACCAGACGCGCAGGACGGTCAATCTTGGCGTAGATAGTCTTCAAGGTGACGAGGTCACTGATGTACTTCTCTGTCTCTTCCTCGGTCAAATCCAGAAGCTGGGTCAGGCGGCTCATCTGGATGCGAGTGTAGTACTTGGCCACGACACGGACGTTGTGCTCAATCACCCGCTTGCGCAGGTCCTGCCACCTCGTGTTGGCCTGGTTGTCGGTGGTTTGCTTCGCGTCGGCGTCAAACACGTCGGTGTTGCATAGGTGGGGGCCGAATTGCTCGGCGACCATGGGCCAGCGCATCAGCTCGGGGATGGTGAAGAGCTTGAGCAGGCGGGCTTCCTCGGGAACTTGTGACAGGCGGGTGTCTTGCTTGATGCGGTGCAGAAGATCGGATTGTTCATTATCGTAGGGGGCCAGAACAACATAATAGACAATGCGGGCGAGTGACTGTAAATGTGAGTTGACATGATCTTCTGTGGATGGATAATGGTATACATACTGCACGCAGATGTTCAGGGTTGTTCTCAACTGCTTCCGTGTCCAAGACCTCCCGGTAGTTCTTGCATACCTCGAGGTACTTGTAGTCGTGGTTGGCCAGAATGATCTGCTGCTCGAAGTATCGAAGCTTGAGATCTGTGACGTCGTCATCCACCTCCATTGGCGCCTCATCAGGCGCCCGGGTCTTCTCCCGCTCCTCTGCCTCCTTCTTGAGCTTCTCGACCTCCTCGGCGGACTTCTTGGGCTTGCGGTTGAAGTATCGCTTGTTGATCTTGCGGCTCAGAATCTGCGCCTGGGTCCAGTCTCCGCGCTCGATACACAGAGCGACTTGCTCCAGGATAAATTCTGTCTTCTCGCGTCTTGTCATTGACCCGAAGGTCTCCACCTGCAATTCACATAGGATGTCGGCGGCCGAGTTGAGGTCGCCCTGAGTCTTCTTGATATTGGAAAGGATGCGGGTAACGCGGGCTCGCTCTACTTCAACAAAGATCTGCGTCTGTTAGCATTGGCCTGGTCCGATGGATTGCCGTTACACACCTTTCCCTCGGTCACCGTGCGCAAAGTCTCGATGACAGACAACTTGACCTCCAAGTTCGGTGTCGCATCAAGGAATGTCATAACTGTCTGCACCATCTTCGTTGTGGCCTGCTTGAGCTGGGCATGTTTCTTTGAGAGGAGCAACACTTGGTCGTTCAGCAGGTTCCAGTCGCCGGAGTTCTTGCTGATTGTGACAATGGCAATCAGGAGTCGCGAGGTAGTGGCAAGGTCGGATGCCTAGATACGAGGCTAGTTAGTCACGATACCGGCGGCGATGGCGTTCGTCATACCTGTCTCGATTGCTTCTCCAGACCCAACAGCTTATCAACGGCGCCCTGGACATCGGTCTGTCATCGGTTTAGCGACGTTTCTGTATAATTGTAATGCCGATAATACCTTGGCAAGGGCCTCAGCCTCTGGGATCAGCTTGTCGGCATCCTTGGTGAAGTCCTTCTCGGGCTTGAAAAGGCCGCCGGACATGATGACGGATGGATTATAACGGGCCGATCGGTTCAAACTGTGGGTTTCTGATACGAAACGAAGGCGTTATAAACACAGGATTGTTGTGTATGACAATTCGGGATGAGATGATGTAGTTAGCTCCAGATAGCTCGGAGTCGGTGATCGCGCCCTGGAGCTCCGTCACGTGTTGCACCCTGATTCCTCAGGCATGTAATGTTCATTGGTGTTTGTCAGCTTTGCCGTGTTTGTCGTGTTTGCTCAAAGTGCCCTAAGTCCATTGCCAAAATGGAAAAGACATCTAGTGGAACCAGCTTAGCGTACTACGGATATGCTCTGTACTTGTAGAATTGATGGCCTGGAACAAAGCAGCAAGAACGTAACTATTTGGCCTACGTGTTTCACATCATCTTCAATGGGTATTACCGAAAAAGCGAAGAAGAGACAGATCTTGGTGCCACGAATCTCGCCATTGAGCTGTCTTTTTCGTGCATATAACCAAGAATTTTCCGAACCAAGATTGATATTTTTAAGTCGAATCCAACATTTTGATCTTAGCCGCTTATACTTAACTTTAGTGGATTCCGAAAACACAATTCCTCGACGGTATGGAGCATGTGGGGCCAGATCAACCGTTAAAGGTGAGTCGAGCCGCAACTCGGGATATAGACTGAAGGTACATTACCCTTTCAGCAGAATGGGTTTTCCCTTTCCCCCCCCCCTTGTATTAGCATTTTGAGACTGCCTTCCTTAACCTATACATCGCTCACTTGCGGAAGATCTTGTGTGCTTTCACTAAGGTTCCGACGACAACACCCCCAACATCATGAAATTTCTCGCAGATAGGTCACACTTGGCTATTGTAGCGGCGAAGTTCTCTTGTGGAGCGGTAAGGGCCAGCAAATCTCAGTCATCACTAAAGATCCAACTAAGAACATTCAGCCCCGAGCTGGCTCAGAGAAGGGCCCCGATGCCATTATCAAGACCGGGATCTTCGACAATATAGCGAGCCGAGCCAATCTCACACTGAGCCTTTATACGTTGTCTCAGGACGATGCCGAGCTTGAGCTTCCATCGGATCAGGACGAATCGGGGCTGAAAAGACCGCGAGAAGTGAGCGCGGCCGCAGCACACATAAGCGACTCTGTCTACCAGCGAGCCAGACCGGGAAACTTTGTGCTTACACTGGGGGGAGACCACTCTATCGGCGTCGGTACAGTTTCTGGAACGTCCAAGGCCATCCGCGAAAGATTCTCGGGCCGGGACTTGGGCGTTCTATGGATTGACGCACATGCCGACATCAACACACCGGAGACCAGCTTGAGTGGGAGGTTGCACGGGATGCCAGTGGCGTTTCTGTCTGGAATCGCAAAGTCTCCCAAGAAAGGTATCTTTGATTGGCTAGAGGATAGCCATTTGATCAACATGAAGAAATTCGTGTACATCGGTCTTCGCGATGTGGACGAAGCCGAGCAAGCGACGATTGCTAGAACTGGCATCAAGGCTTTCACGATGGAAGATGTCAAGCGGTAATTACTGGTGCCTCATGATAGGAACTTGATTTGTACTCACATGCCTCTAGGTTTGGCATTGAAAAGGTCATGGACTTAGCTCTCGATCATATTGGAGACGAAACCCCGATCCACGCATCTTACGATATTGATTCTCTTGACCCGGAGTGGGCGCCTTCGACTGGATTTCCCGTAGCATCCGGGCTTGCACTTGACGAAGGCGTGTATGTTGCAAAGCGTCTTTATCAAAGTGGAAACTTGATTGCTTTGGACCTGGTTGAGATCAATCCTGACGTTGCTACTTCTCAACTAAATGTGACTGTTGAGGCCGGCTGCAAGTTGATCAAGAGCGCTCTTGGAGCGTGAGATGGCTCGTGAGCAAAAAGGTTTATCAAGTTGCTTTTCTCACAATTTGACTTCCGTGGGGGAGGTTAGTCGGCTTTGGAAGGGCCATTCAGTTGTTTCAATCCATTAGTCGGTGTTGGTGCAAGTTTTCTCGAATGAGCTTAGCTGGTAATACTACAGTTCATATCTCCGCCAAGAGACTCGAGGCTTGCTCGAGAGATAATTGCATTAAGATTCATTCTAGTACCAGTATAATCTCCGTCCTCGTAGACCAGAACAAGCCGTATACGCTTTTGTAGACATCAATCCCCACTCCAGGGCTGCTAATTCACTACAGTGACCCCGTGAGTAGCACCAAAAATTCGAATTTATTGGGCTTTCGATTGCCTGAGATGAAAGAAATAACTTGATCTATAGAACTTCCAATGGTTCAATTCCCACGATAGTCTGAGTGTCAAAAGAGGGGAACGAAAAGAGCCCGGGACCAAGCCTCTCAAACAAGCAACGGTGAGACTAGCCGATCTTCCCACGATGAAAATTCCCTTCTCAGTCCGGCTAATTCCAACTTTAATGGACAGGAGAGTATGGAAACGCTCGGACCATTTGCAGGCTCATCTCCAAAGGTTAACTTTACCCGACTTGCTAGTTTCATAGATCTGGTAAATAGCATGATCGGGAGAAATATCAGTTCCTACAATTTCAAGAATTCTATGAAAGTCCATGCTTTCTTCTTAACATGACGACACATGACGACCAAAACCCTAGCCATCGTATCTGCGGGCTTTAGTCGAGGAGCGGTAAGTCGTTCCACATGCTTCAGTGTGTTGTCTACAGGCTAATCAAAGACAGCCTCGAGCTGGATCTGAATTAAGACCATCGGCAATTCTGGGCTCCGGTCTCCTCGATTCCCTCCGAAGCCTTTTCCCAGATGTTTACCTTGACGATGAAATCCCCGAGGGCGCGGACCTGCCACATTCTCAAGATCTTGACTTTGCTGGAATGAAGAATCTTCGGTCTGTCAGTGCAGCGACAAGGCATGTCAGCGAAAAAGTCGAAAGGTATCTCAAAGCCGGGAGTGTGGTGCTCACACTTGGCGGGGATCATTCCAACGCCATCGGCAGCCTCACTGGTAGCAACAAAGGGATTCGGGAACAAATGAACACAGACATTGCTGTTATATGTGTAGATGCACATGTTTCAATCAATACCCCGGAAACAAGTCCTAGTGGAAATATCCACGGAATGCCTCTGGCGTTTGCAACTGGAGTCGCGAAGGTAAAAGGAGATGGTATCTTCGACTGGATACAACAGGAACATCTGGTCAACACTAGGCGGCTAGTTTACATCGGAACTCGCGATGTGGATGAGAAGGAGATGAAGATTCTCGAAGATCATGGTATCAAGGTGTTCAACATGGAGGAAATCAGAAAGTTTGCGATCTCCGGTCACTCTTACCATACCTTCACTGACAGATATCACAGAAACGGGATCGAGAAAGTGATGGAAGAATTGTTTGATTACATTGGCACCTCCGTTCCAGTCCATTTGTCTTGCGATATAGATGTCCTGGACCCCGAATGGGCCCCGAGTGCTGGGCATCTCGTCCCTGGGGGTTTATCTCTTGCGGAGGGGCAGTACATCGCTCGTCGCGTCCACGCAACAGGGCGTCTGGCAGCGATGGACCTTGTAGAAGTGAATCCCACCATCGATCTGCCGGGTGTTCCTAAAACAGTTGGCTCGGCATGTATTTTGATCAAAGAGGCGCTCGGTGCCACTGAGTGATATTCGTTGCTAGACTGTTCGTGCTTGGGTTTATAGACAGAGGAATGGAAAACGACTCCAATTTCCCCCTTACCAATCATCCGGCTCAGTTACTGAATCAACAGATTCACGCATTAGTTCGCTTAGAGACAAAATTGGTATAGTTATGTACAACAAGATCAATAAATCCCAGCACCGTCCCGCCTTGGGAGGCTGCTTTAACCCTTCGGAAGTGGCGCGTATCAAGATAACAGACTACTACGCAAACTAAGTGAAAACAAAACTCTGAAAACGACCAATTAGCAGATCTCTTCGGTAAGGGCAGTAAGCGATCTTCAATAATCACTCCACTGCACAATCCCCCGGGCTACACTTTGCTTTACACATTGAAGCCCAGATAGCCCCGGCAGTCCCCTACACCATAGCCATGGAGTTCTTCACCTGGGCCGTCTCTATTATCATTTTATGGATATTGACACAAGTATGTTCTCCAGGAATAGTTTTCCAGAAGCCAAACATGGGTAATCTGTACGATAACTGACACCAAGGAAAGATTTTCTACAATTATTCATTTTCACCCCTTTCAAAAACACCAAATGCCAGCCGACTCGCACCGATATCTCATCTGCTGTGGGAATTCCCCATGGAATATAGTGGGCGAATGACTATTGAGCTTCCGAAACTGCACAAAAAGCTGGGCAAGTAAGAATGCTGAACTTTATCCAAGCGAAATTCCAAAGTTCAATGTGCTCACCACCTTCTAGGCCCACTAATACGGATTGGCCCTCACCACGTTTCATTTTACTCACTTGATCTGTACAAAAGGGTCCATTTCCCTGTAAGTGCGTTTGTCAAGGATCCTGTCGTGTATAGCCAGTTTATGGAGGATGAACATCCGTCTCTATTTACAATTATGGGAGTCATTGTGATTTGACACCGGGGCATGCTCCGTTGAACCATCGCCGTCAACCTTTGAAAGAGGAACTAGCTGACCAAGACCGTAATTGGCTAAAAGTGATCCTAAAAAACACTCTGAACGACGCCGCAAAATGGGACAACTGTTCAGTAGAAGCAAAGTTCCCATGCTGGCAGAAATGATGCTACAGGAAGTTTCCAAGCTCACCAATCTTCTGCACGGAATGAGAAATGAGGGAAACGTCGATCTAATCCGTGCATGTTGTGTGCTAGAAGTAGATGTGATTTGTGAGTGAACAAATGACTTGATTGAAACATTCTGACGCTGTGATATCATCAGCAAGGTTCGCTTTTGGGAACTCGGTCGGTGCCATCGATTCATTAGCAAAGGGACATTTGCCTAGTATTATAAGATACATCGACTCGAAATCTTCAATGATGCCCGTGGTAAGTTCGGTGGCTGTCGATGGCCGTCCACGGGTGTCTGTTCCTTGAAACGCTGATTCCTATATTTTCCACAAGTATATGACCTTTCCCCAAGTACTTTCACTTTGACACACTCTCAAGGACACCATGTCCAGCCTGACAGGTTCGCAAACATGTTCCGCAGCGAACAAGAGAGGCTTCGATTCGGTATTTCTCAATCTACCCTGATCCTGTCGCTATCATTCTATTTCCACTTGAGTACCCAGTCTGACGAGCACTAGTGGACAATCACCCAGCTCCAATCTGCACTCGCAAATGAGAAAACCCCCGACCCCTGTTTCTTGAATGTCATGGCAGGGGCTCGTATTCCCCCACAAACCGCCCTCGCAGAAGCGAAAGAAATGCTCAGCCCAGGCACCGATTCTACATCCGTCACGCTTGCACATACACTATATGCCATATCGTCTAATCAAGCATTCCAAGATGAACTAGCCTCTGACATAGCGGCGTCTGAATGGCCCACAGATATGAGTTCCTTGGAAGCTATTCCAAGTTTGGTGGCCTGTGTGAAGGAAGGGATTAGATGGACTGGCGCAGCAACAGCTATGCTTCCAAGAGTTGTACCCAAAGGCGGGGCTCTCGTCGAAGGAGCGGAGCTTCCAGGTGGTGTATGCATTACCTCAAAGACAAGATATTTGCAAAGTATAGGTGCGCTAACCTGTTTACGTTAAAACCGCAGACCAAAGTCTCCTCTTCGCCCGCTTGGTATCTGCACCACGAAACTGCATTCCCGGACCCAGAGCGCTACCGTCCTTCCAGATGGCTTGAGCAGAGGAACGAGAGAAATCCTCTGGACGAATACTACATCCCATTTTCGAAAGGGCCGTCTACCTGCATTGGAGTTCAGTATGTAACTTGGCCTCCATGGACCTGTCTTGCTAATGACTGACGTGGCGAGATCAGTTTCGTGTACTTGGAGCTGTACCTGTCCGTCTCTCAAATACTCAGGAAGTACCGCATTAGGCCTAGGAGCGGGAACAATCTCCTGGCGGATCATGAAGCCGTTCTGCCATCGCGAGGAGAGTGGGCAACTGCAGCGCCACTTCAGAGATTGGAAGTCACTCCGGAAGAAAGATGGAGTTCAGATGTAAATTAAAGGCAGCAGGTGTAAACTCAGGGAGAGAGAAAGAATCGATCATTTTCTATGAGAGAGGAGAATGAGCAAGGCGAAAAAGAGAGAGCGCGCGAGAGAGAGAACGAAGCAAGGTCACCTGACCGAGCTTCCTTTCCAAGGTTGGAACCTTCAGTCATTCCACGTTTACTCTGCAGAATAATGCAATATACCTGCTACCTAGGTATTCTCATGAATTTCCCGTAGCCCAGCGAGGCCACGTCACGCCCGGTATTCAACTATATAACTACTCCGTACAGGATCATGCTGCCTCAGACATCCACAACACCTGCCCACCCGTGGACCTGGCCACCGGGCAATGGCACGTGATCCAGCAAGCCAATCCCAGTGTTTGACGTGGTCGAAAAGCCAGAGATGACCAAAATGGAAGGCGAAAAGCGTCAAGTCGCAGTACTTCCCCGGTACATGTTCGAATCAGTACTTTTGCTACTTTCTGAACCTACACTGGCTGCTCGATCGAATTGGGAATGGCGCTGAACGCCCACTAACCTTCCAAGGTTGAAAGAGAAGAAGACTGAGCAAGGGGAAAGAGAGCAGAGCCCTGGGGATGAGGTCTTGGGTCACGTGACCAGGAGAAAGACCCCTCCAGGGCTCAACTCTGACAAAAGCAAAAGGAGAGAGACAACATGGACGTCAACGATGATGACAAGATATCACGAAGAAACATTGTCCACCGCTGGAAATCACGATCACTATCACGATCACTAAGTAAGCAGCTCTTTAACAAAGACCAAGCCCAAAGCTTATAATCCAAAAGAGAATACCCTTCGCCCCACTCAGAATGCGGTGTCGGCTGCTACAAACTTAGCACAGAAGTCAATACCTAGGCCCGCTTGTGCTGATTTGTTGATACCCGACAAGGAACCAAACCCAAAGAAGGAGGCCGACACAACGGTGTCCGAGTTGAAAAGATCTTGCTTGTGGGATGAAGCCTATGATCGCTTGAAGGAAGAGAACCCTGCACTTGTAGCAGAGTACGAGGATTTATTGATCCGAGTGGAGAGTGAGAGTATGTGACATCCAATCAGACTCGACTATGTATCCATGCCAATCATATTAACATACTAGTATAGCAAAAACAACTTTATCGACACCTCACGAAAGTATCACCGAGACCAAAAGCAAGATCCACCACGATGGGGCAGCACGTCAACAAATGTTACAACTTGTTGCACTCCACAACCTCGAAAAGTCGGAAGAGGGAAAGCTCAAAACGACATTCTTTGGACAACAGATTGTGTGGCAAGATGCAATAGGAACATTTGGCCTGGGTGTGAACTGGGTACAGAACTACGCCAGATATGCACTCAAAGATGTCCCCTATGCGCCGATCGCCATGGCTGCCGTTGGCCTCCTTATTCCTTTGTTGACCGGACCACTCATGGCCGATAGCGAAAACCACCAAGGTCTTCTGTACGTGGTGTCGCAGATCAAATACTACATCAAGATGGAAGCGTTGATGCTGCCAGAATGCCTAGATGCAGGGGTGAGGACAGAGCTGAGAGAGCATGTGAGAAGCTTATACACACTCGTGATCGACTTTCAAATACAGAGTGTGCTAAGATTCGACCGCAGCCCTTTAAAGAACTATTTCGGCAGCGTGGTGGATTACGACGGCTGGGGCACCCGGTTGGAAATGATCAAAGAGACGGAACAGACACTCAGAGAAAATATGCAACAAGCTGCATCTTGGACAGTTGTGCAAGAGCTCGAGAGCCTGAAACAGGAAGCTCAACATTCACGAAAGTCCCTCGGGGAAATCGCCCACCAAACACAGAAAATCGCCCAGCACATGTCTGATGCCGAGTTCCGTCGCTGCCTAGACACACTCAAAGCCACTGGCTTTGAGCTGGACAAAGAGAGCATCCAGGACTTCAAGGGCGGCCTCCTCAAGGATTCATATCAGTGGGTGGTTCAAAATCACGACTTCAAAAGATGGATTTCTGCCACCTCCGGTCAACTTCTTTGGATCAGAGGCGATCCGGGCAAAGGAAAGACGATGCTTCTCTGTGGTATCGTCGATGAGCTTTCTCGCATGGCCAAGCATGGCACCAACATTGCTTTTATCTTTTGTCAAGCGAACAAGGAAACTCGCAACAATGCATCTGCGGTTTTGCGAGGCCTCATATACATGCTTGTGAGGCAGCAGCCCTCACTGATAAGTTTTATCTCCGAGGAGTCTTTCAGCGGCGACAATGCTTGGTTTGCACTTCAGAGAGCCTTTATCAACATCCTGAATAGCCCTGAGTTGCGGGCAACTTACCTGGTTATTGACGGGCTTGACGAATGCATAGAAGGTCGCCAGTCCCTTCTAAAGCTCCTTGTCAATCACTCGTCCGCTCATGCAAATGTGAAATGGGTCGTATCGAGTCGAAATTGGCCCGAGATTGAGCAAGATCTGGACCAAGCAACCGAGATGAAACTCCATCTCGAGTTGAACGAAGACGTGCTATCAAATGCCATTCGCTCATTCATCGAATACAAAGTCGACAACTTACGTTCCAAGAAAAGAGACAAGCCAGAGATTTGGAAAGCCGTTCAAGACTACCTGCTCGAGAACGCGAAGGGCACCTTCCTTTGGGTCGCTTTAGTTTGGAAGCATCTCACCGAAGTGCCCTGGTGGAAGGTTCGAGAGAAGCTCAAAGAGTTCCCTCCGGGTCTTGACAAGATCTACGAGCGCATGATCGGTCAGATCACAAGATTGGAAGATGCTGATCTCTACAAGTCTGTCCTGAGAGTGAGCACAACCGTTCTTCGCCCCATCACACTGGACGAGATGATGATCTACGTTGAAGTGCCCGAGGACTCGATCGAAGTACTCGAAGATGTTGTACGGGGTTGTGGCTCGTTCTTGTCACTCCAAGGCAATACTGTTCTCTTAGTTCATCAGTCTGTGAAAGATTTCCTTCTTACACGAGCTTCTGGTGAGATACTTCCCCAGGGCAAAGAAAGCGCACAACACCACATCTACGCAGCATCTATACGCCTTCTCAAAGAAACTTTACGGCGTGATATCTATAAGTTGGGTGCGCCGGGTTATCCAGTTGAGCAGATAAAGCCGCCTCGTTCAGATCCGCTACTTGCAGTACGTTATGCATGCTCTCATTGGATTGATCATCTTCTTCTTTGCAATGATGAACTTCTCAAGATAGAGTTTCAAGAAGGAGGTATGGTGGACACTTTCCTGGAACAGAACTACCTCCACTGGTTAGAGGCCATGAGCATCTTGAAGAGTCTTCCTGTTGCGATCAAGTCCGTACGGAATCTTGAAAAGTTTCTCGAGGTATTTGCCTATCAATCCTACTGGGAATATTGAGTCTCTCTAAATACTAAGTGACAATTTAGTCCATCTTGTTGTTACAACCAAGGCAGACCGAAGGCGAGCCGATAGCCTTGCTGATTCGAGTGAGGGACGCCGTCCGATTCGTCCAGTACACAAAGTTTGGCATTGAAAGGAGTCCACTGCAGGTCTATTACTCGTCTCTCATCTTCAGTCCCAATCAAAGCATCACGAAACAATGCTATTATGACAGAGAAAGCAGGGCAGAGTGGATCCTGGAACAGCCAGAGGTGGAAGAGCATTGGAGTCCGTGTCTTCAAACTCTGGAAGGCCACGGAGAATGGATAATCTCTGTTGCATGGTCTAGCGATGGACGTCGACTGGCTTCAACATGCGATACCAATTCCAGGGTTTGGGAACTGGATACTGGGAATTGCAGTCATGTTCTTGAAGATTGGCTCGCTACTGATAGCCCTGCTTGCTGGCTTGATGACAATAGAGTCGTCCTGGTAACGAACGAAAGGGGTGTCAACGTTTGGCATCTTGATACAGGCCATTCTGTGGTTATGCTCGAGCCCCAAAAGTCTTCCCCGTCTTGGATTATTGGGTCTCCAGATGGAAGTCGCCTTGCCATAGTGCGAGACAATGTCATCGATGTGCATTTTCCAGGTGCCACCAATGAGTCATTCACGCTCCAGAGCACTATGGACAGAATAATCTCTGTGTCGTGGTCTCCAGATGGAGATCGCCTTGCCGCATTGAATGCTGTGAGTAGCGTCGAAATTTGGGATCTTTGTAAAGGGATGCGGACTTTTACCCTGGAGCGAACCTCCTGGGCTACTTGCTCAGCTTGGTCTCCAGATGGAAGTCTCTTAGCACTTGGAACAGAGCAGGGGAACATTCAAGTATGGGACTCAGAGACATTGGATCTTGAGCTCGACATCGAGGGGCATAATCACCCCATTACATGTCTGGTTTGGTCCCCAGATGGGTCTCAACTCGCGTCGGGGTCCAGGGATAATTCCATTGCAATCTGGGATACACATACCACCAAGCGTTGCGCCACGTTCGAAGGCCATACTGACAGTATCCAATCGATATCCTGGTCTGCAAATGGAAGACTACTCGCATCAGGGTCAATTGACGAAACTATCAAGATATGGGACGCAACCGCCCGAAACGAGCTAGTCGGCCGTGAATACGGCAGCTCATTCATCTCAATCGAATATGACAAGGATGCAAAACAACTCGCGGCATCCATGAGTAATAACAATGTCAGCGTGTGGAATCATGCCACCGGCCAGCGCACAATATGTGAAGGTCATATCGGCAAGGTCAATGATATTGCCTGGTCGCCTGGCGGAAACCACCTTGCATCGGCGTCACACGATAAGACCATCAGAATATGGGATCCAGCCACTGGCCAGTGCAAAATTCTCGAGGGCCATACCAACGACGTAATGGATGTCGCCTGGTCTATCGATGGAACTCAGATTGCATCGTCATCGATCGATGGTACTATCAGGGTGTGGAATCCGATCACAGGTGATCACATCAGTCTATTCGGCGATGAGCATATCGATCATCATGACTATGATGACGATGGTCGTGATTATGGGGTTTGGTATAATGGTGTTTCCTGGTCTCCTACTGGACAGCACATCGCATCGGCTGACGATGAGCATAACGTTCGGGTGTGGGATCTTGCTACCCGCCAATGCAAGATTCTTGAAGGTCATACCGATAGCGTCAATAATGTTGCCTGGTCTCAGGATGGACGCCAACTTGCATCAGCATCATGGGACGGTACTGTCAGAGTGTGGGATTCGACAACTACGCAGTGCACCTTGCTTCTTCATGTGAAGACCGATGGCTTCCTTCATTTTGACATCAATTCAAGCGAACTCCACACGGCCGAAGGCAAATTTGATCCTGGGTCTTTGAAAGATGTCTGGCAACATTCCAAAAGCTCGGGCACACCAAAGCCATCTGGCTATGGCCTTTGCGTCGATCGCTCTTGGATAACCTATAATGGAAGTAATTCCATATGGTTACCACCTGAGTATAGACCGAATACTCGACATGCCCTGTCTATATCCAACACGGCCCTGACGATCGGCTGCTCATCTGGTCGTTTGGCAATGCTCAAGTTCTCGGCATTGAATCCTCTCAAAGAACTTTGAATAGCAATATACGCGCCATCATTACATTATCTTCCTAAAGGAGAAATGCGTAGAGTGACAGGTAAAACAGAAAGGTTTGAAGCCTCCAGGCCGAAGTGTTGAGACCACCTAGGCGTGTGTGCTTTATTGGACGGGTCGAATCAGCACGCAGTGAATTAGCTTGAGACCAGCAGCTGCATAAAACCATTTCGACATGACTAGTGAAGAAACTAAACCTAACTGGGTCTCCGATCATGCTCAGCCGCATCGCTGATCCGAACATTACATATGTGTTTGCCCGGATGGATATACCATCATACGTACAGTGGGACCTTGACCCAACTAGCGATTCTGTAAGGAGACCCCTGCTCCTATGATATCAGTGATTAGGGCTGGCGATCACGCCGGATCTCTATGACATCAGGTTGTGGGTCAATCGGCGTCATTGGATTTTTAAAATTACGATCGTGAAGGCACTGGTCAGTCAGGTATCAATTCCACAAGCACTTCAACATGACGAGCATGTATTGCATATTGTAAGGGTGTTTTGAAGGGGTGTTCGACCCAATTGTGCTCGGTACTAGGTAGGATGCCGTCGGGAGTGGGGTGGCAATGAATGGAGTATGACGAATATTTGAACTTCTCACTTTCTGACTGTACCTAGGTAGTGAGTCACAATGACTGAGAGATTTAGCTTGTAATCCCACGCTTAATACAGGATATATAGACAAGGATGTGGTATAAGACGAGTGCAGTAAAAGTCGCACGAGACAAAGCGATATCACGCTAGTCCCAAAGTAGCCTAGTGCGGGCTCCCCTCTCTCGAGAAGCTTCTGTGTCATCACAAATTGCCCTTCACTCTTCACTCTCTCAACGTCCCTATCTCTCTAACTCCCAATTTATCCTCAATCTCAACCACCAAAATGTCTGACTGGGAAACCACCACCGTCATTGGCAACCGCCGCACTGGAGCCGGTGCTCCTCAGCACTCCCAAACCCTCAGAGGCAACAGCGCCATCAACGCCGCCAAGCGCACTGGAGGCGTTACCTCCGAGAAGAAGTACACCACCGGTAACCTCGTATGTCAAATCCTGAGACAAAAGAACTCATCGCGAAATCACCAGAACCCATTCTAACAACTATCACAGGCTGCCAAGGCAGGCCAACCCGAAGGCCAGCTCATGACCAAGGTCGACCGCAGCGACGACATCGTCAAGCCCAAATACGTTGAGAAGCACATCACCGCCAATGTCATAAGCCTCCGCACCAGCAAGGGTCTGTCACAAAAGCAGCTCGCCAGTTCCGCCAACGTCCCTATCAAGGTTCTCCAAGAGATCGAGAGTGGAAAGGCTATGGCCAAGGACGCAAACCCCGCTCTGAACCAATTGCAGAAGGTTCTTGGGTTTGGCCTGCGCAAGAAGCCCGCTCCTGCTAAATAAGTGATCCCCAGGGCTGGGGCGAGCCAACCGCTTTCATTGTATGAATCGGCGGTACATCATACGTCTTAGACCGGGGGCCATCAGTGATGCGCCTCATGGTCCGAGTTCACACAGTACTTAGGACTCTTTGCATCTGTGTTTTTTTGCGCTTAATGACTCATGTTCTACCCCTACTTCCAACATAGGCTTTTTTTTTTTTTTTAACCCCTCTCATTAAAAACTACGTGGCATCGTGTGCGAGCTTCGCTCTCGCTGGTCGGATTGGCAATGACTGCTAAAAAAAAACGGCGTAAAGGTAATACGGAAACCATACTGTGTTCAAAGAAGATCTTTCGAGTTTGGATCTTATACTAGGTAGTTAAATTATTCCTGCGAGATCATTGCATGACATACTAGGTATAAGACAATTTCCATACTTCCAAGGTTGTAACCTCCAGCTTCCTGCCAGGTGCAAGGTTGAAAATGAGCACTATGTTTGAAGTGGTATCCAACCTTGAAGTAATCAACACCCATGTACCTACATAGGTAGGTATATATATCCAAGACGGATTTCCCAGGTGGGTACCTAGGTATATTTCACATCCATGGACACTTGGGACCTTCAAAGGCTACTAGGTATGCGCGTTCAAAATAAAGAGATACACTATCATCCATGGATGGATGCAACCCCGAAATTTGCACAGGCAATCTCAACATATACCTAGTACTCCCAAGTCCTTCCCAACTTTGAAGGTTGCGCTCGAGTGAAGATTTGCAAAGGTTTGAATTTGTCTATTTACCTGATTTTAATCTCTCCTGCTGAAGACCAGCAAATCGGACAGACAGAGCTCCAAAAGAACCATGTCATCTTTTTATTAAACAAAGACAATAACACAAGGTACCAACTCCGATTGATCATGGAATCAATGAAATGAGAAAATCGTGCAACGGAACACGCCGTATGCGGGACTCCAGAGGTCTTCTCTGAGCCTTTTCGCCTCGTTAAAAAACATTCACCACATCGTCTCTTTACTTCCGTGCCTGCTCGCGCAGGTGCTCCCGCTCAACCTCGTACAAGAAATCGAAGTATGACTTGTCGAAGTGGTGGACGCGAACGTAACCGTCCTCACCACCGGAGGCGTATGCGGTGCCTGCAGGGTGGACATCGATCGTGTTGAGGGGACCGAAGTGACCCTTGACACGGCCGACTTCCTCGCCGACAATGGAGTGCCAGAAACGGGCCTCGAACTTTCCTTGGCGGGCGGAGGTTGTGGTGACATCCATGGCGGCTTGACCACCACCCAGAATCACGAAGCTCTTCTTTGGTGTGATGCTTGCGGTGTTGAGGGGGGTGTCGGTGGTGTAGGTTTTGAGGATGGCGAGGTTGCGGGCGGAGATGAGCTGGACATGAATTAGCGCTGGAAGTCCCTGGACACTGGGGAATGCTTACCTTGGCTGACTTGTCCTTGGAGGCGGTGATGAAGCTGAGCCTGTCAGGGGACATCTGGAGATCGGTGATTGCGGAGTCGAATTCGTGGATCTGGATGTTTTCGACGATATCTCCGGTCTGGCATTGAGGTCAGTATCTGGCTGGGAAATTCGGACAGGGAAGCCCAATCGGCTCCCCGGAGACAATCGTACCTTGGGATCGTACTGGCTGACGCTGCCGTCTTCGTGTCCAGCAAGAATGTACTTGGCGAGGAAACTCCATTGGGCGACGGTGGCCTTGCTGTCCTCACAGGTGATGACCAGGCTGGGCTCGGCAGCCTGCTCGGTGTAGGTTCCGTCGTAGTTGATGTCGAGGACTGCGATTGTACCGAGGAAACCCATACGCTTTTCCGTCACTGCCAAGAGTCTGCTTCCATCGGGGGAGAATGCCACGCGCTTGACGGCCGTGGGGAAATCCCACACCTTCACACACTCGCCGGTCTTGATGTTCCATAGGCGCACGGTGTTGTCGGCAGAACCGGTGGCGAGGAGAGTAGTGTTGGGGCTGACATCGACTGTCCAGACGGCACCCTGGTGCCCGCTGTATGTTCCGAGACGCTCGCCGTTGGCGGACCACCACGCGCACACAATCTTATCCTTCGAGGTGGAGAACAGGAGATCGCCATCGCTGTTGAACTTGATCTGGGTCAAAGACCGCTCCTATTGTATAGATGCCGGTCAGTTTTCTGTGGATCCTGCAAGAATCTGAGGGGCGTCACGCACATGGCCGGAAAGCAAGATAGGACGCATCTTGAGTGCTGATGCGATTTCACGGGATGGAGGGGGAAAATTCTGAGAGGCTCGGCTCAGAGGGGATGAAGGCGGAGTGGCTATGGGGGGGTCAACCTCGTCAACCTCACTTTCTTTGACTAGTGAATTTCATCGCACACTCGGCCCTCAGTGCCAAGACTGCCTCGGTGCCAATGTTTCTCCGACGCCGGGTACCTTGACAATTTTCACGTGACCGGCTGCCCTAAGCACTAGGCCGCATTGGGTTAACGCATCCATGGAGCCTCAGGCAGCGACGGAGCCCAACAAGGAGACACGCCGAAAACTGCCCGGCTCTCCGCACGAGCAGAACAAAGAGACACTGTGAGGGGAAGAAGTCGGAAGAGAACGTTTGTGTACAGACAGGACGTTGAAGATTATCGTAAACTCGTTGGGCCCGTGAACTGCATGTGAGCCTACGGAGCGTCCGGAGTCTGCAGCATCTTCCGATAACGAAGGGTTCGCCCTCCCAAATAAGCAATATTTCATGCCACTCGTCCCCGCTGCCCTACCCCGCTGCGCTTTTCTCCAAGTGCATGCGGGTCCTTCTCTCCGATTTATTTCTTCGACCTTCCCATATAACTGTCGACTCAAGCGCTGGTCAATTGCATCCGTCAATTTTCCTCTTCGAACTTTTCACGGATTAGCAATGGCGGCCAAGATTGATGGCACTGCCATCGCGAAGAGCATTCGCCAGGGCTTGAAGACTGAGATCGAACAAGTCCAAGTCACCAACCCCCGATTCAAGCCCAACTTGGTGATCTTCCAAGGTACTTGCCTCCGTGGATAATGTCGTGGTCGACGCTAACCGAACATGCTATCTAGTCGGCAACCGATCCGATTCCAGTTGGTCATCCAGGAAACAAGTATGAAACATGCGCCGAACTAATCATCACTAGGTACCTATGTGCGCATGAAGCTGAAGGCCGCGCAGGAGGTAGGACTCGCCCATCTCATTCTGCTCCGAAGGACCCGTGCTGACAATGACTAGGCCAACATCATCTGTACTCTGATCAACGTTCCCGAATCTAGCACCGAGCTCGAGCTCATCCAGGAGATTACCCGAGCCAACAATGACCCCGCGATCCACGGTATCCTTGTCCAATTGCCCATTCCTGCCCACATGTCCGAGCATGCTGTTACCTCGGCCGTCTCAGATGAGAAGGACGTGGATGGATTCGGCGCAATCAACATCGGTGAGCTTGCCAAGCGCGGAGGCCGCCCACTCTTCACTCCCTGCACTCCTTTGGCTGTCATGGAGTTGCTCCAGGCGTCGGGCGTGAACCCGGCGGGCAAGGAGGCTGTCGTCCTCGGACGTAGCGATATTGTCGGCAGCCCGGTCAGCTACTTGCTGAAGAACGCCGATGCCACAGTCACCGTGTGCCACTCCAAGACACCCGACATTGCGCGTATCGTGAAGACCGCTGACATCGTGGTGGCGGCCATTGGCCAGACCGAGCTCGTCAAGGGCGAGTGGTTGAAGCCTGGTGCCGTTGTCATTGACGTGGGTATCAACTACAAGCCTGATGCCACCAAGAAGTCTGGCGAGCGATTGGTTGGTGATGTGGACTTTGAGTCCGCTGCGCAAGTCGCATCCCAAATCACCCCCGTTCCCGGTGGTGTTGGCCCCATGACTGTGGCCATGTTGCTGAAGAACGTGGTGCACGCCGCCAAGAGCTACTTCGAGAACCAGAAGGACCGCCGTGTGGTCCCTCTTCCTCTTCGTCTTCAGACCCCTGTCCCCTCGGATATCGCCATCTCGCGGGCCCAGTACCCCAAGCCTATCACCCAGGTTGCTTCCGAAATCGGCATTGCCCCCCACGAGCTGGAGCCCTACGGTCACACCAAGGCTAAGATCAGCCTCGGATTGCTCGACCGTCTTTCTCATCGCCGCAACGGAAGATACATTCTTGTCTGCGGTATCACCCCAACTCCCCTTGGAGAGGGTAAGTCTACCACCACATTGGGTCTTACCCAAGCCCTGGGTGCACACCTCAACCGCATCTCCTTTGCCAATGTTCGCCAGCCTAGCCAAGGTCCTACGTTCGGTATCAAGGGAGGCGCAGCTGGCGGAGGTTACAGCCAGGTCATTCCTATGGACGAGTTCAACATGCATTTGACCGGTGACATCCACGCCATCACCGCCGCCAACAACCTCCTGGCTGCCGCCATCGAGACCCGCATGTTCCACGAATCTACCCAGAAGGACGGTCCTCTCTACAAGCGTCTTGTGCCTGCCAGCAAGGGCAAGCGTGAGTTCAAGCCTATCATGTTCCGCCGATTGAAGAAGCTCGGTATTGACAAGACCAACCCCGATGACCTCACCGAGGAGGAGATTGCCCGCTTCGCCCGTCTTGACATTGACCCGGAGACCATTACCTGGCGTCGCGTTCTCGATGTCAACGACCGCCACCTGCGCGGCATAACCGTTGGCCAGGCCCCCACCGAGAAGGGCCTTTCTCGCGAGACCGGCTTCGATATCTCGGTCGCCAGTGAGTGTATGGCCATCCTTGCTCTGAGCAACGACTTGGAGGACATGCGTGAGCGACTGGGCCGCATGGTGGTTGCCACCTCTCGCGCCGGAGACCCTGTCACTTGCGACGACATCGGTGCCGGTGGTGCTCTCGCCGCCTTGATGAAGGATGCGATCAAGCCCAACCTGATGCAGAGCTTGGAGGGCACTCCTGTGATGGTCCACGCTGGTCCCTTCGCCAACATCAGCATTGGCGCCAGCTCCGCCATTGCCGACAAACTTGCCTTGAAGCTTGCCGGAACCGAGCCCGACGAGGACCACGAAGCCAAGACTGGATTTGTCGTCACCGAGGCCGGCTTCGACTTCACCATGGGCGGTGAGCGTTTCTTCAACATCAAGTGCCGCTCCTCTGGTCTGTCCCCAGACACTGTCGTCATCGTGGCTACTGTCCGTGCTCTGAAGGTCCACGGAGGCGGTCCCGAGATCAAGCCCGGCGCCCCTCTCGACGAGGTCTACCGCACTGAGAACGTGGATGTCTTGCGCAGGGGCTGCATCAACCTCCGCAAGCACATTGCCAACGCCAAGCAGTACGGTATCCCCGTCGTGGTCGCGATCAACAAGTTCGAGACCGACACCGAGGCCGAAATCGCTGTCATTCGCGAGGAGGCCATCGCTGCCGGCGCCGAGGACGCCGTCCCCGCCAACCACTGGGCTGAGGGTGGAGCCGGTGCCGTTGATCTGGCCAAGGCCGTCATGACCGCCAGCTCCAAGGAGAGCGACTTCAAGCTCCTCTACAACCTGGACGGCAGTATCCAGGAGCGCATCGAGCGCATCGGCCAGGCCATGTACGGTGCTGAGAAGGTGGAGTTCAGCGAGCTGGCGCAGAAGAAGGTTGACATCTACACCAAGCAAGGGTTCTCGAACCTGCCGATCTGTATTGCCAAGACTCAGTACTCGCTCAGTCACGACGCGGCCCTCAAGGGCGCCCCCACCGGCTTCACGGTGCCCATTCGGGATGTCAGATTGGCGGTGGGCGCTGGTTACCTGTAAGTTTCCATCGGCTCCGATTGAGGGCACTCGTTCTATTATCCATTCTTCCCACTAACCCGTCTCTAGCTACGCCTTGGCTGCCGACATCCAGACCATCCCCGGATTGCCCACTGCCCCGGGATACCTGAACGTCGACATTGACACCGAGACCGGCGATATCGATGGTCTTTTCTAAATCGAGCGGAAAAGAGGAACTTGTAAATACATTGGATTGACTTTTCAACACATACAGATTTAATGGCGTCTACTTGGGAGTGATTAGACCGGGACCTTCAACAGCGTGGAAATGACAATGACAAATTTGATCAGATATCAGTGCAGCGTAGATCGTACCGTTCGGCAGGGTGTTTCCCGTCCCTGATGGAGGGCCGGTGAAGGCCGCGGAGTACTGCTCCGAGCTCCGGAAACGCTCAACGACGGCGGGTCACAAGAAAGTAGAATTTACCCTGCAACAGGGTTAGGTCCGATGAGTCAGGGACTGCTTTAAAGGAGCTCAATCTGATTCTCTTTCTTAGCTTCATAGCTTCATAGCTTCGCTTCATCGCTTCTCCAGGTACCTCCGATCCTATATCCCGTGACGTCCGGCTTCGGCGCTTGCAAAGCTCCCCTTCCTTTCTCCCGGACAAGGCCTTTTCCTCCTACTCACCTTTCGGTAATTCTTCCTTTCCGATTTGCCTTGCATTTGCGCTCCCGTTTTGCCCCGGTTCCCCTACCCCAAACTCCCGCACTGCGTCTTCGTTTCTCCGGGTATCGACTCCACACTTTCCCTTCTGCCGAACTTCATTCCCTCGGTTGTAACCAAGCGGTGATTGCGCCGAATTGCGCCCGCTCAGCCAAACAGAAAGAGCCAATTTGGGTGCTGACATCTTCCCAGAGATCCCACGATGAACGCTCTCCGAACAAGTTCCGCATTCGCTCGTCGGTCCCTCGCGACCCCTCCCGCCCCTCTCACTTCTACTCGTCTTCTCTCTTCCACCTCTTTCACTTCTTCATCTACCTCTCGATCCATCTCTTCCGCTTCTCTCTCCCGCACTAATCGAGTTGCATCTGCCCGCTGGTCCGGTTCGATCCCTTCGTTGTACACCACTCAAGTTCGCACTATGGCTTCCGAAACCAAGATCAAGGTCCAAAGTCCTTTGGTGGAATTGGACGGTGATGAGGTATGGGCTCCCTTTTATAGTTCGAACCTTCCGAGCCCCCCCCCCCCAAGCCGGCCCGGTGTCACAAGCCTGCATCTCCTGCTCGGCTGGCGCGTTCGCCTCGAAAACGCGGGGAAATACGGGGGGCTCCCATTCCCATGTGTTCACCCGACAGGGAAACCGCTGCGAGAACATGTGCTTACCGATTTATCTTCGTGAATCTAGATGACCCGCATCATCTGGCAAGAAATCAGAGAAAAGGTAAGCGGCCCAACCCCGCCGAGATCTGCCACCTGCATGCTGCATGCAGTGGGATACATCATATCTCGGCTCCGTTCAAGACCTGTGACTAATTGGCCCGTAGTTGATTCTGCCCTACCTCGATGTCGACCTCAAGTACTACGATCTCGGTATTGAGTACCGTGACCAGACCGATGACCAGGTCACCGTTGATGCCGCCGAGGCTATCAAGAAGTACGGTGTCGGTGTCAAGTGCGCCACCATCACCCCCGATGAGGCCCGTGTTGAGGAGTTCAAGCTGAAGAAGAGTAAGCTTATCGCCCGTCCCTGTGTAACCGCCACTAACCCGCCCTAGTGTGGCTCTCCCCCAACGGAACCATCCGTAACATCCTGTGAGTGCAATTGATCCGAATGGCTCGAGCGTGGCTAACCTCTCCAGTGGCGGTACCGTGTTCCGTGAGCCCATTGTCATTCCCCGCATCCCCCGTCTGGTCCCTGGCTGGACTAAGCCCATCGTCATTGGTCGCCACGCCTTCGGTGACCAGTACCGTGCCCAGGACCGGGTCATCCCCGGCCCCGGTAAGCTCGAGCTCGTCTACACCCCGGCCGGTGGTGAGCCCGAGCGCGTCCAGGTCTACGACTTCCAGGGTGGTGGTGTCACCCAGTGCCAGTACAACACTGATGACTCCATTGCTGGCTTCGCCCACTCCTCCTTCCAGATGGCTCTCATGAAGGGTCTCCCCTTGTACATGAGCACCAAGAACACCATCCTCAAGAAGTACGATGGTCGTTTCAAGGACATCTTCGAGGAGATCTTCCAGAAGGACTACAAGAAGGACTTCGATGCCAAGGGTATCTGGTACGAGCACCGTCTCATCGACGACATGGTCGCCCAGATGATCAAGTCCGAGGGTGGCTTCGTCATGGCTCTGAAGAGTGAGTCCAACTGAATCCCCTCCGTACATCCGCCCCCCACTAACACCCCCAGACTACGACGGTGACGTCCAATCCGACATCGTCGCCCAGGGCTTCGGCTCCCTCGGTCTCATGACCTCCACCCTGGCCACCCCCACCGGTGAGGCCTTCGAGTCCGAGGCCGCCCACGGCACCGTGACCCGTCACTACCGCGAGCACCAGAAGGGCCGCGAGACCTCCACCAACCCCATCGCCTCCATCTTCGCCTGGACCCGCGGTCTGATCCAGCGCGGTAAGCTCGACAACACCCCCGACGTTGTCTCCTTCGCCGAGGAGCTCGAGCGCGCCTGCGTTGACGTCGTCAACGAGGAGTCCATCATGACCAAGGACCTTGCCCTGGCCTGTGGCCGCAAGGAACGCGAGGCCTGGGTTACTACTGGCGAGTACATGGCTGCCGTTGAGCGGAGGCTGAAGGCCAACCTCAAGGCTCGCCTGTAAATTTGCATTTGATGGATTTTTATGAGATATCTTAGACTTGCGGAAAATTTGGACCCCGAGCGTTTTGGCTGGGTTGTATAGTTGCGTGCAATTGATTTGCTGTTCTGTACAACATTTGGTGTAATTGTAGCCATGGCGTATGGTTCCATGTAGTTGATTGCGTCCGCGTAGGGCTAGATGTCCGTGGTCCAGGCAGAGGGTCGGGAATTCCGAGCCCCATTCTTCATCGCCACTGGGCCTGTGCAGGGGAATCTTCAGCCGGGCGAGTCCCTTATCACAAAGGACATTGTATGTCGAGTTGAATATTATTGCAACGAACGCCACATCGATGAGTCTTGATACTCTCTAATGTACACATTGCACTTATTCACGCAGTGCTATAGCACACCCTGGGCAACGTTGGAATGCCATCCTTCCCACACTGGGCAGGACCCCCACAAACTTTGCATATCACATTAGAAGAACCAGTGTAATATCCAGCATGTGTGATTTCACATCCCAAACCTTGAATCCACCCAATCCTGACTCGTCCCCCTCTCAACCCGACAAGGATCATCCGCCCCCCGAGTCAGGACCGGCCACTCCGAGTCCAGAGGCACCCAAAACAAGCCCCCAGGGAATGAACCATGTTGCGCAGATCATGATCTCCGGAACAGAGTCTAATCGGTCGAAACGCAGAGTGCGAAGTATAAGCGGCGAAGTATAAAGTCCATGGATACGAACGGTGGCTCGGAACGTCCAATCATAGGACCCGGAGGTTGTCGAATTGGCCAATCAGAGACTGTGATTTCAAGCAGATCCAGACTCAAATGTCTTTGACGCAATCCATCGTCGTGTTTCCTAATCCGGTCTTTTCTGCTGGTGGTCGCACCAACCAGGCGAGTTGCTGCCTCAATTTTTCGTCTTTGTCCGTTTCAGCCCTGGCAGACTAGGTGGGATCTGCATGTCCATTTCGTACTTAAGTCTGCGGCTCCTATTGGGACTTATCTCTTCCTATGCGAGTTGATAGCATTGTGTTTTCTACATTCTTTCCAATGGGCTGATCACCACTTCACTACTATCCTTATAACCTTGAATCTCTCTTTCAACCCTGAATTACTTGCTCCTTATGCCCCGGTTCGAATGCATGTCTTGGCAATAATATCCGTATTCGTTGCTCTGTCCACTTTGACAGTCGGTCTCCGGTTGTTCACTCGGTTTTATCTCGTCAAGGCACCGGGGCTGGATGATGTCTTTGTCTCAGCATCACTGGTATGGATCTGAAGTCAAGGATCCAGGGACTAGATGTCAGCTAACGTTATCAGGCTACGAACATAGTGTTCTTCGCTATATACCTTATTGGTATGCACCTGGGCAATCGATCGGACTGTCCACTATAGCCTGAAGCTAACATGTTTCCAGAACGCGAATATGGCCTCGGCCTTGAGGATGTAGACTTGTCTCCAGAGACAATCGAGAAGCAACTATTCGTAAGACCAGACGTCCAAGGCTATGATCCCAACTTACACATTTACAGTACCTATGGTTGTCAATTCCCTTCTACAACCTCTCCCTGATCCTATCCAAGCTCTCCGCCCTATGGTTCTTCACCCGCCTCTTTCGTTCCCGCCTCCTCGTGCGCGTCAGCTATGCCCTAATCGGGTTTCTCGCCCTCGCAGGACTTTGGATGGTACTTAGTGGATTCTTCTTCTGCGTCCCCGTTCATTACTTCTGGACCAGAAAGGATCGAGACGATCACTGTCTACCACAAGCTCCAATCTGGATCCTCAATGGGGCAATCCACATCGTCACGGATGTGATCATCCTGGCTCTCCCCATGTACGTGCTATGGACCTTGAAGGTTCCAAAGCCACTCAAAGCGGGCATCATCACGGTTTTTGGACTCGGAGTTTGGTAAATGAAGGATCCCCTATCAAACGAAACCCATGCTGATACACCACCAGTGTCATTGGCACAAGCTCTGCCCGCTTGTATTTCTTGACTAAAGTAGCCTACCAAGACCACTTCACAGGTGAGTATCAACATCCAAGATGCTTTACAATGCCATTAACATTCCCAAGAAACAAGCTCCCAAATAACCGTCTGGTCCTCCCTCGAATCCAACATCTCCATCATATGCGTCTGCCTCCCACCCATCCACCCCCTCCTCTCCCGCATCTTCTCCTTCTGCTTCCTCCCCCAGCCTCTCCACTCTTCTCCCGGCTCAAGAAAACACTCCACGACAACCCAATTAACCGACCGCAAACACTCTATCTACGACTATACCAGCACCAACAGTCCCGAACGAGGCATCTGGTATAACGAGCTATTTAGGCCTGGACCGGCCAGCTACACAGCCAGTATCTCCAAGATAAACACACGGGAAGAAGAGCCCGACAACGAGGGGATCCGCGTCGTGCGGGAATTAAGAATGCAGTCGGATACCGTGGATGCGGATTTGGAGATGGCACGCATGAAGTCACATGAAGAGAATGGTCGGACGAGTCATAGTGTAGAGTGGGATTTGGGGGATTTTGAGTTCCCGGATTATGAGGACAGGATGAATGCGCCTCTTACTGGGAGAGATGTATAGATTTGATATCATAGGTAATACACAGATTGCATATACAGTACTTCTCTTTGCGGATCTCAATTCTAGTGTCAGTGCTAGGTGATGCTTGTCTCAGGTTGATACCCGGGCATCGAAACATGTTCGGGTGCGCACCCGAGTACAAGGATTGATTCTATACATTCATTAACTGTATAGAATTGTGTTGTTGACCTTAAACTCCTGATACTAACATAAATCCAACGCCTCAAACGCTTCAAGCTCATCATCCATATCAACTTTTACAACAAAATACCAGGACAAGCAGCCCCCAACTCCAACATCCGCCCATTCTTCTCATTCAAAGTCGTGCGCAACATCTTAATATACTCAACCGCCAGCTCCATAACACAAGCCTTCGTCTGTTCCGACGGAGTCTTCTTCTTCTCCGATCTAATAGGATCAAGAGCCGGACTCGCGAGACTCTTCTCCTGAATAAGGTCCGAAGGAAGAAGGGCCTCCAAATCCTTGAGCGCGGAGTTCAGTCGAAGCCTGCGCGATTGCTCGGCGATTCTTTGGTAGTTTCTTCGCTTACGCAATGCTTCTTCGTCTGTCTTTGGGCGTTTAGATCCTCGGCCTGAGGCTTTAGATTTGGGGGTCTGCGTAGGACTTGATGCGTCGGGGGTTTGTGGAGCTGGGATGGGGTTAGAAGGTTTTGTTCTTGGAAGATCGGGGGACGTACCATTTTCTTGGCTGGGGCTGGGTAAGATGTTGTAGAATTTAGGTCGCAAAGGGGCTGTTGTGGGATTCATTTTTTGTCGCCTTTGGGTGATTGTCTTATTCGTGGGCTTTGTAGGGCTTTTAGGTGTTGGAGCTGGGCTCGCTGAATTTGGCGCAGATGGGATTGATGGGGTGAAATCTGTGGGGATATTGAATTCAGACGATTCTTGCTTTTCCTGGGGGATGCAGATGTATTCGGCCCAGTTCAGGTCTTCCTCTCTTTGGGATTTGGCGGTAGGTGCTATAGGCAATTGACCGAATGCTGAATCGGAACAATCCATATCCCATGGATTGATTTGGAGCATTTGCGTTTCAGCAATGAAAGAAATATCCTATTTGAATTCGTGTAAGCGGTTCGTTCATATGTTGGAAATGTTGACTTTCATACCTGGAATTCATTCATGGACTCCCATGACTCAAGCTCATCCCCAAAGGTCTCCTGCAGACCGGCCCAATCATTATTGGAATCCATCATTTGGTTTGTCTCGCTGGTCATGAAGTCCGAATGATCAGTCCAGCTTTTCAGATTCGAGGGAAGTTCGGCTCCAGTCGATGTATATAGCTCATTCTGTTCCCGAGGCTCATTTGATACCGTTGGGTGATGTATAGAGCACTCGGCAAATTCTTTATCGTTAATCGGCAATCGCGACTCCACGGGATGTTGATCATCTCCACCCAATTGTGACATGGACAGTTGACTTGGCATTTTCGACTGGCAGCGTGTCAATAAATGGGATGGACTTGAATACGGGTGCCACCTAGCAGTTCAGACAGAGTGAAAGGGTTGTGAAGACGAACACATCTCTGAGATAGGCTGGCGTTGACCTTTAAATCCCGTGTTCATACGACGCCCATCTCAGTCTAGGTCTCGGTGACCCTCCGCATGTAGAAGTATGTAAGTCCTTGACCCACCGCGAGTGGGCATTGGCGAGGATATGAAATCAATCCCACGATGGATATCCTTAGTTCTATCCAAGGATTCTACGCATCTCGATCAAAGCTTAATTCAGAAATCCTCATACTCTCCGTGATATTTCTAATTGATGCATTGATCAATTGATGTGGTAAATCGAGGTGCACGTCAGCCGGCATCCTAACCTGGAAACTCGGTTAAACGCCGGCACGCCGAATAGGCAGGAGACATGCAGATTGAAGGTTGCCTACTAGCACTGTATATCCGACGCAATCAATCCAATTCTAAAGCCCCCAGTGGATACTCTGTACTAGTACAGCATGCTTCTACAAAGAGCACACGAATCAGACAGAAAAAAGAAGAAGGCCTCGAAACCCACCAAAAGTGGACATGCATACCCCTGCCGTCCCCGTCGGGACCAGTCGCCAAATCTTCTTTGCAATTAGGACAACCTTCAATTACGGGGCCCCGGTGGGTCGACCTTAAACACAGCCCAGACTCGTACCGAGGACACACGAATCGGAGCGTAAGACGGGAGCTTTGCACTCTAGCCCGCATGTGTAGACTGTGAAGTGGTCGCGTGAGCATTGAAGTGTACGATTTCATACCCTAGGGAGTATAGACAGTGAGGACCAGGACAGTGAGGAAAGGGTGCACTGTCGAGCACGGCCCTCGCGGTGGACCCGAACCATACTGTTTGAGTCGAGAATTGAGTCCTATCTAAGAACGGTATATTGACATGATCTCTGTTTCCAACTTTCTGAGTTTCTCCGCGGATACCCGAATGTCTTACCTAGTACTCTGCATGGCTTAACGAGTTCAACCCGTGGACATGACTCTTGCTGACGGATTTTCCTAACATGACAGTCAAGTGGGTACGGGCCAACCCCTTCCCGAGCCGACTCGGGTACAACTGGCTGGGGACATGGAGACATGAGTCGAGCTGGGGATGTATGGAGCAGCTTTAGGTAAATGGGTTTTCAATAGAAGCTTAGCTGGGACCTCAACTGGCGTTTCATTTCATTTTAGCCTAAACCTAGGCGTTCTCAGGATTTTTGCCTAATGCAGCTAGTTCGTGGACGGAGGCGGAGGCGGATGCGGATAGCTGTGGGCAATTGGTTTATCTCAGAGAGCATCGGCAAAGTGACTCACATGTGTTACTGCTAATTCAGCTCATGTTTGAGACGTAGTAACCGATGCGTAGGTAGTTTAATATAAAATTCCATTCGGTAGATCCCATGTCTAAAATGTGGGTATGAAGCTTTGCATCGTACCTTTGCACCGCACTCGTGTTGCAAACCTTGAAATGGGGCGAAACTTTTTTTGAAAAAGGAAAACTGTCGTGCTTTCATCTTATATGACCTTCAAACTAGCCTTAGGGGAGTTGGCTGGTTCCAAACGTATTCTGAAGCAATCGCTGTACCTAGGTACGATGTATGTCCATGGTACTCCGTATACAAATCTAGAACATCCACGCCCTCGAAACCATGAGCACCGATGCGTCAAATTAAAGTAGCTTCGGCCGGTGGACTTGAAGGGTCCAAGCTGAGACTAGCAAGCAAGGAACATCGGAAGGAATGTCGGATCCACGGAGCATCAGTCCATCAACAGAAAAGTATATTTCGAATAAGGCTCACCGTGACTGAACCGATTCGCCGGTGTCCAAGCCACGAGCTTGGCTTGCGTGGAAAGTGATAGATCGTCCAAGGTCAAAGCACTAGAGAGTGACTAGAAAGAAACATCCAGCATGGCCTGATTGATGGCTTTGGCCACAGCGACACACTTTTCCTCGCCATATCGGCCCCCGACAACCTGTATGCCTACCGGCATATTTTCGACCAGGTCAATGTCGTCTGTTTCATATTAGTATTTTCTCTCTGCCAAAGGAATGGTTCATACATTGGCACTTATTGAACTCATCGCCGTCGTTTCGCGGGACGTGATCCAGCCAATTCTGATCTGGGACATCTTTCTCTCGCGAAACTGTAGTAATTGGCATTGCCAATGCAGCATAGCCTAATAGATTCCAGATACTGGTGTAGCCCACATAAGCATTGGACTTTACCCACGTCCACGGCTTGTACCCCACCCACGCAGTGCTGGGCATGATCAATGCATCGACACCAGAGGACAGCCATTGGTCAAGATACATGGATTCGAACTTGTACTTGTCCGCATTGAGCTGTTAAGACATGAGCTGAGGACTTGGGAACAACCTTAGGCTCGTAAGTTCATACCTGGTGTGTCTCACTAGTCGTCAAAGTATGCTCTGGCTTTCCAACCAGCATCCCTTCAATAAGTGGCTCCCCCGTCAGCGCGACCTTCTTCCGACATCCCTCGCCTCCATCAGAGAAAATGGCCTTGGCCCAGAGTTCATATGCATGACCATGAGACGAAGCATCCCATTCGAATACTGCAACCGATCAGCATTTTGAAATTCACGTGGATAGTATACGCACCCTCATGCCCTGCCTGTTTCAACGCCTCAATAGCCTCTCTCATCCCTCTAGCAATCGGCGGCTGCACCTTCACGGCACCGTCGTCAATAATAAACCCAATCTTCAAACGCTTCGCACCAGGCGACGCCAGATCCTGTCTCCACGGCACAGGAGCAACATGATGATCAACCTCCCACGGTCTCCCATCCGGCAAAGCCTCCATATACCGCTCGATCGTCTCAAGACTACAAGCCATCGGACCAGCAACCGAGCGAACAATATCCTGCCCAGGACTAAACCAAGTCAATAAAATATCCCGAGAATTCCACAGAAAATGCTCAACTTACTTTCCCCGCTCATAAGGATGACGCCCCGGACTCGGCGACAGACCATACAACCCGCAAAGCGCAGCCGGAATACGAATCGATCCGCCCAGATCAGTTCCGATCCCCAGCACGCTTCCATGGGCAGCGACGAGCGATCCTTCGCCGCCGGAACTGCCACCCGAAATCAAGGCGCGGTTCAAGGGGTTCACGCACTGTCCGAAGACGTGGTTGTAGGAATCGGACATCATCATCGACTGGGGGAGATTGGTCTTGACGTAGAGCACGGCGCCGAGACGGCGCAGTGTTCGGGCGACTGATTTGTCTGCTTTTTCGGGGTTATTGGTCAAACCGACCCAGCCTGGATTAAGTCAGCTCTGTCTTTGGCTTTTGCTGGAGTTGGGAAGGTTGCGTGCTTGTGGGGAAATCTACCGATTGATGTGTCGACTCCTTGTACGGAGAAGAGATCCTTGATGGAGACTGGGAGGCCGTGGAGAGGCCCGACTGTCTTGCCGGTGGTGGCTAGATGATTGTCTAATTCTTGGGCTGAGGTGAAGGCTTCCTCGAAGAATATTTCTGTGCAGCATGTTGTTAGTTGGTGGGTGAGAGCTGCCCGCTTGGCAAATGCCCGCGTTAATTCGAGGGAGGAGAGTTGTCCAGATGAAAGTTGCCGAAGAAGGACTCCGATATCTGTCTCTTCGGTGAGAACGAGCTCCTGTTTGGTGAGGAGACTCTGAAGAATGGGAATTGCATTTGGCTCTGATTCAATCGAGGGGATCGGATCTATGCGCCATTCGGGGGGAATCAGAGCGTATTGGGCGTCCCGCTTCTGCACGCAGCGGTCTAGGTAGGAGGTTTGTGAAGTAATAGTCATATTTGTCTAGAGGAATGGTAAGAGCTGGTGTCGAAGGACGTTATATAGATGACAAGTGGACGTAGATAGCTCCTGTGGTACCTTACCCAAATAGGAAGGCTACCTAATTGACCCCTCCTGCGCCCATCGTCTCTCGCACTGTGCCTCTGCATCCGGATAACGCGGAAACTCACACGACTGGCAGTTCTGCCAGTACCCTCGGATGATATCGTACTGTTGCACCGTCGATCCATACATCGCTGTCAGATAGGCGGGGGTGGCTAGGTGCACGTAGAACCTAGATGTAGAAGGTATCTTCGCAATCACCTCACAGACCCGATCCACCATCGAGCATAATACGCCAGACTGATAGCTCGATCCCGGAGAATCTGCTTGGCCCAGTTCAGCCGCGCACCCGAATGCCAGGATAGCCCCGGCACCTCTATACACCGTAGCAGCCAGGTTGCAATCACTCGAGCCAGCATCAAGGGTCAAGATCTGCGCTATAGCTCGCGAACTAAGATCCAAGACACTAGCATCGGGGCTCTTGCGGTGCTTTCCCAAATATACAAAAAGCTCAAATGTATCTACTGGACAGCCCACCGAATCCAAGAACTCGGCGTTAAGAATCTCCCGATGCCAATCATCGAAAATCAAAGAACTCTCTCGGACCAATGCCCCCGTAACATCAAACCAAACCAAGTAAGCCAGCACCTCAGCCAGTCCCGAGATCTCGGCACAGAGATCGTCCAGCGCACGCTTATCCCGACAATGGAGATCTAGCAGCGAGCGCGCACCCTGCAGATGACAATGCCAGTTGCCGAATGAGCCACAGCATACCTCGAACATGGCAAAGGTTGCTATACCAAATAGCGCAACCGGATGTGCGGACTCAATGACTTGGCTGAGATTCGTCAGCGCAACGAGATGCGACTGGATTGATGCATTGTTGTCTGCGTCTTTGATGCGTGAACGTGCAAAGTTGAGAGTGCGTGATATAAGTTGGACTCCTTCTTCAGGGATGCCGCCGCTGCTGGTGCGGAGTTGCTGGTAGAAGGCGCCCAGTAGGTCGATGAAGCCGTACAGGTTGACTGAGGCTGGGGTGGGTGATTTAGTGGTTGCTTTTGTGCTAATTTCTGTTTCTGGGACGAGTTGGTTTGGCTGGTTTGACTCTGAAGGCTTTGCATTCCTCTCGTCAACCCATATCACTCGTTGTGGGTACATGCATGCTTCTCCGAGTTGGAGACAGGATTGACAGCGCGGGCGGTTGAGGTCGCATTTGATACCTCGGACTTTGCAGCGGGTGCAATCACGGTCATGACGAATTCCTCGAGGCTTCTTCACTCTCATGGTTGGGAGTTACTGGCTTTCATGAATCATGAATGGAGATAAGCCGTGCGGGGGTTGCCGAGGCGGACGTATCTCGCCGTGGACCTTGATTTGATGTCATTCGTGGGTATTTCATGGCTTATAGAAGGTATGTTTGATTTGATAGCCTGACATGCCCAGTTGGGATGAGTATCTGGATGTCGACACCTGAAGCCATGTACGCCAACATTTCAGATAGAACAAAGTCGAAAGGAACAATTGAATATTCCGGAGACCGCGGGAGTCTCAATGGTGTGCATCACACACCTTCCCTATAGTTGTCGCCTCGTTCCTTCCCAGGCATGTTTCGCAGTACACCGGTCTATACTTGCCTACCATTCTCCCTCTTCCCTCTTCCCTCTCCATCTCAGCCTTTCGTTTACACAGTCTCTTCTATTCAAGTCTACAGTACAGCCTATACATTCGTTCCACACAGTTTACTCTTAAAGACTCATACCAAACAACTTGACAAGGCATCCAAGATGCATACCAAAGAGCGCCGCTTGATACAGTTACCCCCTCCACCGACGAGCCCAGACTCGGGCCTCAACCACCCTCCATCAAGGGCAGCCATCCTCCAAGCCTGCAGAATGCAGATCCAAAATATGAGCCTAAACATACCTCGGAGGGCAACCGCCGCCACAGGCGACGTCAACCCCGAGCCGAGCTCCATACTCAAGACCCCACAGACTGCCAAGTTGCCCAAGATATCCAAGGGGATCTTCTCCAAGCGACGCCGTAAGGGACAACGGCGAGTGCGTTTCCTACGACATCGGATGGGCTCAAAGTCGCCCCCAGTTCTTGAATCTGTTCTCGAAACCAAGTCTGAAACAGAAGCGGAACTCAAGATCGAATTCGAAGCCAAGACTGAGCCCGAACAGGAAGTCCCAGTCAGGAAGATGTCCATCGTCCATCGCGTTTCCCTGAAACTGTCACTTTCCCAGCGCCGTCGGAAAATTCAAGAACAGTTGCATAATCGGCGAAGCAGGCAGCGAAAGAAGACGTCTTCGCCTGCGACTTATCCGCCGGCTCCACAGCCGAAGGCTGAACAGGAGAACTCGGCTACGAAGAGGCGTGATCGGCGTGAGCGCATGAAGCGTGGAAGAAAGCAGTCTGATCGCGGCAAGCAACAGTATCATACCAGGGTGCGGAATCCGAATTGGAAATCGGGTGTTCAAAGGCACTGAGGTTAGTTAGTTAGGTAGGCCATAGCTTTCAGATAGTTGTTCTTAGATAGTTGATGTTCTTTGCGTCTTTGTTCTGCGCTAGTTTCCACGCTTCCTTGGACCTTGTGTCCAATGTCTTTCTTTTGCTGTGGAGCTGGAGCGGTTTGGGCGTTCAGTGACGGACTGGGATGTGATGAGATGGGTCATCGTGTGGAACTTCTTATTTGTTGCTTTTCGATTATTCGCAGGAGTCTGTCATTCTAGACACCGCCGATCGTTTGGGCTTCAGTCCATTCTTGGACTTGTCTCTCTTTGCCCTTTATTCAGGGACTGAACTCGAATCAATGCCATTGAGACCGAGCCTTTTCCTGTAGGAGTATATATAGTCCATATTAGAAATGGTGTGTAATCTTCTTTGGTTTCCAGGGAGTAAAGAGTCAACCTTGCAAGTCTGAACAGACCTCACGCGGGCGGTTGCCGATAAGAGCTCTTATCCGTTATCTTATCATATCGGCCAGCAGTCGGGCCGGATGCAAGCAACCTCCGGGTCTACGTAATTCACCCCCCTAGAGGGTCTACACTTGTCAATTCTCAATTCCCTTTGCCTCTTCTCTCCATACCAGCTCTAAACGAAATCATGACCCTCCTAGATCCAACCAATGCCACCCGCGCAACCCCCAACATCGCCCCCGAAAAAGCCTCCCTCCACATCGGCAGCTCAACCCTCATCCCAGCTCCATCCCCCAAAGTCTGGGCCGCCCTAACCGACACCTCAACCTGGCCAACCTGGAACTCCTTCGTTCCCCGCGTAACCATACGCTCCCAACCTAATGCCCCATCCCAATCCCCTCTCTCCCCAATCCTCCAACAGGGAACCAAATTCACCTTCCACGTCCGCATGGACCCAACATCCACTTCCGAGAAACCCCAGCCCGCCACAGACGTCCACCTGCTCATAACGGAGTGCACGGCCCCGGATCCAGAGACGGGGGCAGTGGGCCGCATCGTGTGGACGGGGGACTATGAGGCGCCGGGCACGATGTCGCGCTCGCTGTTGTTGGCGGAGCGGGTGCATGAGATTCGAGATGTGGAGGGGGGAACGGAGGTGAGGAATTGGGAGGCGCAGGTTGGGTGGGTGGTTTTTGTGGTAAGGATGATGTATGGGGTGAGGTTGCAGGCGAATTTCGAGCTGTGGGTGGATGATTTGAGGCGGTTTGTGGAGGGTTCTTGATAGCAGACTGGGTTGATGGATTGTCTTTTGGATACTTGGACCCAAGACTGGAAGGCGAATTGCTACAGGAGACGCAATATGTCAAGTATTAAGTGATGATATTATGCAAATCTATGCTCCGATATCCATCCTACTGATATACAGTCTCCAAACTCCATCTTACAGGGTATAACAAGCGATGCCAAACAAAAAACAAAAAAATCAAACCTCACGCACAAGCTTCAACCACTCCGCCGTTGAAATCCGCATACTCGGATCCTTCACAACAGCCGGCTTGACAATGCGCTCGACAAACCCATTCCTCGGCACCCGACACCCACTCATGCCCGAGCGCGTGAAATCAATGATCTGATGTCCCGCGCGGGCCATCTCCAGCCTCAACCGATGATTCATATTCGAATACAGCAACAAATCTCCCGTCGCGACAGCCAGCAACGTCGCCGCAAGCGAGAACACATCCGACGCAGCCGTCGGCGCCATCTCCTTGCACATCAACGCAGCCAGCATCTCCGGTGCCGTGAACGGCGGCGTAAACGAGGACATGGACGCGCGCGTCGTATCCAGCGGTGCATCCTCGCTGCGGATTTCGACAGTGGCCGAGAAATCAATGAAGACAGGCTCATAGGGAAAGACGTCCGACTCGGTTTCCCGCAGGAGGATATTCTGCGGCTTGATATCGCCGTGGACGAGGCCTGCGACATCATGAAGCCAATTCAAGCCTGCGATCAGCTTGCGAGCAAGATCTTGGAACGAGGCCGGACCCTGCACAGGCTCGAACATGGTCTGCATTGGGTTTTTGTGGCGCGCAAGCTCGGCCTGATCTTCCGTGAATGTTGCGAGGGAGAGCGGGATGGCGGAGAGGACGAGTGCGCACATCTCGACATGGAAGCCGTAATAGGGCACGATGTGGGCCTCGTGGTTCGGGAGGCGAGTGAGGCGAGTGAGTGTTGCCGCTTCGGCTTTGAGGACTGGGCGCGCATCCCGGCGCAATGGGGCCTTGACGGCGAAGACTTGCGCGGCGGTCACTGGGGAGCTGGGGGGTGTTCCGAGGAGAGTGGATGGTTTAGCGCGTGCTTTGTACACGGTGCTCCAGACGCCGCGGCCGAACTCGACATGGCGATTGTTGCTGTCGAGGCAGAGGTCGAGGTCGTCGGTGAAGTAGGTGAGCTGGGTTTCGTGGAATGGGTTTGGTGCGTGGGAGTCTTTGGCGATGGGTGTGACCGGTGGAGTCAGACTTGGGGTACTTTTGTCTGTCTGGAGGGACAGCTGGATAGGTGGATTGGCCATGGGAAATTTTTGACGAGCAGCGGCCGGGGCTATAAAGGGAGCCTCGGTGCGGATCTCGACGCCACAGATAGGAGTGTGCATGCCATATAAAAGAGATACAGAAAAGAGAAACACAAGAAAAAAGCAAATCAGCTAGACCGGTCTCGAATGCGAACTACGGATCGACAGTGACAGTGGAATACGACGGTGCCACTCAACGGGAAATTGGACCCTTCGGTTAGATCTAACGGTTACTTGTCCTCGTCCCTCAATCCCTCAATAGTTGAGTACTAGTACTTGATTAGTCGAGTCAGTTACAATGCGACATGCAGCCCTGGACATTAACTCCCAATGCAGCCACCCCAATCCGGGGCAGCTCAACGGTCTTGTTTAATACATTTGCTGTTTGCTATTTGCTATTTGCGAGTGGCCATTCAGTGGATCTTGGGCCCTGGTCAATCACTCTGGATATCCAATCCTTCGGCCTCGTGTTGAGTTAAGCCTATCGGAGTAATTGTTAACATCCTAAACCCGCGTAACCACGAAGGCCGTTGCGTAATGATGAAGCGTATAGCCTACACACCAATCATAATAATATTACAAGTTAGTCTTGGAACACAAGACCAAATACTTATCAACCCGAAAGCGACGGAATTTCTTATCAGATATCCATGGATGTTCGGAGTCGGCCGGAGTAGGAAGTCCCAACGGCCTCGGACACATTAGCAGCTAATAATCAGTCTATTGCCCACTCCGTACTGAGTACGGCTTGGCAATTCTGAACTGCATTTTATACTGATCTTTTGGTCTGATCTCAAATCTTTTGATCTGAAGTATATGGTTGAGAACGATCACAATGCGGTGTCTCAGTAGCTGATACTTAGTTCGTTTGGGATGCTTGGCCTTAGGCGGCACAATAACACTTCTCCTTCTCCTGATTCCTCCATCTCCATTGACTTTTCTCTGCACTCATTCGACCATTAATTCACCATGGCGACCCCAAGCAAGTTGGAGCTATCCATGCGCACCCGGTCGCTCCGCGCTATCCAGACCGTACGTCCTCGGACCTGAATCCATGCCGCCAACTAACCATCCACCAGGAGCTGGAATTCCTGGACTCGGTCGGCCTGATCACTCCAGCGCAGATGAACTCGATCCTGCCACCCCTCAAGGCCATCGTCGAAGCCCACGCCACAGAAGCGGAGCGAGTCTCCCCGGCCTCCCGACAACTGTCCCAGCCAGAGCCAGTGCAGCCCACACCAGTCCAGGCCCAACCCCAAGCCCCCTATGCGTCCTCCTACACTCCGCCCGTGGCCCAAGTGTCCAACATGTCGATGAACGAGAAAGCCGCCCCGCGCAGCCAATACACCAGTCCCGTCCCGCAGGCCCCGCCCGCCTACGCTCAAACGCCGCCCGTCCGCATGGCCACGGCCCAATACACCTACAGCCCGGCCGACGAAGGCGATCTAGGCTTTGAGCCGCAACATCGCATCCAAATCACCCAGGAGCTGAACAAAGACTGTAAGAGTGCATTCCGCCGAGCGGAACAAGACCACAAGACTAACCGATAAACAGGGTGGCGAGGCCGCAACACCAACACCGGACAAGAGGGTATCTTCCCATCCAGCTTCGTCACCGAGGATTCAGCCAAGGCACCCGTGCATGTGCCCCCACCCACCAACTACGGTAACATGCCCCTCCAAGTAAGCCAGAGTGGACAGCCCGCGAACCCCGCGAACCCCGCGAACCCCGAAGACCCGAAGCAGAACAAGCTGGAGGAAGGCGGCAAGAAGTTCGGAAAGAAACTTGGTAATGCAGGTATGTTTGACATCTGACGTCGTTTTACGTGTCTGCCTTGCGTGTTCCCTGCTAACGGGTCCTAGCCATCTTCGGTGCCGGTGCCACGATGGGTTCCAACCTCGTGAACAGCATCTTTTAATCGTTTAGCGTTTTTCGTGAACTGCGGCTTTTACATTGATATGGCGTTGGTGGCTTGTCTTTTTTGATTTGAGTGGGTTGCATTGAGGGCAGCCCTCATCGACCCTCGACCAGGCTAGATCACTAATATGACCTCGATGAGGGGCTGCGTACATACTCAGCTTGGCCCGCTGTCAAATCTAAACATATCGAATCCGGATTTCCAACAGCCTAGTCCAGCCTGGGAGGATAGTGGACCTGCGGCCGTAGCCGCGGTTTCCGTAGATCGGCGTGTCTACGTGGGAATCCAACGGCCTGTCAATTACTTGGTAATAAAACGCCCTGCTCCATCCTTCGGGGCGATAGCTACTTGGCCAACACTCGTGAGGGGATGTTTGGATTGTTTGCTCTTCTATTATCTCGACCAATCAACCAATGCAACATTGCCTGATGATGCTCTAACTTTCCCATTTGACTGTCCAGGGAAAGCCTGGTATCCCTCTTGTCTGTCTGGATCTCCTGCCATACGCGCCGGTCAAACTATGAAGTGACCTTGGGGTCAAATCGCAAGGTCACAAAAAAAAACTCGCATTGCATCTTTCTTGGAGGTTGAGAAGCTCGGAAATGAATGTCTCTTGGGAGCCATGAGATACTTGGTGACCTCGGTCGTTGTGTATATCTATCTACTTTGGAACATCAGTACACTTCATATGCGGCCTTTGAAATAAGATCAATTGAGGCAAATGCCCTTGGCATCAAGCTTGATAACATCAGACATTGTTTCTTCCAAGGTTTTCAAGTTCAATCGAAACTGCAGCGCACCATCGTCCTCGGATACGTGTCCTGCCCAGGTGCTTTACCTGAGATAGAAGGTATGGCGATTGATTAACACTTTTTGAGGGCAATCTTATACAAATCCACGATGTTTTTGCGCACCAGTTTGAGGTTGTTTTGGTCCTTCTGACTCTGTCCAAACTTGCACACTCCACTGTGGTCTGCATCCAGCTCCACAACATTTTCACAATCACTCGGAAGGTTAAGCCGTGAATTCTGTTTCGGGACAATCTAAAAAGGGCATCAGTATATCGGTACTTTCTCCACGCTATCCTGGTTCACTCACCGGATCATCTGCCCCCCAGAAGGAGATGATCTTACAGTCCAGCACTCTGTGCCCCCAAGCCTCTCGCATGGTATGAGAAAATAGGCCCCCCTTCTTCAGCCTCTTTACCACGTTGGAACCCTTCTTGAATCCACACGCCAGCGCGATCTGAGCCGCCACACCTCCCATCAGCACGGCGTTACTCGTGCTGCGGTGGTGTGGAGTGCAAAGAATGCTAGTCCAGCCAATGCATTCTTGATCGGAGTGTACATAACATCGTTGTGCGCATTGATCAACGCCTGTTTGATTAGCAAGCCTCCCATGCTGTGCCCGAGGAGCAATATCGGTCTGGGATCGTCGTCTTCTCGCTCTGTTCGAATTGCTTCGAGTAGCTCGTTTGCCTCGTCGAGGAAGGCCCCTGTATCTCGTCCGAATGCCGCCGTCGCATCGTACTCGTACAGAAATATTCGCGACTCGGGCACTGAAGAAGGGAGATCATCACTGAGCCAGAGATGGCCATTCGGCCCGGAAGGTGTGCGCCATGTGTCCCACGCATGCTCGGAGCTGTCTTTGCTTTTGGAGTTGAGGCCGTGGACTGCGATGATACTGGACATTGTGAGTAAGGTTGCCGCTGGGAAGACGCAATACATACTCAACCTTGGCGGTATCAATCTTTGCTGCGTGCACAGCTGCTGGGTCAGGGAAGATTTGGCGCAGAGGCTGTTTTGTGTGAGTAGAATTGACACATTCAGGATAGAGGACTCACCATTGTGAAATATCGGGTGTCTTGCTTTTCGATGGTTTGAAGACTGGATGTTCTCTGACTCGTAACGGTCCTTCACTTATATACGTAGACTTATCCAGTGACCCCCGATCTATTTGAGTAGCCTGTGTCCGCCTTACGCCTTGCCTCAGCGCTGAGTCAAATTGGCAATTTACTTCGATATGGCCCGTCTTGCCTCGCACTCCAGTGAGTTCTCGCCATGTCACAAGAAGGGTTATAGCATTCTGTCCTAAGTGCTTTGGACAAAGTAGATATCCAATGGCATGGAGTGGAGTGCATCACCTGGGTATAGCTTAACGCTGAGCCTATAAGACCAGAGCGCCTGCAAGAGGCAAACATGGAGTGTCTACTGCCACCTAGGCAGATTTGGTCTTTCCGATACAGTGCCAGCTCTGGTACGGAGTATAGTCTCTAGATAAAATGCTGGGGTATTCTTCGACAAAGTACTCCGTATTTGCAGCCTACTTGCGCGCCCTGTGTCTATGGTGGGTTTAGCCTCAGCGCCACGCAAAGTGAGCCAGTCATGACCAGCCTTGTCTGATACTTCGACACTGCCTCTTATCCCCCTTGAAGTGCAAAACATCTGACAGAAGGCAGAGTAGAAACCCCTCGCGGATCGTGCTCTTTCAATGTACACCTTTTATACCCAGCCGCATCAAGGGCATTACGAATAGTACATTCGATACATTCAAATTCCAGCTCAAGTAGATGGCACTAGGCAAAGCATCTAACCATTTCTTTCCATTTGCATCGATGGCTGGTAAAATTTTCTACGGGGAAACAATAGTTACTACTACATTCAACCACCTTGAGCACCTGGGCAATGGACGCCACTGACAGATCCTCTTCTCTCCCCGCATCATATATATGTGCAATATCTATGTTGATTCACGCCTCTGCACTGAGTCTATTGTACCGTTACGCGCTGATAAAAAAGAAAAAGAAGAGATACATCCACATGTCGACCCGCCCCGGGGCAGTCCATCTGCTAGCGCAATGCGGGCCGCAGCTAGCGTCGTGATGAACACCCCAAGACTCGTCCTTGATTTTCACTCAGCGCTTACACTCGCACTAGGTGATTTAGGCTGTTTCAGAACATCCAACGCAGTGGTGTGTTATTATTAGCGGGATGATATGCTATTCTTGAAATGTGGGCGGTTCGCGGGCATGGGGCCAGGTGGGGTTTGCTATGAATGTTGGTAAGGTATAGGGCCTTAATAGAGCGCGGTTGCGCGTCTGTTTGGGATATTTAGATATTCTTCCTATGCTAACTGGAATATGATATGTTGATGATGCATTTGGCATGGTTGATAATTTTGTTTGCTGCTTTTGTTAAGGCTGATGATGATTGGGACGATTTTACGAATAATCTTGCTACAGACTTGGTATGGATTTCACGATCGGATATATGGAGATCAAAGCTAATATTTGAGTACAATTGCAGGCACCCTTAATTACATTATTCGGCGAACGACTGACGAAACAATTTTTGTCCGAGTCCATCAGCGCCCTCGATAATGTCATCTTCGCTCTATCACCACTCGGGGTGCTGACTGCGGTTGTATCTGTTATCAGAATATGCGGAAGTTCATCATTGAGAGCTTTCGTCGGGCGAGCACAGGAAGGCCCGGCTGAAGCAGAAAGTGAACTACTGCCCTGTGTGTCGGAGTCTACCGCCGAGCTCTTCAACGATGGTGGCGTCGCTCGAGTGTTTGGGCGACCGAAGATCATGGAGATCGTATCTTGGGAGGAGAATCACAATAATGGTGGAACGACAACGAGGATGGGCACAATGAAAGAGGCCCTCGAGCAGGGGGCTTGGTCTTGCAAGGGGAAAACTGCGCCGAGTGAGCTGCCGGAATTGGATATCCCAAATCTCTCCTTGAATAAAGGAATCAAAAGACGAGGTCAAGGCTGGTTCTATTGTGCCGCTGTGCTTGGGGGTGTGTTGCAGAGTGGTCAGTTTCATTCTGAATTCACGATGAATTGTACTGATTCGGGATTTTACCAGGCACCATCATCTATGCGGCACTTACGGTGTTTGTATTCCCACAGCACTTCAAGAAAGACGATAAAGCAGTGGCCTCCTACGCATTTCCATTCTACTTCATCGGGACAACCCTCCTTTTCATTGGGATGTTCTTCTGCGCATTCATCATGGAACGCTCGTCCAAAGAGTTCTATCTGAAGCCAGAAAAGCCCAGTACGATATATTGGGTGCAACCAGGAAATCAAGATGTTGGAGATCAAGCCTTCAATGCATTCCTGGCTGTCAAGGATGACCCAGATGAATACATTAAGTCTGTCAGAGACCGACGATTCGACAGGAAATATGTGGAAATATACTCCACGCTTGCTTCAACATTACTAGGATTTATCCTACAATTTGTCGGACTGAGAGGTCTACATGCATCCGTCATCCTAGCTCAGCTGGGGTCAACCTTCCTCATGGCAATTATACGAACCTGTCTCCGCACCGAAAGAATGGCACCAGGCGAGAACAAAATGAGAGGCGATCGAGAGCTCACATCTGACAAGAAGCAAGAACTAGACTGTTTTGCATTTCATCTTGAAAACATGAATTCCTTCGATCTCGTCCCAATCCCTGACAGACTTGCCAGTATGCCTTCGCCTAGATTTACGCCCCATACTGGGAATCCATTGGCAAAACAAATCATTCGAACCAGAGTTCAACTGGCGAAGTTGACCTCCAACTCGAACCAGGGCTTGAATGTCAACTGGGATGACATGCCTATTCGCCAGGTCGCTAGAAAGCTTGCCAAGGCAATTGAGTCCACGATAGATCTGATGAACAATTGGGGTGTTGAGTTTGGGACGACATTCGAGTTTCGACTTGCCTTCAAATGTCAACAAGTCGATTCAAAAAGTATACCCGAGCCACCAGGGACGTACTCTATCGGTCTTATGCGATGCGGTGATGTCCTTCGATGGAAAATTGATCCCAATGAGCTTGAAGCCGTTTTGGGTTTGTGGGTGTGGTCTCTTCATAAGTCCAGCAAGCATTGGCGAGAGTCAAAGTTTTGCCGGCTTGTTGGACTAGACGTGAATGAGGCAAGCCTCGAGGAGACATACCTCTACTTTCACAAGTGGATCTTCCGACAAACAGAGGCAAGACTAGTCAGCTCTGATGCGATTGGCGACACCCAAAGACTGTTCATCTCCGAGCCCGAGGAGGACCTATCTGAAAAGAGTGTCTTGGTTTTGAGAACCAACAATCCACTTGAATACCAGGCTGCTCAGGATATCTTCGTGCACTTCTTCAAGGAAGCTATGACTTACCTGAAGAGGCTCGGAGGAGAAGTTGACATAGAGCCTGGCATACGAGGTTCTTTCTTGGGATCGAGTACTCGGATCAATGAATTGGTCACCGAACTCGAGAGATCGGGACTGGGCACTAGGGAAGACGCACTACTATGCATCGTTCCAGTGCTGAAGAAGCAACATCTCCTGCCCGATCTGGCCGCGGACTCTCCGATGGTCAAAACTCGCGTTAAAGCTTTGGTCGAACAGGGCAATTGGGAATGTGTATTTGCGTTGATCCGCTGGCTCTGCGAGCGATCAGATGGACCCGAGCTTGAGAGGTCCACATACGAGCTGGGCTATCTTTGCCGCCAGGCCATGCTAGGGGACAGCGCTATGGCGCAAAGTCAGGGGACTGAGCAGATATACAGACTCCTAAAATCCGATGTTCGAGACGCATTCTTCCAGTCTAGAGCACATCTCGTGCACAGAGATTGGACAAAATCACAAAACCGCGTCAATTGGTGGAACTCCTTTTGTGCCCAGCTTGGCTGGATCGCGTGGGAGATTGCAAAAGGAAACCCTGAGATGAGTTCCGCCCAGAATGCTCTCAACAATTTGGGGGTAAAACAGGAGCTATACAACATCATTGACCCGCTTCATGAAACAGAGTACCTCCACATCAGCAGACGGGTGTTTAAGCACTGGCTTACAATCAGCATCCCTGATTTGGAGGCTGGACTATCATCATCCGAAGATTGCGACGATTTCTGTTTCGGATGGGCGATTCAGAACAACCACTATGCACTGCTCTACTTCTCAATTCTGAGGGTCATTGAGTTGAGTGAGCAGCTGCCAGACTTGATCCCGAGCGTGTACGCCAACAGTGCCAGACATAGGTCCAAGTGGGCGATACAAGTTCTGCTTCGCCATGGAATGAACATCGACGCTGTGAACTCAGTCAATCAGACGGCTCTGATACAATGCATCGCAAGGGTGGATCTCGCAGGCGTCCGAATTTTGCTTGAAAATGGCGCCAATGCCAATGGTGGTGACAAAACTCTTGGACCAAAACCACTGTTCGCAGCGTTAGATATTGGAAATGTTGACACGCTTGAATTGATACTGCAGTATGGCGCATCTCCCCACTCCTTCGACAGTAGGGGAATATCTGCGATGTGGTGGGCTAGCAGGTCTGGCGACGTCAAGATTGTGGATGCGCTTCTCCGCCATGGTGCACCGGTAAATTCGATCGATTACACTCTGTTGATGTTTGCGGCATCCGAAGGACAACTTGATATGTTGACATTCCTCATTGAAAAGGGGGCAGACATTGATGCTCGCGATCGCGAAGGCCACACTGCACTCATGCATGCGGCATTAGGTGCCAAACTTTCAGCACTGGAAATACTGGTCCAACGGGGAGCCAATGTGCACCTTCAAAATAACCAGGGGCTGACAGCATTAGACTTGGCCAGGAAGAAAGAAGATAGGTTTGTCGATACTACTATACAGCATCAACACAACATGGGCTTCTCGGACAGGGACTCGGCAAGCAATCGAAATGCTATCTTTGGGCGCATTATAGCTTTGCTGGGACATTCAAGTCATTAAAAGCCGATAGGATGCTAAGAGGAAATCAATGTGATTTATTACTTTTTGAGGAATCATCTCGTGCTCTGTCTTTGGCGAACATTCGCACTATGCTCGACCCGTGATAGTTTCCTCAGTACTCCGTACCTCCGTAGAAAACGACGCTTCCAAGGCTCTTGGCTTCTTCGTGGCACACAATTTAACGGCCAATGAACATCCACAGAGTGGTGTTGTGCTCTGTGGGGTCGGCCTATCACATCGGGTAAGAGGATGTCTTAAGCGCCCGGCGGGAAGAGACGTGCAGTAGTGAAATGTGACTCGCGGGTGGTCAATTAGGTCTCTGCAACCAATTTCACACGGATCACCTCCTAAGCCATTTCTGGTCTAATTTTAGCCGAGAGCTATTAGTGTAGACTTTGAGCTGTGCTCTTAAACAGAATGGCCCGCCAGATTCCCCCCTCCCTGAAAGACTCCAGGGCTCTTTCGTCGTCACCTCCCATTCTAGCGCATTATCGCATTTCACACCTGCCTTGAGAGTTCTCGGGATACTTATATTTATTTATCATTTTGTCACTGGCGCTGTATCACAATCCACTCTCGTCGCTACCCCGCATCTCACGGAAAGCATTGGTGAGACTGACACGAACAGGCAGGAAGGCATTGCTAAATTATCGGATGTTACAGTTTATCAACACCGCAAAAGGATACGGAGAGCAAGACTTGACAGAAGAGTATGAATCAAGAACAGAATTGGGCCGCGCCCCCAATGTCCGGTGAGATACAGTGATGCGCGTTGCGAAATCCGGCAGGTCGCTAACAAATCGACGCAGCGCCAGCACATGTAACGTGTACAGCTTCCTGCACGAAGCCCAATGTTAGCATTGATACTGATATTACGAATAGCGTTTGCACAACCCCCTCAACAGCATTCAAGACAATATTCCGGGACCCCAACTACAAACTATAGCTACCCACCACCTCCCCGGGGAACCCCACCCGCCAATGGAGGCCATACGATGCCCCCGCCTCCATCGAGCCCACCATCCGTGAGTCCGCAACCAACTCTTCCGGGCTACGCGGGCCCTCAGTTCCCCCCTCCTCCGGTTTCGACAACTCCTCCGTCTTTCGACCAAGAAAAGATCCAGCGAAATAATAGCGCGGCACACAAGCACAATAACGCCACTGGAGAGCAGCTGGTATCTCAATTACCAGGTGCCCCACCACCTGGAGAATTCGTTGGAGCATATGCATCTACTCAAGATGACGTTGGAACATTCAATGGAGGAAGTTACAGGATCAGTCACCGGGACACCAACTCACTCTTGACCATTCAACTAGCAATGATGGCTCCTTTGACGGTCAGACCAGGTAGGAGCTATTTCGCCCGTTTCTCAAAATACGGCGTGGTTCTAATTCTCATCCTTAGGTGCAATGATTGCAATGTCCCACACAATCACACTCCGGGGAACTATACATGTAACCTGGAAGAAGGTTCTTGCGGGTGGAAGTATGTCTATGTCGAAATATAACGGCCCAGGCGAGCTCTTACTTGCACCGCCTATGCTGGGAGATATCATAGTTCATCGGGTTGTGAAGGGCGAGGAGGGGTGGAGAATTAGCAGAGATGCATTCTTAGCCCACACCAGTGGCGTGACACACAAAGATGCGAGCCAGTCGATCACACAGGCATTCTTCTCCGGCGAAGGTCTCTTCGTGTACAGTATCACAGGCGAGGGATTGCTTTGGATGCAGAGCTTTGGCGCAATTGTGAAAAAAGATGTAAGAAACCTCTGTCCGGAAGCTTTCGACACTCGACTAATGCGCAGGTCTATCAGCTTGCCCCTAAGGAGCTTTACATTGTCGACAATGGCCATCTTGTCGCCTGGAACTGCAAATACGAGATTACTCGTGTTGCCTCAGGTGGTCTCCTGTCAAGCTTCAGCTCCGGCGAGGGTCTTGTCTGCAGATTCACCGGCCCAGGAACGGTATATATACAGACCCGAAACCTGAACGCTTTTGCTGCCCAGTTGAAGCTCAGCACGGCCAGTGGTTAAATTCAACATGCTGCTGTCTTCTACCAGGTGGATTTCAATGATTGCATGCTTTTTGGATTTCTAGTTCATTGTATATTTACCCAGTGCAGGGGACAAGCTGATCGAGCTCAGGTAGCTCGTTTTTGTACCAATTTGTGAATCCCGTCGGCGTTTCCAAGGTTTTAGTCAATGCCTATATCAGTCACCTTTCAATCGGTTGACCCTTACAAGGATTGGAACATCAGAGCCTTCGAATAAGTGCTTTTTTTTCCCGTATAGAGTTCTCTTCTGGTATTCGTCCTCCATAGACCAGGTTTAGAGGGCAAGGAAATAAGAGTATTTATCGTATCGAAGTACCAGTAGAGTCAATCTCTACTTTGACCTCGGGAATGTTGTAGGTGCAGCCCTGGAGTTCCAGCTTAGCCCTGGAGAGCCCCCCGGGGCCGGGTGAACGTAGAGCTTATCGCCGCTATCGGACCGACACGTGACTATGTACCTCAGATTACCTCATCATTGTTGACCCACCGCCTGGGACGAGGACGAGTCCATCAACAGCAAGGCAGGCTGCCCATTTCGCTTCTGAGCCGTAACTCCTTGGAAACACCCCTCACCATGTCCGCCAACTCGCCAGAAAGCTCAAATCCCTCATTTTCCATGTCCGCATACATGGTCCCCTCCCAACAGAACTCATACGAGTCCGACGACGAGGTCGCCTCCCTCCCCTCCGAATCAACCACCGACTCCGACCTCGACACACTCTCAGAATACTCCTCCGACGCCGAGGAAGAATGGCGAGAAAGCATTCAGCAGCTGGAACTGCTCCTGAGCATGGTCCTGGTTCCCTTCATCGGGAAACTCATGGGCCGGCGGTGCGCGTATTGGAGTGAGTACAAGCAATCGGAGAGACGGTTTCCGCGCGGAATGAGTTCCTAACATTTTGTTTTACAGGCTGGTCACGGTTCATGCAGTGGAAGTATCCGGTTGAGATTGTTATGCAAAACCCGGCCGCATTCAAGGCGGCGGGCGTAGTCGAGGCGGCGGCAACTTTATGATCTACGGATCTCTCGACCAATACCCAAGTCCCCTCGTGAAGTATCTTGCGATATCTTGATAGTTTACACCGACTGTTTCCCCGCATGATGCTTGTTCTATTGAACACCTCAATCCGCACCCGGCTTATTTTCGCGGTCTTGGAATCGCGTCCACGAACGAAATATTCTGGCACTACACCGCTTCACAACTTTGGAGAGTCTGGCGAGGAGTGAAAATGCGGGATTCTGGTGCGTGGTGTTCCTTGACGGCTTGCATAGATGAGGCATGTCCATATCTTGAATAGAAACAAAGATTGGACATTGTCTATCAAAAGATGCATTTGATTTCCCTGTTATCTAGGATTGCTCTATACCCACTGAATTAATCACATCCTACCAATTTCGGTCCACCGGTGTCATCAACCTCAAACAAACCTGCTCAGGTAGTAGAATGCATCCGAGGGCAGGGCCCTGGCCTCGATTTACATCTACTGCGATGTTTCTATCGTACATTCCATGCACATTTCATTCCGCTATAAGGCGGGATTGTCTTGTTTGGGTTTTCGGGGCCCACCACGAGATGCCATTTTTGGTCATACGATGCAGTAAACCAGCTTCAACATGAAACTGCCAAGGTTGATTTAGAAAGTCTGCGGATGCTCGATTGTTTCTTTCCGAAGCCAGGATATAGTGTTTGATTATCGATCACCTATGCGCTCAGACATGCTTTGTTGTATCAGTCCAAAGTACGTTTTGGGTAACTGTTTTTTTCCTCTCTCTTCCTGTCTAACCCCATCCTCAAGGTGACAGTCAGTAAAGTCTGTTCTTCCGCCAAAATCCAGCTAGCATCGAGTCATTTCTCTGCCCAGTCTGGTTCGCTGTTGAAGAACTCAACCCGGGCTGTCCTTCAACCATCCAGGGCGTCTTGGAGCCGGTACCATGATGTTCGTTCTCAATGGCTTTTGAATCAGACTCGGCTCGGTCTGTCTCTTGTATTCCTGTATTTGTGCACTCATTATCTGCCACTGAGATGGCCGGATGCCCTCCCCCTTGGTCCTTCTCGGCGCCATGGCAGGTCGGGCTCAATCTTGCTAGAGAAACGGCATAGTCTTCCAATTCTTGCTCAATAGCCTGGTGTGTCATCATCCCCGATGAATGTCTCTGCAGACGTGAAGCAGCTATTTTCTGAAGGTTCGGGGCCATAATATTGTTAAAGGCCGCATCCAGTGTTTGATAGAACAAATCGTCGTCTTCGACTTGATTGATGTCATGAAAGTCAACGGGACATGTGAGTGGTCGTAACTTCTCGGTCGGCATCAAAGCAGAGTCGTGTGGATCATTCGCTCCATCTTCAGGAATGAATATAGCATCATTATCATTCAGGACATCCTGGGACCTGTTTCTCTCGCTAGGTACTTGCTGTGGCGAATGCTCATCACTGCCTTGTTCGTTCTCAGCTGTGCACGCGGCATTTGGCTTTGTGAATGGAGTAGAACTTGTCTGGGAAATATCACTACACATATCGCAGCTGGTATCAGACGCGGTCTTTTGGCCTGAAAGTCTGCCGAAAACCTTTTCACGTATGCTGCCAACATTGAACAGACCAGAGCCACCCCGGGCAGACGAGTTTGGTGTTAGTGACTGGATCGACGGGTCTGGTATCTGCTGGGTCGGGCCTGTATGATCAAGCTCATCCGACCACAGCCCCATCCTCTCGTGTAGCAAAGTTTTCAACTCTGGTAAACTCCAATATTTGTCCGAGAAGCATGGGAGTGAATTTGCACGCGATATCTCTTCGCGGTTCAGCCCGACATGCATCAGGGCAAGCAGGTGTTGCTCGAGGGCGTGATCATCTCCTGGGTGGCCCTTCTCACTCTCGCTCCATGTGTAAAGAGTCGAGGATGACCTTTTCGATATTCTCCCCCTCTTGTTTGGAGGTTCCAGGGAGGCCTCATGTCCGTTTGAGGGTCGCCGGGAGGAGGTTCTCTTTCGTCGCCCCAATTTGAAAAAGATGTCAACTTTAGATTGATGATTTGAAATTTGACCGGGGTCTCTTGATGGAGAAGTGAGTGAGTGAGGCTCTTGGGCATGTTCGACGTGAGCATCTTCAAACACGTCACTCTTTGGTGGACCCCGATGGGCAAGGTCTTTGAAATAATCGAGGGGAGGCGGCGGCGGCGAGTTGGAGACCTCTCGCTCCATCACGATGGGCGGAATCTGTGTGGATAGTATCTCGGCCTCGGACGGGTTGGTCGGAACTTGATGCTTATCACTATGGTTGAACAAGGTCTTTTCGGCGAGCGCTGGACGAGGGTTATTCCCAGGATGACTCTTTTGTGAGAATGGGTTTGAAAAAAACGTCATCTCAGAAAAAGCAAGATCAGACCCGGATTTTCGCTTGCTGGAGCTTTTGTATGGCAACGGTTTGGTGCAAGAGATCGATGGGTCATCAGGGGGACAGTTGGGAGAAGAGGTCTTGCCCTTGCCGAAAATCCCCAGATTGACAATGTTGCGCATCTAACCCAGGTCAGCATTGTTTCCCTGAGCTCTGAAGCTCTACGCACCGTCAGTCTATTCTGGGTCACATTGATGGCTTGGAAATCATCGTTCATGGTGTGTCTTCTGGCTCTAGGCTTGACTTTCTTGGTATGCGACTGGTTCTGAACCGAACTGGACTTATACACGTAGCGATCCTCTCGAGTCTTGTTTCGTGGCCGCAACTCAAAGTTCTGACGAGGCTTCTTGCGGTTGGCTCTGACAGGTGACGCAGTGGTTTCGTAGTGACCAGTCCTCTTCTTGGAGGGCGTATGCCTTCGCCTCGCACTCTCTGACACCTCCAGTTGTATGTCTGGTATTTTCGTGTTTGTGTTTCGGATTGGGTCTCGATGTCCCTCCAATCCTGCGTCGCTGTCAGCTTGTGGTAATTCCAAGGTTCGACCTGTCAACCGGCTACAGTGATATATACCTCCATCGTTTGGCGGCTGGTCCTGCACAGAGGATAGCCATCGCTGAATTGAACCGTCCTGACTTTTCATCTTGTCTCGGGTTCGGAGCAAACTGTCTGTAGATGCGAGTAAACAGTCGAAGTGATAAATGGGGAGGTTGACATTTGCGACGTCACCGCCAAAGCAAGCACGACCAAGTCCATCGCTCCATCTCGTCTCTCTCCATTTCGCACCCTCTTGACATTCGATATCATCGAGATTGCCAGTGGTGAGCTGTAATGTAGCTCAAATGCCAATTCTCTCGATTCTGCTGACTTGCTTCTGCTGACTTGCTCTCCCCACAGACTTGACCGGGCACCAAGACACAAATTATCAACTGCTGATTTTTGCATCAACCCATATGTTCTCGGGAGTTTTCAGACTCTCCCAACGTGTGTCCAAGCCAGCTCCCCGTTGAGATTGTATAGATCCAATCCATGTGGCGATCCTCCCGGAACCTCTCCGGTGGACACGGTCCAAGCCGTCAGTGGGCCTACGGGCACTGCCCGCCCTTGCGGATACACGCACCAAACCACCGTGACAAAGGCCAAAGCTGGGCTAGACCGAAGCAATCGACTGCATCTCTCCATGGTGCATGGCCAGACCCTCAGCCGCCTTGGGCAATCATTTCCCTGCCGAATAGGGTGCACAAGCAACATTGCATAAGCACGCGTACGACCAATGGTGCATACACCTGCGAGGTACGAAATCTACCCAACCTCGACGGTCCACAAACGCCCCGCTCAGCTGGCGATGGCTCTCTCCCACGGTGCATGTGCTTTATCGCGCCATGTCTGCCGGGAGCCCAATCCCCGGCACATAATTCAGCCTTTTAAGCTGGATCAGCAGGGTTTGAATTTTTGAGCCAGGTGAGGGGCAAAGTACACCGGCCGTCACCCTTAGTGCCGCCAATCCTTCATGGAAACGGAGCATCGGACGCATTTTGATTGATTGCTGAAGGAGAGCCCGACCCGACCCGCACATGAATCAATTCAAGGTTCAGCCCCGTGGCCGTGGACGGGTTTATCGCTCTGCAGCTCCCCCACTTCGTACTCTTTCGAGCGGAGTCCGCGCTTTTATGGGGCCCTGGCCAAGCTCTCGGACAAAGACACAGTAAGCATTATATTGCGCGTTGTGGGCATCTTGTTGGTATCTGGCCAGTCGAAATATCCCAGCGGCGTGGAAGCCCTAACGCAGTGTGATTGTTACACGGGACTGGATGCTGACTCGCCTCGCAACCACTAGGATCACCCTGTTCCTTTGCAGCCCGGACGGACTCTGATTTTTCTTCTTCTCTTCGTGTATCACCCTCCTCTCCATCTCCCATCCCCTTCCTCGAACCGCGTAGGTTCGATCATCTTTAGTTACTCAGCTCGCGTCAGTGTCTCGACAGGATGTCTAAGCTATTCGTGCAGTGTGTACCCGTCTTTTGGGAAAAGAGTTAGGCTCATTGAGCCAGGCTAACCATTATTGCGATCTCGTTCAGCGGTCTGTCTTGGCACACAAATGATGATGCCTTGCGCCAGGGATTTGAGCAATTCGGTGAGATTCAAGAAGCCGTCAGTTTCATTTAACCCAGCAACCGGAAATGTTGCGGCTTGCGCTAAAGTCCGCTCTTGCAGATCGTGGTGAAAGATCGTGCCACTTTGCGTAGCCGTGGATTTGGCTTCGTCCGCTTTGCTTCGGATGCCGAAGCGGATGCCGCAATGGAAGCCATGAACAACCAGGAGTAAGACTTGGCCGGAACCTCGCATTTGGAATCAAGCGCAGCAATCTCATGCATGTTTCAGATTCGACGGACGGGTTATTCGTGTCGACAAGGCGTTTGACCGCCCGCAGCGTACCGATGGTGGCTTCCAGGGCCGGGGCGGATACAACTCGCAACCCACCTCCGGCTACCAGGGCAATGCCGGCTACGGGGGTAACTACAACGCTTCTCCCGGGTACAACAACGGGGGCGGTGGGTACGGTGGATACAACCGCGGGTACAACAACGCTCCAAGTGGTCCCACCGGTTACGGTGCGGGGGGTTATGGAGGTGGTGGCTACGGTATGTGGAATGATTTTGGCATCACACTCTCGAATACTCACTCTGAGTCAGGCGGTGGCCCCAACACCGGATACGGTGGTGGTGGAGGTGAGCCCAAAGTCCGAATTCCCGGAAACAATTTCCACTGACACCCGCAGGCTGGCGTGGCAACAACAACGAGCAAGCCCCCCAGGACGGACACCACTCCCACTAACGATCGGACAAACTTCCAGCTCCTCCTTTCATGATTATTCTTTTACGGTCATACTTTCAAAAAGAAGCGACGTCAGACCACGGCGAGGATGCGACGAATGATGGTTTAGGGATGGCGGGTGCTCATTTTCAAATTCTGCAACAAGGTCTTTGTATTTCGTTCATTCTCGACAAGCTATGAAGGGTATATGGGTTTTCGTAGCTGGTGTTGGGTCCTGAGATGCCAATTTTGTGCATTTATATGGTTGCATTTGGCCCCGTCTACAAAGTTATTTTGGTGTTTTGCTTTATTTCACAGAATGATCTACATATGCGTGGCTTTACATGATTTGCACTTCCAAATTCCAGTTTCACTTACCCCTAAGAAGTTTCCTACCTCTGGAAGCGAAGAAGGACCAGGGGGTGTATTGAGTCTAAATCTTGGAACGACCTCAAGTGATCCTTTGGAATGATACTTGGAAGCCATCAATACCGCAGTACGCTATCAGGAGGTGTCCATTATGTCTTCATTCTAAATCTGATAGATGATATAGAATGGAATGTCAAGTCTCGCAAGGCATTGAAGACGCGGTCAGAGCGGCATCGTAATTCACTCGATCGTCGCACGGCCATTGGCATGAGCAGGATCTTTGGCTGCCCCCTCCAAAGACTTGGTCACATAAAGCTCAGCGTCCTTCTCCTCTGCATCTCCCAGACCCTCAGCTTCAATGGCCTTGACCCTCTTCACCAGATCCGTAACGTGCACATCCGCCGTGCCAAGTCCAATCCCCTCGAGCGCCTTCTCCAGCATGAACAGATACTCGGTATTCTTCCCGCTAGCACCATGACTCGAGCTGATAACCTGAGCAACCTGCTGCGGGTCCCGATCCTCCGCCTCCCGCAGGAACTGCGAGTTAGACGGTTGGCCAATGTAGACCATACAAATGATGGGTGTGCCTTGATCCCCGGCCATGTCGACTGTGGGATGGAATGGCGTGTAGTGGGCTGTGTAGCCGTTGATTTCTCGCTCATCGAGATAGTCGTGAACTTCCTCGGCATGCGAGGCTGGGATGTGGTATGCTGCTCCCCAGACTTTGCCGGTGGAAGCGGATTCAGATTCTAGCTGTGCGAGCTGCGATGATCAGTCTTGAGCTTGGTGTCGAGAGCATATCACTTACTGGGTCGTCTAGAGTCTCCCAGAAGCTTCGTTCAATGACAGTAACTACTCGACCGGGATTTTCGTGAGTGCCTCGGTGATCAGAGCTAGGTTGTTAGCATTTGAGGACGAGTTTCGCATAGCCATGCACATACCTAGCCTGTAGAATTGTCAGTTAGTATATTCCCAGACTTTGAGGCCATTGAGCACGGTTCATTTCACATACCTGCCAGAATCGTCGCACGTAGCCACTGACATAGCCTGGCACACGTTGGTCTGCGTCGAGTCAGTTTCTTCTTACGGCTTCGGACGATGCAGTTCTTGAGATGACCCAATCGGTTTCACATACCATAATGTGGAGGTGGCTTCCAGATCAAGCTCCTGTACCTGTATCAGCATTGCTTCTGACTGGCAGATCTATGAGTCAACTCACCCATAACCAAATACCCAGAGATCGCCTTCCGGGAAGTGAGTCTTCCATGTTCGACCTTCTGGATGGACCAGGTGTCCCTGTAGAGCAGCTGCCATGTTGAAAATGGCCACGCCGATAGAGCAGTGGAATGCTTAGATCAATTGATGGCACCCAGCGAGAATTGTGGATTAATAATTGCCCCGCGATGCCCGAGTGGTTGTTCGGGTACAGGTCGATCGGAGACGAGTGGGCAAGAAGTCAAGTCGACTCCTTTTGAAAGGGAACGAGCTCTGGATTTACGTAATTTCTAGATATTTCGGTGTGTATGTCTACAACTCTGTGATTTCTGTAGAAATCAAGATGTTCGGTCGCGGTTGTTTGCAGTGTTTGTTTCATTCGCCATTTGTGCAAGACATGAGGGTATATCAAGTGTACTACTATCTCTCAAACATCTGGAAATTTGGAGAAACACAAGTCTAAAAATATAATATACCCTATATTGAAGCTATGAAAGAGCTATAGAGAGCTTTTAATGTGATCTATTAGTACCTACGGGGTATAGAGCATAGAGCAGTATATCAGCATGATAGAATTTCCGGGGATATCACAAGTTATGATGTGGTAACCTTCTTCAGAAGTTATTCACTTTACCTTCACTGCTGAGACTCACGCAAAGCAAACAGTCCAAGTAGAAATGGCTGTCCGTCTGCCCACTCCTTCCCGATCGGGAAGTGGGCTGTCTTATCTTATCGCGCAATCTTATCGGTGTTTATCTTATCCTCGCCAGGCGCGTACTTCGTTCCTGACACTCTCAACTCACACCTTTTCTTCTTCCAAAGCTTGGAAACTGAAATCTAGACATTCCACGGCCATGGCTGGTCTCTTTCAGCTCTTTCACATGCGGTGCAGCCCACCCAATGACCCCCAGGACATCTCATTCTCCGGCAAAGTGGTGCTTCTGACAGGTGCCACCTCAGGTCTGGGGTTTGAAGCAGCCATCAAGATCCTCAACCTAGGTGCCGACAGACTCATTATTGGATCACGCGATATTGAACGAGGCAAAGCAGCCAGGATGGAAATTGAGAGGGCCACCCATCGACCCAACACTATCAAAGTCTGGGAGCTAGAAATGAGCTCCTTCCAGAGCGTCAAGTCCTTCACTGATCGTGTCAACGCCGAGCTGCCACGCCTCGACATTGCACTCCTCAACGCCGGTATCTGGAACGCCACATACAATCAATCCGCCGAAGGCTGGGAGGAGACTCTCCAGGTCAACACCCTGTCCACCTCGTTGCTGGCTCTGCTCTTGATCCCCAAGCTCAGGAGGAGCGCCACGGCCACTGAACCCGCTCATCTCAGCGTCGTCTCAAGTCAGAAGTTTGTCCGTGTGAAGGCTGAGACCCTGCAAACTGACGACCTCCTCTTGCCGCACCTGAACCAGCAAGTCAACTTCAACGGCCCCAAGCAGTATAGCATTTCAAAGCTGCTCCTCGAGTTCGTGGTGAAGAAAATCGCCGGTCTGTCTCGCAATGAAGATGGCTCTCATCCACTGATTGTCAACACCGTGAGCCCCGGCTTTTGCGCCTCGGGCTTGGGCCGTCAGTACAACCAATGGTACGAGAAGTGCTTTATGTGGCTGTTCACCAAGTTGTTTGCCCGAACCTCCGAGGAAGGCAGTCGATCGTTGGTCAGCGCCACCGTCCAGGGCGTGGAGTCTCAGGGCAAATGCTGGTACAGTGACACATATGTCAAGTAAGCTTCTTCCCTGCCATGCTTGTTCCTTTGGCTAACCGTATAGTGAATCCCGTGCTCTGACAACCGGTCCCCACGCAGAGGAGCTTCGGGAGAAGGTCTGGGCAGAGGTCATCGCTGTGCTGGAAGAAGAAGCCCCCGAGGTGTCCATCATCTCTCGCGGTGTGTACCAGGGTGTTTAGGCCCCGCCTCCTGTGAAGCAGGGAGGCGTCAAAAGTGAGTTAGCGCGCGCAAATGCATTCTTCCTGGCGTTTATTTGTGACCCCAAGCGTTGTGTCAAGAGATACCCCAGTTACCATAGCATTTTTTAGTCGAAGGAATCCCACTGAGGCTGTTCAAGCGCACATATGTAATATGCGACAAATCTTGATTCCCCACAGCCCCATAAAACGCCTGATACGAATACGAGCAACGGGTTCGCATCGCCCCCAATGTATTTTTAGTAGGCGCTTATGTTCGATTCTATAGCCTCCGTAGGGCTGATCGGTAGGCGGAAACAATAGCTTAGCAGAAGGGAACCAGCGATTCATATCCAAATATATCAGGCTACAGTAGTAGTATTTTCATTCACACGAACTGTGCTACTGTAGTACTAAGTGCGAGTTCACGTTATCACTTGGCGCGCTAAAGTGTTTAAACCAGCGCCCCACGGCTCCGCTTGCGCTGCGAATCCCACCTCCTTTCCTCATCCTCGCCAGCGCTGTCCACGGGTATTTAGCGAGACTCCTCTCTCTACCGGTTACAGTGTCTGTCTCACCTCGATCCCGTCTATTGCGCCACCGACAATGGCGTACAACAAATCCTACAACCCCGATGCGCTGCCAGCGTAAGTCTCAAGATACGTGGAAGCCTAACCTTGCTAACATGAATCCACAGTCACGCTGAGCCAGAACAAGTATTTAAGCCGTCGCCGCGCTCCATACGTCCCTGCTAACAACTCTCCAGGTTGCGCAGATGATAGGCTCTTTGAGTGTATCAGGCCAAAGTCACTCCAGCCATCCCTCCGGACACAGTCCAAGCATGACCCAAAAGCCACTCCCCTCACGCCCACCAACAGGACCAGGCGGAGTGCCTCCTCGCGTCCCTGTCTCCAGCGCACCGCCCCAAAACGCATACGTCGCCGCGCCCCCGCGCCTCGACCCCCAAACCCACCACTCCTACAGCGGCCGCTCCTCCACAAAACCCCTCCCCAGCCAATCCCACAGCCACAGCCAGAGTTACAGCCAGAGCCAAAGTCGTCCACACCCCCTGCACCCTTCCCCACCACCCCAAAACTACGGCTTTGGCCCTCCACCCGCGCAGCGCCCGCGACCCGCGCCTTCGTCGCGCCCGCCTCAATCTCCCGCTCCGCCTCCTCTGACTGCCCCCAGCAATGATCCCCAACAGCTCTTTCCACTCTTCCGCGCCGCGAACTCTTCTCACTCCGGTACGCTGACGGAGAATGAGCTTGGCTCCGCCCTGGTCAACGGGGACTACACATCCTTCCACCCGCGTACGGTCAGATTGATGATTCGAATGTTCGACCGGGACGGCAGTGGGACGATCAACTTCGACGAGTTCGTTTCGCTATGGCGGTATCTGGCTGCGTGGCGGGAGTTGTTCGACCGATTCGACGAGGACCGCAGCGGGCGCATCAGCAAGCCCGAATTTGAGAACGCGCTCGTCGCATTCGGGTACAGGCTGAGTCCGAAGTTCATTGGTGTGATCTTCGGTGTTTTCGAGGCGAAGGGGAAACAGATGCATACTTCCAAGGATCCTGTGCGGAATGGTATGAGCTTTGACCTGTTCGTTCAGGCTTGTATTAGTCTGAAGCGCATGACGGATGTTTTCAAGCGGTACGATGAGGATCGGGATGGGTATATTACTCTTAGCTTTGAGGAAGCTTTGACGGGTGAGTTGAATATGCGCCGGATGCGTGGATTTTGGCTAATGCGGTTGCAGAAATCCTCCTGTTGCAGGAGTAGATTATCACATACGTTTGGAGCTGTGCTGGTGCTTCATTGGTCTTCATTTTGTCTTGCATATTGTTCATATTATACCCCCCGGTTTTTTATAGGATCACCGGAAATGAATCGACATTGCATGTTTGAGCTGTCAGGACGCTTCCTGGTTTACTACTTGAATCTAAACAGCATGACACACTTCGCGCATCTCGGATACCCAGTCTTTTGAAGGCCTCAATGCGGGACCGAAGGGCTCTGGATCAACCCTGAAACCCAGCACCAACATGAACGCCGATACAATCTTTGGCCTTGGCCTAGAGCCCAGTCCTCTGCCGTCTAGACTCCCCCTGCCTTGCACGCTCCTGTGCTTCATATGCCTTCCGAGGGTGTAATCGTCGACACTTCCCGCAGAATATCCAGTCCCGATTCTGCAGCCGACAACTCAGTTTCTCTCGTGTCGTATAGCGCGAATGAACCGTGACCGCTGGTCCAATCGCATGTGCGCCAGTGGGGAGGCCCCAAATTGTGATTCCTTCCACCTTCCAGAAAAGATATAGGTAGTCGGTGCAGGTTAGCGCGAGACATGCTTGATCGACTGGATCGAGAAGGTAGTATATCTTCACCAATATGTCCTTTGGAAGGTTGAAGATTGGGCTTCGCTTTCTTGGGCGGGATGCTTTTGCACGGTGTGCGTTCAGTGCGGATTTGAGGGTTTTCGATACTCTTTTGGGGTGGATTATGTCTTTTAGATGTTTGAACATTGTTACCTGTGTCTTCTTCGTGTTTGAAAGTGATCGACCACTGCCCAGGTGGGAAGTGAGCTTTTCTGAAGTTCTTTTGGTTGCGCCGACGCCTATTCGGGCGATCACTTTTCAGACGTTGGAAGTGTCAAGGGTTCCTACCTAGGTATTCACTACCTGGGTAGGCATTCACTTTGTTTGATTCTCAAATCGCATGAGAATATAAGAATAGTCAAATTCAAATTACTTGCACTACGTTGTATATGCCTGGCCAGGTGGGCCATCTGGTATAAACATAGATATAAGCATATACCAAGCCTATTATTTATTTAGTGGAGTCTGGTCTTCACGGAGGGAAATTAACAAAGTCTCAGCAAATCTAAATATTGCATTGTACGGAGTACATGTTCGATATGGAGTTATATATCCCTATCCTTGCTACCTCCAGGGCTGAGTGGAAGAGACCAGGTGACCCAGAAAGTCGGCGTCGGCAGTTCGCAACCACCGACGTGGAGTCTGATTCGGCAACTTTTTTTGAAAGTCCGAAAATGCGCGCTCCGACATCTTCTTTAAATCTTGATGATCCTGCATGTAAGGGTTAGCGTACTTCGGACCTCATTCCACACTCCGACCCGAACTTTCTCTCCTCAACGCCCGCATCATGAGCAACCCGGTCTCAAGCGGCGAGACTGTCTCTGAGGACTACACCGAGAAGCCTCACGATGTCCCTCAATCCCCTGGCCCAGTCGCTGAGCCCCAGACGGCCGCCCTAGATCGGACACCCTCACAAGCCGCCAAAATGACCAAGAAGAAGATCGTCGCTGTGATGACGGCGCTTTGTGTAAGCCACCGTCGCAGCCGTGTCGATATGCGACCAGGCATATGTTTCGCATGAAGAATACTAATTTCGGGATTTTAGTTGGCCTTGTTCCTTGCTGCGCTGGATATGGTAAGTTGCTTGGATCCACCCCTTTCCCGGCTTGGCTGGTCTAACGTGGACTGTCCAGACTATCATCTCCACTGCCCTGCCGACCATCGCGAAGCAATTTGGGGCCTCGGAAAGTGGTTACTCATGGATCGCCTCATCGTACCTCCTCGCAAACGCCGCCTGCATTCCACTATGGGGAAAGATCAGCGATATTTGGGGGAGGAAGTACATTATTTTGATGGCCAATGTTGCTTTTCTGGTGGGCAGTCTGATCTGCGCACTGGCTCACAACATGGGCATGATCCTGGCCGGTCGAGCCATTCAAGGTGTTGGCGGTGGTGGCATCATCAGTCTGGCCAACATCAGTGTTTCAGATCTGTTCAGCATGAGGTATGGCCGATGACGAATGTCTGTGAGAGTAAGTCTGACTATGACACAGGGATCGCCCGATGTACTATGGCCTTTTCGGTGCAACCTGGGCCATCGCAGGTGCCTTGGGCCCTATCGTGGGTGGTGCATTTACCACCAGAGTCACCTGGCGCTGGTGCTTCTACCTGAATCTTCCCATTGGAGGTTTCTCGCTGATCATCCTCGTCTTGTTCCTTCACATCGAGTCTCCAAAGACCCCGTTGCTGGCCGGTCTTCGCAACATTGATTGGGTGGGTACTTTCTTGATCATTGGTGGAACCCTCATGTTCCTCTTTGGTTTGGAGTTTGGAGGCGTCAACTATCCTTGGGCTTCTGCTACGGTGATCTGCCTGATCGTCTTTGGTGTCGTGACTTGGGTTCTTGCAATGCTCTACGAGTGGAGGTTCGCCAAGTTCCCAATCATTCCCGCGCGACTGTTCAATGAGTGGTACAACATTCTGATCATGATGGTTTGTTTCTGCCACGGCTTTGTGTTCATCGCTGGTACCTACTACATGCCACTCTACTTCCAGATCGTCCTGCAAGCATCTCCCATCATGAGCGGCGTCTATGTTTTGCCTTTGGTTCTATCCTTATCCGTCATGTCGATTATTACCGGCATCACCATGAAAAAGACAGGTCGTTTCCGTGAGTTGATCATCTTTGGAATGTCATTCCTCCTGCTTGGATTCGGTCTGTTTATCGACCTCAAGGCCTACGCTTCATGGCCTCGTATTATCATCTACCAGATTCTCGCTGGTATCGGTGTTGGACCCAACTTCCAGGCCCCCCTCGTCGCATTCCAGGCCAACATCCGCCCCGCCGACATGGCCACGGCAACCGCCACATTCGGCTTCGTCCGCCAGCTCTCCACGTCCATTTCCGTGGTCCTGGGAACTGTCATCTACCAAAACATCATGTCCCAACAATCCGCCAAAATCATTGCCTCCGTTGGCCGTGAGAACGCCGCAACCATCTCCGCCTCCTTCGCCGGCCCCTCGAAAGAGCTGCTGGCAACCTTCACCCCATCTCAGCGTGAGGTCGTATTCGGTGCCTTCACCCATTCCCTGAATCGCATGTGGATCTTCTACACTGCCGTCGCAGGCGTCGGTTTCATCCTCTCCCTTTTCATTCGTCGCCGTGAGCTGAGCACCCAGCACACTATCCAAAAGACGGGTCTGGCCGAGCAAGAGCGTGCCCGCCAGGAGTTGATTGACTCCGAGCGCAAGGACGCCTCAAAGCCCGAGGCTGAGGTTTAATTTTACCTCCTTTCTTCATGCATATTTTTAATTCTTTAGCTTCGCGCCGAGTCGCATCTAATTTCTCAAAAGTTCACGCACATCTCATTGATTGAAGTTCGCTTTGATCACCGAATACCCCCAGGCCTTCACGGATCTATCGCCTCTTTTTTTCATGAATCATAATGCATCTCAGGCCTCTCCTGCTCCTAGCGTCTTGCTGTTTCTGGGGAGTCTAGATATCTACGCTCTACTTCTCGGACAAATTAATCAAGCATCAGCTTTGGATGTTCCTTTTTTGTTATTTATTCAAAAAACGAACCCTCTATCATGATCAAATCTTGCATTTCAGTAACCTAAACTATGTTGGTTCTAAATCCTACAGTACTGCATTTACCACTACCGCCTATCCACATCACCACACAATGCTAGACAGCATCGGGGCCAGTCTCCCGGCTTTCTATGGGAATAGCAGGACTTTGCACACCCCAATCCCCCTCTTCTAATTTGGCAGCATAGAATCGAACCATGAGACCGACCGCAACCGGACCGATGATGGTGTTCAGCAGAATGGCCCAAACGCCAGTGATAAACCCATCATCACTGACATATGGGGTCTCATTGTGTCCGATCTCAATGATCAACAGACCAATCTCACCACGCGCCACCATGGCCGATCCCAACAGCGCTGCGGCGAGCCAGGCCCGCGACCACTTCTCTTTCCGCTCGATCTGCTCGCTGTGGCTTGCTTTCCGTTTCTTTTCGCCTTTGGGCTGTTTCGGCCCTTTGTCGCGCGATTTGGCCCCCATTGTGAGTTGCCATAGTGGGACCCAGATACCGACAATGCACTAGAGTGATCAGTTAGCCAAAGCATCAAGGTTCCAATTTGGAATATGCATACCTTCGCAAATGCCATAAGCAGCGTATAAACAATACCCCTCCAGATCCTCTTCCCCGTCCACAGCTGTACGAAAGGAATCGCAAACCCAATACTTGAGAAGAACAAAGGTTCCATCAAATACTCCTGCGTACCAAGCAAGTATTTCTCGAAGGTGTGAACAAACGTAGGACTCTTGTCGTCTTCGCGCTCGCCCTGTTCACGACTCATGACAACAAACGGTCCCTCCGGTCTCTTGCTCGGGATATATGTGAGGAACACGCCGGCCAAGAAAGCCCCAAACAACACCGATGTACCGGTAAACCCAGCGATGGAGATGAATGCCGACAGAACAAGGATCATGAGAATGATGTTGGAGACGTGGTCGAAGCGCGCGAAATGGTATTCGATGTATTTGCGGAAGAAGGGGGCGAAGACCCATTTTGTGACGATGGGCGTTACAATGGCCATGCCTGCTGAGGCTACTATCGGGCGGCCGATCAGCCAGCCGAGATTGGTGTCGCCGGAGAGTTTGCCTAGATCGCCGATAACACTAAATTCCGGTTAGTTAATTCGATTTCTGTTTTGAGAATAACGTACCTCAACATGACAAGCCCGACGACATCATCGATAACAGCGGCGCTGACAAGGACTGATCCGACTCGAGTTTCGGCGAGATTGACCGAGCTCGATGCGGAGCTGATCACCGCGAATGTAGTCCCTGATCTCTATTAGCGACATATGTAAGGAGTACAAGGTGTAAGACATGACTTACCCAAAGAGGTAGCCGACAGCGCGGCGCCTATGATGAACGTCTCCACCGCGCCTGGTCCACATCAGCCTCACCCCACACGCATCGAACAACCACTCACCATAACCAAACCCGAGATAGAGCAGCAAGTACGACAAGCCAATTGGGAAACAAACGCCCGTCGCCGCGCCGATCATGCTCAGCGTGAAATTCTGCTTCAGCAGATCCACACGCGTGCCAAGACCGCCTAGAAGAGATGACATCAGAGACCGCCAAGCCCCGACGAGAAAAAACTTCACCTTCAAAGATGATCAGGATGAGCCCGACATATCCCAGGGCCAGGAATGTCTCTTGCCATGTATGTTCGAGGATATTGGCCAGGGGAACACCGTAGATGATGCCGACGGCGATCTGCCCGATGATGCCCGCGTGGATGATCTTCGCGGAGAACCATTTCGCTAACGAGAGGAAGAAGAAGAATGAGATGATAATCAGGATTTGGACAACTGTGAATTAGTGAGAAAGTGGATGTGGCTCAATTGGGTTGTGTAAGGGTACACACTTCCAGGTTCATGGTATGGGAGGAAGCCGTTGGCCATGGCGGATTTGACTGAGAATGAGAAAATCAGGGCGCTGTCGGTCTTAAGTATTTCTCTGGACTCTGGACTTGGATGGTGGGGGACACCAGACACAGAGATTGGATGCTTCCGTGTGTATCCTTGGCTTCCCGTCTGGGCAGCTGGAAGCGGAACTTACTGATCGCCCGTTGTGTGGAGGCCCAATCTGCCCAGTCTGCCCAGGCCCCGGTGGGGCTTGTTCTTTTACTTCCAAGACTTCCAAGCCTTCCAAGATTTGAATATAGTGATTTAATTGGCTATATGAGAGAACGTGGGCAAGGGAAGTCCCAGGGTTGGATTGAACGTTCAAGCACCCGGGGATTTCAAAAGAGACCATTTGCATTTCTCAAGTGTGCCGCTTTGGGGCTAGTGAGGCTCTTTGTATCCGTGAATATGTTCCACTTTCCCGATTGAGCCTATGTACTGTCTACTTGCAATTGAAAGGACTACAATGATGGAAGCTGTACAATTACTACCTAGGTAGTATATTCGGATTTGATCCAGTCCCTACCTAGGTATGTATTCATCTAAAATCCTCGTTCTTCTTTTTCATCTCATGGATCCTGTATTGTATACCCTCAAACTTCCAACCGAGCAAATTTTTTGGATCTCTGAAAATATATCCGCCGTATTGAAAAATGTCTTTTTGCTATGAAATGGTTCCAGACAGTCGCGGTGTCCCACATTGGTTCCCTCTTCTCCTTTGCAAGGTTATTCGGAATGTTCGTTGCCCAAGTGGTTTCTCGTTCTCCAAAAGTTTCCCAGGGGAACACCATAGCGAGATTCTCAACCGTTGTAAATATCGAGCCCTGGCAATAAAACTCTTCCAATAGAATCAACTAGATATTTCTGGCTATGAGAACATATTCTTTGTGGTAGGCTCTAGCAACAATACAACCATCCCCTTTGAAGGACATCGCCAGTCTTGCTCCATTGGCTCTTCAAGGTTGGACATTCTGAATCACCCGTTGCTGAACAGCAGGTAATACTACTGTAGACTCGGGACTCATAGAATAAGACTCCAATTGAGTCTCCAGACCCGAATCAGGAGCTAGCACAAGAATGCATTCGTAGGAAAGAACAATTAGATTTCCCCTGAGACCCATTAAGGTTAAGAATAAGCGTCGCGGGAGGCGCCTTCCGAACCAGGAAACCTTGTGCTTATTTATTTCCCACGAGGAACCTGTCTCTTCCTTTTCTCGACCTTTGCAACTCGTTTTTGTTGCCCCACACCTCTCGCACCTGAAGTCCAGCTCTGCAATACCCATACAAACCACTGGTCATAAGACTGCACCCAAGCACGTCAAGAAACCAAACCCACTTCAACATGAATGAACGACCACCTTTTCCGGTAGGTCACAGTTCTGCAAACTTCAAAGCAAATGCTTATAGTGCCTGTTCCTAGTCACGCCGCGTGGAAGAGGAGCTTCGCGAAATGGACCGCCATATTGAAGTGATTGATGCAGCTCAGAACTTCATAGCCACCGGCACTGTTGATTCGCTCCTAGAGCAAGGACGCATTCTGGAATTGTGTCAGCATATGGAGCTTGCCGTGTCTTCGAGTTGGGAATTGATGATGATCGACAATTTCCTCGGGAACGTATTCGAAGCAGCCCACCCAGTCGAACTGGAAGCATTTTGTGACATGCATCCACATCTTGAACTCAGGGATATCATTGACAGAATCATGAGCCGCCCTGGATTGGATGCGGATCAGATCCTTCGCGATGTGTGGCAAGGCATTCCTTTTATGCTTTGATCAAGAGGTTGTATGCACATGAACATGGCACTTTCGTCTGATCTGGGTTTTGTCTGATCTGCTGTTTCATCTGATTTAGCTTTCGTCTGATCTGCGTTGACATGTTCACGCTCTTTGTATTTGGCAATTTGTGACCAATTCAGCTGACAATAATGGATATCACAGAAAATGCACTTAATGTCTGGATAATTCCATCGCTTGATTTAAATAATGCCCCCCTAAGGCGGTGATTAGGACCTCGGACAAGCACTGTGTATGTCGGAGATAGCGTCGGAGATACGATCGGAAACCTTGTCGGAGATCTCGGAGACCCACGTGGTGGCGCTCGGAAACAACTGGCCTTGGGACGAATCACTCGTATCCCAACGGCATCGGCTTTTGCCTGATATCCGACTCCTGACTCTTGGAGGATCTGATTTGTTCTGATCCCAGAGGGGCTCTGGGTCCTCGGGCCGACAGGACATCACTAATCCCCGAAGGCAAGTCCAATTTCTCAGCTGTGGGTCAAGTTGCTCATCAACGCATTTCAAATCAAGGTCTCGCTCTCCCTCGCATGCTTCTTCGAATCCTCACATCCATATCTGTGCATCGCGCAGTGACAGTTAGTACAATACCTAACCGGTGAGAACACAATCCAAGGGAACCCAGGTTCAGTCTAATCTTGGATTCAATAATGCAGTCCTATCTGCAATACCGACAGTTGGGCCATGTCGTCCACAAGCAGCTCGAGAACGCCCCAGAGCATGATGCGACCGGTGCCGTGAACGTTGACGCCCCGGTCGGCGCGACGTCGGTGCTCTCGAACCAAGGCCACCGCGCCGACCAAACCACAAATCCGCTGTCTCAGAAAGCCTCACATGGCTCTGAAAAGTCCCCTCTGGCTCAGTCCCTTCCCGGCATTGAGATCCAAAAACAACTCGATGCGTCGTCTCCAAACTCACATATCTTCGTTGTTGGCTGGGAAGGCGAGAATGACCCTCTCAATCCATATAACTTCAGCTATGCTCGGCGAATGGTGGCAACGCTGCTCGTGACTGCACTGGCTTTCATCGTCGGTGCGGCCTCAGCCATTGAGTCTGGAGTTCTGCCCCAGATTACGGAGGCGTATGGCGTCAGTGAGGTTGTTGGATCATTGGTGACAGGTAAGTCCCTACGGACTAATCTCAAAGGTGCGTATCAATTGATGATCTGACCATCCAAATAGGCGTCTATCTCCTCGGTTTCGCCACCGGCTCGCTGTTCAGTGGACCTCTTTCGGAAATCCTCGGTCGCAACGCCGTATACGCCGGTTCCCTTACTCTATTCATGATCTTCATCATGGGATCGGCTCTGGCCCCGAACCTTGGTGCCCAGCTTGCCTTCCGCTTCCTGGCTGGTATCTTTGGCTGCCCACCTTTGACATGCGCGGGCGGAACCATTGCGGACCTGTGGAATCCACTCGAAAAGACCATCACCTTCCCCATATATGCCATATTATCATTCGGTGGACCTGTTCTGGCTCCGGTGATTGCTTCCTTCATTGGACAAACAGGTGTTTTGAGTTGGGAGTGGACGGCGTGGATTATACTCATTGCTTCCGGGGCTATCTTTGTCCTTGTTCTTCTTTTCCAGCCTGAGACATACGCTCCGCTGCTGTTGAAATGGAAAGGGAAGCATCTGCGTCAGAAGACGGGTGATCCTCGTTTCCGTTCCGCCATGGATATGGACAAGGTCTCGCTGCTTAACCGGATTGCAGGCGCGTTGAAGCGGCAGTTTCTCATCACATTCCACGAGCCCATTATCTTGCTGATCTCTCTTTACATGACTGTCCTGTACATTGTCTTGTTTACGTTCTTTGATGGCTATGCCGACATTTTCACTGAGGTCCACGGTCTCTCTCAAGGTCTCACGAATATTTCCTGGGTGGCAATGTATATTGGCATATCACTTGCTGGGCTTCTGGTTCTTCCAATCTACCGCTGGACCAAGGGAGATTTTACCGCAGCTGCGGAGGAGGTCAATGGTATAGACCCTGCATCTGACCGTCATGCCTTGGATAATGTGCACACCAAGCCGGAAGTTCGGCTCTGGTTTGCCATGTTTGGGGCGCCGCTTATTCCTATCAGCCTCTTCTGGATGGGTTGGACTGACTTTGTAAGTTCTTTTACCAAATCCCTCATTCTGATTCGACAGGCTAATGTTTTACCAGGCTTCTGTCTCAATTTGGTCACCTATCGTGGCATCAAGCTTTTTTGGCTTCGGCTGTATCTGCATTTTCATCAGCTCTTACATGTACATCATCGACTCTTATGGCATTTATGCCGCATCTGCCCTGGGTTTCATGACTGTGTCACGATACTTTGCAGCCGGGGGTATGACCGTTGTTGGGGTTCCTTTCTATAAGAACATGGGTGTCCACTGGACCCTGACGATCCTGGGATGTATCAGCGCGATCATGGTTCCCGTGCCATATGTGTTCTACCGTTATGGACCCGTCATTCGGAAATGGTCTCGCTATGCCGCTGCAGATGAGGTCAAGGGCTCAGTGTGACCTTCTTGAAGGCCTCGGGGGCTATGGGTGAAATCGTGCTTGGCTGCCCCCTGTTCTCTTTCCCCTGCTCTATGGACAAACATACCGTTTCATGCCGTTTCAACTTTTGCCAGGGGCTCCTCCTTCCTTTTTATGCACGCAGATCTGTTTCATCTCTCCTCCGCTGGAACCCTTCTAGAACCGAGGAGCCTGTGTTGCACACCGCACACTCCGAGAACGCTTTGGCGTTTCACGGCTTACGGTACATAGGTGCCTGTTTCGGATCTTACTGACCGGTTGTACACCTGTTCATGCATGGATGTCCTATCCTGCACAATGATATAGCCGCAGACAAAAGAATTCTGATATATAAAGCTTTTCTCCCCGCCAAGTGACCTGAGGTTGAGCCAGAGGCTCTCTATTATTATTTAATGCATGATATTCCCTCTCCGCAAAGATTCTCTCTCCACAAACGAGACACAATGGTGAACTCCCCTTATAGTCTTTCCGCGGATGATGTAAGGGTATTTACCGAAGAAGACTGGAGAGGAATGGATCTGAATGCCTTTCGTGGGGATCGCCTCCCAATCAGTCAATCTGGCACTGTCACTGGCACTGTCATTTCCTCAAACATGTATCAAGATCAAACATCGCAAGCCTGAACTGCGCCATTTTACTCTAACTTCACATCACCAGTCGCTCCCAGACACTTCGATTGGGGCCCCATATTACGAAACGAGATGCCTGGCGCCTCGCTCGACAGGCACTGCACTACTGAATCTCCAGGCATGGCCTCCCTCGAGGTCCAGAGTGCCCCGGACACTACCTCCCCGCTTACTTTCAATGTCTGGGGGCAAGAGTCTCACAGCTTAATTGATTCCAACAATGGTTTCTCCCAGGAACCATCACCCCAAGCTGATTTCCGATCAGCTTCGACCTCGAGGTATGTATGTAACGATTTGAGTAATGTCATATATGCTGACATTCCTGATTATAATCCAGGCACTCTGGCGGTCATCTGCAATGTCTCTGGAGGGGATGCAATTATTCCGGCGTATTCTCTCGCAAAGGAGTGTTGATGCGGCATATTGAGACACAGCATGTCAATCCGCGTGCATTCGACTGTCGTGAATGCGACAAGTCGTTCAGTCGGAAGGATAATATGACGGAACATCGGGGCAGGGTGCACAAGAAGCGATACTAGTGCAGAGCACTGTTCAACCAGATAGCAGGCTATCATCTTGCGCTCCTTTTCAATGTGGCTCGTGGGTATAGCGTATTCCTAGGAAGACACGGCCTTCGAGACTGGTCAATTCTCACTAGTAGTCAGCTTCACTCCATTGCAGCAAGGATGAGGACGGGAAGAAGCTAACGGGCTCGGGTGTACGGCACTCCAAGATTTCTCCCGACCCTTGAGGGGTGAGATTGTGACTTCAGAGTATTTAAGGCAGCTGTGTTGATCCATTGAGAAGATGGAAGAGGAACCAGAGCTAGAGGGAACGTGTTATCTCAGTGTTGGTTCAAGTCCGCCAGAAGTGGTTTTGCCCCTTGGTTTGGTACTCACTGTTATACCGAAGGACACAGCAAGTATTGCGATTCTAAGCTTTTAGATTGGATTGGCACCGCCGACTACGCTGCTTCCTACCAAGTATGCGCCAATGAATACGGGACCGGGTATCGGCAGACCTCGTATTAACTCACGACGTGACCCCCTATTGTACAACATGGAATCGCACGGAAGCGAAGTGAATTTGTCAGGAATGATATCTGGCATCGATATTCAAAATCTAAAGAGAGATAGTCCAACTCATTTGTTTCGTTGCATGGCCGCCAGAAGCAGTGTCTGTCGCCAACGTAGAAAGCTCCAGCTCATCACGCTCGACGTAGAAGTGTCAAGAACTCCTCTCTGGTCTTCCCATCAGATCTCATACACCCCAGCATACAGCTAGTGATCGTGCTGCTGCCAACCTTCTCTACCCCACGCATAGTCATGCATAGATGAGAAGCCTCCATGACAACAGCCACTCCCTGAGGCTTGAGCAGCTCAAAAACACACGAAGCAACTTGCTTTGTCAAGCGCTCTTGATTCTGGAGTCTTCTCGAGAAGGCTTCAGCAATTCGTGCCAATTTGGAAAGACCGAGTACCCGTCCGTCTGGAATGTAACCAATATGAATCTGTCTCACAGGGTCAGTATCACTCTAGAATTGACCAAAGGCTGTACCTTTCCATTGAATGGAACTAGATGGTGCTCACATAGCGAAGACACATCTATGTCCCGCACAAGCACAAGCTCATCACAATCCTCTTTGAAGATTGCTCCATTGACTAGCTCCTGGACGTCTTCTCTGTATCCTTTTGTGAAATAGAGCATTGCTTTCGCATAGCGCTCTGGTGTGTCGAGAAGGCCTTCTCGCTCTGGGTCTTCGCCAACACCTTCGAGTATTTCTCGGACTGCTGCTGCGAGCCTCTGGACTCGTGGCTCATCAGTTTCTAGGCTGCAGGTCTCTTGTTGATCCGGGTTGGTGGCTAGATAACAGGATCAGATATGGTCTGTTGTTCTTCAGAGCATCTTCAACTCACGTATTCCGCCGGTGTTCTTGGCGTTTATCGCTGATGCCAGAGCGGAGGAAGTGGCCTGAAGGTGTGAGGCCCTTGATTGAGATTCTGGATTGCCGTCGTCTTTTGGATCGTCAGACCGGCTTGCTTTGAATGGTTGTTGCTCCATGTCCAAGATTTGAGATGTCACCGAGAAGCCAAGCTCTTGAGTGTGAGGTCTTCTATTGTGATTCCTGATTGTAACCTATGGATCCACTCGCCCGTTGGTGGGGGGAGATGAAGATATCTGGAGATGAGTGATGACCAAATGAAGCTCTCGATTTATCTGCAGTCATCAATCATCACATATGGAAACCCGTGGATTGTTTGATCACTTGCGTCAAAGTCCACACAAAACTACAAACATGGTACACAATTCTCAACTTCTTCCACGGCTGTCATTCCTTTCCATATTTCCTCATCTACCCATATCGTCATGGCTACTCTCAACTCTCTCAAGGTAGCTCTGAGGCAAAGTGACAATCAAATGACCCCTGCCCTGGGGTCACCATTATCAGAAGAGCAGTACAGAGACGGCTTCAGTATCTTGGCAAAGGGGTCTCATTTGACTGTATACAAGGACTTCATTGTCCCCCAGCTATGTCATCTCCTCGTCCCACTTTTACACTTGCGCGCTCGCTTTTCGATACTGGAGATCGGACCTGGCCCGGAAAGCGTTTTGACTCATCTCCCTGAGTACCTCAGAGCTCGAATTACAAAATACACCGCATACGAGCCCAACAAAATATTCGCCAGCAGCCTTGAAACACATCTCGGCTCTTCGGTAGGTACCAAGCCTTCTTTTCCGTCTCTTGATGGCCCGGTCATCCTCCATCAGGCTCCGTTTGACCCATACTATGAAAATGGAAGTGATTTGAGTGCCAGCGGACACGAGAGCGAGAAATTTGACTTGGTTCTGTTCTGTCACAGCATGTATGGCATGAAAGAACAGAACAAGTGCATTAATAAAGCACTCGGGATGTTGGCTGGGATGCCTGCAATTGGAATGGTTGTGGTATTTCACCGTGATGGATCCCTGAGTCTCGGCGGGCTGGCCTGTGATCAAACGGCTTCTTTCCCAACAGGGACCGTTTGCGTGCCCGACGATAACGCATCATTGGACTGCTTTGCAAGCTTTGTGTCTGGTTATTCTTCACATAACTTTGAAACTATTCGACTCGGACGGCGAGAGGTATGCCGCGAGCTCGGCCGGCGTGACGTATCTCACCCAGACCATCTGGTGTTTAGCTCGCCTGAGATCATGGTTACTTTCAAGAAATCTGCCACTGCATTATCCAAGCTCAAAGGCAAGGTGCCACTCCTGTTCGGCAACCGAGAAGTCAAAAATCGAGAAGCTCGTCTCTCCAAACCGTCTTGCGTCGTTCGACCATCGGAAATCTATCATATTCAGCGGTGCGTGAAATGGGCTCTCGAGCACAATGTCGGGCTGAGTGTCATCGGTGGAGGTCATAGCGGGCACTGCATGAGGTCTCACGTCGTCGCAGTTGACATGGCCGACATGAACAAAATCAACATCATCGGGGCCAACGACACGGCAGAATCCGAATCCAGTCCCTGTCCGCTAGTCATTGCTGAAGCCGGCTGCACGACGGGAAATATCATCAAAAAAACCATGGAAGCAGGCCTCACAGTGCCGCTGGGGTCTCGCCCAAGCGTGGGCGCTGGCTTATGGCTGCAGGGAGGTATCGGACATTTGGCTCGAGTTCACGGTCTCACATGCGACGCTATAGTTGGTGCCGTTGTCGTTGGCGTTGAATCTGGTCAGATCTTTTGCATTGGCTCAGTACCTTCTGAACACTGGCCAGGGGGTGCCATCCGTCCAGGTAACGAGGCCGACTTGCTCTGGGCCATCAAAGGGGCTGGAACGAGTGTTGGCATTGTGGCAAACGTTGTTTTCAAGGCCACCAAAGTCCGAAATTACTCGGTTCAAAATTGGGTTATTCCTCTCCCAGACAAATCCACAGCCGATGTCAAACTGGATCAGATTGGACGGCTCACTGGAAGTAATTTGCCTCGCAACTGTTCCGTTGATGCTTACCTGTACTGTGATAATGATCAATTACACCTCGGGGTAACAAGACTTGAATCATTCATCTCCAGAGGTCAGGAAATGCCGATGCTCAACCTGCCAAATCTCGATCCAATTCTGGGACAGGGAAGTGAGATCAGAACAATGAATGGCGTTGAACTCTTTGAAGCTGAAATGCACATGTCGCTCATGCATGGCGGTCATGACGCTGCCAAAACATCTTCATTCAAACGGTGTTTATTCCTGAAAGATCTCGGATCACCAATGACCTCCATTCTGGTATCCGCTCTCGAGAGTCGCCCAACGAGTTTCTGCTACTTCCATTTATTACATGGAGGCGGTGCAGTTCGCGAAGTTGCGTTCAATGCCACAGCTTTTGGTTGTCGCGACTGGGAATATGCCTGCGTGATCACTGGGGTCTGGCGTCGAAATGACGATGATACCCAAGTTGCCCGAGCAGCCATCGACTGGGTGTACAAAGTAGCCAATGATCTACTGCAACTGGATTGTGGGGTATACAATGCAGATCTTGGGCCAGACCCCCGAGATGCAGCACTGGTAGCCAATGCGTTCGGGCCAAATGCAGAACGCCTTGTCGGTATAAGACACAGGGCAGATCCGCACAACGTTCTCGCATTTACCTGCCCGATTCCGAGATCGACAAAATGCAACAGACAAAGAGTTACTTTCCTTGTTTCTGGTGATAGTTGCGCTGGCAAAGACTACTGCGCTCCTATTTGGGCTTCTGTGTTACGTGCGCGCAGGCAGAAGCCCCTTACGGCTCGCGTTGTGAGCATCAGCACTGCGACGAAGATGGCCTATGCGACCGCTACTGGTGCGGACGCGGCCCGTTTGCTTAATGATCGGCCCTACAAGGAGCAACATCGGGCTGCGATTGGTTCATTTTTCCAGAAGCAGTTGGAGCAGAGACCTCGATTGCTGGAAGAGCAATTTGTCGATGTGGTCAAAGATAATCTTGATGTCGACGTGCTTTTCATCACTGGAATGCGGGACAAAGCCCCGGTCGCATCCCTCTCGCATCTAGTGCCAGACACGAAACTGGCTGACATTCATGTCCGAGCCAGTGAAGCGACAAAACAAGCTCGAAAGGGAGTTAATGACAATGAAACTCTTCAGGACCATGAGGTTTCCAGCGTGACTGAATTGGACTACAGCCCAGCTTTAGTCTTCGATAATGACATGACGGGAAGCGAGGCAGTTGAGCAATTTGCGAGCCAATTCCTGCCCCCTTTTCTCGATAACCGCCTTCAGAAGCTAGCTGACATGGTCCGGGTAGTACCCAACTTTCCATCTCGAGGCATCAATTTCCGGCATGTGCTCAGCTTGCTTCAACAACCCTCTGGGCTTGCCCATTGTGTATCTTTGCTGAGAGATCACTTCATTCAAAAGGCCCCAGTCAATGTCATAGTATCTTGCGAGGCCGGCGGATTTGTATTTGCCTCGCCCCTAGCGTTGATCACCGATACACCAGTGGTGTTGGTTCGAAATGCTGGCAAACTACCACCACCGACATATAGCGTTTCCAAAGTTGCTTCTCACATCTCGGAATCGCTTCAATCAACGGAAAGCAAGATTGAGCTGGAACGAAACGCGATTCCCAGGGGGGCTTCGGTGGTGATGGTTGACGATGTCTTTGCGTCAGGAAGGACAATCTGTGCAATGCTCCGGCTCTTGGAGAAAGCCCATGTCTGTATTCAAGATGTCAGTGTCTTGGTTGTGGCTGAATTTCCTCTTCATGCTGGCCGGAAACTTCTGCATCGGTGTGGATTTGGGGCTGTCAGTGTTCAAAGTCTCTTGGTGTTTGATGGTGCATAGAGGATGAGGTAATTTCTCTGCCTCCAAGGAGATGACGCATTTTGAAATTGTCCCGTTGCATTTGGGTCATCTACTCCCTCAAGGAATGCGTCTGTGATTGGCTTGTTCAATTTGATATTTACCCCTTTCCCCCATTTGACCCTACAAACATTTTCCAAGCCAACCATCCTCGCTATTCCGACTGCCAGCTGCACCTCAAACCGCATTCGGTATGCGGTCCCTTCCTTATCTCACAGGTCATATGTCTAGCCAGCATGTCTCCGCGGCATTCCAGATAGACAGTGGCTATGGACTTGCATGGAGATGTGTAAAATTACGAACCTCGCTGCGGAAAAGCAGTCTGCTTCCCCGCTCTAGTGCGGTGCAACTACCCCATAGTAGATGGCTGAGGTGTCCATGCTCTTCATTCTTGATTCATTCATTGGTTTTGAATTACAATGACCCGGCCGGGAGTAAAGGTAAAGTTCGGACCAGTCTGGGCCTGAGCGCTTGCATCTTTACCGCTGTGGAGGCCGTGGCTCGTATCTTCTCCTGGGAGCCGGCTTCACCAACAGCATGGAGTACTTGAAGTCATTCAAATCGTTAAAATAAGATCTATATCATGCTTGAAGGTTCGTTCCAGAAACATGGCACTCCCGTTGTACCAGCGCCTCGGGATGAATTGGGTTGGGACTGCCCCGGGGGCCCTCGCTGATTCGCCCCACAGCGCGTCGGCCCCACTATCCCTCCCGGAAATCCCTTCAACTCCCGAGATCCTACCGTGGACGCTGTTCTGGACATACCTACATACTAGTAGGTGGGTAGTGCAACTGACACCTTTCTGTTCGGACCTGACGAATGCCCAGAAATCTGCATCATTCTCTTTCGGGTCCGATCGTGCGAGATGCTTTCTTCGAGCCTGGACTTGGTGCAAATTCGTAGTTCCTTGCTTCCTTCTGCGTGTTCTCTCGTGGCTGTCGTACTTTGTGCAAACACCGCTTATAGTACACGTTCTCCCCCCTAGCTTATATGGTACCCTCATGTGAGCGGACATGGTGAATACGCAGTTGCATGCTCTGAGGTTCGTGAGTCTAGTCCCGAGCTGTCGCATGACATCAGAACCTTATCAGGCTGTGTAGCAAAGTTCAAGCGATTGCTTTCCTACCAAGCCTCTTCCAAGTAGGCTTAGCTTCGTCGCAGATAGGCACTTCTCCACCCCTTTCCTCCAATGATAAAGAACCAGAGTTCAGCCTCAGATCGACAAATACGTTTACCAATAACGGTCAAAATTCTAGCCCGGAAGTATTCTCTAGAAGTGAAGAATAATCGCGCACGCCTAGAATTGTGATATTTTGTCATGGATGGTATTATCCATGGATGGCGTTGACTGATGGGGGGATGAGGGCTCAGGCCCCCAGTTCTTCCAAGGTTGGTTTTTGTGCGGCTGAACTACCTAATCTTGACTTGCATACACGCGCTTCGCCCGGGTTTCCCGCACACGTCACATATCCACGGGCCATGATCGACCCTGCTCTAACCGTTGGATTAGTACATCGTATTTCGACGATCTGCCACGGTTCAGGAATATTCGGTTGAGGATCGTCAGAGGTGACCCCGTATGGGGAACTCCATACTGTACTCGTCATTCGGATGGTCGCCATGTGGAAACTATAGATCCCCGATGGGGCTGATCACCGCAGGACCAGGGAAATCATCTTTTCTTTATCATTCCTCACAAGGATTATGACCACTAAAAAAATGTCAAGTTATTTACAGTAGTACACCACCCATGGCCATCGGCCCCCAGGGTGTTGAATGCAGGCCGTTCGACGCAATGCAACCCTCGGATCCCTGGACATTTGCAATTTCATAACACGGCTGAGGTGTCTTTTCCTTTCTTTTTCTTCCTTTGTCGACTCCTATTGGCTCACAATTACGAGATGCTGCAGCAGGGGAATTAAATTAAAACCAAAAGCCCCAGACACTAAAGGCAGGGGGCCAACATGCGGTAAAGTTGGTATTTGTCAAGGGGCGGGAAAACGACACTAAAGAAACACCACGGGCGCTGAATGGTGGTTTGCCATGAGCCTAGCGGCTCCACGCCTTCATGACCCATCCGATTCATCTGGGGAGATGCGGCATACGTCCGTGGCATTGCGTGGGAAGTAATTTCCACCCCCAGGTCCATGCGGCGGGATTGGTTTACGGGCTTGACGATGTTGATTTATAGTAACGGTATCTATCAGACTTCCCACGATGTCGCGTAAACCCCCGATCTCTCGGTTCATCGAACAGGGGCTAATGTCCCAGGTCCATGGCGATGGAATTTAGAAACTTCGATCGCTTCGACGGTTCACCCTGGGATATAACACATCTGAGTCTGAATTACATCCGTGCCCACGAGCCACTGAGTAGAATGCCAAAATTCCACATGGACGAGCTCACATCCACGTCGATCACTCCGTGTGGTCATTCCTTAGATGTCAATACCTACTTGTTCAATGCCCTCACTAGTCAATACTTGTAATGACCAGAAATGACACTCCCCACGCCGTTAACTTCCAATTCTGGCTCGAGCAGACGGGGCACGGAAAGGATATGGATTACGAAGTCTCTGCAGCCAAGTTCGCTAAGTCAGGGGTCCTGCCATCCGTCCAAACCCCCCACTCGGCGGTTGCGACTGTGATTTGCTCGCACTTCTTGCTGTTCTGGTGGTCAACGGAATATGTGATAAAGTGGAGAAGACCCTACGATTGTACTAGATCCCAAATAGGACTGGTGACATCTCAGGGCATCGGCGTCGACACATTCGTTAGGTACATTTGTGCTCTATCTTTGGTCTTTCCTAACGAGTCATTATTGTCACGGCCCTCTTCTCGCCATAAATACCCTTGAGCCCAGGTTAGCCCGAAAATTAATTTCTCTGCATGACCGACGCCCCTCCATATCATTCTCCCATCAACCATCCTCTGGCCACTCATTTCATCCTAGTGCATGAGCACCGGTCACCATGGAGTGGAGAAACCCCCCAAACGTTGAACCCATGTATCAGTGGCCTCCCGCTGAAGAGAAGTATTGGGAAGCGTCCCAGGCCTTCCCCATGCCTCTACCTGATCTAGCCGTCACCGCACCCTTGCGACCCGCAAGGAACCCCTCATACAACTATGAGCTACAGCCGGCCGGGTTTGAGCGCATGTTGTCGCCTGCCCCCTCGCCTGCTTCTTCCGACTGCTATCTGGACTCGAGGTCTCTCAGAGGCTACATCGACCAGAACCATCTGGCTCCAACCTCAGCCGGCATGCCAGCGGTGTCGTCCAACCAGTACGATCCAAGATGTCGCAGTCCTTGGACCAATGCAACGGCCTCACCGGTGCCTACCTCGACCTTCCTGAACCCGAAACCAGTCGAGAGATCCACCGAAGACGAGTTTCCAAGCCCCTTCTCGGATCAGGATCATGGCGCCCTCACTCCCGCAAGCATGTGCGACCCGGGCTCCAGCCCGTGGGCTCCGTCGGTGCCGCTACCCTCATCCGCCCCCGAGACACAGGATGTTCTCGTCCCCAAGGCGAGAGAAGTACCCACCCAACTGAGAGGACCATGTCGACCTCGTGGCCCTGCAAGCAAAAAGCGGTTAGTCCTATGCTTCGCAGACTCCGATCCACCACGTGCTAACTGTATACCCGCTAGTGAGAACAAAGACTACGGGACCTATCGATGCGATATCGAGGGCTGTACCTACGACCGCTTCTTTTCTCGCAAGGGCGTCTTGAAGCGGCACATCCAGACTCAGCACCTCAACCCCAAGGCGTTCAAGTGTCCCCATCCGTTCTGCGACCGGACTTCCAATCGCAAGGAGAATATGAAGGCACACAGGCAGTCGGTGCATCGGGAGACTGTCGTGTAATATTTATGATTCAATGGGAGTTTGGTTTGGAGATACCAGGTCTGTTTTGGGATGATCTATGAGTGGTGATATGCGAATTTCGTATACAGTGGAGTCGATAGGATAGGCTGCATTTCCTCAGTGTATATTTGGCGATATTTGGCGCATATCTGGTGAATTATTCTTTCTGGGGTTTCCTCTTTTCTTTTCATTTAATTCCCAAGGACCGGGTCGGTGAACGTGAGCTTATGCTATAATAAACCAATATAAACCAAGCAGGACTGTGATCCTGTGGAAGAACGATGAATACGAAACTTACCATCGTCTGCGATCTACTAGCCTTTACAAAGGCATACGCTAACTTGTATCAGAGCACAAAAAGTACACACTCTTCGATTGGCTGGGTCTCGTTCATCGCTGCCAAGACAGACTACCTAGTAATCTGTTCCCAAACCCCCCTGTCTCTACCAATCTTGTATTGGTTAGAGGATGTCTTTCGGCGCTAACTGTGACTGCCCGCTGCATCAGACATCTCGTTCTCCGCTGTCCAGCTGGCCGGTGGGGTGGGATTGTTGTTTCCCCATCTTGCCAGTGACCTCTCTTCCACCCTCTGCTGAACATTTCTTCTCTTATTCAGTCTTGAAAAGACAAAAAAGGAAGATCTACTCATCGGAGAAAAGCCTATAGCTTCCAAAAACAGGCCATCCCATTCAACTGGCAACTCGCTATCATGAGTGACCCGCTCTCGATTGCCGCTGGCGTCGCCGGATTCCTCTCTCTTGGGATCGAAGTCACGCACTCCTTGGTTGAGTTTTATTCGACTTACAAAGACCAAGATGCCGATATTGCAAAGATTACTCAAAACATGGAGAGCCTTGAAGCCAGTTTCCGGCTTCTGGAGACCGCAGTCCAGTAACGCCAGTCTCAGCCCGATGCAGAAAAGCTACTCGATAAAGTCGGCAAAGAGACCCAGAGATGCTTAGATGTTATTGAGGAGCTCCAGAGTCCAGACTGAGTGCGAAAAGTTCCGTGCCGAACCGAATCTCTGCTTGAAAAGTCGTATCCAATTTGCCGGACGCCGCGTCTCCTATCCATTCCGAAAGAGCACGCTGCAGAAGATCGAAGAGGATGCCAGCCATACCCGTGACAGTGTATCATTTGCACTCGACATACTGCAGCTCAAAAGCAACAATCGGATCGAGGACGGGGTTTCGGCAGTCCGATCCCTTCTCGAGCGAACACACTCAAGTCAAACATCTTTCGCTATTCGTGCATGGCTCCAGGAGCCTGATGCATCTGTCAACCACAACGCCGTGTATCCAAAACACCACCCAAACACCGGACTTTGGTTGACCGACAGTCCTCAGTTTGCGAACTGGCTAGTAGAGTCAAGCTCGTTCCTCTGGCTGAATGGGTTCGCGGGGTGCGGGAAATCCGTTCTCTGTGCAGCTGCAATTCAGAGTACATTTCGCGGAGACGCTGCATAAAAGCGGAGTCGGAATTGCATTCTACTATTTTTCTTTCAGCGACAACTCGAAGCAAGATGCTCACGGGATGTTATGCTCGTTGCTGCTACAGCTGTCAGTTCTATTTCAAGACGGTGAAAGCGAACTAGAGAAGCTCTGCGTCTTGACCAACCCATCCACTCCTTCTCAGGAAATGCTACTTCGGACTCTTCAAGATTTCCTTGGTCATTTTCAAGACTGCTATGTCTTTCTCGATGCATTGGATGAATGCCCTCAAGATACATCCAGAGAAGATGTTCTCCGAGTGATACAAATGATACGGGATTGGCGCTTACCCGGTGTTCATCTCTTGATAACCAGCCGCGATAGCCTTGATATCCGCCGCTCACTGGACCCCTCCTCTAACAACGACATACGGATGGCAAATCCAGGAATCAACCAAGACATATTTGACTTTGTCTCTCATTAGCTCGAAAATGACACGAGGCTTCAGAGTCGGAAATCGAGACATCGTGAGATTCAGGAGAGGATATTATCGGGCATCTGGAGAGGATGGAGCATCCGAGATGCTGCTACTACTGAGACTTTTCCAAGAGGGATCAAATTCTTTCCTGGCCTTGCAGGTTACATGACTTTGAATATCCATCGACGGGTCGACTCAATCTCCAAAGACGCCTCGAATGTTTGGGATCAGCTATATATTATGCATCCCTTTTAAGACTCGAATCCATCTTAAGGAAACTTCTACCATGTGAGTATAGGTCTTCCACTCTGCCAAGTCCAGTCAATGTGCAGGGTGGAATCCATGGCAATCCCTTTACAGCAGCATCAGCACAGGGCCATCAAGAGATAGTCCGAATGCTGCTAGACCAAGGCGCCGACATGAACGCCCACCGGGGGGACTATCCAACATGCTGTATGCCTGGAGACTACTACTCGATTATACTTCTAACTAGGGCCAGGGGATTCGTTGACAGTCATTGGGAATCAGCCTTGGAAACCAATGTGTGCAGTAAAGTTCAGGAAGTTCAGAGTCCACAAGCCCGCGGGCTTTTGAGTCTAGTTGGGGGTGCGGGCCCACACAGTCTGGGGAATCTAGTCGCTACGTAGCCAGGGACCCATCTGCGCCAGAGCTATAGCTGATTGATTTGTATGACAGCTTACAGTGACGAAATGGATGGTGAAAACAAGCATGCTGTGGTGAAGAGGAGCCAGAGCAAAAAATGCAATTTTGTCTTAACAACAGACGAAGGCTGACAGGAAGCGGAACGATTGACCGTGCTGGAATTTGAAATGGTATGGAATTTGGTGCGTATTAGCGTCAGATACGAAGTGGGAAAAGGTGACGCTGCGCGACCAGACACATCATGCTCGCGAATTGTAGAACAAGGAGAAATATCGAGACGGGGCTCGTTCCCAGTGCCTCGGGGCCAACACAGCAATGAAAGTGTAAAAATTTTGATTCGTAGGGCTCGGGGACCCTTCCTTCTCCCACGAATAGAACGTTATCAACCCGCCAACTCCATCACGTCAAATCAACATCGGCTCGTTCCGTCGACTTTTCCTTGCCTGACCGACCGTCTGCGCGAAGAAGGGAATCGCCCACTAAAAACAACACAGAGAAGCCGTTTAGATGTTGGAGGGGTAGAGCATAACGCGGACGGTAGCGCCGAGGGACTTGGGGGGGAGGTTGTTGCGGAACTTGGCGCGCACAACACCGGAGTTGCCTGGGAGATATATTAGTGGATGGTTCGTAATGGCGGCTCCTGCGAACTGCGGTGCTGGTCGCAGCCCTGGGAGCCTTTCGGGTTTGGGCACGTACCGTGTGGCCGGGTGACCTTGCCCCAGATCACGCGAATGTTGGAGCCGCGGACCTCACGCTTGGCACGGTAGACGAAAGCGACCTTCTTGCCAAGGTAGAAGTTGGCGGACTTGGTGTCATCAACACCCTCGATCTTGACCAAGCTGTATTCCACATATCAGATTCCGTTCGTTATCGCGTTTGTGCGCAGGGTATAGATACCTGGTGTTGGGGGTAAGGGCGTGCTTGCTACGCTGGTAGCTGAGGTGACGTCCCCTGTGAAGTTCGTATTAACTCTCTGTTCTCATCGGTTCGAGTGGCGTTGGGTCGAGTCCTCCAATGTGTCCCTCTATTTTCCAACCGGGGTCTCGAATGCGAATGTGGATGTGCGATGGTAACTTACTTGACGTAGACTAGAACAGAAATTTGGTTAGCATAATTGTCATTTAAAGATCGCACACATGGGCTCTCCCGATGCGCCTTTGACGGATTCGAGACCGCCAAATCGATCGATGGCGAAGTCCAAGGGGGATTCACTCACGGCGGTGTCCTTGTTCGGAAGGCATTTTGTCGGCTTTTCTGTGATCGGGCAAGGAAAGAAAGTCGAAGGATGTCCCGGTCCCGATTGTCGATGGTCGTTAGGCGTGTAGAGTCGAAATCCGAAGGGCTGTCTAGCGAACGCACATTCGGGAATTCGGCCAGGCCCTAACTGATTTAGGGCCATTGCAGTCCCGTGATGTGGCTGGTCCATCTTAGATAATCCAATCTTTGTTACATAATCAGAATGGTCCTTTCTGTGTCATGTGACTTTGCCATCACGGGACCCTCTCATCACGGGACCCCGCAGGTCGATCCCATCTTTATCTTTCCGGGCGACAGGCCTCCGATGCAGTTTTTTTAGCTGACAAACGTTGGCGGCCCTTGGAGCGATGACGACAAGGGTCCATCTGGTCTGGAAAAAGAAACGTGCAATGACACTCGGCATTTGGCCTTGTTGCTGGCCTCTTTTTCAGGTCTCAGCCATTGTGCAGTCCCTTGGCCTCTTCACCTGCCTCCAGGGCTCAATTGCGCCCACCCATCCCTCCATGACTTGAGTCTATCTCCCAGTACCGATGACATAGTCCGTCTCCTCCGGTGTAGTTCAGACCGAGACCACCCATTGGGAAATCTAGAAGTTCCTCCTCCAGCCCCACCAGTCGGGATGATTACATTTAAGACCGGTACGGCGAGTACGGCAATACTAGGTGCTCGGAGAAATTCCCAAGCGGACTCGTACGAGACCGAATCCGCAAAAGGTGGTTAATGAAGGTAGCACTCGACGGTTAATATGCTCCGCGTTCGGGAAAACAAAATCCGGACCTAGCAGGTGGTATGAGAGTTGCCGATCCTAGGGCTCCCCACGATTTGGGTCACCGAGACTCTTATCGACTTGCGTGCTCGTATGCCCGTACGGCAAGGACTCGGTATTTTTGCTGGACCTACAGATACATTCGGGTCGGCTTCCGCGTGGATGTGATGCTTCTTAAGTTGAGAACCGTACTAGTAGTGGAGATATCACCTCTCTGCAACCTTCACGCCGACGTAGTAGCTCCACTCTCAATACTCCGTACTGTATCTGTGTACGGAGTACAAGCTGACCGCATAGCTTGAGGTTCTATGTATGTACGAGATACCTTAACTACGTAGGGTCCACCCCAATTCAGCCTGTTTGGGGCAATGTGGTCCGCACCTATAAGTGAGAGTCCGTCTTATCAGATGACCTGCCAGTTTTTCCGACAAAATCATGGAAGGACAGACTGTGGACTGGCACTCGCATAAGCCCCGAACCGAACATCCCTGGCAAGACTCCGATGTGTCTGTAGAGTCACGAATCAGCGGAAACAAGGGGTCACTGGGAGGAAAGGACCTGCTTGAAGCACAGGCTCGGGGTTAGAGGATATAAGACATTGACAAGAAATCCAATAAAACCGAGGTATCGTCATCACGAATACCTTGAAGTCATGAAATAAAATACATACAATAAGCCCCACCACCAGAGCTGTGAGTGTTAAAGTACTTACTCCGCCGCGGATCCTGTTCAACATTTCTCTTTCCTCTTCCCATTTTCCTGTACAGCGCAAGATGTCTAACGTGATCACCCAGAACGACGAGCGCGGTAACGCAGGGTAAGTTGCTTCCCCTGGCTTGGTGACATCACTCCCCCCTCCGGCGGATAGCCGGATCTTCCCAACCTCAACGTGTCCCAATTCTGCATCTTTGTGATCGTGACTGTCATCAATTTCCTCGATTATATTGCAGCCATCTGTCCTGGCTGCCCCCGAGAGAGAAAGACAGAGAGAGAGAAAGAGACCGAGCTCCCCCTCTCAGCCCCTCCATTGCCCGCGCCGAACGCAAATTCTGTGAACTCGAACTGACAATGGATATTGCATTCAGCACCATCGAACTTAAGGATGATACCATCATCGTGGTACTAGGCGCCTCCGGCGACCTGGCCAAGAAGAAGACTGTTCGTGCCCCCTCCCCGAATGCCGATGACTCGTACTAACCATTCGGCAGTTCCCTGCACTATTCGGTCTTGTAGGTGTGAATCCGACGCAGCCCGGTGCAATCGACTGACCAGACCCTCCAGTTCCGTAACAAGTTCCTCCCCAAGGACATTCAGATCGTCGGATATGCGCGGACAAAGATGGACCACGAGGAATACCTGAAGCGCGTTCGCTCTTACATCAAGGTCCCTACAAAGGAGATTGAGGAGCAATTAGACCAATTCTGCAAGATGTGCACCTACGTTTCCGGCCAATACGACGAGGATGACTCCTTCATCAACCTCAACAAGCACCTCGAGAGCATTGAGCAGGGTCGCCAAGGAAAGGAGCAGAACCGTGTCTTCTACATGGCTCTGCCCCCCAGTGTTTTCATTACCGTCTCCGAGCAGTTGAAGCGCAACTGCTACCCCAAGAGCGGTCTTGCCCGTATTATTGTGAGTGGAGATGATGGTTGGACGCGGGGCGGTGCTAATACGCTGGCGATAGGTCGAGAAGCCCTTCGGTAAGGACCTTCAGAGCTCGCGCGACCTGCAGAAGGCTCTGGACCCCAACTGGAAGGAGGAGGAGATCTTCCGTATCGATCACTACCTCGGTAAGGAGATGGTTAAGAACATTTTGATTCTGCGATTCGGCAACGAGTTCTTCAACGCTACATGGAACCGTCACCACATCGACAACGTTCAGGTATGGCAGTGTTCTTGATACCTGAGTATGAATGAGCGCTAATATTCCCGGCAGATCACATTCAAGGAGCCCTTCGGCACCGAGGGTCGTGGTGGTTACTTCGATGAGTTCGGCATCATCCGTGATGTCATGCAGAACCGTACGTATCTCCAATCCCATCGTGAAGACCTAATTCTGACATTTTGAAGACCTTCTCCAGGTCCTCACACTGCTCGCCATGGAGCGCCCCATCTCCTTCTCCTCCGAGGACATTCGCGACGAGAAGGTCCGTGTTCTCCGCGCCATGGGTGCCATCGAGCCCAAGAACGTCATCATCGGCCAGTACGGCCGCTCCCTCGACGGCAGCAAGCCCGGCTACCTGGAGGACGACACCGTGCCCAAGGAGTCCCGCTGCCCCACCTTCTGCGCGCTGGTGGCCTACATTAAGAACGAGCGCTGGGACGGTGTTCCCTTCATCCTCAAGGCCGGTAAGGCTCTGAACGAGCAGAAGACCGAGGTCCGCATCCAGTTCAAGGACGTCACCTCCGGTATCTTCAAGGACATTCCCCGCAACGAGCTTGTCATCCGTGTCCAGCCCAACGAGTCCGTCTACATCAAGATGAACTCCAAGTTGCCCGGTCTCTCCATGCAGACGGTGGTTACCGAGCTGGACCTCACCTACCGCCGCCGCTTCTCCGACCTCAAGATCCCCGAGGCCTACGAGTCTCTGATCCTCGACGCCTTCAAGGGCGACCACTCCAACTTTGTCCGTGACGACGAGTTGGATGCCAGCTGGCGCATCTTCACTCCCCTCCTCCACTACCTCGATGATAACAAGGAGATCATCCCCATGGAATACCCCTACGGTATGTTACCTTCTCACTTTTGATATGGCTTTTACTAATTCTTTCTAGGCTCCCGTGGCCCCGCTGTCCTCGATGACTTCACCGCCTCGTACGGCTACAAGTTCAGTGACGCCGCCGGCTACCAGTGGCCCGTCACGACCTCGGCCCCCAACCGGCTGTGAACCCTCAGCGTATAGCTATTTACGACGATTATGGGAAGTGGATGGGATACGAAGAAATTAAAATCTCTTTTTTTGCTGGATTTCTGTTGGATCAGGAGTCGCGTCATATTGTGCTTTTAACTCAGGCGACGCAATGAAAGATACTATGTTATTATCTGAGATCATATCAGTACTCTGCTATTAGGATTGATATTCGTAGTAAATAGTAGTCATAGTAAGTTATTGTTGTGCTTGCCAACTGGTCAACTGTCAGTTCTATATTTGGAATGCTTATGTCATGGTCCCTGACTCTCCTGAGCTCTGGAGCTCTGCAAACAGTGACATTCCCAGGCGAAAAAAAGACCCTAGAAAGACCAAGTAGCCTGTCAGAGTGCCGGATCGGCAGCTGAATGGGTCTTTTAATAAATCGATACGGGGGTCCCGCATGGCGCTCAGGCCAGTGGATTTCCTTCGGACTTCTCTCTCTGGTTCCTTCTTGCCTTTGTATTTCTCCAGAATAGACAATTGACGACCAAGTCCAACTCCAACTCCAACATCAATCAACTAGTACTTTCGCGACCCGATCCGAACCCGCGCACCCCCACGGAATCCTCCGAATCGGCCCCCGTGCAGAGCACGCGACACAATTCCCCGAAACCCTGAACGGGCCGTTTTCCCAACCCACACCGGATCACTTTCCCCGGCATACTCGGAACCCCTTATTCGACGACGCATGATTGTACAGGATGCCGGGTGCGAGGTGGGCAGGGACGCCTTCCATCAAGGGTCGGAATGAGTCGACCCGCATGGCGCTGTTGACGCTCAGTTTGGTCGGACTGCAGTGCGTACTCCGTGCATATCGTGTCTAATGTCGCTGACCGGTGCTTAGGTTTACATGGGGCACGGAAATGACATGTAAGGGCGTGGAAGAGAAATGGTCACACTTCGTTGCTAATACTGGGTAGATTGTACGCCGTATCTGCTTCAGCTGGGGTTGACGAAATCCAAAACTTCGCTCGTGTGGATTGCTGGCCCTCTGTCTGGCTTGATTATCCAGCCGTTGATTGGTGTTATTGCTGATCGGTCGCGGTCGAAATGGGGTCGGAGGAGACCCTTTATGATCTTTGGGTCGTTTGTTGTTGCCTTCTGTCTGTTGGTGCTGGGGTGGACGGCGGAGATCGTCGGGCTGTTTGTGAAAGACCCTGAAAAGGTAGGATGTTCTTTTTACTCGGAACTTTGGAAGGAATACTAACGCTTGCGCAGGCGAAGAATGGCACGATTGCGCTCGCGGTTTTGAGTATCTATGCTGTAGATTTCTCGATCAATGTTGGTATGTGGATGTGGATGATTGGATCTCGATCTAGTTCACTTACACTCTTTTAGTGCAAGCATGCTGTCGCAGTCTGATTGTGGATACGCTACCCATTCCTTCGCAGCAGGCTGGATCCGCATGGGGTATGGTTCTTCCCCATGTCTCAGTCTAAAACATGTGCTAATGATCTATAGCTGGGAGAATGTGCGCCATCGGCCAGCTCTTTGCCTATGTGGTGGGTGCCATTGACACCGTCAGTATATTTGGCACCTTCATTGGAGACACCCAGTTCAAGCAGATGACTGTCATCGCTGCCTTCTCATTAGTGCTGGCAGTGGCGATCACCTCGTACTCCGTGAAGGAGCGCGTTCTTATCACAGCGAGGTTAGTGAGCATCGCAATGAAGCCGATGGTCCAAGCTAACATGGTAAAGGGACGATGGTGGTGCTGGTGCAATCCAGGTCCTTTCTCAGCTGTTCAAAACTACTTTCGAGCTGCCACCTCGCATTCAGGCTATTTGCTGGGCCCAATTCTGGGCCTGGATTGGTATGCTCAATGTGTTGGACTATCCGGAACTAAACGCTAATAACTACAGGCTGGTTCCCTTTCCTGTTCTACAGTACGACCTGGGTCGGTGAGACCTACTTCCGCTACGAAGTTCCTAAAGACGACATGGCGAAAGCGACAGACATGCTCGGCGAGGTTGGTCGCGTGGGAAGTCTGTCGTTAACCGTCTTCTCCTCCATCACATTCCTCAGCTCCGTGCTCCTACCATTCTGCATCCAGCCGCCGGATTCCAAGCGAACCCGCTTCACCCCTCGTCCTCCACCCGGCGTAGCAGCCGTTCTCAAGGCCGTCACCTCTGTGCGCCCGGATCTCCAAACCGCCTGGCTCATTTCTCAGATCATGTTCGCGGCCACAATGATCTTCGCGCCGCTGGCCCACTCCCGCGCCTTCGCGACCTTCCTCGTCGCCGTCTGCGGTATCCCCTGGGCCATCAGTGGCTGGGCACCGTTCGCTTTCATGGGCGTGGAAATCAACAAGCTGACCACGGGCGGTTATTCGCCCGTCGTCCCGGCTTCACGATCCGGTGTTACCATGATCACCTCTGCCAGTCTGCGCAACAACGCCGCTGACACCGAACTCGATGTCCTCCGCCTCAACCACCATGACTCTTTCGACAGTGACACCGACGAGGAAGATCCTTCCTCTAACATCCCTTCCACAGGCGAATTGGCCGGCATCTATCTAGGTGTACTGAATGTCTACACGACCCTCCCCCAATTCGTGGGCACGTTCATCAGTTGGATTGTTTTCAGCATCCTTGAACCCGGCGCCGAGCCGTCGGACAAAAATAAAGACGCGCAATGGATGAACCTTGACAAGGATCGTCCCAATGCCATTGCAATCTGCCTTTTCATCGGGGCCATCAGTGCCCTCATCGCGGCCGAAGCCACCCGTCGGCTACGATATATTCTATGAGCCTACGATAACCTACATAGTACAGCGAGTATATACGTTTATTAATCGGAGACTTTTAGACCTTCGGCATGACATCACCCCGTATGATCTGCGTGAAGAACCAAGACACTCCTTTTCAGCTTCTTCATTGGCTCAATGGCGGCAACCTTGGTGGGGTGAGTGACGAGACTGTGAGCTATGCTTCACCGCATGCGACGAGGGGCGTTTTATAAGAATGGGCTTGGACCCAGACTAGTCGATTACTAGTAGTATACTCATACACATCTATATCCAACACCCAAAATGACTCCCAAGGTTCTCGTTGTCCTCACCTCCCACGACAAGCTCGGCGACACCGGCCACCCCACCGGCTGGTATCTGGTAAATCCCCCAATATCATAGTCCACCCAGCATCCCTAACAACCCCCAGCCCGAGTTCGCCCACCCCCATGAAGTCCTCCACAACAAGGTCTCTCTGACCATTGCCTCCCCCAAGGGCGGCGAAGCCCCCCTGGACCCGGCCTCCGTGAAGATGTTCGAGTCAGACGCCACCTCCCAGACCTTCCTCAAGGAGCAAAAGGCCCTGTGGACAAACACCCACAAGCTCTCGGACATTGTGCCCCGCGCCGCCGAGTTCGACGCCATCTTCTACGTCGGCGGTCACGGACGTACGTTTCCCTTAATCATAACTAAAGAAAAATAAAGGAAATCAAAACTAATTAAAACAGCCATGTTCGATCTCACCACCGACCCCGTCTCCCTGGCTCTGATCCAGACTTTCGCCGCGGCCAACAAGCCCGTCGCGGCCGTCTGCCACGGACCCTGCGTCCTCTTGAACGCCACCGCACCCTCCGGCGTGCCTCTGATTTCCGGCGCCACAGTCACCGGATTCTCGAACGAGGAGGAAGACGCCGTGCAGCTCTCCTCCGCTATGCCATTCATGCTTGAGACGGAACTGGGCCGTGTCTCGGGTGGCAAGTATGTGAAGGCTGATCAGGCGTGGGGCGAGAAGGTCGTTGTCGACAAGGCTTCTACTGGCTCTGTGCTGATTACCGGCCAGAACCCTGCTTCTGCTACTGGTGTTGGTAAGGCTATTTTGGAGGCTTTGGGATTGTAAATTTCCTTTAAAATACTTAGTCTACTATATACCTAGGTAGCCAGGCATGTACGGAGTACTCCGTTTATAGCCTGAAATTGATGAGGTTACGGTTTCCGATAGTACAAGGCATGTCATATTGAGCGATCAAAATTCAATATTAGCAAGAGGGGAATAGAGCAAAGTGACAGTTTGGATGTGAAAATACCCGGAGACATCAAGGGACATTGCAGGGGATTGTCATGGTGACAAAACAGACCGTGTTCAAGGGACCTTGATCGGTCGGGAGAAGGGTATATGATTAACAAATAGAAATTAAATCAGCGAGAAAATAAGGGAACAAAACAAGGCTAGGCCTTATGTCCATCTTCAGTAGCACCGGTCAATTCAGCAACGCGGGCCTTGATACGAGCAACGCGAGACTCGATAGCTGGAACATCGTCAGTACTTGAACTCGAAAAAGCAATACTCATGTAAACTTACTCTCTTCACCACTGGTTTCGCCCTCATCAGTACGCTCAGACTGGCTGGTCCGAGTCGTAGTCTCGGTCTCCGGCTCAGTCTCCTGTTCAGGCTCGTGCATTTCCCCCTTCGCAGTGCGACTACGCTCAGCCGCAGCTTCGCGAATCGCCTTCCACCGATCCTGCTGGGGGTCGGAGGTTTCAGGCGAAACCTCATGCAGAACACCATTACCGTGACCATTCTCATGGCCCTTAACCGGGGTCTGGGGAAGCGCAGTGGGTTCTGGTTCGCGGACGGGAGAATCAGGCACGAAGGCAGGCTGGTCGGCTAGAGGGCCTTGGTCGAATTTGGAGAATTCCTTGTCAGCGGCATCGCGCTCCAATGTGTCGATGCGGGAGAGAGCGTCGCATTCGATGGCGCGTCTGGTTCGTGGGGGTTGGCCGGTCTCTTCGGTTGAGGGCTTGGCTGGGGTCTGGGGCTCGAGGACGGGTTCGCGCGCCTCGGGCTGCGGTTCGGCTTGTGGGGTGGAGGGCTTGGAGGGAGTCTGGGCCACGGGCTCGATTACAATGGCGGCGTGCTTGGGGAGGGGCTTCTTCTTCACTGGGGTGGATTCTTGGGCTGCTTTGTGCTTCGCTTCCAGGGCGGCGCGGGCGGCTGCTACGCTGGAGACTTCTTTGGTGCCGATGTTCTTCATGGGAGGTTGTTGTTCGGGCTTCTTTTTGGTGCCGAACATGCTCTTGAAGGTGGAGTTGCCGTTCTTCTTCTTGAGCTTCTTGGTCTCGTCGACGGAGTCACGGCGCTCGGTAGTCTGGTCAGGGGTTGCGGGCTTGCTAGCGGCCTTCTCCTCCTCGGGGGTGGTCACGTTGACGGTCTTCTTGGCCTCCGGTTCGGGGGATGGTGGAAGAGGGGCCGCAATGGCTGCAGCGGGCGTCTCCTTGGGAGGGGGCGCGGGAGTGTCATTTGTAGATTCAGCGGCAGGCACCGAGGGCGTGCTGGGCTTCTCTGCATCCTCTGCCTGATGCTCGGCATCGTTCCCTTCCTCCGCCGCACCGGTTCCGGCACGCTCATCCTTGAGGTAGGCGGCCCGGAAAGCACCCTTGTCGTAGTTCTTGGTCCACTTCATGGCTTGGGAGGCTTCATTCACAATAGCAGGCTGAAGGGTCATGACGGAATTAGTCTTGGAGTAACGCTCCGCCTTGGTATCCATCTTGTTCTGGTTTGCCTCTTCTTCATGCTCGCGGTGCTTCTTTTGGAGAGCGGCTGCAGCTGCTTGAATCCGCTTGTGCTGGTCAGGGCCAATGCTAGTCTTGCTCTGGGAGCCCGGGTTGTTGGGCCTCTTATATGTGTCTTCAATCGAGACCTTCTTAGCGGAAGACTTGCGGCGGTTGAGCTTGCCCTTGCGGCTACCAAAGCTGAAGAATCTCTTCTTCTCGACGATCTGCGCACCAGCCTCGGGCTCTGGAGCAGCGCCCTTGACTTGCTCCTCAAGAACCAACCACTTGGTGTCCCGGATGACGGTCTCCAGGAGGGCACATCGACCGAACACTGCCTTGCGAGCAGAAGGCTCGTCGGCCGACAGACTGCTGATCCACACCCACCAGAAGGAGTCATCCATATCCAGAGTATTGATGCTGGCCAGCTCGGCGGGCTCAAGAGCGGGCTCATCATCCAATGAGCGCTTGTGAGACTGAGAGCTCTGGCCACGGGTGGTTGCGATTGGTGGAAGGACCTTGTCCGGAGGCAAAAGCAAAGGGCTCACATGGGTCTTTAGGGCGTTCTCGTCCGCAAACCCAGCAGACATGAAGTCTGCCCACGAGGGAGTGGTGGGACGGCCGAGATCCCCAGTTCCCGATTTGGGCACGTTGCTCAATCCACCGGCGGATCCACTCTTCCTTGACGGTGGAGACAACGATTCCTTCTTATCCTCCTCGTCGGATTCAATTGAGCCACCAAATCCAATGTCTTCGAACCGAGACCAGGAAGCATCCCGCAAGCTGGTGGACTGTTTCGTGCTCGACACGCTGGACTCGTTGGCGGAGGAGATGCACTTGAGAACGCGGAGACATTCGTCGGTCAATGCGCTGATGGGATCCTCGTAGTTGGCGAATTCCTGCAAATGCCAGTCGTCGTCGCGGTATTCGAAGTTCTTGGCGCGTCGGAGAAGAGCGAACGGTGTTGGCGAGACATTCTCCACAATCATTACCACCTTCGTGGTCGTGACCTGTAGCAAGGTTGGGGTCTCCGGGGGGTATTCGGTTGCTTCGACGAGAGTTTGGAGGGAGATCGGCAGCGAGGAAATACCGCTCACGCCGCGCGGGACGTCGGGAGTCAAGGAACGGAGGTAGGCGAAGAACAGATGGCTAGTCGCGTCGGCGGCCCTGTACATCAATTAGCATCGCTCTGGGGCAGGTGAAATGAGGGCTCATACGCAGCCCAACTCTTGTAGGCAGCTTCAAAGCCACCGCCTGTATCGGCGTGCTCAAAGGCCCACCATCCCGCATATCGGGACAGCTTGCGTCCTCCCAGTCCATTGGACTTGCCGTGGGCTGCAATGGCGGCCAGCAGGTCGAAGAAGTCGATGATGATGTTCGTTCGGGCTTCGGAGTCGCCACCGATCGGAATGAAGGTTGAGAAGGCGTCCCGAGCCATGTCCGAATCTGGAAATCCATCAACGCTGTGCTTTCCCCGCGTCCCACTCATCACATACCATGTTCGCCCATCTTGAAGGTCTCATATGCCTCCCAGGTCACCACACCTCCGGGCAATCTGCTCCAGCACCATTTCATCACCCCGCAGAGCACCTACAGCGGCGTTAGCGCTTGACCCCTAGCCCACTCGTACCCATCTCACCATCGGCTCCGTGAGTCGGAGTTCCTGGCCCAAGACATCCCCATTCACGGGCGACCCCTTCTCGAACGACTGATTGAAGTAATTGCGAATGAACGTGCGAGCCGCGCTCGGATCGGAGCTCGGGCGGAATGGCAGGAGGAGGAATGGAGTGTCGAGCGCTGGACGAATGATCAGCGGTCCGGACGATGCGCCAGGATTCCAGTCTAGATATCAATGCATACCTCGAGCCTTGAGTTCATGCACACAGCCTCGCACCAGGTCTTGAACTTCCTCCGGGGCGACCTCTGTCCGCTCCCAGGCATCGGTCCACTTGGGCTTCGCGGGCGAGGTGTCCACGACGGTGGGGTGGGACGGTTTCTTCACGCCGGAGTCTTTGCCCCTGAAGACTCTTGAGAAGAAGGACATTTTAACGGAAATGCGACCGCGACTGAGCTTTGCGCGTCAGGAATCGAGTTGTGGGGGAAGATCGGGGTCCGCTTTTTTTTTTTTTTTCTGTTCAGCAATTAATCGATTAGCCCCGTGCAGCAGGGTGTTGACTCTCAGTCCTCCAGGATCTGTGAGTTTAGTCTTTAACACCGATCTGGAGAAGATCAGAAAATCGACCCAGAAAAAAGGGAGAATTGAGTCTGTGCTGAGGCAAAAGCCAGAAGAAGGAAAAGGTGTAGATGGTCAGGGGTAAAAACAGTAAAGGCTCAATGGATGATGACGGCGATCATCATCTCCGATCTTTGGTTCTGTTATATCGGTCGCTGCCTGACCGGACTTACTTCGACGTGTCCAATCTCCCTAGCCTATTTAACGTGTCAAATGAGAGTACAGAGGCCCACGGCTGTGTCGCGCTAATGGTTGAAACGGACGGGTGTGTTCCAGAATAGTAGTTATCTACTACTAGTAGTACTTCCAAGCAGGCAAATATACTTCATAGCACTCTGATATATTGCCTTTTGACAGCTACCTACTAGGTAACTGGGCAGACGTCGAGTGATTAACATTGCATCACCATGCGGGGCCGTGGGTTCTCGCAGATACAGTAGATATATATTGATCTGGCGGAGTCTATATCCACACATTCTATATAGTTTCATCTTCCGTTTCGCATTCCCTTACACCTACCAACACGACCAATAGTTACTCCGTACAGGTTTCAACCTTAGGTCTCCACGCATATCAACCCTGATTCCCCTGATTCCTTAGGTCTGCCCAAGCATCTTGACACCTGGGCAGTGACCCGCTCTGCTGATTCGGGAGATCGGCGACATCTCGGATATCCCATGTTAGGCATGAAGAATAAGAATTTTGTGTACTAAGTACGTTGGGTTAGGCCCAATCCAGAGCTAACCCTTTTCCGAGACAAATGATGTTTTGGGTCTGTCTTGTGGTCTTGGACATCCCTGATCTACCACCTGGCATTGGAGGCCGTTCGAACCCGCAGTTACCGCATAGCCATTTGGCGCCCAGTCCAATCACAGCCTTGAAGTTTCAATGACTAGATACGAGCCTGAGGCCTGGTTTATTGGAGGCCTTACGAGTTTGGTGGATTATTTGCGGGGATTCTGCGGCGCCGCCCCTTAGCTCGATCTGTGTCGAACATACGAAACAGCAGTCTGGAGGACATGTCTCTTGTCTCTTGCCTCTACCTATTTAATAGTTCTTGTGGAGTCCACGGGTACTTCATAGGAACTGAGTCATACCCCAGTTTCGAGCTATCCCAGATGTATCCATGGATGTGATGGCCTCATCATATTCCATGGCAGATGGAATGCTCTTTACACGAGGTGAAGAGTGTGATATGTATTCAACCAAGCGCTCAACATCCATGGATGACCATAGGTCAAAACATCCGCTATCCTGGCGTGAAAGCAAAGGACTGATATGAATCGATAGTCATTGTTCCAAGGGGAGAAAGAAAGCTGCAGAAACCGTGAAAGCGATGCTAAATGCCACTAAACCTAAACTGGCCAAGGCCTTAGCCCTACGCCTAGAACCTTGGAACCTCTGTGCTCCATATATGTACTCCATCATATGTGCAGTATGAGATATGGAGTACATGCACATATGAACTAGTGAGGTTGATCTCGACTCTGATATTCCCTTATGTACTGTAGACAGGCTCAGCACTATGTGACGTGCAGCTAAATATAGCCCCGGCGCTTAAGTGCTGAGTCAGCACCCAGCGGCCACCCTGCAAATCCTCTCCTCGATCCTAAATTTAGCAACATCCTTTGCATCGGTTCACTCGTGTCTTTCACGCTTTTGTGGTTTCATTCGACGTTGAACCCCAAGGGGTCCTATTTTCTTTGCTTGTTTGGGGTCGCCTTGTCTGCCCCCGAGTCCAAGACGGGTCCATCACCCAAAGACACGACTGATGGTTGCACGCTTTGTTACTTGAGTTTCCCCGTCTGAAACGGTTCTCTACACACCGTGTCTACGATCGCTATCGCGTCGCCGGACACATTGAAGGAACTCCCGCCCTGGGCTTCCTGTAAATTTTCAGCGCAATCCGCTGCTTAGTCCGACCCCGCAAGCCTGTTATCGTCGGAGCGCGTATTTCGTGCGCTCGTAGTATATCATGGGCCGGAGAAAGATCGAGATCAAGGCCATCAAGGATGACCGCAACCGCTCGGTGTAAGTGGATCTTCCGCCCGTTGTGAGGGCCGCGACTGACCAGCGCTCGTGTGCAGGACGTTTTTGAAGCGCAAGGGTGGTTTGTTCAAGAAGGCTCATGAGCTGGCTGTGCTCTGCTCCGTGGACGTCGCAGTGATTATTTTCGGACAGAACAAGAAGTTATACGAGTACTCATCATGCGACATGCACGATGCGCTGGGTCGTTACCAATACGTGAGTAACATGGCTCCGTGGTTCCCGAGGTCATGCTCGGGGACCCTCCATCGAGCCAATGCTAATGTGGATCGTTCAGTTTGGGCCGCCTCACGAGCATAAAGGACGGGAAGATTTTGCCAACAAGCGAGAGGACGATGACGACGACGACGAGGCTTCACCAGCCCCCGAGGAAATTCAAGCCGTTCAGGCTCAAAACCACCCCGCTCTGCCCGCTCACCTTCAGAATACGCCCGCCTTCCAGCACATCACCCATGCACCATCCGCGTCTCCCCCGATTCATCATGGCATGACTATCACACGACATGGCACCCCGCAGTCTCAAGGCACCTCGCGCCCTTCGTCGAGGAATCACATACGTCGCGTCAGCTCGAATCTCGGTCCCCAGCAACACGGTACACCTCCTCCGCCTCCGCCCCCCGGTCCCCAAAATGGCAATTTTGGTTACATGCCAAATCCGTCCATGTATAACCCGAACATTCACCCCATGAATCAACAGCCTCGACCCGGTCAATTCGCACACTATGGACACCCCCCCGGACATCATCAAGGAACGCCTCCCATGCACCATGGAATACCTCCCCAGCAGATGCAGCCCCAGCACCAAACTCAGCAACATTTCCAGCAGCACGGCCATCCGGTAGGAATGCCGCCTGGCGCCCTCCCTCAAGTCCCGCAGGTTTCGCAATCGTACATGCAAGAGCATGGTAGAGGCTCCCTTCCCCCAGGGTTTGCGCCCGAGGGTCATCAAGAGCGACCCGGGTCGGAACACCCTCAAGAGGAGCCAGCCGGCTTAAAACCGGACCACAGCCAATCGCCACCCCAGATCAAATCGTTGTCTAAATCTCGCAGTATCTTCACGCCTATTGATGACCGAGGATCCGTGCTCGCCCGTCATTTCGGTGCAGGGGCGTCGTATGAGATGCCACACAATAATCACCCCCTCAAGGTCGAAGGACGACCCCAAGGGTCACCTGGCCTACAGTCGATCCCCGTCCGAGCTGCCACGGAGGCGCCTCGTCCAGAGTCAGAATCCAAGGCATCTCGAACACACAGCGGCCCGTTACCACCCAAGCGACCTCAACTGAAGGTGCAGATTCCCAGCGAACACTCCGATGGCGGTGGAAGTGCCACGGCCGACTCCTCGCGTGATTCGGCCGGGAACAAGACTTCCACCCCTGCGAAAACGAGCGCCGAAAATAGTGGCTCGGGCGTGGTCCTCCCCCCTCCATCGCCTTCGGCCGGCGCAATACTGAGCGCCGGCGCCCAGGGCCCGCCCAACCCATTCGCACGACCCCCGCCCCCGGTTCCCGCAGTTCGCAATGATTCCTACGGCAGCAATAGTGGCAATCCCGGGGGCGTGACTGCCTCGAATAATATCGAGACCCCCATCTCAGCCCTGCCGAGCCGCTTTGTCTCCGATGCTCTCCTCCCCTCACCCTCCAGCTTCTTCCCCGAATGGGGCTTTGGCCGCTCGGGGCCCGACTCCAACATGCTGCCCAGTCCCCTCACCTTCCCGACCCCGGCAGTGCCCAGTGGCCCGAGCTTTTCCCGGGACGACGAACAAGACAAGAAGCGCAAGAGTCCGGAGGGAGGGACCGGGGGAGAAGGTGCAAATAAAAGACCCAAAGCCTGATTTGGCTTCAAAATGACGACCATGTAAAGCACTGGGCCCTTCCAGAGACTGTCCAGAACATCCTCACTTCTTGTCAATACCCTACTCCTTTAACTCCTGCCCTGTGAGCTTTGAGCCGTTCCATTCTAGTTCGATCAAGATTCCAGTCTGTATCTTCTCTATACCCCGGTCATCCATTCTTTCCCATTTCCTTCTGTCTCTGTCTTCAATGACCCCTTATTTTCACATGGATTTCGTGATATACCAGTGCCGTCTTGTCCACCTTTCTTATCTGTGAATGCTCCAAGTCTGATTCGGTTCTAGAACCCCGGCGTTTTGATTTTTCTGCTTTCTGTGTACATAAAGCAGGTTAGGAATATCCATCTTCTGCAAACCGATCACCGTAACATTGAACCCTCTCACAAAGACATTGTCTGGCCACTCGGTGTTTGAAGTGGGGAACACCGAAGGCCGACAGCTCCCCCGCGTCTATTTAATCCCCAGTCCTCGATTCCTCAAGGGTCCTCATCTTACACTCTATACTTCTAAGTATCATACTATCCAAAATGACTATCACCGGAAGCTGCATGTGTGGTGGCACCACCTACGCCATTGAAGGTATGTATCCAACTGCAATTGCATGCCAAGCTTAGCTTCTAACAATCTCCAGCCGACAGCTACCTGGCCGCCTTGTGCCACTGCACCGACTGCCAAAAGGTAATTCTCCTTTATTATTCAACTCCGGCATAACTTAACCAGAGACAGTGGACCGGCGGTGCCTTCACCTCCAATGCCGTCGTGCCCCGCTCCAGCTTCAAAGTGACCAAGGGTAAGACCCCACCTCTTCAGCAAGAGTCCCCACTAACAAGCCATAGGCACACCCAGCGCCTATGACGCTGTCGGCGCCAGTGGTAAGGTCAACAAGCACTTCTTCTGCCCGACCTGTGGCTCCAGTCTCTACACCGAGCTGGAAATCATGCCTGACAACACGGTCGTCAAGGCCGGAGGCTTGGACGGTGGCGAGGCGAACCTCCGGGGCAAGATTGATATCGAGTTCTACGTGAAGGATCGTCCTAGCTACCTTGCTCCTGTTGAGGGTGCTAAGCAGGAGCCGATGTTCGGTTAAGATGACTTGGCCTTAGTGTTATGTCTTTATGTCCAGATCAATGGAATGCAACATTGGACTTGATTGATACTCCTAGTCTTGTTCAGGTGAGAGTCTTGTAGGCTCAATCTAGTTATGGAGGGCAAGCCAAATAAGTGCATGGATTTCCATCTCATCTTGATATTCACAATATCACCTGGGAGATTAGTCCCCGCGTATCAACACACCGTGCTCTCATCTCTCGTTTACTTTCACGTCTGACTTCCACCATCTTTCCCAACCTCACTCTCCCAGAACCTGTCCCACCATGGCTCCTCTTCGGATTGTACTCCATGGCCAAGCCAAGATCACCCGAATCCCAGAGCTCTGCTCCATCCTCCTCAACGGAGGCGTAGAAGGCACAGACCGTGCAAGCATCCTCACCGAGGTCGAAGCAGCATGCAATACCCTGCAAACACGCCTCAAAGATCACACTATCACCAACGAGCAGAATATCCCCACCCAGGCCTCCCCAATCGTCGAATGCAGTATCCTGCCAATTCTATGCCGGGCCCTCATCCGCCCCGCCAACCCGCAAACCAACACCGCGGAAACAATCACCTACCGCGCCATCTTCATGTGCCAAGTCACATTCCGCAACTTTCAGCAGATGCGCATCTTCGCTAACGGATTAACCTCGATCCCTATGATCCAAATCCACGAGGTCAACTGGCATCTCACTCCAGCCACTATCAAGCTAGTCGAGAACGAGGTTCGACGCATGGCTTTCGAAGAAGCGACCAACAGGGCGAAATACTATGCCAGCATGATGCAGCGGGAAGTCGTCCCTGTGAAAATCCGATCTCACAAGCTCGACGTGAAGATCAAGTCTATTCCCCGGATGCAGGCCCATGCGGCTGCTAATGACTCTGTCATTGTTGCTTTGGTGCCTCGGAATCTGGAGTTTGGACATCGCGTCAAGGTCACTTTTGGTGAGGCTTGATTGGTTTGGAATTGTGATTTGGGCTTGGTTCTGTTCACTTGGTTTTGTTCCAAGGTTCCTGTCTTGGGTTCTGTTAGCTGCAGAAATATGAATTTGAAATGTCTCATCTCCATATTGATATCCATAGCTATATGTATGTGTATGTGCTTGGCGATAGTCACTGGTAGGAGAGTGGTGTTCGAGGTTGAGTCAAATGCGTGCAGAAGTTGAAGAATGCGGGGATCTTCACAGTTGACCTAAATTTTGTCCAATTACTGCAAACATTCTTGAATTGGAGACCAACTTCTAATTTGCACATCAATGTATTCTTTACTCTGCCCTTTCAGATTAATGATCAATTGATGTTGAAGCTGTCCTTATGTCAGCTCGTACCGACGAGATCTGTCTCCACATCGCATCTCTGCTTCCTTCGCATCTCTGGCCGAGTATAATTGCGCTTGCGTTCAAGAGTTACAGGTTTTATATAGGTCTCTTCATTCATTCCTTTCAATACTGGGAAATTGGAATTTTTGACCAGACGGAGATCCCCGTGAAAACCTTGAACCGCCATGACTCAGTCAGTGCTCTCCAACCGAGCACAAGCCGTGGTCAATGCAGGAGCTGGTAATCCCATGTGGGATGTGATGAGCGATGTGTGGTGTCCCGCCAAAAACCCCAATGGATACATCAACGTCGGCGTGGCAGAGAACACATTAATGCATGACGAACTATTGAAGTTTCTCAACCAAAAGCTCGAACTGCCCGCCAAATACCTCACATACAATGAGGGCGGAACGGGATCATCCAGATTGAAGAAATCCATTGCTTCATTCTTGAATCATCATCTCAAGCCTGTCACACCCATTGAGCCCAGCCACCTGATGACCACCAATGGCGTCTCGCCTGCAATCGAGCATGTTGCATGGGCATTCGCAGATCCCGGAGAGGGCATCTTGTTGGGCAGACCGTATTACGGCATGTTTATCCCTGATATCTCGCTCCGTTCCGGTAGTCCCGTCGTGCCCGTGAAATTTGACGAACACGACCCTCTCAGCCTGGAGGGCGTGGACAAGTACGAGGAGGCTATTTTGGAATTTCAACAGCGGACTGGAAAGAAAGTCAAGGCCTTGATGCTTTGCCATCCCCATAATCCACTCGGACGCTGCTATCCCAGAGAAGTCCTCATTAAGATTATGCGGCTTTGTCAGAAATACCAAGTCCATCTGATCAGCGATGAGATCTATGCTCTCTCAATATTCGAGAATACAGTCGACGATCATCCCGCACCTGTCCCGTTCGAGTCTGCCCTGTCCATCGACCCAGCCGGTATCATTGACCCGGGTCTTGTCCATGTCCTGTGGGGCATGAGCAAGGATTTCGGCGCGAATGGAATCCGACTGGGAGTCATTATTTCCCAGGCCAATCGCAATGTACACAGCGCCTTACAGGGAACTGCTCTTTATTCCCAAGCTTCGGGAATCACGGACCACCTGACCTCTCTCCTACTTGAAGACTACGACTTCACCAACCAATATATTCAACAAAATCAGAAGAAGCTATCCGAAGCCCATGGGTACACTACGAGTTATCTCAAGCAGCATGGTATTGAATATGCAACTGGATGCAATGCCGCTTTCTTTGTGTGGATGAATCTTGGCAAGCGATATCGTGAGCTTCACCCCGAGGCTGGGAGTGAAGACATTGAAGAAAAGGTGATGCAGTGCCTTCTTCAGAAGAAGGTATTCCTGGCTACTGGGTTTTTGTTCGGGTCTGAAAAGAAGGGCTGGTTCCGGATCGTTGTCACGCAGGGCCACGAGCTGTTGTCAGTTGCTCTGCAACGAATCGTTGCAGCACTCGAGTAACATAGTCTGTATTTGTGCTTTTATAAAACACACTAGATGCTATGTATTTGATTCTCCAGCCATGTGAGGTCACTTTTGAGAAATTGATCGCAGAGGCTACCAGTATCTGCACGCATCATGAATATTTCATTCCGTCGCTTGACTGGGACAGTTGATCACATCTCAGCTCTTAGTATGCAAAAGGACAACATCTATCTGAATTCCACGAGAATAGCTGCCACCACGGAATACATCGGAGTTAAGATCGCAATTAAAACAGTGGGGGCAACAAACGCGGGTGAAGACGTGTGCAGTCGCGAAAAGATACAAAAATCTGAAAGAACTCTCACGACGCGACTTACGATATTTTACACGAGACCCGAAGCAGAAAAGAAGCAGAAAGAGACAAAATAACGCATCACTTAAACTACAACTTCACAAAAATGACCAGCAACACCGCCGTCCAGCTGCGGATCTTCAACGCCCTGCAGCGCCCCAAGCTCGATCCACGAGGAGCCCCAAACCACTGGCATTTCGACATCAGAGAATTGCCCGATGCTCCCGGCGAACTGGTCTTCCTGGCAAATCCACACAGCCGAAAATTCCACGGCGAAGGCCGAACCAAGATCTCCGACCTTTCAATCTCAATGCAAGCCAAAGTTATCGTCCCCCTACTACTGGAGGCATTCGTCACGCAATTCGACGAAGATCCCGAGCAATTAATGAACGACGAGAAGCCATTTGTTCCGTTCAGCTGGAGTACCGGCAACCCGGCCCTGGCGCGCGCTGTCTCTGCCAGGTGCAAGTCAATTGGCATCAGATCTGAACTGTGCTCGGTTCAAGTGTCTGATGCGAACACGGTCAGCATTGCCGGAGAGTGCTATGTGAAGTGGCGGAAGGATATCGAACAGGCTATGATGATGTTCGGCTATCCCGAGGATGATGGAGAGGCTAATGTTGAGTGGGAAGGTGGTTGTGAATATTGCCATTTCACTCCGTCGCTTGACAAGCCGCTGTTCCCTTGTGGCGAGTGTGATGGAGTGGTTTACTGTTCGACTGAATGCCAGAAATTGGATGCCAAATTCCACGGCGAGATGCCATTTGACTGATATCCCTATGTCTCTCACTGCATCGTTGATGGAAAATAGTATACCTTGGACGGATCAGCTCATCCCGAGGTCGATGTGGACGATGCCGAAGAGTCATCGTCCTTCTCCAACAACCTCACAAGTAAAGAGATCGATATGATCATGATGACAATGCCGATAGCGACGAATGCGACGGCGAATACTGAAATCCACCCCAGAGCCATCGCAGCACTCCCAACATGACCCTCCACAGCCCCATATGTCAGAATCTCTGCCATTGTCGCCGTAGAGCTGCTATTGATGTGCTGCCAGAGAACAGAGACAAACCCAAACCCAAAACCAAGGACCGACGTGATCAAAGAGAAGTGCGACACCGAGCGCGCAGGGAAAGGTTTGACCTGCCTCTCGGATCCTTCGGCGTCGTCTTCCTCATGCCACCCTGGCATGGTGGACAGGGTGATGAAACACATCAGACACATGACAATTGCTATATATCTGCGCATTGATAAGTCCCTCCGTTCTACACAATCCACATTTCGCCGGGACTTACATCAACCCGTCGAACACAATCTTCCGCCTAAACTCTTCCGCAATCATGATCAAATTGAGCGGATCCGGCATCGTCGTTATACTGTTGTTGCCGACCAGGATGGTTCTGCGCTCAGCGCCAATCATATTCGCCAAAGCCTTTGCACTGCTGGAGCAGATGCGGTCCTCGTCTCTCTGCCCCACGCAAATACCCATGTATGCAGCGCGTACTTCAAAGGTCGTCCCATTTCCTGTCTGAGTCACATTCTGTACAGCCTGTGCTATCATTGAGCTTGATTGCGCTTCGCCTTTGGTGATTGTATAGTTGTATGCATTGTATCGCAGGGACATCAGGTAGATGTCGCTCATACCATTCGAGGTACACCCCGCAAGCAGTACCGCTAAGCAGAAATTTAATTTCCAGTACTTGAATTCACAGTCTAGGTCCCTTACATAGCATGACTATTGGGAAAAGCAGAAGCGTCATCAAGACATGGTGATATCCGATGTGGGGGGCGAATCGCGTTATTTTGTTTCTGAACCTCCAGAAGTCGTTGACACGCCCTCTTAGCCCAGTTCTGTTGAAGGTGCGGTGTATGCTTCCACTCCGAGAAGAGTTGGTCATCTTTGGGTTGGAGTCAATATGAGGCTCCGGGGAAAGTGGAGGGGGAGAGTGAAGAACGCTAAAAGATGACAGGAACTTCTCTAGTCTCACTACATGTACTAAGTCACGTGGGAGCGTGAATATCATATCTGGTGCTTCTTGAGTTATTGGATTTGAATTCTGTGGAATTAGGCGACTATGGAGATAATTACAGACTTCATCCTCAACCACCTAGAAGCTCATCACCCTGTTGAAGATTAAGCCCACAATAAGTGGGACCATGAACAAAAGGATGCCAATTGTAAGTCCCGACTTGATACCCAATGCAAGTGGTCGCGTCCAAAGCAATGCTAGCGAGACCACCATAGTCACAACCGTTGTCCCCGATATTAGGACCACCTTGACACTCGGGTATGAACGGTACTTGAAGAACCTGCCAATCAGAATCGGCAATGCAGATCGGAACTCTGGCTCGCACCAGTTCCAAAAGGATGTCCCTACGCTTCCAACAACGAGCATGACAATCGCAATGGTCACGGCGCATTGAATATCGGGACTCAAGTCTCGAGACCAGATAATCCCAACTGGAATTCCGGCAATCACGCCGTTCAACAAGATGAAGAGAATCAGGAATCCAAAAATCCGCCAAATCTTGATCCAAGCTGTGCCGACGAAGCTCAGGCTTTTCTTCACACCCACGCCCAAGTGATGAACAATCCATTGCAGCATTAGAAGGATTGAAATCGACCGGGTTGGGACAGGGAGACCATGGCTTTCAGCGTATTTTCGAACATCGCTCCTCAATACGACTTTGAGGTAGGCGAGCCACTGGCTTCGCATGGTCATTCGCATGAAGTAAGCGAATAGCGTGACTCCAACTGCAACTATGAAGAAACTTCGCAGGGGAACTGGATCGGCAAACGATTGGACCTGCATGCCGAAGATCGAGGCTGCGAACGAAAGAGGAACAAACACAAATGCGAGCTCGGTAAGTCTGCTCACGGCTTGGGCCTCATTGATGGAGCGTCGGCTTTCCAATAAGCCTAAGTTCGACGTGAGAAGCGCCGATGTTCGCTGCAGTCGATCAGACATCTGAGTTATCATCTCGGAAAGCTGCTGGAATTCCCGAAGAACTTTCGGCTCAGTGGCTGGGACGGGTTCGTTTGCGTTGAAGACATGGGGGGCGTCAAGGGAAGCACAGAAAGCAACAAAGGGCTCCAGACAAGCCTGCAGCTCGGCAATCTCTCTCTGCGCATGGCTTATTGCCTGGATCCAAGTTGATAGCTGATCTTCCATTTTTGTCTCGTCGAGAACCCCGACCTCCATTTCATCAAGGCCGTAGTGACTCAATCGCCGAAGGAATGTCAAAGTGTCTTGTTTGATGATGTGGAACACCGAGCTGCCCAACAGGATTGGACCACCATGTTGCTGAATCTCATCACAGAGCCCATAGAGCGTTGAAGAGGAGCGCGTTCTTGTTTCAAAAAATCCCGTTGATTCCTCCGATTCAAAAATCCGATCCAGATCGGCGGCCACGGTGTGGCGGGGAGAGATTTCCTTAATAATAATCTTCTGCAACGACTGCTGAACTGAAAATGGACCAATGAACGAATCATTTTTCATGTTCGCCTTTCGGTTCTCCGCGAGCTTCTTGAGAGACCTGGCCCATTGCATGAGCAAGGGCTCTCCAGTTGCTCTAAACGGTGAATGCCTTTCGGCCTCGCGAGAAATGCCTCTTTCAGCCCATTCGTCGCCATCAGATTCCTCCAAACTAACCTTCACTTCATTTTTGCTCCTTTGAACACGTCCCCAAAACTTGTTCAATTCGAAATTGGTTGTTTCATCACAGGGGTGTAACTCTTCCACCATCGGCAGAGGATCAGTGAGTATTATCACTGCGTAGTGGATTAGTCTTCTATCATCAAAAACATTCGCATCACACAGTGACTTACCAATCTCACACCCCCCAGCAAGTCTTCCTCTCCAGATCGAGATTCTCTCTTCCAAACCACACTCTCTCTGTGTCTTGTTCGCCTGGTCAGGGTTCGTCCATAAACGAGATTCCGATCTGAAGATATTCGTCGCGACACGAGTCCTCACTGTGCCATACCGCGTAAAATGCTCAACAATACTCTGGTTCGAAGGATCTTCCCCGCTCTCGCCACTCGTATAAGAACCCCCAGATTCCGGCATCCCAGTCTTGGCAATATCCTGCATTCTGTAGTTCCAGGAGTACATCGGGAGTCGATAAACAGGTCGAATCCACTTTGTTGAAGCATACGATTTCTCCAGCGCTGCAGTCGTCCACATTTTGGCTGGTAGCATATCATATTCCGCTCCCGCGTATCCGGAGTTGAGCAAATGCTCTTCGAAAAACTCCGGGTTGATGCGAAATGTCTCTCCCAAGGCATGTATTGTCGACCTGGATAGGTCTTGCACGACGAGAACACGTCGGTAGACATCATTGCGTGTATTTGCCAGGTTCCAGATCTGTCGGGCATCTTGAATCTCCTTGGAATACAATCCATATTGCCTGGAATAGTCGTAATGGATCAAGTAAGCCCGGTCGTGGCGAGATGATTTGCAAACATTGCCGTCCCTGATGTGATCCAACACACTTGCTGCATTGTCAAGAGTTCTTTGGTATCGCTGTCGGTATACTGGTCTTTGTGCCGAGTAATATGGCGCTGCAATGACTATGGGCCTCGGCACTTGGGGTGTGGTTTGCATATGCACTTCAGGCGCTTGCGTTGCCACGGCAGGGGGAGTGTGCTGGTGTGATGAATTCAAATAATCCTGTGAATCTCGAGATCCACCTGGATCCGTTCCAAGGTCGCTGCCATTTGAAGAAGATGCATAAGACTCTGGCAGAGGGATATCCTGTGGCAGGATATCCTGTGGCAGGATATCCTGTCCCAACACCTGATTAATCCTGCTACTCCTGCACGAGGTACATGTCAAGGTCGATCTTTGGCTTCCTGAGCCAGAGTTGTGAGAGTGTTCCCCAGACTGTGAGTCTGCGGGAACGTTGCTGCGGGGTCCACCCGGGGACGAAGGGCCTGACTGTGCCAACCAACTGATAATACGATCAGTCGGCTGATACCCTGCCATTAGATGAAGTCCAGCTCCGCAGAATGTCCCATCAAATAAATTTCAGTGACAGCGAGGTCTGAGGAAGAGCCTCAGCCGAAGTGGTCCGAGCTTGTTGTACATCGCCCAATCCGGACTAGGGCTTACCGCGTGTTTAGTGCTGAGGATGTAGATGTGAGCTGGTGCTTATTGCAGGCATTTTCTTTCATGCGGAGTCTGCTTCATATCAAGATGGCTGTATAGGCATCGGAAGTTGCGTCCTCATATTTCACCCAATGGTACGGAGTGCTCATTCATCAACTTGGGGGATGCTCTGAGTACGATTAGATCGAGATCTTTTGAGTCGTACTTTAGCCATATTCAAATGCAAAGCGCTCTATAGCATTTTCAAAGAGCGAATGAACATGAGCTTAAATGCATAGCCAATCTACTGTACATCACTCAAATGAGCCGAGTATGCGGCAACCTTGGAAGCGGTAACTAATCACTCTACTGCATAACAAAGACTAAAGTCACACCTCCAGAGCGTAACAGAAACTTGGGAGGCAACCAGCGTTATATCAGCCGTATTATTATCATAAATCTGTAACGGTACTCCGTGTCGCTTGGAGAAAGACAAACAATCTGTTCACCTGGTAATGTGTACTATTAAATCGGCGCGGGGCAGGAGCAAGTCTCGTCCCACGCAGCGTAAGAAAGAGGGGTAAACTGTTGGGCGTTAAGAAGAGATTTCATCACCTTGGGCTCCTATCTATCTCATAGTGGAGTAAGCCAGCCCCCTGCTTGTCGTTCCTTGCTATGTACATCGTAGCGATCGGCTCCCACGAGCGGCCCACCGAGTACCAGAGCATGAAAGTTATACAAGTACAGATATCTACCTTTGATTTCAAGTCGATGCTAGTAGATATTGAGATATCACTAAGCTGTGGTGCTCTTGGGTGCAATCTTGAAAAGTAGGCAAGTCGATTAAAACCATGGCACTTGGCACATTGGACGTAAACAACTGGCTCTATCACCGTGTCCGCCCCGATTTACAAGCCGATACATGTACGAGTATTTAATTTCCCAGCTGCTCCGTGATCGGACGTGTTGTCTTGAACTGCTTCGTCCGAGATGTCCGCTCATTCACGCTCCCTTAGTACAGTACAGACTAAAATTCACGACTCGGTGTGTACAGTCCGCAAAACCTGAGCCCATTCATGTTTTGTACAACCTAAATTGTTCAAGCAAATTCAATCAAAGTGTGGCATTGCCTGAACCAAGCTCAAAATGAAGTTGATCATGAATTAGGGTTGGCATCCGCGTTATTTCCGCACGTGATCGCCCACAAAGTCGGCCAGGAAATGAGTAAATAAACCCATGCTACAGTGGAATAGAGTGTAGAATATTAAATGCATTGATGCTTTTCTCGTAATAGTGCATAAGTGATGCAGCTAGATCATAATCATATCCTCAAACCAGAGTGAGAAGTTTCAACTCCCTATGTACAGTGCCCATCAGGGCGGGGAGTGGTAAAAGGTGACAGGTACATTAGCACCGTCTTTTGAAAGGGACTGAAACCCTTAGAATGAAAAGTAAAGTCATAAAGTCGCTCAAAAGCATGTCGGAAAGAGGTATCACGCAGGGAACGCCGGAGATAATCATGCAAGGTCAAGAAGGCAAGGCAGGAAAAACAACTCTCAAACCACAGGGGTGCACTGAGCATTGAGAGCCTGGGTGAGAGCCTGAGCTTCCTCCTGCTGCTTGCGTTCCATCTCCATCAAGTACATGGCGTAGGCAGATCGCTTGTTGTGGATGCCGCACTCGGTCTTCTGCTGACCCTTCCAGCGACCAGCACGCTCGTCCTCGCCCTCAGCAACGGGCTGGGTGGAGTGCCAGTCACCAACACTCTTGTAGCCACGGTCGAGGAGCTCGTTGTAAGGAACATCGTTGTCCTTGACGTACTGCTGGACCTGGGAGAAGGACCAGTTGGCCATGGGGTTGATCTTGATGAGGCCGGCCTCGTCGACTTCAACGATGTCGAGATCGCCACGCTTGCCACCCTGGCTGCGGCGACGACCAGTGAGGACAGCGTGGACGTTCATTTCACGGTAGGCACGCTGAGCAGGCTCGACCTTGGCAACCCAGTCGTAGAGTTGGTCGTCAACCTCCCACAGCTTGGCACCGTACTTGGCTTCGAATTCGGCGGTGGTTTCGGTACCGGCAGGCTTGAAGATGTGCACGTTGTTGTTGGGGTACTTGCGGCGGACACGGTCCACCAGAGCCTTGGTCTCATCAAAGTGGTAGAGGGTGTCTAGGAAGATGAGGTCCACCATCTGAGGGCGAGGAACCTCGAGCTTGGAGAGCATATCCAGGGTGACCAGACCAGTCAAGCCGAAGGCAGTAGTCTGGAAGAGATGGGGCAAGGAGGTAATGCACCACCGGAGGATCTCTGATTTCATAGTTAGATACGATGGTCTTCAAATGAGGGGTTCTATCAACACATACCTTGAGGCTCGAGGAACTGCAGCTGACGGTTGAGGAATTGCAGGTGAGGCTTGGTGAAGACAATCTCTGGAACATATTCTTCGCTGGCACCCGAACCAGCACTGACATAGCCAGACTCAGTCATAGTATCACGGGAGTCGAATTCCTCCTTCTCGGAGGGGTAGGAGTCAATCTTGGAGGACATGATGTAAAACAAGCCGGATGATGATATGAAAACAAGAGGCGAACGCGGTTGACTGTTTGAACGATATCAAAGAGATGTTCAAAGTGATCAAATGTATGGCTAGTCACAAAGGCAAGACGCTCAGGATGTTGTAGAGAGTAAAGAGCCAGGCCTCACTAGCAAGAATTATAACGAGGAAGGGCTCTTGCGTGCTTCGATGCTCTACTTCGGAGGCTCCACTATGTTCCATTTTCGGATGGGCCGCTCAGCCAATCAGCGACCCGAACGATGAGGAAATCGATCACGCCATTGTCGCCTCAGGCAGGAATCATAAAATCTCAGGAACGCAGCTCCGGAGTCGCCTTTACCCCGTATTGGTAATCGCTGCTGATTCACCTGGGCAAATTCCATCGGCTTCTCTGCGATTGGGTTTGTGATCAAGCTTCCTATGACGTGTTAGTCCTGGAGATGATCCTATACCTCAGTACTTACTATAACAGGATTTCAGAAGCACATCACTATGGTACTCCCATATCATCTCTTGTGATTTCACTCGATGTCATGGTGGATCCTCTGTACAAGACCTGCTGTGCGGTACGGAGTACATTACCCTGAAATTCGGGATTGAATGTGGGTCGCTTTCATTCGCCGTTGTCGCTAGGGTTGATCACGGTCGGAAGTAGCGGCACGCTATGAAACAAAGGGTTGATTGGCCTGGGTGGGGCTGTTTGCAAAGGAACTTGTACCGCGAGAACATTGTATGTAATTAGACCAAAGGGTTCATGTCGTTTGTCCAGTGTTCTGGATAGATAGTATGCAGGTAAGCTCAATATTGAGGGGCTCAATGGAGAAGCTCACCGCCTTCCTAGGTGATCAGATGTCCGGGGCCACATTTTGCCGATCCGAGTAGTAGTACTCCGTATTCTGTCTATTCCAGGCTCCCATCAAGTGCCAGAACGAGTAGTACTCCGTACACTCAATTTTGGAATATTCGCATCTTTGAGAAATGCACATGAATAGTGGTCGCAGGAAGTACTAGTAGCGTCATGGATTGGCTCCTCAACTAGCATAGCAGCTCGTAGTCATTCAATTCAAAGCACTAAACTTAGGGCAGTTATTCCTCTTCGTGGTTCTGCACCTCCAAGGCTGACGTTGAAATTAGTTGAGCTCAGACTGGAAGCCGGCGGGAGCCATGCACGAAGTGGGTCCTTCCACCAATGATGTGCGTCATTGAGTGCGCTAACAGAAACCCTATTGGGCGAACGCCCCATAGGCTTGGAGATCAGCGGTGTTTGGAAACACTCGGGATGTATGGACGGGGTTCGAAGGCAAAAGCCGAAATTTCCACATCATGCTCATCAGGCACTAGAACAGCTAGCAGGAGCAAGATAGCAGGTGGGCTCTGAACAGCCTACCTAGTATGACCTATCTGTAATCTGGTATCATGGAAAAAAAAAATCAAGAGAGCCCAGCAGATAAGTGCGTCCATGACTATGGGGATATAGCCCTAGGTGTCTCCAAGGCTCTGTGATCAAAGCTGCCACTAACATCGGTATCATGTATTCAGTCCAATTTCCATTGGCTTCCAAGGTTGCAAGTGAGTTCGAGCAGCCTGTGGGGACGGGGGCGATGGCCGGTTTTGCAAATCTGCTAAATATCACACCAGGGAATATCGCCCCGGAAGCTCATTTGCAGCCTGTATCATCTCCTGGTCGGATGCCGATATAACTCAGTCGGCTTGGAACAGGTTCCCGTTGTCAGCGACAACCAGGACTGAACCCTGGATTGACTCGCTGCATGTCAAGTATGGAATATAGAATCTTTTGTCCATGCGTGACTTATGTTGCGACGCAGGAAACTCCATTCTGACCAAAGCCACGAGGCAGCAGTTCCTTATCTCCACACTGATTCAGCGCCAAAGTTCGAAAATTAATATACCAGAAAGCTGTATGTATATCAGCAGAGATATCAAAGTCCTTTGCCATAGGCGACCTACTCATCGAGAAGTCAATTTAGGAAACAAGCGCTTGTACGATCCATATCATCTTCTAGCGTCGCGGGCGATGGTCTGCCATGTAGAGTTGCGGCGAGTCTCCTGGCATATCGCTGAGTCACTTTTTTGGTCCACCTATATGTTGAAACGACGAGAGGTAATATTTCGTCGTTTCCTCGACATCTGTATCCGCCCACAGTGCGCTTGATTCGGTCGGAATCACACGTCATGTTTGTCGGCAGGAGGGCTAGGCTGGTAGTAGAACTTGCCGTTATCCTCGGTGGGCTAGTATCCGAATTCGTAGACTGAATAGAATGGTAGAATGGCTGATCAGCTTACCACTTTCCACCCCTTCACGCTGTCGTTCTGTCGCCAGACACTTGGGAGACATCATGTTCGGGGCCATTAGCGATATACCAGACCATGATTTGCCGGCATTGTCTCTGATCATGGGAGAATTGCGAGGTAAAAGTGAAGTTATGACGAGCCCTATAGCTTGAATTTGAATTCAAGAGGCACTGACTTGTGACAGAGTAAACTGTTGATAAATCCATCCCACCCAGTGATATTTCATGTCAAGGAGAGTCAGCAAAGATGATTAGAAGCTTGGAAGAAGCTTGGAAGTCTGGGCGATATTAAAGTGAGCTTAATTAAAACCAAATGGCTGGATTCGAACATAGTGAAAGTGCATGAATGTCTCGTCCCTACCCTCTAGATTCTTTCCTCTTTCCTTCTTACCTCTGTCACCTTCCACATTTGACCTCTGCATCCTGGCTCATTACAAACAACCATCATATTCATCCAACTATCAACTTCATCCGAGGTACGTATAACATGTCTAGGTCAAATCCTCATCGAGACATATTTGATCCTCAACTTCAGTCACAGACCATGACCCCGGCTCCACTATGGCAGGATGGGTGGTCCTCGACCCAGGAGGAAGACGAACCCCAGGTTCCTCAGGGTGCTGACTCTGTCGCCCCTGAAATGACGGTCCGTTTAAATCCTCAACTAAGCAGAGCAGTCTTCTAAGCAAAAAAGCAGAGCACCCCAATCCAGATACTTGAGGAGTGTCGGGCCATCCGGGCACGCATTTCCAGCCTGCGAAGATTTGCCCAAGAAGGCCATCGAGATATAGCTAGTATGCAGGCAGTACTGCGGAGCTATCAAGAGCAGGGGGTGGATGTGGAGATTTGGCGTGTTGTGCGCGAGTTGATTGACCGTCGCCGTCACGAGGTCGAAGAGCTCGAAAGGGTCGCCTTCTGACTGACCTACAACCTGGGGGAGCTCTATCTCGCACTCGGATGGTTTGAATAAGAATCAGAAACCAACTCTAGAATTCTCAAACTGTCATCCCAAATAATTACTAAATTCACATGCTTGAAGAGTACCGGATCAAAGACGGAGTCTATGCCTCCGAAGATCCGCAGAGAAAGGATACCAAATTATCGCGGTCATGCAAGCAAGACTTAAGACATACGAAGAGCTGGGAGGAGATATCCACGTCCAGTGGGCTTACCGAGATTTGATTCACCAACGCCAGGGTGAATACAGTGAAATGGAAAGGGTGGCTTTCTGGTTGGGCCACACTCTCCGAGAGCTGGAGCTCTCGCTTCAACAGTTCGAGTAGTCTCAAAACATCAGAAATTTTCAAGTTGCCATCCTCAATAAATTCCAAATTTACATGCTCGAATAGTACCGGATGATACAAAGCCGGATTCTACGCCTCCAGAGATCTGACGTGCTGTGCGAGATTCGATTGACCGACGCTGTGACGAGGTCAGCGAGGTAGAAAGGATAGCTTTCTGGCTCACCCTCAATATGGGGGAGATCAGCCTCGCGCTTGGAGAGTTTGAATATGAACCACAAAGAAAAACTCGGAAATCCTCAAGTTGGCATCTCAGACAATTTCCGACGCAGTAGAAAAGGTACAATGTAGGGCTACGCGGCGGTTTCATTGGCCGCCAAGGAAACCCCCACTATCAACGTCCATCACGTGTCGTGCGACGATCCGATTATTTTCCTCTCGCCGAGTAATTTGCATCCTCACTTCACTCTCGATAGACAATGGCAGAATCCAGTCGTCCCACGCGGCCCTCGCTCGGCCAAATGCGCAGCAGCTCATTCCTGCAGGACCACCAACAGTATAAGCCGATGGCACCGGTCAACCAGATCAACCAAAACATCGGAGAGGTTCTCGCAAACCAAGTGGACGACCTAGCCTTGAACGCCAACCCAATCAAGCCCGATCCCGAGCGTGTCACCGACAGCGGAATCGTCCACAACATCTTCAACCACCACGAGAACCCCCTCCCAAGTGGCACCGCGCAGATTGTCGCAACCATCTACTACAAATCCGCCAACCCAGTCCACCCGCACTACCACCCCGATGCCTCGCCCAATCCCGCCTCTCAGATCCCACCTCCCACCGTCCCCGAGGGTTCGGCCCCAACAGAAGATATGGACAAGTTCCCGCGCGAGCCTCCCGCGCCAGAGCCAGAGCCACTGGATCACCTGTACGGCCCGTATGTCTCGCAGATGTGCTTGACCAACTTCCTCCAGATCCTGGAGAGCTTGCCCACGCCTTACCAGCGTATGAACACCTCGCACCGGTGCTTGGATCGGGAAGAGAACCCCCGCGTCGTGGAGGTCACTTTCTCGCCCCCGCCGAACCCGGATTACCTCTCTTTCCCAGATCTGCGGAAGCATGAGAGTATCTGGCGCTTTGAGCGCGAGTGGAATGTCGAGGTGGTTTTGCAGCAGGAAAATGTGTTCCGGCGCCACAAGCGTCTGGCTGTCTTCGATATGGATAGCACTCTGATTGACAATGAGTGTATTGATGAGATTGCCAAGTTCATTGGTGTTGAGAAGCAGGTCTCGGTATGTTTTGCTCTAGCTTTGTCTCTACTTTGCCCTGGCTGAAACGATTAGGACATCACTGAACGCGCTATGAACGGCGAGCTGGACTTCTCCGCATCTCTGCGCGAGCGCGTCGGACTTCTCAACGGTGTCCCCGCCGATGTCTTCGAGAAGCTCAAGTCCGTCTTGAAGATTGCCAATGGTGCGCGTGAGCTGTGCCGTGCCCTGAAGACTCTGGGCTACACACTTGCCGTTGTCAGCGGTGGATTCCAGCCTCTGGCTGAATGGCTGGCCGCACAGCTAGGCATTGACATTGCCGTTGCCAACCACGTAAGCTTCTTTCCCAACCTTGTCTACCAATCCATCTAACATCACCAGCTCGAAATCGACGAGGCCACTCAAACCCTAACTGGCAAGCTGGTTTCCTCGTACCCGATCATCGATGCCGCCCAGAAGCGCACACTCCTCGAGTCTTTCGCTGCGGAGCGCAACATCCCCATTGCGCAAACCATGGCTGTTGGAGACGGCGCCAACGATCTGCTAATGTTGCACGCTGCAGGCCTCGGCGTGGCTTGGCGTGCCAAGTCCAGGGTCCAGCTGGAGGCCCCGACCCGCATCAATGGCCAGAGCCTGGTCGATGTCCTTTACCTACTTGGTCTGGATAACGATGACATCGCGCAGCTGACCTCTCAGTGAGTTGTAGATGGGCGAGTGCCTTTGTAGAGCATATAGGCTGCCCTCATCAGGTGGATGATACCCTTTGAAGTTGGACCGCCCCAGAGCGGTTGGGTTGGCGATTTTGGAGTTGTCTGTCCAGAGGTGCCGACGGCGGGGATAGGTAGGAGTTGCAGCGTAGAATGCATGGGTTGGTTGAGGCTGTATGAACTGGGCTGAATGTTCCTAGCCATGCTTTATGACAACGCACGACGTTTCGGGTATGAATGAATGCTATCTGGATGATTTGAACTACAAGACCCTTGGTTACGAGATGTAGCATGGACAAAGTCTATCATTTTTGGTATCGAGTTTAAAGCTGGAACAAGTTGATTTGCAGTTCAGCTTTGATTAGAAACAAACAGGATTGCACGGTTAAATGATGATACAGAGCACAATTCCTGTTGAAATGTTGAAATGGCAAACGACCCCTATACAAACCCCATACCAAGAACCCTAATATGCAAGAAAACTCCGGTAATATAAGCACGAAGATGAACGAATGGGACGGAAGGTAGATGTTGAGGAGTTGAAATCACTGGGTAGCTTCCTCTGCGGGGGCAGTAGTCTTCTCGACTGTTTCCGCGGAGCCACCGGAGCGACGCTTCTTGAGAACGTTCTCGATGAAGGCTTCACCAGCCTTGTAACTGCTACGAACCAAGGGACCGGAAGCACAGTACAAGAAGCCCATATCAAGGGCGCGCTGGCGCCACAGCTCGAAGCGATCAGGAGTCACGTATTCATGCACAGCCATGTGACGCTTGGTAGGACGCATGTACTGGCCGAAAGTCACCACGTCGACATTGACAGCACGAAGCTGGCGGAGGGCATCCCAAAGCTGCTCATCAGTCTCACCGAGACCGAGCATGAGCGAAGTTTTAGTGATGAGATCCGGGCTAGCCTTCTTAGCAGCATCGAGCACTCGAATGGACTGCTGGAAAGTGGCGCGACGGTCACGAACAAATGGCGTAAGCTCCTCGACCGTCTCAACGTTGTGCGCGTACACATCCAGTCCAGATCGCGCAACCAACGCCGCCATCTCCAGATCGCCCCGGTAGTCACCCGTCAAACACTCGACCAACATGCTGGGCTTCTTCTGCTTGATTTTGATAACGGTTTCAGCAAAGTGACGGGCGCCACCGTCAACCAGATCATCACGGTCCACACTTGTCAGAACAACGTATCCCAAGCTCCAGCGGGAGATGGCCTCTGCTGTGTTCTCGGGTTCGTGGGGGTCGAGGGGTGGCGGCGCGCGGGAGGTCTTGACACTACAGAAGCGACATCCTCGGGTACAGGTATCACCCATCAACATGATGGTCGCAGTGGCGGAAGACTTGTCGCTACCGCCCCAGCAGTCGGAGATGTTGGGACATCTGGCTTCCTCGCAGACGGTGTGCAGATTGAGGCCTCGCAAATCCTTCTTTAAGCGCTGATAGTTCTTGGAGTCGGGAATCGGGGTCTTCAGCCACTCGGGCAGGCGAGTGATTTCCTTCTTGCGGCCGGCGGGTCCGGCGAGGGCAGTCTTGAGGGCGTAGGCTTCGTTGGGGTCAAGGGGGGGCTCACCGCCTCCAGAGACGAAATCGGAGAACGAAGGTCCGGCATTCAGCTTATCCCGGAAGGTCGTTGCTTTCCGCCGCGTGGTGGGTGTGTTGGTAGCGGATGAGGAATCGGTGGTAGCATAGCTGCGTCGAAGAGCAATTCCTGCTGCAGCGGGACAGGGAGTGGGCTTGAGGGACGACAAGTGTCGTAGGGTTCTAGTTGGAGCTGCCATGGTGTGTAAATTGGTGTAAGAGTGGTAAAAAGGCGACATGGAGTTTGAACCTTGGAAGGTTCGCCGGCCGGGAAACTAGGCTTAGTCACGCTCGCCTCTCGGAGCGGAAACGGGAAACTTTGCAGATGATCGGTCCACGATTTACATAGAGACACTGTGGAGTATTATTACTGTTGGTATATGGAGTAATTTTGATATAGATTATCAACGAGGGAAGTCCTAAATCCAAGCACCAAACGCAATGCGAGGGTATGTGTAAGAAGCAAAACCAACAACAGATGACAAAGAATATGAAAGAAATGGCGATAGACATGATTGGAAGGGTATGAAGCCAAGGAGCGTGGTATAATGAGACAGCAAGGAAAACTCGACAGAGTGAGGAGAGGTAAGGCAAGATGAACGGAGAGAAGATGATTCCCGTAGGTAGGGGTGTGAAGTTGATCAGGAGACAAGGAAATTTTGACAGGAGTGCCAGGTGAAGATAATGTAAAGAGATTGTGCGCGCGTAGATAGGGAAGGAAAGTTCACAGAGGTCGACTAAGATTTTGTTTCGAGGACTTGAGCAAGAACTTCAACGGCTGCTTTGAGAGTTGGGTCAGATCGCCCACACATGGAAGAGAGGAGGTTATCAACGATTCGCTCAAGATGCGGGCGAAGTTTCATGCTGCGAGATGCAAAGGGATGGGCTTTTTTGGTAGGTGCTGCAGGGGGAATCTGTATTCCCAGCGTGCTGTATGCTTTTGCTGGAACGGAGTCGGGGATCCAGTCGTGACGAGTAGAGACAGATGGGGCGCTGCGATGAGCAGATGAGAGAGATAGAAGATAGTTTCGTGCGAGAAGTGCGGCACATAAGCAATCGAGATGACTCTCGGAAACCTTGGGAAAGATTGTTCGGAAGGGTTTCATGAATGGTTCCTCGTCGCTTTTGCGTAAGAAAAGGATAACCGGGGAAGTAAGTCGGAGCATGTTGCGGGGGAAGTCCTTTACAGAATGATCCAGCTCATCCAGAGTCCACTCATGGTCATCCAAGTTCCAGTCTTGGGGCCATAGCTGTGGTTTATCCTCCTGCTTGTCGGACTTGTTCGAGTTGTGTCCTGGCGATGGGGGTGGTGCTGGCGATGATGCTTTGGGGCTTACGCTTCCAGAGCGTATTTCGAGTGATTGAAGTTCGCGCTCTCCCTGCGCGGACTCAGGCCTATCGCAAACAACCGTTGACCCAACGCTGTCGGAAGAAGTGAGTGAGCCTGGGTCTGTGTATGCATCGTCGTCGTCTTCAGGTTTGCTGTCATAGCTGTCGAACGAATATCCAGAATCACGGGTGTCATAACCACTGTCTGACACATCCATTGGCGTGTCAGGACTGAATGCGGAGACTTCCTGTAATCGCTGGTCAGGTGTCGTTGGGACGGCATGACGGGACACAGGAAGAGGCGGCGGGGGCGGCAGCGGCAGTGAGGCTGTGGGAGATTGTCTCCCGATGTCAACCAGCTTTGGTTTCGCGTTGCTTATAACCGCAAAACGCTGGGTACATTAGCATAGAACAAGTCGGATGGGGAATGTAACTAACCACAGGCTCCTCCAGTGCTCGCGCGCCTGGTATGATATCTAGATCGGGCATTGGGGGATCGTTCTCAACGATCTGGAATTTTCGTCTGTTATTGAATTCTCTGGTCGGGCTGCCTTCGTCGCTGAGTCCGTCTGTTGGCACACCTTGAAGCCACCGCTCGCAGTCTGAAATTTCCCTTGGATCCCAGCTTGCCTGACTTGAAACTGTTGCAGTACGTGAACGTTGGGGCCTAGGAGATCTTCCTGGTGGGAGGTCTTTCGAGCTATAGGCTGAGCTTGGTGACTTCAGTGGTGATTCATGGGTCTCAGATGGTGGCTTTGTGTTTCCTTCATTGCCAGACTCGCACTGGCGAGCGAGCTCTGAGTGTGCCTCGTGAATATTCATCACATCAGTACGAGGTTGATTGTTCCAATCAGATGAGCGATGGGGCTGACGCCTCAGCGTATCATCGATGTTGAACCCAGAAGCCGTCGGTGTAAGGTCCTCCTCAGCATAGTTAGACTGAGGCGATTCCAGTTCTTCAACTATCTGATCATTTGTCTCAGCCACCTGAACAACCCGATCAGTTTCGTCAGAATGTTTCACTTGGTGTTGGTCATCATTGAGATCTTCGTTTGGATCTTCCCTGATGTCACAATTAATGTCGCATATTCGTTGGCTGGTATCAGGCTCCGTATCATTGCTTTCAGTCGATGAAAACGAGAAGTATGAAGACTCCGGGCCTGCGCTGGAAGGTCGTGATTCAGACATTGGTGGGCTTGGTAAGAGGCCGAGACCTCCAATATCACATTTCAAATTTTGATCCGATGCCCACGTTCTGAGAGAATGACCCCCTCGCGGTCTTGGTGATCGGGCTGGCTTGTCTGGGAAATTTGTCGGTCCGCCATCCATGGATGCCGGCGAGACCGGAAGTCTGAGTTGAAAAGGTTCTTTCATCCTCCGCACTGAGCGAAACGGCGACATGCATGCCGGCGACCGCTCCGCGGGCTTTCTTGGTGATGGCCCTGATAGATTATGGGTTTCTATCCGGGGCATGTCTGGGGATGGTACAAAGGATAAGGAAGGAACCTGTTTACTCCGCCTTCTGGGTTGATAGGTAGGAGACCACCGGCGTGGCGAAGGAATAGGGTCGGCCATTGGCGACGTATCGTGGCTCACAGCCGACGAGTGTGAGTCCTGGTTCCTAATATGTGTTTGGATTCGGGCCGGAAGGTGAGCCCGCCTAGACATACTTGTGGCACCGCAGTCCATCCTGGACAAGGGTCACCTGGTTGAAGTTGCGAGTCAATGTCGATGAGGTAGCAAAAAAGCAAAGTGGTGGCACAAGTAAGACGTCGATGAGATTAAGCTGGTTGTTTATTGTTGGAAGCAAAACAAATGGACTCTGTCCATGCAGGGGCTCGATATGTCCTTATACAGCGACAGTGGCGCTAGTCCACTAATTTCAGAGTGGATAGGGTCAGGCTCAAGTGGACATCCCTTGACAGGACCAACACCCTGCCATGAGGAACCCCGAAAATGTTCAGCAGGACTCCCCCTTCACGCCGAGAGTGATCTAGCACGAACTCCGTCCAGGCACGGGCCACAGCAACAATACAGACAATAGGGAGAATGAGGTCGCGTCATCCTTGCATTCCAAGGAATATGAGCAACTGGGACAACGGATGGCTATTGGCTCCAGATCTCGATATGTAGCCTGCAGCAGCCCGTCAACGTGGAGAGGTCCCCATCGGGCGTCTCGTCTCGTCATAGCCAAGTGTGAGTGGGGACCAGGAATGAGACAAATTGGATGCATGAGAGGGAAAAGCAGACCCGTAGCGAATCAGGCCCTTAGCCAGGGCAACAGGATCGTCCTGGAGGGTGTATTAAAGCGGATCTTCATTGGACCTTGTCTCGTCGCAACAGCAATGCGCCCTTTCCGCGATCCCTTGCATGCAACTGGGCCATACCGAGTCGGAGGGTGATATTCGCATGTTCAGCTGAGGTTTGAATATAAATGCTTGACCACAGCTTGCAACCGCGCCCGGTCAGCAATCCTGAGGGAAATGAGGGCAGAATCAGAATATGTTCCGAAGAGTTGATACCTCATACAGCTGATCTCAGATCGGCCAACTAGCGCGCATGGGGATGACAGGTCGAACTTGTACGCGAGGTAATATAAAACCAGCCGCAATTATTTGAGAGAGGTTGAAACATAGCCAGTAGAGATATAATTAGCACAGCTGCACTGCAGCAGCTCAATGCCAATTTCAGCCGTTCGTACGCAGTAGAGTGCAGAGTGCAGAGTAGAAAGTGGATGCCTCACAGCCCGGTGGAGTGGGTGCAAACGGAGCAAACACCTTATCGACGATTCAGAAAAAAAAAGCTCGGAATGCCTTTTTGTCACTACGCTCGATAGCCTCATTCCTCATGCTTTCCGAATCATTTGTGGCGTCGACCCTGTCATCCGCTAAATCTCCGACAGCCTCGCTCAGAGATGTAGGGATCTGCGTGCACGAATTGCAGCCTTCGTCGATCCTGCGGTCGACCTTCAAGAAGAGCTCGACAACAACCAATTGTCTGGCAGTCAGCCCCTCGCATATATTCACAGCCCAGGCAGATAAGGCCGTGCTCCACGTTTACAGCCGCGAGAAGGGAAATCAAGAGGGAATCGTCCCCTTCCCCGAACGGATACGCAGCATTGCCGTTGCGGGCGGAAAGTATGGCGATATTCTAGTTCTGGGCACTGAGGGTGGCCGTTTGATCCTCTGGGAGGTATGTGGATACAAATCTCTTCTATGATCGCCCATCTGACCACCGTGAAGACTTGTACAGGACGCCAAGTCGCCACTACGGCATCTCATTTGCAACCAGTGACCTCCCTCGTAATCGACCCGACCTCCAACTTCATTCTATCCGGATCTTCCGATGCCATTGTGCATGTCTGGTCGTTGCCTGGTATTCTCTCTTTCTCCAAGCCTGCTCTGAGCGCAACTCGCCAACCCACCAACTCGCCCATTCGGACCTTCTCTGGCCACCGCGCAGCTATCACCTCTCTCGCAGTCGGACACAGCAATGGCCGGAATAACATCGTAGTATCAACCGCGAAGGACAACACCGCCATTGCGTGGGACTACCACACAGGTCGCGCATTGAGAACTTTCCTCCTTCCCTTTTCCGCCATCTCTGTCACTTTGGATCCAGTCGACCGTGCTTTCTACGTGGGATATGAAGATGGCAGCGTCCAATCGGTAGACTTCTACCGAGGCCACTCCGCACAGCACGCCCTGCACGACCCATCCGTGCAGTCAACCCCAGTCCAGGTCTCCACCGAAGACCGGTGGCTTCCTCCATCCGCCGAATCAGGATCGGCGAACACACTCTCCCTTACATATGACGGGACCACCCTACTCTCTGGCCATGCGAATGGCAAGATTTTGTCTTGGAATGTTGCGCGCCGCAAGTATATCACCTCAGTGGCTGACTACACGCATCCCATCACGGACCTGGTGATGCTTCCACCCGGTGGAATCCCCCATCCATCCTCGGACTTGCACCGGAAAGCACACACAGTCGTAAAGCCGCGTCATGACAATGCCCTCTCCTCACATGTTCCGGGCGCCGTGCCCTCAGAGTACATGTTCCACACTCAGATCACCGCACCAACCAGCCGCAAACCCACGCAATTCTCCCAAGCACTCACCCACGCCTCATTCCCCGACTCCATGCTTGACGAAGGCCTAGCAGAACTCGCTGCCTTCGGCCAGCCGGGCACAGAAGTCCGCGCAAATGTCGCCAGGCCTCAGGCGGCCCCTGTGGAAGACTCTCGGGCTCAGGTCACGGAGTTAGAGAATGAGGTGTCCGTGCTCAAGAAGAAGGTCGCGGTGAATGAAACCGCTCGTCACAATGCGGACGACGAGGTCGTACAGCTGCGCTCGGACCTTGCCAACCTGCAGGACTACATCAATGAGCTCCATGAGAAGCAGGAAGCTGCTCGGAAGGCGAAGGTCCAGCGCCGAGCAAGGAAGCAGGAGCGTGAGACGCAGAGACGGGAAGCTTGGCTTGCTGCCGAGAAAAAGGGTCAGAGTGGAGACGCGGCAGTTCAGAAGATGGACGTCGACGCTAGCAGTGACTCGGATGAGAGTGATTAAAAGTTTGCATGGGATCGGCGCAGGTTTGGATTACCACGTATATATCCTTGGGCTTTGGGCAGGTAATTCAATTATACTTCCACGTTCATGGTGGACATTATACTTCATCTCTCTTATACTTCATTTCTTATATACTCCACCCCCTAATTTGACTGTAAATTTGCCTGAGTCTCTACCACACAATTAATCTATCAATTTTGGAAATTGTGACCACTTTCGTTCCCTTAACTCAGGTACCAGGCAACAAGGGCAAACGGCAATTGAAATGCTGATCAGGGCCAGGGAGTTCTCGCGGCAACCCCAAAGGGGTCATGCAGGGCTCCCGGCGCGCAAGGATCAATATAATTTGTTTCAACACGTCCAAGGCTACAAGCTACAGGTGACGGTCCTTGCTCAAATGCAGACAATCCGGTGATGCACCCTTGATATTGTCTCCGATCATATCGGCTTTTCCAACATTGGAATCTATCCGAGAAGCCCTACAGAACATCCCGACCTCGAGAGGCCTTCACAGGCACTCTAGGGCCCAAGTTCTAGGAAACAGCATGACTCGCCCCCTGTTCTAGGATCTCGCCCTCATCCATCTCTTGCATGATCTTCACCCCGTTACTAGTCCCGATCCGATGCGCACCCGCCTTAAGCATCTTGACCACATCCTCCGCCGTGCGTAGTCCCCCACTCGCCTTGATCTTAGTACTGCGTCCGCACATATCGGCCGCAATCCTCATTAGCGTAACATCTTGAGTACACGCACCCCCTTCCCACCCGGTACTTGTCTTCACGAAGTCCGCACCGGCCATACAGGATACGATCGTCGCATCCAGCAACTCGTCTCGGTCCAGCACGGATGCCTCGATAATCGTCTTCAAGACAATAGGCGGCGGTGCTGCTTTCCGGACTGCAATAATATCCTACGCATGTCAGTCATGAATGTAATTTACAATTCCATAATCTCCCCATACCTGGTATACTTCCGTATACCGACCCTCTTTCAAAAGACGGTAATGGATCACCATGTCCAATTCCGAAGCGCCTTGCGAAACAGCCTCTTGTGCCTCGCGGACTTTCGACGCCGTCTCGTGCGTCCCCTCAGGAAAGGCAACGACACATGCGATAGTAGTGTCTGAACCCTTGAGCTGGGCCACGGCCCTAGGAACATTTTCAAGACGCACGCAGACGGTGGCGAAGTTGTGTTCGCGGGCTTCGGCACATAGTTTGTCGATTTGGGATGGTTCGACGGGCTCGGACAGCAGGGTGTGGTCGATGGTTCGGTGCACGCCGAGTGGGATTGGAGGTTGAGAGAGAACCCGGTCAGGTAGGTTCTCTTTCATCTTGGAGATTTTCTCCGCCCATTCTGCGTCTGTGGCTGGAATTGCACTCATGGTTGTTTACAATGCTGAATTGTTCCCAGCCGAAGTCCGATGTACCTTTTTCCCCTCTTGCCAAGTCGAGGCGATGTGACGTGGCGTTCATGTCATGTTGACCAGTTGTGGCGCAGAGGCCGAGTACGTGCAGTATACAGTAGAGAACTTGCTATTCGATCTACAGTTATAAGCTTTGGATGTACTAGGTAGTGCATTGCAGCATCTGGGCATGCATCGCATATAACACCGACTCTCTGGACTATCACTGAATCCCCTTGTGCACATATCTCAACTCTCAAGATCTCTGGGAATGTCACGGCCACTTTACCCGCAACCACCGCCGCACCGGGGTCCGCTGGAGTCCGTGGCCCCGCGGAAGTCGTCGATGCGACCTACGCGTCGCGGACCCGATCCCGGCCCATCACCTCGGCCACTGCCCCCTCCGGAAGAAGAGTTTCCCCAGCGAGGGCGCGTGTTGGATTTGTTTCCAGTGTGGTGGATGTTGAAGGAGGAGTTCTCGGCGGCCGCGTAGGAGTCGAGCTGTAGACTGTCAGATTCGATTCAGGAGGGAGTGACCCGCGTGCGAGGCGAGGCCATGTGAAGGGCGCGAAGGACTGACCGCGAACAGACTGCTGAAGTACAGGCCGAAGAAAAAGTAGATGCTCTCGAAAAAGCGGCTGAACCGCACAGTTATCGGGGGGCTGTTGCCAGTTAGCGTGGTTCCAAGGCAGAAGTCGGTCGCAATAGGAGTATTCACGTCTCGAGTAGTTCTCCATTGGAGAAATAGCTCTTCTTTGGTGCAGACATGGTTGCCAGGTGAGTTGGTTGATCGAGACCGGGAAGATTGGAGATGGAGTGATCAGCCCGGATCCACAAATATATAGCCGCAAAGTGGGCATTGTCAACACTCTACTCCGTACACTGTACAGTATGCCAGTACAGTACACTGCACAACCTTTGAAGTTAATGAATTATTTTGCTTTAGATTCAACTTTCTCCGTTATATTTTCATATTTTCATATTTCATATATGCATATCTCGGGGTATTTAATGCTCTATATACACTGCCATGCAAGTCGCTTAAAATCCAAAATGTGACGAATCACGCCTTCTCAGCCAAGTCGGCCACCACCTCTAATTCACCCTGCAGCCCATCCAGTCCATGGAATCCTTCCTCAATCACCCAGCGCTGGCCCTGTGGATTATGCAAAACATGACAACTGGCTCCAACAACAAGCAATCCCGGTGGACGGGAGCCCGCCTCCTCGAAGGCAAGGCAGACATGTTCCAACGTGGAGCGAATCACGCGCTGATCCGGACACGACGCCCGCTCGACAATCGCACAGGGTGTCTCCTTGGGCCAGAGAGCACGTGTCCGCTCGCCACCTTCGGGGAACGATGTGAGGGAGTCGATCAAAGCAGAGAGTCTGTGGAGAGCCATGAGGAAGACGACCGTCTGTGTGGGGACGTAGGTCGGGGGATTGGGAGCCGCCCCCTTCCGACCTGTTCCAGTGCAGATGAGGACCTGGTCTGAGACGCCGCGGTGAGTGGCGGGGATATCGGCGAAGAGGGACGCGCTCATGGCGCTGGTGATACCGGGCAAGACGACGGGTGAGTAGCCTTCGTTCCGGAAGAATTCGAATTCCTCCGCGCCGCGCCCGTAGAGGTACGGGTCACCCTGCTTGAGACGAAGGACTTGGCGGCCCTGTTTGAGGGCCGCGAGACCCATTTGCAGGAATTCTTCCTGGGCCTGGTCTGCGTTGCCAGGGAATTTGCGGGCGATGTGGACTTCTGTGCGGCGCGGGATGAGATCTAGAACTGGGGCGGGGACAAGCTTGTCTGCGAGAATGAGATCGGCGTTGTGGATTGCATGGTAGGTTGCGCGGGTGAGGAGGTCAGGATGACCTGGACCGGAACCCGCCAGTACAATCTTCCCTTGTTTGGAGACTGATTCGGCGCCGTTTGTGCTGCTTGCGGGGGTTTTGGTTGCCGTGTAGGCATTGAGGATGGTTTCCATGTCTGCATCGGTGATGGAGACGAGCTTCCGAAGAGGCCAGTATTCGCAGATCTGGGATAGCCAGCGGACTCTCCTTGTCTTTGCGGCGGCGGCATCGCCTTCTGTGATGAGGTTGTTGAAAGTGTGCTTCTGGCCAGTGGTGTCGTCATCCTCTGCATCGAAGGCGGTCTCACCGGAGCCCGCCGCCTGATCCTCTTCCCACAGGCGCTTGCGCACAGCACCCAGTCTGTCAATAGCCGATCCAAGATTCTGCGGCAAGAATGCGGCAATCTCTCGGCGCAGGCGAGATGCAAGCTTGCAGCCACGCCCCGAGGTCGTGATACCAATATGCAGAGGTCCATCGGAATATGTCGAGAGAAGCGTGAATGAGCAGAGCTCAGGAGCATCTGACACATTAACAGGGATTCTCAATCGCTTGCAGAGCTTGGAGATATGCGCATCTATGTGAGGTTAGTGACAATGTCCCGACGACTTCGGTTCGAGACATACTCTGCAGGTTCGTGCCACCACCGGTGACAAAGACCAAGTCCACCACATAGTCCACTTCTTCCCTGCCCAGGACACTCACGTCCGTATCTTGGAATTCCCGATTGACCCACTGGGCCGCGCCGCTTGCGATATGCTCCGCGAGAGTGAAGTGCATGTCTGCAGTCTCTGGGGCTAGGATGATCGGCCTTGCGCCGACCTCGATACTCTTGGCGCATCGTGCGCCGGCGAGAGAATTGGATCCGACAATGAGGTGGACTTGGGAGTCTGTGTTCCACGCTGCCATTAAAGGCGCGGGGGTGGGATCCCTGGCGTCTTTCATGACTCGAATGCCAATGCTCGAGGGTAGAAGAAGTCGAGCAGATATAAATGGGACCTTTGTGATCCAATGCCAAATCCCCGACGCCCCGCGGAGATGAGTAAAAGGCCGGATGCGATTGATCACTGATAAGAGGATAAGGATAAGCCCCGCGGAGTTGTCCACTCCTTCAACGCTGGGTTTTGATGTCCTGTATGTACTCTTGAGTACTGAGGAATGAAATAGGAATCAATTGAAGTCCAAAGACAACCCTGGAAAGATACAATGAGTCAAGGTGAGTGCCCATACTTTTTTTCTCGAAGTATACAGAGCACGCCATCGGGGCCCACTGCCTTACATAACAGTCTTGGCATCCCGAGGTCCCGACCTCGGGAGGTCTATAAAGAGTATTATATTATCATTCAATATACTGTTACATATATATTAGTACACAGGATGAAGTCGCATTCAAAGCCTGCGGAAGCCGCTCTCCATCAACATTTGTCGGGTAGTGAAGGTCCCACCGATGAGTCGCGTGAACTGGCTGATTGGGAGCTTGTCCTCCAGCTTCTCGTATTCAATGGCGATGCCCATAAAGCTTTCGACGGAAACAACATGCAGCCGCAGGTCACTGAGGTCGTATTCCAGATTATCCTGGTAGCTGGCCGCGGGGTCGGAAGTGGGATCGTTGAGAGGGAGAGGCCCGCAGCCGGGCTTGAGTCGTTTGGTGGCAAAGAAGGCAAGACTAGGGACGGCCTGGATGAGATCATTGGCCGACCATAAAGGGAAAATCAAGTCTTTGAGCCCGCCAACATTCAATTCGGTGTTGGTCAGAACAGATAGCAAGGCGTAGAATCGCTCCATTGTGACTTGCTCATGCGTGACTGATGGGTGGGTGACCTGCTGGAGGACGGGAGGGGTTTCGTTGGCCTCGAAGTATATCATGCTGATCGGATCCCCTTTGGGCCAGACTTCATCCCTATGAATATGCAGCGGCTCAAACGGTCGGCGTTCCCAAATAAGCTGGGAACAATTCTCGCGGGACGCGAGAGATAAGCGATCGTCGTCAACAATGTTGGTCATATTCTTGAGATGGGTGTAATGCGTGCTGGCCATTTGAGTATTATACTCTGACCAGAGAGAGGCAATCTCATCATCCAATGCCTTCAAAGACTGCGGGGTTTCGTTAGGATCTGCAGCCGCACGCGCGAGCTGGCGGCCCTTGTCATCGATATCCAGTAGCTTCCGGGCGAGGATATGTCGCGTGTATGCAATTTTGTCCCCTTGAACCAATTTGGCTTTGGCGCCTGCTCTTTTTCGGGCCGCTGCCTGTATGGCAGGGCTCTTTGTCTTATCGGACTTTACACCATCTAGTTCTTCCATCGTCTTGACTTGTTGTTTGTGGATGGCTAAATACGCCCGTGGAATGTATGGGACGTCTTTCCCCATCTGCTGCGCGAAGGGCGGAATCTTTTCCAGCGGTGGCCGTTCCCGGTTGGGTGGAGTAAGGACATTCTGCGCGGCGACTCTTTCAGCGACTTGTGCTTTGTTGGCCTGGATACTGTCCCACTCGCGCCATCCGAGGTGAATGTCCGGCTCCTCCGAGCTTGCGACTTCGAAGGTATGCAGGTTCACAGCTTCCAGCAAGGTAGCGATTCGCTTGCGTTCTGGCGCACACCGTGGCAAAACTAATGGGGCCTCACTGTAAGGCATGGAGGCAAGGACTCGCACAGTCCCGAAGGAATTCAACCCCGTCTGTTGGATGCAATCCTCCAAGAACCGGAGCCACCAACGGGCCGGAGTGTAATGGTTCGATTTCGAGTGGCTCCGAGGCGGACTGGCTAGGACCAGTAATGTATCATTGCGCAATATTTGGCCCGGCTTCTGTCGTATGGGAGAGACTTGTTCGGGAAAATGAGCCTCCAGGAACTCGCGCCAATCCTCTTTTTGGTAGATGGGCTCGGTGATGAGCTTTGAACCACTGGTGCTATCCAAAAATGGTTTGAGAAGTGGATTAAACGCCTCGTTCGCAGAAACGAGTACATGGCGACGAGGTTTCAAGAGCTCGTTGGCTTTGGCAGATCGGAGCCCGGAATTTGGCCAGAGATCTAGGATGTCGATTGGGGAGCTTTGGGATAGGTAGGGCGACAGGCGCTGGAAGATGCTGTCTACGTGTTACAGCGCATGAGTATTGCACCCTGGAGGACCGAGATCTTGACTTACCCCATAACTCCCCACTAACGGCCTCCGCCGGACGCCTTGCGGTTCCGAGCTTTTTTGCTGCCTTGTCGAGTGACTCGGTTATGGGGAAACGAGACAGCAATTGCCGGATTGTCCTGGGATCCATTGTAAGTCCAGGAGCAGTCTGTTGAATGCAAAGGGTACATCCGGTACGGAGTAGAGCATGGTCTCTCCAAAGGAAGTCAAGTAATGCGCGTTCCTTTTTTTTGGCGCGTGCGGCCTAAGAGCGGAGAGCGAGAGAGCTTCCGCCATCCCACTTCTCCTCAGCAGCTCCACGACGCCCTAAATGCACCGACTCTTGCTGGTCTCTGTGCCAGGTCTGGACTTGGGCTCATTATGCTTGTTGTTTGATCTCCCATAAATTGCCTTGACTCGCCATGGCCTCCAATATGATTCCTACTGGGGGTACTGCCCCTCAAAGCGTCGAAAGTATCACACGAATCGCACAGGTCTATGAGTACAACTCTTCCGTCCCATTGCGATACTGGCTACGGACTGCTGCAACACTGCTACGAGAGGTTGGTTTCTCGCTGCCCTCAGAGAACCCTCGACTGACCCGGGAAACTGCCAGGCCGACATCTACGAACGGGAGGGACACGATGAACAAGCTTACTTTATCCTCTTTCGACACGCTCAATTAGTCCTCGTCAATCTATCCAAGCATCCGGATACCAAGAAAAACGAGGAGGATCGCAAGGCTTTGATCGCCGCCGAGAAGGAAGTTCAGAAAAACCTCGGCAAGTTGGAAGTCCTCAAACCTCGGATCAACAAGCGATATGAGCGCTACACGCAGTTGATGCGCGAGCGCGATTCCCGGAAACAACCCCTCCAGGCTACATTTACCCCCGAGCCCCGCGCAGTCATCCCCGATCCTGCCCTCTCCGGCGTGGCAGAACCCTTGGAAGCTGGGGAGAACCGGGATCTTGCGGTGCGGCTAGCTCAATCGGAACTCAACCGGCGAGCAACGGCGCGAATCTCAAAAGGTTCGTCAGGGCCCTCGGTCGAGGAATTAGAAAGCCGTCGAGGGGCCGGTGTGTGGGGTCATTGGGATACCCAGTTGAAGCCTGACAGTCGAACAACGGACCAGGATCTGAGTCAACGGATCCAAAACATCCGATCGAACATCGATAATCCACTTGGACAACGTGCTCACACCTCCGACGCTTTCTCGATGACGAGCGCATACAAGTATCCAAGTGTGCCTCGTCAAAAGCCCTTGGAGCCCACCGTGTCGCCTGCTCAGATTGCCATCCTGGACAAGAATGTCCAACGGCATGCACCACCGATCTTGCCCCCGAAGGAGCACATGGAGCCTAGCAGAGCAATCATCGACGATATAGCACCTTCGTTGCCAGCCAAGGTTTTACCAGCCCCGGCACTCCCCAACAAGGTCCTACCAACCGACGAAACATCCACCACTGAAGCCAACCTTAACCCCTCCAGCTACACTTTCAAGCCTTCTGCGTACCTGGAGAACGGCACCCCTCTGCGCTCAATCTTCCTACCTGGGAACCTCCGATCGCGCTTCTTGTCTCTGGCTGCTCCCAACACCCGCGCCAACCTCGAAACATGCGGTATGCTTTGTGGTACTCTCGTCTCCAACGCGCTGTTCATATCCAAAGTCGTCATCCCCGAGCAGACGGCCACGTCAGACACCTGCGAAACCGTGAACGAGTCTGCCGTATTCGATTACTGCGACTCGGAAGACTTGATGACCCTCGGCTGGATCCACACCCATCCCACGCAGACCTGCTTCATGAGTTCCCGCGATCTTCACACCCACTGCGGATACCAGGTCATGCTCCCCGAAAGCATTGCCATCGTGTGCGCGCCGAGCAAAGACCCCGACTGGGGTGTATTCCGTTTGACGGATCCCCCCGGGCTCAAGTCGGTTTTGAATTGCACTCAAACCGGGCTCTTCCACCCACACGCTGAAGAAAACATCTACACGGGAGCTTTGCGGCCACCGGGCCATGTTTATGAGCACGCTGGTCTTGACTTCGAATTGGTGGATCTGCGTCCCTGAGGGACTCGAATTTGGCTTGAACCTGATTATGATACCATGCATTTTACTTTCCAATCTTTGCAAAATAGAATGGTCATTTGGCTGTGTACTTCAATTGACGTGTAAAACCTGTCCCATTTATAAACAATGGTGGCCTGCAGAAACGTCAAGTCGCGACTTGGCGGGTTATGCTTAAATTTAGTTTCAGCGGCCCTACATGCAATCTTCCGATGAACCACATATTGAGACAGCTTTGAGTCCGAGCCTCGAATCCTTCCTCTCTTCCACCATACTACCTGTGGACTCGAAACAGCCCTGGGGGCCCTTTGGGCTGCTAACCTGCCCAGTGCCCAGGCTGCCAGGCAGGTGGAGCGTCGGGTTGATAAGCGATAGCGGACTCGACTTCACCTCCGCATTCTGCTCTGCCCGGGTGCTCTGTTCAGCCTCTGGCCCAATCCCCCTCGCTAGTGATTGCTGCCAATCAATCGCATGTCGTCCGCGTCACCAGAAAAACCTCCCTCCCCCTCATCCTCGCCTCCCCCAAATCCACCCTATCAATCCGCCGCCTCCTACTTCTCCTACCCAGTCAGCCACGTCGTCTCAGGTCTTTACAGACGCCTGACAGACCCCAATATACCAAAAGAGATGCCATCCGTCATGCCATGGTCAAGATCTTCCTCATCAGAAGTCTTTACACCACGCCGAACCGCATCCCCCTTCCAACCACCACCACTCACCCCGCTCACCCTCGAAATCCCCACTGGCGCAGACACCCTCCAACAACAACTCCTAACCCGCGCCCTAGCAGAGGAGATTCGCCTCCTTGTCCCACCACGCCTCCAACTAGCCGAAACCTGGCGCCTAGCATACAGCCTCGACCGCGACGGCGCCTCCCTCTCAACCCTGTACGAAAACTGCGCCGAGTTCGCAGAACGCAGCCCGCGGGCGGGCTACGTCCTCGTCATCCACGACGCTTCCCCTTCTTCATCCGTCTTCGGCGCCTACATGACCGACGCCCCCCGTCCAGCCAAACAGTTCTTCGGCACAGGCGAATGCTTCCTCTGGCGATCTAGCGTCCTTCCTCCCCCAGCCAGCTTCCCCCTCTCACTCCCCGGTGACGGGCCTCAGTCCGAGGAGGCCCTCGAGAGAGCTGGTCTCCCGCCTCCTCCGTCTGCGGATACCACTACCGCTGGCCGATGGAGTACGCTGCGGAATGATCCGAAATCGAAGCCTGTCGAGTCGCCTTCTCATAATCTCAATATGAGTATAAAAACTAATCTTGCGGCTGCGAGTGGGGGCGTGTTGGCGCCGCCTTCGCCGTCGTCAATTCATACTTCGCGCAGTGGGGCGAGCACGCCGGAGCGTATCCGCTTCAAGGCTTTCCCGTATAGTGGCGTTAATGACTATATGATGTTTTGTGAAACTGGATTTCTCAGTCTTGGAGGCGGGTAAGTAAACATGATCTTCCCCTTTTCTTTATCCCTTCAATTGGACCCGACTAATACTTTTTGGCAGTGATGGTCACTATGGGTTGTGGATTGATGACAGCCTTGAAAAGGGTGTCAGTGCACCTTGCCAAACGTTTGGCAACGAACCGCTTTCCGATGAGGGTATCAAGTTTGATATCTTGGGCGTGGAGGTGTGGTATGTCGGTTCCTGAGATGACTGCATGTATTTAGCCGGGCCATTTGCACTGGATGTAAACAGGCCCTGTCTCCTCGATATACGCATTACAAGGCGGTTGCAACATGAGATTGCATACAAATCAATTCGTGACTCTCGAGGTCTCAATTAAGATCTCAGGGATAACCTCTGCCCTCCAAGGCTGGGGCATACATACCTATGTATCTACTTTGGAACAACCTCGGAAGGATGCTATCTCAGCACTCCCCCCGGGGCCCAGAGTTGTCTGATAGCGTTCTTCCATGTTGCAACTTTACTGCGTGAATTGTTAATCTGATCACTAATTTAAACCGGCTGAACATGAAATGGCAGGTTACTCTTTGTACACTGGAACTTGGCAAATATCTTGGCAGAACTAAGTGGCTCCAGGGCTCTTATGCGAGATCTGCTCATCAAAAGACACCTGAAAAATACCTAGGTATGGTCGAAATCTTCATGCTTCGGAGCAGCCCTCAAGTATGTTCTTATCGCTTCCAGCAGTGGATCGTTCCTGCAATTTCCCTCTAGAATACCTCGAAATTCTCTTGTTTCTGTCCAATCAATGTTGTCTCACAGTTCAAATGGGTTCCGCGGTCCTCGTGCTCGCCCTCCTGATTCTCCTGGTGGTCCTGGTCGCTTTTTACCACGCATTGAGAGACCGTTCATGTAGTCGGCAACTCGAAGTTCCTTATTCATAGTTAACATCCATTTGAGCTTCCTGGTGGATTGACATACCTCTGGTGAGAATTTGGAAAAGTCCTTCATGAAGACTATGCTTTGATACCGTAGAGTCTGGGAATTTAAAGCGTCTTTTTCGACAAAAGCCCATTCGCTGCAAAAGCATCAGATATGTCCGCGAATTAGCCTAGATTCAAGTTCTTGCACTTACCTTGAAAAGCCAAGTGTGGTTGGTACTTCCGAAAGAGGACGACGTTCGCCCGAACGTGACTGGGTAGGCATACCGGCAGTACTCATCCCAAATAAGAAACCAGGGGGCACAGATTCAGTGGCTTTGGGTGTCTTTAGAGCTCCGAACAGGCCCAGTGAGTTATATTTAGGGCCGTGTGCTCCAAACCCTCTTGGGCCAGGGCTCATGTTCTCTTTGTTTTGAGAAAGAGTATTGTGAACACCATCTTGATCGGGAGATATGAGGAATGATTGACCATCAGGAGATACCGCAAGTAACGCATCTGATGTCAAGTCGTTGCTGACCTCGGCTGAGGGTAGCGGAAATGGAAAGCCAGGAATGGTGAATTCCTTCAATGCCCAAGAGCATAGCCGAAGCTTATTCACCTCGTCACTCAGGCGCTCGCGTCTCATCGCGACTGGACGTGGCTCCTTTCCAAGCATTCTTACCCGTTCATCGGTCAAATTGCTGATCTGTTGCGCCGTGAGAAGGAGGGGGAGGCGTTCAAGAAGGCAGTTTTGAACTGCAAGAATGGAAACATTGTCGAGGAATACTTTCATAGCAGCCTATTTATCATTAGCATCTCCAGGAGTCCAAGCCATAATCGATGGAGTTTGAGTCACTTGCATCATAATGTGCTTGCAGTAGATCAACAGCATCGGCGGCGATGCAACCTTCGCTCAATGTCCTCAAACTCTGGGTGTCCATTTCGACCTGTGCCGTAGAAGCCCCTGACTGATGCGCTAGGTGATAAGTCTGCTTGAAATAAGCAGATAGACGGTCGTTCCTTCGTTTCTCGACCTGCGCAAGAATGGTCTTGCTGGAGGGCAACAGTTGACCTCGCTTGTAGTAAGCAACCAATTCTTTCAGTTTTTCCAGTAGATCTATTTTCAAGCTTTCAAGCTTTGGATCAATGATGTGCTTCATAATCAAGTCTGATGTCGGCTGGTCTGTGAAATATTGTAGCACAGAAACCACGCAGGTCCTAACGGACTTCCACGTTGTGATGAGATGCACATGGGCTATCTCCTCCCATGGCTGTGTTTGTTCTCGAAACAAAGCACCCAATAAAGAGTGCTCGAGGCCTCCCACGCCTGTGAGTCCACCGTCACGTTGTATCCGTTGCTCGACTTCACGTTCAAAGTTGGCTCGTGTCAGACTTTCTGGTCTTCTGATATTGCGGTAGGGATTTGATGCCGTTCGAAATGAGTCCCCGGAGGCCAATCGATCAGCTGAGCTGATGATCTTACGATGACATCCGATTGCCTGCATAGCGTCCGCAAAGTGCTCGTTCAGTGCATGGACGATGACACACAGGCGACGAGGATCGTCCAGGTTGATATTGGGGCCTTGATTTCGAGTATCAAAAAAGGCTTCTGTGTAAACACCGCGTAGAGCCTGATTCAAGACATGCTCGAAAGAATGACTCAGTCTGGATAAGAAGTTCTTTTGTTGTCCAAGTGTTTCCCTGGGAAGAACCAACTTTGGCAACATCGAGGTTCTGTCCATCACCACAGCGTCAATGTCGGAAATCAGACCAGATACATCCTTTTGGATCTTCTCAGAAAATATATCACCCAGCCAGTCTGGAAGGTTTTCGACGTTGTTTGCACACTTTCCCAACGCTTCCCAGTCTTTCTCTCCGAGTATTTCTGCGCTGTCCGTCTCAGTTAGTTCAGTATTCTGCTTTTGAGCGATATGGTCTGGCAATAGAAGCCACCCAAGGGTCAACTTCCGATTGGCGATTTCCGAAAAAAGCAAGCTTGAGTGCCCTAATGCTGCAAGTTTGTGAGGATGGGTGATGATGCCGAGTGTCCGCTTTTGCTTTGGGTCGAATTCCGTTGCAAGATCCAGAACCTTTTGGGTTTGGAATTCTAGATCTGCGGAGAGCACGGCGAGAATGATCCTTCGAGGACTCTTCATGTATTTCCTTGCAATCTCCACGGGTTTATTTCCTTCGTCAACGCCTGTGTGATGAAGACCCGGCAGATCAACAACAGTCAGGTTCGGCTTGTTAGGGCCAGCAATCTCGAGCTGAAGAACCTCTTCGCTGAACCCACTGTTGCATTTTGAAACAATCAAATTTGTAGCTTTCTCAATAAGAGCGAGCAATCCTTTGGTGTTTGCAACATGTCCTATCAGACTCGACTTCATCGGTGCATCTTTATCATTATCATTGTTTGGGACTGTGGGCCGTATGGCGACTCGGAATAGGCTTTTGGGTTGACGATGAAGATGAACCTCGGTCACAAATTGAGTCGCAGAGTTGTTGACCGGGAATGGCATACGAGCAATTGCCTGAAGAACGGAGTGTTTGTCGCTGGCTTCATCGCCGCAGATGAGAAGTTGAGGCAAGTCCACCAGGCTACCAATACTCATAGAGCGTAGCTCGCTGATTCTTTCAAAAAGTGAGCAAGGACCATCCCTCAAATGAGGCTCCGTCTGAGCCACCTTGGTTGGCTCAGACATAACGAGCACACGGGGGCAATTTCCCTAAGGACAAAAATCTCGGGTGAATGAAGATGACAAAAGCAGAGAGAAAGAGAGAAAAGAGAAAGAGAGAAATGGAGAAGAAGAGAAGAGAAGAGAAGAAGAGAAGAAGTGCAGGAAGCAGGTCGAAGGAGGAAGTTGCACCTCACGCAAAGGCTGTTGGGAATGGCCTCACATCCAGTGAGATCTATAACAATCTGATCCAATCTATTGATTGCCTTGAGAATAGTTTCTGGCCACTTGTATACACTTGTAGGTTCATATATATGAATCCACCAATATCCAAACATAAACACAACATGTCTTGTTAGATATCAGAGCACTTGAATATCCAAGCAAACATTCACACAGATTGGTTCTAGTTCATTACACTGGGAATCCCTATTTGATCTGAAATAAACCACCAACTCGTCCCAAAAAGTCTTCAACATCTTCCAACAACTCCGTTGGGCGCTCCAGACTGGCAAAATGTCCGCCCTGTATGTCGTCAACAATCAAATTCCAACTGATCGATTACAAAATATTACTCACAGCTGAATGGGCTTTGAATAATATGAGATTCGGGTACAGCTCTTCAGCCCAGGCCTTCGGAAGCACAGCCAGATCATGCGGAAACAAGGAATAGCCAAGCGGTTTCTGTTTCGAGATCGGATGTGGCTTTCCTTGGGAAATGTTTCTGACAAGCTCTGCGTGGTATAAGCTGCGAGGGAATGTGCGAGTAAACCAATAGAAGCTGATCATGGCTAGCACAGTATCAATCGACAACGGCTCTCGCGGATCAACCCATTCGAGTAGTTTCTCGCCGACCCTGAAGCTATGTCAAGATGGCTCTCTAGAGAATCAAGTGGGTGGCTTACCATGCCAATAATGCAAGCGGGCTTGAAGATATAGCTAACCCAACTGTAGATGGGCGGGTTCCATGTACGAGTGCATAAGCTAAGCCTGTTTTCATCCAGGCTCCAGACCGTTGCAAGATTTCCAATTCGTCGGGACTTGCTTCAGAAGTGGGATTCTCGCCTGGGTTCAGTACGAGCATATTGACTTGTGGATCGGTTAGCATTGCTCAAGGGCGCAGCGATATTTGTCGTACCATGAAGAGCTTTGCATTCCTCGTGATTGACCGACATAACACGGGCAATCATGCTACCCAGATCACCTCCCTGAGCAACATATCCATTGCCAAAGCCCAGGCTCAGCATCAATTTGTTCATTATTCGTGCTGATGTCGCTACCGTCATCTCCATGTTGAGAGCAGATCTGCTAGACAGACCATAATCAGGCAGACTGGGAACTATGATGTGATAAGGTAGATTTTCAGTTGTATACTTCTCGGCTAGTAGTTCTATCATCGGCAGGTACTCCATGAAAGATGATGGGAAGCCGTGCAGAAAAATCATCGGAATGGCATCCTCTTTGGCGGAAAAGAGAGCAGTGAAGTGAATGTCGATCGGTCCAGCTTCATTATCCTCAACGACGGTCTTGAAACTTGGAAATTTGTTGATCTGGTCTTCATGTTTCCGCCAGTCGAAATGATACAACCAGGTTTCTTTCGTCTCGGCCAGCCATTTGCGGGAAATTCCAACCTGGGGATCATTCTGGACATTCCACCATGTTTCTGGCCCAATTTCAGAGAGTCTCAGAAGCTCTTTGAATCTTAAAAGCTCATATTCCGGCACGTGGAGCTTGAAAGGCTCAAGGTCTGCCGAGATATTCTTCGGGGGGATGCCAAAGGTACTGGGCATGACTAGCTGTAGATGGGGTACAAGAATTGGTAAAACTATGATGTCTGTCAGAGATCCGATTGAAGCCCCAGAGAGCTCATCTCTTTATGCATGACTTCCGGAGAAAATGAATCGGTCGAGTACAGTCGAGTGATGTTCGTCCGAGGCTCCTGTTTATAGATCGTGGGATTAATATGATTGGAGGAAACAGCATTCGTCCGGTCTCCACAACTCCACAACCTTGGAATTGGTCCGGACTCCCGGTCGAAATCATCTATGCTCGCTCTCTTCGACTTCACACACGCTGACATGGCTGACACGTTCAATATCTCCAGTGAACCTACTCCAAAGCGCAGAAAAGTTCGAAAAGGAACCCGCAGTTGCTGGGAGTGCAGACGGCGGAAGGAAAAGTGCACATTCGACTCATCCGCTGACATTTGTATCCGATGCCATCGACGTGGTTCGAAATGTGTCGGCCAGGAATTTCCAGAGACATGCGATTCTGTGAACCTACTCCCTCAGGAAGGCGATTGCGTTGCGAAAGATTCTCGAGTTGATGATGCATGCAAGCAGTTTCCCGAGCTCTCGGAGCTTCCTGTCCATCTTATGTCCAGTGAGAATGAGACACCAGCTCACAATATCTTAACACCTCGCTCGAGCAATATTTTATCTCCTGGTGTCCAGAATTCATTCGCATCATCGGAGGTAGGTGCTTTTGATTCGGTACGAAACGAGAGTCAGATTAGGTCGCTAACGTCTTTGCATAGGGAGAGGCAGCGGGATATGGGATTCTCCAAAACGACTCTCAGTTTCGAAAGACTCATCGACTCCGGGGCTCGTCTGGTCAACTAAACGAATTATCTCAAACCCTTCACCAACTCCTCCCTGCCCGAAAGGATGCGGACAGAATCATTGAATCTAGTCGCGGCATTTCCACCCTCTTCTTCCAAATGAACGCCACTCCATATAACGAACTCGATCGTGACGGCTCTATGGCCCCAGAATCTCTCTTCAAGAGACCTAATTCAACAGTCCACCCTATTTTGATCGCGAGATACATGCTCTATATCGCAAATCTTCTACAGCACATGCATCCAACCTCAGGTTCAATATTCAACGGGCTCTCGGAACCGCCGCAAGAAATAATGGATCGACTAACCCACAGTGTCAGCGACCTGATCATCTCCAACGATGATCTCATTGCTTGTATTGAAGGATTGGAGTGCATGCTGATAGAGAGCTGGTTCCAGGTCAACGGTGGCAATCTTAGAAAGGCTTTGATAACAGTGCGCAGAGCTCTGACAATTGCACAACTAATGGGATACCACCGCCCTGTCAGCCATCTCAAGTGCAGAGCCTTGGATCCGCAGACGAAACCTCACCCGCGATTCCTATGGTTTCATTGTGTCTTTCTCGAACGCCATATCTGCACCATGCTGAGTCTCCCTCAGACAACTCTCGACTGTAGCATGGCCTCGCAAGAAAGCTTGGAAAATGACACACCAATGGGTCGTCTAGAGCGTATACACTGTGTTATCTCATCGCGCATTCTTGAGCGCAACCACTCCAGCCAACCCATTCACGACTACTCCCTGACAAAGGCGATAGATGAGGATTTGAAACAAGCAGCCGCAAAACTGCCGTGCAAATGGTGGCTGGTTGCAGATCTGGCTTCAGTGAAAGACCAACCTGATGCGCTTTTCTGGAAAATGAGAAGGCTGTTTCATCAGCTGTATCATTATAACCTGCTGGTCCAACTCCACCTTCCATACATGATCAACTCGTCTACGGACAAGGATTTCAACTACTCGCGCATTGCTTGTATCAATGCTGCCCGAGAGGTCCTTTCGCGATTCCTCGCCTTCCGCAACTTTAACAAATTCGCCTTCTCCTGTCGAACATATGACTTTTTCGGCCTAATGGCCGGTTTGACTCTGTTGATTGCGCACCTCGATTCACATCGTCGCACTGCAGCTATTGCTGCCTCCTCGCCAGTGCAAACCATGACACCAGAGGATCTGTTGGCTCATCAACGACCTAGTGATCTTGCATTGGTGGAGCAAATCCAAGAGAGTATGGTACACTCCAGCCAATTGCATGGTGACGCATTGAACACGCAGAGCGCGCGCTTGCTAAAGCGGTTAATGAACATTGAGGCCCAGGCAGCAGGCAAAGTTGCTTTAAATGCCAGTGATACTCCTTCTAAGACAATCCCCATGCTGGACAGCAGTGATGAAAACCACATTCATCTCAATGTTCCGTATGCAGGCACCGTCCAGATCACGCCCAGCGGTATCATCTCCAAGTTACCCAAGCTTCCCGTCAATCTCGGAAGTGCCGAAAATGACTCGAATCGATCGATTCTTGGATCTACTCCGAATAATTCGAGCTCTTTGAACGGAAACATGTGCTCTGGAATCACTCCACCCGATAACTTGGGGGAAATCTCGCATATGGGTTCTACGGTTGGACCTACCAATGATCTATATCCGGATGCTGAAACGCATCACACATCGCAGTATCCCGACTCCGTGGACGGTTCTGTTCTGCAAGGGCTTGAAGATCCTCTCCTCACTGCCGGCACTGATGATTGGGCGTTTCAAGGTGTTGATATGGCTTTCTTTGACAATTTGATGAGATGGGGAGGCATATAGCTATGTTCCATGGTTGGACTATCAAGTTTGTTAATGCAGTTCGTCACAGGAGAATCCGGCCGGGGGACTAAGGGGCTCTTGGGGTTCACCAACCGAACACACATTGTATAGGCACGGAAAAGTACATCGCATTGCACGAAAATATTCACCAAGGCTCTGACTTCGGGGGCAGTTACTATACTTAATTTTTGCTTGATGCAAGAGTATCCGTATGCGTAGCTGCAGTTGGGAAATATTCGTTTGTGATTAATTTGAACTAAGCTAGCTTATTACCTGGAACCCATCTCGTCTTCACTCCAGTGTCTGATTTCCTTGCGAAAATGACATGGCCACATAATGGCAGACCGTAGCTGACTGTAGAATAGTTCAAGAGCTCGTCGATCTAGTGTAGGGAGGTTGAAAGACACCAAAAAAATCACAATGAAGTATTATTGAAAAGCACAAAACATCAGGGGGTATGGGTAATGGTACATAACATGGAATGGAAAGGGGGTCGGTGAGATACGTAAAGATTAAGAGAGCGAAACCAACTAGTAAGGCGAGTTGACCACATCATCACGGCCAAGACGGTTGCTCCATCCGTTTCGCGCACGGTTGGGTGTAGCGGGGCCAGCAATGCTTTCACGTGTAGGTTTCTGGAAAGTACGCTTTGCGACCATGTTGACCTCGTTGGGCAAGGCAACAATAACATTCTTGTCGGATCCGAAGCGGAAGTTATCGGCCATGACGTTCTGCTCGTAACGCTTGATGGTGTACGGGTCTTTGCGGTTGGCCACAACCTTCTTCATGCTCCAGGTGATGATGAATGGACCGGTGGCAGTGACGATGCTGGTCTCGGTTGAATCAACACCGGTGTTGAAGCGAGCGGGTGTGAACGAGAGAGGTTGCTTAGTCTCGTGCTGGAACTGGGCAACGTGGGCAGGCTGCAGACCAAGGCGACGAGGCTGGGGCTTCGAGTCCTTTGCGAACGCACGCTCGAATCCGAGCTTGCCTTCGTTCTTGCCTTCCTTCTGCAGAGAGTCAATGAGCAGGAGGTAGGTACGGCAAGTTGCCAGTACCCATCGTCCATCAGCAGACACATCAAGACCGATGATGGGTTCACCGAGAGCAGGAATGTGCGTCTTCGCGTTGATACCCAGGCGATCGAACATACGAATATCACCCTTGTTTGAGGCGACAGCAAGATATCCCTTCTCGGTGGTGGCCATGGCTGAGAAGTCGTTCTTGCTAGCATATTGCTTCAGCTCGGAGTCAACGAGCTTGTTGCCCGCCAGACGAGGATCGATGCGGAAAAGAGCGTTCTTAGACACACCGACAAATGGCTGTGCGGATGTCATTTGGGCAAATTTCTGAAACTCTAGTTAGCATGTTTGGAAAAACGGGGATTGCGTGTAAACTCACGTTTTCGGGTGCGAATGTCTCCACGCCAATATCATCATGAACCTTCCACTCATCCACAATTTTGCCGTACTCGAGATCCATCTTGAACAGTGAGTTGGGATCATCGCCGTTCTGAAGAATCATGTTCTGGTCCTCGGCGTGGAGCATAACCTTCTTGGGGCTGAAAAGGCTTCCCTTGGGGGTTTCAACCTTGGAAATGGTGGTTGAGAACTCGAGGTTGTTGTGGGGAGTGTGTTTGAAGACACCAATCTTAGAACCGCGAACGACAAATGACCGATCGTGCTTGTAGCCAACCGCCAATTGAGAGTTGACGTTTCCATCAGCATCACGGGTAACAACATCTTCCTCCTCCTCATCGCTATCGTAGTGTTCACTACGTTGTGCGTCATCCTGATCGCCGTCATACTCTTCTTCAACCTCTTCCTCTTCTTCTGGCTCTTCCTCGGGCTGGTCTTCAGCATCCTCCATGGTGAGATCCTGGAAGGCATCAAGAACGTAGTCCCGGTCATTTTCCTTGACCTTAGTCCACTTCATTTCGTTGAGCTGTTCCCAAAGGGCCTGCATCAGACCCTCCTGGAACCGTTCTTCCGAGGCCTGGTCTCGGAAACGCAGAAGCCATGAGAAGGCCGAACCGTCCTCGCCAAAGGCGTTGAAGATGAATGAAAGATATTCAAAATTAAAGACTGGGTTGATATCGGCAACAACAGCCTGTCCGAGCCATTCCTTCTCCTCGCCGGAGATCTGGAGCCAGTACTGCCAGTTCCCCACCTCAGAAACGGTGGCAATAACATCAGACTCCTGTTGCACGAAAGTTCCAGTAGAGAAATCGAAGAGGTGCAGCTCTGCGCGCTCCTTGGTGAGGATTTCCTTGGCTTCGGGCTGGGCAGCGGAGGGTGGGGCAGCTGTCGGTTCTTCCTCGGCACTGCCAGTCTTAAGTTGCCCTTTAGATTGGGCGTATTCCACATCTCGCGCCATGGCAGCAGCGGATTCCTCAGCCGACACGGAATTTCCACGTGATTTCGTGGTTGGGGAGGCGATTGGACTGGCGGAGGGAAGTGGCCTTTCCTCGTTGTATGAGAACTCCTCTAATTCGGCTTCTGTGGCCTTCTGGGCACTGCGACGGTGCTTACGCTCGTACTGGCACTGGAGGGCAGCAAGTTCAAAAGTGGCTACTTTGTCGGATGGGACCGAGGAGTCGCAGATGAACTCGAAGATATCACCAGGGTCACCACTCAGATCATCCCAGGCCAAGATCTTCTCTCCCCCTTCACGAAGCTCGGAGCGGAAGTGAATAGTTTGGTCCAGCAGGAAGACCTTTTCGTCCTTGTCGATGCTGTCACCGGAGCCTTGCTCGCCGTCGTCGTCTGCAAGTTCTTCCTCGCCCTCTTCGTATGCTCTCTGGATCACAAGTTGGTACTGGAAGTCCTGGCCTGTGCGTCGAATCGTGGCCGCAGCGTCCTTGAAGATAAGCTCGGAGTAGCCCTTGGGTGACTGGGGCCTGACCAGGTACAGCTCGCCCTGGGGGATTTCGATGATGGCTTCTTTTGAGGCGTCACCGAAAATAAATTTGCTCACTTGAAAAATCAGATGTCAGCTATACTTCTCCATTTCAAATGAGCCTATGTGGAGGGGTTTGGCGGGGCATCACAGTGCGTTGCTTACCGTTGCGGAGCATAAACATGGTTGCGAGGGGCAGCTGCCAAAACAAAAGGGAAAATGTGGGAAGGGGTGGGAAGGGGAAAGCGGCTTTCGGCGGAAGCAGCCTTGTAAAACCAGAGAAGAGAGACTTCTGCGAAATCCCAAGATGATCAAGAGATTAAAAAAAAACCCGCAAGGTGCAATCACAATGAAAAATCGCCTCCGTCATAGATGAGCAGCTTATGTAAGGTGGGTGGTTCTAGCGCCTTACCCAAATAGGAAACAACAACAAAAACAAAAAAAATAGTTTCGCTGGGAATCGAACCCAGAACCTTTCCGGAACTCTCGCCTGTGAGGCAATTGTTAACGGAAAATCATAACCGCTAGACCACGAAACTGCTTGATGGAAAGTTCCGCGATCTTTGACATTATGATCCAAAACCAAATTGGCCAGCTAAAATCACCCACTTAGCCTTTGCATAATCCCTCTGAAGTCCCGAGGTCCCCGTATGTCACTATATCACTTCCAAAGGTTTGTTTACCCGGGCTCTACCTATATACAGCGTGCTCTACTAGGTAAGACTCCCCCCAGGGCTCCATGACGTTAGGGTAGTTAGTCAGTTTAACTGGTTTCAAATGCTGGCACATGTAGATATATATATCGATGAATTCAAGGTTCTACTAGGTAAGTTGTACCCAGGTATGAGGCTGAAGACCCCCGAACTATAACTTTAGAACCTTGGAAGTACGGCATACTACCTAGACAATACGCTGGTTCACCTTACAGTTGAGCAAATGCTCATCGGCCAATTCATACCCGGGTAGGTAGGTAGGTAATAAACCTTGGAACCTTGGAATTCACCTCAAAGGGTTGACACCTACGTACCTAGGTAGGTAGGATGGGGGGAGTTCCTGAGGTCCAGAGATGAAATCACGTAGCTAGGTACGGCAGGGGGATGGTCTTCAAAATATAGATACATAGGAACTCGTTTCCAAGGAGTGGGGATGATAGCTTAGCCCGGCCCAGAAAAGCATCAAGGGCTGTATTCACTCTGATGTGTTCTGGCATTGAAGGATCGTTAAAGGGCATGAGGTAGTATGTACAAGGTCCGGGGTAATATTTTGGGTGTGGAGCCTACTCCTTGCCATGTTCGATTCCTTCCGAGGCGCTGATCTCCCCAAGTTGTTGCATCTGCTCTGCTTGAAGCTGTTCCCCGCTGAGATCCTCCTCTGCCTCATCATATTCTGCGTCTTCAGCGACTTCAGCACTCTCCCCATCCCCAGACTTTTCCGCCCTCAAAGCGCCGCCCTTGCGAGTCGGGATGACCTGCATGAAAGCTTCTCCCCAGTCTCGCACTTCCAACCACTTCAGCATAATCTCAACAACATGGTTGGTGGCTAGCACCGGACGGTGCGCAAGTGAGATATATTGTCCAATGGGCAGTTTTGCGGTCTTGACGCCCTTTGCGACTGCATTCTTGTAGCAAACGGCCTTGTGTCGGTTCTTGTCAACAAGAGCCCCGACGATATATGTGCTGTAAGGCTTCAACTCGGTCAAAGTATTCTCACTGTCACTGCTGAGATAGATGATCTCGCCATCTTCGGGTTTCGCATCGGGCTGGCCCTCGAAAGGTCCAGCCAGCCTGCCTCCCTTCGGGCTGGACATGACTTCCTTGGCCAGATCAGCCGCATGCAAGAAGTCTTCCTGCAAGAATCGAATATGCTTCCAGTTCCTGTGACTCCATAATACGGTATCGAACCGCTCTTTCAGAAGCCTGTCAAAGGACGAGAACATAATTTGTCCATGATAGGGCGCGCGGTTGTTGTCTGAGTATGTTCGCGTGAGCTGCCCGGCCAGGGAGATTCGCTCTCTCGGCTCCATAAGCTCATCGTAGCTGCAGTCCATCACCAATGTTATAGGTATGACCGTGGTTCGGCCGGGCTTGGGCTTTTTAGCTCGTATTTCCTGCCGGAGCTTTTCAACGGCTTCTTCTCCACCGGTAGCTCGTGCATCGTCGAACTGTTTCTGGAGGCGCTCTTTCTTCTCGATGAGCTTGTCCTTCTTCTGCGATTTCATGAATGCGCGCTTTTCTTCGAACCGTTCCGCCTTGCGGAGCTTCTTTAATTGATTTTTGGATAAGGCTGGTGTCACGCCTTCTGTCGCGCTCGGGGGAACGGACGTGTCTTGAGTCGTGCCAGCCTGTTGGACCGTAAATTCGGAGAGGTCTTGAGGCTCGTTCGCGAGTGCAGGCTCCGGATCCTCTCCGGCCACATCGCCAGCGCCTGTCATGGCTGGACCAAGTACTTCAGTATTGTCCTGGTTCTCATTATCCAGCTTGACAAGTTTTCGGGGCCTCTCGTTCTCGTCCATGGTGTTGTGTTGGAATTGACGAAAATTGAAGGTGGGCTGTCAATTGCTCGTAGATCGGAGCGGAAACCGAAAAAGCCACCGACCAATCAGATCCCCCGCAGCCCTCATTACTGTGCAGTTCTCGTTTCACGTGACCATCCAGATCCAACTTCTCCAATCGTCACAGCGACTCCTCGCTATCCCTCCAAGCCCTCACCAGCTCTACCCGCCACAATGCCTCAGGATATGCCCCCAACGGGGGGCTACGCTCAAGTCCAGTACAAGGTACGCAGTTCAATTGTTCCAAGGGGCCATTGAGGCCCTGCGCGCCCAGCACACAAGTCCTCAGACTAATCTCGGTCTCGTTATAGCGGAACATCCCTGCCCGCGGCTTCAAGCCCGCCTACTACATGATTGGCATGCACGTCATCATGGCCTACGGTTTCTACAAGTACTTCCACGGTGCCCGTGAGCAGCGGTACGTTGCGCCTATCCGGACTCATCCTTCACTCCGATCGTCCCGAAAACAATTGGAATGGGAATTAGAATCGATGCGAAGCCAAACATGATACCAGATGGTTATTTTGATTCCAGTCGCTGACATATTTCGACAGCGAGCTTGCCCGTGAGAAGATGTGGTCCCGTCACCACCTCACTCCTCTCCTCCAAGCCGAGGAAGACCGTGACCAGGTCCGCCGACACTACGCCGACAAGGCTCGCGAGAAGGAGCTTCTCGGTACCGACATCAAGGTCTACAACTCTGACCGGTATGTTTGGTCCACCCCTGCGCCAGTGACCACCTGGTTTGATTTCGGGATTGATACTCATTGTCTGCACAGCTTCGTCCGCCCTACTTTCGCCTATACCCCCTCCAACCTCACTCAATAAACAGCTTGACCTTGTCACTGTGGACCTGAGCGATCTTGTCCCTCCCCATACCCGCTTTCTCTTTTGACTCTGTATGATGCTGGTGTTTCGGAATGCTTGTTTATGCGACCCCTTGCCTCCATGGCAGATAGACTGGACTAGGCCTTTCTGATCATGACAGGGAGAGCTAGAAGCATCGTGGTGGCTAGTGAGGGTGAACTGTCTCCCGGACAGTTTTGAGGAAAACTGTAGATATTACTTGCCTAGTTGAAGGGTTTTTAGTTCAGTCTTTTGCAATGTCTCAATTCTTTGTTCAAAACACCTGTGCCACAGCTATCTTGTAAGTGTTCTTCGCAAGAGACAGTCTTGACAGTCTTGTATGAACTGCAAGGCTGTGACGGGTCAATGGCGGCTATACAGATAAGATAAACAGTGATGAGGGGCATGTAGGCAGCTACTTATACCTCGACCTACATTCATACCAGATATAGCATTCTCGTAGAGACATCGAGAATTAAGAAAGTAATAAAATCAAAACCTATGTGTAGTTCGCGTCGACGACGGTGTCAAAGACAGACTGAACATCGCGTGGAGCATCAAGTGAGCGGTGTGCCCTGGTGTTTGGGGGAAATTCTTAGCCCGGCACATCTCCAATTCCGCAAGTCTTCCCTTCACCCCGACCCCCCCCCTCGTGTCCTCGCCTCGTCGACTTCGTCGCTTCCGAGCAACCGTCCCCCGTCCCTTCCCCGAAAGAGCGGCGCGTGCCGCAGTGTCCGCTCAAGTATACGGGCTTCAACCGGTCATCCATTGTTCCCTCTTACGAGACACGGTCTTGGACTGTGACCTAAGCTGGGATATAAAAAACTCATCTCACCTTTCCTGAGCCCCAAATCATTACGAAATGGCCGCGGAGGACCTGTCGGAGGGCGGCATGGCCGACATCATCCAGGCCCTGCAAGTCATCCACAACCCTGCATCATCAAACGATATTCGACAAAATGCCTCTCGGTTCGTGGAAGAACTGAAGGAGACCGAGGGTGCTGCGCGCAATGGCTTCCTTCTCGCATCGCGCTTGGAGCATGAGCCCGTGGTCCGTTACTTCGGCCTCACGCTACTGGACCATGTGCTGCGCAAACTCTCCTTTTCCTCCCCGGAGGAGGCTACCAGCATTCGATCAATGGTCCTACAACTCGCCGAGAACGTCCGACACGAAGACCCGCCCTATTACCGAAACAAAATCCCTCAGCTATGGTCCGAGGCCGCGAAAAAGAGTTGGGGGCTGGATTGGAACGATATGGACGCTACGCTGGTTCAGTTCTGGGGTGCGTCTCTTGTGCACAAAGAACTGGTGTTGGCCGTGCTTGAAACCCTGTCCGAGGACATTTTCTTCCGCGAAGATGTCGTTTCGGCTATCCGAGGCAGCGAGCTCAACCGGGCGCTTATTGAGATATTTACACCCGGCAGCATTCTGGAAGCAATCACCTCGGAGAAGAACAGCACTGCGGCCCTACGTTGCGGTTCGGAAGGTTGGTTGGTTCGGGTGAGTATGTTCCTCAACGAATGTATTGAAAACATCTCCGCCTCCGAGCAAGCTCGAGACGCAGCTTTGAAAGCCCTGGCAACACTGAAATCCGCTCTCTCGTGGTCCGTATACCCTGCTGTCATTGCTTCCACGACTATTCTCAGCATCTTCAGAGCTTTGTCTTGTCAAGATGAGCAAGTGCTTCTGGCTGCGATTGAGGCCCTTCATGCACTGTACGGCAGGAATACCATTGGCTGCGAAGAGTCTCACGATCTTGTCTGTTTGATATTTGAACAGGACTATCTCGTTGCCCTGCAGAGGCTCTATGAGTGGTCAATCGTGGGCCCGGATGACATTGATGATCCCAGGTATCTGGTCTCCAAGAAGGTCTCCGAGATGGTCTCCTACATTGCTGGGTGTTTGGACGATGAGAAGTTCTTGCGGGATACTATGGACCGTTTGGACCTACCGCCATTCTTGCATTTCATGATAACCATCATGCAACACCAAAGCTTGACCGTTTCCATTCCCTGTTTACATCTATGGTCCAAATTATTGCAGATCTCAAAGATTCACAAAATGGACTTTGTCGCACAACAAACCCCCCAGTTCCTCAATATCTGCACAGAGCGGCTACTCCGATGGGAGTCTCTCTCCACCGATTCCGAAGATCCGACAGTGCAGTTTTTGTTTGAGGACATTGATACAGCCCCCGAACGACACGCCTTTGTCGGCAACTACCGTCGATACTGCTCCTCAATTATAGAAACCATTACTTTGAAGAGACCTCAGGAAGCAGTTCGCGAAATTCTTGCCCGAGTGGACAGCAACTTGGACAACCTGTACAACGGAGTCCCACCCTTCAGCAGTGAGTAAACGGCCATGTCCAGAAGCTTGTATAGGGCTAATGTTGTAATTCTCAGTGGGGACATTCAGCAAATCATCAATTCCGTTGATGCGGGCGGACTCTCAATTTGCAGTCGTTGAGGCTGTCATTAAGGGTTATAACAAATGGATTTCGGCACACGGGAAAGCACCGCAAAATGATGTAAGATTTCGAAATTCTTGATTCCTCAGCGAACACAGTCACTGATCAACCATCTAGGAATCCAAGCGAATCGAATTGGAACAAGCCGTTGAAAGTTGGGGTTCAACCTTGATGGCAAGAACCTACGAGGTAAGCCGCGATGAAACCCAATCTCATAAACAGCTGTCACTCATGTTTCAATGATAGGATCCGGTCATAAAGCAAAGAGTGATCAAATTAATTGTCGACATTTCCTCGAGGGCCTTGGACAAAAACCCAGGATTCGCGCTCAAGGTCCTAGAGCACATTCTCATGACGCGCCTACCAGATCATCCTGAATATCCCATGTATTCCGAGGCCGTCAAAGAGCTACATGGGCTTGCTAGTCACGAGCTTCGCCGCCTGGCCATGCGCTATGCCGACAACTTCTCTGTATGTATCAGCTGTTCATTCTCGCGATCAATTAATGAGATTTGCTAACGTTTGATTCACAGTCTTTCTACCATGTTATTGAGCCAAAAATCAAGGAAATCACTATGACCAACAGCGTCGACGACAAATTGCAGATGGAGCTTACTTCCGTTCTACTAATCATCACGTAAATATCCCGCTGTTCCCCATCAATCTATTCTCCATGCTGACTTGACATAGACAACGTGCGATTAAGATTGATCCAGCTCTCCAAAAAAGCCGTTTGGAATCCTTCCTGGAACCCGTCAAGATTGCTTGGCAAGATGAACAATTCCGTCAAAGTAGCTCTACTTTCCAAGGGTTCTGCGAGATGCTCGGGTTGGAAACCGTTGGTCAATACATGCAGGCCAAACAAGCCCAGAAAATGCCAGACTGGACTGAGATTGAATTGGATCACCAAGGGAAGCTCGTTCAAGAAGAAATGACTCGAAAGTTCCAGGTAAGAGTCTCCCATCTGCACCTGTTGGAACCATTTTGACCCGCCAATAGCTCTTGCCGCTACGTGGCACAAAAACGATGCTGGCCGTTTCCACAGATCGACTCAACAAGGACACGCAAGCCTATGGAATCGCCCAGGAGATCTGGTGCGACACCACCAGGATGATCCTTCCAACTTTGCTACACCTCGTCCGGTAAATAAGTGTTGATCTTGATGCCGAAGTCCTTGAACTAATGAGACCTTTAGCCACGCCCATGCCTTCCACAATCCCGCAAATTGGAACATGATGGACGGCATGCAACCGGTCGTGGAGCGGATATTGACAGACCGATTCTGGCAGGCCGGCATTTCGACCGGCACTCGTGACGAGTTCTATGCCAAAATTACTTCGTCAAAGTCCACCCTCGAAGGATTTTCTTCGTCAGTTCGCGGGAAAATCAGAGCTGTCCGCGAGGCATGCTATTCCATGTTGTTCAGCATGAGCCGACTGGGTTTTATCTTCTATGGATTCGAAGAACTTCCAGGACCCCTCGCCGAAGCATTGTTTGTTGACTCACCCCATCTCTCCTCTCACCAGTTCTCAGTTCTTCTCAACATCTCGCGCTGTTTGATCGACGACTGTCCGGTGCAATTCCGTGCCCACTTCTTGCCGCCGATGCTCTCGACTCTCTTCACCAACATCGACCGCAAGATTACGACAGAATGGGAATTCATTGAGCAACGTCGGGACAGCGGCCCAGATGGAGATCTCACTACCGAGATGAAGTCTGAAAGTGTCCTTCGACAGTTGACTTATTCTGCTGTGATCATGGTTGCCAGCCTATTCGATCCGCAGAGAGGCGGTAAAACCTCCCGACCCCAAAAAACATCCGATACTTGCCTACAGTGGAAGCTAACAGCCATCAAACGGAATAAAGACCCAGACAGAACTGAATCAGACCCAAGCGCAACTCAACCAACCCCAGCACTCTCTGATTCCATCCGCCACTTTGTGTTATCCTCTCCCCAGATCTTTGAGCCCCTCATGCTCTTCTGCACCCACGCTCTTCGTATGCGTGATACCCGTTGTTGCAGTATTATCACACGCGTTATCCGTTCGATTCTACAGGACTTCGCGCCTAATCCCGCCACCGAAGACACCCAAACCATCCGCACAATTCGCGAGTTCATCTGTTCCGATGTTTTGAAAGCATGCATAACTTCTGTACATGAATCTTATTTCGTCGACATGCAAAAAGACTTTGCCCAGTTGATTGCATCTATTTGGATTCTCTACGGCGACTGCAGCCCAACCCCCAACGCCATTTTCCTGAGCTTGCCCGGTATCACCCCGGACAAGATTGCCCGTACCGAAGGCCATCTCCGCCGATGCACTTCTCCACGACAGCAAAGGGCGTGGGTCCTTGATTTCTTGGAATCAGTGCGCGGTGTCAGTGTCTCTGCTCAAGGCATGTTCCTTGGCTCTCGCGAGGACCGCCGCAAAGCACGCTCGGCATTGCAAGAGCGATACATGACCACTGATATGGATGGTCAGGATCAGAGCCACCGCGTCGATATCAATGACGGCCCTGATCTTGGTGGTGTTGCTGATCTTTTTGGTTGAGTGGATATCAGTCATTGGTCATTGGTATTTTGAATCTTCTCATTTTATCTTCTGCATTCCCACTCATTGCAGCCTACCGACTACCCCATTCTTAGCGAGCAGTGACATTGTGAAAAACTGATATAGAAGAAAAACCATTCTAGCATGCTTTAAACAGCAGTTGCTCTCATGTTAGTAGCTGTGACGCTTCAATTATACTTAGACGAACTTTATCTATGTTGATATTTGATCTACGCCGCAACATGTAGAAAGAATTAGAATGCCAGAAGTCGCCAAACATTTGGCTTGTCTGCCACCGCATTCCGAAATTGAAGGAAGAGCATCCGCTTGAGCATATGATATTGAATAAAAGTTCTGGAAATGACTGGAAGCTCATTTAGATATGTCTTGAGTACTGTGTGCTAGCAGGTAGATGCCTCAATTCGAACGCCAATATAAGATCAAGATAGGTAATCGCAAATTGAACAGTAATTCTTCGTGAACCTTGGAAAAAAAATCACATCACAGCACATTCGCCCTTCTGGCATTGCTCTAAATAAGAAACGTCTTCACCTTCCGAGTTCGTGACATCGCCGGGCTTTCGCTTCAATCCCTCAATCTTGATATCTTGCTGTCCCTCTGCATGCCACCATCGCAGATGCTGCAACTTGACTCCTTGGATGTCTTCATCATGAATATCCCATTTACCTCCACTGACCGTCACGGCAATGTTGGTCTTGGGGAAGTGGAAGTCTGGAAGGTATATCTCTGTCGGAGCGTTGGCTGAAGTAGGCCCCTTGGCCGTCAATGAGAGGGTGAATGTGCAGTTCTTCAGGTCGAAAACGTGACTATCCAACTTGCCACTGACATAGGTTGGGTTGGGACGGAGGTATGCCTCTGCCGCACGGTACCCCTGCCCCTCTCGGACAGACAAGGATTGAGACCGCTCACTAGAGATTGATGGACTTGCTATAGCACCCTTGAGATTGCTAGGTCCGACATCCGGCTCGTCTCCACTACTTTGGCTTTCGGAATAAGCCGGGGAAAGTGGATTGGCGGATCGAGCGCTGCTGGGCAGTTCTAGATCGTCAAGGGAGTAGATGGATAGATCCTCCCCGTTCCATTGGTCACCCCATTCGTGGTCGTTCTGATTGACGTCAGCACGGAACGCCCCAAAGCCCAGGAAGAAGACTTACTTGTGTGACGTATACCCAGAGCGTAAAACCGTTAGACGTACTGCCTTCCAAGGCAAAGTGATTGGCATCCATGGCGCTGGTTTGGCTACTATAGTCGCCAGTTTTGTATGCATACTTATCGTCCATGTCGTAGGGGATTCCAATCTCCGTGAAGACGACAGGATGGGAGCCCATATAGTTCCGACTCTCTTCGCGGAGGAACTTGAGTTGATCACGCAGACAGTTTCGAATGGCCGACTCGCCAATCTTGAGAGCAAATGCCGGGGTCAGGTACTTGCCTCGAAGAACGCCAATAACATCCACATTGTATAGGCGATTCCTGCTGGGTTTAGTACATAAACTTTGCCTATGGGACCAAGTGGCTTCTTACCAGTGCTTTGTTATAAGAGTTAATCCGTCATAGTAATGCACTGCATGGACCATGTTAGGGTCATCATCAGAAGTGCCCTTGACATCCGGTGGGATCTCCATGACAGGCGGTTGGCAAAACATTATTGCGTCAGACCAGATGCCCCGAATAGCATCCTTGAATGCCCGGTAATGATCCAAGAAGTAGGAGTTGGTAAACTTTTCATAGTCCAATGCTTTGCCGGTCTGAGGATTCTTTGAGAAGTAGTCCTTCTGCAGGAGCGTATCAGTAGATGGGTCCCACACCCCATGCTGTGCCCAAATGCACTCCCCAAGTTTCCACCCTGAGTCGCGCTTCCAGCCATATTTGGTATCGTCGTAATCAGCTGGGAGCCAGACCGTGTCTCCTGCGGGATCCACTAATTCGGTGCCAGTCTTGTGAGGGCCAAAATTACCAAAAGCCCATGTCGTCTGCTCGCAAGCCCGACCAGAGCCGGTGAGAATAGCCTGGAATGGAGTAGGAGATGTTCCAAGCTGAAGCTGTTGCTCTGGCGGGACCACCGATATGTCTTGTACTCCAATGATACCGCGATGAGGCTCATTCATGCTCTCCCAGCCGATTACCACGTCGCCCTCAAGATCTCCTGCATCGTGGATCTTCTGTGCTAAGTGGGCACATGCGTCAATGAAGTGACGCTGAAGATAGTCTTGAATGTTGACCCCATCGATCACAGCTTTAGGAGCAAAGTCCCTTCCAGCCCAGAACAACGTGAACATGGTCTGGCAAACCAATCTAGTATAGTTCGTGCTCCAAATCATCTTCGGGAACTCTGCAGGAATACCATAGGTGTTTTGCACCAGGGCAGCCTCCGTCGTCTTGAAGGTCTTAGGGTTCAGACCTGCTGCATAGAGCGTCCACATTGGGGCTCCAGAACCACCCGAGAACCGAGACCACTAGAGATTGTGAGCTTAAAGCTGTTAGTAGTTTTATCCGTATCACTTACCACATCCTGATGCGGATCCATAAAGATATAGAATTCATATTGCTTGGCAATCCGGAGCACCTCAATAGTGAAATCAATCCACTCGTTATCATAGAGTCCGGGTCCCGCATGCTCAATAGCCTCCCAAGTAAAGATGTATCGAATTGTATTGTATCCCCATTTCCTCAGTCTCTTGAAATGGGTATGGGCATCGTTCAGCGGGAAAGGCCGTCCAACAAATGAGACATTGTCCCCATCGAAGAACTTGTCCGCAATGTATGAGGGTGTGTCGGGGTTCTTGGGATATTTGGCATCGGCCGCGACGTTGATCCCCCGTAGGGTAATCTCTCTGTTGTGAGGGTCTCGAAATGACTGACCCTCGACGCGGAGGCGTAATGGAGCCATCGTTGCCTAAACAGTAGTAAGATCCCTTGAGAGTCGCGCACAGTGCAGCGGACTGATAGGGAAAGAAGTGGATTCAAGAGCCGGAAACAGAGCAAGGTCACAGCTCAGTCTGTCGATCTGCTTGAGGTTTGATGAAGTAACTCAGTCTCGATGGCTGAGAACCGCCGCGAGAACGAACCGCCTTACCGGACGAATGCACGTGACACTGCAGACCAACTGGGCACCAGAGCATCCAAGTCAAATCTCCAAAATGCTTTACTTTCGAATCCGAAGCAGTGCTGAATTGTCAGAGCGGTCTTCCCCCAGCCCTGGAGACAGGTAGATGACGATAACGATAAGCTGTGACGTATCGGCTAGCCGACCGTCCTCTGCTCCACAAACACTTTCTCCCCGCCGTCTCTGCTACCTCTGCTTCTACCAACATGTCGAGTAAAGCGGCATTGAAAGCTGTTCGCGCAGCTTTGGAGTCGAAAGACTACCAAGATGCTGCCGAGAAGGCCAGAACGCTGGCTAAACAAGACCCTCAAAACTACCATGCGTAAGGTCGCACCTGTCCCTCCTAGGACATGCTAACCCCGTTTGTCATACAGACTTGTCTTCTTGGGACTCGCATGCGAAAAGCTGAATAAGAACGATGAGTCGGAAAACGCATATATCGCTGCAACGCGCATCAAGGCCGACGATAGGACTGCATGGCAGGGATTGCTTTCCTTATACGATAAACAGGGTGGGAGCAGGCTGGATTCTTACCACCAAGTTGTCGTGAATCTTGGGAAAATTCTTGCCGATAAGTATGGCCTCCTTTGAACGACCTTAGGTCAGTGGCAGGACACTGATTCTTACCCAGTAACGAGGCGGAACGCTGCCAGGACCTGGTTAATAAATATGCCAAGTTGGCCAAAAGCCATGGGTCCAAAGCCCAGCGCAAGTCGTCATTGATGTTGCAGCTGCCCACTTCGCCGCTGTACGACTTACTCGAGGGCAGAGTGCCCCATCCCGCACATACATACTTGCGATTGATTGAATTGTCTGAAGGTGAAGAAAGAGAATTCATCAACCGCGAAATTGGAGAGCGGAGAACTCGCCTTGGTGCGCGCATCGAAAAAGTGACCCAGGAGGTCAAGCGCGAAGCTTTCGAAAAGAGTGGCTTGGATCAGCTTTATCGAGGAATAATTGATTGGACAAATGACGATGAGGTGCGACGCCAATACGAAGAGAAGCTGTTCCACCGCGCATACGAGGATCTTTGCGTTTCCCCGCCTGATCAGAAGGAAGAAAAGCAGAAACTCGTTTTCAAGGCCGCCCAGGACATGGTGATCATTAAACATCCCTTTGAGCCTGCTTGGAAGGTCTTTTTGACATGGCAAGACGTCCAGAGTTTCTCTGAATATGACGTTGGACATCTGCGGGAATATGTCGAATTCTTCCCGGAATCTGGAATCTCGAAAATTCTGAAGGGATTTTTGGCAAGTGAGCTTTCACCCTTCCCCAATGATCCCGAAGAAGAAGCCAAGGGCAATAAAGAGAGCAAACGGGACTCCGATTCTGCTGAAGCTGAGCCCGATGAGAATGATGCCAAGGTCAATAAGCAGACGGCTGCTCAAGATCGTCTTATCTTGATGGTCGAGGGATTGGAATCTGCCGGAAACTCCATCATTGCCCATCGTGTCATGGCAGATCTCTATCTCTACCTTGAAGAATATGAGAGCGTGGTCAACGTCGCACGTAAAGGTCTGTCTAATGTCAAGGAACTGACCAAGCTCTGTGGTGTTTCAATCCCAAACACATCAGACGCCTTGAACATCGCGCTTGCAAACGCGTTGATCTATCACCAAGCACCTCGACACCACCCAGAAGCGAAAATGATTTTCGGAAACATCCTCGAGCGATTCCCGTTATCTTGTACTTGCTTACTTGGCGTTGGCCTGGTCTTGAAAGAGGACCAGGACTATGCCCAAGCTGTCGATTTCTTGCGTCGTGCCCTTGAACGCGATACCCAAAACCTCACAATTCGTGGGGAGCTTGCCTGGTGCGAGGCACTGAATGGTGACCTCCAAGCTGGATTGGATAGGCTCCAGGGCGTGCTCGAAGACTCGAAGGAGATTCAACCCGACAACAGAGAGTTTGCATCGGAGATTTTCTACCGCATTGGCTACTGTCAATGGGAGCTTGATCCATCTCCAAGTGCAAGAAAGGACCGCAAAGGTGCTTACAGTAGCCTCTTTGCGTCTATCCAGGCCAACATGAACTTCGCACCGGCGTACACTATCCTCGGCTTTTACTTTGCCGATTACAAAAAGGACAAAACGAGAGCCCGCCGATGCTTCCACAAGGCGTTTGAGCTGTCAACTTCAGAGATCGAAGCCGCCGAGCGCCTTGCCAAGGGCTTTGCCGATTCTCAAGAATGGGACCTGGTCGAGGCTGTTGCACAGCGAGTCATTGAGTCTGGCAAAGCCAAGCCTTCCCCTGGATCAAAGCGCCGAGGATTCAGCTGGCCATATGCCGCATTGGGAACTGTACAAATTAATAAACAACAGTACAGCAAGAGCATCGTTTCATTCCAAGCTGCACTTCGACTGGCCCCGAACGACTACCATTCTTGGGTTGGTCTTGCCGAGAGTTATCATCACTCTGGACGATATGTTGCTGCTACCAAGGCCTTCGAATACGCAAAGACCCTGGAGCCGAACCTGTCAGAAAAGGAGAAAGAAAATGTGTGGTTCTCGCGATACATGCTGGCAAACGTCCGTCGAGAGCTTGGCGAGTACGACGAGGCAATTGCCAGCTATGACGATGTCTTGAGCTCTAGACCAGGCGACATTGGCGTCTCAATTGCATTGCTTCAAACCTTGACCGAGAGCTCAGCGAAGAGCCTCGGTTTGGGCTTGTTCAATGATTCGGCTGAACTGGCATGTCGAGCAATCAAGCTAGCCCAGTCACTGGTGCACATCAAGAATGACATTTTCAACCTGTGGAAGGCTGTTGGTGATGCCTGCTCCCATTTTTCACATATGAAGAGCAAGCTTGTCAAACTGTCCGCTTCTGATTGTAAAACTTTGTTGGCGGTTGATCTCGACCCCATCTCATTCGATTCGATGACCGACATTGATGGCGTTGGAAGTGAATGGCTTCAGGCCAGTGAAGACGAGGAATCTTCAACCAGCTGCTACATCTACGCAGCCATTCTCGCATACAAGCGTGCCCTCCATGTTTCAGTCCAAGACTCCCACGCGCAGGCGGTCGCTTGGTACAACCTTGGTTGGGCCGAATACCTGGCATATCGTGAGGCACAACCAGACCTCGCCAACAAGGGCAAGAAGCCTCGAAAGTTCTTGAAAGCAGCCATGCAATGCTTCAAGAGAGCCATCGAGCTGGAAGCCGGCAATGCTGATTTCTGGAACTCGTTGGGTGTGGTTACTACTACTATGAGTCCCAAGGTTGCGCAGCATGCCTTCGTGAGAAGTTTACATCTGAACGACCGAAACGCGCCCGTTTGGACTAATCTTGGCGCGCTATACCTTCTTCACAACGATATCCAACTTGCCAACGATGCTTTCACACGAGCACAATCAACCGACCCGGACTACGCATTGGCTTGGGTGGGTCAAGGCTTGCTGGCGCTTCTTGTTGGCGAAACAAAAGAGGCCAAGGGCATCTTCGAACATGCATTTGAAATCTCCAATTCCTCTGAGATTTTACCTAAGCGCCAATTCACGCTCACCCTCTTCGATCATCTTCTTTCGAGTCCTTTGGCTTCAAACGAAGTTTCCGAGCTCATCCAGCCATTCTTTGCGCTGCACCAACTGTGCAGCCAGAATCCATCCGACTTGCCATTCGTCCATTTGTCTGCCCTTTTGGCAGAGAGAATGGGAGAAAGCGCGGATGCCGAGGCCAGCTTAGAAGCGGTTTGCGCAGGCATGGAAGCCGAGTATGAAGAGACCGAATCCCCCGCGTCTCTCTCGAAGTATGCACAGGCAAATGCCGACATGGCTCGGATTTTGCTTGCTCGCAACGCCTATGACGAGGCTGCAGAGAAGGCCGAACTCGCACTCACACTCTCTGGCGAAGAAGATGCAGAAAAGTTTGACCCCGAAGCTTGTCGAAAGCTTCGCCTCTCCGCGCACTTGACCGCTGGCCTGGCATTCTATCACACCAAATCATGGGACCAAGCAATCGATATGTTCCGCGATGCCCTCCAAGAAGCAAACAACGCCCCAGACGTGGTCTGTCTTCTGGCCCAGGTCCTGTGGGCCAAGGGTGGCGAGGAGGACCGATCAGTTGCCCGGGAACAATTGTTCGCCTGTCTCGAGATTAATGATGGCCATGTTGGGGCAACTCTTCTCCTAGGCGCCATCTCAATTCTGGACAAGGACAGCGAGGCACTTGAAGCCATCGAATCAGATCTTAACAGCATCATGCAACACGACGACATCGATATTCACGAGCGAGCCAAGCTGATCAAACTTCGGACCACCATGTCAGCTTTGGGATTCAATGCCCACGCAAATGTCCCCGAGGATGTCAGACGGACGGGCGAGGCCGCTGCCGCAATCATGCTCTCGCCAGGCCTGCCTGCCGGATGGTTGGAGCTGTCCAACGCTTCGCAAAACTCGTATGCGGCAGAAATGGCCGTTACGCGCGCCCGCCAGAACGTGCCTCCCCACAGTAACCTCGAAGCCACCGAACTTGCTCAGGCATATGCACAGAGCGGAAAGACCAGTGATTCGCTTAGGGCAATTATGGTATCTCCGTGGATAAGCAATGGTTGGGAGGAACTGGATTATCATCTGTCTGCCCTCGCTGCATGAGCGTGCCTGGAAGCACCCGTGGACTGCGCCTGGACTGCACGAGGATATACCCGAAAATAAGGCTGGATTTTCATTCAGCACATGTTTACGAGTCAAGATAATGTAGAGTAGGGAAAATCATATTCATACCTTCATAGCAAGGGGCACAGCGTAAGAAACAGGCTTTCGTGATACTGGGTTTGAGGCCTCATTCTGCCTCCAGACCGCCGGTCTTCTCCAGCAATCTGGCCTTCCTACCTTGTCGCCATGGGGTATCCCAGGTTTCAATTTTACCACCAAGGACAGTAGCACACCCAGGGGTGAGAAGCACCATACCCCTCGCAACAGTAGGATTGCGAAGTAACAGCTTCGCACCAATAGCGAGTTTCTCCACGGAGACTCCATCCATACGCTGAATTTCGACTCCAGTGACAACAGTGCCTCCGGCATCTTGAAGAATCAGGCGATGTGGTCCACTCCCACTGCTTCCTGAAGCATTTGCCCCAGCCACAGGGCCATTGTTCGTGGGATTGCTCTCCGCAGCCTCTGGATCTTCATCGACGGCAATCGTGCGAACAATCTCGCGTCCCCTGATGGCTTCACCGTGCTCGACGCGTTCAATGGCTTCGATTTGGCTCCATAGACTTGTTCCAATGTCCTCAATATCTAGAACCTGGACCGGGATTGAGCCTTGTAAGCATCGCTCTTGGACCATTGGGTCGTAGACATCCACTGGCAGGACGCATGATCTATGCTTGGAGAGTGATTCTTTAATGTCGGAGGCTAGAAGGCGGAATATGGCAGTCTTTGCCAGCGCAGAGGGAGGAACATTGCGTTGTGCCAGGCCAGAAGACAGAAATGTATTGAGCCAATTAGGCGAAACTGAAAGAGACTTGGTGCTCAGGATCTGAGCTGCAATCTGATCAGGACTGGCCATTGTTAACGGAAACACGAGAAGAGAAGAGAAGAGCAGGAAGACGATGCTCTGCACAGACCACCGCTTATAGCCGTCGACGTGCCCCCCCGACTCTCTTCCTCCACACACCATGTCGACGATATCCTCTCCCCGTCCTTCCATTGCCTCATCGAGAGCCCATTCTCCAAACACCTCGGCCCGCCCATCACTAGATGTCTTGAATACCAGCGTCAGCGGGGGCCTCAGCGCCGCATCTACCCCGTCCACCGCACGAGCACTCTCTCCCGCATTACCGACACGACGCAACCGCAGCGCCCTCCGAGACTACTACAACCTCAAACCCACAGCATTAGATCCATCAGCCGCCCGAGATGCATCGCGCTCCCGCAGCATCCCGCGAAACACAGATGCAGGCGATATCTCCAACCCATCCGCTCTAGCAGGGACGGAGCTCGACAGTGCCGATTTCGACCCGCATCGCTATGTGGAGCATCTCCTTTCCTCATCCTCACTGTCTACTGTGCTCAAGGCGGAGAACACGCTAGTTGGCGACATTCGTACTCTGGACGGGGAGCGGAAAGCCCTGGTCTACGATAACTACTCCAAGTTGATCCGGGCCGTGGAGACAATTGGCAAGATGCGGCGGAGTATGGATGATCGCGAGGCTCCGTTGACTATGACGAAGACCTTGGGGCCGGCGATTGCTTTCGTTGCTGAGACTGCTGGCGGACTCATCAAAGAGGGCGAAGAGCAGCGGAAGCGCATGAAAGAGGCCAAGCAGGACAATGGGGATTCGCAAATCAAAAGCGAAAAGGACACTGTTCGGTGGGTGCTTGCTGCACCGCAGAGACTCGAGGGGCTTTTGGCGGATGATAAGCGCGAGGATGCGCAGAAGGATTGGAAGGAAATCCAGCACTTGCTCGACGCCTGGGGCGATGTCAAGGGTGTCTCTGAAGTTCGGGACGCTTGCGAGAAAGTGATGGCCGGCGCTGGACACGATGGTTGAACACAGCGTACTCCTCTGGTCATCACACCCTCAGTTGCAGCCCCTTGACATGGACTCCCAAGTGCCCATGATCACTAGACAAGCACTGAATCTCTACTGGAGAGCTTGGATGTGACTCCATGTCCAAACGGCCCGAGAACGGCGCCGTCGCGGATTCCTAACCGCCCTGATCCATGTTCTCACATGATATATTGCCACCATTGCTCGGAAATTCGTGCATAAACTGTCATAGATAGAAGCGCTTTGAATAGATACCCAACAAACCCAGCGATCAATAACATATCAAGCATGGATCAACCAAATAGCCCATCTTGATCACTTCCGAAGCACATTCAGACTTGAAAACATACTCGCCTTCAACCCATAAGCGTTCTTCGACGTGATCTCCAGAAGCGTGTACACATCAGACTTATAGTAAATGGGTCGCGCACCCTTCCCCAAAAGCCCAATCTCACTCATCTTCTTCACAACCCGTTTCACATCCTCCGCGTCCCCGAAATCAGCCGTGTAAACACATATCAACCGCGATTCCCCAGATCCATCATTGGGAGCCACTTTCGCAGCATCACCCAGCTCCCCCTTCTCCATTGCCCTGACCACTGTACCCCAGCATTCATCCACTTGATCAACAGTGGGGAACAACATCCATTTGCCATGCGTGACGCCCGTTTCCCGCGCAAGGGCAAGGAGATTCTTTTCGAGCTCTGCGCGGATAGGTTTCAACGCCCGTTCCAAGGGAGCCATCTTGCCGCCTGCTTTATCGTTCGCTTCGCGGATGATGACACTTTCATTCTCGTACTCTTGGAGAAGCTCGTGGCCTTTCCTTAGTAGGGTGGGGACGTCTCCTTCTTTGCTTGGGATGTTGCGGTTATGCATCCATATCCAAGGCCTTGAAGGTGTGAGCTCGGTAGTTGATGGTGGTAATCGGGAGAGAAAATGATCAACGGATTCTGTTCTTCCGCGGCGATCCTGGGGTGGGCCTGTGGGTGAGGGTGAGGGTGATGCGTCCTTCATGGAGATGTCTGATGACATGGTCGGTGCTTTTAGATTATATTGTCTTGTGGATAGGAGGCGTTGATGATGCTCGCCCCAGTATGGTTCTGGGTCGAAGGATGCAACCAGTGCCTCCAGTCGGTTTGTTTCCTCTTCGTCGCCTTGGTAGATGTTAGCTTTTTCCACGAACAATGAATGTAGATATACCGTAGAAACTGGACTCGTCAGACAAGATCTCAAAGGGGTTCGTGTTCATGGCTGTGGTAGTTGAGGTGGAAGAAAGTAAATTCAGGAAACCACAGCAAAACAGTATTTATGTTAATACTTTACTTCCAAAGTTTGTTTGTCTCACAGCTTACCAGAACTGTTTATCACGAAATATCGATGTATGTAGAGAATATGTAGATACTACAGCTCTATTACAATATAGTTGCCTCAGAAATGAATCCGAGCACGTATCTCTTGCTGGGTGGACTTTTCTAAAACAAAACTTCATTGCCTAGTGATATTACTTGGATAGAGTACATTAAAACTAATTTGTAGACAAGGCAGGCCAGACCTGATCGACAAACTTGACAAGATCCGATTTCAACTCGTCGGGTCGCTCTAGAGCAGCGAAATGGCCACCCTGCAATAGAATTAGCATATAACACGAGCTTTACATGCAAGAACTATACCTTTTGATGCTGCTGCCAAAATACCAAATTGCCAGTTGTTTCAATCCAGGAGCGTGGCAGTCGAGCAAGCTCCATGGGGAAAGAAGAGAACCCAATTGGTTTTTTGATATACCAGCGCGGGTCGTTAGCGGCCGGTATAGGCGGAGCAGGGTAGTTCTATAGATCCGAGTGAGACTTTTTCACCAAAGCTCATAGGAAAAGACAACTGACCTGTCGGTATGTATAGATCGCTCGTGGGAATGTATCTGTAAGCCAATACAGAGTGATTGATTCCAAGATATCATTAGGAGGCAGGGGATCATCAACCCATTCGCAGAACTTCTCGCCAACCCTGCGTATATCAGATTTTATTATCTCTCAACGTTGCGGGAATCAGATCTCACCAAGCTAGGAGCGCAATAGGACTGGATGCTATGACATGGCCAATCGTACTTGGCCGAGTGCCATGCTCAACCGCATAACCGGAGCCTGTGGCGACGAATTGGTGCATCCTTTCAATACCTTGGACCTCAAAGGCATTCAGGGTTTCGTCCATTGCGCCTTCTGGCTTTCTCATGAAAACGACGTTGACTGGCCGATGTTAGTATTTCTGACTTGGGCAATGTTTAGAATGGACTTACGGTGTGCCGCTACATTTTAATGTTAGATCAATCTTTGAATATGACTCTGGGAATCATCTAGGGGTATCTCTCACCTTTACAGCTGTCATGGTCGACGGCCAGATGTCGAGCTATCCGGCTTCCAATATCGCCTCCTTGAGCAATATAGCCACTTGCAAACCCGAGGTCTTTCATCAATTGGTCCAGGACGCGAGCAATGTCAGCTGTACCAAAGTCCCTATCGAGCGGAGGGCCCGACGAGAAAGTATACCCTGGTAGAGATGGTACGATCAAATGATAAGGCAAAGTCTCTGGGGTATATTCATCTCTGAATCTTTGCAGTATAGGCAAGAATTCCAAGAAACTTCCTGTAATATATGAGCCAAATTGCGTAACATGTAATGAATAGAGGTACTTACCGGGCCAGCCATGCAACAAGAGCAGCGGAATAGCATTTTTCTTCTGAGAGAAGAGACTCACAAAATGGATTCCGATCCCCTCCACCTCCGTCACAAATTGAGGAAAGGAGTTGATTCGATCCTCAGTGGCTTGCCTGGTAAGATGTTAGTGATATTCAATCCCAGGGTACAGTTTGGTCACCAGCTATAAGACCGCAGCCACAGATCTCGCATTGTCACCAGCCAATCCGTCCCAACGCCATAACGACGGTCGACCTGGGAATTCTCGTAGGTGTGGGGAGCGAATTTGGCAACTTGGAGAAGAGTCTGAAGCTCTGAAATCTTGGCCTTGGGAATGGAGACCTTGAATGGGGTGAGCGAGGCCTCCGTAGGGGGCGTACTGAAGGGTAAAGCCATGGTGGTTGTTGACAGCGGCTGACGGCCCTTTTATACCCGTGTCGTCATTGCGGGGTTTGTCCGTAGGCAGATGCTGACCAACACGGTCAATGGATCGATGTTGACCAGTTGACTCGTATGTGAGTTACAATATATGTCAAATGTTGGAATGCTGAGGTCTTAAGTCGTCGAATGCTCGTACAATTTGTCCTAAATCAGGTGTGTAGATACTTTTGGGTACAATGAAGTTCTATCGTCTAAACATGTCACAAAATGTGAGAAAGCACCCTATGATTCGGGCTATACACCCAAGCACGTACAAGACTCGAAATGATGCAGGCGTGTAGCATATTTCAAGCTGAGGATTCGGCTTCTAGGCTTGGGAGCTTGGTGTCCAACCAAACCCACGAGAAAACAGCCTGAATGAAGCAGATGAAAGCTATTCGGAGTCAGTAAATTGGACAAGAGACTTCATTTGAGAGAAGACTTACCCAGAACAACAGTCATGTAGAAAAAGCCGACTGTTTCAAACAACGACCCGGTCAAAAGAGGCCCGAGCATCATCCCAAGGCTAAATCCCACTTCAGTCATGGAAAACACTCGCAAGTTGCTTCTGTTGATCTCAAACACGCGTGGGTCCTTGGCTTCCATATCCTTCACGACATCTGAGAGAGCGTCAGTTTAGTGCATGAGATATTGACATCTGAAACTTACAGGCCAATTGAACAGCCCCAACACCACGAACCAGAGGAAGAACACTTCCCAAGGCAAGCAGACTGCCAGAAAAAATGGACTTGCCAGCTACGTCGCCTGCCCACGGGAAGTGAGAGTCCCCTGGAGCGCCCAAAAGCAAAATCAAAGGAACAGTCGCCGCCCAGCCGAAGGTGGTAGGGCCTCGTAGTCCGAGTCGATCACGAAGCCATCCAGCCGGGCCACTGAGAACGATATTCGGAACTTGCAGACAGAAGAACATCATACTGATGAGGAAGCTCTTCCATCCGAAGACATCCCGCAGATGAACGGGGAGGGTGTTGTTAATTCCGGACATGAGAGCTGCGACGACGACAACATTCGCCACGGAGATCAAAACTCGAGCTTCAGAAAGCATGGCCTTGTAGAATACTCGTTTTTGATCACCTTTGTCCTCCGCTCCATAATCATTTGGCTTGGTGGGTGCAGCGTCTGATAGTAGAGCAGTAGACTCTGCCGGTGAATCGTTAGTGCCGGAGTTCTCGGGGATTTTTAAGTCTATGCTTGGGTTTCTTGGCTCAATCATGATCAATCGGGCGAAGATATCCAAAGCGAGGACAAGCAAGGGGAGCGACCATGCAGTCCAGTATCCAAACATCTGCAGTAAAGCACCGCTGACCGTGGGGCCTCCGACCATCCCTGCAGTGACAAATGACATGGCCATCCCCATTGAGGCACCGAGATTCTTCTTATCGACATTGTTGGCCAGCAACGCAAATCCCACGACCCAAGTGCCGGCTCCCGCTGCGCCTTGCAGGACGCGACCCGTAAAGAGAGCCCATACTTTCCCAAAGTTAGTTCGATCAAGGATTTGTAGGATTAAATTCAACATACCGGATGTGGAAAATGCAATCATCAAGGTTCCAATGAGACATCCCGCCAGCGAGAACAATAGCGGTGTCTTCTGGCTTGCCGTCTTCTCGGCCAAGTAGGCAATGACGGGAGCAGAGATCAGACCCACGAATCCATGACTGGTGAGTAGAATTGTAGTGTATCTCTGAGTTTGCGATGGATCAATATGCAATCGCTCTTCAAGCATGTAGCTCAGAATCGGGGTTAGGAACCCGAATAAAAATGTCTCTGTCGAGATGAGTCAATACACCACTCATCCTGAGACATGGCGACACGCACCTGCGAACAAAGCCACTGTGATCGAGGACACGATGAGAAACCGCGATGAGCGCCATGAGTAGCCCCATGGCTGGTTCGTATCCATCCCGAGGTCGCAGTCTGTTTAGTGGTGAGTTGTAGAAAAGAAAGAAAAAGTGGGGGCGAGAATAAAAGGTCGATCACATCATAAGAAGGACATTTGGGATTCAATGCCTGCGAGAAGTGATTTAAATATTCTATCTTGATGTACTAGCTCCTCGCATGGGCTGTACTTTGTCATTGGCTTAATTAGAATCGCAAAGCAAACGTGATCAACGCCCCTCTACTGCATTGGCAAGGGCCTTTATATGTGTCACACTTTGAGTTTACGCCCTTCGATCAAATGCATTCTCAGCCCGTAGGAGATCCGTGTGGCTGACAGTTGAGCGTAACATCTGAAGGATCTGGATTTTTACGGCCATAATTAGGTAGAGTCACTACTAGAATGTATACCACCGGCTACCGTCGGAGCTGTTATGTACTAGCATGACTGTTGAGATTGTATATCTCAGGTCTCTTTGATATTTAATGACAAGTTGGGGGATCTCCATTCAAGCGCTTGTGGCTCATTTACTAAACAAACCAGAATACTTTGCAGGCAATGCATATGCAATGAGACAATATCTCACCCTTTCATGGCTGCAGGCTGTACAGATGATTGGCAGCACCGTGAACCCCCAAAAAAGATCATCTCCGGACCAATTGCTCCGATGACAATGATATGCAATGTAACCCAGGGCTTAGACTTGGATTTCTATACTCAAGAGACCAAAATCTGACCATCCCGGGGCTAGAACCGGTTAAATCAATCAGAATACGCCGCAGCCGAATGTATTCACCCCAGAATGACTCACAACTGGACCCTGCGTTTCTGACTCGAAAGCCCACCGATCTTGTATATTCCTGGTCATCATATCTATCTAGTTACTTACTCTCTGCCCAGGTGTATCTGATAGCACTGTGATCACTGATGACCACGATAGCATCTCACCTGCGTAAGTGGCTCGAGATATCAAAAAGTAAACTGGAACCAACCTTGGAGCCTTGAAAAGTAATATAAGAATATTAGACTTATTACTCTATAACTCTATTGTACTCCGTAGCGCAGATATATCGATGCCCAAAACCAGTTGGTGGGTACTCACCGCCCCACTATTAGAATTCGCAGACATCAGTCGTATGTGGAGATCTGAATACTCCAAGGTTCCCAAATTCAGGTCAACCGGCTCAAGAACTACAAGGTTGTGGGCTCTATACTTGACCTTGGACCGAGAGTTGAGATAATTTCCCAAAGTGGCAAGTAAACCAACCAGGCCCAAGTCAGACTAGCCCACCATGGCGACCATTCAAAACCCCAAATCTGCGACTACCGTCTTTCTAGACCAGCCTCCCAGCTGTCTCGAGTTTTGTCCAGAGGCTCCGGACTACTTCATTGTGGGAACATACCTTCTGTCAGAAAGCAAAACCGACCAAGGAGAAATCGAACAGAAAAAGACCGGTAGCCTGCAACTATGGAAGCTAGATCCCGTCAGCAAAGCACTGTAAGTTTCCAAGCATACTGCATGTCCATGCACATCAAGCCAACATACATACTAACACCCCGCAGTTCCCAAATACAAAGAATCGATCTGCCATACGCGGTCTTCGATCTTCACTTCCACCCAAGGCAAAAGGACCTGTTCGCCATTGCCAGTAGCGTGGGCACAGTCGCCCTCTTCCAAGTAAACCCTTCAGACCCAGCTTCAAACCCAATCACCCAACTATGGTCCAAGCAAGTCCACGAAGACCCCTCAATCCCAACCCTCTTCCTGGCCTGGGCACCACAGAACTGGTTCCCCCGGCCAGCAGACGGCTTCGCAGTGACTTTCTCCGATAGCCGGACCGCCGTCTTCGGAACGCAAGGCGATATCCGCGACGAAGTGGCTGAATGGGGCACCTTCGAAGCCAAGCAGATGATAGAGGTCTGGTTTGTCGCACTGGCTTCAATGACAAGTCCAGTCGACGATCACAAGACTCAAATACCGTTCATGTTCACGGGTAATGATTTCGGGTCTTTGCATACGCGTCGATTGGATGGTTCTGCCGAAATCGATGATGATGAGCATGTCTCGCCGATGCTGTTGGAGCATGATGATCGTGCTCGCCATCATACTGCTGGCGTGACGGCTATACTGCCTTTGCCTGTTCCTATGGTGGACGATGCTCCTATTCTTCTGACGGGGAGTTATGACGAGGGTCTCCGTGTGTACCATGCGACGCGGAGAGGCGAGGTACTCGCTGAGCAGGGCTTGGACGGTGGTGTTTGGCGGTTACAGCCTTTGGAAACAAAGGTGATGATGGCTATGGATGCGGGAAATGCTTCAGTAACCCAGTTCTTGGTTCTGGCGAGCTGTATGCATGCTGGAACTAGGGTTGTGCAGGTCAGTCTGAAGGAGAGTGGTGGGTCGTCCGAGTGGGAGATTGAAGTTCTGGCGAAGTTTACGGAGCATGAGAGTATGAATTATGCTAGTGGTGTTTGGGATTCCGGGGCGCAGCGGAAGTCAAAGTCTGAGTTCCTGGTTGTGTCGAGTAGCTTCTATGATCGGAGGCTCTGTGTTTGGACGGCAAATGTATGAGAACAGTTGTCGGAATGCACCTGGGCAAGAGCCCAGTCTGAACTCGAAGTTCGGCAGCTTTACAATGGGGAGATTTGAGAATTAAACTTGACATCCATGGATGATTGTGGTCATGAACACGCTAGATTAATAACATGCAGCGACAGGTATACAAGTACATCCGCGCCTGAACAAAAGAATGGTTCATATCCGAAGGTTTATCGTTCCAATTGAGCGCATAATTAAACAATGGTCTCTAGCTCGCGAGCGTAACCCAATGCATTCTCAATCACGGTGCCGCTGGCCATCAAGATATCCTTCTCGGACCGGGCAGCCGCCTCGGGCTCGACGGGGAAGAATATCCGGCCATCACGGAGGATCCAGCCGCGCTGCTGAGCGAACTCAATGACAGCACCCTCCGACTCGAGGAAAAGCAGGTTCTTGGCATTGGAGATAGGAAGGGAAGGGTATGCTTTCTCGGAGCAGTCTGCGATTTCACTGCGGATGGTACCGATGAGGACCTGAAGATGCGAATTAGTATCTTGGTTCCAGACCTTGCATGGGACATGGGATTGTGACTTACATTAGAGAAGAGACCGAAATCTTCGGACGGAACACGCTCGGACTTGGTCTCTCTCCACACCTTGTCGTAGCTTCCTTCCATCAAGTTGCGCTCCAACTCAACGGGGTACTTGATGTATGCATCATCCTCGACACGACCACCCTTCAAGCTCGCCTCTTCAACCAGTCCCTCCAGCACTGTGTGGAAATTGGCGCTGTCGCCCATGCTCAAAAGAAGAAGCAGGTACAGCCCCGTCACCTTGCTGCGTTGACTTGTGCTGAAGTCAACTTCTGACGAGGTCTGACCGGGAAGACCGGCATGTCTCTCGATGTCGTAGAATGGCTGCAGTTGCTGGTAGTATCGTGTGAACAACTGTGCGTCGGTTTGGCGAATTGAGGCAAGGGCTCCAAGCTCAAGGACTTGGCGAGCGAGGACGACAAGCTGGGGAGGTGTGGATGGGGTGGGAATCAATGCATTTTGCAGAAGGAGAGCTCGCTTAGCACGGCTGAGAAGGTCGTTGGCGGCGTCCAGCTGCTTGCGCTCAAGAGCACCGTGGAGCTCTGACACAAGGGACTGTAGATCGGACATGGCGTGGATGATGTGGAAATGGAACGATACTCAAAGGACGAACAGTATTTAGCCGGAGCCTGACGAGAGCAAGGACTTTATCGGCGAACGAGATAAGGAATTCGGATTTTGGGGTGATGGTTGTTGGCGCTGTCCGATGCCCATGACGGAGCTGTCGCGGGCGGTCACCCGTTAGTCACGTGTAGACTTTTCTGGCGGTACTAAGGCGGTGAGACATCGCCATATTAGAGCTGCCATTGACCAGTGCCAGTAAACAAACAACCTTGGAAGTTATGAAGAGGATGGCATGAATTTTTCATGATAAGTTGCTACCTAGGTACTGTATTGATGAATGATATTTATGAAAGCATTTCAGATCGCCGAACCGATCAAATTGAAGCAATTCCATTTGGCTTTGGACGAAGCCATATCACAGCGCCAACTTCAATATCTCCTGGAAGGAAGGCGTACCCAAACCCGTCACTGGGTCCCATCCTTCAGTAGCATTCCAGCCAGCATTAGGGACCAAAGGTGTTTGAACGCCGCCAGACCAGCCCATACAGCCCAGGGATCGACCATGAACGATATCTGTAAATCCCAATCGTCCACTGCTATAAAGCCATGGGTTCAGGAAACCCATTCGAGGCTTACCCTGCGCAAGACGAGCTGAATTCAATCGTGAAATGATGCCCGCCAACACTGGAGCCGAGGCACTTGATCGTGTTAGTTTGTTGATTGTTATTCATGATGTGGAAAACGAACCTTGTCCCACCCACTGAAACCCATACACCATGATCTCGAACAACGAAGCCGGATGCCTGCGCCGAGACATCGGGGATCCCTCTACCCTGGGTATTGAAGTATTTCTCCCACTGGCTGCCAATATTGTTGATGTAATATCGCACCGCCTCGTCTTGATACGAGGGACGGGGGAAGATCTCCGAGAAACCACCACCAGAGAAAGAAACCCCTTCTTCAGGATTAGTCCTGAACGTGCCTCCCACGGAAGTGACAAATGGGCACGAGGCTGGGTATTCCGGAAGAAATCTGGTCCTGTTTGTCCCGTCGTTCATCAAACACGACCCGCCGGCGCCGGAATCTCCACTGCTGAAGAGGACCGACACACCTCTTGCCGCGAGCTGCGCAAATAGACTGCATGTGGCATTCACATAGGATGCCGGGAGACCCTGTTCGTCTTCCCCGTAGGAGTTCGAGAGAACTGCGGGGAGATCTTCGTCGGACAGGCTGAGTAGGTAGTGGAGCTGCTCGAGGTAGGGTTCGTTCGTTACTTCCGAGATGTCTGGGTGGTCTATCTCGGGTGATACAGGACCGCGCCCACCGGTGGTGTAGAATGTCGTTAGTACTTGATCTGTCATCGCAATCGAGTATTGCATGTCCAAATTGGCTTCGACGCTGTCCAGGATAGAGTTCTGGTCATCTTTTCCACCGTTGATGGAGACAACAGTGAAGTTGTCACTTGCTTGGCTCGGCGCATAGTGAGTGAGGGAATCATCCAGATCTTGATGGCGCGCATATTGCTCCAGGAAACCAGATATGCCCAGTCGATTGCGTGGGTCAGGCGTTGTGGTTGTGTTATCGATCCCATACAGATTCTTCAGGCAACTCGGCGTGATCGTCCTGTCACATCCAGCGGCTAGTTGCTCCAGGGTTGCGCGCTCGGGTTGGAACAACGTACTCTTCCGCGGGTTCAAATTGCCAAACCGAGTCGTGGGCTGTATCAATTGGATGTATGGGTGTATATCACTGGGGACGGAATACCCAAGGGTTCTGATGGCCGTTGTCTTCTGGGCGTCGTTGTGGTAGTAGAAGAACTGAGTCTTGAGCATCTCTTCTGCCTTGGACATGGGGACTGTGAACAGGATCCAGTCGCCATCTGGAACGATGTTTTCGACTGGGACATTCTCGGATCTGAGCCATGCTAAAATCCGACTTGTCACGGCAGGGGATGGACGCAAGTGCTTCCTCACTTCCTCCCGTTTCATGTGTTGGCCATAGCTGGGGTGACCGGGAGTGGAGAGATCAATGACCTTCTGCTCAAAATTGGCCGCGTGGCTTCGGGTGATTGCGAGACGAAACTTGATGGGCTGCGAAGGCTGAGGCTTGCCTTGCTTGGACCATCCGTGGGGTATATCAGCAAGCTGTTCTACTCGTTGGTGACTGAGATGATGATTGAAACCAGGTAGGGCTGATGCTATCTGGAGACAGCACAAACCCAGGCCCAGCACCTGTAGAGTGAGCAATTCAAATCGCATGTTGTGAGTGAGGAGATGTGTAAAGATGAGAAAGGGAAATAGGAATTGAAGGAATTGATGGAACTTGAAAAGCAACCTTTAGAGACTACCTCAACGCCCTAGAGATAACTCACACTATATAATCAACTGCCTCACTTTCACACTCAAATCACTTCAATCCCGTCAATGCCATCGGAGCTTAAACACGAAAGTACAACGTTGCATGCCAGAGTTATAGTCCCATGATGTCTGTCCTCATGTGAATGCATCGAGCAGAGCGGGAGCTGAGCTCCCAGAAGCTACTTTGACACCTGCTGGAGCCAGTGGAAGAAAAGCATACACAATGTTCACGAGCAGATTTTGAGTGCCGCGAGAGCTGGCCTCACGTCTTCCAAGGCTGCCCATGGCTTCGGACTTTGTATCACCAGATCACACCGCAACCACTGTGCTATTCTGTCTAGACCCGAGAGATCTAGACTGTGTGACCTTTTCGGCTCTCAGATGTGCAAAAGTCAGCCAGACATTTCGTATGTATATGAAGTTGGAGATGAGCAGAGAAGACAGAGAGTTGATGTGGCTGCCTCAGGCGCCCACGGAATATCGAGGAGCCGCGAAATGCGGGATGATCGACGTCACAGAAATTGAATCATCGGGAGATCATTGGGTCATTGATTCATTCTTGTTCTCGACATACTTCTCTGCTGCAGTCCCCCTTGGCTTCTTGCATTAGTGTCTCAACGTCCGGGGAACATCTGAGTGCGGGGTGGCATGATCTTATTGAGTCGACGTCATTGCATTCTGGGCCTCTTATAACTCGTCCCCCCTCTCCCCTCGTCTCTTTTAACCACGCCATGGCCGAATTACAGCAACGCCGGATGTCGGCAGACAACCAAACCGTCTCCAAGGCGGAAATTCCATTGAAAGAACGCTTCTTCCGTTACTTCCAACATGAGATTACGGGTACGGCGGCATTTGATCTCCAGTGGAGCCGAACTAATTGATCTACAGTGCTGCAAGAAAGGATGGACCACCTCTCCAGTACGTCTCTGGTTGGAGGCGAGCGGGCTGACGCAACAGACCACTGCCTGGCCGGGATCGTGCGCTTGTCGAATGAAGTCAAGGATGCCGCGAGTTACATTCCAACATACGACCAGAGGGTCTATGCGGAGGTACAGAGTACAGGACTGGCGACTGTGATCAACGTTGACATTTCCCCAGGCTATCAAAGCCTTGCAGGATCGACTGAGTGAGATACGGACAGTGTTCGAACCTCGGTCGAAATTCAGTTTCAAAAACAAGAAGAATGCCTCCGCTGTCTCCATATCGGATGCCGCGGCCTTGGCAGTGGAGGGCAGACTCAACATCCCCGGTTACCATTCCCCAGGTGCCTCGTCCGTTGATTCGTCCGCCGCACACACACCTCTCTACCCCTCCACGCCACTAAACGAACCCGACAAGCAGCAGCAAGAGAGACCAGAACTGGCGCCCACTTCATGTCCCGGTGTCGAGGTCGATGACTTCGCTTCGAAATCGCGTTCGGAGAAATTTGCAGCCACTGGAATCTCGTCAGTCTCCGTTGATGATCACTATGGCTTGCATATCATGCTTCCATCGTCAGGATCCACCTCCACGGTTCCTGCGTCCATCACCTCCCTCGATCACTGCGTGGTAGATATGTCTATTCCCACTGCCAACGGAAAGCCTTACGCCAGTTTGACCGCCAAGGGAGTGAAGAGTAGCTTACTAGTCTGCGGCCAGGTCAATGGCCCGGCCCACGTCACCGGCGTCGAACGCAGCGTCATGGTAGTTTCCTGCCGCCAGTTCCGCATGCATAACTGCAGCAACGTCGATGTTTACCTGAGTTGCTCCAGTAATCCCATCATCGAGGATTGCTCCAATATCCGTTTCGCTCGGATCCCCAAAGCATATGTCAGTAATTTCCTCGCGATATGCTCATGCCGTCAACACTCACGCTTTTCCTCGCAGGCATTGAGGCACGATAGACCGGATCATGAAGATCGTTGGAGCCAGGTCGAAGACTTCAAGTGGATCAAGACCGAGCCCAGTCCAAACTGGAGTTTGCTTGATCCCAACGACGCAGTACCAGAAGAAGTTTGGGCAGAGATCGTTCCTGGCGGGCCAGGATGGTCTCTCGAAGATATTCTACATGCTATCAAAGTGATGAAGCACTAGGATCTACGATCTGACATTTCTGTCTTGGATTGACGTAGCGTTCTCGTTCTAGCGCTTGTGGCGCTCGTCGGATGCAAACGTGATATTTACATCGAATACTGGTACTTACACTTACTTTCCTTTAGTTTATCAGCAGGTGGAAAATCGAACGAGGAATTGGCGAAGGGATGATCTGGACTCCTATGAGCACTGTGATATGTACTGACCTCGGGATAGCTACAGTATTTCTAATTAAAATACAAAAAAGCAATAATTCAACTCTGCCCCTGCAGCATCTCGTTGGGTTTGCATCCCATGGAGTATATATTCGTCAGGCTTAGAACTTCAGCTTGAATGCCAAAACCTGAGTGTCAAGGCTATAGCCAGATGTATCCTTGTAGTCAAACTTGCCGAAATTCAGGTGTCCTGAGATAGTGAATGTCAGTGCCAGCTCTTTCCAAGACCAAGGGAAATTCTAACCATCCTGTGTCATGAAATCATTGTCGCTGAAACTAAACAAGAAGTACTCCTGACCAGCCCGATAGGAACCAGCAGAAGGATCAACGGGAACAACAGCAAGGCTCTCCCACTTCTCATTCAAAAGGAACGCATCTGAAGGACCACCATTGTGAAGCCGGAACTTGCCCAGCTCCGCATTCAAATTGTAGTCCACGAACGAACAGTATTCCGCCGGAGCAATACCGGGGAAAAGGACGCCCTCGGAAGAGGCCATCGCCCCATGAGCATCGTCGTAGTTCTTCTCACCTCTCAGATCAGTGGCTGGCTTCTTACCCTTCAGCGAGAAGACATCCGCATGCCGATAAACAGATCTCGTATTCTTCTGTCCACGCCCAAACCCAGCGTCACGAGAAAGAACCAAGAAATCACCCGAAGGCAACTGATGAACCTCAGACTGGCTAGCAACGCCATATGCTTTGGACGCATCCTTCTCCGTATAATCCCAATACTTGGGCAACATGACCGCATACTCATGCGCAAAGACAGGATTCGACGCATTCGAAATATCATAAGCAAGCAACCGAACAGGCGATCTGTAAACCTTCTCCGGTCCACCCTCCTGATTCAAAGAGCTCTGCAAAAGTGCATAAAGCATCTTCCCATCCCCCGAAACAGTCACACCCTCCAAGCCCTGATTATTATTTCTCCCAGACTCAGCATAAACCGGCACAGGCCTAGCCTGCGGACTATACAAAGGCGGAGAATTCGAATTGAAGCTCAACGTCCCATTTCGACGAGGCAGATACGCCGCCGGAGGCTGGATGGCGTGAACCATGCGGCCCTGGGCATTGAATTTATAGATGTAAGGACCGTACTCGTCGGAAATCCAGAACCCGCCATCGCGCGCATCCAGGGCTGTGCCTTCTGAGTCGATGGAGACTCGCTTGCCGCCTGGTCCGGGTCCGCCGTAGCCGTCGCCTGGGTATGTGGCGACGGGGAGGGGTGGAAAGCCTGGGAAAGAGGCGTGTCCGGTTGCGTCGGCGTCGAGGGCTGTGACGGGGTGGCCTTCTGGGTCTGTGAGAAGGATTGTGTCGAGGTATTTGAGATTCACGTTGGGGTTGGAGGGATTGTTGGGTGTTGCATCTGGGGCGAGCTTGAGGGCGATGGCGAACTTGTGAATACGGGATTGGAAATTGAGAGTTCCGTTTGTGTTCCTGGGCTATTTAGAAGAGGGTTATTTTGCGTGAACTTTTAGTTATGGTCTTACCAGCCTCGATCGGGGGTCGCGTAGACGGTCCCCGAGTAGCCATCTGGTCCGGTTTTGCGCCAGGAGGATTGATTGAAGGCGATCGAGCTGCCTATTCCCCCGATGGTATCACCGTATTTATCGGTGGCATTCGAGGGAATGGATCCGTAGCCTGCCAGACCGGTGTACTTGTAGTTTGTTCCGCCGCAAGTCGTCTGGTTGACGACATACTCGGCTGCTTTCGCTGTCGCGAATAGAAGAGCGATGGCCAAGGTCAATCTCATGATGGGCGGAATGACTTTGCTGTCTGCACGATCATCTTGAATGGCATTGTCCTTTTATACTTGATCTCAAGGTCGAAGGGCCATCTCGGACTGAGCATGTTTCAGCATGTATAACTCAAGCCCAGCATAGAACAGACCGCCAAACATCATTTGGAAATTGAGTGCGGGGGTCAATGTCTATCGAAATATCCGCCAGTTGATTACAAGGACATGGGCGACAATCATTGCCGTGACGGGTATGTAGAGCCTAGATGCTATCTGATCTGGAAGCGGGGAGGCTCGCATGCTGCGTTTTGTTCACAATGGTCTTTTTGAACTAGAGTTAGACTGAACTATCTATCAAGTTAGTCCAAGTTTTGCATTTCATGTATTCCAAGTGGTGGGCAGTTTCGGGTAATTTTTCGCGCGGAAGCCCAAGTCTTGATAGACAGTTGCGTCCCCTGCAGTAGTCCAAGTCAATCCAAGCATAGCAAGCAGAGATCAGCGAAACATACCGCTCAAAGTATTGACCCGATGCTCATTTTCGTCTTCCAATCTCTCCAATTCTTGGCCCGGCTCTTCCTCGTGAGGTAATTTTTCTCCCTGCGAAGTCGCGGCTTTACCAAGATCGTTTTGTGCTTCGCCGATCATGAGGAATTGGGAGTTGGGATAGTCCAAAAATTCAGGCTCCAGGGGAACCCATCGGAGGTCTCCGAACTTCTTGAGAACCCTGCAAGGACGAGTCAATACTGCACTCCTCGACCTCTGCTCTGGATAAGACTTGCGTTTCAGGAAACTCTGGGTTTTGAGGCAATTGACCAACGGGGGGACCAGGAAATTTGGGATTCTTGGATTGAATAAGCCAGCTTCCGCGTTCCCGAAGGCCAAAGTCCTCCTGAAGAGACCCCAGTTCGGAGGGAATAGTCAGAATGTAAGCGAGGTGAGATGCCCGGGGCGTGTGAGTGATCGCGTAAACACCTTCTGCGTATGGCCTGGCTTCCTCGGTGTGACGTTCACCCATCGTGGCAGTCTGGTATGTTTGACCAGCGATGAAGTTTTCCTGCAAAGCTTGCATAGACTGACCGGCTTTCTCCACAAATCCCATGTCTCGTTCTTTGCCGGACGTGGGGAACTTCTTCTTCGGCAGCATCATCAAGCGGCACTGGGCGTCTTTGTCGACAGGACCCTGATTGCTGTCGAACTCGGCCCCAAGGGCAGTTGGACGAAGAACGAAAAAGCTTCGGGCTACGTCTCCGATACTGTGGGGATCTTCGACGTTGACCCGTGGGCGGAAGAAGAAGTAGATGAAGCCTTTCTCGAGGATGTTGGAGGGCACCACATTTTCCCTCTCCTCGGACTTTCGAACACCACCTGTCTCAGTGCTCGTTTTTGGGTCTGGCAGATTCTGCCCAGGAGCATGTTCGCCAGACGGTGTTTCCTCTTTAGTCTGGACTTCGCGCTTGGGCGTTGAAGGTTCATCCACCGGAATGCTGGGTGCTTGTTCGATGGTTGCCTCTGGCTTTATATCTTCATGCTCGGTGTCCTCTGTTTTCTCTTTCTTCGGTGGTGGTGCCTCCTTGGTTGGCGCTTTTCGTTTTGTGCCTGCGGAAGCCTTGGCCGGCTCTGCGGTAGCCGCAATAGCTTCCTTGGCCTTGTTGGCCGCATGACGAGAAGAGGTCCGTGTAGCCATGATGATTCACAAACACTGAGGAGTTGTAGTAGAGTCACCGGTGGCCGTGGGTTGCGACGTTGATAAACGACTGGGCCGATGATATATATATGACGTCATCTGCGAAGGACACCCCTGCGGCTTCAGAGGCCGGGATCGCAGTAGCGAGGATATAGTATCTCAGTCGATGTCCATCTCGTCGCTTTCAGGTGAGTTCCCTGTAGTGTCTAGACCACTACACTCGGTCGATCGTGTGTCGGACCATGAGCTCTCGTCCCCATTCGGCTCGCGGAAAGCATTGAACGAATCCGTGACAGGGGACTTCTCGAGTGAATCGCTCCGTTGCTTTTTGGAGCGCCGTTCATGCACTGGCTGAGTGTCTACCGACCTTCGTCTATCCCCATCGCCATCTTGTTTGCCTGTGTGTGCCAATTTCCTCTTTTGGCCTTGCTTTCGAGGGGAACTTGAGGCGAGATGCGGTCCATCGGCTTCGTAATTCAAATCATCCATGTATTCTGACAAGTCTCGCTGCCACCGTTCAAATCGATCGGGAAGGCGGGGTAGGTCCCGATGTGGTATATCAGGCTCGTCGTCGGGCTCCTCGACGGCATATGGCTTGATGATCCGAACCCCATCATCACCCAGTGAATCGAGATCATGTATCGGTGTTTCAGGACCAGAGTCATCCAGGCTCAACTCACTGTCATCTGTAGCTCTGGAGTTATAGGTACTCCCGAATGGAGGTTGAGTTGCATGATCTGAGACAGGATTCTCCGCCGGAAAATCCATAATTTAAAGTAATGCGAATCACATGGATAAAAATAGTTTATTGGATAACGTAGAGTCCGAATGGGGGACATGTTAAGTCCAAGTCAAGGGGGAACCATAGAAGTAGAAAGAATTGGTCCTAGCAACCATTTCCAGATGCTTCCAGCGGAGTATATAACCAAGGCCTTTGGATCTCCACCCCATATAGTGTTAGCACGATCTTACCCGGGTAGTATTAGGGGATAGTGATATGGATATGGTGTTTAAATGCCATAATTACATCCAATACACCTAAATCTATCTATATCTAAAATTATGTACTTTGGCGCCAACTGGTGAACAGTGAAGCTCCCCTGACCGCTCACCGCCCGGGGGCATGATTGGCCGTCAGCCGCTTGCACAATAGAGTCCACGTTTAGTTTACCTCAACACTCAAGTCACTGTTTACCTGCTCCTCGTTCCTTTTCTGGCAGTGGATGCAGTGGTCGCCTCTGCCTTCTTTTGCTCTCTAGTGTGCGGAGCTTGCTACTTCACAGTGCGGCTCCGGCCAAATCGTCAAGATGCAGTCCTCCCCAAACATGCTCACCAAGGTACGCCCCTCGTCCATGGCCGATGCGCCATCGGTCTTTCGCGTCTGCATTGGAGATGCTAATCCGGATCATTGAATTAGTTTGAGTCGAAATCATCCAGAGCCAAGGGAATCGCATTCCACCCGAAACGGTCAGTCACTTGGAGGGGACACCTCGCCAGAGCATCCGAACTGACCTCCGAACAGACCATGGATTCTTGTCTCTCTCCACTCCTCCACCATCCAATTGTGGGATTACCGCATGGGAACCCTCATTGACAGATTCGAAGAACACGATGGCCCCGTCCGTGGTGTGGACTTCCACCCAACCCAGCCCCTGTTCGTGTCGGGAGGCGATGACTACAAGATCAAGGTCTGGAACTACCAGACTCGGAGATGCCTGTTCACATTGAATGGCCATCTGGATTATGTCCGGACGGTCTTCTTCCACCCGGAGCTCCCTTGGATCCTGTCTGCGTCCGATGACCAGACCATCAGAATCTGGAACTGGCAAAACCGCTCACTCAGTAAGAGAGCCATTGAAGCCGGCGGCGCCAACATGAGCTGACAATTACGTTTCTTTTAGTCTGCACGATGACCGGCCACAACCACTACGTGATGTGCGCCCAGTTCCACCCCACCGAAGACCTCATCGCCTCGGCCTCCTTGGACCAGTCCGTTCGCATTTGGGATATCTCCGGCTTGCGCAAGAAGCATTCGGCCCCGACCTCGATTTCCTTCGAAGACCAGATGGCCCGAGCCAACCAGAACCAGGCCGATATGTTTGGCAACACCGATGCAGTTGTCAAGTTTGTGCTGGAGGGACACGATCGCGGAGTGAACTGGGTGTCATTCCACCCCACACTGCCTTTGCTTGTCTCCGCCGGTGACGACCGGCTGGTGAAGCTCTGGCGCATGAGTGAGACCAAGGCCTGGGAAGTTGACACCTGCCGCGGTCATTTCCAGAACGCCTCCGCCGCTCTCTTCCACCCACACCAGGATCTCATTCTCTCCGTTGGTGAGGATAAGTCGATCCGGGCGTGGGATCTCAACAAGCGCACTTCCGTACAGTCTTTCAAGCGCGACCTCGACCGATTTTGGGTTATTGCCGCCCACCCCGAAATGAACCTGTTTGCCGCAGGCCACGACACCGGTGTCATGGTCTTCAAGCTTGAGCGAGAGCGCCCTGCCTCCGCTATTCACCAGAACCAGCTGTTCTACATCACAAAGGAGAAGCACGTGAAGATGTATGACTTCGCCAAGAATGTCGAGTCTCCTCCCATGCTCTCTCTGCGCAAGCTCGGCTCCCCATGGGTTCCTCCCCGAACCCTCTCCTATAACCCCGCCGAGCGTGCCATCCTGGTTACCACGCCCGCTGACAACGGTACTTACGAGCTGATCCATCTGCCCCGGGATGCCACAGGCGCCGTGGAGCCCACAGACGTCAAGCGTGGACAGGCAACCTCCGCCGTCTTTGTTGCCCGCAACCGCTTTGCCGTCTTCAACCCTTCCAGCCAGGTGGTCGATATCAAGGATCTCAGCAATTCCACAACCAAGTCAATCAAGCCCCCAGCTGGTACAACTGACATTTACTTTGGTGGCACCGGATGCCTGCTGTTCATCACCCCCACCCATGTCGCTCTGTTCGATATTCAACAAAAGAAGCAGCTCGCCGAGCTCGCCGTGAGCGGTGTGAAGTATGTGGTGTGGTCTAACGATGGTCTTTACTGCGCTTTGCTGAGCAAACACAACGTCACGATCGTCACCAAGACCCTCGAGCAAGTTAGCACCCTGCACGAGACCATCCGAATCAAGAGTGCTACCTGGGATGACGCCGGTGTGCTGCTCTATTCCACTCTCAACCACGTCAAGTACTCTCTTCTCAACGGCGACAACGGTATCATCCGTACTCTTGACCAGACTGTGTACTTGGTGCGCGTCAAGGGACGTAGTGTTTACGCTCTTGACCGCAATGCCCAGCCCCGTGTCTTGGAGATCGACCCCACCGAATACCGCTTCAAGCTCGCTTTGGTCAAGCGGAACTACGACGAGATGCTGCAGATCATCAAGACCTCCAGCTTGGTTGGCCAGAGCATCATCTCATACTTGCAGAAGAAGGGCTATCCCGAGATCGCCCTGCAGTTCGTTCAGGACCCCCAGACTCGCTTTGACCTGGCTCTTGAATGTGGCAACCTCGAGGTTGCTAACGAGATGGCTCGGGAATTGGATCGCCCCAACTTCTGGACCAGACTTGGAACCGAGGCCTTGGCTCACGGTAACCACCAGACCGTTGAAATGACCTACCAAAAGCAGCGCAACTTCGACAAGCTTTCTTTCCTGTATCTCGCTACCGGTGACCAGGAGAAGCTCTCTCGTATGGCTAAGATTGCCGAGCACCGCGGCGATTTCACTTCTCGCTTCCAGAACGCCATCTACCGAGGAGATGTCGAAGACCGTATCCAGATGTTCAAGGAGGTCGACCTGTATCCCCTTGCCTACCTGACTGCCAAGTCACATGGCCTGACTGAAGAGGCCGAGTCCATTCTGGAGGCATGTGGTCTTACCGAAGACCAGATCGGTTTGCCTACTCTCGAGCAACCTTTGCAGGTTCCGAACCCCATTGTGCCCACATTTAAGTCCAACTGGCCCGTTAAGGCTGCTGGTCACTCTTCCTTCGAGAAGGCCCTCCTTGGCGAGGTTGGTGCTGACGAAGACATTGATGTTGATGGGTATGACGAACAAATGGATGATGAAGAAGAAGCCACTCTCGCTCGGGAGACCTTGGACGATGATGACGAGGAGCCCTCCGGGTGGGACATGGGTGACGATGTCACTGTCGAGGAAGATGTTGACTTTGTGAATGTGGAAAGCGCCGAAGCTGGCGCCGCTAGTTCTGAAGCCGATCTCTGGGCTCGCAACTCTCCATTGGCCGCGGATCACGTCGCTGCCGGCTCTTTCGATACTGCCATGCAGCTTCTGAACCGTCAAGTTGGTGCCGTCCAGTTTGCCCCCCTGAAGTCTCGCTTCCTCGAAATCTACAAGGCATCCAAGACGTACCTCCCAGCGAGCGCTGGCCTTCCGCCCTTGGTCAACTACGTGCGCAGAACTGTCGATGAGACCGACTCCCGCAAGATGCTGCCCATCATCCCCCGCGACCTTGAGACCGTCGCCACCGTCGACTTGCAGGAAGGCTATGGTGCTATGCGCTCCAACAAGCTGGAAGACGGCGTCGCCACTTTCAAGAGGATCCTGCACACTCTGCTTGTCAACACAGTCTCATCCGAGGCTGATGTGGACCAAGCCAAGAAGCTCATTGCTACTGCTCGTGAATACATTCTCGCCATGTCCATTGAGCTTGAGCGCCGAACCCTCTCCACCGACAGCCCCGAGAACCTCAAGCGTAGTCTTGAACTGTCTGCCTACTTCACCATCCCCAAGCTCGAGGTGGCTCACCGCCAACTTGCTTTGATGGCTGCGATGAAGCTCGCTTTCGCCAACAAGAACTACGGCTCTGCTCTGAGCTTTGCCAACCGGATGCTGGCCAACGGAGGCTCGGCTAAGCTCTTGGAACAGGTAAGATCAAGACAGAATTTGTTAACTACAACACCATACTAACATGAAAAACCAGGCCAAGAAGATCAAGGCTCAATGCGAGCGCAACCCGCAAGATCAAATTGACATCGACTTCGACCCCTTCGCCGAATTCGACATCTGTGCCGCCTCCTTCACCCCGATCTACAACGGCTCTCCTAGCGTGTCGGATCCTTTCACCGGCGCCAAGTACCACCCGCAGTACAAGGGCAGTGTCGACCGGATATCTGAGGTGACTGAGATTGGGGCACCGGCCAGTGGCCTGCGTCTCTTTGTCCCCAGTCAATTTTGATTGCAGAATGACGAAGCTTCACGGTTTTCTACCTTTTTTCTCTTCCTGATATGAAGTCACAAAATGGGTTTCTTTTCATCTGCACGCGGAGAAGTTGTGTTTGGCGGCGCTTTTTCTATTTCATCGGCCGGGAGAGACAAAACCTTCCTGCACACACCTGTCTAGATGTCATTTTGTTTCCAAGATTATAATTGCTTAGCGGTCTAGTTTGTATGCGAACATGTTTGTCCAAAGCCGTCGAGCCGAACCAGATAAGTAGTCGCTCAACCCATAGTGCTTAGTCTACGTGTATGATCAATGGCAATAATAATACAGTCTATATCAATTCATCATCTATAATACAAAAGGAGAGTCCCCAATTCCAAGAGTAGAGATCATATGGAGCAGTCCCCCAGCTCAATCGCAACGGCCATCCTTCCACCCACTGCGCCACCTCTCCTCCCAAAACCGACAATCGAACTCCTTCTTGCCCAATTTCCGATTCACCTCGTTATGCGCCTCGCACATCCACCATCCAAACTCCTTCCGACTCCCCAACTTCGGCTGGTTCCGCCCACTCGGATGCGCCATCCACGTCTGGAAATCATCCGCACACACCCAGCACGGGTACAACTTCGAGAAAAACTTCAGGAATCCCTGCATGTTGTTCTGGTGCTCCGTGCTGGCTTTTTCCGGGTATGTAGCCGCCATCGAGTGCAGGAGTGTCCAGGTTGAGCGGCCGAGTTGTTCGACGTCCGGCGGACAGTCGGAGGGAAGCTCGCTTGGTGAGGGTGTTGCGGCGGCTGCGAGTGCGGGCGTTGAGGTTGTGGTGCTTGTGCTGGCCGAGCTTTTCATGTCCGCTTGCTTTGTCAATGCGCGCCATGAGGCGACGGAGGTACAGGTTCGACACCTGGTGGATTAGCTGGGGCACTAATGGGATTTAAGTCTGGTAAGTACTTACGGCTTGCCATCCTTGTCTAAAACCACACCTTTGGGCAATGGGGCCTTCGAGTCATCGTCGTTGGGTTTGGACCCGGTGGCTGTGGGGAAGTTTTGGAACATCTGCGCAGTGCCTTTATATTGGCTATTTGTCTGTTCTGGTTGTGTCTCGGCCATTGTGTATGTTGCTTGGGCTTTTTCTGGGTGTACAATTGTCTCAGTCAGGCGGAAATAGGGTGGAGGGTGCCTCGGAGTTGATTTCTAATAGATTGCGGAGAACCACGGAGACAAGATTGGAGTTGTGTGTTTGGCGAAGCTAACAGTCGAACCGCAGTGATCGCGAAGTGAGACGGTGTGAGATTTTCAAAAAGCAAAAGATATCCAATAGCCAGAAATATGTTCAATTAGAATATAAGTACCTAGGTAGAAGATGTATGGCGAAATGTCATGTCGATCATCTTTGTCAGCCGCGCGCTGGGCCAACGCGTTTTGCATTTGACAATCGCCATTTGCTGGTCTATTTGCTGGTGTATGCCCTTTCAGTGTTCATATTGTGCACGTCTACTCTATTCTCATCCACATCGACAACCCCCAATTGCACTTAGCCACATTGTCACACCTATTCCGGTCTGACCCTTGTCAACACACTGTACTACCTATCCAGATCAACACGCCCACTCCGGACCGAGCTACATCGACGCACCTACTGAGTGCTTAGCTACATCAACGCACCGGGGTACTCCGTACTCTCTACTTACTTACCCTTGTCGTCTCCACATATCTGCATTCCATCTGCATTGAGCTATATCAACACATCAATTCCGAACTTAACTTCGTCGACACATCTACTCCATACCTATCTACGGAGTATATCAACATATACCGACCTACGCTACAATCAGCTATATCGACACACCTACTCTGCATTTAGCCACATCGATAAACCTATTCCATAGGTCCTCTCGTCCACACACCCTCTATATTGAGCCACACCAACAAATTCTGCTCTATACTTCACGACATCGTCGCACCTATTTTATACCTTCCCTCGTCGACGCACCTTCTCTATATTGAGCCAGATGAACAAATCTGCCCTATATTTAACAACATCGACACACCCACTACACTTACCCTTGTCGCCACACCAACGCTGTACTTAGCTTCGTTGACGCACTTCACTTTACTTACTCCCATCGCCACACCTACGCTATACTGAGCCACATCGACAAAACCAGCTCTGTACTTAGCTAGGTTGAACTCATCCGAACTTATCACCGTCGCCACACCTGTGCTGTACTGAGACATATCAGCAAATCCAGGCCTGTACTTAGCTAGGTTGACACACTTATCCGAACCTACGATCGTCGCCGCACCTACGCTGTACTTAGCTAGGTTGACACACTATCTGAACTTACCATCGTCACCGCACCTACGCTGTACTGAGCTAGGTTGACACACTCATCTGAACTTATCATCGTCGCCACATCTGCGCTGTATTGAGCCATATCAACAAATCCAGCTCTGTACTTAGCTTGATTGACGCCCTTGTCCGAACTTACCATCGTCGCCGCACCTGTGCTGTACTTAGCTACATTGACACACATCCACACATACCCTTGTTGCCACACTTAGGTACTTTGTACTTAGCTACATCGACACACCTATTTCGACTTACTCTCGTCGACGCACCTCAGCATCTATACCCACGTCACTTCATGCCGCCAAAATACACAATGTCTGACTCTGAGTCAGATGCCGAGGCTGCAGCCTCTACTCCCTTCGATCAAGTTCTGGAAAAGGGTCTTCGCGACGAGGTCAATGCTATATTCAAGTCGGGCAATATTGAGGAGTTGACCGTAAAACGCGTGCGACTTGCGGTGGAAAACAAGCTAGGTCTCACAGCGGGGTACTTCAAGACCACCGGGGAGTGGAAAACACGGAGTGAAGAAATTATTAAGAACGAAGTGGTATGTTTTCAACACTTCCCGGCGCAATTGCATTCCATGGACAAGTATTGATCGCGATGATACAGGAAACACAAGACATGGCGTCAAGCCCAGAGCCTGAAGCTGTGAAATCACCCTCTCCGGCACCGCAAAGAAAGGCATTGTCCAAACGACCCAAACCAGAAAGTGCGCCCAAGCCTCGGAAGCGCCAAAAGACCAGGACACCGGCCTCGGATGACGAAGAAGGCGCTCCGTCGGTTGTATCCGACGAAAGTGATGAGGTCACGAAACCAAAACAGCGATCAAAAGCACCAGTGAAAAAGGCGCCAGCAAAGTCCAAGAAACCGGCCAAGGGAGAACCAGAAGCTCTTGGTGCGGGAGACGCGGAGGTGCACGAACCAACAACCGCGAAGGATGATTCCGAAAGTGAGATGTCAGTGGTTCTCGACGAGGAGCCCGAGCCCAAGTCCAAGCCTCCCCGCAAGCAAAAGAAGAGTGCGGACGGTGCCTCTAAACCGAAGAAGGCCCCAAAGGCCAAAGCCAAGGCTAAAGATGAAGATATCAGCCCTGAACAGGCGGAAATCAAACGGCTGCAGGGATGGCTCGTCAAGTGCGGAATCCGGAAACTGTGGGGTAAAGAGCTGGCTCCATATGATACCCCCAAGGCCAAGATCAAGCACTTGAGAGGCATGCTGGAAGATGCCGGAATGAAAGGACGACCATCATTAGAACGGGCGAACCAGATCCGCGAAGATCGCGAGTTGAAACAAGATCTGGAGCTCATCCAGGAGGGGGCGAAGACTTGGGGTGCGAAGAGTGACGAGGAGGATAACGGTAGACCTCGCCGTCGACTGAATCGGGGACGCCAGGCGCTTGCATTTTTAGAAAGCGACGATGGTAAAGAGACTGATTAGTAGCATTGTCTTTTCCATGCTGAATCAACCACGGTGGTGATGAGTTGATGAAGAACGGGGAGCAGCATCATGTTTATATCAACATTCCATAGTGACGCCATGATATATTAGGATTGATCCCCATCATCGTGCACATTTGGCTCCGCTCATGCGCTGAGCAGTGAGACTGAATATAGCAACGGACGAGATAAACAAGACGAGGTTGTAGAACTGCCTCATGTTAGTGAAAGACCACGATCAGGGACTCGGGGACTTGCAGCTTTGCGCGAGTACTCGTTCTCCTCGGCCTCCGTTCGAGCTTCCACAAAGAGGCGTCGCAGATTAGGAAGGTTGGCCTAATACATTAGTGGTGGCAAAATGGTCCGTTGTCGTGTCGCTCACCATATTGTATTGTCGTGCGGTTGACGTGGTCGAGGTAAAGAAAGGAGGTACGGAGCACGGAGTCGAGGCGGGAGTGTCCAGACGCCGCCATTTGTGGACAACTTTTGATCGTCCACTCTTCCTCTCTCCCCCATTCTTCTCCCTGAAAATCCCCCACACCTTTGGTGGTCCTTTTATTTTTCGCATTTGTCTGCCCTGAGGCTTCCACCTCGCGCGACCGTGAAGCTCTCAATCCCCCGCTCACGCTACTCGAACCCCCTCCCCCATCCCCGAATCCTTTGGCGGAGGCACGACCTGGTCGTTGCTGAAGCTTCCATCTCCTCGCCATGGCGATGAACAAAATTCGTGGCGCCTTTGCGGTGCCCCGGAAAGGAGAGACGTTCGAATTGCGAGCTGGACTTGTGTATGCGGCCCCCACAATGCGCTGGCCACCTTGCCACAACTGATGTGATGCTAACGATTATCACAGCTCTCAATATGCCTATGAGCGGTATGTCGGCCAGAAAAGCACGGGGATCTGGGCCCCCGAGGCGGGCGTGGATGTGGCTACTAACACAGTGACAGGAAGGAATCGATTCAGAAGACCATCATGGCCATGACCTTAGGAAAGGACGTGTCGGCGCTGTTCCCCGACGTGCTCAAGAACATTGCTACAGGCGATCTTGAGCAGAAGAAATTGGTCTACCTCTATCTCATGTGAGTGTCGCACGTGTGCGGGTGGCTACAGATGCTAATCTCACTTGTAGGAACTATGCCAAGTCGCATCCCGATTTATGTATTCTCGCCGTGAACACCTTCGTCCAAGACTCCGAAGATCCCAACCCGCTGATTCGTGCGCTGGCAATCCGAACCATGGGCTGTATCCGAGTGGAAAAGATGGTGGACTACATGGAAGAACCATTGCGCAAGACTCTCCGAGACGAGTCACCATATGTTCGCAAGACGGCCGCGATCTGTGTCGCCAAGCTATTCGATCTGAACCCGGTCATGGCTCTGGAGAACGGATTCCTCGAGACGCTCCAAGAAATGATTGGCGACCCCAACCCGATGGTGGTGGCTAATTCGGTGACTGCACTTTCGGAGATTCATCACTCGGCACCGGAGACAAAGGCCCTGCAGATCACCACCAACAGTCTACGGAAGATGCTGATGGCATTGAACGAGTGCACGGAGTGGGGACGAGTCACCATTCTCTCGACCCTGGCTGAGTACAAGACGGCCGATGTGAAGGAGTCGGAGCACATCTGCGAGCGAGTTGCGCCTCAATTCCAACACGTCAACTCCGGTGTGGTTCTTGCGGCTGTCAAGGCCGTATTCTTACATATGAAGAACGTCAACCCCGAGCTGAACAAGAACTACCTGAAGAAGATGGCCCCACCTCTAGGTATGATCCAAATGCCCTTCCCAACAGCGAAAGTGTGCTAATGCTTCATAGTCACATTGGTCTCATCGGCCCCCGAGGTGCAATATGTGGCGCTGAGAAACATTGACCTTTTGCTGCAGAAGCAGCCTGATATTCTCCAGAAGGAACTTCGTGTGTTCTTCTGTAAATATAACGACCCGCCATATGTCAAGTTCCAAAAGCTTGAGATCATGGTCCGCATTGCGAACGATCGAAACGTGGATCAACTCCTGGCTGAACTGAAGGAGTACGCCCTTGAGGTTGATATGGACTTCGTCCGACGTGCTGTCAGGGCCATCGGTCAGGTCGCAATCAAGATCGAAAGCGCCAGCGAACGATGTGTCAACACATTGTTAGATCTGATTAACACGAAGGTGAACTATGTCGTCCAGGAAGCGATTGTGGTCATCAAAGATATCTTCCGAAAGTACCCCGGATACGAAGGAATCATTCCGACATTGTGCCAGTGCATCGATGAGCTGGATGAGCCAAACGCCCGCGCGGCGCTCATTTGGATTGTCGGCGAGTATGCGGAGAAGATCAGCAATGCGGGCGATATCCTTGGTGGCTTTGTGGATGGATTTAACGAAGAGTTCTCCTCGGTTTGTTGCTCTCTCAGGACGCGTATTTCTGTCTTTGCTAATTTTCTTTCTAGACGCAATTGCAAATCCTCACCTCCGTCGTCAAGCTGTTCCTGAAGCGGCCCGAGAAGGCCCAGGGCCTGGTGCAACGGGTGCTTCAGGCTGCGACCGCGGAGAATGATAACCCAGACGTCCGTGACCGAGCTTACATCTACTGGCGTCTATTATCCAACACCAGTGACTCCAACGCAACCAAGAGCATCGTCCTCTCGGAGAAGCCCCCCATCGTCACCACCATCCACTCCCTACCCCCCGCGCTCCTCGACCAACTTCTCACCGAACTTTCCACCCTCTCCTCTGTCTACCACAAGCCCCCCGAGCAGTTTGTCGGCCACGGCCGATTCGGCGCCGACGCCGTCCAGCGCGCCGCGATCGAGTACGTATCCACCCCACGCTTCCTGAGCCCCCCGCTAACCACCCCACAGGGAACAACTTCAAAACGCGCGCGAAAACCCCTTGGCCGCGGCCGCGGCCGCAGCCGCCGGTGGCACCGCGCCCCCTGCGCAGGCGCAAAACAACGTCGAGAACTTGCTGGACATTGATTTCGACGGTGGTGCTCCTGCCTCGGCCCAAAACGAGCCTGCCAGCGGCATGTCCGGTCTTGAAGGCTTGGCCGGCACCCCTGTTCGGGTCGCCTCCCCCGCCGCTGGCGGGCCCTCTGGCCAAGCCAACAACAACTTGGATGACTTGCTAGGCGTATTTGGCGACTCGGGCCCTGCCCCGCCCGCAGCCGGTGGCTCTGCGGATCTGATGAATGGATTCTCTGGCCTGGACCTCTCTGGGAATGCGCCCGAGCAGAAGAAATCCAACGATGATATCATGTCGCTCTTCTAGAGGGTGATATAGGCTAGTATTATATGCAGATGTTTCGCAAGCGAAAGTCTGAACCGAAATAGATTGTTTACGTTTAATTTTGGAGTCTGACACTCTGGGGCAGCCCTAAATGCCCTAGTCAAAGCTTGGCTAGGAGTACCTTGTTGGCCAGATCTATATAACCCATCACAGTTGACTTCGTACCTGAACATACTAACATACTAATGGAATAAACAGATCACCCACTCGAGACTAAAATGAGGTGATCAATTAGAGTTGCCCTTCAGTCGCCCTGGATCCACCGAGGCGAAAAGAAAAGAAAACCTCGGCGATTGGGCCGAATTTGGCCACTTCTTCCCGAGGTCTGTATTCCCTACTAGATACGATATCCATATGGATACGATGTCAACTCAAACCTATGCATTTACAGACGGCTGTACAAGTACAACAGCCCCAGGGCTATGCCTCAGGACTAACAACAGGCCTATCTCCAGGCTATCAGTCTATCAATGCCCCTCTATCTATGGATCAGAGCCATTGATGTGGAGATGCTTACCAATGCCCTGAGAGACCGAAGTTTCGAGTGGGACTGTTGGTCTATTTAACTGGGGCAGACCCCCATGCCCAGGTCTCCATATCTCCTATCTCCAATCTCCAAAATGGCCTACAAGTTCGAAGGATGGATGGGCCTCGACGCCAGCTCCGGCGAAGGCAACATGGTCTGGCAAGAATTCCAGCCTAAAGCCTGGGAAGAAACCGACATCGACATCAAGATCTCCCACTGTGGCATCTGTGGCTCGGATCTGCACACTCTGCGCAGTGGCTGGGTACGTCTTCCTGCATATGCATATGCATACCCTAACCAGGATGCAACTCCAAATTGAACCACCAAAACAATTTTGTTTTCAAAGAAAATGCATTCTAACATCCACAGCGCCCAGCAACCTACCCCTGCTGCGTAGGCCACGAAATCGTCGGCACTGCCGCGCGCGTAGGAAGCCAAGTCCCCGACATCAAAGTCGGTGACCGCGTCGGCGTCGGCGCGCAAAGCGACTCATGCCGTAACCGCTTCGGCAACTGCGAGGAGTGCGCGGCCGGAAAAGAGAACTACTGTTCCAAGAAAGTCGTCGGCACCTACAACAGCATCCACTATGATGGAGGCAACTCCTACGGCGGATACGCGACGTATAACCGGGTTCCTGGACACTTCGCCATCAAGATCCCCGATGGGATTCCGTCTGCGGATGCAGCGCCCATGCTGTGTGGTGGTGCGACGCTGTACAGTCCGTTGAAGCTTAATGGGTGCGGACCGGGCAAGAAGGTTGGTATTATTGGTGTTGGGGGATTGGGGCATTTCGGACTCCTGTTTGCGAAGGCAATGGGCGCGGATAAGGTGGTTGCGATTTCGCGGAAGGTGGGCAAGAAGGAGGATTCGTTGAAGATGGGGGCGGATTTGTATATTGCGACTGATGATGAGCCTGAGTGGGCGGTTGAGAATGCGAGGTCGTTGGATTTGATTGTTTCGACGGTGTCGTCTACCAAGGTGGGTTTTCTTGATTCTTCAATCTCGAATTAGGGCTGGATGCTGACGACTTCTAGATGCCCTTCAATGATTACCTCGGTCTGCTGAAGACTGGTGGCACCTTCGTGCAGGTTGGTTTGCCTGAGGATGGGGGTCTTTTCGCTCCGGTTCGCAGCTTGATGCGCCAGATTAGTCTGCAGAGCTCGCTGGTTGCTAGTCCCTCTGAGATCCGGGAGATGTTTGAGCTGGTGGCCGAGAAGGGCATTCACCCTTGGGTGGAGGAGATCCCGATGAAGGACGCCAACAAGGCCATTGTCGATATGGAGGATGGCAAGGCCCGTTACCGTTATGTCCTTGCCAATTAAAGGCTGGTATGAGTTACGATGTCACTGAAATTTTGAGAGAACGGTGGATAGAATTTTTTAGAATAGAACTTTTATTAGACGTCAAGTCGAAGCTATGAAAACAGTACTCCGTATGAACAATATCAACAACAATAGATCGTGTATTATTATTAGCGTATTTTAAGAAAGAAAAAAAACACCCAAAAGACTAGAAAAGACATCTCTCTCGAAGTGACCAAGCAGCCGCTGTTCTTCTTCCGGCCCTGTCAAAAGCAGAAGAAGACCCAAGCGGGGCATAGGCCAGTACACATATCTCAAGATACCGGAGAATCTCCCTGACCCGCACCACACAGATCAGAGAGGCCGGGATCCGAGCCAAAAGTCAACACCTGCAGGTGGACTGTTCAAAGCTGCTCAACTAATTTAGAAGAGGGCCATGAGACCAACAACACCGGCAAGGAAGCCGAAGGCGGGCTGGACGTTGGAGGCACCACCAGTGAAGCTGCCGGGGGTGGAGGGAACAGCGGAGGGCTGCTCGGGGGTGGAGGGCTGCTCAGGAGTAGAGGGCTGCTCAGGAGTAGAGGGCTGCTCAGGAGTGGCGGGCTGCTCAGGAGTAGAGGGCTGCTCAGGAGTGGCGGGCTGCTCAGGAGTGGCGGGCTGCTCAGGAGTGGCGGGGGTAGAGGGCTTAGCAGGGGTGGAGGGCTCCTCAGGAGTGGCAGGGGTGGAAGGCTGAGCAGGGGTGGAAGGCTGAGCAGGGGTGGAAGGCTGAGCAGGGGTGGAAGGCTGAGCAGGGGTGGAAGGCTGAGCAGGCACAACGGGCACGGAAGAGGCAGGCTTCTGGGGAGGGGGGACAACAGCGCTGGTGGGGATGACGGGAACGCTGGTGGCAGGCTGGATGGGGCTGGGCGAGGTCACGGGCTTCTCGTTGTCACAGGCAGTGCAGACGGTGGTGCGGGTGACAGTGATGGTGCTGGTACCAGTGACAGGGGTGGTCCAGGTGGAAGAGCCAGAGGTGACAGTAGACTCAGTGACTGAGGACGAGTTAGTAGGCGGCTCCACAACATGTATATGGTTCAAACTTACCAGGGCAGGTGGTGGTCACCTCAGTGATGGTCTTGGTGGTGCCGGAGGGGACGGGAGAAGGCTTGGTCCAGCTGTGGGGAGGCTTGGAGTGAGTCTCGACCGGGGTGGAGGTGGTGCAGGGAGTGGTGCTCTCGGCGGGAGGAGTGGTGCTCTCAACCGGGGTGGAGGTGGTGCACGGGGTGGTGCTCTCCGCGGGAGGAGTGGTGCTCTCAACCGGGGTGGAGGTGGTGCACGGGGTGGTGCTCTCCGCGGGAGGAGTGGTGGAGGTCTCAACCGGGGTGGTAGAGGTGGTGCAAGGAGAAGTCCAGGCGTCGGTGGGACGGGTCCAGGTCTCCTCGCCCCAACCCTGAGTGTGGTGAGGGGCGACACCGCTGGCGTGGTCCTCACCACGGACCTGCATGACACCGGCGAAGGCCGGGGTGGCGACGAGGGCCAAGAGGGCGACAGAGTTGATCATTTCGAAAGATGGAAGTCTTTTCTAAGAAAGCTTGGAAAGGATAAAGAATGAAGTGCTGATGGGGATGAAGGTTTGAGGACGGGCGGTTGAACAGCCTTATATATCTCATTTGATCGTACCAAGGCCCAAGTCAGAACGGACATGGCTGCCACGGTCGTGCTCAGGACAAAAAGCCAGTTCTGATCCACAATGTCACCATCCTAAGGCTGAATGCGGGAATCTCCATGATCGAAGCACAGATGGCAAAGGTACAGATAGGTCAGTGAGTGGAATCATTGGGCAATGAGACATCCACCTGGGAGACTTGGTTGCAAACGTGACAGTCTGTAGTTTCATTGCGGTAAGTGGAGTAGCCTAATGCGGAAGTAACAAGACTTCAAGGTTCCAAGGTCAGTTTGAAGATCGTCGGGATCTGTCAGCAGTGTATAGATCTGCGCTGGTTAATCAAGCCCTAATTGGACCAAAAGTTTCAATTTGATCTAGTATTTTTCTGGTCCTTGGGTGAGAGCTCGGCTGGTTCGGCATCAAGCGACATCCAACGTTCGCTAGGGGATTGAGGCAAAAGCCAATCAAGGCTGCCACGATAAAAGCTAAAGCCCGGACTTTGATTTGGACGAGAGCATATTAGTGGAGTGGCCAAGCAACTCGTGCTTGGATCTGGACACAGCAGTAACTCATGCGATTGGAAGCAAAACACATGGAAACCTGTCCCTGCGTCGGATGAGCAGGAATCTGCCAAAACCGACGATCATGGGAGTACGAGGTAGCCGGAAGTGAATAGGAGTGGCCCATTCACCCTTAGGAATGTGAGATAGGCAGCCAGGCAAGCGTGCTTTCCATTGGCAGAGCGAGGAATGTACGCAGAAGCTCGAAGCGTTCCGAAGTGGAGCCGAGAAAATCACTCAGTCTGCTCCGATCGAAATGGTTGATCTCGTCGACTGTCTCACTGTTAGTTGCTATCTATGACGAGAACATTGTAGACCTCCACCGCGGTAGGTGGAGTTCCTTGCAGAACACTGGGGCTACCATAGGTTGATAGCGCGGTCGCATTGAAGATTCTGCTTCGAATCCCAGATTCGGGGAGCACCACCAGTGTGAAGAGGTGAGGTGAGGAGCTTGGGTTGCATCGCTGCTGTGCACTCGGTCCGTGATCCAATAGCACCAGAGGTCTAGCTGTCATCCACGGATCTTGACGGCCGATGTGCACCCGAATGAAGAATTGTGGACACCCTAGCTGCAAGCGGTAAGGGAAAAGAAAAGTGTTGCGGGGATTTGAGCCTTGACAGAGTGAAGTCCAAAGCAGTCCATTTCCGGAAGTATATTTCCTCTTTGGGAACATAGGGCTTAGGGCAATCGCGGGGACGCGTCGCGCGTCGCGCCTTCCCGTTTGGGTTCAATTAAGGACCGAACCACCAGTGAACCTCAATCCCATCCCCCAAGATGCCTCACTCTGTATCACCTGGATCTGCGCATGATGCCGACATGCCAGATGCACCCTCGGCACCCGCCGAGTCTTCCACCGAAAACGTCAAGCTGGAGGAAATGTTCGACGATGACGACGACGAGTTCCCGGCGGGAGATGTGAAGATGGAGTCCCCAGCAGCAACGCAAGAAGAGTGAGCACTTCTGACTCTGAGGAAAGACCTATCACTGACCTTGAACTTGCCACAGGCCTCCAGCACCCACGCCCTCTGGAGTTGACGATGAGTTGATGCTGGCCTTCTACCAACGCCTCTTCCCTTTCAGATACCTGTTCCAGTGGCTGAACCACGGAATCGTTCCCACGAAAGATTTTGGAAATCGTGAATTCGCGCTCACGCTGCAAAATGACGCTTATCTCCGTTACCAATCCTACCCCACCGCCGACATGTGAGACTGAGCTCAACCCTGAAAGATATTGGCTTTTGGCTAATCGAAAACAAACGAACAGGTTCCGGAAAGATATCCTCAAGATGAACCCCTCTCGTTTCGAAATTGGACCTGTCTATAGCACCAACCCTCGCGACCGCAAAACGCTAAGAGGGGGTCAGATGAAACCCGTCTCTAAAGAATTGGTCTTCGATATTGATTTGACTGATTACGATGATATCCGTACCTGCTGTATTAAAGCAAATATCTGCGCAAAGTGTTGGTCCTTTGCGACAATGGCTCTAAAGGTCATCGACACCGCCCTCCGGGAAGACTTTGGCTTCGAACATATTCTCTGGGTCTACTCCGGTCGTCGTGGTATTCACGCCTGGGTCTGCGATCCGCGTGCCCGCAACATGCCAGATGATCGGCGAAGGGCTCTTGCCAGCTACCTCGAACTCATCCGAGGAGGCTCGCAGAGTGGCAAGAAAGTCAACGTCAAGCGGCCGCTGCACCCTCATATTGTGCGCAGTCTGGAAATTCTCAAGAACGACTTTGCGCGCACCACACTTATTGATCAAGATACGTTTGAAAGTGATGAACAGGCAGAACGCCTGCTTTCATTGCTACCTGATAAGGGATTGAACGACTCTCTGCGGAGGAAATGGGACTCCTCTCCGGGCCGGACTAGCACCAGCAAATGGGCTGATATTGACACCCTAGCCAAGAGTGGCAAGAGCACAACTCTCAAAACATCAACCCTTCGAGATGCCAAGCAAGATATTGTGCTTGAATATACCTACCCACGCCTGGATGCCGAGGTCAGCAAAAAGATGATTCACTTGCTGAAGAGCCCCTTTGTCATTCACCCGGGCACTGGGCGAATTTGTGTTCCCATCGACCCGAGCAATGCTGAGAATTTCGATCCCCTCACTGTTCCGACGGCAATGCAGCTTCTCAACGAGATTGATGAATACGACGCCAAGCACCCTGCCGGCTCGGCGGAGGCTGATGTCCCAGACGTCGAAGGCAGTACAGTCAACGGCTCTGATATGAAGGGTGGCCGGAAATTGCAGGATTACGAGAAGACCAGCTTGAAGCCCTACATCGACTTCTTCCGTTCGTTTATAGCAGGTCTGATGAAGGAAGAACGTGCGGGCAAGCGGGAACGCGACGGGAATGAGCCAACTGTCAAGGCGGATCCGATGGAATTCTAACCGTCGAACATCGATGTTGCATTGCATTGCTCCACAAGATCATGAATTTACGCTTGCTCATTTCCCCTCCCGCTCCTGTTCCGAGGTTTCTCTTGTCATACAGTTCCCTTGGCGTTTGGTGTTGTGAATTATCCCAAACCATATATTCTCAATTAGCTTGATTATAATGCATCTACTTCGTCTTCACTGCGCCCACCAAGGCTTCTATGTATATATTGACTGGGCAATTTATTGAATGTAAAGTGGGGGTGTATTTGGAGATATTGTTACATATTGGGTCATAGAGAAGTAGGCGCAACGAAGCATGTCACAAGTAAGAAGCCAACCTAGAGGCTGACTTCAAACCAAACCCTACTTTTTAATTATCAGTAAGTCGGTCTCGGCAATAGCGTGCAGGAAGAGACTAGGGTGTTAAATGGAGATGATTAATTTAAGCACCAACGAAGTTCTTGACATCTAGAAGTATTTGTTAGCGACCAATTATTGTTGAATGGTAAAGCAGTGATGACTTACTCTCCAACCAGCGAAGGTACTCCTTCTGCTCCTTGACGGAGATGTAGTCAGGGATCATGGTAGCGAGCTCGGCGTTAATGCCACGGTCCTCGATGTAGCGCTCCCAGAGGCTCTGGAGGTCCTCATCAAGGTTCTCGAAGGGAGGGCCAGCGTAAAGGCTCTGGCGAGTCCAGTCCTTCTCGGCAGTCTGAGCCGCGGCAAGGTCAGCCTTGGCGAAGTGGGAGACTTCCTCGATGGCGAAAACACCGTCCTGGACGACGGCCTGGATGAGCACGGCGCCGTTGGTGGGCTTCTCGATGGTGACGTTCACGCGAGCAGGGAAGCTAGGCTCGGGGAGCTCGCCCTCTTCCTGGCCATCCTTGTTCTGGTATCCCATGTCATCGGAAAGGGAAGCCTCATCGAAGTCCTCCTGCTCGCTGATGTTCTGAATGTCGGCGACGGTGAAGCTGACGCTGATCCTATACAGTGAGATATATCAGTATCTTGAGTTGAAGGTGGATGTAGACAAAGCGTCTGGGATGGGACGATGGGATAGATCTTACTTCTCGTTGCCGAACTTCTTGGAGAGAACAACTTCCTGCTCACCCTCAACATCCTTAACTTGCCATTCGTTGGCCTTGATGATCTCTTGGATGACTTCCTGTTGTTCCTTGAATTCGGGAATATCGGAGGACTTCTCGTGCTTCAACTCATCCTCGAGCTTGGCGAGGAGCTCGACGTCACCTGTGGAAGAGATAGAAAGATCAGCCAATGTCCAAATAGTATATCCGCAGTGCTGCGGATCGGAAGTACACGGATAAGTCCGTTTGGGATAGATGTATCTTACCTTCAGCGGCGGGGGCCTTGAAGATGCTGGAGGTAGAGAAAGCAGCGTAGGCGGGCTTGGTGGCCTGCTTCCAGGGTTGGGGAGTGAACTTGGGGAGAGCAGGGCGCACAGCCGATGTGGCAATGGAGCGCGAGATGGTGCGAGGCACAGCGCGGGAGATGGTACGGAAGGACAACATTGTGATGATAGATGGATGTAGAGGAAATGGAGGTGAAAGCTTCGGGAAAAGTTAACGGAGCTAAGATAATGTTGCGCCAAGACTTTTGTTTTGGCCACACTGCATAGTTCCCCATCGAACATCATAGTCAATTGATCATATCCTGGTTTTTATGGGACTGTTGGTTCATGAATTCATCTATGAATCATAGTGGCTATGGCTGCGGAACAGTCTGTCATCTAAATCGTGTACATGTGCTACATGGAGCATATATAGATGAAATGGTATATTCGAAGATATTCGGCTGTACAGAATCTAAAGAAGAATCAATGTACCCATAATGCGCCAACCCAGTCTTTTTGGACACCAAACAACAAAAGAAAAGAAAAAAGACAATCGTGATCATGACATGCTCTTGGGAGGGAAGGTGGAGGCGAGTTTCTCTCCATCCTTGGTGAATCGGATGAACTTGATAGCACTGAGACCTGACCAGTGTCCGTTCCAGTTCTTCATACCGGTCAGGGCATATTGGTCACTGAGATCTGGCATCCAAAGTCCGGTGGTGAATTCGCGATCTTCGGTCTGGACCCGCTCTTTGAGAGCCTCTTCACGTTTGCTTGGGGGACGTCCCTTGCGGCGCTCAGATTGGAGCTGTTGAATTTCTTCGGTGTCACGATCAATGTATCTGAACTTGTAAGCGGCGAATAGTCGAGGGGTGGTGGGTTGGTACATACTGTGCGACAAACTCGGTCATTTGTTCGGTGGTGAGGGCCTCGGTGTGTTCCTGCACGGCCTCGTGGATGTATTCAATGCGATCCACTGGCTGGGTCAGATAATTGTTCTTGCATGAAATATGTGTGTCTTACTGTAAGGCTGTCTGGCCCTGTTCACAGTGTGGTTATGGCGGGACAGTCGGTCAACACGAGCACCAGCTTTGCGCAATCGGTGGGCATCGCGGCTGTTCTCATGCATAATATTGAGAACTCCACGCTTTTTGGAGATCTGCTTATGAACCTTCTCAAGCGAAACCTTAGGCATGATGGCGATATGTGAAGAGTGGCACGTAATAATCCGCCGTGATAATTTTCTTGGATGCGACGGCAAAAATAGGCGGTGAGACACATCGACCACCGCCTTCCCCACCCGAAAGCGCGTCTGCGCGTAAGGAAGGGACGAAACATTCCGGGGTTATTTACTCCCTCAAATGTCTTGATCTTGATCTTGGACTTCCCTCTCACTTCTTTCCTCTCGACTCCTCGTTTGTGAAGGTACCTACTTATGTTATCGTCCACTGCCTGAAGAAGAGGACCCGCCTGTGCCTCGAAGGGTGTCCACTATGGGAATTAAAGGTATGTTGGGATTAACCATGATGAGATCGAGAACTGTTTTGACAGGTTGCAAAAGGACTTCACGGGCTGCTCAAGTCCATACAAAAACCATGCCATATCAAGAAATTTAGCGGTCAGACCCTTGGAGTTGACGCATATGGATGGCTGCACCGCGGTACCGTTGCGTGCTCCGTGGATCTTGTTCTAGAGAATCCAACAAGGAAGTACGTATCCCAGGTTTGATCCAACAGGGTCTCCGCTCATCAGCCCATCAACCACAGGCACCTCGACTTCGTCCTTAACCGAGTTCGGATGCTTTTGTTCTTCGGTGTGAAACCCTATCTCGTTTTCGATGGTGACAACCTCCCCAGCAAAGCAGGCACTGAGCAAGAGCGGCACCGTCGACGCCAAGAAAGTAAGGCACTTGGTCTTGAGTTGCAGCGGAAGGGACGAATGCCCGAGGCCTATCAAGAATTCCAGAAAGCCGTCGATGTGACACCATACATGGCCCGGCAATTGATCGAAGAACTGAAACAAATGAATGTACAATATGTGGTGGCGCCTTACGAGGCAGATGCACAGATGGTCTACTTGGAACAGCAAGGTGATATCGATGGAATCATATCAGAAGACTCGGATTTACTTGTTTTTGGAGCAAAGCGGCTGCTTTCGAAATTGGACCAGCATGGAGAATGCATCGAGATCAATCGGGCCGATTTTGGTGCTTGCCGCGAGGTTAGCTTGGCCGGCTGGAGCGATGCAGACTTCAGGACCATGTGCATTTTGAGTGGCTGTGACTATTTGGCAAATATTCCTAAGATGGGACTGAAAACTGCTTACCGCATTGTTCGCAAGCACAGGAACGTGGAAAAGGCCCTGCGCATGCTCCAATTTGAAGGAAACTTTCGCGTCCCGCCCGACTACCTCGCCAATTTCAAGCAGGCAGAATCGACATTCCTCTACCAGCGGGTCTTTTGCGCCAAGGCCCAAAAGTTGTTGACTTTGACACCACCAGAGGAAGGTGTGAATTTGGATGAGCTACCATTTATCGGTGGAGATTATGAGCCTGAGATCGCTATTGGCGTTTCTTCTGGCGACTTGGACCCTTCCACGAAGGAGCCAATTAAACTGAAATCGTTGGTTGCTAGTAGGTTTACTCATGGCATCAATCGTCGCCAGACGCTAGGCACATCTTCCGAGTTGAAATCGCGCAAGCCCATCAATGATTTCTTCACTCCGAAGAGAATGCCTCTGGCTGAATTGGATCCCAACAGCCTGACTCCATCGCCGAGCCAGCAGCGACTCTTGGAGCGCAACTTCAACAATTCTTGGCAACCAAATATGGCACCGGTCCGCTCCAACTCAGTTCGATCGACGCCCCTGCGAGCATTCTCGGCACAAGGGCTCAGTCCCACAGTCAGGAGTGCGGAGCGTGCCTCATTTATGGCCCAGAGCGCAAAGTCGCCTGTGTTGCAACCCACCAAGAGACAGAGGCTCTGTTCTGAGACGGAAGGGGATTCCCTCCCTGCTTGCTCCCCTGCTCGCAGTCGATTCTTCACCACTACCTCCGACCAGGCTAGTCCCAGCGGACAGAAGCTGTTCCGATCTAAGCGATCTCGCAAGTCAGTGATTGGAGTGTTTTCCGATGAGGATGCGGAGGATATCATGTCTAGCATTCCCGATCCTACCCCCACGCCGGGAACTACTGAATCGAACGCCGGAGACAAATTGGAAACTCCTGGTCAGGCCGGTGAAGTGGAAACTCCTTCCAAAACTTCCAAGGGTGATCAATTGGTCGAGGACAGGTCAGACCTTCCCCAGGATACGCCTCAGGGCGTTTCCAGCAACTCACCAGGCTTTGACCGGGCTGTGGAGTATCACGTTAGCCGCCAGAACTCGGATCTTGTTTCCAAGTTCACCTTTAGATCAGAGCCCAAGACCGAACCAGCAGGCGCTCCATTGGTGACGACATCTCCTGCGGCCCAATCGAACCAGCGACCTGCACCACCTTCCACGCCCAAGAGCCCAGCTTCCACTGCCCGAAGCAACGTCGTCCAGCGACGCTTGACACCCCTTCAACGCATGGGACAAAATGCGCTTAGCCGATCCCGCAGTCTCAACTTCCCCAGCAAGCTCAGGGCCAGCCAAGCTGCCGCGCCCTACGTCAAGGAACGTTCCCCGGTTGCCCCGCAGTGCTCGTTCCTCGGCACCCAAGGCAGCGAGGACCTTATGGTTCCAAATAGTGACGAGGATGAAGAGTCAGAGGCTGAATCGTCGGCGACTCCACTGGATCTCGCCCGATTCTCTTTTTCCGCCCACTAAGGTGGACACATTGATTACGAAGCATTGGGACTGGGGTATTATCTGGGGTAAAGCATTGGGACCACACCCGGTTCCACTTTGGCGCGCAACTTGTATTATTTCAAACACAGTTTAACACAGCGAATGCAACGAGATGAAACATGGCAACCCAAGTACACGTAGCAGAGCCCAATATGGCGAGGCTGGATGAATCGCGTGGCGGCGCAGGGTGGGGCGAACCTTATCAAGATCTGCACTAGGCCACATCGGGACTAGTTCGGTCCAGCGACGTCCCGTGTCGGGCAGAAATGACCCGCAGCAGAGGGCGGTCAGCACTGGTTACCGGGGAAGCCAACGTAAACAATGGCCCAGCCTCCTAGATTCCTATACTCTTGCCTCATTCCCAGCCTCCAGAAAAAGAAGACTGCCAATTTGACGTGGAGTTTGGTTTCCAGCTACGATCCCTCCTTTCCCTCTCTGCCATTCCTCTCTTTCACCTTCCCTCCTGTACCACAGGCGTTAAGTCCTATCTCTGATTCAATAAACTACTCTAGGTGCGAGTCGGAACACTGAATCTCAATCGAGCATTCTTCAAGTCGCGTTCAAACCCGGAATCTTGAACGACCTTCTCATCTCAACCTCCGCATTCTTCACACACATTCCATTCCAACCATCTGATACCGATCCGATCTTCGATCTATCACATCGCAAAAGCAATTCGGCCATCGGGCATATAATCAAGTTCTGATATTCGTCCCCGTTGCAAACACTCCTTCTCGGAGAACCGAGAAGCGAGTCAACAAACAAGTGAAGGAAGTCGACAATCACCATGGCTTCTCCGTTTGCACAAAAATGGGCCCGTAAGTGACGACCCTGCATATTACCAGACTGCAAGCTTTCGACAGGGTGGCTAACTTTCCAATAGGCTTCATTCCAATGATCGGGTACCACCATGTGCTCATGCTTATCATTGCCATTGCTATTATCCTCTTATGTGAGTGCTTATGCAGGCGATCTCCGACTATTGGAATGTGACTAACGAATCAAAGCACTGCTGTTGGCCGGATGTTCATCATCATCCCCGCAAATTCCTAACATCTTCCTTATCTCTCTATACTACGAGAAGTACAACCCCGTCCGCGATCTCGCCCAGGTGCAACCAGACGTTGCGACTGCTCTTTCAAATATCGTTGGCGGCGCAGATATGGAAGTGCGCGTGGGATATTTCGGTATCTGCGTCCAACCCGACAAAGGTTCTTTTATCTGCAATGCCAACGCAACGGCCCTGGCCGAGATCGTCACTGTGGACCAGGATCCACTCAACCTGATCTGGGTCGCATCCACGTTTAAAGACGCCGTCGTGTTCCCGTACCTCCTGTGAGTATTCTGCGGATTCATTCCTGCGCACCATCTAATGCGAACCTAGGATCGTCGCGGTTATTCTCGCTTTCTTCTGCTTCATCCTTCTGGCTACATTCCCCGGCTGGCACGAGGAGACAGACGACAACGGTTCCGAGCGTGAGGTCAAGCCTTTCCCGTCCCGCCCCGTCTCCCAAGCCGCCTTGGCCCTGATCTTCGTTTCCTCGGTGTTCGTCCTCGTCTCTGTACTATGGCAGCACACTGCATCCGTCGCCGCCAGTACGATAGCTCAAGACATGGGCAATGGAAGCGTCAAGAGTGGCGTTGGTTCCTCAGCAATGGTACTTGGCTGGTTCGGCTTCGTCCTGCTAGTCATCGTTACCGTCGGTTTGCTCGTCATGATATTGAGTATCAGTCTGATCCGCAAACTGACCGATGAGGAATGATCGAATTCCCCAACGCCACCGCAACAAAACCCTGTTTATTATTGTTTTTTTACGACTTCCTTTTTCTTCGCAACATACACCACCCTTATAACGGGACGACACCAATGGGAAATGAATAATACCTACGAGCACACGACCCCGGCTCGCAACGGAAATGGACGGAAACGGATCACGCGCATTTGGAACATTTGGATTCCCTGGGATATTGGGATATGGACAATCTGGGACTTTTTCACGAACATATTTGAGGACATAGCATCCTCCTTTGCTTTTTTTACTTTTTTTTTTGCTCTTAGGCTATGATGACAACAGACTAATCATCTGGATTGCACCGCTTGAGAAAACATCGTATCACTGTTTTGCTGATCTGTTGACATCAATCTCGCGCTCGACATAGAATACCATGTTATGAAATCACATGTACATTTTGCCTTTCATCTTCACTCTGAACTACCTAGTACAACTTGAAACCTTGGAAGTGCTGCTCAATCCCAATTTTTTTGATAGTAGCATATACAGCTTCCAAGGTTGCCTGGCGCTTGCCACATTAGCACCAACCTCCATAGAATAGCTACAACCTTGAAATTTTAAATAGTGCATCCTTTCCGGTTTCTATGCGTATCACAATCTGACCTTAATACCTAGGTAGGTATCCAAACCTGTTACGAGCCCCAGCACGTGAAATCCGCGAGAGAAAGTAACTGTGTTCAATTTTCATAACGGAGAAGTCAGACCCTTCAATTACCCTAGGACTCTCCCCTCATCGCGGCCAACCTAGCAGATTGGCGTATAGGTCTTGATCTTCGAGCACGGTTGCAAGTCTTACCCCTACTTCGGCCGTATGGGTTAAGGTCCAAGGGCCCCTCCTCGCCACATCGGATTATGTGTTCCAAAGTGAGGAGGCCCGCCCGCGGGGGATGCATCCAATGGAGTTTCTCTGCCTCTTGCCTTTCGACGTGAATCACTCCAGGCATATCACCTACTGTGATGGGTGGAACAATGCCAAAGGTCGAAGTATTGGGAAATGATATGTTTAACCAGGAGCTTCTGGCGTGATAAGTTGCCCTAGGACGCATCCGGGGATTTTTATTCGCGTTGGTCAAAGTGAGTCTTTGGAGATTTCCCATCCCGATGTTGAGGCTTTTTTGATCTCGATTGAATAATCGATGCCGGTTTGCATAGAATCGACATCCAATCGCTGTGGCCTCCTTGGTTGTTAAGTAGGGTTCAAGGAAAGCAGGGTCATGTTCCCTCCGTATCGGGACTCCGCCGTTACCAAGCATGAAATTAAGGACCAAGGTCCTCATAGTTGAGAAACCGCTGGCGAGTGTGTCTATAAATTCCCAGGGCTTCCAGTAGATTTAGTCGATTGTTCTTAAAACGTGTATCCAGATGCGTACGTACCCATTCTCCGGTTTCGGGATTTCGCTCAGCATCCAGCTTCAGATGTTCCAAGCGCGGACAGCATGCATCCAATGAGATCAAGTCCATATTTCCCGCCATGTTACGGGGATAGTTGCCGTTCCATGCCTCAGGTGTATGAACTATGAGACTAACCAACCAAGTATGCCGGGCGATCGCGTCGAATGGAACGAAACACCCGATGAGCTCCAGGTCTATTAAGGTGTCAAAGGACTTCAAGAACTCCTCGAGAGCTGCACATGGCTCTGCATATTTCTGCGGACCATTCCTGGTGATCTTGAGTCGTCTTAAATTGATCATGCGTCCTGTCAATAGCCGTAGGTTCGCACATGCAGTTTCCCAGTCTGAACCAAGCTCGAGAGACGTGACTTTTGGCCACTGGAAACGATCCAGAAGCCCAGGCGACATCTCGCTATCGAGAAAGTACCGATCAAGGGCGAGGTGTTGAATGGGAGGGAAAGTAAATTGTGCATCCAACTTGCTGCTTGCGCAAGAAGATGCTGTTTTATTGGCATCGGGCTTGTCAGGCAAGCAATTAGGTGCCCAAGCACAGGATGTCAAATTGGGAAAGGAAGTAAGGTGGTTCAGAAAGCTTCCCTGATATAGGCGGCAGAATACCTCATCTTCAAGATTGAGGACAGTCACGGCAGGGATTGAGCGCGGACAAACACTGAGACTGTCCTGTTTGAGAAGCTGTAACTCGGGCTTGTTGGGATGCGCTTCAATTCTTGTCACATACGATCTTCTGAAATCGCAGGGCATCTCGAACCTATTTGACTATTAGCCACATAAGTGCTCCGAGGCAAGTTGTAAGTTCCATTACTTTACTCGTCGTAGATGCTCAAGACGTTTCAAGAGTTTTGATAAAGTCCTGGAACCGACCTTCTCGAAATCACCCTCGTCATAACATTTGACGATAATCTCTTGAACAAGGCCCCGTGGTGACTCATTGGATTTGTGAAATAGCCGTTGTATGAGGCCCCTCCTGTCTTCCACGAGATGATCTCCACATATCTCAACTGTGATAGATCGATATAGAAAAGGACTTGCCAGATTCTTCATGGCCTTTGAGACGAGGCATAGGCTGGCCAAGTCCTTTTTCCCCGTGGGGTGAAACTGGAATCACATCAGACTCAAACATGCGAGTTAGGTATCTTGGTGAACATACAGTTTCACACACCAAATACCATGCATACCATGTTGCCGGCGTCGGCATATATTGGGGCGTATTCACTCCCTGCTTTGCAGCATGTTCTGCCATCCCCGACTCCACACAGGTGTTCTTGCAAGAAAAGGGATTGTATCAATGATAAGAACGGTGGAAGGTAGGAGGCGGAAGAGAAGAGAATGTGTGGAAGGGAAGAAATCCACTCCGGGGAGTAGAGCAGATCCGCCCCACCGGTTAGCGCCATTTGAGCCTCCGATATTATCCCTCGGCTTCGTTTCCATTTCAGATCTAGCGCAACGGAGCCGTTCTATCTAGTAGTCCGGTTTGTATTTAATTCTACGGATATCAAGAATCTCGGAGTACTTATAAGCTCGAAGCCGTGGATGACACTGAGAGCCTCCACTTGCAATCGGGTTCAATGCTCTACTGGTATGAACAAGATTGAGCCGCCAGAATATCAATATCAATTGTTTCAAATAATGAGCTCCGAGGCTGACTAGTCAAGCACTATTGACATAAACCACACGATAATGAGAAGCTCCATGCGCCAGTCCATCATGCAAGCCGAAACCCAGGATAGTAAAAACAGAATTGTCCTCCACTAGTCCGTGAAGCAGATTTTGATTTGGGTGAATTGCCGCCGGCAAATCAATAGTCCATGGAGTAGCCCCCTCTGGTGGCAGCTCCACTATGACCGCCTCCATGGGCATCATACGAGTTTCCATGATCGTCCAGGGACTTGTACTGGTAGTATTCTCCGCGGCCACGGCCCCGGCCACGACCCCGAGGGTTGTTTCCACGACCACGTCCATTACCTCGACCACGGCCACGGTGACCTCTTCCTCGTTGATTATCATCATGCTGGTACCGCGGGTCACCACCCCGGTAGGAATGGTGGTAATTGCCACGAGCCTGGTGAGGGCCTTCATGGCCATTGTGCTGCTGAGGTGTCCAGTTGGCCTCATCTTGATCACCCTGGAAGCGTCTCTTTTGGCTTTTGTTGAAAGGGCGGTCACCAACACGGGAGTCCCCGATCTCTTCAACTCGCAAAACCACCTTCTCTCCAATGACAGTATCAAAAGTCATAGCCTTGTCAGCGGGAAGGGGGTGCCAGTTCTGAATCTTGCCTGCATCGATCAGACGGGCACCCTTGCGAACAGCCAATACTACAATAGGCAGTGGGTTCTCTGTGTGGAATGGTTCGGTTGCTGGAATGGGGGCCACGCGGGCTGCCCAGATCTTGTTATCCAGGCTTCCAGTTCCGGTGACCTGCCACTTTAGTGTCTTGCCCATACCACCAATCTTGTCCAGAATGGAGCGGGATGCGGGGCGGGGTGTGATTAGGATGCTGTTAGCCATGTATTTCAGGTCATTTGATTCAGCAAGCCCAGGAGGCAGCATTGGACCCAGCAATTTTTGAGTCATGTTGTTTGACACGTCCTGGGTAACCAGATACCCTGTGTAGAAGACAATGCGCTTGATCTGTAAGCGTCCGTTCCGGCTCTTGCTGCGGTTGAGGGCTGAATTGCGCAATGCAAGGTTATGGGAATTCACCATGCGTTGAATTTCAGCGGTCTCAGTAACGGGATCAAGATACGTGCAACCTTCCGTTACTTGAATGACCTCGGCGAGGAGAGGCATTCGTGTGGTAGCAGCAGGTCCAACCTGAAGATTCCTGTTCAAAGCCTCAAAGAAGTCCCGGAACCCTTTGACACTGGTAGTAAGTTAACACCTTGGAAGTTAATGCCTCGTGGGTTCGTTCATCGTGAGACTCACTGCTTGACGCGGTCCTCGTAAACGCGAATTTCTTCGGCCTGCTCGTAAGTGAGAACCAGATCCTCTAGGAAACTCTGCTTGAAGTCCATGGTGGTAGCAAAGCGTTGGCCATTCGGGCCAACCTCTGGCTTGAGGCCAATGAGGTCAAATTCCAGGTTCTGGCTCGCTACCATTCTTTTGATGGTCTCCGCGAAACCAGCCTCACTGCGGCCAGTCAGGAGAACCGTGAGGGCATCCTTTTGCTCCATGCTCATCTTGACTAAGCGCAGCTTTAAGAAAGTCAGTTAGGCTGCTCTCGCGCAGGACGAATTGGAGGTCCCACAATGTTGTCATTCCACCAGCCTTCCCATCCACGAGGCTCTTCAACCTCCAGGCCCTTTCCAGTAGCACCGAGGATATTGGGATCATGCCACCAACCGCCGGTTGCGAAGCTATCTTCTGTTTGTAGGAAACCCACTGAAGAGCCGTGCCATATTTGCGGGTTGGGCAACGGACTGAGGAACACTGGTACGTGTTGGTGTCAGCGGTGAAATCATGTCCTCGGGACTCGGAAGGTCTCACAAGTGTTATCGAAATCATACACGTGAATCGCGCGAATTTGGGAAACAGCTGATGGCATAACTCTTGTCAGCTGAGTTTCAATAGTACATTCTTGGACCGGGCCGAGTCTCACCGGGCAATTCCTTGTTCACAATCGACCAGCGTCGCAAAGAGGTGATAGTATGGGGAGGCCGGTTGGCGACGTGCGCTCCGCCGTGGTAAGACATGCTGGACGCTCCGAGGCGGGCGAGTTTTTCAGAGACGACAGCTTTAGCAGACCTCATATCAGGACAAGCAAAACAATTAGCACATATTGGCTCCGGCGCAAGTTGCGAAAACAGGAAAAAAAGACGAGAGCGCAGTGACGTTGGAGCTGCGGGAAAAAAGGAAGCGACGTTTTGCCGCCCGCCCACAACGTGACTCGACACCCCTTGTGCCCCGGCGGTTTTCTCGTGTATGGACAATGACTTGCGACAGCAAATTCTCCAGCGGACTCTGCAGGAGGTAGTTGAGGAAGTGGCTAATCCCTGTGTCATTTGTCTGGACACCATCACCGAGCCGTGTGTGGCACAGCCATGCCAACATGCCAACTTCGACTTCATCTGTCTTCTCAGCTGGCTGGAGCAGCAGCAAAAATGTCCTCTATGTGAGTGAATACTGCGGCTCTTCCAGCTTACACCTGCCTAACGAGACTCTAGGTAAAATCGAACTGACAGCAGTCCAATACGAACTGAAAGCCCCGCAAGGCCCAAAGCTATATCAGCTCCCACCCTCGAGCTCAACCACCGTAACTCCTCCAGCACGACCACCACGAGGTCCCAGGAATGCTCAACGCGGAGGACGACGTCCATGCCCGCCGCGGCCGTCGCCAGACGACCCGCTGGAGCGCCGGCGCAACGTCTATCGCAACCAAACATACTCCATGCGAGTCGGATCCAACCGCCTATCCCAGTATCGCGAGCTAGCCCCAGAACGGTTCAACAGAGACGAGCAGCTTGTATCGCGCGCTCGAAAATGGATCCGCCGTGAACTACGAGTCTTTGCTTTCCTGAACCCAGAGTCGGAGGAGGAACAGCGCACGCCGCAGCAGATGTCCCGGCCTGGGCCTCAACGCCTCGAGAACCGGAGGGCAAATAATGCCGAGTTCTTGCTCGAGTATGTCATTGCCATTTTGCGCACGGTGGATCTCAAGGGGAGTGCTGGCCAGGCGGAGGAATTATTACGCGACTTCATTGGGAGGGAAAACGCATGCCTTTTCCTACATGAGTTACAAGCCTGGCTAAGAAGTCCTTACCAGACGCTCGAGGACTGGGATCGTCATGTTCAATATGCGAACGAACCCCGCGATACATCAGATCGGGGATCTAGGGCTGTGCCTGACTCGGGTCGTAGAACTGCGCCCTCGAACAGGGGCAGGGGACAAAGGTCTCGACGGCCGTATAGCTCCCGGACCGAAGATCCAGTTGCCCGGTCAAGGCGGATTCAGCAAGCTCAGCAGCGATATAACCCATATTAATGTGAAAGAAGAAACTGGCGGACAGCCTCTGTCCCTGGTAGTGTAGGCTGACGAAGTGGACTGGAATAAACAAACATGTATCATTTTCTTCAAACTAGGGTCGCTATGAAAACTCCGAACAAATGCTTCAGGCTAAAAATGAATGCAGTCATTGTATCATGAGGGGCAAAGACTTCGTCTCTAGTCTATCTCCGACGGAAGCGGCCTCTTCCACGAGAGGAACCTCCCCGGTTGATGTTTATAGACCGATAGTTCGCATGAGTCTGAGGGTTTACCTTTCGAGGACGAGGCTTCTTCTCCGAGGGCTCAGCAGTCTTCGGGGGTTTACCCAGAGGCGCCTGCTCCTTGGGCTTCGCAGCAGACGACGAAACCGCTTCCTTAATACGCTCCGAGAAGCTCTTCGGCTTGGCAGGTTTGGCATAACCGAATTCAGGATCATCGTCCGAGTCCTGATCATATTCTGCCTCGGTATCAAGCTCGGGCTCTGGCGTGGCATGGGAAGTGGCGGCTTCCGCCCTTTCGATATCACTTGGAACATCGTCCCATTCTTCGGGAGCAGGCGCTATCTGAGTCTCTGGGACAGCGGCAAGTTCGTCGTCACTGCCAGAGTCTTCGTCGGCGATTGGTTCGCCGGCATTCTCCTTTGGCTTAGGCTGCTGAAGAACCGGTCTCATAGTCACTCGTCGGGTCGTCCGTTTCTGACCCTTCTTTTTGTATTTTCGGTTGACGTCTGGCTCTGGATTTTCCTCTTGCAATTTAGCAGCCTCTTCGGCTTCGGCTTCCTCTTCCATCTCGCGCAATATATCCCAGTCATCTTCCAAGCGATCTTCTTCCATATCTCGTAGGCCCTGAACTAGGTGAGATAAGCCTTTGCTGGCGAATCTCTGTGGCTTGCGCGAGGCGATAGGACTCAGGCCCGGTCCGCCCAAACCCGCACTGGGCGGGGGGTATCGGCCGGAATTGGAGCGGCGGAGGAATGACGGTGTCTCCGAGTGAGCAGGCGGTGACATTTGCGAGGGAGCCCGCAGCTCATCCTTCTGTGTCTCCTTGTTATCCTCGGCTTCCACCATTGCTGCGTATCGCATGGTTGTGGGTGTCGCGAAGAGATTCGCGAGGTAAAACTGTTTAGTCTCGGATGCGGGTGTGCGTGCAAGTCTGGGCGTTTCTTGCTGCGGCTCGTTTTCTGGGAGCTCTGGGATGGGTTCCACGGGTCTCCGCTTGGAGGGAGTCTGAAAGGCTGCAGCGAGGTTGTTCGACTGCCTCTTGGCGGCTGGTGTGTCATGACTTCCCCCGGATTCGGATAGCATATCAAAGAGACCGAGTGTCTTTCCATCGCGCTGTGGTGTCGGGCCAATTGCCGTCTTTAGCGGCGATGGCGCAGGCTGTCCCTCACGGTGTGCGCTAGGACTGAAGAGCCTGCGCAGGGTATTTGGCGAGTCATAAGGATCGAGGTCTGCTGGATGAATCCTGGTGCGGTTGTTGGAAGGGGTTGCGAAAAGCCCTTTGGACGACTTGCGAGGTGTAATTTGTTGATATGCTTCTTGACCGGGTGGTGATGCATGCTTCCGCTTTTTGGAGTGGCTGTCCGATGGTTCCTGCTGGCGATTCTCCCGTCGACTCAGAGATGACTCTAGGGCTTTCAGACGACTGTATTCCTTGTATTTTGCGGCTGAGATTGACGCGACGAGTCAGAAGAGTTCCCCATAGTGACAAATTGGACCTACCGATTTCTGCATTCTGTTTGATATCGTCACGTCCGGCCTTCTTGCCCCCATTTGCCGAGGCAAACGCTTTCTCCCAGACCTTCAGTTCTGCGCGAACATTAGTCGCTTGAGCCGCGACGTCCGCGCTGGAGTTCAAGGCTGTCATGATATGTGCAGAAGTTCAGTTGCGCGACGCGGATCGACGCGACGTCACGCGTCCTGTGCTGTGATTGGCCGATATCGCGATACCAAACTTGGAATAGATCTTGACTCTCGGAGTACACCTGGTGTATCTGTTGTGTCTGTGAAAGTTATTTGTGGAACATAAAATAGTTCTAATGTGTAGCTTCCCAAGGATACTTCCTTCAATCCAGGGGGTCTTTTCCTAAGCAAAGTGCTTCCAGGGTTACGGGTACTCCATCCGATCTATACAAATTGTTTCTTTTTTTTTGTTCGATTTCTTTCAAGGCTGCTTCGCTGTTTGGATTTTGAAATAATAAATACTGTGAACTCTGATGCAGTCTATTCCATTTTTGTTTCGGACGTTGCTCCGGCCCCGGGGCTGACATTGTCACTGCCTGGGTGGCTTTCAGCTAGGACATCCGCCTTGAGTCTTTATTTGAACTTGGAAGTCGTATAAGATGCGATCAGTGTGATATTGGCGAAGCTTCTTTTGAATTACGATACTGACACGCTCATTCGCCCTTGTCGTATCACCTATACAATTCCAACGTTATATATTTTGACCATGTCCAAGTCACTGCTCGATTTCGAGTTTGATGAAGTTGTAAAGGCAGAACTCAACAAATGGAAAGTCCCCGGGTTGAGCATCTCCGTCGTCCAAGGCTCCCAAACCTACGCTAAGGTCAGCATACTGATCCCAACTGGACCCTAGGAATATTGAATGCTCACCCAAGACAGGCATACGGGCTAGCAGAATATGCAAATGACGACGAAGGTCGGCCGTCACGCCAAATGACTACAGATGCTTTGTTTGCAGCATGCAGTACCACCAAAGCCTTCACGGCTGCTGCCGCTTCAATCGCAATCCAAGAAAGTCAAAGTACCAAACATCCAATCCACTGGGACACAACGGTGGCGTCCTTGATACCAGAGGACTTCGTTCTCGCCGACCAAGATGCTACTCATAACGTGACGATGGAAGATGCCCTCTCACATCGTACAGGAATTCCCCAGCACAATTGGACACTGGCCCTATTTCCCGGCAAGACTGCAACAACAGGTTCAGCAGTTCGGGCTATGCGACACATGTCTCTCGCAACACCATTGCGCAGCAAATACCACTACAGCAACCACATGTTTATTGCTGTATCACATGCACTGGAGCGCCATACTGGGATTCCACTAGGAGAGTTCCTCAACAATCGCATCTGGGAGCCTCTCGGCATGAATAATACGTATTTCACCGCGGCGGAAGTAAAGAAAAGCCCATCAAGTGCAGCGAAGCTTGTACAAGGATATGATTGGATTCCTACAGACGATGGCGGCTCGTTTCTCCCAAGGCCAGACAATGACTGGCCAGCCAACAGCGGTGCCGGGGCGATGTATAGCAATGTACTGGATTATGCGCGCTGGGTGAGAGAACTCATTGAAATGGAAGGACCTCTGAAGGGACACCAAACACTGCTGGATCCACGGACAATTCATTTTGAGAACGGGGATGTGAACTTGCCTGCCCCATTTCATGCATACGGGCTGGGATGGTTTGTTGACAATTATCGAGGCCACTATCTTTATAGCCATGCCGGAGGTTGGCCCGGGTATGGTATTTACGTAGGTTTTGTGCCTAGCATGAAATTCGGTTTTGTGATTATGGGCAACTCTTCGTCTGCACGATATGCCGCATTCAGACTGTTCACGTTCCTTCTGGATAAGCATCTCCAGCTGCCGGTCGACCCTATCTACGAGGGACAGCTTGCAGAAGCCATAGCGAATCAGAATAAGGAGTGGCAAGCGGGGTTCACGAACGAGAAGATCGATGTTTCGAAGCAACGACTCTTCCCCCGGTTGCCAGATCCGCCAATACCTCACACTTTGTGCTTGGCCAGATACGCTGGTACTTATCAGCACCCAGCAGAGCTTGATATCGTTCTCAGAGCCGAGCCGGGGTGTTTGACAGCTGATCTACAAGATCGAGTCATTCCTTGTGAGCTTTCTCTCGTCCACGCTAGTGGAGAATTCTTTATTGGCAGGCTTCATCGGGAAGGGCTTGACTTGCTGCCACCGTTTTCCGTCGAGTTTTGCTTGAATGGCGAGGGTCTGGTGGATAGGGCTGGCTTATTGATAGAGCCTGATATTAAAGGAGAAAAGGTCTGGTTCAATCGGGTCGAGTGAGCATATCTACAATAGGCCTTGACTTGATCTGAGTCTACCGTCATGTTCATGGGCATTACGAGGAAAATCCCGGGGGAGAAACATGAATATCACCAGAGAAAATAAAATTTTAGTCATTAGCAGGACTCGGACTTGAACCGAATTGAAACCCAAGGGAAGTTTCAGGGTGTTCTCCGGAGCTCGTGTTCAAGTGGACAGATGTGGATCAGAGATCGTATTGTTTGATTTAGTCTGGTCGATCTCCGGCGATCTTGCCAGTGCGCTTTATGATTAATACGAGGGTAAGTTTGGGTAAATCGATTGTTCCCATTCGTGAATGTCCCCTGGACGTGGAATTTATGATGAAAAAAAGTGACAGCGCTTTCAGAAAAGAATTTGAGAATCCCGAAGGGACGTAAACGGACCTAGACTATCAATATCCAGAGAAAAGCAGTGTATACCAGACTTACCTTTTGAATACGAGATGTGCCGCTAAAGCCTCAAGGCCCGCTTCCTTTTAGCCTCAAGCGTTATTCAGAATTGAGGATGATAGGCCGTCTGGTTTGAATTTTCGTTTCAAAGTTTTCCGTTTTATCACAAGTACAGTAGGGAGAGGGCTATGGAGTTTTTCTTATGTCTTAAAAGGCCAGAGACCCCGATTTAGCACCCTAGAGTCTATACAGTGCTCCATTCCATTCGTTTTCTTGCTCTACCTGTGGTGGAACCATCTGTCCATAATGTCTACACCAGGAGCACCACGGCCCTCACGCCTCAACAAATGGTGGCCCATTGGATTCTTCATCGGTGCCGCCATCTGCTTCATCATCGGCGGTGCTCTTGTCGGCACATGGGTCTCCAACTCCTACGATGACTGCTCCTACAGCAGCTCCTACTACAGCTCCTACTATTCGAGCTACTCCTGCACGAGCACCAACATGGGCCAATTCTATGCAGCAATCGCCATGTTCGTGATCGGCGGAATCCTCAAGCTAACTGCTTGGATTCTCCTGATTATCTTCTGCGTCAAGCGCAACCGTTCGAGCAACCACACCGTCACATACGTCAACTCCCCTCCTGTTCAGCAAACACAGCCTATCCACCACCCCTACGCTGCGCCTCAGCCCACATATGCTCCGCCGCACCAGACTGCCCAGTTCAATGGTCCTCCTACCTCGCCTGAGATGGCCCATGCTGGCATGACGGGCTCGTCTATGGCGGGTACGCCCCCTCCAAAGGAGGCTACTGCTACCGCTACTGGCTTCAAGTACTGTGGTCAGTGTGGGACTGCTGTCTCTAGTCGGTTCTGTCCCCAGTGTGGCTCGCAGAGTTGAGGACTTGCTGGACTGCTGGAATGATGCACGTGTGCTCAGATGAACGTCCTGTCGCAGACTACCTCGGGAGCTATCAAGTTGCTTGTTGGCCAGGAAGAAAATGAGCCCTGGACCTGTTAATTGAGATCGTCACTTGATGTTCTTTTGTTTTGAGACAATCGGTTCTCTGTTGCTCTGAATTTCGCATGATTCGACACGCAGTATATCAAATTTGGCCGACACCCCCGGCTACCGGGGCATATACGAGGGTACTTACCGGCGATGCTTTAATGTCGAAAAAACCTCAAACTTCGTTGAATTGGATATTCATTTTGGACGAAAGTTACTCTAGTTCAGCCTTCAGATGTCGACTTCGAGACTTCGAGAGATATGGGGGTCATTCTCGCGTTTGTACGGAATAATATGTTTATATGGTTGGTCGGAGAGTTCTCTGTATTAATCGTTCGTGTGTTTGAAACCTCAACGGCTGAAAGTTCCACTCATCATATGAGAGGGTTGGGAAATCCTAGATTTATTTCGTAATCCCATCAATGGCCCGGGGCTCATTTTTGATGAAGAATGGCACATCATTCCCGAGGTCTCAAAGTTCTATAAAAGAGTTTCCCTCGAGCGCATTACATAGAATCGCACCGGTCTCCGACGCACACCAAGCCGTAGCCAGGTCGCACGGCGTTTCTCTGTTTCCAGAGAACCTTGCGGCGCTTTTTGTCATGGCACGCAGTGGAATGATGTTCCGATAGATCGCGACAGAGAATCAGGGACCATTCCCGAGGCGTACAGTGAGGGGATTGTATCTAGAACCGTGATGTCGCAATGGGGTCTCTCCGTAGGCTATGCGTCAGAATTGGAAATAACGCATGCTACTATCCTTCTGATTTCGAGGACGCCTTCTCCACGGGAAGACGTTTGAGCCGATTTGATCGAGTAAACCGAAAATTGCTTTGCTGAGTTAACATGGTTGATGAGGTTGGATTTTCCTCTTGACTCCTGCCGAACTAGGAGAAAGGGCTCAACAACTCCCCTGGAGCTTTTTATGCTCCTTGTCTTTTGGATTTTGGAAAAGAAATAATCAAATAAAGTAAGGGCTTCAAGCATGTCCTTGAGCACTCTCTCCGTCTCAAAGGAACAAGAAGAAGAGGGAATATCAGATGGTGATAGCGGTCTAACCATAGCGGTCTGATTCGAATGGATTTGACACTCCCAACCTAACGTTCAAGCTACGGGAAGAGAGGGAAGGCGTATAGTGTCTCTTTGAAGCCTGAGCCTCTGTGCACGAATCTCCCATTCGAACGATTCGGGATGTAAGTCGGGCCGCAAAGATGCTCTGGAACGCCTCGACAGTCGAAGGGCGGAGATCTGATATATCCCAGCCATAGCTCGTACAGCCCACCATGAATGCTGTAGAATTTGTCGCAGTATGATTGTGGCCGGACTGTTCGTCCCGTCTCTCTCTTTCTCTCCTAGCAGGGAGCTCTAGCCCCCTCTGTCGCGCGCGCGCTCTCTCTCTCTCTCTCTCTCTCTCTCTCTCTCTCTCTCTCTCTCTCTCTCGCGAAAAGTCAGCATTTTCTCGTTCCAAGTTTCCAGCCAACCAGCATCTCAATGCGAGATTGACAGGTCATCTGATCACACCCCGCGCTGCGTCGGCTCACCTGGCTTCGGGTGCTGGAAGTTCATAGGTGTTCTCGGGGATGCAAGGCTACTTCGGAGCGGATGAGTTGCGCGTTAGGTGATGAGTAGCCGGGCCGATGAATGCATTTCTGGTTGCATACGACCAATTTAAAGTAGGGTGCGGATCAGTGAAGACAACATTGGAAAGAAGAGAGATGAGTGGAGAGGAAAGGTGGAGCCCTCGGGAAGGTCCCGCAGTCACATGATCTATAACAGGTGAGATGACGTCATACCCAGGCGATCTCATCTCTGCGTTGAGCATCACCTGGGCAATCACTTTCCAGCGAATATCCAAGATTCAAGATATGGTCTTCTGTGAGTGATGGACAGTTGTGATAGTGAATTGGTTGCCTACCTAGGTAACGCCGTTGATCAGGCTCCACTACTGTGAGCTTGGTATATCTGCGGCACATTGCGACTTCCCTAATGGGTATATCGGAGATAAACAGAAAATGCCGAGCCGGGCTCTCCCAGAGTTAAAAGGGCACCGAAACCGCCCATATTCCCAGAGCTGTCCAAACTACCACCTGGGCAGTCCATTCATCATGTCCGCCTCACCAACAATTCTTCTCATTGGCGCTTCACGTGGCCTTGGCTATGCCATGGCCGCAGAATTCCTCCAAAAGGGGTGGAACGTCACCGGCACAGTCCGCGGAGACTCGAGGACATCACTTCACGAGCTAGCGGAGAACTACAGCGGTCGGGTTGAAATTGAGACCCTAGATATATGTCAACCAGATCAAATCAAGTCGCTCGACAAACGCTTATCCGGCAAGGTGTTTGACGCCCTTTTTGTGAATGCCGGTACAACGAACAGTGACCAAACCCAAACAATTGGAGACGTCTCCACCGAGGAGTTCATACATGTCATGGTCACGAATGCGCTTAGCCCCATGCGCGTGGTTGAGGGCTTAGCGCATCATGTTGGCCCAACCGGTCTCATTGGGGTAATGTCATCTGGACAAGGAAGCATCAGCAACAATGAAACGGGCCAGCGAGAGGTCTATCGCGGCACGAAGGCGGCGCTCAACATGTATATGCGAAGCTTTGCGGCTCGCCAGCCCTCATCACGCCCAATGGTGGTCATGGCTCCGGGGTGGGTGAAAACCGAGTTGGGAGGCCCCGATGCTCGACTTACGATTGAGGAAAGCATACCAAACTTGGTGAATGTCATTATCGCGAAGAGAGAACGTCCAGGTCTCGAATACCTTGACTACCTTGGTCGAACTGTGCCTTGGTGAAATCATCCAATTCCCCGAGTGCTGACAAGGCTGCCTCTCACCACCAAGCTGTCTCTCCGTTTTTTTATTGTTACTCAATGCCATGATTGTCATAGATGCTCTTTTTCGTAGATGCTCTTTTGAGGTACAACCATCAAAGACCTTCCGTACGTGACCCGCTCCCATAGCTAATATACCTAATGTAGTGCGACAAATGTAGCCGTGAAACATCTCCGATAAATATCTCCACATTGTCTTGGAAGTGTTGAGCGGCTTGCAAATTGCTCATCGAAACAAATCCTGACGATGAGGGGGGGTTGCTGAAGCAATTCCAGATCCATGATGCTGGAGCCTCGGCGAGTCACGACGAATTGTAGACTTTAGTATAGAGAGAAGAAAATCACGATCTCTCAAACGTTCAAGTCCTCGAGCTGAGAGAGAATCTGCCATACCAGTCAACAATACTTTCAGAAATATTCAGCGCAAAAAAACTCTCACCGTTTCAATATAACGAACCCCAACTATCATCCCATCCTTGTCCTTGATTCCAGCGTCGGGCGATGTGAAGACATTGTCACCACCATGGTCTAGGCAGCGTTAACAAGCGAGAACCACATCGGTGTATCGGTCTCCAACTAGGCTCGGTAGTCGATCCTTCACCAATGCAACTAGTTGGTGCTTGACAGAGAACCCCCTCCTACGGGCATCCTTTTCGGCAAAGTACCTTTCAATATCAAGCTCTGCCCAAGGAGTGGTATTGTCATTCTCAATTTGCACAAAGGAGTGCCACAATGCAAGTTCCAGCAAGCATACACCCAGACTGTAAATGTCATGCTGCATCGTAAAAGTTTCCTCAAGCCGGAGTCCTTGTCTGACGGGATGACGATAAATATTCCGTTCCCAGTTCAGGTCGCCGAGGTAGTTGGTGTGGGAATCTGCGCGTCTAATTTGCTCAAATCCAATCAAGAACGATGGTCCTAAGTCCCCATCCTGAGTAAAGACAATGATTGTCTCCGGTCGGATGTTCTTGTGCACGAAACCAGTCGTATGAACGAACATAACCGAACGGGCGAGCTGCAGAGCAAGTTGAACCCGCTTACTGAGAGAGCATTGGGGGTTCTCCAGAATAATATTCCTCAGTGACTTCGGTGAAGTTAAGCCATGAGGTACCTCGAAGACGAATTGAAATTGGGAATCTTGAGATGAGATTCTCTCTACCACGCCTTCACATTTGAGGAGGCCAAATGACATCGGATCGACATTCAGCAATAGTCTCGCCATGTCGCGAATGTGTGTTTTCTTCATCGGGGAAGGTGCATCGCCGGCAAAATTCGCGCTGTCTAATAGAGCCAGCCGGCCATCAGTCGTGAAGCTTGATAGGTAAGCAGTTGTTCTGGGGATGCTTTCTAGACTTGATCCAATCGTAGCCGAATCGACGAAAATGGAGGTTGAGCTCGCACTTGACTCCGACGAGGACTGTTGTATTTCATGTCTGATTTTTGAGAGTCTCAATGTGTGGGTATCACTTGCTTGCGCTGACCTCTCCAGCTCCCGGTCCACTTTTGGCTCCGCGATTCGAGATATGAGGTACCATGAGGGATCGAAGCGGCGTTGCCATTCTTCCAGGTCGTTGACCACCTTTTGGAGGTCTTTTTTCAAATAAACCGCCCGTGCCTTTTTCGGAAAAGAAGCGGCAGAAATGTTGCGAATATAGACTTCGGAAAATTTGCTGACAGCCGCAAGTAATGTCACTTGGAGGGATTCAATAACCTTGGCGTAATGGTTCTGGAGGACGAGCTCGATAGTATCTGACTGCCATAAGCGCTTCAAAGAGTGCAACTGAAGCTCTGTCTTGATCCAGACACCTTCTATCACCAATGATATATTTTCGATGTCACGCTCCAAGCGACGCTGCTCGCGGCAGAATTCCACAAGCTGTTTGCCGTACCTAGATGGAAATTAAAATATGTTCAGCATTCTGCGCTACAGCCAGGAAGACGGGATCGAACTTAAAACAAAGATCCAGTGTTGCAAACACTGCCAGTCCAAGTTCTGCCATAGCGTCGAGCCGATGTTTCGAAGTCACGGGGGAAAACCGGGGGGCGGGGGCGGGGATCGGGCCGCGATGGGCCAACGGGGAACCACGGATCAAATATAATCCCAATGAGGCTGAGCCCTGCGTGACGCCCAAATGAAATGACTGGTCACATCGAAAGCACCGGAAGGCTGTGCATCTCCCATTTAATCCTGACTTTCCATTTCTGAACCCGTCCGATCTGGCCGGCTAGTTTGTCGAGCCCTGTAAGTCACGATGAAAGATGAAGAGCTCGTCAAGACGTTTGAGCTGAACGTGATTGTCCTCTCCGCCCATCGCAATCGTGAAATCAATTTGCAACCTGATCCACAGAATCCAGACAAGCAAACAAAACAGGTCACGATATGGAATCGAACCCTCGAATTCAAGGAAGGGGTCCACTTGTACGAGTCGGCAAAGGGTGACTTGCGGGTTGTGAAAAGTATCTCCAAAGATAAGCTATCCAAAAGCAATATATCGGAGCTAGATGTCTTGGGGCAAGTTTCGAGGATTATGGAGTATGTATCGCGGCCTGAGAAATCGCCTGTTGCGAGAGCCCAGTAATCACTAATTCTGTGCTCAGACTTCAAAAGAAATCACTTTTTGTTCAGTTCCAGGGGTGGTACATGGCAGATAACTATGTCCATGTAGCTATGGAGTACTGCATCTTTGGAGACATTAAAAAATGTTTCCCCCATCCACTTTCCGAATCGATATCTCGGTCTATATGTGAGCAGTTGCTTGAAGGCTTGGTACTGCTACATGACATGGGGATTGCTCACCGCGATATCAAGCCCGAGGTAAGTTCATCTGTCGAATTCCTGATACCATAAATCCTCATTCAATTTTCAAGAATGTACTCGTTGTGCAGAAAGATCCAGTCAGAATCAAACTCGCGGACTTCGATATTAGCAAGTGGGCTGCCAAAGGGCAAACTGAGCTGCGAACGGAAGGGAGAGGGACGCGAGGCTATATGGCTCCTGAAGTCTGGGGCTTAGTCGATGACACTCAAGAATATTCAACATACACCAATGCCGTTGATATGTGGTCTCTCGGGTGTCTGTTGTACTTCCTGCTAACGAAGGAGGAGCCATTCCTCGAATACAGTTTTCTTGGTGACTACACTAAAGGATTTGCTAGCTTCCCAATTCTTCCATTGATTGATCATTCAGTGAGCGATCAAGCCCAGCACATCATCATTTCTTTACTTGCACCCTTGCCCGAAGACCGTCCAAAAGCTTCTGTCGATTTGATCACCAACTGGACCGTTTTCGGAGAGAACGAAGACGCACGCAATTGTTCATCTTCATATAAGGTCCCCAAAAAAGCAACATCATCTGTAATTCACGCAGCTGAAGAAAGCAGCGTCCCAAATGTGCCACTGCACACTTCGCGGGACCAGACGGCATCGGGAGACCGGTCCAGAAATCCCAACCATCGAGCACGACCAAAGATCGGGGAAGAAATGGTAACTATGAAGAGCCCTTGTCATATGCAGAGTCTATCTAACATGGTATTTGTTAGAGTTTCTATTCCTATGAGCTTTGGGATGTGCTCAAGTCCACGAAGACCAAGACTGCCAGCACGGAACAAGTGGTGTCCATTCTGGATCAGAACGGGAGTCCAAATGTACTGCACGAAGGATACACTGCTCTTCACTTTGCAGCAGAGCATGGGAGCATCGAGTTGCTTAAGGCACTGCTCGACTACGGCGCAGATGTGAGCATTGTCACAGAGCCCCGGCACGAGAACGCACTACACCTGGCGACCTGGCAAAGCGATCTGGAAGACTTCTTGAAGAAACTACAGATTCTTCATCAGAGCCATGTAGACCTCGACGCGCAAAACAATGAAGGCGACACCGTGTTGCATTTGGCCACTAGAAGGTTCGGGTCGGTGAGGGCGATTGAGGCATTACTCGATGCAGGTGCCTCGACGGAGAGGAAGGACGCGAAAGGCCGTACTCCATTGTGGTACGCGATTTTCCTGAAACAAGAAGAAAAGGCATTGAAGTTGTTGGAAAGGGGTGCCGACGTGAATTGCCAGGACGAAACTGGTCGCACCTTGTTGCACCTCGCAGTCTCTTCGAGCAGGATCAGCTCCCAACTCATTAAACATCTGATCAGCGCAAATATCGACGTCAATCAGCCCGATAACAATGGAAGTTTGCCCCTTTCTGATGCAGTCAAGCTGGGAGATCGAAACAAGATTCGCCTTCTTCGTTCTCATGGTGCAAAATACGAGCTCAATGAACCTGCAGAGCAAACGAATTCGGGTCATGTCAACATCTGGCAGAGTGTGAGCAACGCAATTTCTTCAGCTTTTTGAATGGATTACGTCCCAATTATCGCTCTTTTGCTCTGGGAAAATTGGCCTGTTAAGTTGCCCGATTGCTGCGTGTTGTGTTTTTTTTTTCGCATCTGCGAAGGGAAGCTAGTGTTTTTTTACCAACTCATGTTACCCCAAGGGGGGATTCATGATATTTGAGCTAAGGATAAATAATTTTTACGTCAATAAAGATCTTGGAACCTTCGAATCACTATGGGAACGAGTTACCATTGATGCACTCGTATGGGAAAGGTACATCAGTGCTCTCCACGATAAATCTGCGCGATGAAAAAAGTGATAGTCGCAAGTTGACATAGGTATCCAAAAAGCCATATCTACATGGGTAAACAAGTCTGTTATGACAAAATACGTCATAATTCTATACAAGAGCTGTCCCGAGGTCGTGAGTCATAGGCACATGACCCCGGGGTTTTGTCTAGCTCTTAGTTTCCTCTCAGTTAGTTTTCCATCCTTCTTTCTCTCCATGGAGTATTTCAATCAAGTCAATCTGCTCTCTCTCTTAGCCCTTCCAACAAGAGCTTCCAAAGAGACAAAAAAGAGCGATAAGTTCGAAGTTCCGAACAAATCAACATCGGAGGTGCTGGGAGAGTCTCACTCA